TGACAGTCGCGCGACACGTCACTCATGATCCACCCTGCATGGCCACATGGTCATGATTCATGACCGTGGGAAACATAGGATCGGAGACTAAATATATTCTCCGAAGGGCGAGCGGGGGGGAGTAGGCATAGACTTAAATAGACCACCCCGCTCCCCTCCTGATGAACGCTAGTGAATTATCACTTCTAATAAACGATTATCACTCTCCTTGTCTGTCCCTGTTCCCGTCCCGTCCTAGCTCCCCTGTCCCTGCCCTTGATTCCCCTGCCCTGCCCTCGCCAATTCCTGACAAGGGCGAAGGGGGCGGTGCACAAGCGAGGGCCGAGAAGGACCACCGAGACAGGCAGAGAACCAAAGCGAGAGAGGCGCAAGCAAAAGCGAAGCACCAGGCAGGAGAAACGTGCAAAGGCGAAGCAATGTGACTCAACGTCCAAGAAGCGGATTGGTCAAAGAAAAGATTGGGGCAAATGCATGCGAGATAGGCGAAGGTTTGGGGTGGTCAGGCAGGTCATGAGTCACCGGTGGGGGGACACATGACCGGCAGCCGAATTGCAACCAATCGCAGCAAGGCGCGTGCACAAACAAACCGGCGCGTGCGAAGAAGACAAAGGAAGCGGAGCAGCGCGGGAAAACGGAAGTGCGGAAGGGGCGGAAATGGCAGGCAAAGGGCGGAAAATCGGGGGGGGAACTGCAAAGCTACACACAAACAAACAGAAAGGCAAAAGAACAGCCAAGTGGGCAGTCAAAGTGGAGAACAAGCAGGAGCTATCCCTAACAGTTCGAAGTCGAAGTCATTTTAGGGCACCGTCTGAACAAACGCGCCAAGAATCCCCGACTCCGTCACCAGTTCCTGATTCGCTGGAAAGGTTACGATCAAAGTTTCGACTCTTGGGAACCAGTGGACTTGCTTCTCGAAAATGCGTTAGAGAGCCTTCAAGACTTCCTCAGAAGCAGCAGGAACCTACCCGAGACATCATCTCTGACGAAACTAGTATCGAATCTTATCTCGGATGAGAAAAATTGAAGATGCGGCATATTCACAATTTTTCTGGGGAGGATGTGAGAGACCGCGCCGAAAACACCAATCATCTCCTGCCACGTCCTCGCCCATGAGCACGCCCCAACGTGCGCCATACCACGGTCGTAATTGGTTAACATCGACCACGCACGCGTACCATCTTGGCAGCAAGCCACTCTCGCACCCAGACTCAGCCTCTCTCGCACCAGTCTCCGCCGCTCGTCGGAAACCAACCCTCCTCGCCCGTTCGCCCCCTAATGACCCTCACCTCCTATAAGTAACGCCTCCCCCGAGACAAACCCGGAGGGGGCAGGGGGAACAACCCGGAGATTAGTTCCGAAACCTCAGTACTTCAGAAACAAATACAATCTCTCCGCCGAGCCTCTTCTGGTTCCTGCCTCCAGACCATGACCGAGTCAATCCCTAACAACCTCCTCCGCCAATCAACGTCGAAGGACATGAAGAATTTGAGGCCGAGGAGATACTCGATTCACGCAAGCGAGGCAAAAATACAGAGTACTTGGTACGATGGAAAGGTTACGGCCACGAAGAGGATTCATGGGAACCTGAACGAAACTGCACAAGCGCACCGCTAATCGTACATCAGTTCCACAAGAAGTACCCGAACAAACCCCGAGGCAGCAACGATAGCCAGAGAACCAACAAGGCCGCTAAGAGGTGACTTTAAGGAAGGGGTGATGTGACAGAGCGCAGCAAGGCCGCCGATGGCTCTGCCAACTCCGCTCCGCAGCCTCGTCCGCAGGCATCCGCACCGTCCGCAGCCACGCCCGCCGACCGCAGGCACCAGTTCACCGCCTGCGGACCGCGAGAGGAGGGTCGATAAAAAGGATGCCCTTGAGCTTAACAAATAAACTCCAGGCAGACAACGCCAGTAAAACCAGCCCCTAGCCCAGTCCCAGCTCGGTCCCAGCCCGATCCCATTTCAGTCCCAGTCCAGGTCCAGTCCCAGCCCAGTTCCCATCCCCGTTACAGTTCCCAATACTGGAACAGATAAACTCGGTAACCTTTCGGCTCGAGCTTCCAGCACACATGGCCATTCATCCGGTTCTCCATGTCAGCATGCTGGAACATTACCATGAGAGTACTATTGCAGGGCGTACACCTCCACCTCCACCCCCTGTCGAAATCGACGGCGAAGAAGAGTACGAAGTTGAGGAAATCCTAGATGCACGCTGGTTCGGGAAGACTTTGAAATACCTTGTTCGCTGGAAAGGATATTCCGACATCGAGAACTCTTGTGTTATGAACGTGACTGACAGTCGCGCGACACGTCACTCATGATCCACCCTGCATGGCCACATGGTCATGATTCATGACCGTGGGAAACATAGGATCGGAGACTAAATATATTCTCCGAAGGGCGAGCGGGGGGGAGTAGGCATAGACTTAAATAGACCACCCCGCTCCCCTCCTGATGAACGCTAGTGAATTATCACTTCTAATAAACGATTATCACTCTCCTTGTCTGTCCCTGTTCCCGTCCCGTCCTAGCTCCCCTGTCCCTGCCCTTGATTCCCCTGCCCTGCCCTCGCCAATTCCTGACATCTTGGGAACCAGAATTAATTTAACCAATTGTCAAGAGATCCTGAGCACCTTCAAAAAACAAATATTCAAAGAAAATAGGGCCGCGACCTAGAAGGGGGAGATGATGTTAGGACACGGCCACTGGATCACGGCGTGGTGATCCGTGCGCAGTAGTTTCATGGCGCGAGATCATCGGGTGGAGGCAAGCAGGGGCGTGGGAAGAATTAAGTAGCTAGTTTCATATTGCCTTTAATTACTCGAATCTGATCACAGATATGGCGTAGAGTTTGGCGGGAATCCGGAGACAGCATAGACTAGAAACACTATAAATAGAGGGATAGCCAAGCAGACGATACACCACCTCCAGTGAATAATCTCTTTATTCTTCTTAATACAAGATCATCACTCTTCAGTACCTTGCCCCGTCGCAGTCTCGACCTTGCTCCCGGTTCCTAACACTCCCAGTAACCCCGACCAGTTCTCACGCCCACCTACCCTGCCCAGTCCGGCCCTCTTCCTGTTTCTCACAATGAGTCATCGGTGGGGGGACACATGACCGGCAGCCGAATTGCAGCCAATCGCAGCAAGGCGCGTGCACAAACAAACCGGCGCGTGCGAAGAAGACAAAGGAAGCGGAGCAGCGCGGGAAAACGGAAGTGCGGAATGGGCGGAAAAGACAGGCAAAAGGCGGAAAATTGGAGGGGAACTGCAAAGCTACACACAAACAAGCGGAAAGCCAAAAGAAGAGCCAAGTTGCAGTCAAAGTGGAGAACAAGCAGGAGCTATCCCTAACACCATCCGTCTCGACTGACCACTCACCTTTCTTCATCATGCAAGGTCAACATCCGAGGACACCAGCAAATGCCGAAGTGATAGACAATTCTAACCCAACACCTCGGTCCCTCGAGGAAATGAAGGCCACCCTCAGTCTCGTCTCCGACAACCTCAAGAAGGCTCAGGACAAGGCCCTCCACTTCGCCAACCAGCGCAGAGTGGACGTCGCCTTCGACTTTGGTGACAAGGTGCTGATCGACACCTCAGCCTACCTTTTCAACAACGGCGGCCTCAGCCCGTCGAAGATCAAGATGCCATATCTCGGCCCTTTTTCAGTCGTCGCCAAGATTGGATCAACAGGATACAAGCTGGACCTTCCTGCAGCGATCAAGTTCTCGCCCGAGTTTCCGGCCACCGCACTCGTTCCTTACAAACTCCCTCTTCCCAACCAACAAGTCTTCGACAACCCGGCTGCGGACGACCAGGACGAATACGAAGTCGAAAGCCTCCTCGCCCACAGAATCAACAGGAGGTTCAAGAAGCCAATTCGAAGACACCAGTTCCTTGTCAAGTGGCAAGGCTATGACCCCAGCTGGAACTCATGGGAGCCACTGGAGCTGCTTCTCAACAACGCATTCGAATGCGTTACAGAATACTTCGAGTCTCACCCGGATCTCCCTGAGGGTGAAACACTGGCGACAGTCCTCCAAGAGCACCAAGCCAACCAGTAAAATCGTGCCTGCGTTGACTTCAGCACGGTTTTCTTGGTGGAGATGTGAGGGACCACCATGCCTGTGAGGGAATGTCCCGCGGATGGACATGACGCGACTGCTCATGGCGTCATGATCATGCCATGTCTCCGATCACACCATCGATTACACCATCTCCCACACCCCAACAAACACCTCAGCTCTGGGCCCTGCTCTCTCACGCCCCCTACCCGATCCCAAAGATAAATGACCCTGGGCAGAACCCCCTCATTGAACGGGGAACCCCCCGACCTTTGACAAACGACCACAGAATAAACTTCTCATTGCTCACCCTCTTTGGCTCCCGTCATCATGGATCCTGACAATATCGAAGGATATCGTACGCTGTATTGAAGGTCGATCAAAAACATACTTGTTTGATAATCAGCACGAGAATGAAATTTGACCTTGGTTCTGTGCCTTCAAGTTATTGGACTTCATTCCCTTGACTGCTGCGGTGACGACTTGGGGCGATCGTCTCTTTGTCAGGCTTTCAACGGCCTCCAAAAATTGTGCCTATGTGTTATTCTGAGGATCGGGTAGGTGGGGATAGGAATCGAGATCGTGGGCTTCAAGACTGATTCGAAGTCATGAATCCATATGAAAACGCCACAACTTTGGCTCCAGGCTGGAACTCCGGTCTTTGGATGTTGGAGTGATGCCCGGTTCGGCCCTCGATCCACATGTTTCAATTCCGATCTCAAGAGGCGAAACCACCACAGTGCCTGTTGATCTATCGACTTGAGTAATAATTTGATCTGATGGAACATTGTCGAATTCTGTACCGTGAAATCATGGCTGATTGTCGGATATCCCTTCATAAAGCATTTTCTCGTGCATGGTCAATGGTGTATATATGTGCCGTTTTACGCTCGCGAACTGGAATACATGACACGGTGATTCCGCTTCTCACGCTACTGTTGATTGCACTCGCCAGGACGATCGCCGTTGATTCGAATCGGCTTTTTCTTGGCTGCTGTGTTTTCTTCGTTGTTTCCCGGCTGTGTTTTTTTCCTCTTTTCTTTGGGCTTTGGTACCCTGGTTCCGTCTGGCACTTCTGGATCAGCAGGTTTTTGATGATCGTTTCCTGTTGCCGGATTATTGAGCTTGAGATAACGGACACTTCCAAGATCAGCGCCAACCTCTTGCCTCCGTCGCGGATTCGAACTTGATTGAATGTTTGACCGGTCAGCCGTGTCGTGGTCGCATGAAGGTGATCGGGGCCGCTTCAGATTTGTGGCGCTGGTATTCGTTTGTAAGTCCGGTGCAAGTTTGAGCTCTGGGGACGTGGACCTGTGGTCGCGTGACAGGTTTTGAGCGGCTTGAGCACGATTCGCCTCCATCTGCAGAGGCATCGCTCTCCGAGCCGACTGGTCGACACTTGGCGACATTGTGTCCTGGAGGGAGTTGAGCTCGTCATTCAGTGGTTTGTAAGAACGCGACTCAGGCTCGAGGATAGGATCCGTTTGGCACCCAACGTTCAGCCGATTCGAAGTTACAATGTCGCCAGTGTTGTCAATTTGGCTTGGGTGATCGGCCTGAGTGGTCGGGCTCAGCGGCACATAGCTGCTACTTTCTTTAATTTCCGCTGACGGTATTGAGTCGCCGTTTTCAGCCGTGGCATCAGGATTTGCGCGTGCACGGAGATCCTCCAACTCGAATTTCACCTGTGCAAAGGTGGCTTGGAGTTTCTCGAGTTCAGTCAACTTTTGGTTGAGCTTGACTTCAGCGAGACGGAGCTTTTCAGTTTCGTTCAAGCGCATCATATTCTTGGTGATTGCATCCTTCTTCAGCTGCTCGTTTTCAAAGGACAGCTGTTCGGACCGCAATCTGATGCATTCGATGACGTTGGAATCAGCAGTGCTATTTGCATCGCCAACCTCTCCGTGATCGCGTGGGAGATGTTGCTGCCTTTCAAGCACGGCAATCCTTTGGAGGAGCGCTTTATTTTCACTCTCGGATTGGTTCAGGGCTTGCTCCAACTGTGAGATTCGGCCGTCGCCCTGCCGCTGGTGCGTCAGCTGCGTGAGGCGGGTGATGTGATTTTTGAGTCGATGCTGCTGATTGATTGTCTTATGGTGGGCTTGAAGCAGGCCCTCGTGTTTGCCTGTAAGCTGGCGATGGTTTTCCTCAAGCTCAAGCCGACGATCGTATTCCTCGCTGAAGAGTGATTTGGAATCTGCCCTGGTGAGACCGTCCGCGGGTGGTGTTATGATCTCGAGCTGCGCACGGAGGGACTGGTTCTGCTCTTGGTAATATTCCAAGTCGACCTTGAGCTGCTCCAGGAATATGCTCTGGGTTTCGTAATCTTCCTTGTGGCTCTGCAGCGCTTGAATGAGCATCCGATTCTCTTCATGCTTTTTGAGCAAATGGTCATGCTCAGCTAAAAGGTCGATGTTTTTTTGGTCCACGTCCGCCTTGGCATTGGTTACGTGTAATACAATAGCTTGGAGCTCACAAAGTTTGCTGTCAGAGTCGTGCTTGAGTTCCTGGTACTTGATCTCTGCGTCCTTGAGGCATTTTGTGAGATCGGCTCGCTCTTTTGCGTGATTTTTCTTTTCTTCGCCGAGTTGCTTATTGATATTCGTGACGGTGGTGCATTGAGCAGATGATTTCTTGAGATCATCTCGGCACTCTCGAAGCTCCCGGTCGATCAGTCGATGCCGATCCAAGATCCGGGCGTGTTCATCTTTCAAAGCATCCAGCTCCATGTTCAGTCTCATATTTTCATCCTGGAGATCTTGGTTTTTAAAATTGAGGATGGCTTCGGGGGCGAGTGTGTGCCGTGTTTTTGGTCGAGGACTTGGGTTCAGGTCGATGAAATCATTTGCGTCTTTGGCCATATCCCTCTCCAGTCGACGGTCGCTGTCACTGGGGCCTGGAGACATGCGGGGGCGATTGGATAGCTGTAACTTCTCAAGCTCCTGATATCGTTCGATCCAGTGTTGAAGACTCTCTTCAAGCCTGGCCTTTTCCTGTTCAAGAGATTGTTTGCTCTCCAGCAGCTGCTGACCGATGAGGGCGCATTGTTCGACAACTTCAAGTCAGACGGCAGAGATACAACAGTCATAATATAGAACAACGACCCAAAGTGTTCGATCGCAATATTTTCGGTTGATGTCGATGAGGTTGGGGTGGGGTGGGGTGGGGTTTAGTATTAGGGGCAGCCCACAAGTCCGAGAGCCGATAACCAGCCAAGCCAACACTCTTCGACCGACAATCAACAGTCAGACAAGGGCAGCAATAACCCCTTGGCACTATAAAACCTCGCACATGGCACGGCGACACGAGGTAAGGTGCTACGCTGTCCTAATATGATGTTTGGGCCATCTAACCGGGCCATGTGCATGCGGCTTATGATCGCTGTGATCAGCGAGAGAACAGCAAGAGCAGTAAGACTCAACTGATGTCTTTTTCGGCGAGCTGCTCTCTGAGCGAACGAATCTCGGTATCAAGATCCCCGTTCATTTGCTACTTATGCCACGGAAGGGGGAGAGCAGGGTGGCTGTAGTATGCAGCGTTGGGGTTGCGATGGGCCTCGAGGTCTTGACAGAGGCAGCCAGCCAAGAAAAAGCGGAACGGCAACAAGCCGAAACGAGTGTGTTTGGCACGTGATCGAAGCCGAATCACACGGCGATTTCGGGAGCGACACCAGGGACGAGACCGCGGCTCGAGGTGCGATGTGAAAACCTGAAGCAGTCTGGTCAGATGCTCGAAAGAAGAGCTTGGCCAGGGACGATATGAGCCAAAGGACACGGTATTATCGATCCTCTATCACTTGAGACATATTAGCCCTCCCAACATGTTGAGAACGAAACGGGACAGCGCCTGTTCGCATCCTTTCGCTCAGCCACCACATGTTATTGATTTGGGGAGCGCAGTCTTAGATGTGTTATTCATTCGACCATTCGACAGCTCCAAGCAAAGCGGTCTCTTGTAGCCAATATTGTCATCATACCTGTGGGATTGGTGAATTACTTTCTTATGCTGCCTCCACGAGCCGTTCCCCGAGGCGGGCAGGAGTGTCAGTCTCTTTGAATAGGTTGTATGGTCGTGGTGAGTCGGTGTATATTTACAGGCAATCCAATAAAAAACGGGACACCCGGGTTTTTGACCATTCATCGAATATTTTGTTACCCAATGTTATCGCGCGCTGGCCATGACCATTCGCCACACATCCGACTTTCGCACCGCCGCATTGCGATGCTACGCCCTCATCCATAGCCTGCGTAAGGTCGCCTCCATATTCAGTGTATCCAAGAGCACCATCCATCGATGGCACCGAGGATGCAAGCTGGATGACCCATCCCGGGTCCCAGCTCGCAGATCCACTTTCTTCGAGCAGGCATGTCCAGTCATTCGCACCCTGATTGAACAGGACCCGTTCCAGACTGGTCCTGTGTTGCGATGCAAGCTCGAGTCCATCCTCCAGAGGAAAGTATCACTCTCACTCTGCCACACTGCCATCCACCGAGCGGGTCTCTCACACAAGAGGGCAACACACCTCTACAAGTCCAAGCGACTGGATGAGCGAGTGGCACAGTTCAGGGACCAGGTCCGCTCCATCGACCCACGACGATTCGTTTCTGTCGACGAGACAGGGATCAGGAGATCCATTTTCCCTCTCTACGGATACTCGCCGAAGGGTGCTCCGCTTCGCCAGCGCAATCACATGAAACACAAGTCTGTCTCGGCTGCATTTGCCATCAACCACTCTGGTGTGCTGCATCGCATGTACATCCCCACATCATTCAAGACACACTCGATGGTCGAGTTCTTTGAGCGAGCGACCTTCCCAGATGACTCTGTGATTGTGATGGACAATGTCAGCATGCACAAGACAATGGCTGTCCTGGACTGCATCGAGCGCCGAGGATGGTCAGTGATCTTCACCCCACCTGCCTCGCCCGACTTCAATCCCATCGAGAACTTCTTTGGGGTTGAGTCCCCATCATTTTGGGGTTGAGTCCCCACCGATTTGGGGTTGAGTTCCCTCCAATCAAGCCGCCATTTTCGCGTTCACATCCCTGGCTTGAACCTCTCGGCGATTGTTGAACAGGGTCACTTCCCCAACCAGCCCGCGCAGACGGGTTCCTGCTCTCGGGTATAAATGCCACACCTTCGTCCTGCTGCTTTCTTCCCTCACCTCGCCTTGATCTGATCATCGCGCTATTGTACGATAAAAAAGTCTCTGCTCTGACCAGTACCACTGGCAGGCATCCAGCATCCTCTGTTCCCATGCCTCCGAAGCGCAAGGGTACCGGTGATGGCCAGCCTCGGCCACCCAGGCCCAAGAAAGCCAAGTCACAGTCGGAGCCTGTCTCTGGTTCGTATTCTGACCCCACGCATGCTTGTTCGTCTGTTGCTCCGTCGCTCACCACCACTGCTTCTGCAGATCCAATGGATGTCGATCCCACCGAGCCTGGTCCATCTACTTCCTCGAGTACTGGCAAGCGATGTCGCCAGTGCGATGGCACCGATCACGAACGTTGCAACACCAGCAAATGTCCCAAATACCGGCCCCTCAAGAGTTCTGTCGTCCCACTCGTGGATGGAAGGTCATCCGCCCCTCAGTTCAGCTGCTTCAAGCAGACGATGGATGGCTGTTGTCTCAATCCCGCTCTCCGCGACAAGATCCAGGCCACCGTCGAGGCCATGACCCAGATCTAGTTCGAGGCATCCAGGCTGCTCAACCTGCACATCCTCCGGTGCATCGAGCAGGATATTCCCGTCCCCGTCATCTCCAAGTCCACCCCTGCTTTCATCCGCCAATGCTTCAAGATTGTCGAGGCCGATGCCCTCTCGCCGACCGGGGACAACGAGAAATACAACGAGCATCTGGTCGCTTCCTTTCGCGACTACCAGACCACTCGGCACGCAGACCTGCCTCCGGCCCCTCGTCTGCCTGATGGTGCTCACAGTCAGCTTCTCACTCTCGCTGTCAATGCCTATGCCACCAACTGCACCACCCACCTCGACCTGGCCTACTGGCGACTCCTTCGCCGCTTCTGCGCTGCCGTCTTCCCTGCCAACAAGCACAAGCACGAAGCCATCGAGGCTTGTCTTAAGCTCTTCGAGAAACCAGGGCAGACTCCACCCAAGGCCGATCTCGAGTTCCTCTATCCAGACTTTGGCCACATCCTGGACGAGTTTCGGTACAGCAGCGACCAGGACCGCTTCCGGGCCCTCCATCGCCTCTCACACCATGTGAGAATCCTCGCCCGAGACAAGATGGTCGACAATGTCCACAAGTGGATCGACTGTGACATGCCCGCTCTCCGAGTCACCGAACTGCAGCGCCAGGCCAAGCTGGACGAGCTCACTACCCAAGGCATTCCCTCCGACGACAAGAGGTTCACCAAGGCCAAGTCGGAGCTCGGCACCACCAAGTCCAAGATCAACAAGCTGGCATCCAGGATCAACTGGGCACTCAAGCAGCTCGCCGTCGACACTCCTCCGGCCGTGTGCACGATGGTTCCTCTATGCACTGCCACGGCCAAGTATGTCAAGATCGACACGGTCACTCTCTGGCAACTCCTTGACACCGATCATCGTCTTGGACTCACCTGGGACAAGCTCAAGGAACAAGGTGATGACGGCATCAACAACCAGGATCGTCTCTGGCGCAGTTGCTTCAAGCTGCGTAGTTCCCTCTTCCAAGAGCGGGTCAGGGACAAGAAGCTGTTCAACTACGAGATCAGCACCGATGGCATTGGATGCACCATCGGCCTCGTCAAGTTTGTGCCTCGAACCGATCGCACCGAGGCCTCCGAGCCTCCTCCGACTGCCGAGCAGCGCATCCAGGCCCACATCGGCGACCCAGACCCCGACAAGACCACTTGGATTGGCATCGATCCTGGAGTCGGCTCCATCTTCACGGCGGTCATCCAAGCACCGGGCCACCAAGACGAGGTGGTCTCATTCTCCAACGGCCACTCAGCACATGTGTGGCCATACGTCCAATACTGAGTGGCACAACACCATGAAGTATCGACTCAGCATCGAGACCTGGATATCGACCACCCCCTCGCCCAAGGTGTCGTCCTCGGAGGCTTTCAAGGTCCATCTCACCCATGTCCTGCGACCGGAACTTCGAGTGCAGCTCGACTTCCACCTTGGCAAGAAGGCCCGTCACCATCGATTCACAGGCCACAAGAGGCGCCAAGTGGCCGTCGACAGGATGTGCAAGGCCGTCCTGAAGCACGCCCCGATACGGACCGATGTGGTGATCGCCTTTGGCAATGCGTCATGGCGACAGGGCAAGGGCTATGCATCCAGCCCTCGGAGGCAGCGGTTTGCTCGGTACTTTGAGCAATTCGAGCACCACCGACGCCGTCCCAATCACCATCATGGAAGCGTCAAGGTGGCCTCGACGAACGAGTTCAACACCTCGCAAGTGTGCTCCAAGTGCCTGGAGCCAGTTCGGCTGGAAGGACTCGATGCGCCCAGTGTTGCGAATTCCCACTTTGTCAGGAGCTGCAAGAATCCCAGCTGCCGGACAGTGTGGAATCGCGACGTCAATGCGGCGCGCAACATGATCACAGTATGCAGGTCGATTGTGGAGATCGGAGAGCGACCGGCGGTCTTCACTCGGAGGCTGCCAAAGTGATCTGTTTTATTTCTTGTGGCTTTGCTTGACGCAAGCACAGCACATACTACATGTCCATGGAAACGGCTATATTGTCCCGTTTTTTTCTGAATAGAGTGTAAGGATGAAGAAGTGGAACGCAGGACCTCAACCAAGGTGTTCCGTTTTGGTTTGGGCGCGCTGGAGCATTGAAGAAGCTTCATCGGAAACAGAGCCCCCTCTGAATAGGCAGGTAGTACATACCCAATCTGTTCCTTTGCCTCAGCTCCCTTGGTATCGAGTAACGACCAAACATTGAGCTGTCCAAAGGGTCGATTATGTATTACGCCTCACTATCGCGCTCCCCAAAATCAGTAACTTGAGCCGGTTACACTCGGACGGCTGGTGAACTGTTACTGGCAGATCACTGTGTTGATGGCCGGATTGAATTGTGCAAGAGGGCAAATGGGCACCAGCTCAGTTCGTTTTGAACAACCTCCAGTATCCAAGTGTTATGGGCACCATCAGCGAGACACCCTCTGTATAGATCGAGTTTTGGAGGGTTGTTTTTCGCGATCCTCATGGAATAACTATTCGGTAGTGGATGGGGCATGCACAATTGCGTCCAAAAGAGAGAGCGGGTTGGGCCGAGCCGCCTCAGCAGCAACCGAGAGGCCTTCGGCCATGAGCTTCGCTGTCGTTGTGGGCCCGATCGAGCCGATCGCAGTCTTGCCCCACCAAGACTGCTGCTGAAAAGTCGGCAAGGTCATGTCAACACCAGAGGGGCTGAAAAACACCACCCAGTCCGGCCGTTCATGTTTTTCCAGTGCTTGTAAAAGATCATGCTCCAGGCGTGAGTTGGCCTGTGTCTTGTAGACGCAAATCTCGTGCAGCTTTGCATTCGAGGCTGCAACGGCATCAGGGATAACGTTACGGCGCTTGTCACCAGCCAAGAACAGCATCCATGTATTAGGCTGGCCAGTCGCAGTCAAATCTTGCAGAATAAGCTCAGCAAGGGCTTGCGCTGTCCCGCAATGGCTCCCTCTTGTCACCAGCCCCTCATTGAGGCCCTCAACTGCTTGCTTTGTCGATTCGCCAACGACATAGACTGGCACCGATCTCCATGCCAGCGTGGAGCTTTCTGCGTGTGAGGAAGACGTTGACCATCGATCGATCGAGAGCGGCAAAGTCAGCTGCATCCACCTCGGGCGATACGACCAACGGCTTGCCACTCGTGTATCAGCACGAGCACAAACCTGGATATTGAGCAACATGCTTCCGAAGTGCCACATCCAGAGTCTCGACGGCACGCTGGCTGGTAACAATTAAGCCTCCACAGTCGGCAGGAGATCCGTATCGACCGTCCAAGTAGTCCAGGAGCAAGTCCACGTTGCACGATATGTGCTCAATAACAGGCAGGAAGCGGGCGCTGAAGCCACGCCGCTCGCATTCGGCTTGGTACGGATCGACCGAGGCCTTGCTTTCTTCAACCTCGGCGGCGGCTCGGCAGAACAGAACACACGGCGTATGCTCGTGGAGCCGCTCCTCGTTTCGTGTTGCGGGCATGGGGAAACTGGGCATCTGCGTCGTTTCTCGATGGCCGATGCTTATCCAAGGACTGCCAGGGCCGAGGTGCTGGCTGCGGTTGTTGCTGGAGCAGGCTCCTGGCTGGATCGCGTCCCTGAGTGGCCTCACGTGATCTGACCGAGCGGATTTTTCTTCGTGGGCGAACTCGGGCCTGTGCGGAATGCACCCAGACCGATCGCAGATGTGGATATGGCTGAAGACAAGACGAAGCGCAAATCCGGTGAGCACACTCGCGACAGTGGCATACGAGGTCACTTCCTGCTCGATGAAATCTCAGGGCTCACAGCGTTTAACCTGCAGGCGACGAGAATCCCGAGTCAGGCGGGCCTGTTGCGTCGGCAAACCCGTTTGCCATCCTTCGGAAGCGCCCGAGAAAAATAGTACTGGCCGAACAGCTCGTTGCGGCACCGTCTGAATCTCGGCCTCAGAGCGCCAGTGAAGCGGCTCAACTGAATGCCAAGGAGTCGCCTGCTTCCGGTCGACGTTCGACGACAGCAGCAGCAGATGGACCACGGCGACAACCCTCGACCGGCCAGGGCCGCCCATCGGCCGTTTCCGCCAAGCAAGCAGACTCAAAACGCCAGCCACTTCAAACTCCCAAAGATAATGGGTACATATCGTACATGCATTATCAGTTTCCGGTGATATGTCCACGAGTTGGTTATCGATGTCGCTTCGCACGGGGTCTGTCAGACTCATCATCAGAAGCAGCCCTGTGATCATCGTGTTGGACTCGACATAACGCATATCTCCTAATGCTCAATTCGCTCCCTCGTTCGTATGGTATCGGATCGTGCCAACTCGGAACTGCCGTAAATCCCTGTGATCCTCAGCTGGACCGACCCGGACACCGTGTCGACATTCCAGCCGTCGGACGCCAATGTCTTGGCCTCCACAAATGTAACTTTGATTGGGATGAATATTGGAGAGGTATCAACCAGAAACTATGTCTTTCTTCCAGCTGGCTCATTGCCCTTCCGCAGCTGCTCGATGTAGCATATCAGCCCCCACGAGCGATTCTGCGATCGCCTCTGTGGGTGTTAATATCTGGAACACTTGCACATACGACCAGACGCAGCCAAATCTCATCATCGTTTTCGCTTTCGTATTTGTTTTCGTTATCGCTTCGACTTGACGATCTCAGAAGATATGCTTTCACGGAGCTGTGCTGCTCTGTCCAATCCAAGGATCATTTAGCGTCATGGGATACAACTTTGCGCCTCCGATTCACAGGGTGTCTGCGCTGCTGCGTCCGTCCGATGCAAATCGCGATGTTACGGATGCTCTTCGGTTCTATCCGTGCTTTTCTCCAAAGTCCCATAGTCTGCTGGTGATAGAATCGACCGGAACTTCGACTCAGAACCAACGTCCCGATGATGCTCGCCAAAAACCGCGCAACACTGCCTCCGACCCGACACTCACGGTCGAAATTGCCGGCTTGCTCAAGAGCGCAAACTTTTCAGAGAGCACGACCATCATAGCCATGCGTAGTCTTGCTTGGGCCAATCACTCCGGCCTCGAGAAAACAGGAAATGCCTTCCGCGGACTGTTCGGCATGGGCAGCGAGAAGGTAGCTCGTAACGCTGTTCCAGCAGTACGATTCAAAGCTGCTGCATGATATCAAGCGAATTTGCTCCCAGTTTAACTTGACCACTCTTATCACGTCAGATCCCTATGGATCCAAACTTCAAGCTGCGAGGATTTTTTCCTGTAAGACCATCATCGCAGCACACACAGTCCAAATCACCCCCCGAGATGAAATCACTACTCACCCACGGCTTTCTGTTTGAAAGATCACTATGGCGTTGTCGAGTGCCTCAGCTTTGAAAGTCCCTCCCACTTGGTTTGACTTTGGCCGCCGGCTCAAAATAGGTAGCGATGATTCTGTGCATGGAGCCATTGTTTTCGCGACCATTGACATAGCTTTATTGCCCATGTCTCTATGAATGCGACAAGCCCCGTAGCTAATGATCTTGACTCTGTTACCAAGCGCATGCACCGCCGATAACCTGTGTTGTCGGAAGCAAAAACGTCGGTAAATCCACATTCTCGAGATATGCGGTGAACTCTTTGCTCGAGCGGTATGTTTTCGACGCTTCTTTGCACAAAAAACTGGCCCGGGTGGATCATTCCCAACTGGTCCCGCCATATACAAACAATTGGCCGGTGTGATTATCGGTCAGGGTGGCGTAGATTCAGTTATGGCTATGGACTGGACGAATCACGATAATCTAAGCTGCGCGTTTCACGGTCTTTCTTCAACTACAATACTTACCAGATATCCCGCCGTTGCGTATATGGAGTGCGACATTGGACAAAGCGAACTCACCCCGAGCGGGATTGTTTCGCTTCATGTTGTGCGCTATCCCCTATTAAGTATATATCGTAGGCTGCATGGCGAGACGGGGAATGTGGAAGTAGGCAGCTGGCTTACCGTCCAGCAACTTGTTTTTGCTGCAGGTCCTCCCTTTGTACATCTCCAAGAGCCCTATCACGCCTACTATCTTGGTGCAAGCACACCAAAAGATGACCCAGATCACTATGTCAATTGTCTCGAGCACTTGTACAGAACCTATCAAAAAACACTGCGCACACAAGGCATGCCCCTGATCGTCAACACCCATGGATGGATTCGCGGTACCGTAGCTCGCATAGCTGGCCCAGCACTCCATTTTCGATCCACGCAAATGGGTGATTGCCGAGTCGCCATTCGCTTCGCAAACTTATTTGTCATTACGCCGGTCACTCTTTGGCCACTCCTCGGTACCGACCGGACATTAGGCATAGGTTACGATTTGATGCAGCATTTGCTTGGAGTCATTGATGCCGACTATGTTGCTCAGCTCTGGTATCCTCCCGGATCGACCATGCTCAGCAAGAATCTTCCTGAGAACTTTGACCACACTGTCACTGAAACAAATCCAAATTGTCAGCTGGTCAGAGTGGAAGGCTTCGAGGATCGGTCGCTCAAGTAAGCGTTCATCGAACTCTTTGCGTTTGTTAACGAAATGTGCTCATTCGACGAACTGAAGAAGCTCGCCATGATGCGAATCAGAATTGTGTCTGATGTCGACAGCAACCGCCGAATTCCAGCTCGTCCCGCCTGCTCACTGACGTGCCGTTGTCGATTCCCCGTTCACTTTGGATCCCAGGCCCAAGTTATCCTCGGCAGATCTTCGAACACTTGCAACGATATCATATTTCGCCAAGTCGAACCTACCAACTGGATGTCCAAGGGAGGGGCTTGATTGTGAGCGACCCATATGGTGCTTCTCCAAAGCTGCAGCCGAGGAAACACCTTATCAAGTCCCTTGGAGCAGTGTTCGAATCAAATTCATCAACTTTGACGTTCCTTATTCGCAAACCCTGCGAGCCCTGAACGGCTGCGTGGTAGCCTTGGTTGTTGACCGCACAAAATACTGCAGAGTACCCGCAGAGTCCCATCGTCGCGACCATCCTTTCTCGGTAACGTATCATGCTATCATTAACCATGGCGTTTCAGATTGCATATTGAGAATGCCACCAATTCAGCAAAAGCCGTCCTGCGATATGGCGTGTATGGCTTTGTGTTGGCTGTATTTCAGGATCGTCATGCCAGGGGCCATGTTTTAGCCGGGCCTCGATCGGGCACTGTGCTGATCTCCGGTTGGCGCTCCAGTCGCTTCGAATTGTGCCGTCGCAGCTGCCACTCCGCCCCCAAAACCACAAGTGCGTTGGCCTTGGTCTGGTCCGCTCCATCGATCCAGAGCAAGGTCTGTTCCATATCGTCTCGCCTGTTGCCCCGACCACGCTCGGTGAAGTCAACATGCTCGTCCGAGCAAGTGGCACAGAAACTCCAGCTTATCTTTCCTTGGCCGGATACATGGTAAGCCCGCTGTGGGAGGACATCCAGCCATTTCTATGCTCGAATGGTACTGATCGACTTGCCCCCCCCCTTTTTGTTTGGTATACAGTCGGTTCGAGTTGATTTGCCATATACCACCTATTCGATGGCCGAAGGGGTAGGCTCGCTCTCTTGGAAACGAAGAGCCATGCAGCGACGAAAAAACATGTCCGAAAACAGAAAATAACAGAGTCGCACGCGATGCCGTGGTTAGCCCAATACGAGGTACCGGCCAGACAAGCAAACAAATCCTGCCCAAATGTGCGGATATGCCAATCCTTGCTCGAGCAGCGGGACACAAACGGTGCTGCCCAAGATGGCGTATCACAGGATGCTCAATGTCCATGTGTGATAGTGCGTGAGCGATGGCAACCCCACGGAGCGCACTCCACCTCTCGGCTCCGCGTAACAATGCCGCGGCCGCCAAGACCATCTGGAACTTGGTTGATGAGTTAGCCCGTGCGAATATTATGGTGCAATTTCAGTCTGATCTTATTCTCGGGATATGGGTTTCCAACTTCTTCAGTATCATATTCCTGGGCTTCCTTCCAGCCCATTTGCCCACCCGATGGACCAACAAAAGCAGCGTGTATATGGACACCCATTGGCCGGGACGGCTGCCAAAGGATGCGATAGGCCCCACTCACAATGCCTGCAGGAGCAATCGTGTGAGCTTTATGTATCACTAGGAGCGGGATGCTGGACATTCAGCTGTCGAAAATCCCTATTGAGGCGCTGCTCACTTTGCTCTGCGGTGGCTTTGGCGTCGACCATATCTACACAGGATTCTCAGAGACAAGGTGAGCTGTGATGGCGAGATTGAAAGTTTAGGGTTGGTGTCAGTGTGATATTCAGTTATGCATCCACTGCGTTTCACCGAGTCACTTGGGCAGTGGTCATCGGAGAGGCCGTGGACATACCACGCAATGGAGCTGCAAAGGCACCAAAATCGTCCACTTCAGCCTGATGCAGTCGACCCTGGAACTGGTAGATGACACGCAGTTTCTTGGGAGTACCTAGACAGGGGTCATAGAAGCCAAGAATACTTGACTGGTGCGATCAAAAAAAAAAAAACCAGTCACGGTCAATGGTGGCTCAGTTACACTTTCCCCTAGCCATCTAGTCTCCGAACCGGAACAAATTAAATACGCATCGTTTTTGTTGCGGTACGCGAAAGCGAAAGGTAGAAAGCCAAGGTAAAGTGTGCTTGATACCTTGGCGTGACCACCGCTTATATGAAGCTGGCTGTTGTTGACCATCGACTGTAACACGATCGTAACGTCACAATATGGCTTCGGAGATCTGTCTGCGTCCTGATCCAGTGGCGGGTGAGCATCGTCCCTGGAAGGTATGCTCATGAACTCGACAGATGATGATTTGGAGAATAGACTCCGAATGCCTTGCACTGAGAATCCACGACCCGAATCAATCGACTCCTTCGCAGCCAGGTCACCATAGAGAGCGTGCACTATGATCAAGCCGTCACGGGCCTGCTCCTGTTCGAGCTTGCGCTGGGCCAGATCTTTCATCAGCCGGGTGGCTTCGAGGGCCTCCTTTTGTCTATCGGCGAGAATCTCTGCATTTTCCTTCCGAATCTCATCCAATTTCCTATTGGTTTGACAAAGGCAGGGACACATTGACCAAATGAAAAGTTCATCAGTTAGTCGGTTAACGAGACCCCTCTCTGTAGCGATATATGTGCTTTTGCGTTGTAAGGACAGAACCACATGGCTCAAGCATGCGCGACAAGCCCAATTCCTGATGTCGAAGGGTCGAAGTTGCTCCTCAAGCTCGGTTCGACAGCCAACTTACTCGGCAAGTAGCTGCTTCTTGCGCGGTGCCAAGATGAACTGGTCGATGGCGATGGCTGCAACCACAGGGGCAACCGTCGCCCACAAAACTGCTTCAATGCTCAATTGATGTGAGAGCAGCACCGGAATGATGAACTTTTGGCCTAGTCGAGTATACCTAGGTTATAGAGTTTGTGGGCAATCGAGTTACACCGCAACAAGTTAGCGGACGCTACGTCGTGTGGGTTGCGCGGCGATCATGACTGACGCGAAACTCAAGAGATCGGCAGCCTGTTGCTTTCAGCGATCGGGGAAGTATCGATATCGGAATGTGTGATGTGGTGACAAGGGCAGCACTCACTTGAGCTTGAAAGAAACCCCACTTGAAGCTCCGCATGTGACTCCCAGGCCGACTCTGCTATGCTTCGATACTTTCTTTTCGCCACTCAGGGAGGCTGTGACACCACCGACGTTCGAGAGTTGCAGCGACCCCCGCAGACGAATTTGCTTGGGCAATATCTTGGCGTACGCAAGGCTTATATGGGAGCCACTCAGGCCCGCTTGCACATCCACATTGAGCTGCGCATCATTGAATCGTCGAACGATGCCCACGGAACAGGAGCTTCGTTGGCGCAGCCGCTCCGAGGCACCCCAGGAGCCAAGGCGAAACTGGCCAGTCTGGAAGGTCAAGAACATGGTAGTACTCTGGCTGATTCGACGTCCGAGTACGAAGGCCAAGGTCGGTGGAAGAGCGGTGGTCGCTATGTGGGCATTGGCAGTGCAGAAGCTGCCCGGAAGAGAGGAGATTGCTTGTTAAAAAGTAATAATAATAACTGTTCGAGGACCTGGGGAATTTCCTGGATGGCAGGTGTGCATACGCACGAAATATGGGTGCAGGGTCCTGGCAGGACTACGCAACTTTGGTGCACCCACCTGTCGTTTGCAAAAGTTTTGGTCAACTTGAACGATGATGATGGCTGCCGACCAACGACCACTGAGCCCTATTTTTGGGGCGCCGACGACAAAAAGGGAGGATCTGTGAATCGGGAGACAATGGCGTGTTTTGCTATTTACCAAAACGCAGCGCCAAGGCTGGCGTGGCATTACCTCTGCCCAGAGGCTGGGCGTTATGACATGTTGCAGAGTCGCCTGGGCACTACCAACACCAATACCATTGTTGGCGAGGGCAGTTCCCTCGAGGGTCAGGTTTGTTTGGGAGGCCAGCTTGGTCTATGTTCAGATTCGGTGATGAATTACTACGTAAGATGGCCGTACTAGCCCTTGATGGGCTACGATAGTGTGCACACAGCCGCTGGTAGCGCGCAGAGCCTCCATGAGGGCTACAGCTACCTGTGGTGGACGCAGGCAAGCCGTACACTACCTCCCACGAATGTTTGACGAACGCCTGGGTTAGTTCGGGAAACACCAGCAGCTCATGAGCCTCGCGCTTGTGGCCGCCATAGGGTTCGAATATGCTTGTAGCATCGAGCATAAGGGAAATCTCGCCCTGTTGACAAAAGGATTTTGGGACTATATCACTAACGATAAATCGGGAAGGCGCATACTCGGGGGATGCACCATACTGCAACAGAGGGCAACTGTCGGTGCCGCCCAACCTTGGACTTGACGAGGTTTTCAGCCTCCTCCTGAAGCCTAAGTCGCTTCTGTCTCTCAAATTCCTCACGGATCTGATAGCAGATCAAATGTAGATGCGTATATGTTTAGATACGCATATGTTTGGATGCACAACGAAGCGAAAGCCTGATTTGAGGATCCAAGCTTGATCCGGAGGCGGGCTGTACCTCTTCTGGCGTCGAAAATCGCTGTCCGATCTCCCATGTTGACTGGAGTCCCTCGGCACCATACAGATCGTAGATATGCCGCTTTGCTGGGTCGCTGAGGACTAGAGGGGCCAGACACAAACAGATCTTGGGTCAACCCGAGGGCGGCGGCCAACTCAAGCCATCGCTCGTGTCTTCTACACTTGCAAGCCACGGGAAGCGCTCTACCATCATAGGCTTTCTGGATGACTTGGAACTTGCGCTGAGCGGCTTCCTGGTGAAAGGTATGAATCGGATCGGTGAGTCAACTCAATCGTGGATGACGACAAGTCAACGATACTCTCAATCTCATCACCTTGTGATCCCACAAGCCAGACCGCGACAGCACTACCTTACCTTATCATCCGGCGAAAGATGCTTGTCTGGATGAAATGTCACACAGAGCCGACGATATGTGTTTCGAATCTCATCGTCAGAGGCCTGCATGGGGGGGATGCGGCAGGATACATCCGGGAGAACAGGCCATAGCTTGTCAGCCCAAAGCGATCGTGGTGGTTCCCCGAGCAACGGAACCGCAGGAAATCTGCAGTGACCTCCAGAGGCCCCCCCTCCCACCAAGTTATGGCGGATCGCGTACGTCTTTTGAGAGATTCATGACGCCGTAGTAGTTGACCTCGCCAAGGGCATTGTCCTTCTCGATGCGCTCCAGCAACTCGTCATAGGTGTCGTTGGCATTGTCGGTGTCGTCGATATCGACGTGCAGATGGATCGGGTTGCCGCCATCGGGTCCCGAATAAGGGTCGTACGAATGTGCACTCATGGCCTGATCGATTGTGCCTGATCGATTATGCCCTCGGTGAGCTGTCGATGCGGGGAGGGGCCCTGCGATCTTGGATGAACGAGGCTGCCCACCCTGACCAGACCGCCAAAACACACCGCAAAAAGCCAACGCTGTTCCTGCGCAGAAAAGACGCAAGAGCCCCGGCGCAAGGAGGAAGGAGGAGGGAGAAGGGGAACGGTGCCAGGCGCAAGGCGCAAGGCACAAGCGGTGCCAAGCCACCTCGTGCGGTGGCTCACCGCAGTCGTCATGTGACCAAGATATGGATTAGATACCTCGGGCTGGTTTCCCTCGCCTCGCTCTCGTTCGTTGATCTGCTGCTGTTCCCAGTGTCCGGCTCCCGCAGTCCAGACTCCTCGCTACCCAGCCAACCCGCCACTGCCCGCTGCAGCACCAACTCTTCAAGCTCAGTATGACTCACGAAAAGGACAGCCTCATTGTCTTTGACACAACCCTCAGAGACGGTGAACAGGTGGGGGTGGTGGCCGAGCCAGTCGCTTGACCGGACGTCCCAACCAGGCGTCCAAGCATCATCCGCTCCGCAACTGCCGTGGAGGCTGTTGGGTGTGCTGCCCATTCACTCGAATCTGTCTCGTATCTAGTCTCCGGGTGTCACCCTCAATGAAAACGAAAAGGTCGAGATCGCCCTCCAGCTCTCCCGTCTAGGAGTTGATATCTGTGAAGCCGGGTTCCCGATCGCCTCGCCCGGCGATTTTGCCGCCGTCAAGCGTATCGCTCAGGAAGTTGGTCCCTTGATCGAGGGCCGTAAGACTGGAAAGCCAATGGTGAGATAGCCCATGTCAACAACATCATTGCGCTCCCACTGGCAAAGAGGCTCTGCCCTCTGTGGGGAAGGGGCGAGCTGCAAGACTGGCAAAGTCTTTACTGGAGGGCGCATGCACCGGTGTGTCTTGCCTACTGAAAACCAAAGCAAACTGCCATTTGCTTGGCCTATTCGGGCGGATGGCGACTCATCGTCTTCTCTCCTCTCCTCTCCTCTCCTCTCCTCTCCGTATCCAGCGCATTTGTGCCCTTGCGCGCGCTGTCCCTGCCGACATTGAGCGTGCCTATGAGGCCATCAAGTATGCGCCCTCCAACCGGATCCACACTTTCCTCGCCACCTCCGATATCCATCTGCAGTACAAGCTCAAGATCACGCGAGAGGAGTGCATCGCGCGAGCCACAGCAGCGGTGAAGTACGCAAAGTCGCTGGGCTGCGAAGATGTCGAATTTTCTCCAGAGGATGCCGGCCGATCTGATCGCGACTTTCTCTGCACGATCCTTGGAGCCGTCATCGAAGCTGGCGCAACCACCCTCAACATCCCCGATACCGTGGGATACAACACCCCAGAAGAGTTTGGTTCTCTGATGCGACATCTGATCGCCAACACTCCGGGCTCGGATAAGGTATGCAGGAGACAAAGCTGTCCAGAGAGCACATCCGTTTGAGCGTCCCTTGTTGGCTGAGAACGGAGAGAAATTGTCGACTTTGGTCAGAGTGCGTTACTCTGAGCCCCGTGGCTGAGATAAAGCACCACGATACCTGGATTCCCGAGACCCATGGCTGCTGAGTTGCAGCAAGGTCATGGCTTTGACTGTGATTAGGCTTTTGGTGATGAAAGACAGACTCTCTCTGAACCGGAATGCGGGCAATTGAGCAATTGAGTTGATATCGGACCCAACCAGCCGACTTACGAATATTTGTCGCTCGATAGGCTATTTGGTCAACCCATTGCCACAACGATCTCGGCCTTGCCACAGCCAACACTCTGTCGGGTGTCTTGAATGGCGCTCGCCAGGTTGAGGTTGCCGTCAATGGCATCGGCGAGCGAGCCGGTACGTATGGACTACAACATGTGTCATCCGATCGCCTATCCCAAGGAGCAGAGGCTACCCATACAAGTGGAGCGAGCACCGTTGCCGAGAGGGACGTTTATAAGGATGTCTGTTGTCAGCTTGGAACGGTTGCGGCGGTACACCCTCTAAATCCCCCCCCCACCTTTTGCAGGAAACACATCCTTGGAAGAGGTTGTCATGGCCATCCATACTCATCCCGACTATTTCCCTGTCCGCCACAACGTGGACACCTACCAAATCTACCCGACCTCCCAGCTGGTCACCAAGCGTACCGGCATGGTCATCCAGCCCAACAAGGCCATCGTTGGCTCCAATGCCTTTGCCCACGAAAGCGGCATTCACCAAGACGGTGTCCTCAAGAACAAGCTCACGTACGAGATCATCCAACCCGAAGTTATTGGACTCCCTCCCCCCGCCCTGTTTTTGGGAAAGCATTCGGGTCGAAATGCCTTCAAGACACGCATTGAGGAGCTTCTTGGAAGCGTTGTCTATGCCCACCATTTCCACGAGAAGCCGGCACTGCTCAACAGCCTGTTTGGCAAATTCAAGTCCCTCGCGGACACCAAGAAGAATGGCGTCAGCGACGACGATATTTTGGCTCTCCTGGATGACGAGCTCCACATCCGGGCGTCCGGGGAGCAGGTGTATCAGCTCAAGTCTCTCCACGTCATGTCTGGCAGCGGTGTAAGCGCCACGGCCACAGTGACGATCATCGACACCACCCGAGAGCCCGCAGTGACTTCGCCTATCATCGGTAGCCCCAGAAGCGAGCAAGCAGGCCAAGAGAACCAAGTCGCCGGGCTTGAGCTTAGCGATGCAGCCGTTGGCCACGGCCCGGTCCACGCGGTGTTCAGTGCAATTAACCGCGTCATTGGTTGTCACAATGTACTGGCGGCCTATGAAGTCAAGGCCGTGACTGAGGGATCCGACTCCCTGGGCAAAGTCGTTGTGAGAATCCACGAGGGACCCGATTCATCTCAGGGCCAGATTCCGAAGCTGATTCCTCGATTCGAAGAGATCGACTCGGCCACGTATCAGGGCCAAGGCATTGACGAGGACATCTTGGTTGCCAGCGCCAAGGCCTACATCAACGCCATCAACCGCATGAAGTCGGCCAAGGAGCGCCAATCAAAGCTGGAACCTGTCCAGAGAGGCGAAATCGAGGTGATTGGAGGAGTGGTTCCCTCCGTTCCGGAGAGCCGCAATGTCGATGTTTGATTCAGGAACCTCTGCAAAGGCGAGCGCGTGTGGGTAACCCTCAGGGGGCAGCCGTCTCAAATGCACGATTCGATTTCTGTTGGAATGGCGATTGCCTTGGACAATACGACCACGTTCCTGTTGAATAAAACAATGGGACACATCGTCACGTTCGGAGAAAAACATGCCGTTGTTGCACCATATCACCCACTCGGCCAACAACGACCAAGTGGGCCAAATTTTATTCCATGTGATGTCGAGATGGCAGCTGGCTCAGACAAATCCTTCGCTGCTGTGGATCCGAGGTGGGGCCCTGGCCATTCATCCGTCGAGCAGTACAGATGTATTCAGGTCAGAAGCATGTGGCAATTGGTCTCAACTTCCTGTGGCAATGGCGATCCAATCAGCATTTTCCCATCCAGGCAAGAACCAAAAGTAACCAAGCAATCTAGCGCGACGTCCCCCGCCCCTCGCCCACCTGGGCGATGCGCCCCAGAGTACAACGTCGTCTTCTTGGAAAGAGCAGTGGCGGCAGTATCAGGTTGCAGCAACAGTGTCATATAGGATATGTGAGGCCAGGAGCAGACCGTAAGTGGTCACCCAAAACGCCATGGCCTGCGAGAAAGCGCATACTCGAGTTAGCTGCCGGCAGTGTCATGTGTCAGGCGCAAGTGTGTTGATGAATGCAGGGCATGCTCACCGCAAACTTGATTCGAGTCAAGCGACTGCCTTGGCTCTTCCAGTACAAGTACAATGTCAGGGCAATCCCGAGGGCGGAGGCGAACGAGCTGACGGCGAAGGATGCTATGTAGCATCCACGAGACACACAAATGCCGTCCCGCTGATGGGCATCGTACACCTGGAGGAGGAGGTAGAAAGAGACAATCAGACCCGTGGAGGCGATGGAGACATAGAAAGGGGTATGCCGACGCGATGATAAAGTCCGAACGGTGGCCGATCGACAGGTAGAACGGAAGGGTGCATCGTAATTGTAGCACAGGTAATCGATGGCCGTGAGCACGGCTGGGCACGGCTGGGCACGGCTGGGCACGGCTGGGCACGATGCCTCAGCTGCATTGGATTTGGCCTCTCGACTTGACGGACACTTACTATTCCAAAAATGATGCCAAATATTTGGGCACCGACTGCGGTGCCTGTGCTGATCCATCCCCTGTGGTAGTCAGACAGCCAAAGGGTGAGCACGCCGCGGCTGAGAAGCAGAAAAGCATCCGCATCAGAGAGCGGCTGTAGTGGTACTCACCAGTTGGTGGCAAACTTGCGAGCGCCAAAAAAGTGGCTCACAACGACGGGCATGGCGGTGTTGATGCATCCATAGGCCAGACCAATGACGATCGTGACGGCCCATAGGTCCACCAGCGACCGCACAAACAAGCCTCCGAAATGACCCAGAGCCATCAGGGCCGCGGACACACCCACCCAAGCCAGGCGGTCGACGCCGCGGGTGCGGATTAGCCAATCCGACCCGATGCCCGTGAGCAGGCGGCCAATGCAGCTGCAAACAGAGAGGATCTTGACATGATAGTTTTGGTACTTTTGAAACACAGGGGACGATGGGCCCTGTTGATCAGGAGTGAGAGACAGCACAATCGAGCCAACGGTGTTGACATAGAACAGTCCGGACCCGCCAATGGCGACCAGCGTCACAGTCAACAGGATCGCCTCGAATACAGAGAAAGGCCGAGGTTCGGTCGAGACAGACAAGGCCTCTTCGACTGCAGGGCCATCTGCGAGCAAATCTTGGGTCTCGGGCGATGCTGCCGGCTGTGGTAGGAGACGTGGCAGCAGTCCGTGGGGAGCCAGGTGCCGGACGTCTTTCAGGAGGAACGCAGCGCATAGGGCAACGATACTGGTGGCAATGCCAAGGAAGGCGAGCAGCCCGGCGACATCCAGAGTTGATTTATCGGGTCCGTCGTGGCTGTAAAAGAATAGTGAGGCGAGCTGGGAGAAAATAAAGGCAGAGAGTCCCAGGAACGACACCGGAATGCCGACGGCAAAGCCGTGGTCGCTTGTTGGCCAGTTGCGGACATTGGTTCCCATCGATCCGTGGTACAGCGCGGCACTGCAGCAGAGGAGAATCGTTCGTCAAAGCGTCACCAACGGCCCGAATCCTGGTTGCGAGCGACGCCCAGCCAAGGACCGGCATGAGAGGCCACAGATCCAACAACCGAGCTGGCACAGTGGATCCATGCACGATCGTCCGTGGTCAAAACGCAGAGAGCATACCTTCCGAATCCAACCAGGAACGAGAAGAATGAGGACACGATGTAGTGTGTGCTTCGGATGGTGCCGGCGTAGGTGGCCGACAGCAAGCTGTAGCCCGAAAAAAGCAACGCAGCAGCGTAGAAAAAGACTCGCTTCGGGTCGTTTTGATGGCGGTCGGTGACCGAGCCCCAAAATGCCCCACCTAGATACTGGCCGTAGTTGCCCAAGGTCGCAATGATGGTTGTCTGGGTTTGGGTATAGTGGAGCTTGGCCGTGAGCTGAGGGCCATAGAGCGAAAACAGGTAGATGGTGCCGGCGCAGCTCATGGCGAGGATGCACATGGCGAAGGAGATTGTGCGGCGGAAGCGATACAGGCTTGCATCATTGTGCACAGAGCGATCCGGGGACGGCATATTCAGCAGGCGCAGCGGGGAGGGGAGCTGCAGCTTGGCGGTCAGGGTCGATGTCGAAGTCGACGCTGTCGGAACTGATGGTGTCGAAGTGGAAATGTGTCGAAGTGGACGGTGTGTCTGTGGGCCGCTTTGAAGCATCGGTCCCCGTGACCGCAGCACCCGCCGCACGTGCGATGGCGTGAGGCTGCGCACCGGATCGATCCGGGGTGCGTGGCTGGATGCGCATCGCGGCGCCAGCGTCACGCATGTGTGACTCTGGCGCGTCTGTGTCGCCGCGGCGGAACTCCGCCCAGCGCCGCCGCTGCGCCGACAGGCACCGATTGGCCTCGTCGCCATCGCTGGTCGTCTTCCTCCCCATCGTCCTTCCGCCGCCAACCTCGTCCAGCTTTCCTTCGCATCAGCCCGCCAGCTCTCGCCGATCTCGTCCTCTCGCTCCTGTCCCCAGCGCCAGCCATGGTCCAGACAGTCCCCACCAAGCGCCAGCACCACCATGTCTACAACAGCTTCCAGGAGGCTCTCGACCAGCCCCGCAACGAGTACCGGACCCTCAAGACTATGCTCGCGGCCGACACGCAGTCCATAGACTGGCCTCCGCTGCTAGACGCCCTCGCTTCTTTTGTTGCGCAAATCAAGCCGCATGAGTATCCGGCCTTCAACCCGCTCTTCACGCAAATGGCCAAACACGTCGAGACCCGGCTTCTCCCCGAGCCGCTGGTTCGCCAGCACCACCCGCTGTTCCTGACCATGGCATCTGCCAAACATTCCCTGCAAATGCACACCGAGGCTCGGGACTTTGCTGCCAGCCTCATCTCCATCCGGCTGATATCCCATCCAGCCTTTTGCGCCTTCTTGATGGAACGCACGGAGCCGTGCACGACGATTGCCGAGATCGAAGATCATGTCGAGCCGCTCTTTCCAGGAAAGGATTTGCTCGAGCCCGAGACGGACGTCAACCCGGACGATCGTCTTGCCGCGATCCGGACCCTGGCCCTCGATCTGGCCGAGTATCTACAACTGTTGGCCAAGATCATGGACGACCATCAAGCGCCGCGGATCGCCTTGCATCTCTACTCCGTCGCCATTGTCCTGATCGAGCGTCTGACGGCCACTGTTGTGGTCGACGGGCTCCCAAACACCGATCCGCTCTTTGCCAAGATCCGGTTGCTGCTGAAGCGGCTCTATTGGGAGGCCATGCAGCTTGCCTCCAACGTCAACGAGGTCGGCATGGGAGTCGAGTACGGTCGGTGTCTCAATGAAATCTTTGACTATGAAGTCGGCATCGATACGGATCACCCACTCGAAACAGGCTCTGAAACTGCGGTTTGGGCAAGGACCAGCAGCGGGCCATCTTCGGCCATACCTGTTCGCCAGAGCAGCCTCGCTGCTCCCTTGTCCCTTGCCCCTGGCCCGTCCGTCGGCGATGCTGCTGCAAGGCCTTCGGCCCAGAGCCTCATCGACTCGACCCGGGCCAACGAACATGGCTCCCTGTCCAGCCCCAGTCGCTTCGGCAGTGGCCACACAGCCCCTCTAAACTCTTCAACAGGAATCGTCTCGACTGGGCCCATCGCCATCGCGGCCTCCCAACCGACAGACACCGCAGACCCTACCGCCGCCGAAATCGCAGCCGAGTTCACCAATGACTTTTTACTCGAGTCCCCCAGCGAGAGGGCGGCGACACCGCAAGGAGCCGCCCTGGATTCGGGTCTCCCCATCGTCGCCACCAAGGTCGCCACCAAGGTCGCCAACGGAACTGGGCTGACCGTCCCCGCAAGCACAGCCAGCATCGGTGCCGCAGCGGCCACAGCCAACGCCAGCGCGAAGACGCTGCCAGCCCAAGGCGAGCTCGGGACAGAGGCCGACCAGACCGACCCGAGCAAAGCGGAGTCAACGATCGCCATCTCCTTTGCGTCCATGACCGTCGCCGATAGTAAGAGCCTCGAGAATGAGGCCCGCATCGATGAGATCCTTGCTGGCGGAGCCACAGCAGCGAGGACGAGCACAGGGACCTCGGCCGAGGACAACCAAGCGCCATCGCCAACCGCCAAGGCCACGCTGCAGGAGCGTTCGATCGACGACATCGAGTGGCAAACCGAGGCGCTGCAGGTCTATGGCCGATTCTTGTTCAAGGCCGACGAACCCATCGAGGCATTCAAGCAATACTACAAATCGTTGGTGATTCTGCGGACCGCGGCCACGAACCAGCGGCCGCCATCGAGCCGACTGCTCAAGACCTCACACTTTTACATTGCAGCGACTCTCGAGACCCTCGGGCGGTATCGAGAAGCCATGCACTTTACCCTCGGGGCAGTCGGGGCGATGAAGAGCATGCATTCCTTTGGCATCATCGAGAGCGAGACGGACACTCAGATCATGCTTCTGTCGGGCATGCTCTCGTACCGCTGTGCGCTCGAGATCTCGGCGGCGCCGGATCCACCACTTCAAGTGATCCAGGGATTCCTGGACGATTCAGTGGGCTCGCTGCAGCTGGCGCTGAAGCTGGCCCCGGCCGAAATGGCATATCCGTGCTCACGCAAGGTGATTGCCCTGCAGCTGGCGGTGGTTCTGGGCGACGGCGCCGATGCCTACAACGCCCGCAAGGTTCTACACGAGCACGGACTGACGCGGACGCTGCTGGGCGAGATCATGGCGCTCCGAACCAACGCAAAGACGATTGCGGGAGGTTCCTATTCGCTGGAGGCCTATCGGATCGTGATTTGCACGCTGGCGGCGCTGCAGCATTTGCAGACGCTGGCGCCGACCCGAGAAACCCACCGCAAGTCCTCCATTGTGGGGTCGATCTTGACGGCTGTGGGACTGTAGGTTGCGTCGAGAAACCCTGGATCTTGAATATAACATGCATGGCACACTCGGTCGTGGTCATTGATTTGTGCACCGCTTCATAGACGATGCCGATATTTGGCTTAGGCTGGGTGTGTCTAGTTGGGTATGTCCAGTTGGGTATGTCCAGTTGGGTATGTCTCTGGCTGGGTGTCCCTCCACTCTGTCTGTCTCCCACACCATCACCATTATCCGATTTCTACTTCTGAGCACAAGGGGTGTATTGTAGCATGTGTTGGAGATATGTACAGCTAAAACTGGTGTAAGGGCGGGGGAATGGCCTCCGCGCGCGGTGAGAGATTAGAGGCAAAAGTGGGAGGAGGACACAGAAAGGATGGGTGTGCGCACGGTATAGCATAGCGAGCGTCAAAGAGCCCCCGTCGATCGAGACAGCGGCTTGTGGATAGACCGGGTTTCGACGCAAAAGGTTAAGTTAACGAAGTGAGTGAATGGGTTGGGAAATCGAAAAAAAACAAAACTGCGTTTGTGAGAGCCAGGAGGAGGGAAGCCAAGTTTCACTATGGCGGGACGTCGGAAAGGAGGACACACAATGGAGATGCATGCACGAATATGCTTGCACGTATATATGCATGCATAGAGCAGGGACGGGAACGCGGTGCGCGCGCCATGGAAGCACATGCGATCGCAACCGCCATGATCAAGTAATCCATCACACAAGCAAGTCCGCGATGCGGTTCCGGAATCGCTTGGGCGCGGGCTCGTTCCAATCTTCGTGGGACAGCAGAGCCTCGGTTGGGGTCGGTGGGTCTGCTTCGAGCATTGAGGTTGAGTGGCGCTTGACGGGGGGCGAAGGCATCGAGGTTGGCGACGGAGGCGCCGAGGGGTAGGCCTGGATCGGGGACGAGGACCGGGAGGGCGGGAGCGGCAGAGAACATTCGGGAGGATCGGATACAGCCCGGAGAGGGGCGAACGGTGCTGATGCTGATGCTGGTGCTGATGTGGGCGATGCCGAGAAGGGTCGGGCCGAGAGATCGAGGTTGGCCAGAGCCACTTCCAGCTCGATGTTGGAGCGGAAGTACTCGGACGGGATGTGGACGACGTTGCAGCGCGAGCAGAGGGATCTGAGTTGGTGAGCGTCAAAGATATGCTGGTCGAGAGCCATCAGATCCTGCTTGACCTGGTCCAATTGCAGTTGCAGCTGCTGGGGGTGATGGGTGGATCGGAGGGTCGGCTGGGTGTGATGGGCGGCCGGCAGAGTATCGAGGTACAGCGACGATGAGACCCGGATCAGGTCGGCGCAGTTTGGGACCGGACAGCGGAAGTAGCACTGGCGGCGCTGCGAATCGACCAGGATATCGGGGAGGGTGGAGGTGGCCGACTGGCGTGGCAAAGTCAGCGAGTGCTTGAGCGAACGAGCGACGAGCGGACAGATGCCGGCAGAGTGCGAATGCGAGAGCGAGTGCGAGCCGGCGGCGGCGGAGCCTTGCGAAGGAAGCGCACACATGGACGAGGGCGAGATGGGGCTTGAGGCAGATGTCGAGAACGGAAGACAGTAGTGGCTTGACTGGGGTGAGGAGACGGGCGAAGTAACCTGATCGGCCGACGAGGACAGTGCGACCTCGGGCGAGTGGGATGGGGTTCGTGGGAGTGCAGGCCGCAGGCTGCGCTGGGACGCCGGCGAGGATTTGGAAGGGGCAGGGGCAGGAAGCTTGCGGATGTGTGCCGAGACCAGGGCCGACTGCGACGCCGGCGACGAGTCCGAAGACAGGGCTTTGGACGAGTCGAGATGGGTCTTGACATGGCGCTGGACGGCGTCGAGACGGGAGAAGGAACGCGAGCAGATGTGGCAAAGGAAGGGCTTGGCGCCCGAGTGGGTGAGGAGATGCCGGGAGAGGTGTTCGGAGCGACGGAAGGACAGATGGCAAGTGGGACAGGGGTACTTTTTCCTGTCGAGGGCAGGAGCCGAGGCGAGCGAGCTCATGTTGGAGAGGGTGTGCGTGGGACGAGGGGGGGGGTTGGTAGTGGGGTTGATTCGCAGGACAAGCGTGCGAACGGCAGGACAAACGAGAGAGCAGCGGGAGTTGCGAGAGGGAGGTGCAGGACCTTTTAAAAGCCAAGGATCGACGGCGGGGTTGGCAGCAAGAGCGATTGCGAGCAGCACAAGTAACCGATGATGCGGCGTGGCCGATGGTGTGGGGTGGGGTGGGAGCGTGGCCGGGAAGTGGGCGAGCGAGGGAGGGAGGGCGCGAAAGGGTGGTGGTGGATCCGGGCGAATGACGGCAATTGCCGAGACAATTGCGGTATGGGATGGGGAAGTGCCGTGAAGAGCGGCGGACACAGCGTCGGTGTGGGCCGAAGGGAAAGATCAGAGGGCGGGGGGGGGGAGAGGCGAAGGAATCGGATGGGATTGAATTGCGAGTCGAATTGCGTCGGAGCGATAGTGGAGTCGAATTACGTCGATGCGATGATGGAGTGTAATCCGATGGTTGTTGCAGCGGGATATGCGATAATTGCTGCAGACCGAGAGTGATGCCCTGCGGGGATGTGCGAATGCGGCGGGAACGAACAGAGTGAAGAGTGAGCAGAAGAGAGCGCTGAAAAGCAAACAGCGCCGATGCCGCCCGAGCAGCAGACAGAGACGTTCGCGCATGGGCATGGAGGGCGAGCGCTGATTGCTGGACGATTGCACCATCGCGGCCGAATGGCGAGCCGATCTGGGCCAGCGGCGGGCCAGCGGCGGGCCAGAGGCGGGCCAGTGGTGGGCCGATGGCATCATCGCCGTCCAATCAGCACACGCGTCCTTGTGAGGGACCGCTGTGTGCTGTTGTGGGCTGCTGAGGGCTGTGGTGGGGAGACGACGGGTGGGGCCGCTCGGTCGGCTGGCGACGGATCGGACGAGGCCGGTGGACTTGCTGAGGGTCTGCTACCTGCGCTATGGACATGAGCATGAACAGCATGAACATCTGCATCTGCATCTTCACCAGCATCTGCATCTGCATCAGCATCAGCGTCGGCATCAGCATCTGCATCTGCATCAGCATTGGCGCCGGCATCGCCCTTCTCGCTCTCGCGATTTGAAATCGACACGTGTCGCACACCCCCACACTGCCGCGCCCTTGGTTGGCTGCCCTCCCCTTGTCCGCCCATCACGCCCCGCCGGGCCCCTGCCCCGCCGCAACACACCCCCACAAGTCCGGCGACACACCCCCACCGTCATGGCGACACACCCCCACACCTGCCCACCCGATTGCGCGCCGCCCTTTGTCGTGGGGGGTTGCGCGAGCGGCAGCCAATCGCTGCGGGTCTGGGTGGATCGAGTGGATCGAGTGGATCGAGTGGGTGAATAGAGCTGGATCCACCCACACACCCAGCCACACTCGATCCACCCACTCGATCCACGCTGACCCGCAGTTGTCTCGCTGGCCAATGGGAATTGCGCCCGATTTTGCCCTTTTTGGGCCGCCCCTCGTTTGACTCACTCGATTTCCCACCGTCTCCGATTCACTCTCACCCGCCGTCCATCGATTCACTCAATCTGCTTGCAGACAGACGACTTACAGCGCCGTCCGGCTGTACTGACAACATTTGCTTCCAACACCGCGCAAGTGAGTTCCCCACATCATACCCGACACATCCCATCGCCAACAACACCATCCCGTCACCACCAACACCATCCCGTCACCACCAACATCACCCCACCAACAACATCACCATCCCCGCAGAATGACACATGCAGATCCCCTCCTCCTCCGTCGGATTTTCCCATTTGTCGCGCCGCGATCGTGCTCGTGTCCCGCGGCGCCTGCCCGCCAATCGCCCGCACGCCGATCGAGTCATCCTGTGCCTCGCTTTTTCCTGTCCCTTCCGCTCCTCTGACTCGGTCTGCTCCGTTGCCCCTCGATCGCTGCCATATATTTCCGCGCTGTCTCGGCCTGTGTTGCTCGCCGCCATCGCGCTCAAACTCTCTGCCACCTAGCTTTTCAAGCCATCCCATCTCGTCGGACACCCGGCCCGCCTCCTGCTGATCTCTGCAGAGCACTCCTTTCCCCTGCTACATCTCTCAAACTGCCAAGCTATTTCCCAACATGTCCCAGGATGTACTCGATCGTCCCATCCGTTGCCGCAACACTCACTCCTTCGCCGCAACGCTCGCCCTCTCCACCAGCATCATCCACATCACACTTGCATCATCCACATCACACTTGCATCCCCCCCGCTGACTCTCAACTCCTCTGCCTCTTCCACCCCCCCCCACAGATTGAATACGATATCATCGTCGTTGGTGCCGGTGTTGTTGGCTGCACCGCTGCTGCGGCTCTCGGCCGTGACGGACGCAAGGTTCTCCTGATCGGTAAGCGCCCGTCTTGCATCGGATCCCACTTTGGCGGCTCGCCTATCCTTCCCATCTCCTTCCCTGGCCGTCGGCTCTGCCATCGACCTCACTGTACGCTCAACGCTCAACATTCGGTTCTAACCTTTGTCCATGCACCAATTCTAAACCTTGTCTCCCCACACACACTTTCGCCTCTCTCTCCGTTTTATTTCGCAGAGCGGGACTGGAGCGAGCCCGATCGCATCGTCGGCGAGCTTCTCCAGCCTGGTGGTGTCAAAGCCCTGAAGGAGCTTGGTCTCGACTGGACCCTCGATGGCATCGACGGCATTATCCACGATGGCTATGTCGTCTATCAGAACCCCGAGGACCACGTTTTGCTCAAATACCCGACCGACCGCGGCGTCAGCCAAGGCATTGCTTTCCACCACGGCAAGTTCATCATGAACCTGCGCAAGGCTGCCCGCCAAGCCCCCAAGTAAGTCATCCCATCCTGCCGAATCATGTTCGCGGCCATCCCTGGCGACGGAATCCCGCTTTCATCCTGTGGATTGCTGTCCCATAGGCGTGTACACCCGCAGCGGGCTTGCCCATCCCCTGTCGCTCGTTTCTGACTTTGGTCGCTGCATTGCCCGCCACGCTTCGCACCAGCGTCACCACCCTCGAAGCCACTGTCACCGCCCTCGCCACGGATGAAACTGACAAGGTTGTCGGCGTGAGCGTCTCGACCAAGACCGAGCCTGGCGCCGAGCCTGTTCTGTCGACGGTACGGTATCCCAAGAGCACGCAAATCCAAACACTATTCTTTGCATTTGGCCCTGCTGGCATTTCTTGGCGCGTACGCCTCGGTCGCTTGGCATCCATTTCGACCCACTTATATTATATGCTCTTGCCATCGGTTGTCCATCGATCCACAACGCAATTGCAAATCGACCCATCAACAACGACGATATCCCTGCGCCGTGCATCTGGACTAAACCATGTCCACCGTTCATCCACTGCCACATGATGCGCACCCTTCCGTCTGCCCAGATCTATGCGCCCCTTACCCTGGTCGTCGATGGCTGCTTCTCCAAGTTCCGCAAGGACCTCTCCCCGAACAAGGTCACCATCTCGTCTCACTTTGTCGGCATGGTCCTCAAGAACTGCAATCTGCCATACAAGCACCACGGACATGTCATCTTGTGCAAGCCTTCTCCAGTCCTGCTCTATCAGATCGGCACCGACGACACCCGAATCCTCATGGATGTCCCCGGCAAGATGCCCACTGGCGGTGAGCTCAAGGTAGGCTGACGTGGATGCATGTCCGAGCTCCGGCCGACCCGAATCCTGGGCCGATGCCGCCCGTGTCGCCAACGCTGATCCCATCCGCCCCCATCCATCTTCACCCCATCCATCTTCACCCCATCCCCACGCTTCAAACGGCGACATCGAATCAGACTTATCTCAAAGATACGATCGGCCCCCAGCTGCCAAAGTCTGTGCAGCCATCTTTCTACGAGGCAATCGAGAGCGAGCGTCTGCGCTCCATGCCGAACCAGTGGCTGCCCTCGGCCATGAACAAGCAAGAGGGCGTCATTCTGCTTGGCGATGCCAACAACATGCGCCACCCTCTCACCGGCGGCGGCATGACTGTTGCCTTCTGGGATGTCGTCCATCTGCGCGACCACCTCCACCCCAAGATCATCCCGACCTTCCAGAACTCGAATACCCTGGTGCGATCGCAAATGGTCAAGCTGCATCGCAAGCGTAAGGAGCTGTCCTCGGTCATCAACGTCCTGGCGCAGGCTCTCTACAGCTTGTTCTCGGCCAACGACCAGCCGCTCATGATGGAGCTTCAGAAGGGCTGCTTTGGCTACTTTCAGCTTGGCGGACGATGCGCCAGCACTCCAGTCGGGCTCTTGGCTGGGTAAGTCGTCGGGTCTCATTTGCACGGATGTACTGGGCGTCGATGCACAGGAATCGTCCCACTGGGTTGAAATCCGCTGGCTGGTGGGCAGTGTCCTGATCGACACTTCCATTTCGAGCTTAACCTGACAGTCCACCGCTCACACCCCATCCCCAACAGCCTGCGGCCCGAGCCCCTCACGCTCTTCAACCACTTTTTCCTGGTCGCGCTGTATGCCTCCTACACCATGACCACCTCGGGTCCGATTTACATGGTGCCCTACAACATTGTCAAGTCCATCTTGGTGCTGTGGACTGCCTGCGTTGTGATCCTCCCAGTCATCTGGACCGAAATCAGGGCCTGATCTTCCCGGTCTCCCAGTCTCCGAGTCTGAGTGTCCGAGTCTGAGTGTCTGGGCCATCGGGTCTCGGGCACTGGACCCAAGGAAGCCGCCAACCAGCGAGCCCTGTCATCGCGACTGATCTCGCAAGGTCTTCTCCCAGTTTGCGGAGAATGGCTAGTTGGCAGGGACTCGGTCCAACAACCTGCATCCACTTGATCAACCAACGTCATCTCCTGATCAAACCTCCCTGCCTGTGCAAGCCCATTTTTTCATACATTCTTTGTTTTTTCCTCTTTCTTTATTCTACTGGAATCGCCGATCCAAGTCTTCCCACAAACTGAATACATATCACATCATTGTATATTTTTTTCCTCAGCAACGCGAGAGGCTCTGGGGGAGAGGCACAATCAAGGACGATCCGCGGCAATTCTCATGTCTATTGGACCCATCCAATCGACCTGGGCCTGGACAAAGTTCAGTCGCACTGCCCAAGGCAACGCCTGTGTCTCCGCAGCCATGCCGCTCAATTTTGCCTGGCGGCCTCCTGGCGCCTGGTCCTCCAGCACACCACTCGGCCACGGCGTCCGTCTCATGATCCTCGGCCTGCATCCCGATGCGCAATCGTGAGAAACCCGCCGGTCATGGCGCATCAACCAGAGCGCGCAGCCCTGCTGTGTGGCCTGCTGCGCACTGTGTCGGTATCTGGTGACACTGCGTCGTGTGTGTGTGCGTGGCTCACGTGTCCGCGATGCGTTGTCTGTGTGCGCCGCCGCCAGCACAGCCGAGACTCCGACCGCTATCTGCGACGCGCGGCGCAAAAACAGTGAGGGTCTGTGGGGCGGGTGGCGCCGCCGGCTGGCCACAACATCATCTGGCTGGGGCCCCAAGGCGGTCACATGCGTGGTGCTGGACGCGGCCCCTTGCCAGGGCAGACACAGAGACAGCTGTGCAACAGCAGCCCGGGCACAGCAGCCGACAGACACACTGCGCCGGGCGACACCGGTGACACAGCCCTGCACAAGGCCGTCTCCGCCACATGTCCCGCGGCGGTCTCGCTGTCCTCCGAGGCGCTCTCGTCCCCCTCTCGCCCCCCTTTCGCCGCGCTCTCGCCGCGCTCTCGCCGCGCTCTCGCCGTGAGACCATTCGTCCTATTTATCGGCCCTGCCGTCCCGATTCTTTCCTCACGATCCCACTCGGAAACCCCGAACGCTCCTCTCCCGCAGCGCCCCTCCCGAAAGCCCTCCAACTCCCTTATCGAACCCAACCGCAGTATCGACTTGCTGACTCTTTCTGTACGTTGCTTATCGCCGCATGCTCTCTCCGACTCTCTCCGCCGATCCTGGCGAGTCCCCGTTGCATGGTCCGCCTCGGAGGCCGCGATTGTTTCCCGGCCCAGCACCACGGATGCTCGCCCGGCATCTGTTGATCTTTGGCGGGCGCATCTGGGTTGCCCTTCCGCGGCCCGTCTTGCCCGGTTGTTTGTTTTCCTCGCGCGAGCCCCGTTTCCATCCCGAGCCCCGGCGCTATGGGTTTGGGCTTGCGCTCCCTCGCATTGTCTCGTCTCGGCCTGTCTCGGCCTGTCCGGTCGGTTGGGTTGTATCCTGGGTCGGCCTGGACCTGTCCGGACCTTCTTCCCATCGCCCGCCGCCTCTGGGTGTATCCAACGGCGCTGCCTTCGGGTCGCTGTCTCTGCCCATATCCTTCGCTGTGCTCGCTCCCAATCACATCCGCCTGCGTTCGCTTGGTGCGCCTCCACCATCGACCTCCATCGCCCCATAACCTGCCACCGCTGGCTCTGGTCTCACACTCCCTTTCAGCGTCTCCTGATACCCTTGCTCGTCGCCTCCGTGCACACCGTATATACTCACCTCGCAACCCGATTCCTCCGACTTATCCTCGTGCTCTCCGGTCATATCTGGACTATCCCCCCCACACACACACAGGACAGAAGAATCGCCAGTAGAACGAAATGAGTGAACCTCGAACCTTTCGTTTCCAGTCCCAGCTTCCCAAGCTCCCTGTCCCCGAATTGGACGAGACTTGCGACCGTTACCTCACCACGGTCAAGCCCTTTTTGAGCGAGCAGGATTTTGAAAGAACCAAGCTCGCCGTCGAAGAATTCAAGAAGGGCGGTGTCGGCCAAGAGCTCCAGAAGCGCCTGGTCGAAAGAGCTCAAAAGTCCGAGACTAGGTAAAGACCCGGCTGTCGCTGCTGCCATGGGTCCTTCCCTTCAACGGACGAAAACGGGGCCCTTTGTGTCGTCATGATGGGTTCGGGTTTCGGGTTTCGGGTTTCGGGTTTCGGGTTTCGGGTTTGGCGGTGCAGCCAGGCCAATCGAGTTAGCCAGCTCCTCTGTGCAGCACATGGCACCGCCTGGGCGGCGAGTGCGTCGGTCTCTGTCGCCACATCGCACATGTCGCCATCGCATTCATTGATCAAGACCTAACTCTCGCGTCCCATCCACACCTCCTGCACGATTCCCACAGCTGGTTGATCGATTGGTGGAACGAGTGGGCCTACATGGGCTACCGCGACCCTGTCGTCATCAACGTCAGCTACTTCTTCGGTACGTCCTCTGGATCTGTCGTGGCGTATTGCCGCACCTGCGCTCCTCATTCCTTGGAATTCATCCTGCTGACTCTCGTGTCCTCTCCCACGACCACCCGCAGTCTTTCGCGATGATAAGCGCAGAAAACAGCCCGCGGCCAGGGCGGCCTCGCTCGTGACCGGGGCGCTCCTGTTCAGAGATTCGCTTCTCAAGTAAGTGAAGCCACAGTGTCCCTGCTTCACGACTGCCTGTGATGCCGTCAATGCGCCCGTTGCCTTTGCGGGCATATCGATCCACCTCCTGTCAGGCCGCGACGACACTTTCGGTGATTCCAGCGCTGACGCTCGCAACGGTACTCGTAACGGCGCCCGTTTGCCTCTCCGCTTCACAGGGAAGAGCTCGAGCCCGACATGGTCCGCACCACCCCGCTCTGCATGCAGCAGTACAAGTACATGTTCAACAACTGCCGCATTCCCCAGATCCCTTCGGACATTACTCGCAACAGCGATCCCAAGGAGAACCAGCACATTGTCGTCATGAGAAAGAACCAGTTCTACTCCCTCACCGTTATCGACAAGGACGGCAGCCAGCTCTCCACCGATGAGATCGAGGAGTACGTTCCAATGACAACCTCTGCAGTCGCTGGTGCATGTCCACCCCGTGGGCTCGCGGCACCCCATCCCGCCCACAATTGCTTATCCAAATCTCGCCCACTTGTCGCTCCAGGCAGCTTCTCAAGATCTACGAGCAGGCCGACAAGATCGGCAAGGTCCCCGCCGTTGGCGCCCTCACCTCCGAGCACCGCGATGTCTGGACCAACATTCGCGACGAAATGTTGAAGTCCCCCCTCAACGCCGCGTCGCTCGAGGCGATCGAGAGCGCCATCTTGGTCCTCTGCCTGGACGACACCAAGCCCGTGACCCATGACGAGGTATGTTGGTCTCTGGCTCTGCCGACTGTGTTGCTTCCGTTGATGGCGGACTCTGAGCTGGGCTGGGTCCAGGACTGCACGGGGAAGCTCGGATTGGCCGGCCTGTGGTATCCGGTTGCTGATTCCCAGTCTCTCACGCACACTCCCGACATTGCTCCTTATTCAGGCTAGCCGCGCTTGCTGGCACGGCGACGGTCGCAACCGCTTCTACGACAAGTCGCTCGAGTTCATTGTCTTTGACAACGGAAAGGCCGGCTTCCTCGGCGAGCACTCCATGATGGACGCCACCCCCACCTCCCGCCTCTGCGACTTTATCCTCGAGGGCCTTGACAATGGCACCATCAACCACGGCACTCGCACCGGCGCCTCGATCGAGCCCGTGCGCCTCGAGTTTGAGTTGACGGACTCGCTGCTCCAGGCCATCGACACGGCCCAGACCAACTTTGCCGCCCTGATTGCCAAGGAGGACCTGCGCGTGGTTGCTTTTGATGGATACGGAAAGAACCTCATCAAGAAGTTGCAAGTGTCCCCCGACGCATATACCCAGATGGCCATGCAGCTGGCTTACTACCGCATGTACGGCCACTGTGTCCCCACCTACGAGTCCGGCATGACCAAAAAGTTCCTCTGCGGCCGAACCGAAACCTGCCGCTCCGTCACGATGGAGTCCGTCGACTGGGTCAAGGCCATGGATGACCCCGCTCTCTCGGTGAGTCCCCACGCATGATCGTTGCGATGGTGTTGCTTGCTATGGCTGCTTGCTATGGCTGCACGGCCAGCTGCGTCTGGACGGTGCCCCTCCGATGTCGATGCTGCAGCGAGCCGGCTGCCCCTCAGCGCCCGACCGTGTGAGCCAACCCGTCGAACACCGAACACCAGCGCTAGTTACTGACGCACACTGCCTTGCATCGTGTTCACTCGTGCCGCTCATCCAGCCCAAGGAAAAGGGCGAGCTTGGCCGCAAGGCTGTCGGCGCCCAGTCCGCCTACATGGCCAAGTGTATCGACGGCCGTGGTGTCGATCGCCATCTCCTCGGTCTCAAGCTCTCGGTTCTCCCTGGCGAGCCTGTCCCCAGTCTCTTTGCCGACCCTGCTTACGCCTACTCGACCCACTGGTATCTCTCCACCTCGCAAATCACCTCCGAGTATTTTGAAGGCTATGGCTGGGGCCAGGTCGTCTCGGATGGCTACGGTATTGCGTACATGGTGCCCAACAACAAGCTCTACTTCAACATTGTCTCTCTCCACTTGAGAAACGACCAGCTTGAGCACTACCTCCGCGAGGCTCTCATGGAGATGCGCGAGGTCTTTGAGGCTTCGATCCCGCCTCCCAAGCCCAAGCCCGCTCCCGTGTCTGCTCCCGTGTCTGCTCCCGTGGCTGCCTCGGCCCCTGAACTCGCTGCACCTACTGTCGTCATTACCCCGTAAGGAATCCTGCTTTGTGTGCTGCTGTATCTGGTTGTGGTGGTGCCTTTATCAGGCGACGCATGGCTGTGCATCCACTGCCTCTGGACCCCGTACTGACCATGCCGCTCGTGCTTTGAATCTTGGCCTCCCTTCTTCCCACTGGTCGCCCGATCTCGATCCGCAGTGATGCCAACGCCGCTCCTGCCCAGCAGCCCGCCTCGCTCCCCAGAGCCATGACCCTGGAGATGCCCGCCCTTCCCCCCAAGTCGGCTAATCCCTCCGACTTCAACCTGCCCTATCTGGCCAACAAGCCCCAAACCAGCAGCGGATTCTGTCCCTTCTGCGGCATCACCAGCGGCAAGGCTTTCAGCTTCTTCTCGTCCTCCTCTGAGGCCAAAGCCGTGCCCACTATCAAGGAGGAACACCACCAGTAAGACCCGTCTTGTTGGTCAGAGAGCAAAGCTGTCGCTTCCCAACGAATCTCTCTGAGTACCATGTTTGATTGTGTGTGATTTTTTTTCTTCCGTTCCCTCTATCACAGCCGTGCCCCATCTGATTTGTAAGTTCCCTACGCAAAACTGTGTTGCTCGTTGGTGTTGTTGTTGGTATTGGTGTTTAGGGTGGGGGCCACTCTCCCTTCCCTTGCCTTCCCTTCCCTTCCCTTCCCGTGCCCTCTCTTTCTTTTTGTTTCCCTTCTCCCCTCTAGTATCGTATTGATTCTACTGTTGTCATCGTTGCGGCTGGTGGTGGTATGCAGTTGATTAGCAGCACACCCAAACGAAAGGGGGGCCGCCCGATTTGAGTCCCTGTGTGTGCCACTTTCTTCTGGATCTTGAATACACAACCCCATCCACAATGACCAAACAGCGTGTCCATCGAGACCGGCACGGTGGGAGGGGGAGGGCTGCCTTTGGGAATGAATGCCTCATCGAAGCAGAAAGGGGCAATCGCCCTGGCTCAAAACATGGTGTCCCGTTTCAAAATGGCCTCGCTGTAATACCTGGTTGATCAGCGGCGGCGAAGAGAGAGGGAAATGAGCACGCCGATGCAAACCAAGCTGCTGCAGGTCGCCGCCCACAACGTCTCTCTCCACCATTTGACTCGACCCAGAAGCAAGGGAGGGTATCTGCCAACAATCCCTACTTTGGATGGCAAATCTTCAAGATGGCCGATTTGAATGCATAGTAGTACGCAATCGAGACTATGGGGCCGTGAGCCCAGGACGTAAGTATATCGTTTCGATTGAAGGGTGCAAGGCTCTCTTGGTTTACGTCAGGGTCTGCATTCATTGCCGTTTGGATGATGGAGGGGGCGGCTGGTACACGCAAGCCATCCAGGATTCTTGCGCGACGCCTTACCAAGTCTGAAAATGACATAGACTGCCAGATATCCTGGGTCCCAAAAGTCCTGGACCAGCGCCGGACTGAGGTTGGTGTATCGGGGCAGCAGCACCTGTCGAGCCGAATGCGCCGGGTTCATCGTCGGATTCACACGAATGGTGCTGTGGAAAGAAGTGCGATGCGAAGCCCGATTCAAGGCCGATGCATCCCAAACTCGCCTTCCTTCCCCCTCTCTCTTCTCCACCCACATACCAGTCCGTAGATGCGACAAACAACAAACGCGGTCATGTAGACACCCGATATCCAGATGCAGCCCGAGAACTCGTTGATCATGATCCGGACGACGCCGGCGCGAAAGGCGTATGAGTATGTGAATCGAACAAGCAGCAGAATAAGATTGAGGCTCATGGTCAGGAACTGGAAGCTGCCCCACGAGAAGCGGTTGGAGTGAGCAGTCGATCTGGCAGCGAGTGGCCGATGCTTTGGTAAATGCCACCACCCAATTGCATCGACGACGAATGATGGAAACGGCGATGAGATCGACTCACAGATACAGCCCGGTCACGTAGTAAAACGAATGCCGCAAGTATTCGGCGAACAGCGTCAGGATCAGGTCCGCCAGCAGCAGCAAGAGCTGCACGCATGTGAGGATGCGGATGCTGTGCAGGTTCTCGGTGAGCTTCCGCATCGCTGTCGCTGGTATCGCTGGTATCGCAAGGGTCTCTGCGCGAGCTCAAGGGCGAGATTCGCTCCAACACACATCAAGGCGCCGGATAGCCATGGACTTGCGATTGGTGCCCGCGCTCGCTGCCGAGAAGCAAGAGCAAGCACCCTCCCTCCTGGAGGTCCGCTGCCAGCGCTATCGCCGATGCGACGGTGATGACGATTCCGAGCGCAGTCCCAAGTCCCGGCTGCGACGGTCCACAAACGGAGACCTCAAATAGAAGCATCCCGAGAGTGCATCCATTGCCGCCATCGTCATCGCCATTGCCATCGTCATCGCACCTTCGCCATCGCCATCGCACCTTCTCCCCCGCAAGCCATGGAAACCAACGTCCAGCGAGTCTCGTCCAACTCCAAGTGGGAGAGCATTGTTGGCTACTCGCGAGCGGTCAAGAAAGGCCCCTTCGTCTTCGTCTCCGGAACCACCGCTACCGATCCCGAGACCGGCAAGATCGCCCACCATGGAGACTCATATGCCCAGGTAGATGATCGTGCGGAGCGTGAGGGGGGGGGCGCTGTAGCGATCTACGCTGGCATGGTTGGCTCAAGGTCGATTGCATGACCCAGCCAGTCCCCGGGAGTCTTACTCCATGCCGATTATGCTGTTGCTGGTGCTGATACCCGTGCGTCGCCCGGCATCGTATCATCAGACCCGCTTGATCTTCCAGAACATCGAGCGGGGTCTGCTGGCCCTCGGAGCCTCCCTCGGTGATGTCACCCGCACCCGCATGTACGTCGTCGATATGGGGCGCAACTGGGACGGCGTCGCAAAGGCCCACGCCGAGTTCATGAAGTCGGTTATGCCCGCGGCCACGGCAATCCAGGTCGAGAAGCTTGTCGATCCAGCCATGCTGGTTGAGATCGAGGTGGATGCTGTAGTGCTATAGTGCGGCTTGGAGCGGTCTTGCAGCCAACTGGTTACCACACATCCACCGGCTGGCCCTCAATACAATTTGTGTCGTCGGTCTCCACCGGCAAGCAGCGTGCACGCAGGCCGTCACCATCGAGTGCCGCCACAGATCGTCGTCGCAGATCGTCGTCGCAGAGGCAGTTCGCAACGGCTGGAGAGCCTTGCCGCTGGGACAGGTCCGCGAGTCCCGCCCTTCGTGTCCAGCACAGGCGAACGGCCCCTTTCGTCGTCGCCCTCGTCACCTTGGCACATTGATGCATTTCGCCCTTCATCAGCTTCGGCCTGGGTGCTCACCAGCAAGTCCTCAGTACACCGTGCGCTTGGTCTTGCCCGCCCATCCGCCCGCCTGCCCGCCTCCTCCTCCTCCTTTCGTCTCATCGCTCGCCCGCTCGCCCGCCCACCTGGCGCCGATCCCAATGGAAAACGTCTTTCTCGACAGCGACTTCAGCGCCAGCGTCCACTGGTCCGGCGAGGCTCAAGGGTCGTCCAGCATTGCCGGCCCCTCTCGCAGCCACTTTGATAGCGATCCGCTCTCGAGCTCTGTTGCGCCGCTCCAGATGGCTAGCTCGCTTGCTCCGGTACTGTCCTGTCTGCGACCCTGGCGCTATGTCGTAGCCCCTTGCGTTTCGAGTGTTTGCTGAGGGGGATATAGCACAATGCATGCCTGGCCAACTTCCCTCCATGCGACTTGTACGGCCCGAGGGATCCGAGCGCTAATCATACATGATTGCTCTCCGGCCATATGCCTTTCCTTGCTTTCGCCCAATCCGTCTGCGTGGGCTGCTCGGATGCCTTCTCGAATGCGCCTGGGCTCTTCCAACAATCCCCTCCTCCCCCCCGCCAAGGCTGGCCCTTCGTCGAGCTCCTATGCCCCCACCACCCTCACTTCCTTTGAGGTTTTCACGAACAGCGCCATCCAGATATGGATCAGTGACCCCCAGAAGCATGGCGAAGGCACCACGGCGTTTGTCACCTATCTGATCACAACCAAGGTGAGAGACCATCGTCGAGCCCGAGACAGCGCCGCAAGCTGCCATGGCAGTCACATATGCTCGATGGTTTGCTGTGACGGCAGTCCCCACGCCTGTGGATGCTGTAGCTGAGCCTTGGGTACTAACAGGCCCATCGTCTCTGCCATGTGGCTTCGTTCGTCCACAGACTATTCTGGAGTCGTTCTCTGTGCCCGAGTTCTCGGTTCGACGACGATTCACCGATTTTGTCTGGCTCAACAAATATCTGGGCGACGAGTGTCCGGCCTGCATCATCCCTCCACTTCCGGACAAGCATCGGATGGGTAATGCCGATGGATAGACGGCGAATGTGTCGGCTGACGGGAGCAAGGCTGTTGATGATCAATGACTGCGCCGGTCTGTAAATGTCGCCGCGTGGATGCTTGCTGACTGATGATTGCCTCGTTCGGTTGCTGCACGAAAACAGAGTATATCACCGGCGACCGCTTCAGCACCGAGTTCATCGAGAAGAGAAGGCTGTCGCTCCAGATCTATCTCGACCGCGTTTCTCGACATCCGACGCTGCAACGAAGTCAGACCCTCAAGCAATTTCTCGAGAGCAGCGACCTGGTAGGGTTGGGCGATGCGGTTGATGTCAACAAGAGTTGGTGAGGCAGCGATTCTCTCGCATCGCCTCAGCCGAGCTTCACTGGCGACTCAGGGGCCGAGCCCACACCGTCTTCATCAACCACGCTTTGGCGGGTCTTGTAGCCGCCTCTCACACTTGAAGCTAACTTTGCTTACTTCATCGACTGGCCGCTGACGTCTGTTGGTGCTCCGTGATTCTCCGCAAATAATACTTGCAACACTTTGCTCTCGCCCTCAAAGCGAGTGGAAATCGCCATCAAGAAGAAGGATGCATACGTGTTCGAAGGCTTGAGCGATGTGCTGATCAATGTATTCACCAAAGTCAAGAAGCCCGACGAGCGTGCGCTGCTCTACCGTGCGGGCGTCGACAAGCTCGAGGAGAATCTAACGGCAGTCGAGAAAATGGCAGCAAAACTTGTCAAGCAAGAGTCGGGTAGGTGGCAAGCATCCGCGTTTGCTTACTGTGTGTTCTCATGGCATTGTCGGTATTGGCGTCCGTCGTCAGTTGCGTCATCCTCTGCGGCGGTCTGACCTACTGGGCCATACAGAGCTGGAACTGGACTATGCCGAGCTGGCCGGGCTCATGACAACGTTGGGCAATATGGAGACGCAAATCACCGTTCCGCTCTCGGAGTTTGGGCACACCATTCGGGATGCCTCGTTGCTGCTGAAGGATAAGGTAGCCTGGCGCTGTCGTGTGTTTGAGGAGGGAGGCATGTCAGCTGTGCACTGTTGGGGGACCAGTGCCCATCAGTAAGCGGCGACGGACATCCACTGACATTTGCGGCCATCTTTCATGGCTCTCTGCCTCCGCACTTACGACCACTCAGATCCAGAACGAAGAAAACGACTATCTAAGCAATCTCCGCGACTATATCGCTTACTGCCATTCGGTTCGGGTCGGTAGCCCCGCTGCTGAGATTTCGTGTGCCGTGGCTGCTGGCCATGTCGCTGGCTATGCCGCTAGCCATGTCGGCTGCCTTTATTGCTCTGTTCTCATACGTTCGCACTGCCCCCATTGCCAATCTGGCCAACGCTCGGTCTGCTGGCTTGTGCGGGTTATCTATAGGAGGTGCTGAAGTTGAATGACCAGAAGCAGATGGATTTCGAGGCTCTGACGGGCTACTTGGAAAGCTACACCGCCGAACGAGAGCGTCTTCTGTATCCCGGCCGCAACGCCAACTCCCTCAGCACCTTCTTCAAGGACAAATACCAGGAACTCAAGGGCGTTGATCTTGAAAAGGCCAAGGTGGCTCGGATCGGGCGCCTCGAGCTGAAGATTGCAGAGGTGCGTGTGCCGCCGATGCTGCTTATCCACCCGCTCGACAGTCCATGGAGGGAGCGCCAATGCTGATGCCTCCCTCTCCCCATCAACGCGTCGTTAGTTGCAAGATGCTGTTGACTCAAGCCACCAAACCGCCGAGGCCTTTACCAACGAGATCTCGAAGGAAATGGATCTCTTCGAGGCCAACAAGTCGATGGATTTCAAGGAGATTCTGCGCCGATCAACTGATGCCCAGCTAGAGTACCATCAGCGGGTGAGTGGCCCGATTTGCAGTGTGCGGCAATCGATCCGTGACAGGCGCGTGGTCGCCGGTTCGAGCATACGGGCTGCTGGATAGCCAAAACTGGAATGACGAACGACTTGCCAGTCCGAGCTGTACCTGTGTCTGGATGTGATAGTGAACAAGAATCACGCGGCGATGACTCACTCGAGGCACATCTTTCCCATCGACAGGGACAGAAACTCTGGGACGATTTGATCCCGATCTTGGAGGGTATCCGGCTTGTCGAATAGTCTGGTTCCAGCAGCTGTCGTTTCATCGGTTTGTTATTTTGTGCATACGTCTGTCCTCCATGAGTGAGATTGCCTTGGTAACGTTGCGCTTGTCGGCCTGTCCGCGAGCCTCTCCGTTTTCGAACCACGGCTACATCGCAAGTCGACCCGACCTGATTGCTATCCGTGCTGCTGACGCTCCATGCTGCGTCGGCCCGTGTATTTTGTGGGCAGTCGTTGTTTGTACTTGCTTGCGGTGTTGTCTGCTGGTTCGCCGGCTCCAGACGCTTGTGGCGCCGCAACAATGCGTCTCTCTCACCGACTCTCTGGCATATATATGTAATGACCGCGCTGCGTACTTTCTGCGCGCAACGCGGCGCTTCCGACCAAGGCCTTTGTCAAGTCCATGTATTTGTGGTCGAGAGGGGAGGGGAGCAAACGCAGGATCGGCAGCGCTGGTGGTCGCGCCTTGCTCACGAGCTGCTGCCCTCTGGGCTTTTTGCGTCGCTCGCGTGTAGCATCAGCTGAACATTTGATATCTGACCCATGTTCATGGCCTGCGGATCGATCATCGCACACCTTGCTTCATATTCGTGGATTATGAGCTCGACGTTTTCTGGATGTTGGATGGGGGCGTGCGTATGCGAGCAGATCTGTCAGTCGCAACAGCAGAACCCCCAACCACACTCGTTCCTCAACTCTGGCTTCGCGCACCACCAGCGATGAGCCCCTCCCTCCCTCCCGCCAGCGTAGATCAGCCCCACGTATCATCGTTGGCAGCTCGCCCTTTGCCCTGTGAGCTAAAACCGATTGGCGAGGCCCCAGCATCCAGCGGAACTCACCCTGCAGCGATCTGTTGATGTCGCCGTGCTCAGCTTTCAGTTTTTTCCACATATTGGGGAGATTGTTGCTCCTCTTGCCCACCAGCAAGCCGTTGATGAAGTGCGTCCAGGGAACCTCGGACTCGTCGTGCGCGCCGCTGGACTGGATCCTGTGGTTCAAATCAACATCGAAGCCGGGGTGACAAAGAGTCAGGCTGCTATACAAGGCGCAAAGCGGCGGTGTGTGGGAGCGCCATCGACGCAGAGCAAGTCGTCGCACTTGCTGGACGAGTCACACGTTCATACATACTTTCGAAGGAACTCGAGCACAAGGGCAGGCGGAAACCCGGGATGGGCCTCAATGTCCATGAGCATCACCGTTTTCCTAATAGCGACGCAGACATTAGCGGAGGCAGGTTCGAGAACGCAATATGGTCCGAGAATGCAATAACGGTTCAGGGACATGCTGATGTATCTGCGCTTTCCACTTGCATTGGAAGAATGCGAGCAAGCAGACGCACACCCAGTCACCCCACGACGAGTCTGTCCCGGAATCAGCTACTTGCCAAAAGTCCTTCATATTCGCCGGGGTTGTTCCGGGAAACTTGGCTGCCAGAGCAGTCCATGCCTTGAATTGGCGAGGATCTTCAATATCCATCTCCGCCATCATCTCCGCGCCGACCTTCTTCAGCTTCATAAAGTCCTGGTATTTCCATTTGCGCGATTCGCCTGCGGGTGGTGTGTGTCAGCCGTCGGTTCAATGAGTTAAGCTGAGTAACAACCATCACGTTCGCTGCTCTACGCATGTCTTCAAGCACGCGGATGTCGGCTGAGCCGGACACGGCATGCCTCTCGATGCACAGGACTTACCTTGATCGCGGGCTTCAAGGATCCGATATCGCTCCTGCAAGCAGCGCCATATGCCAAATCGATCGCCATGCAGAGATGAGTGGCGTAAGTAACTGCCCACTACCATAAACGCTTTCGGATGGATGCGCGTCAAGACAGCCCCATCCGTCCAGCATCTCCACCACGCGCTTTCGAGAAAAAGGCATCGATTTGGGACCGCGCCTCACGGTGAGTTGCAGCGTACCTTGGCAAACGCCTTTCCGATCATCCGCTCGAGCTCGGCCCACTGCCGGCCATGGATGGCGACGAGGGCACGAAGCTGGTCGTCCTCCTCCTTTGTCCATTCACCCTTGGAGATGATTTGATACTTGTTGACCAAATACCGCTTCAGACTCTTGGCCGTACGGTTAATACGGCTCTCGTACTGGATGGCCTTCAAAAACTCGTTGCATTTCCGATTCAGTCCTTTCTTTCCCGGCTTGATGTAGCCGTAGATGTTTTCAGTGGTGGGGTCCAGTCCTTCGCTCTGGAGGTATTGCCGGATCGCCTCATCGACGGCCTCGATTTCACGCTTGACAAACGGGCCGGAGGCAAACGTCGCGGCTTCATGTTCGGGAGGGTTGATCTGCTGGTGCCATGACTGGCGTGTTTCCAGCTCGGTGTTGATAAAGTCGTAAATGGTCGAGTAGTTGCTGATGGCCGGACTGATGCTTTGAGTGGCTGCAGTTTCGGCTGGCTCGGCAGGGGTGGGCGGCATAAGGACATTGATGATGCTGGCGGCGTCCGAAGCAACTACAGGCGCATCCCTTCGCTGAACGAATAGACTCTGCGACAGGGCGTGATCGAGCTTGAACGGGAGGAATCCGGGGTTGGTCGGCACAGAAATGGGGACCGCTTTCCGGGGCGGCACGGGGGCGACTGACGCACTGGACTTTTGGCGCTTGGCCGGCCCGGGATCGGCTGATTTATCCTCGAGTGAGTCCTGCAACTCGGATGCATCTCGTTTCCAGGCGACTTCAACAGGAACAGATTCACTAGGAGGACAATCGATCGTGGCTTTGGGTGTTCTCGAGTCAGCGGGAGACAGCGCTCCGGCTCCGCTGTCGTTGTCGATGTCGTTTCCATCGCCTTCTCTGTCTGAGCCCGAGCCTTCGTTGTCGTTCTCGACAGGGGCATCGACGCGACCGTCCCGGTTCTGAGTCGCATCGGCTTTCTTGGAGCCTTTCGTTCCTTTTGCACGGACAGCTTTCTTCTTGCCGCCCGCCTTGTTCTCCGATCCGAATTTGCCGACATCATCCGGATTAGACCTTGACAAACCGTCGTCCTCTTCTTGTTCTTCCTTTGCCGCCGCCTGGGCATGGATGGAGGCATGCTCGAGGCCGGATTCATCTACGACATCGGCGGCCTCAGGGTCAGTATTCGAGTCGACTTGCTTCTTCTTCTTTTTCTTTTTCTTCTTTTTCGCTTCGGCGCTATCGTGCACATCCGCCTCGGACGGACTGGCCAGGGCAGCAGTCTCCGCAACGCCGTCCGGTGTAGTCTCGTCGGTGTCAGGATCGACATCGCTTGCTTTTTCGGTTTTTGATATAACAAGAGTATCGTTTGGGGATTCAGGCGGGTTCAGCTCCTCGCTGGCAGCTGTCGCCAGACCACCATCGGCGGATTTCTTCTTCTTCTTGGGCTTGACAGATAGAGGTGCTTCTCCCGATACTGCGATCGGGGACGCGCAGGCATAAATAGGAGTCCGGATGTTTCAGACGACGAAGCCAGGTGTTGATGAAAGTGCGATAGTACCGATGATGATAGCGAATCAGTGACGTTAGCAAGAGCGCTGTCGAGGCAACACGGATTACAAGCAGCGACGGCATGTCGATGTCGATGTCGGCGTCGGAGTCGATGTTAATGGCGATATCGATGGCGAGAGGGCACAGTGCCGTGTCCTCCAGTCGAGCTTAGGCAGCGATCGACAGCGAGTCGCCGGCCTCGCGATGCGGCCACGATACGATCAGACATGGACTGTCGCCGCAACACGCGATTAGGATAGTGGAGGATAGGATGTTCGGACTTACGCTGCTGTGTCTTATCGGCGGTCTTACTCTTCTTGACAGTCTTTTCTGAGGGTGCAGCCTCTGTGTGGTCCTGCTCATTGTTTCGCCTCTTCTTCATGGGAGGGTTTGCTACTTCAGCGGGGATGGATGCGGATCCGGTCTGATCGCCGATGGTGTTGTTGCTCGAGGTATCGGCATCGGCGATGGCGGACTTTGCCATCTTGGCCTTCTTCTTCTTGGTCAGTAGCTTGGCGGACGTCCTTTCGGCTGCTTCGACATCCAGACCTGGGTCGACCGAGGGACCCTTGTGCCGTTCGACAGCCTCGCGGGAGGCTTTGGAGGTCGGCTTGTCCATGACGGATGCTGCCGGCAAGTCGTGGCTTGTGGGAGCAGCTTTCTCAAGATCGTGCTCGGCTTGGGCAACGCCCTTCGACTTCAGCTTGCTTTTCTGGATTCCAGTTGCAACGTCGCTCATAACGGCCCGGATGCAGGCCTGCGGCAGCGGGATGGTGTGCTGGGTTGGGCTCTTGGCTGGAGGCGAGAGCGGCAGCGGGTGAAAAAGCGGAAGCCAGGCCGTCAGCCCTCCCCGATACGTCGGGTCTTGGTGCTTCTCGAAAAAAACCACCCTTGCCCCAACCGCAGCCCCAGCCCTAACCGCAGCCCTCGGCGGCGCCGCCTGCGCATCTGGCACGAGCGCGGCATGGAGCCAGCCATCGCCCGGCCAGCCATCCCGTGGCTGTCCGCCGCTTTCGCCCAAGAGCGAAAATTTTTTTCAAGATCGCTTGGATCGCTTGGATCGCATCACACCGGTCAAGCCAGTTCGCATCGCGATCGCCTGAAGCCTCTGCCCGCTGCCTCCGCTGGGCCCCCTTCCTCCGTCATCTTGGTCTCTACCTCGACACACCTCGCGCTCGAACAATGCTACGCATCCAGCCCATTGCACAACGATCGCTTGCCAAGCGACTCGCCCTCAATGTCGGCCTCCGGGCGCCCATGCGGGCCAACGCTACTGTCACCGCCGCCGCGACTTCAACACCGCTGGAATCGACCCCTGCAAGTGCCGGCACGATCGATCTGGCTCAGCTGGTCCCGAAAAAGACGGTGCATGTGCCGTCGCCCATGGCCGACTTTTATGCCCACGCCGAGCAGAGCCACAACAATGCCACGGGCGAGCTTTCGATCAAGACGCTAATGGCCGCCAACGTCCATCTGGGCCACTCTGTGTCATCCTGGAACCGCGACATGCTGCCTTACATTTACGGCGAGCGCAACGGCATCCATATCATCAATCTGGAGCACACCCTCTCGCATCTGCGACGAGCGGTCAACGTCACCCGCGAGGTCGCCCGAAACGGCGGCAAGATCGTCTTTGTCGGCACCCGGCCCTCGATTCACAGACTCACTGTCGATGCGGCACTGAAGGGCCATGCCTACTTCATGGTCGAGTGGGTGGGCGGAACGATCACAAACAAAGAACGGGTGCTCAAGCGAAGTGTTGGCTTTGATCCCGACAAGATGGGCCAGGTTCAATCCGAAGGTGCCGGCCGAGGCCGCCGAGCCAAGAAGAACGTCGAGGTTCCCGAGAGCGATGCCGGCCTGGTTTCGGTTCAACAGCCCGATGTCTCGAAACCGGATCTGCTGGTGCTCCTGGATCTTCCCAACAACATCTGGGCTGCCCGCGAAGCCAACCAGCACCACATTCCGGTCATTGCCATCTGCGACACGGACTGCAGCCCCAAGCTAGTGACCTATCCCATCCCCGGCAACGATGACGCCAAAACCTCTGTCAAGCTGATCGCGGGTGTTCTGAGTCTGGCAGCAAAGGAGGGACACGATCTGCGACAGGCTGCCGTCCAGCAGGAGCAATACAGCAAGTTCGATGGCGCCGGGGCGCAACCATGAGGTCATTCGTGATGAGGGTCACCACGGGCAACTGCATCGTCGCCACGGACACAATAAACCAGTGGAAATTCTGCTCAGTGATGTCTGCGACCAAATTTGCAACTGAGGGGGCGGACTGTGAGCAGTGGTGCGCTCAGGAGAGGCTGCTATCGATGACCGACGCTGCATGGCAGATCCAGGCAGATCCAGGCAGATCCAGGCAGATCCAGGCAGATCCAGGCAGATCCAGGCAGACGCCGTTCTCTCGCAGCGATCTGGCTGTGCTGCGACACGAGGCACCTGGCCGGCCATGGGACAAATTGCCGCCCAATCTCCGAGGTCGTGCGTTCTTTGCTTGTTTGCTGCCATCGCTCGACCCATCTCGCTGCCTGAGGCCGTCCAAATCTACGTTCTGCCATGAAGAGCCATGGACTCATCGCCATCAGTACCGCAGCCCCTCGATCCGCATCCGCATCCGCATCCGCTGGGCACCGACGCTGTCTCGGCAGCCCCAAGGCCAAGACGAACTCGTGTGCTCGATGATCTCCCCTTCGTCATCCACACACCCGCCGCTCAAGCTTCCGTCCATCCTGCGGGCGAGCCACCAGTATCAACAGCTGCACATGCGAGGCTTCAAGACAACCCCGCATATCCGCTTGAGCTTGAGCCTGAATCCAGCGAGGCTTCACCGTTGGCATCGCTGGCTCTGTCGGGACTCCTTCTTCCACCTCCTCTTCTTGGGCCTCCGGCACTCCCCATCAGAACCATGGCGATCCAATCAAAACCCATCGACCCTTCGATCTCCGTGAGCAACCCCATGTCACCACATTCTCAACGGCACGTCCAATACCGGCCTAACGATCCATCGCCCGCTCCTCTCCAACAACCGCTGACCACGTCCGATGTCGCAGCCCGATTGCTCCCGCCGTGCACCCAAGCCGAGCCGGTTTCTGTTTCTCTGACCCTGATCCAGCCTCGGATCGAGGCTCATGTCTCCACGCGGGATATGCCGCTGTATTCTCACAGCCTCCACCCAGCAAATGCTATCGCTGACATGCCGGGCAGTCCGCCCGTGCCCGAGATCCCCAGCAAGGTTGCTGCACAAGCGACATCCGATGGGCTTGCAGTCGCATCCAGAGACAAAGCATGCGGTCATGGTCATGGCAACCAGGGCCATGAGGATCGAGACGACGGCGACGGCGATGCTGAATCCGAAGAAGGAGAGATTGACGAAGCGGATGACCAACTGGCGATCTCCAGGACAAGTCCTACTGGTCCTGTTGAATCGAATGCCCAGCACCAACCAGTTGTGCCGTCAAGCATCGGACCCGCCTCCGGGCCAGCCGAAGCCAAACGAAAATGGAATCTGTCAGAGCTGCTGGATCAATCGTTTGACTACATCGAGCGAGCCAACAAAATGCCCAAGACAGAAGGACAGTCGCTCTGTGGCTCTGCCGCCTATTCCCTCAGACGAGACACCTGCCCATTCCCACCCGCTGGATCCGAATCTATCGCCGCCTTCGCCAGCCGCCGTGATCCTCGTCCCATCATTAGCTACGAAGACGATGGCCCTGGCCCTGGGAATTTCACACCGCCTCTCCCGACGATGCCTTCTGGCCAAGCATTTGTGGTACCCGAGGATTCAGGACCATGGATATATCGCCAGCATCGACAGAATCAGCAACACCACCAAGACTCTCAGCGTCCCCAACATTCCCCGTATCCGCCGTATCCTCAGCACTCACGAGTTTTGCAAAACCCACTGCATTCCAACCAGATGACTGGCCAGCCATCTTCTACAAAGACAAGTGGCAAGAAAAAGAAAAAATCCAAGTCCAACTCCAAAAACAAGCACAAGCCAGCAGCAGCACCAGGTCCAGTCGAAGGCAGTGGCTCTGGTATCGGCGACGAGGCACCAGCTTCGCCCGATATGCATGACGGTCCTGGAGCGTCGCATTCATCGCCTGAGACCATTGTGACCAATCTGAATGCCCCGGAGCACCAACCACAGCGTCTCTTGAAGCAGATTCTAAAGGAGCAACAAACCCAGATGATGCACGCCAAGCGTGAAAAGGAACGGCAGAGACGGCCATGCGAATTCTGGGCCGAAGGACGGTGTTTCCGCCGAGAAAAATGCAAGTTTTCGCACGATGGACCAGGGTGGCCGGTGCCTGAGATGACTCCGGCAGACCGAAAGACGATCGTTTGCGGACCCTTCCGGGGCGGCGTCTGCCCAAACACCGAGCAGACATGCGCATACTCGCACAATCTCAGCATGATGCCGTGTCTGTTTTTCTTCAAGTCTGGGTGCGTCAAAGGCAGTCAATGCCGGTTCAACCACGGAGCCCTGTCGATCTTTCAGCAGGAATGGGTTGAGCGCGAGCACAAGCACCTCAATACGATTGTTCCTGGAATCGAGACGCCGGATGGGAATCACATTGTCTGCCACAAGTTCAAGATCGGCGAGTGCCTCAAGAGCGAAGAGGAATGCGGATACTCTCACAATCTGAAGTTGCTCCCGTGCGTCTACTTCTATCGCCCACAGGGATGTCATGTCGGTGATCAGTGCCGCTTCGGTCATGGTCCTCGAACTCCCGAGATTGACGCCTTCCTGCAGAGAGAACGACAGCAGTATCTGGCACGGATGCAGCGCAATGATCGACTCAAGGCTGATCAACTGTCGAAGTGGCCGACCGGAAACAGAGGTGGCCCGGCCGGTGGGCAACAGGCGCATAGGCACGGCTGAGGCTCTGCTGCAACCTGGTTGTTGCTGATCTGTTGCGCACCGAATGGTCGGCTTGGGCAGGGCTCAAATACATTGCCTCCACGGCCTGTTCCCTCATATCATACCTGGAACCGCTGCGATTCGAGCAGCGTCTCATCTGGGAATGTGGTGGTGCTGTCCCAGTTGCTGGTCCTTGCACTGGCTCTCAGGGCTCAGCCAAGGCCTTTGCGGTCTCTGGTTACACAGCATCTGTCCCGGCTGTGGGCCTGGGCGATTTTGCCCTTCCGTCGACCCTGGCGACTCGCCCTCTCATCTTCCGCTCTGTCCAGCCCAAGACGACCATGGTAAGCCGTCTGGACTGCGACCAAGCAGCCGCTTGATCCATCTAGCGCCTCCGACGTTCTGCTTGACCGCGAATACCACATTCACCTGAATGATATCCTTGGCGCTCGGGTCAGCCCGGACGTTGCTTGGACTGCGATCGCAGATGAGCGAACGGGATATGCAGCCAAGGGGCGTCTCTTGGTTGCGAGTGCCCCTCCAAAGGCCCACACAACGGCCGTGCGCTTATCGGCTATTCTCTTTGCACAGACCGAACCCATCGATTGTGCTCTTGACTTGATGCGTCGCCTGCCTCCGCAGCATGTGGAGCAGAGCCTGACGGATCTCATCAACCTCGTCCCCGATCTGACGGATGAGCTCCTCTCGGCCATCGACCAGCCCCTGAAGGTTCAGCGCTGTCGCCAGACCGGGCGAGATTACCTTCTCTGCGACTACAACCGCGACGGAGAGTCCTATCGGTGCGTTGTTGCCGATGGCGGCCCTGACGCCTCGGCCTTCTGGCTGAACAGCTTGGCCGTTTCCTCGAGCCAAGCAGCCGAGCCACCCCGCCGAGCCGAGCACGCCACGATGCTTTTTCTGCCACCCGGCTCGTCTGCCTCGATGCCATGAGCAGAATGCCACTGCCTCCCTCTCGAAGATTTACCTGCTGTGTATATTAACCATCGTTGGGCCATCCAACGATCGTTGCATCAACACAGTTCTCCGTGGTCGAACGACTATGACCCTCAGCTCCACGATGGCACCCAGCCTTCGCTCAAGCTGAGGAAGCTGGAGGTCTCTGCCAATGACGCCTTCGATACGTACCGAGAAATGTGGGTGCAGATCTGCCCATGTCTCATCGACTCTGTTGAATGGCTGTGGTCGAGCAAGTCCAGCGAGATGGGCGAGTGTCAACAGCGATATGCCTGGGCTGTCGACGGCCCATACCGGTGGTGGCGAGACCAGATTTGTTCCTGACCATGGCAACTGCATCTCTTGCCGCGTGCACGCTGCCATCTCGTTTGCTTTGACTGACTAGGTACTACGAGGGCGGTGTCTCGTCCGTTTATATGTGGGACCTGGACGAAGCTTTCGCGGCTGTTGTTCTTATCAAGAAGACCAACGACCAGGGCGGCTCGTGGGACTCGATCCATGTTTTTGAGGTTCAGGAGAAGCGCCGCGAGGCTCACTACAAGCTCACCTCGACCGTCATGCTCTCGTTGACCACGGGCTCGCAGAAGATGGGTGATCTCTCGCTGGCCGGCAGCCTGACCCGGCAGGTGAGTCGTGATGCCATAAAGCTGGCAGACAGGACTAATCCTGAAAGATAAGGCCACATGCTCTTGCTGGAGGATTCAGATCGAGGCTCTGCGCGATTCGGACTAATCCACACGGGAACTCGCCTCTTGTCTCTGGCTGTGATGGCGGACCGCAGCACGAAGTGGATTGCCCCTTGGACGACTACTCGGCCCACGTCGGCAACCTTGGCCGCATTGTCGAGGATGTCGAGATCAAGATGCGCAACGCTCTCCAGGAGATCTACTTTGGAAAGACACGCGAGGTTGTCAACGACCTGCGATCGGCCACCAACCTTGAAGTGGTGCAGCAGCAAATGTCGGTCACTAACGAACTGTTTGCCATGCTCAACAAGCGAAACGCTGGCAACAACTGAGGCGGTGGGCTACACTTTTCACTTGGGCGAACGGGACATTGCCCGATTTCCGCTTTGCTTGTGTGGGCTTTGAACGCCTGCGTCCAGTTGCAATAAACCAGCAATCTCCTTGGCAGCCTCCGGGTGAATGCCCTGGGTGAATGCCCTGGGTGAATGCCCTGGGTGAATGCCCTGGGTGAATGCCCTGGGTGAATGCCCTGGGTGAATGCCCTGGGTGAATGCCCTGGGTGAATGCCCTGGGTGAATGCCCTGGGTGAATGCCCTGGGTGAATGCCCTGGGTGAATGCCCTGGGTGAAGAGCTTGAGTCGCCAAGGTTGCATCACGACTCCAGAGGAATCGCCGTTGCGGTCATGGATATACTGTGGAGCCACGATCTGATGCTCTGTGGGAACGGCCTGCTCTCGCCTGCTCTCGCTCGCTCTCGCCTGCTCTCGCCTGCTCTCGCCTGCTCTCGCCTGCTCTCGCCTGCTCTCGCCTGCTCTCGCTCGCTCTCGCTCTAGAGCGAGATCATCGCCAAGCCATCCCGGCTTGTGGTCACGCGAGCACACGTGGCGCGAACCAATACGTCCCGAAAAGGCAGTCCGCTGGTCGGCGAAACGCCGGCTTGGGCTGATGGCGCCCTTCCCCTCCCGATCGAGTCACTCTCCAACGCCGATCTGGCCTGCTCCCACAACGCAATCGCCTGCTCCTCCACGGCCGATCTAGCATCGCCAGCCCCACGGTCAGTCTGCCCCGCCGCGGTGTGTTCTCCCGTCCCAGCCTGCCGGATCTCGGCGGCGGTCTCCGATCGGCCTGGTTCTCATTCGCTCATCCCTTCCACAGATTCGACCGAGTCCATCCAAGCCCATAGACGCCTGTTTCACTGCACCATGTCTGTCTGGCGTCCACAAGAAGTACCAGAGTCGTTCCCGCACCATCGCTTCCCTCGTCTATGCTCGTGGATTGCGCTTCGAGATCCAAGCCTTTTCATTTCATCTGCAAGACTGTGAGATAGCCGCGTGCACGGCCACCCAGCACTTCGCCAGCGTCCCTTTTGTCGCCATAGGCGGCCCGCTCCGCCAACTAACTCTTGCCCGGAACGACTTTTGTTGCCTGCCAACCGCCACTTGTCGCACTCTCCATAGGATGCCGAGCTCAAACGGGCCGTTACGGTCTGTTCAGACTATCGCTCGATCAAAAAGGAGCTCGGAGGGTTGAAGACCGTCAGTGAGGTGAGAAGCGCTGCGATGGTCCATGACTCTGGGGTGGTCCAGCAGCCATTTGGGCATGGGATTCGAAGCATTGCAGCTTCTCTACATCAAAAGACGACCCCATGTGAGGGATCGATGAGTCCGCGGCATGTCCGCGGCACGTCCATGGTGTGCTGGCTCTGTGGTCATCTGTCTCTATGATCTGAATTGACGGCCTCAACCCCATTCGTCTGGTCGAATCGCTGATCTCTGTCCCTGTATGTCTCTTCCAGATCAAAGAGCGCATCGAGTATCTCAAGCTCGCCTTTGGCTCCTCCGCTCCCGCTGCCCACGCCGCCCACGCCGCCCCCGCTGCTCCCCGAACCCCGCGCAAATCGGTCGCCAAGCCCGCTGCCGAGAAAGCCGGCGGACAGACCCCAAAAGCCTCGGCCGCCAAGGCCGTCAAGGCTCATACTGCCAAATCCCATTCAGCCAAGGCATCCTCGCACGTCAATATCCAAAAGGAAAACAAGGCCATCCCGGCGGCAGCCGAGCCGCTCAACAAGGCAGACTACATGGACTACGGCGGAAGTGACCCAGTGGTCCTGCTGCCGGCCAGCCCTGCTTCAGCCTCGAGTGATGCACTCCTGCCTCCTGCGGGCAAGGTCCGGAGCACCAAGCAGATCCTTGCGGAATCGACCCTCTTCAAGAAAGAAAAGGATCCCGTTGTCGTCCCTGTTCCCGAACAGCATGTGCGGCAGACCATCAGGGCCCTGCAGGTCGGCTCGTCTGCACCCACCCAGCGCACCCAGCGCACCCAATCGAGAACCCGGATCAAGTCCGAGACTCCTGTGGAGGAGGCAGTACATGCGTCGGACCCTGCTCTCCCGGACACTACTGTTTCTGAGGATGCCTCTGCTTCTGCTCCGGATGCTGAGGCCCCTGTCACCAACCCTGGCACCATGACTCCTTCCCGAAAGGCTGCCCTCCGCGCCCGCAAGGTATCGACCCGCCTGGGCGGCTCCCGGTTGGCCTACGAGTTTGTTCCCAATCCTGACGCTCCCTACAACGCTCCTGCTGATGTGTCTCCCAGCGATGCATTGACCTCGTCCCAGGAATCTGTCGTCTCTACCCCGAAGCGCTCGATTCGGAAACGAGCCACAATCGATCCCCTCTCGTTCCCACCCGCCGAGCCAGCCGCAGAGGCTAAAGCCGACACCAGTACTTCGCTGACACCTGCCCGCAGATCCCGTCGAACACCATCCCGTGCCTCGTTGATCGCCCGTGGTGCCTCAACCTCCCCTCCGGAAGCCGAGGCGCCTGAAGCACCTGCCCCAGCACCTCCTGTTGCGGATAAACCTCGGCGGAAATCGGCCAGCGCCAAGACCTCAAGTGCAAAAACAGCCATCAGCACCAAGACATCAGCGGCCATCCGAGCCACTGCTGCCACCAGAGCCTCGCTTGCAGCAAAGGAGGCCTCGAGCTCTGTCCCGGTGGTCATTGTTCGCACCCCTCCTCCTGTCCTGGCAGTCTCTACTACGCCATCTGAGCCCTCCCCCAAGGTCGCCAGCCCGGCCGATTCGGAAATCAATCGCCCCACCGCCTCATCGCAGTCGAGTCCTCAGGAGTCCCACGATGCTCCCGTCGCTCCATCCACTTCTCAGTCCGAGATCGATACACTGTCCGATGTTGCCCAGACGCCTTCGCGAAAGTCACTCTTTGACTTTTCTTTCGTGTCCCCGCGTTTCTTCACCCCCCGATCGCCTGTCTCGCCTTCTTCGGAGTCGCCATGGACACAGTCCAGAATCGAGACTGTCCCCCCACTGCAGGAAGACGACGATCTGGGCGAGAGCCAGCCGCCTGCGGCAACCTCGCCTCTCGCTGCTGCTTCTGCATACCGCCGCGAGCACCGGACTCCCAACCAAACCTCGGCTCATTCGCTTGCCCGCACGACTCCAAGCTCCTGCTCGCTGACTGAGCCGCAGCGCCCTCAGTCGCCCGACTCCATCTATCTTGATGCTGACCTCCCTTCGCCGGTCGCTGCGCCTACGAGCTCGATCCGACCCCTCTCGTCCATCTTTGGCAAGTTTGCGCGCTACACGGAGGGATCCAAGGCTGCAAGCGACCCTCGGAGCCCTGCCCCAGTTGTCGGCAAGAAGCGGGAGCGCCAGGAAGTCACTCCCCAAGTCCATCGCATCGCACCAAGCCCCCTCTCTTCCCAGGACGACAGTGCAAGCAATGGCACCCATGGATCTGATCCTTTTGCCAATTTGGCGAGCCGGCCAATCGCGCAGCCCCGGCGCTTCAACCGCGCTGCTCTGGCGAATGGATCGCTGTACCCAAAGCTTCCTTCTCAGAACACGCTGGGTCTCCAGACACAGCTTGAAGTGGAGATTGAGCCCGCGTCTGCCAGTAAGCGAGTCAAGTACGACGATCAGGCCAACACCACCCAAGTCCCGATCTCGGCCCCATCGCGCCCCGCATCGCAGAGACAAGTCGATTTGGTTCGCAAAGATGGCTCCCGGCTCCCGGTTCGAATCCGAGGCACGCCGCAGCGATCCTTGATCCGCAACCCGATCATCTTGACCACATCCATCTTCCGAAGCTGGTTTGGCCAGCCAAAGACCGAGCCCGACGACAACGAAGATGACGAGGAGGATGAAGATGAAGATGAAGATGAAGGCGAGGACGGAAGCGAGGAGGATGAAGATGCCGACGACGACGAAGATCAACCAAGCGACAACGGCGAGGAATCTGTGTACGACGAAGAGATCGCGCTGGAAGCGGACGAGGGCTTCGGTGACCATGATGATGTGGGCGAGGACGACGGCAACGGAGAAGACGAGATCGAGGACGACCCCATGGACGAAGACGAAGATGGGAATGGGGATGGGGATGGGGACGAAGACGAGGACGAATACCGGCCCCAGTATCTCCCTGGGCAGCCAGGCTGGCTGACATCGATCTATAATGTAAGTTGGACCACGAGCAGGAACCTGCAGCCCCAGCTGTCTTGCCAATTGCTGCTGGCGGATGGTCGTGGTAGCTAGCACTCGCATCCGTGGCTGCGCTCTTGATGCTCTTTGCTGCAGTCTGGCAATCGCTCCCTCACTGTGCTGACTGGTTTTCGGTGTATCGGCTTCACTTGGATCCAGCGCGTGGCACGATCGCTCAATTATCACTGAGTTGGACCCGTGTGCTTGCTCGCTCCGGGTCGCTCATAAATGAAGCGGGACACCCTGTTACAGCCAATCCAATAAAATCCGGGACACCTCGGATTTTGGTCATTGACCGAATAGCTTGTTGCCTCAAAACATCGCGCGCTGGCCATGACCGTTCCTTCTTGCAATACATTCGCCATGTATTCGATGGAGACATGCTGGACATACAGCTGTACTTCAGTCTGCCCGGCGACGGCGATTCAAGCGACTCGATCTCCAGATGTGCTCACAGTACCGGGAAGCCAAGCGATTCGAGAAGGCCGAGTATCTTGATATCGATACACCATGGAGCTGTCCAGAGGGCGAGTGGATGCGCCACACAGAGAGATTGCCAACCAGAACGGGAAAAAATCGCATGGCCTGCCCACTGGAGCCACGGCTGTCCCGTTTCTTTCTGGATTGACTGTACTGCCCTCCTCTGAATGGAATAGACACATTCATCCTCCACAGCGACCATCCGCTCCGTGGGTGCTGGACAGGGGCATTCCTCCACGAGGCGCCGAGAACAGGCGAGAGGCGGCGTACTCCACGTGACCGGACTGGTCGGCTTGGGGATCGTTCAGATCGGCGGGTCCTCGTCGCCGTCTGCTGCTGCACCGATCGCACATCTGTCTCATGGCTGCCATTCCTTCGAATCCCAGGGGAATCCCCAAGGCCCCCTTCATTGTATGTTGAAGTGCATGCTGTACAGAGCCGCTGCTCGGTCTTGCCGATCTGCATGGGCATCTGCATCCTGCCCTATCGTCGCTGTGTCAAATGTACCAAACTTGCTCATCTGCAAACCGATGCAGTTGGTCGCCGACGCAGCTCTTTTTGCCTCGACATCACCCCCAGCTGCCTGCTGCTGGCACTGTGTCTAATATCGATGAATCTATAGGGCAACATCGATGAATTCATCGTGGGCTCCACCGTCGACGACACTTTGCGCAAGTTCCAGGAGATGATCTCGTAAGGGCTGCCGTTCGATTCTGTGGCCCGACCATCTCTGCTGGCGGCCAGCTCCACCGTCCCTGGGGCCAGTGCTTGGCACATTAAGCGATGCGATATATCTCGCTGTCTCTATCGCTGACCCTTTATCGATCCTGCCTCTGATCCTGGCTCTTCTTTCGCCGACCCGGGCTTTATCTGGCTTGGTTGGCCATTGCCCCCCCCCGATATCCGCGCACACCTCGCGGGTTCATCCCACCTGCCGAAACGGCCAACATTGGTACCTTTCTGGGATGCATCGATGTTGAATCCTTTTTGTGCGCTGTGGTCCTCAGCAAATACAAGTACATGGAGGTGCATTTGCTGCAGCGCAAGAAGAATCTCGACAACAAGCTGCCTGAGATCAAAAAGACCCTGGACATTGTCCGTTTCCTCGTCGGCAAGAAAGAGACCGATCCCGACACACCCATCGAGACGCAGTTTGAACTCAACGAGACCCTGTGGGCCAGCGCCAAGATCCAACCCCGAGGCACCGTCTACCTCTGGCTCGGCGTAAGCGGTCGCTTCCTTCATTTTTGCTGCAGCGTGGGCGGATGAGGCCTAGATCTACTTGCCACAGGCAATATCGGATGCGAATTCTATGCTGATCGGGATAGATCGGACTTTGTTGGATTCAAAGCCGAGACGAAACGTGCTCCAAACATATCCCTCGATTGTCGACAAATCGCACTGAATCCAGCGCACCAGGACCAGCCAGCTTCTGCGCCGGACTGGCCTGCTTACGAGTCGATTTGCCCCTCTCTCTCCCTCTCTTAGGCGAACGTGATGCTCGAGTACTCGACGGAGGAAGCGAGCGAGCTTCTCTCTGAAAAGTACGACACAGCCGGGAAGCGGCTGCTCGAGGTCGACGAAGATCTGAACTTTTTGCGAGAACAGATCACCACCATGGAGGTCAACACTGCCCGAGTACACAACTGGGACGTCAAGCGGCGCCGCGAGCAAACTGCCAAGGCCTAAGAAGCAGCGGTGCGCCTGGCTCGCCACCTCCGCTCTTCAACGCTTGCGGGTCGGCAATATCCCTTACCATCCGCTCTCTACAGTGGTCATAAAGCGAGAAACGGGACGTGGAGCACGGGAGGCACGCCCTGATTTGAGGATATTGAAGGCTCTGTTGAAGATCCTGAATACACCCACCCACGGCCATTCATCCACTCGTATTCTTTGTTTCCTGAAAAGTGATGTCGTCCACTCTAGCGAAACCGGTGTTATTTGCAAAAATGAGTCCTTTCCCAACATCACTGCTCTTTGAGTTGCTTCCCGGAGCACCGTCTTGAGGACGAGGTTGAGCAAACCGATCTTTGATGCAGCTGTCGCAGGTGAGAATCGACAGAAAACAACAACAACAGCAGCAGCAGTAGCAACAACAACAGCGCATTCAAGTTTAAGCAACGAGAGGAAGCGAGGCTACAAAATTACAGACGAGAAAAGTCGACAGGGAGTGATCGACAGACTACCAATCCATCTGAAGACCTGGATACCAAAGGAATCCGACAACAGCAAGAGCGAGAAACAAAGGCTTCGCAACAGGTAACCAAAGTAAAAAACAGCGGGGAAGGTACGAAAGGCAAGGTTATCAAAGGAGGAGGTCGAAGAGGCCGGGGTTGTGAGGACAACGACGGCTGGAGCATACTCAGCAATATTTTTGGATCTTGGGAAGATGGTGGCTTTAGAAGCGGTACACTGGAATCCGCTTTGATTGTGCTCGATTATCCTGGCAACATAGTCAGGGTTAGCTATGGCGAGCATCAACACCGCGACTAGCATCGAATAGGCGCAACCCATCGCGATCCTGGGCCGGCTTCCAACATGGCCAACGCCTGCGATGCAATGATTCTGAACAGCGCAAGATGCTGGCTGTCTGAGCCTCACCATTTTTTTGAGGGTGGGGGGAGAGGAGAGGAAGAAAAGGTTGATTGGCACATCGTCGGGCTAGAACGTTGACCATGTCCAGTCGGATGGCACGGACGACAACGGCGGCGGGTCGGCTATACGATTGAACGTCAGCCCGAAACATACGGAGAGCCAGCCAGAAGCACACACAAGTCAGTAGCAGTATATATGATCCAAATACAGCGCTATAGAGCCGACTGCGAAGGAATCGTGGCGCTGCTGGACAGTGTGGAGCGAGCCATGGCAATGCGACGCAAATCAGACATACGATGTGGTATATTCCCGGCCTTGATTAGGACAGGCATCGGGCCGATCTCGTCTGGTGGAAACGGGAGAGAGGTCAGCTGAGCACGGTATCGGTGCCATAAGCTGCAAAATATGCCCAGCTTGTATGCACATGATGGGGCAGTGCCGAGTGTTCAGCAATAAGCACGGCTGCAGACTTTGGCTCGAAAGGCACTATTATCACTTGATAATCCCCTGCCCGTCTCCTGGCCCCCCCCATTTTGCACAGTGCTTACCCCTTGATTCCTCCTCATCGTCTTCGTCGTTGCTATCGGCATCCTTGATTTCGTTTTTGGCCTCACCGCGGGTCTCGTCCACGGACTCGACTTGGCCGCCTTTGGAATGCCAAGGCGATGTGTAGCAGAAGACACACACCCGGCACATGACACCGGCATCGTTGTGGTTGCCGTCCTGGTCTAATCGCATAGCCATCTGAAGAAGCACATCGTCGCACCGCATATCAGTGGCTGGACTCTGCACATGAAGGCCCGTTTGCTCTACAGGAAGGCATCGGTGGGCTCGACGGGCGGTGGGCGACAGGCCGCAAACCGAGCTTGGGCGTACATGGCAGCCTGACCAGCATGTATCGTATCGGATCGGATCGTATTGTATCGTATCATACAGAGTACATTCTTCTGCTGTGCACCTACCGAACAACAATCGTTGCAAAAGATGTCGCCACACTTGCGGCAGTGGTGTCGTCGCTTCAGGATGGTGAATTTCTGAGCGCAGCGCTGGCACTCGCTAGCAGCGTTGTCGGGCTGTTCAACCGGCAAGGATCGAGATCATAGGCACCACCGTGGATCCGATGTGAGTGAGCAAGGACGGCAGGTGAGATACAGGACCATGGACCCGAAGATGAGGCGGGACTGGAGACGAGGGGGTGGGCAACATCACGAACGCTGTTGGAACTCAGGCCAAGATGGTTGCTCGTGCACCAACTGCACTAGCACTCGAAAAGGCCAGGGCGAATGCGCTGCTTTCAGGCCAGAGACAATCTTTGGGATTGTGGAGAGTCGGAGGAAGCGGCTGTATCGGCTGGGCTCACCTTCCAATGGCTTCGGCTGGGCGGCCCTACATTGGACGATGCTCCGTTGAGATTGCTGGTGCCGGACTCACGGAGCGAGGCCGAGACTCCGCTACCGTTCGAGGCCAGAGAGGCTTTTCGGCTGAGCGACGGCAGGGAGGCGGTTGAGCTGCTGAAGCCGCTGTTGAGAAACAGGCCGTTCTGGGTCGACTTTGTCTGGCTGGGTCCCATTGTCGGATGCTGCGGCCGGTCGGTCCCCAGGAGCTTGGAGTAGAGTTGCTGTCGACGGAGGGAGCGGGAGGGCGATATGGAGGTCAGTAAGCATGAGTCCGGGCGACGAGCGGCTGAGAACGTCGCTGGGTAGGCTGGAGAGGCAGCTGTACTTGAGGGTCCATTTCGGCAGCAGATGCGGCCAGGATGCTCTCGACAACTGGGATAAACGCAAGCTGTCGATGCGGAGCAAGACAGGCGACGGCCGGTGCGGCTGCAGGTTGGCAACAGTGGCCAGGAGCGAACAGGATGTGTGATCAGGGCAGCAAGCGGGAGAGCTAGGCAGGTGGCGGGAGAGATGGAGAGCGATGGTGAGGCGGATAGACACCTGTAAGCTCGAGCGAAACGGATCGCCGCCCGTTCAATCACAGCGGAAAGGCGATGGAGGCGCAACATCTGCTCGTTGGCTCTCTCTGATGCCGCGCGACACAGCCTTGCAGCGACGGCCACGGCGGATCAGCCGACGACCGCTGCCGGCCCACAGCACCGACAGATGCAGGCGCTGGGGCGGTATGTCTATTGAGCGGCCGACCGACCGACCGAGCAAGCGAGGGCTCGAATGGAGTGGGTGGGGTGGGGTGGGGTGGTGTGTCCATGGCCGCCCCGACCCGACTGTGAATGATGGATGTGCATGTATTGACTCCCACTCAAAACATAAAGAAAAGTCGAAAGCAAACGAGACGCCCTGTTACAATTTGTGAACGTTGCAGAGTGAATATCGTTGCAATGGCCGTCAGGAAGGCGCTGACGTACCCAGGTCCGATCGTCGCCGAAACGGCGTGGAGGGAACGGACGATGCCAAGGCCTCTGCGCCGAGCCACAGCCCGGCCAGCGGCAGATCTGAGGACGCTAGAGGAACGAGCCTCCGTTGATCAGGCTCGCAATAGCGGTTCGCATAGCGCTGGGGCAGTCCTGGGTAAAGGTTCCATCAAAGCTGGGGTGATACCCGGTCCAAGAGATCAGCGGGATCGTCAGAGAGCCGGTGTACTTGAAGTTGAAGGGCGTCGACCCGACGCAGGACGACTCCAGCACCAAAAAGTCAGGGTCGACAATGTTTTTGACGCTGACAGGGCTGGTTGTGGTATAGGAAACGTTCGTGGGCTGCAGCGCATCCGTCGAGCGAGAGCATGGTTAGCAGTGGCAACGACATCACACGCAACACATGCAAGCCATGCGACACATGCAACACAGACAACATGCAGCGGCCTGGAATCATCTAATCCAATCTAGTGTTGCCACCACCCATGCGCAGAGAGACTCACCAAAGTCACAACCGATGTCTGGAAGGAGCGGATGTTGAAGTTGTTGGCCACTCCAGTTCCTTTGACGGACGAGAGCGGGTTTCCGTTGTTGTCGAGGAGGTTGATCTGTGTGAGAGTGGGCAAACGCACATCGCCGTTAGCCACCGACTGGGAAACACTTGGTCATTGGCTGCTGCCAGCAACGAGCCCAGACAGGTCGTCCCGCATGCCCATGCCCGTCGCCGCTCTCTGCAGAGGAGCAACACTACAGACCCAAGCAGAAGGCATACTTACATTCACCGTCAGCGACGACACAAAAATGTCAATGTAGTTCTGGGAGTTCACCGTGATGTTGACTGCAAAGCCGAACGACAAGACGAACGGACTGGCCGCCGATGCAGAACCAAGCGAGCCCAGGGTCGTCAAGCCGGCACTGCTATTCAGCAGGAAAGGGCTCGAGACGTTGATCGTCGGGAAGCGCGGATACAAAAAGTACACCGCCAGACCCAGACCGACCAGGATCAGGATGGTGAGCAGGATGGAGAAAGTGCAGCAGCCTCGCCGGGTACGAAAGCAGCAGCAGTAGCGCCTGTCTTTGGGCCGACGATCATATCCAGTGTCGCTGGCGGGATCCAGCACTCTGGCGTTGGATGTTTTCTGTCGCTTATCAACCGAGGAAGTCTGGCGATGCTCCGGATGCGCATACAGCCCGCGCTGATCGGGGGTATAGTCCAGCGATTTTGTGGGCACAGCTTCGTATTTGCTTCGCTGAGGCGGATACGAGGTTTGTGTAGGAACGATACTGGCATCTCCATAGGGCCGCTGCGTTTGTCTTGGTGAGACAGGGTTTCGGTACTCGGTCGGCGAGGTGGGGTGGCCATATTCCGTGGGCTGGCGGTATCCGGCGGTCGAGCCGGCGGCATAGGAGGCCGAGGCGGGCGGGGACTGGCTGTAATAGCCTGATCCGGACGACTGCTCATAGGGACGAGCATAAGACTGCTCGTAGTACCGGTCTGCCGGGGGTGAGGGCCCATAGTGGCTAGAGCTGGGCTGCTGGGCGTAGTAGCTGGACGGGCCGGGCTGGTGATCGGAGTACTGGCGGACATACGGGGTGGCGGCCTGGACGGGGCTTGTCGAAGATGGGAAGTTGGACGGGGCCGCCGAGAACTGGGTGTAGGTCTGTGCTGGTTCAGGCAACGGCTTGCTTTCGAGCGGCCGCCAAGGCTTGAATTCGCCCGTCGAGCTGGTGGGCGAGGTGTTGGCCGCAGCCTTGCCGGGGACATCAGGGCGATCACCCTTGTCACTGGGGTTGGACGACATGGCGGGCTTTGGGGAGTTGGCGACGAGGACAGAGTGGGTGCCTATGCAGCAGACTTGCTCTTGGATCTGGGGAAGGGCCGGATGGAGGATCAAGCAGGGCAGACGGAGAAGGCAGGACAGCGGACTGATGGAGAGCAAGTCGGTCGATGGCCGCCGGACAGATGGGAGGGAAAGACGATGGAAACGGCCGTGTTTGTTTCAGCCGCCCGTGACCCGGTGGCGCTGCAGCTGCCAAGGCTTTGGCGCCGGGCCATGGGCGGGCTGGCCCCTGTCCTCGGGGTCGATCCAGCGTCCATCCCACGCGCAGTATGGTCTCCGGCCAATGGACAGCACCCATCCAACGGACAAGCAGCAGCGGCTGGGATAGTCTACCGCGGGTATCTGTGTATTCAAACAGCGGATGGCGATGGCCATTCGCCAAGGCGGTGCTACTGCTCGGCTTCATTCGATAGGGTCGCCGGCACGGGGATGCTGACGCAATTGGTGGACAGACACAGGGTTTCTTCAGGGAGCGGCATGTAAAAGTTGTCCTTGCCGACCAGCCAGTACGTGCGCCCTTTCGCCTGGAATGTTGGTTCATCCAGCCATAGGAATGTCAGTCGCGCCGTCTGGGCTCACTGATCCAGGATACCACAACGATCCGTGCTATCTTGCGCAAATACCCGTGCCGCTCCCACACCTCAGCTCTCTCTTTCAGGATCCAGCCTCTGATCAAGGCAACAAGCTGTAAGCCGTGCATTACCTCGGGCGGGCGGTCCGTGCGGCACACCAGCTCGTACGAGCCGTCGCGCTGCAGCAGCTTGTATGTTGCTTCGCTGACTTGGATGCGCATCGGCTGGCCGCTGGATTCCATGCGCGAGGCTTCAGTAGTTGTACTTCCCTGCAGACCCGCAGTTAGCACCAGTGCTTGGTTAGTGAGAGGTCCTCAGTGTGTAAAGCGGATTTCAGAGCACTCGGTACTTACAAACAAGCAGTATCTGTTCGCAGAGACCAGGGCAGCGGGTCAGTCGGGTTTCTCGATGTAGACAGGCAGTTCGCCTCACTACACTCCAGCACTGCATTCAGACCCCTCGACAGCTTTCGGCGTCTCTCTGGCCGCTCAGTCTCACCTTGGCATTTTGAGTCCAACGACGCCGGCAACGACCGGGCCAGAGTGCATGCCGATCCGCATGCGCAACTTGAGCTCGGGGCGATCCGGCAGGCTAAAGGTGCTGATCGCCGACAGCATGTGAAGGGCCATGTCGGCGATTTCGCACGCATGACGGTCATTGTTGCGACGCGGCACACCAGAGGCAACCATGTACGAGTCGCCGATGGTCTCGACCTTGTATGCATCATATTTGCTGATGATCTGATGGGTAACGGCCGGTCAGCGTGTATTCTCCTTCGGCGATCCATGCAGGACAGTCCACCCCATTGCATGGCGGGTGCCACTTACTCCGTCGAATGTGGTGTAGAGCGAGTTGAGCAGCTGCACCATCTGCATCGGCGTGCTCTTGGAGCTGATCTCGGTGAAGCCACAGATGTCCGAATAGAACACTGTCGCCTGATCGAATGCCTCCGGAACAATGGGCTGTCCGGCCATCAGCTGCACCTGGATGGCGGGAGGCAGCATCTGACTGAGAATATCGTCGGCCTTGGCTTTGGAGATGTCAAGCTCCTTGAGGAGGTCGGTGAGCTCGAGCCGCTTCTTTTCGTCCTTGGCACGCTGCTCATCTTCCAAGCGAACCTCCTCTGTGAGGTCGCGGATGATGCCGGTGAACAGATGGGCGCCCTCCTGGATAGATCCAAGAAACCGGAGTGAGACCATCGAGTTTGATACCATTGGAGGTGAGACATCAAGTGTGATACCATTGGTGCTCTAGGCCACAGCTCGGCAGCCAGAAAACAATGGCGATATTCATGCCAATCACCAGGACGGTGCTAGTTGATCATGCGGCATATGCCCGGAGATCCTGCAGCGAGCGTATGCTCATGCAGCGTTGGCATGGTCGCGCCTTTGGGCATGCTGGAGTGACTCCGGTATTTCACCGGAGCATCCTCCGTGATTGGCAGGCCTTTGCTCACCTCAAGCACTTCCGAGACCGAGATATGCACCGGGAAGGTCGTGCCGTTCTTCTTCATGCCAAAAGCGCGTCTGCCAGAGCCGATGATTCGGGCAATGCCAGTTGTGAAATAGTTGTTCAGGTAGCCGTCGTGCTGGTCGGCGATCTCGGGAGGCATGAGCATCTTGATGTTGCGGCCAAGCACCTCGTCGGACTTGTATCCAAACATGTTCTCTGCGGCACTGAATGGCACATTGCCGAATCATGGGACGTTAGTTTGGTCTTACCACACTAGTACCTGCAACTCTCGCCAAGCACCGGACTTGGCACGCTGCGATCGACCAACCCTGCGATCGACCAACCTACCGATTGAACCGAGAGACCTTTCCCTTGGGATTGATGTTGATGATTCCATCGACAACAGTACTAAGGACCGAGTTGAGCACCCGTCTCTCGACCAGCATCTTGGCTTCGGCCTCGTGCACGGAGGCCTCCATCTGCACTTCCTTGGCCTGGACCGTCCGCAGTGCCTCGAGATCTCTTGCGTGGGCTTCGCACAGCTCCCGCAGCTCGCAGGCCTGGTTCTCTTCGAGCTCGCGCTTTCGCGAGCCGATCTGGACCTCGAGCTTGCTCAGCTCGGTTCGATACATCTCCTTGAGCGCCGCAATGGCGTCCTTGTGCTTGCTCGAGAGCTTGCGGATGACATCCACTGCGCTGCTTTGGAGCCTGTCTTGCGTTTCGTTGTCGTCGCCATCGTAATAGTCGCTTTGGTCATCGATGGTGCTCGAGTCAGCTCCGTATGGGCTTCGTCGACCACGGTTACTGACTGTGTCTGACTTTGAATGGATGTCATCGTCATCGAGGGTAGAGATGGTCATGCGGCTTTGGTGAGCATGCTGGCCCTGTTCGGCACGGCTCACAGGCCCTGGGTTAGAGCTGTAGTGGACCTTTACGGCACGGAGTCTGAATAAAGCCACAGGAAATCGCCCAGGTTGGATTCGGGTGAGCTGAAAGGCGCCAGGATGAAGATACTAGGTCTGTGATCTCACGGACGAGACTGCAACACAATCGTACTTGCCTGTGCTCTTGCTGGACACGGAGCTGTCTCAGTTGGTCTCGGTGTCCCAGAGCGAGCTTCTTCATGTCGACAACGTGGCGGGCCTCCAGAATGGTCAGTTTGGTCTGCTCTCGCTGGGAAATCAAACGCTCTTTCTCGGCGTGCAGATCGGCGGCCTGGGCTGCCGTCAGCTCGCACACGCCTTTGACGTGCATGGCCTTGAGGTTGTGGATGTCTTCGTAGGACTGGAACTCGAGGTCAAAGTTTTCCTTGGTATGCTTCAGCTCCATCTGCTGGATTTCACGCAGCTGGTCGGCCAAGCGCTTGTCGACGGATTTCTGGTGAGTCATGAGAACCTGGAACTTTTTCTGCATCGTCCTCTTGATTTCGTCCTATGGTGGGATGGACCCCGACAGAGTGCAGTTCGATGTGAGCTCGTGCTTGCGTGCCGAGATGCAGAGACATGAGCAGGAGCTGGCATGTGCACAGGGCGTCGGATACCCTTCGCGCACTCGGCAAGGCACCGGCTGTATGCAATCCGGTTCTCACGGATGTTCTCACGGATGTCCTCACGGATGTTCTCACGGATGTTCTCACGGATGTCCTCACGGATGTCCTCACGGATGTTCTCTCATCCATTCTCACACATATCTCCACGCTCGCTGGCAGCTACTGCACCACATACCCTTTCGTGTGCATACTCCATATTGTTGATCATCTTCTCGTACTGGATCTTGCGGTCCTGCGCGGCGTAGAGCTGGCGGCGCTGCTTGTCGTGCTTGTTTTCGAGGTAAGCGAGGAGGGCATCAAACTGGGCGCGCTTCATGGTCAGAGTCGACTTGACCCGAGCGGCTTCCTTGGAAGCGGCCTCCTGCTCCATGATGATGGCATCACGCCGTTTCATGTCCCGGATGGTCTGTCTCTCCAGCTTCTTTGCCTTCTTGCGGGCATCTCGCGCAGCAATAAACTTTTGGAAGGCAAGCTTCTTCTCGGCGACTTCGTCCTGGTGCAGTTTCTTCAGGTGCGAGATCTCGGCGTCGTGGCGGTGCATCAGATAGGCTTCCTCCTCCTTGCGCAGGACCTCGTTCTCGGCGCCTTTCATACCTTCTTCGATCTTGAGGGCATCGGTTCTCATCTGAAGAAAGATTTTGTTTCCTTGGCCAGGAGCGACGGCGGCCGCAGCGGACGCAGCCACCGCTGCCACATCGGGCCTGCGTGACGACTGGCTCATTGATGGGTGTTGGTCGATTGAGACGGCGAGAGATGGGATATCTGTTGGAACGCAGCACTGAGGTGGCCAAAGCGCTGCCAGCAAGCCCAGGCGAGCGGCGACAGACTATATACCTGTCCCCGAGCATACGCATCCTTCCAAGGCGTGCGAGAGCACTGGGCAGTGCGGAACAACCCAGTTACCCGAATTCTTCGAGGCTGCAGGACATGTCAACAAACGCGTTCTGTGGACGACATTGCGACTGTTTCTAGAACCAGTCGAGCCAGCATGATTGAGAGCGCATCGACCGGGCTGCATACAGCCGCTGTGGACTCTGTGCCCGCAGGAACCGGAACCATCTTTGCTGCGACCGAAGGTTTCCAGCAGCATCTGCGGCTTTGAGTTTGCCTGAGAAATCCAAACAGCCGAAAACGGCTGTGGGGCGGACCCAAGGTTGCGCTTCGGCAGGGAGTCTTGCGACCACCGAGGCGCCGATGTAGCAGACGGCCTTGATGGATCTTCGAGAAACCGGCGATGGATCAGTAGTACACAGGGAGACGGGCGGAGCAATCGCATGTTTGTCCGGTTGCTGCTGGGGCGATGGACCGAGGCGACGCAGCAGGCGGCGGTCGTTAGTGGGAGCAGAGCCGACACATCTGCATCTGCATCTCCATTTCCATCGATTGCATTGCGTTGGGTATTGCGCAACGACAGGACACCAACCCCCTTTCCAGCCGCAGTCACGGTCTTCTGACCAGCACCAGCCCCCCGCCCTTGGTGTTTTGGCTCCGTCGCGAGCGGGTGCCCCACCTGCAAACACCGTGGGCTGCCGAGGTGGCCCCCGTCCATGTCGCCTTGGCGCTGAATGCGCTCCGAATGGGCTCGTGGCTGGCACGACCATGGCTCCTGGCTGCGGCGACTTTCCCACCCGGGCTCCGACCATAAAAGCCATCGCCCGCCTGTCGCCTTCCCCGGCCTTCCTTCCCCCTCGTCCCGCTGCATCCACCCGCCCGAGCCATGACCCAACGAGAAGTCCTCCCAACCACCGTTCGGCCTGTCCACTACCTGGTCTCCCTGACCCCTGCTCTGCAGGCTCCCTTTGTCTACTCTGGATCGGTCGTCATCAGGTACGATCGCGCTGCAGCGATCATCGGCTGTACCGTCCACCCGTCTGGGCCCGATCGCTCGCCTTTCTTTCTGATCCGAGACGGCAGCTTCATGTAAGCTCACCCGATCCATCACTCCTGGGCGACAGACTGCATGTCAACGAGACAACCAGCAGCGTCATCTGCAATGCCGACAAGCTCGCCATCTCCTCGGCCTCAATCAGCGGCGTCAACCTCAAGACCGAGTTCAGGTACGGCAGGACTCTGCGCGTCTGAATTGCTCAATCCTGTCTCGGCCGTGCCGAACCAGTACCAGATCGAGATCCTCGGTGGGGGCTCGACCAAGCAGGCGGTCTCCTTGCCGACTTGGATGGTTTACCTCTCAGAGCTTGACGCAGTCGAAACACGCACCTTTCTCCCATCGGAGCAGCCAAGTGGCGACCTCAATCTCTTACGATGAAGCCCTCCAGCGAGCCACCTTCACTTTTGCCCAGCCGCTGCAGGCCGGTACCCAAGCCGAGCTCAAGCTGATCTTTACCGGCGAGCACAACGATCAACTCAGCGGCTTCTACCGCAGCACCTACAAGGATCAAGATGGATCGGACAAGTAAGTAGCACACAGCCCGGGCTGGTATCGAACATGGCATGGGATGCGTCAGGCCAGTGGTAGTTTCTGGTCAATACTCGCGGCGAGTGTCTGCAGCAAGCATTTGCAGTCAGTGTTCTAAAGGTCTCCAACCCCGGCCAGATTCTTGGTCTCGACTCATTTTGAGCCTGTTGGCGCACGCCGAGCATTCCCCTGCTGGGACGAGCCTGGTCTGAAGGCCAAGTTCGATGTCAAGCTCACGATCGACCGCGAACTCTCCGGCCTGTCAAACACCCATGTCGTTGCCGAGAAGGATGTGGTCGTCGATGGCGCTCCCAAGCGCGAGCTTTCGTTTGCCACTTCCCCGCTCATGAGCACCTATGTAAGACCTCAGGCGAATGTGGGCTCGCAAACCGTCCGGTGGCCCGCCAAAAGAGTATGGAATAGCACATCGATGGAGTGCCCAGCCCCTGACCTTGTCGTTATCCTGTTCTAGCTGATCGCCTTCTGTGTCGGCGAGCTGGAGTTTATCGAGGCCATCGCCCATCCCACCAAGCCTGCCGCAGCCAAGCCTGTGACCGTCCGGGTCTACACCGTCCCTGGCAACAAGGAGACTGGCCGATTTGCCCTGGAGCTCGGTGCGCGCACGGTCGAGTATTTCTCGGAGGTGAGTAACCGCACGTGGCTCTTACTGCGTCGCCAGCAAGCGACGATCGCCCTGAGACAGAGAATGTGTGCATATTGGAGGCCAGGTCACCACAGTCAGCGGTTAATCTTGTGCTCACGCCTTGCTCACCGCACTTCAAACTCCCATCTCGGTACACCCCCGCAATATGTGGGACGGGCTCCTGTCACCTCTGATCAACTGGGGTGCAGTACTTTGACATGCCCTACCCTCTGGAGAAGGTATATACCTGTGCTGAGTGTTCAGCAGCACGAGCCAGATTGTGCCAAAGACACCCCAGGCTCTCGGTTGGGCCTTGCGAGCCTGTGCTGACCCCGGTTTTCATGCGGGCTTTCTAGCTCGATCTCATTGCCATCCCAGACTTCCCCATCGGCGGCATGGAAAACTGGGGCTTGATCACGTTCCGAACCTCGGCTCTACTCTTTGATCCCAAGGCTTCGACTGCGACCAAGAAGCAGATGGTGTCCTCTGTTGTTTGCCACGAAATTGCCCACATGGTGAGTGGCCCTCTGTCTCGGCCACAAAAGACCGAGTCTGTTTACCGAGTAGTCTGGTTCCGCACATCCATTCCGAGCAATACCAAGAAACGCCCGCTGCTGACTGACACATGCATATTTGGTGTTACAGTGGTTCGGCAACCTGGGTAAGTACATACTTTCATTGAAAGCCTCTACCGATCGATGGGCACTGCAGATCAGCTGGCGGATGTTCAGAGATGCTCAACCGACCCCTCCATGGCCTTGTAGTTACTATGGAATGGTGGTCTGATCTCTGGCTCAAGGAAGGTTTTGCCACCTATGGTGAGTGGATCTGGGCTCATCAGCAAAGCTGCACGCAGAATATCGGAGCAAAGCTGGACGAAAGGTCCTGCTAGCGGAGATTAACGAACGACATGCTAACAAGAATCCGGCATCTGGCATCTGGCATTGCTGTTCAATCTCTGATGCGCGTGCACTGTCCTGTCAGTCGGAGAAATGGCGGTCGATCACTTCTATCCCGACTGGCACATCTGGTCCGAGTTCTTGGACAGCTTCCTCTCTGCTCAGAAGCTGGATGCCCTTCGTTCCAGCCACCCGATCGAGGTCCCAGTGACCAAGGCCAGTGACATTGCCCAGATCTTTGATCAAATCTCATACGAGAAAGGCGCCTCAATCATCCGTATGCTTGCGAGCTTCCTCGGCCGTGAGACGTTCATGAACGGTGTTCGCGCCTATTTGAAAAAGCACCAGTTCAGCAACACTACGACCGACGATCTCTGGAGCTCTCTGAACGACGCCTCTGGAAAGGACGTTCAGGGCCTGATGCATGCCTGGACCCGCCGTGTCGGCTATCCCGTCGTCAGCGTCCTCTCGGAGAGCTACGATCCCGTCAAGAAGGAGCTGACGATTCATGTGCGACAGAACCGCTTCCTCTCCTCCGGAGCCGCACCCGAGAGCGAAGATACTACCCTGTGGGCGATTCCTCTTTTGATCGTCACCCATCTTTCGCCCAACAGCCCCACCCAGCACGTTCTTGCCGAGCGCGAGGCGGTCATCACCCTGCCCTACGATGACTCGGCCGACAGCTTCTTCAAGCTCAACTACCAGACCACATCATTCTTCAGGACCAACCTGCCAGCATCGTCGATCGAGCGTCTTGGCTCGGCTATCGCAAAGAACATCGACGCCATCTCGGTCGACGACCGCACTGGCCTTCTCAGCGATGTGTTCGCCTTGGCTGAGGCCGGCTATGTTCCTACGACCGACGCCCTCCGTTTGCTCGAGAACTTTGACAAGGAGAACAGCTTCATGTAGGCAATCTGCGCTTGTGTGCACTCGCAGGGGCCCTATCGCTCTGCACCACCGATGCTCATCCAGTTGCTTGTCGGCTTTAGCGTCATGGTCACCATCGTGGACAAGCTCGTGCTCATCAAGAATGCATTCTACCGCGAGGATCCCGCCATCGTGGCTGCCCTTCAGAAACTACAGCTCCACATCTTCGCCAAGAAGGCTCGCGAGCTCGGCATCATCTACTCGCCCGATGACAGCCACATCACCACCCGCACACGAACTCTTGTCATTGGTGCCGCCGTTGGTGCCGGCGACGAAAGGTATGGCCGGGCGCGGTTGCAGATAGCAGGAATGTATCCTCGCGGGTCGGTGGATATACATGGATGCTTTACGGGCCAATGCAGGATCCGCGTGAATGCTTTTGCTTGCAAACATTACTTGAGCCTAACCAAGCACTCTCCATCTCCGCATCCATCGCTTGGATTGCCTTCTCTACCGTCACTGCTTCGAATGGTTTCGTCGGCAACGCTATCATCGGCTGTGGCTTTGACTATGTCTCATGCTGGCCTCTGTGGACTGCGTCGCTGCGCATCTGCCATCGGTGCCGCATGCGTCCCCGGCGCCATTCAGCCTGCGCAAGGAGTACGAGCGACTCTTTGAAGAGTACATCGGCGGCAACACTGAAGCCATCCCTTCCGATCTGTTGCCCGGTGTCTTTGCCGTCACGCTGGCACATAGCAAGCACCCGGAGCGCGACTTTGAGCGTGTCTTCAATTTGTTCCGCACCACCAAGTCAGACGATGTTCGTCTCGCCGCCCTGCGCGCCTTTGGTCACCCGACCGAAACGTCCCTCATTTCCAGGGTCCTCGGGTATACCCTCGACTCTGAGGTGCTCCGTTCCCAGGATGTCACCCAGGTGATCGCGACACTCGCCCTTCGAAACAACAACCCCCTGGTTGCTCGACCCCTTGTCTGGAACTGGATTGTGTCGCAGTGGGAGGCCATTTACGAAAAGTTCTCGGCCTCGCACGCATTGTGGGCCATCTTTGGCTTCGCTATCGAGACTCTGATCGGTGACGAGTACGTCAAGGCCATCTTGGACTGGTCCGAGGGTGCAGATCTCGCTCCCGAGCAGCGGGCCCGCCGCCAGGAGCAAGTCCAGAAGATCCAGATGGTGCTGAACCAGAAAATCGAGACCATTCGTTCTACGACTGCATATGTCGACAAGAACCGGGAGGGGCTCTTGAAGTGGGCTCAAGAGGCTCGAGTCTGAGCCGCCATCTGATCTTGGCTTGATCCTTGATCAGCAATCACTCGGAACCCCAAGGGAACCGTTATAAGAGGCCCGGACTCCTGCGACGAATCCGCTCGTTCCGAGATCCACATTACCCCATCGTCCTTTCAAGCGCTTGAGACGGCCCGCAGTGTTTGCAAAAGTGATGTTCGATTGTCAGGGATGCAATATATATTGAACTGAATGTCGAGTGCCACCAGTGATGGTCGTGGTCTGGTACGGCTCTAGAGTACTCTATGGTTTCTTTCATTCTCGATGCAACCACCAATGCAGGACAGAGACTTGCGGGTGCTACCAGCCCTGGCTGTCGTCCGTGGCATCGTCGAATGCTGGTGCGCTGTTGCGAATCAATGCCACTTGGGTGTTAGCACAAACGCCACCGGCTCAACCGAAGACAGCCCAGATGCAGTATCCCGAGCGTGCTGCCGGATACATATCCTACCTCACTTCGGTGTCGCCCCCACCAAAGTCCACAGATGAAATGCTGGCACTCATGGGCTCGGCCGCCGGGTTCTGGATGCAGGGGCAATGCGCAGTGAGAAGGCTAGCCAGCCAGCCAGCCAGACTATGAGCGACCAGATGTGCTTTGATCGGTGCGCTGTTCCTACCCGGGACGACTTGCCCGCCGCTTCAAAGGAATCAAAGATGGTCCTGGGTCTTGGGTTGGTGCTCTCCTTCTCGCGCTTCTCCTGGACCAGCGCCATGTACTTTTGCATCAGTGGGTCCTGCTGGATGACGTTCAGTCTGTCGTCCTCGATGCGCTTGAGTCTTTCGGCTTCCTCGCGCTCCCTGGCTTCATGCTCCAACCTGATCTGCTGCTCGCGTTCTTCGGCTTGCTCGCGCTCACGTTTGAGCTTCTGCTCTTGTTCATGCCGCTCAAGCTCCTCTTTCTCACGGCGAACTCGCTCCCTTTCTCGCTCCTCTTCCTGACGACGCTCCTCGGCGCGCCTGAGCCGCTCTAGCTTTGCTCTTTCCCACTCCAGCGCCTCTTCGAGCTCGGCCTTTTTCCGCTGCTCCTCTGCATGTGCATTCGCCTCGGAATCGTTCTTTTCGGAGATCGAGCTGTTCTTGGCAAGACTGCTGTCTACCACAGACTGAGACTCGGCTGTGATGCCCTGGAAACCGGCGACCGACTGCTGATGTGCGGGAAGTGGGGTTTGTGGCTTGCCTGTGCTGGCTCCAAGCAGGCCGGACTCTGCCTGGGTCATCGCTGCTTGATCGCATCTCTGTATCGCAGTCCCGATATTGCCTTGGTATTTATCCTCCTTCAGAGACAATTCTCGGTCTCCGAGTTCATTGCGAAGTACTTTTGCTGGCTCTGCGCTGGTCGGTGCTGTTGATTCATCGTTGGGCTGCACATGAGCACTGCTGTGGTGTCGGGTGGATGCGTTCATCAAGGCCGCAGTCTCCCCGGCGTGTCCAGCCTCAAGAGTGGGAGTCACATTATTTGATGAAGGGAGTGGCACCACGGCATCTGGCAGTCGTCTCGACTGCGAGGCAGCCACAACATGCGAGATATCCGGTGGACGATCTCCTTGGTTTGAATGGCCGCCGATGATACATGCCGGATCATCATGTATGTCGTTGGGATGAGTGCGGACTGGGCTTTCCTGATGCGTGAATAGCGAGTGGGTATACTCGACTTGGGCCTGCATGCGCTTGACTTGCTCGAGGTCGTCCTTGATCGAGGAGTGAAGCCGAGCCGCCGTGGTTGGCGAGCCGTGATTGCTGTGGTCGCGACCTGGGCTCTGGGACCAGCCCCAGGCTGGATCGACTCTGCGCTCCCTCGGCACCGGAGACTCGGCCATCAGATCCATATGGGCGTGCTTTGGAGACAGCCTGTCGAACATGCCAAGGTCGACAGGATTGGGGAGGTAGTGCCTGCTATGGGCAAAGGTGGTTGATCAGTGTGCAAGGTGAGTACGGAGGCAACACATCTTCAAACGCATGTGGATCCTGCTTGGCTGGAGGGAACCGGCTAGCGACTGGTGACTACTGTTCCGAAGTGTGGTCGGAGAAGGACCGCTGCATATAGCGCATGAAGGCACGCAAGGGTTGCAATCCGCACCTTGGCTGGGGTGCATCCAGCAGTGTGGGCATCTGTGAGTTCACTTCGCTGGTGTGTAGCTTCAGCTTTAGACTGGCGATCTCGCGTCGGAGCTCCCTGCCCTTGAGAATCTCATCGTCCAGTTGCCTTTGGAGTTCTTCGTTTTGCGACATTTCCTGGTCGAGGCGAACAATGAGCTGTTGGCACTCGCGTTGCCATTTGCGCTCCGACTTTTTGATCTTGGCGAGCTCCTTCTGCTCGTCTTCTTTGGGGAGCATGAATGTCTTGAGCAGGGCCTGATACTCTGTATCAAATCAAAGATGAAACAGCGTGTTGACAAGGCGGATGAGCATGCACAGCTATTGGGACCAGGCTGTTGGCATGCTGATGGACGTTACATCCCTGAATCGCATCCATATCTCACCTTCCTGTCGTCTCTGGGCCGTAAGTTCCGCCTCCAGGAGTTGTCTGGGCGGCATTAGAGAGCACCATAGAGCACAATCAGCGAAAATACGGGCGATTGAGATTCGCTCAACGACACTCTAGAGCGCATTGGTGCGGAATCCATCTCTGCGTTGGGCATAACTGCGATGCCGTCAGGCAGCTACAAAGCTTACTTCTTCAGACTCTGCAGCTCAAATTCCAAGGCAGTTGAGTTTTCGAACGAGCTAACCTGTGGATACGCAAGAAGTGGGATCAGCTTGGCACTGAATACCGTGGAGTCTTTTCGGCAATGAGGCTCGCTTGGCATTCGGCATTGCAAGTAGACCAGATGCCGGTGTGGTCGTACCCGCAGCTCAAGATCCTTGCACTTGACAATGTATTCGTCTCGGGCCTTGGCCGTTTCGGCGAGATCCTGCTTGGCCTGTTTATAGGACTCCCGCAAGCCATCGAGCTCCTCCTGGGATGCGGTAACCTGCTTCATGATGTAGTCGACGGCTTTTTGGCGTTCTTTCAAGATCTCCCACTCGGCTGCAGCGCGGGTATTGGCAAATTGAGTGCGGTTGTTCCATTGAGTCCAAGAAGAGAGATTGTATCAACTTACACGAATGCATCAGTGCCCATACGAGAAAGTGTTGACTCATGAGCCGTGCATGGGTCAGATCATCGTCGCCGCTGTTGGGGGAGGGCAGGCTGGTCGTCGATAGCCGCTTGATCGACGACGCCTGGCACTTTCGCTAGGGCATTGCACTACTTGAGATTGTCAACCATATCTTGCGATCGACTCACCTTCGATCTTTGTTTTCTCGATCTTGACGCTCGAGAGCTGTTCTGCGTGTTCCTGGTTCAGCTCCACCTTGTATCTTGGTGTGAGAAAGCGACGGCGTTACTCCCGCGGTGCAACCTTGCAGCTTAGAAGCAGTGTTTCTGGCGGAGGTGATCTTCTTGCACCACTGGATCAGCAAGAATAGCCGACCAAAGACCTACTGCGCCATTGTCTCCTGCATTTTGAGAGTGTATCTCTCTTTGAACTCCTGCAAGTCCTTGACGTGTTCCATGGCCTGCTCGTATCGTCTGTTGAGGCTCTCATAGTCCAGCTTCATTGCCCGCGCCTCCATTTCGGCCTCGTTTCGAATCTTTTGCTCTGTGAAGATCACACGGTTGCTTTCTTCCAAAAGCCGTTGTCTCAGCTCAATGTTTTGGCGCTCCACCTCCTGCCAGGACAGAGCATCGGGTTGACGACCCGCGAGTCAGTGACCTATTTGTGCGTTGGCAGCTTTGCCATCGGCATCCGATGCTCTGGTTGCACTCAAATCTGCTGCCCCCAGCGACCCACGCGCGATTCAGGGCAGATCTCATTAAACCCGCACCTTCTCCCGTGCTTCGACCCGCTTCTTCTCGTCCTCTTCCCATTTCAGGATGCTCTGAGTCTTCTCAAGGTTAGCCCTTTCGAGCTCGGCCCGCAAGTTGGCTGCGTCCTGCTGATATCTTGCCTTCTCCTCCAGCCGCATTTTGGCAAGCTCGACTTCTTTGAACTTGGACACCTGTGCAGTCATGTTCCATGAATCCGTGCGTGAGCGGCATTCGGGTACGCTTGGACAGGGTCATGTTCTCAACGAGAGACAATCAGTCGATGCCCATACCTGGTCTTGCACATCCTGCTTCATCCGGTGCTCCAGCTCATCTTGATACTTGAGCAGTCTGTTTTCCAAGGCATTGATCTGCGCTTTACTGTCCTCCAGTTTCTTCTTGTGAGACTCCTCATCCAGCTGTCGAAGTTTGATGTCTGCCGATGCACCGTGTTGATGATCCAGAGGTTGAATAGATTGAAGGGATGCGGCGGGGATGAGTGATCAGGAAGAGGCAGTGGCTTTGTGTTCGACGCTGCCATGAAACGATGCGCTTGACTGCAATATGACTTTGCGAGCATATTGGTGCACCCTGGGCACATTCCGATAGATCATGGCATAACCGCCATGATTTGCTACAGCCTCACCGCGGCCCCGTGCCCTTTCGGCGCAGCGACTCACCCAATATATCTTGGAACTCAAAGTCGGTCTGCATTTCCTTTTCGACAAAGACAATGTCTCCGGCTCTCGAGAGCCCGTGTAGGAGCCTCGGAAGCAGCCCTGGAGACGGCATGGTGGTTGATGGTGAGAAAGCGCAGAGTTGGCTGCGGCTGGTTTCGTGAGCACAGCCAACGACGATCGAGCCACCGAATGATGCTGCAGGCCCGCAGTGACTTGGGCTGACCTGCGTCCTCGGTTTCGATCAGGGGTCTCTGAGATCCAGTGAGAGATTCAGCGAGAGATTCGTGTCAGGACTACGATCGTCTGTGTGCCGTCATGCGGTGGAAGGAGTTCATCACACTTGCCAGATTTCGGAATAGTGCAGTCGGATGGTCAATGTTCAGAACCCGGATGATATCGTCCTTCGAGAATGCCTGTGGGCCACAGACGGCATGCGGTCAGTGAGATCCAGTCGCACCAAAGGTCCAACGACTGGAACATCGCCGGCCAAGCTACCGGTGTCGAGAATGAGACGCCGATCTCTGGATGGCTGGACGGAATATCCATTGATCGTGCCCTGCACCACGCCCTTCAGACGTCGATCAGACCACCATCGAGGCACATGGCATTGCACTTGCACCGCAGTCTCCCTTGCTTGCCTGGCCGGCTTGATCGAGGCCGCATTCCGGCAGAAACACAGAAAGAGTGTAGTCAAAATCGCGGTATCGGAGATACTCGAGGATCAGACTGTCGATCGCCCTATTGAGGATGGTTGACTTTGGCGAGCCAGGGTCGCAACAGTGCTGGGCCCGCGCTGTCGAGGGAATCCGCAGCTTCAGCTCCGAGACGATCCTGGATCGCAGCTGCGACTGCCGGCCAGAACACCAGGCCAGTGTCCCAGACGGACGAAAGTGGGGCAAGAAACAGAGTCAGTCTCTGTCAGCCTTCATGCATCATCTGCGGTTGATCAGGTGCCAGGAATGAAGTGAGTGGCCGGGGCGATCAGGGCAGCAGGTCCGAGTCGATCAGGGCAGCAGGTTCGAGTCGATCAGGGCGGCAGGTCCGAAAGCCGTTGGAGACCACCTTGAGCTTATCCGCAACGCCGGTCTTCCGGAGCGACTCGAACAGCCTGGACCTGAGCTCAAAGCTCGACAGATGCTCTGGATCAGACTGCATATGCGAGGGGCACGGTGTGAGGGCGAAGCGGGGCTTTGTATTTCTTGGGAAGCCGATGGATGACAGGCGAGCAGCAAAACCAAAGTCAAAATCAATGCTCAGATTCCAAAAAAAAAAAAAAAAAAAACTGGTGGCGAAAGCAACAGCGAGCCATCAGCGGCACTGCATGGATGGATGGGGCGCCGTGGCCATGAGGCTGCTGGCAAGGATCGGCGGGAATGCTGGCGGACTGAGCGACAGGGTCCTTTGGCGGGCAAACGACCGGTGCAATGAGGTATTCCATGTGTGCGCCTTGGGGAATCGCTGCCGAAGATCCTGGCTGGCTGGCTGGCTGGCTGGACTGCACAAGGATCAGTCGTCGCCATCGTCGCTAGTGATGGAGGAGATGTCGGTGGAGCTGGAGCCTGAAAGCTGGCTGGAGCCTTCGTCGAGGTCGTCGCTTTCTGTGAACGTAAAATCCCATTCAAGCAGCGACCGATCGAATGAGCTCGAGAGAAGCTTGTTGCGAGTAAAGCGCAGGCTCCAGACCTGCGACCCCTCCGACCCAGATACAGCAAAGTTACAGTACTTGTGAGCCAAGACTTTGAGCACCATCAAGCACCCGACACTCGACTCTGATCCCCTCCACGCTCTCTGCAGAACAGCGAATCCTTAGTTCTCGCCGCCGCCTCGAGCCCATCGATTCAGCCGAGATGTCCACCGGAATCGTACCGTATCCGAGTGCTCCTTGAGGGTGTAGAGACACTGGCCCGATGCCAGAGTCCAGACCTGGAAACAGTCATGATTAGTTCGCTTTGTCTTGCTCGGCATCGGGCAAGCGCTGTATCGGTGGGATATGGGAGAGAAGAGGGGCAGTTGGAGGCCCTGAACCCCCTCCAAGCTGCCGGGGCACTCCTTTGGGATGCGACTTTCCCACGGCCCCATCTCCCATGTTGCTTTCTCGTCTCACCTTGATCGTGTTGTCAGAACTGCCGCTGACGATCTTTTGCTTGTCAAACTGCAGACAAACGACACCGCCGAGATGGCCCTCAAGCGTGCGCTTGATTTCGCCTGTGGCCACGTCCCAGACCTTGATGGTCATGTCGTCGCTCCCAGAGACGATCAGCGAGTCATCGAACTGGACGCAAAAAACGTTGCCGCGGTGGCCACGCATCGTCCTGACCAAATGGGATGAGGCTTCGGACGAGCCTACCAAGGCTGGATCCATAGCCAAGTCGGTGCTCCAGACACGGATGGTGTGGTCGGTGGAGCCGCTCACGATCGTGGATCCACAGGCTTGGAGGCAGCAGATCGCTCCGGTGTGACCCCGGAGGATGTGAGTGCACAGCCCGTCGTAGAACCGCCATACCTGCCGCGGTGTTGAGGTCGGCAGCCAGAGTCAGGAGACAGGACACAATCGTGCGTATGAAACCCCATTTCGAGTCTGCGTCGCTGGTTTGCGCCACTGTCAGCTTGAGCAGTCGGACCACATCCATACCCTGATGGTCTGATCCTCTGAGCCCGATACGATCGTGGCGCCGTTGCTTTGGATGCAGCTGATTTCTCCAGAGTGGCCATGGAGGATTTTGACGGTCTGGCCCGTCATCGAGTCCCATATCTTGATCGTACGGTCAGCACCGCCGCTGATGACATGCTGTTGGGCGAACTAGAGCGCATATCGATGAGTCAGAGCAAGTGTAGAGACGCGGCTGTTGGCAAATGACACATCCAAGCGTGGGAGAGCAAGCCTCTAACCTTGACAGCCGAAACGAATCCCTGGTGGCCGTGCACCTTGAATTGACTGTGCCCAGTGTGCATGTTCCACTGGCATGAGTGAGTTGGAGTGTCGCCGTGAGTATCGGGACGGAGGAGGCTGGGCCAGGTTTATCCCAGTCCAGAACAATCAAGATTAACGAGTCACATTCGACAGACAATCGGACACGGCGAATCGATCGAGCTCCGCCGTCCCGAGATGCCTGTTTAGTTCATCAGACATACCAGCTGGATGTTTCCCTCTTCACCGTTGACCACCGAGACAACCCAGGCATCGTCAAAATGAATTGCGAGGTTGCCACGACCTGTTGGAGCCATCATAGCCCGTATCAGCAACGATTCGATTCAACAGCGAGATCAAGTCCACAAATCCTTGGATAAGCGTACACCAGCTCTACGACTCAATCTTCGCGGTACACCGGATGGCGACGACCCCTCGATTTTATCGTTTTCCTGTACGCTGCTGCTGCCAAGACCTCACCGTTTTGATTCGGGGCGATGCGTCTCGTGCGGTAGTGGCCCTTGGTCCAGTTGATGGCCGTGAGGTAGTTCTCCTTATAAACCTTCCGCCATGGCCAGCTGTAGATCAAGCCGAGACTGGACGAGAACGGCGAGCCCACCAGCGTTGTTTCCGAGAGAGGCCCTGGGTCCGAGAAGCGTATCGGATTGCGCTCGCGCCAGGAGAAGAAATGCAGGAGCTTGTGTCGGTCGCCGGAGGAGGCATCGAGGGAGATGAAGCCCCGGGCGCGACAGAGCCGCTTCCAAAGGATATCATCACGAACGACCTGGTTCCAGTGCCTGGATACGGCCGAGGCAGTGGCCAAGGCCGAGGGCGTGGAGTGGAGATAGGTGAAGATGTGAGAGAGGACTTCGTTGGGGAGATCGGAAATGGTGGGCGGCAGGCCGAAGTGAAAGCGCCGGGGAGCCGACTGAGCCCGGCCCGACGGATGCGATCGAGGGTGCCGATAGAGATTCTGCCGCATGTGGTTGTAGACCCTTGTGAACTCGTCGCCGTTGAGGCAGTTGTGAAGGATGGAGGCCACAACGACCATGCGGTCAGAGCTCGAGAGCAAGTCGAGGGTATGCATCAGCTTGGTGCAGAACCAGTCCAGGTGCTCGATGCTCAGCTTGCCGTCATCACAGGGCGGCGAGCTGGGGCCGGCGGCCGTCGAAGTGAAATCAAGCTCAGAGTGGTTCATTGACAGGGCTTGTTTCAGATGGGTCTGCCAGTGTGTGTTGCAGTGGTGCTCTTGGTGCAAGCCAAAGGTGGATTGTTCATGCATGGCAGCGTGGGAATCGCAGGCGAGTCGAGGAGCAGAGCGTCGGGGTTGGTGGTGGAGCAGTCGAGATTGTCGTCAAAGTTGACGCCGAGGCTTGCCGGAGAGATGAGCTTGGCGGGCGGGATGTCCTTGAACTATATATACTGCACGGCCGGAGGTTGGATAGAGCCCGGCACCGACAGTCGCTGGAACGGACCCTCGAAGATGCGCTTGGTTGGCCAAGCCGTCGCTGCGGGCGGCTACGGGTTGAGAGCAAGACAGAACAAGCGCGGTCAAGAAGGACGATGCCGCAATCGATTTTCCAGAGGCCACGATAGTGCAAGGAACGGCGGCAGAATTCTATGATTGAAAAGGGGGTCCTCTGTTGAACCGGGGCGACACAGGAGGGGCAGCCTCCTAGTTGCTCTCGTAACTCGCGTGGGATGAGGCACCGTTCTCCAGATTTCTTGATTCGGGCCGGGACAGGCCTCCATCAGCGCAACGCAGGTACGCCCTCGACATCAAAATGACATGGTACGCCATGCGACACAGAGTAATCAGGATGCAGGTGGGATATATTGCTGGGGCGTGTGCAATGTGCAGAGTGCAATGTGCAATGTGCAATGTGCAATGTGCAATGTGCAATGTGCAATGTGCAATGTGCAATGTGCAATGTGCAATGTGCAATGTGCAATGTGCAATGTGTAATGTGCAATGCATCATGATGACCGCTATCTCCAAGGAGCACTCGACGAGGCAGTCAGAGATGGGGCAGTATCAGTGTCGCCAGCAACACGGCGAGATGGCATATCCACGATGGCCCAGGCAGCGTCCCTATCGAGGAATAAACCCGGACATGATCGATCAGCAGCTCGCCCCAGGATGCCGAGCCGTTGGGGCCTGCCCCGCCTGAGCCTGGGTCGCTTGAAACGATGGCCAGGTTCAGCACTAGAAAGTAGTCGATCAAGCTGGGCGTAAAGGCATTCGTGTCGGTGTGCTTTTCTCGACTCAGAAACCGAGGGACGGCCCACATATGGTTGGTAAAGGTGGTGATGTTGTCGATGCCAAAGACGACCAGGTTGGGAGACCACTCGAGCCAGTAGAGGTGAAAGTCATCCGAGAGGTCCGCATCTGACGGCGAGTAGATGCTGCCTTGGATCGCCGAGGCACTGGATAGCGAAAAGCCATCGTTGGCCCAGATCGCGGAGGCCAGGCTGTTGGAGCTCGAGTTGACGATCATGACATCCAGCTCGCCATAGGCGGCCGGAACATTGAGCTGCGCGGCCCGGGTGCTGTTGATGAGCAACCAGAAGGCCGACAGGGCGCTGGCTCCCGGTGGAACCTTGGCTCGGAGCTCGAAGCGACCCATGTTGAGCGAGAACTTTGTATCGGTGTCGAGCCAGGCCGAGGCAATCGAGGCACACGCGGTGTCGACGCAGAGGGACTGCAGCCGCGGCCGAATGACCAACGAACCGTTCGAAACAAAGACGACAGAGGGGTCGTCGGTGTAGCAGGCGACTCCGTTCCAGCGGGGGTCGTTGCAGGTGGAGCGGACGTTCCATTTGGTGGTGTCGATTTGGTCCGAGTCAAAGTCGTCGCTGAAGACGAGGGTGTTGCTGGGGACTGGTGGCAGCTGAGCGTGAGAGACGACAAGACACAGCGACAGCCAGAGGAAGAGACTCAGGGCCCGCCGGTATGGGACCAGCAACGGAACGCGGGCCGGAAATGACATCTAGATGTATTGCCGGAAGTGAGGGCGGGATGGAGGGACTGGAGCTGAAGGCATCGACCATTGCAGCGGATTGCAGGCGTCGGCGTGGGGAGCGTGAAAGTATCTCTGTCGAGGACAGGGCCGGAGAGATAGGCGATTCAAGACAGGCAAGGAGGTGACGTCGAAAGCCGGCCCCAATCACACCGCAGCGCAGAGCTGTTTGGGCTTGCAGGAGCGAGGTACAGGAGGCCATGCAGCAATGGGGCGTGAATTTGTGCAGAGGGCAGGCTGGCCGTCGTGCTCTGGGGCCTCAGCGAGTTATCAAAGACTGTGGAATCCGTTGTGCATTGGCACTTTTTGCATCATGTGCTGTATTACGAGGGAGGGGGGGGGGATTAAAGCAGCATCAGCACGGCCTGATTGTGCTGAACATGGGTCTACACGAGGCTGCAAAAGACAAGATCAGGGAAACGATAGAGGGCGAGCGACGGGGAGTGGAAATCGAAAGAGGTTCCATGACACGCTTAGTTCTTGGCGGACTTGCGGGACTTGGTCTTGGGGACCTTGGACTTGGTGGGCTTGGGAGCCTTGGTCTTGGTGCTGTGGGCAACCTTGGTGCTCTTGGAGGGAGCGCCAACGCCGTAGTAAGGAGTGCAGAGCTGCAGACGAGGAGCAAAGGCAGGGACAACGATGTGAGCATTATCGTATCAAGGCTGGCGGGACGGATTGAGCTCGGGGTCTTGGGTCCTGTCCTGCAAACACACTTGGCCCAAGAACATGCCCCGATATGCAGCAGAATCGAAGGCGGGACACATACAATGCGGTCGGCGCGCTGGGGGTTGGGGCGACAGACGGAGCCCTGGGGGCAGGACAGGGAAGTCAGCTTGCTGCCTGCAAGAACAAATAAGAGTTCGAGTAGTGTTAGTCGAGAGAAGCGACCAGCCGGAGAGGAATCGGATAGCAGACATCGTTTGCAAGATCCCGAGACGTACCAAAGTGGATGACATAGTCGCCGCTGACACCAGCGTTAACACAGCCCTCAACGGGGGGGCTGCTGACGGCAGCGAGGGAGGCAGAGACGAAAGCGAGGAGAGCGACGGCCTTGGCGATGAACATGGCTGGAGATGTGCAGACAGAGGGATGTGCTGGATGCGCTGGAGCTGTGCTGGAGAACTTGTCACGACGGATGCAGAGCCAGACGTCCGAGGTCCGGCGCTTATATCCTGCGCCAGCACCAGGGCCGCCGTGGCAGACGAGAAAGCACGGATCGCCGCACATGCCCTCGTGACGGGCCGCGCGCGACGGTGCGACCCACGCGAGCACTGTCACGTGTGCGGGCAAGGGCTGTGCGCCGCAGCTGGCGTGGCACAGCGCAGCAGTGCGTGCGTGTGTGCGGCAACACGGGAGCAGGGGACGGGGCCCGGGCAGCACAGGCCGAGTGGGCGACACCACAGTCACACTCAGCACATGTCCTCGCACAAATGGGTCGCACAGTGCGCCCCGACGCGGTCGCGTGCAGGCGTGACGCGCCGACAAGCCTGTGGCGTGGCGTGGCGGCCCCCTTGGCCACCCCCACCCTCGTTCTCGGCCCAGCGACCCGCCTCTCTTTCGTTTCTGGCTTCTGGCTTCTGGCTTCTGGCTTCTGTCGCCAGAGAAGATCGACGGCACTGGCCTTGCGTATCTCCCTGCACATCGACGCCGATCGCCCTCAGCCGCGGGTCCTCGTCTGGCCTGCTCGTTCTGCTTCCGGTCCCTGTCCGGCACTTTCCTGTTTCCCGACTTTCTTCCTCGGGCCAATCGCAGCATGCTGCTGTGGTCGCTGGCGGCCGCACGTTTCTCGGCCACGCGGTGGGGATCGCTCCAGCAAAGGCCTTCTGCACGCCTCGCCCAGTTGTGCTGCTGGCGCCAGAGACAAATTTGCTTGCGTTGCCCTGGGGCCGAGGGACAGGCGCCTGCTGGTGACCGCCAGAACCCCCCGCCAGACCAAGCGGCACAAGTTCCGTCCGTTGCCGTATCGCGCTCTCGTCGCCGGCTATCTCTGCCGTATCAAAGCCCGTCCCGACATCCAGCTTTCCCCCCTTGCTTTTGGCGTTGAGCACCGCAATCGTCCAAATCAAAAGCGCGGATCAGGTTTCATTCAGGCGGTATGAGCAGTTTGCACAGCGCTTGGCGCCATGCAAGGCTTCAGATGCTATATTTGATATGCTTTGTCGTCGTTGCTGGGAATGGATGACCCGCGGCTGCGGGCTCGGCGCACACAGATGCGCTCATCCATTTCGCCTGCAGATCGACGACTTCACACCTTGACGCAGTCGGGAGAGCAGGGCCCATCCTTTCTGCAACAAGTCGACCCCGTGCAGGCCAGAGTTCATGTACACAAGAGCCACCCCACATCCAGCAGGCCACGCCGCTTAGGCCTGGAGACGGCGAGAGACAAACTGCGCGCGGTCAAACTTGTTCAGGTTCTTGTGGCAGACGATTTGGTAGGCCGTGGCGCTTCCCTGGCGGGCAATGATGGTCGACCAGGCCAGGAACAGCTCCCAGCAGCGGAACCACCGGACGCCGTACTTGTTGGTCATCTCGGTCTTGTTGTTCATCCAGTTGAGGTACCAGCGGTAGAGGGTGGCCGAGTAGTGGACGCCAATAGTGTCCGTCGACTGCACCTCGAATCCAGCGCGCTCGAGCTGCTCCAGGACCCAGTTCAGGGGAGGCGAGGCGTCGGCACCCGGGAAGACGTACTTGGCCATGAACAGGCCCCACATCAGGTCCTCGTACTGCCAGGCGCGACGCAGACCGGCAATCTGCAGGAAGAAGATACCGTCGTCCTCGAGCATCTCGCGGACCTGGATCAAAAAGTCCTGGAACTTGCGGATGCCGACGTGCTCGGCCATCTCGAGGCAGGTGATCTTGTCGTACTTTTCGTTGGGGATATCACGGTAGTCCATGCAGAGGATGCGGACACGCTCCGAGACACCGGCCTCCTGGGCCTTGCGCATACCCCACTCGGTCTGGTTGCGGCCGAGGGTGACACCGGTCGAGTTGGAGCCCTTCTTGGCGCAGTGGACGGCGAGGGTACCCCAGCCACAACCAATGTCGAGGTGGCGGTCGCCCTCCTTGAGACGGATCTTTTCGGCCACGAGGTTGAGCTTGTTGTCCTGGAGCTGCTCGAGGGTCTCGACCTTGGACTTGTCGGCGATGATACCAGAGGTGTAGACCATGCGGTCTCCGACTGGATTTGGCGGATGGGAGAGCGAGAGCAGAGGAGCGTCAGCAGAGGCCGCGATCGCTGCGGTGGCGGGCCGCCTCGATAAGAGAGGAGGATCTGCAACGGCCAGCTTTGGTTTTGATGGATTCGGACACGACAGGAGGCGCTACTTACGGAAGGAGTAGTAAAAGTCGTCGCCACGATCGTAGTGCTCGCGGACCTGGTCCTCATCTTGCTTCTTGGAGTGCCAGAGGGTCTCGGGGATCCACTGGGTCAGGAAGAACTTGGCCTGGCTCAGGGTAAAGGTAAAGTTGGCCCAGTCATAGCGGTTCTCGAGCAGCTCGAGCATATCGACCTTGATGTCGATCTTTTCATCAAAGTAGGCCTCGAAGAAGGTCTCGATGGGGATCTTGTTCTTGCCCTTGTAGCCGCTCAGCTCGCTCGACTTGATCTCGAGGTAGTCCTCGATGTTGCGGCCAGGGAGACCCTTCTGCGGGCGGACGGGCTTGGCGATGGTGCAGAAGATGACGTTGAAGATCGCAAAAGTGGGCAGGGCCAGGATGACGAGGAGCAGCGGGTACCAGCGGAGCGAGATGGGCAGGATCACGTTGACGACAGCGGGGACGCCGACGATGGCCGAGATGAGCTTGGCATTGGAGAACGTCAGCGAGCCGGCACCCTCGACAAAGTGAAGCTGGGGAGCAACGGACTGCTTGGCAGTATACTGGGGAGCCATCTGTAAGCGGGGAAAGCCAACACGACGGAGCGATGGCGTGCAACAGAACAGCAAGTTCAGCAGGGGGGGGAAAGCAGAGAGAACGACGAGCCGATCAGTAAAAAGCACACAAAGCAGCGGCAGGTGGCAAAAAAAGAAAATATGCACAGATCGTGCTATGGCCTCGGCTGAGCAGAGCCAGATCGCAGCAGCAGCAGCAGCAGCAGCAGCAGCAGCAGCGATCCCATAGCAGGGCCCGCCGCATAATGGAGCTGAGGCACACCGCCGGAACCAAGCGCGGACGAGCGAGCCTGATCTCAACGAAAGGCAGCTGAGCCGGAAGAGGGATGCCGCGGCATCGCACCGGTCGCAGATGACCTCCATCGAGCCACGGGACCCAGCGAGCCAGAGCGAGGCAGCGGAGCAGCACCGGGGGTGCGTACCTTGGATGCGACCTGAGACGGCTAGCGACAGCAGCGACGGTGGTGGTGGATGAGAAAAAAAAGGAGAGACCGGAGCGAAGGGACTTTATAGGACGGGGACGGGGGGGGCGAGCGGCCGCGCTGGCCCCTGGTGGGAACCAGCCGCAACAAGGCATGGGACGCAAGGCCAGCCGGCCAGTCGCACCTGTCGGCTCGATATACACCACCACCGGGTCTTGTCTTGCAGCTTGGCTCTGTGTGTCCGCGGCCCGATTTGGACGGGCAGACGGGCGCGGTGCCGCACGGTTCGCAGCCGCGCCCAAAAAGGCAACCGGCGCCTTGCTGGGCCGGCGCGGCGTTGCGAACACACTGGCGTGGCAGCACTGTCGACAACAGCAATCTGCCTCGCCAACAACGGCAATATGAGCAGCAACAACGGCGCCGAGAATAGCAGCAGTAGCATGTGGGTGCTGGTGACGCTTGGGCCTTGACATTTGCTCCAATCGCAACCTCAACCGCAACCGCAACCTCAACCGCAACCGCAACAGAGACGCCCGCAATAGCAGCACCGACGAGCTTGCCAAGCTCCGACAAGCTCGCCAAGCACAAGAGCCGCCCTCCCCCACTGCGCGCGCGTCTCTGGGGCGTCCTGCACACTCCGCACCGTCACACAGCGACGCGCCACCGCACGCGGTCTGTGTTGCCACTGCACAAACCTTGCTGCTGTCTGTGCTGCGCTGCTGGCCGTCCAATCGGATGCCTGTGCGCGTGCGCGTCGCACCGCGGCCAGGCGCCTTGGTATTGCATGTTGTGCAACCAAACAGTTCCGCCGCGTCGCGTCGCGTGCCAGCCCTTGCCCTTGCCCTGGGTGCCGCCTCCTTCCCCTGTTCTTCGGATCGGCTGCGGGGCCACCACCGTTGTTCCCAGCCCCGATCTCGGCCCTGTGCGTGTGGCAAATCGTGGGAGCAGAGTCTGTATTCGCTCGCGGGCCGATGCCATATCCCTCAATCCAGGCCTATGCGCAATCCTACTCGTTGTACCCCGTTTCCCCGTCGATCGCGTTCGGTTCTTCAGAGCAGTCCTCGATGATCTGGTGGATGATGTGGTTCAGCGCCGCAACTCCTCCGTCCGACAGGCTGAAGATCGAGCTGCCCGATCGAGACAGAGTGCGTTTGGAACTGGTTCGGTCCCGCGGACTCAGCAGTCTTCGGGCGCCGTCGCCAGTGCTGCCTGCTCCCGCGACCTGGAGCTCGCCCTCGTAGCTCAAAGTCTCCGAGACATAATCGCTGTCTGGACAAGACTCTGCGCCCTCCTCAAAATCAGCGTCCAGATCAATAGATGATTTAGACTCGCTGAGCGCGTCGCTGCTGATGGGCAGGGACGCACTGGATATGCTCGCTTCTGCCATTGCTGCGCCGTGCGTCGTGGAGGGGCTGATATCGCTCTCGACGGCTGCTTCTGGCTGTGATGGCGCTGGCGAGGCTTCGAGGTACCGACCAGCCAGCACACGCGAAAGTGTCGGGCATGGCTGATGTGCTTGACAGCGGGCACATACAAGAAAGTGCGTGACGATCGAGATGTTGAGCTCAGCAACAGCGAGATGGTAGTCCGAGACAACCTGTTCGAGGGTGTGCCAGATACATGTGTGCGAGATAAGCATGTGGCAATGGACTGTGCTAAGGACGTGCATTCCTCGGCAAACACGACCGGCCAGACGATCTGAGCAATGGAGATGATGTGGATCCCAACGCTGCGCGAGCAATGGTTGCAGTGCGCTTGACATGGATGGCATGGGCTGTGCGGGTCCCTTTGCCCCAGCGTCGATTTGCTGCACATATTGCAAAGCCAAGGGTCACTCACCAGTTTGTAGTTCAGCCCGCCCAGGTTGTTGCGGTACATGTTCTCAATGTCCACCAGCGACACCGATTCCTCGCCGTCCTTCATGCTGCACACAAAATGGCCCGTAAACTCAGCAAAGTACTCCTCTTCCCACTCCAGAACCGAGTCCAGATAGCCGATCAGCTGCAGGGCAGCCTCCTTGCTCCACTTGGATGTGAGGCTGCGTGTGAACAGCGCTGCGACCGATGCCGGCTCGTTGATCAGCAAGAATGCAACGCACAGACCCAGTTGCGGGCGCAGCGTCCATCCCTTCGAGATGTGTGCAAACACGATTCCGGCCAAGTCCGGGAGCCAGTCGGCAAAGACAGTTCGAAGCAGCCGGCTGACCGATTCGATCTTCCAGCCTTTGATGAGCCACGACAGCCCGCACGATACCTGGCCGAGCTTATAGTCCTTCAGCAGCGGCGCCAGGTGTCGGGCGATGCAGTCGGCGTTGTTCTCGTCGCGGACAAAATGGTAGAACGAAGCATTCCACAGCCGATCCATGGTCTTCATGCTCCAATCCGTGTCTGGAGAAGAAACACATCGGACTGAGCCATGTGCCAGCCTTGTCATCTGGGTGTGCGTGCCATGCAACAGCTGTCACATTCCTCTCCGATGTACCCTGTATCATCCTTACCAATGTGCGAGATGGACTCTTCCCAGTCCTGTGTTGGATCGACCTCTTTGTCTCGGTCGCTGGACCCAGGAGCCAAAGGAGATCCGCCATTGGCGGCTTGCGAGTTGGCCTGTTTGATGTCGGAAACAGCATCGGGGCCTGGCTCGCTGCTCCGGCTGTCTGCGGTTGATAGATTGCCTTGGCCGTACACCCGTCGAGCGGTCTCCCGCTGCCGTTGGTGGTCTCGGGCCTGTCGAATCTCGGCAATGGTCCGGCATTCAGGATGCAGTCCTGCCGTGCGTGCGCTGTACAGCGGGCTGTCGCCCTGAGTCGGGACATAGTTCTTCCAAGGGTTGCGTCCAAGGATCTCGAGCGGGATGTCCGAGTTTTTGAGCACGGCGGAGAGTGTCGAAGCCTTGAGCTTTCCTAGTTTCATGGCGTCCAAGTGAGTTTGCAGCGCCTGGCGCTTGATGAATGTGCTGCGAGCGGGAGCAATGACAATGTTCTGCTGAAACTCGGCGGTGGTTGATGCGGCTGTTCGGATGCGCCTGGCGGTGAGCACGAGTGACTTGATATTGGCGGTCGTCGATCGGCCTGCAGGATATTCGGCTTAGAGCGGACTTGCTTGATGCGAGCTGTAGCAAATTGGCCAGCGACAGCACACAGATTCTGCGGCGGTATCGTCCGTCCCGATTGCGAGTATCGGCAATGACCATCAGGATTGCCCACCATCGCCAGCATAACGATGCGTGGCAGGGAGAAAGCTTGATGGTTAGCGATGAATGATATGCCGGTATTCAGAGAGCCGGGAAGAGCCAAATGAGTCGGCCGGATGCTCCTCCAGCAACTCTCATGGGCATCCGGCGAGTCAGCCATGACTTTGCTGATGTGCTCGTTGCCGACACAGGAATGCCTCGCTGTCAAGCAGTGCCAGTCACACCGTACCCACCTGTGCAGGCTCCAGGCTTGCCGGCCTGGGAGGATCAGGATTCGTAGCTTCTTTAATAGCATACTCGCAGGGACTCGCAGTCTCTCGAGGAGCCACTGCCTCTGCGGCCTCATTCACTGTGAGGGTGCTGCTGGGGTGTTGCGCAACAGGCCTCCTCGCCGGAATGTTTTTGTTTTGACGACCCTGTTCTTCTCGGAACCATCGACTCCATCCTCGCACACCAGCCGAGGGGTGATATATAGAGTGAGCGGAGGGCGGAGGCTGGGCGGGAGTGCTTGGGGGCTCGACAAGCAAACAGCTCAGGGGCTCTCCAGGTGGGCTCATGGCCAGCCTCCGGCATCGAAGCAGTATCCAGTCCAAGAGCCCGAGTTTCACCACCGCACCGGGGCGACCCGCACTCACTTTTGCACAGCGACGAGCTCCGGAGCATGATTGGCTGTTGCGTCAAGCAAACAGACGACATCACCCCTGAGATGATCTCGCCTCTCACGCTCATTGGCCGCGCCTGCTACCTGACTCCAGCACCATCCGATCTTCACCTGGGCAGCCCACTCCATTCCAGTTCGCCCCGTCCAGTGGGCGGTCCCTTTCCTTGCGTCTTGTTTCCATCATCGGCGCATTGGCAGCATCACAAGCAAACACCATGAGCAGGGTACGTAGCCCATGCTGTTGCTGTGCTTCCAAGTGCATAACGTCGCTGCAGAGACTCGACTGACCCCACTGCAGGAGTACCGCCGCTAACAAGGGAAAGGACTGTCCACAGAGCATTGATATGGTCTTTGACCGGTTCGAGGAATGTCGGAAGACATCAGCGGCCTTGGTCCGGTCAGCGAGCGAGCTGTGAGTACAGGCCCGACTCGCCGTGCTTTGCGACGATGCATCTCCAGAGTCTTTCACCAGAGGGCCCAGAAGGCCCGAGCCACAGCGACATCATTGACTAACCGTTCGGCGACCACACTGAACTCTTGGACCAATTGCTCGGACCTGCATCGAACCCATGCCTCTGACCCACATCCCACCAACATCCCACCAACATCTCACCAACATCCCACCAACATCCCACCAAATGCAACCAAATGCTGCTTGACTCAACCTGCCGACAGCACAAAGGTCATCCGCAACTTTTCGTGGTCACCCGAGCGGCCCGTTCGCGAGTCTCCCATCTTTGACCAGCTCTTGAACATATCCGGTCTGCTGAGATCGACGCTGGATACAACGTCTCTGCAAATATCGTGTGATCTTGAAGAGTCTGCCAGAGAGATCATGACATACGAAGACGAGCTCGGGCGGATGGTAACGATCGCGGGATGGTTATCGCCATCATCCGTGCAGATGTGAGGGGGAGACGGCGTTTACCCACAGTCGTGTGTTGATCATATGGGCTGTGCAAACTGGTGGACGACTGCTGAGTGGCATGGCTTGCCCGATCGATTCGCAGATCGAAGACCGCCATTTCAGCTACGTCAATAGTCTGCAGCAAATCCAGTACAACATACAGGAGGTACAGAATCAGCATCGGTGCTTCTGTCGCTGCTCAAACGGCAAGCTGGAGTGGTACACTAGTGAAGCCCATGCACGCATGCCATTGATCGTCCTGTGTGCTTGGGGCCTCTGCCCACGCTAGTGCTCTGAGGACTATGTACTCAAATGCAAGCGGCTCAACATGGCCAACGAAAAGTTTGGCCGAGCAGGCCCATCGACGCCCTGGAGCGAGCGGAAGAAGGTATTTGTCGTCGGGCGTGTTCCCGGGTCCAAGTTTGGATATGGAAACCGGCTGCATCTTTTGGCTGGGCGGCCATATCCACAGTCGTGAGCTGTACTGACCCAAAGTGCCTGCGTGCTGCAGATCAAGCTTACTTGGAACAGCGCCAAGGAAGCCTGCGACGAATCAGGTCAGAGACAAATTGGCTCTTGTTGAACTGTGAGCAGACCCGTCTGGTTGTATCTGACGGAATGGCCGTCTCACGACACTTGGCATCTCTAGAAATCGCATACCGTCTGTGCAAGGGACAGTTGCTCGAGCTCAACGAGCAATGGGCCATCCAGCTAGCTGAGCTTGAAGAGGTGCGTGTGCCCCCTTGGCTGGGCTGTGTTTGCTGAATGGAAGACTGCAGACACTGGCCCCGCAGTGTATCGATGGCGACGGAAGGACGGATGGACGGATGGACGGATGATGTGACGCCGGCGGCCAGAGTTTGTGGCCGAATCCCACGACTGCTACGCTCGCTCTGTTGCTGACTGATCGGCCTCCTCCGGGACTGGCGAAGCAGAAAGTCAAGCAGATGGAGAGCTTCCGAGACAACGTGCTTCAGAGCTGCCTGATGAGGATCGCCAATGTCTTTGCGAACAGCTTTGCAAGACCCATGGAGGAGTCGATCGGGCGGTGGTATCGATGCGGGTCTATCCCAACGACGCCGTTTGCGCCTCCGGTCCAGCCGCCACTCTCAGCGCAAATTATCCCGGGCAGCCCCTTTGCACGCAAGAAGCCAGGGTCACTCTTGGAAATGGATCTGCTGACTGCAACACCAAGCCGGGTGGCTGGAGCGGGCCCAGCCTCGCCAGCCAGGCCGAGTGAGCGGCCAGCAGCGGCCTCGCCTCCAAAGCCAAGTCGTGATGTGGCCCGACCAGAGTCGTCCATACTCGAGCCGCCACACAAAGGGAGCTCTAATGAGATGAGGTCTCAGCCGAAACGAGATATGGCAACAGCGACACCACAGTCGCGCGGAGGCTCTCGTGGCGGCGACATTGATCCCTTGCCCGCTGGCAGGATGGCAGATGAGCGCAACAAGCCCGCACAGCCAGGGACGTCTCGCCAGGATGCTGCCCGCTCGCTCAATCTCGACCAAGGAGAGAGTCTTGCGGCTCCTTCGCCCTCTGAACGCTCTGGTGCGGTCGCTCGTCCACCGATCGAGTCACCAGTCAGCTACTGCTCCGATTCGGATGATCAGGAGGATCGATGGGCCAAGCCGGAGGTCCAGACCGTGAGTGCCCGCCCGTCGGGGCGGCAGTCCGAGTCGCCAAAGTCCGGATATGTGCCGTATCCCATGAACTCGGCGACACTCTCGGGGTCGCTTGCGATGTACGATACAGCCACAATGAAAGGATGGATCAATTACCACGTGGTTCTGGCCGAGGGCTACCTGTGGCTGTACTCGCACAAGTAAGTGGGAGTTCGTGAGTACCTCACAAGGAAGCGCTTCCACCTGGACGCTGCGTTGTCGCATATTAGCGCCCGGGTATCGCTGGCGAGTGAGGTTCTGATCAAACACCGTGCTCCCAACAGGGCCTCACGAGCACACACAACCATGATCAACGTCTCCAGAGGAATTGTCGAGCTGGGCATCCAACCCGAGAACGCTGTCCAGCGCGCCGGTCCCACGAACCCGAATGTCTTTACGATACGGGTGACGCCCAAGCGGTGAGTACCAAGCCACGACCACAGGGCAACGGAATGGCCAGTGCTTGTGAATCGGCACATATGGACGAGACTTGCTGATACTGCTTCCGGTCCCAGACGACTGCTCGTATGTGCTCCGTCACAGACGGAGATGTGGTAAGCTTGCCTTCGTGTGGGTCGACTATGCACGTTGCTTCTCTATGAAAGTGAGTGAACGGCGGGCTGCAGCACGGTGCTATCCTCGGTTCTTGGTCCGAATCAAGGGCTGACCCGATCGCCTGTAATCGCATTCAGGAAATGGCTCGAGGCACTTGGATCGCTCAGGACGGGCCGACGATAGCCGGACGAATACACTGCTTCCGCTGGCAATGATGTGTGGTGTGGCGCTCTTCCCTGAGACATTCCTCCGAGCCAACCATGGCCGACGAGCAGCACCAGGCGGACTGGCAACGCGCTCCTGTCGCACACACCCAAAACGCGCTCGCTCGCTGCGCTGCGCAGCTGGTCAAGTCGGTGTCACCTGATGTCGTCCACGTGGCACGAGTCGGTCAAATCGGGATCGGTGCTGGCGTGCCTGCTGATTGCCCATCACCAACGATCTAAAAGAATGCCCCAGCTCAAGCGATACAGCGACCCGCGAAAGGTCGATGGTATGGTGGATGCCCAAGGCCGTGTCTGTCTCGCAATATCGGTGCCCCTGCCGCTTCCAGCCCTCGCTAATTGCGTCTGCGGCACATTCCCGCAACTTGCGTCTCTTCTGCCAGCCATTGTGCCGTTCCAGCTCGCCAGATCCGAGAGCGACGACGGAGCCAGCGTCGTTGGCATCGCCGCCATCGTCCTCTGTAAGTCGCTTCGAGCAAACAGGTTATCTGCAGATGGATAGATTCAAGGGCTCCTCCAACCGTTTCCTTGGATAGCGCTGCTGCCCACTGTTTGGATACCGAGTCTGCCCCTGGCACGCCCACCTCGCGCAAGCAAGCATCCAGGCTGATGTGGGCGCTGCCTGGTCCTGTGTGGCATGAGAAACGCATCCTCTGACCTCTGTGATCGCTCTGGTCTTGATTGAACCCGTCGCCTGTGTCAACATCCGTCCGTGGTCGTGTGCAGCGATTGCTGGTCTGATGGTCAAGGTAACTCGCTACCCCTAGATTGCCGCTCCTGCACTCGGCGATCGGGTCCTTGGTCGCCTCGTTGATTGTTCAGCACTGCCTGGCCCTGGAATTCACATCTGCCACTGGAAACGGTGCTGCTGCGCGAGTGTGGCTCGATACGATGCTGCGTCGTGGATGAAGCTGACGACCATCACCAACCTCGATCCGTTTCAGCAAAAGGCACTTTCCCTGATTGGCCTCCTGTTCGCCATCGATGCCACCCTCAACTCGCGCCACTCGGACAGCGAATCTAAGGGCTACCAGAGCTTGATGTGAGTATCGGGGCATCGGCACGGGCACCATTGATGGTGCGGGGCGACTCTGCTAACGCCCGTCGGATGGTCCATCGCGCAGGTTTGTTTTTATGGGCCTCGTCATGACCTACACTCAGGACTACCAAAAGTACCTCTCGGCTAACAAGCAGTGAAGACGCCAGAGGGACAGGAGCGTCGCGCGGTGCTCGGCCGGGCATCGCTCATCCTCATCTCTGCCTTCTGCCACTTGCCGGACTGTCGCTTCGCTGTTGCCGTGCCGGCCGGATACATTCTAGAGCCCGAGGGACGGCATGGCACCGTCTGTTGGCAATACATCGCCGTCCATGCCGCACCATGCGTTGCCGAGAACAGCGTATGTCCGTCCAGGCCAACGACTCTGTTCGACATTTGGAGAGCCTGGATCGTCCGCACGCAACAGATGCCCCTCCGGCACTCGTGCTCTATGAAGACGTACCTTCCCTCCGCTCGGCCAACTGGAGTGGACCGACCGGAGTGGACCGACTTGACGGGCCTCGTGCGGGTGACAGCTCGCACGGCCCTCGAGGTTGCGGCTCTGTGTGGAGAGCTGGACTGGTCGTGGCGCAGGATGGCGTGCTGCGCTTCCCACCCCAGAACAGGCCTTGACTGATACAGTGCGCAGCCCCGGCTGCTGGTGGCTTTCCCGCCGGCCCATCCAGCATCGGTCGCCCGTCGTCCATCTCCATCGCTCTCCAGACCTCTGCCCTCTGTGCATCGACTACAATGACCCTCGACGTCTCCAAGCGCATTGCATTCATCGGTGCGTTCCGCCGAGACAGCGTCCTGAAATCGGCCAGTGCTCGGCTCATCTGGATTGTCCAGATTGCGAGATTGCTGAGATTGTCCAGATTGCCGGTGTTGCTTGAATGGGTGCGGCACCGACTCTGGGATGCACGCAGCGATCCGCTGCTTGGCTTGCTCGTATTGCTGCTGACTACAACTGCTCTCTTGGGCCTTTATTCTCGTCGTGCTGCTGTGCGATCGCCGGTCGGCTCCAGGCGGCGGCAACATGGCTTCGGCCATCATCGGCGGCCTCATCGCTGCTGGCTACCCCGCCTCCAATGTCTCTGTTTCCGAGCCCTACGAGGAGCTGCGAAAGAAGCTCAGCGCCACCTACGGTGTCTTCACCACGTCCAACAACTCCGAGGCCATCGCCCACGGCCCCGCCGACATTGTTATCCTGGCCGTCAAGCCCCAGGTGATGCGCGGTGTTGCCGAGGGCATTTCCGAGGCCGTCAAGACCCACTCTCCCGTCGTGCTGTCGATCGCCGCAGGCATCCTCGCCAAGGATCTCGAGCGATGGTTGATGGCCCACTCTGCCGGCAAGGTCCCGTCGATCATCCGATCGATGCCCAACACCCCCGCGCTCGTGTCCCAGGGAGCCACCGCTGCTTGGGCCTCCGAGACGGTTTCGCAGAGCCAGAAGGATCTGGCCTTTGGTATTCTTGCTGCCGTTTCCAAGAAGACGTACTTTGTCGAACGCGAGGAGTTGCTCGATGTGGTCACTGGTCTGTCAGGTAGGATCAGCGGTCGGCGAGAGGATGGGATGGGATGGGCTCTGTGGAGCGGGGGAGTTGCTGCTGGGTCGCCCATAAGCTTGCCATCAAGTGCGCTGCAAACCTCGCCCACTTATCAAAGCCGCTGCTTCTCCGTGTTCCTACCCTCTGCATAACAGGCAGTGGCCCGGCCTACTTTTTCCTCCTGATCGAGTGTATCGAGCAGGCCGCCATCAAGCTGGGCCTGCCTGCTGATGTCGCCAGGGGCCTTGCTGCCCAGACTTGCCTCGGGGCCGGAACCATGGCCGTTGCCACAGGCGAAGACCCTGCCGATCTGCGACGCAAGGTCACCTCCCCCAACGGAACCACCCAGGCCGGCATCGAGAGCGCCGAGGCGGCCGGGGTGCGACAGCTGTGGGAAAACGTTGTTATTGCGGCCACCAAGCGCAGCGAAGAGCTCGGCGCTATCCTGGGCAAGGACAACTAAAGCTGTCGGAGCATCAGGGCCGTTGCACCCGGAACAGGGCCGGCACTCGAATTGAATGCTGAGCAATGCGAATCGGGACACTGCTTCTGGGTTCCCCGGAGTGATGTGTCTGGACCGTGAATACATCCGCCCATCTACAGCATTCTGATATCTATCACCCTGCTCGGAAATGGCCGGAAATTGGCGTATCTGCTCGACTCTATTGAAGTATTTTGCGCGTCCATCTCCGTCAAGGGCCATACTGCTGGAAACGCCATGGCATCCCAGGCATGTCAGTCCGTCCGGTTCAATGCGGTACTCTAGTTCTTCGAGCCAACCCTCTCGAGGTACGCAGCCCAGCCTGCCTCACGGTACGTACGGGCCTTCTCGGCGATATCGCCGCCACCGTAGATGCCCCGGCCGACAATGATGACGTCGCAGCCGCTCTCCAGGATAACTTGACGCGGCGTGCGGTACTGCTGACCCAGGCTGTCGCCTTTGGCCTCCAATCCGACACCGGGGGTCATGTAGACGTAGTCTTCGTCGCCCTCCTCGTCGATCTTGTCTCCTTCACCGTGCAGAGGCAGGCGCCGCTGGCCAATGAAGCCAAAGACAAAGTCCCTGTTGCGGCGGGCCATGCGGACCGCCTCGGCCGTGTACGATCCCTTCGCCAGCGAGCCAGCGGACGACATTTCGGCGAGCAGCAGCAGTCCACGACCCAGTGGCAGACCGACTTCCTTGAGGCCCTTGACGATGCCCTCGCCGGGAAGCGGGTGTGCGTTGGTAATGTCGGACCACGAAGCAATGTGGTAGACGCCCGAAGCGTACTGGTGCTTGACGGTGTTGCCAATATCGGCGAACTTGCGGTCCTCGAAGATCAAAAAGTCGTGCTCCTTGGCAAGGGCGACGAGCCGGTCGACGAGATCCTGGTCAAAGTCGTCGACAATGTCGATGTGGGTCTTGAAGACGCAGATGTACGGGCCCAGGGCCTCGGCGATCCGCAGGAGCTCGGCCTTGGAGGTGACATCGGCAGCGACCGAGAGATTGGTCTGCTTGCGGTCCATCAGCTCGAGCAGACGCTTGGCGGTGGGGTTGGCATGCAGACTGGCGCGCTCGGCATATGTCTTGGTCAGGAGGCTCATTGTGGACGCTGGACTGGGATGGTCGGATGGCGGGATGGTGGGTCGGATGTCGGATGGTTGGATGGCGGGATGGTCGGATGGTGATGAGGCAGTCGACCGATCGATGTGATCGTGTTGGCCAGAGGCGAGGCCACGTGAGCAGACGCGCAGCCGCAGGCGAGAGCCAGCGAGGACTGGCGAGGACTGGCGAGGACACCTGCCGAGAGCCCGGTCTCGGTTTTTTCTTCGGTCGCACAGCGGATCGGCTTTCGCACACCCAGCGGATTCCCTTCGGGCTCGCCATTCCCTGGCCAAGAGCAAGACCGCCGGCACCGGCATCATCAGCGCTCGCTGCACACTCGCCCACCGCTTGCGGGACAAGAGTATCGACGCACCAGCATGTCCTCCGCGAACCAGCCCGCGGCCATCGAGGGCCAATTCTCCGATGCCGAAGAGGATCAGAGCCTCCGCCACCATGATGACGCTGCCGCGGCCGATAGCGAGCTGTCCGGCAGCCGCCAGCAGCTCGGCGACAACTCGAACGACAATCTCGCCGACGTCGACCAGTTTGACGACGAACGGCCCGAATACGAGGAGGATGATGACGATACCTCTCTGCGGCCCGCATACCTGCGCGATGAAAGCGGCAACGCTGGTAACGACGAGGAGCCCGACGACAGCGACATGGACTTTGACGACGATTTTGACGACGATGATGATGATGACGATGCCGACGATGCCGACGACGGCGACCTGGCTCTTAATTATGGCGACCAGTGGTTCAGCGCTACCGGAGGTAATGCATATCACACAAGCTCAGCGCTGGAACAGCATGCATGACCAAGCGAGTGCCGTGCAATGAGCATGGCCGCAGAACCATGGGCAGACATACTTGCCCAGGCCCGATACATGGTTCAGGCGGTGCTCTCTCTGCAGTTGAACGACCTGCCTCTGTTCATGCTATCTCCATGCGTGGAACAGCGCACTGCCAGCCGCTAGATACGGTTGTCGTGACTAGCTAACGCCGATGGTGTGGATCGCACGATTCCCCGCGACCAAAACGCATCCAGATTTCACAAAGCAGTACAATCGACTCCGCGAGCAGCTCCAACCCTCGAGCTCGGCAGCACCAGCGACCGGCAAGGTAGTACCCAAAACATCCACGGCCCCATCTGCCAACAAATCCCAGCCCAAGGTCGTGGTCAAAGGGCAGGCTACATCGCGGGCGGCACAAGGCGCCGATGCAGCGGATGCCCTCGATGCCAAGTATGCTGGGCGGATCCGGCTCGATACAGTCGACAGACAGCTTCCCTCTGCCACGAGTGCCTCGGCCTCCAAGAAGGGACAGGGCGACAAGTACGTTCATTATACACCATCGCGCCGCTGGCTTCGTCCGGACGCCCGCTTATGGAGCTCATGCCGATCGCTGGATGCGCCTGAGGTCGATCCCGATGGACTGATTGACCGAGCTGTCGGCCACGTAATTGCATCGATTGGCGATTGCTCCCGTGGGTGCAAACAGCTCCTCGCACCACCATTGCCGTCCAACTCACGCATCCCAATTCGTTTCGTGGACATTCTGCTCTTGCTTGGGTTGCACCCTGCAGACGGCGAGAAACCGACAAGGCCGACCGAGCGACCGTCGAACAGGTCCTTGATCCACGCACGCGCATCATTCTCTTCAAGATGCTCAATCGCAACATCATCTATCAGGTCAACGGATGCATCAGCACGGGAAAGGAGGCCAACGTCTATCACGCCATTACCGAAGACGGCCAGCATCGCGCCATCAAAATCTACAAGACCTCCATCCTGACCTTCAAGGATCGCGACCGCTATGTGACGGGTGAGTTCCGGTTCCGCCACGGATACAACAAGAGCAACCCGAGAAAGATGGTCAAGATCTGGGCCGAGAAGGAAATGAGAAACCTCAAGCGCCTGCAGCTCGCTGGTATTCCGTGTCCAGAGCCGATACTACTCCGGATGCATGTGCTGCTGATGAGCTTCCTCGGAGACAAGACTGGCTGGTGGGTGCCATACGCCTTGCCTTTCCTCCACCCAGCAGTTCGCATAGCCAGACTGTTGCTGGCCCGATCGAGCACTGCTGATTCCTTGCGCGGTCATTCCCGAATCCACCAAACAGGGCGGCTCCTCGACTGAAAGATGCCGAAATTGACGACCCGGAGGCATACCGGGACCTGTACTTCAAGCTCGTCAAGATTATGTGGAAGCTCTATCACAAGTGTCATCTCGTCCATGCCGATCTGAGCGAGTACAACATCCTGTATGTCGACTGTTGCCACTGCTGGGCATCCGTACATATGACGCCGTAGCGCTCCACTCACCCGAGCCGTTCGAACACAGATACTACAAGAAGACCCTCTACATCATCGACGTGTCGCAATCGGTCGAGCACGACCATCCACATGCGCTCGAGTTCTTGCGAAAGGACTGTTCGAACGTGATCGACTACTTTGGCAAGCGCTTCCCGGAGCACTGCTTCACAGTGCGCGAGCTATTCGACTTTGTCGTCACGGATTCAAAAGCGATTCGCACCAAGCTGGGGCGAGACCCCGAGCGCCCTGAAGAAAGGGCTGCAGTCATTCCCGACGATGAAGAGGAGGAGCTGGTCAACACTTGGCTGCACCAGCTCCATGAAGGAATCGCCGATCGGCCAGCCGGATACCTGCAGCAGGCGGATGTCCAGATCGACGAAGCTGTGTTCAAGCAGGCGTACATTCCCCGCACTCTTGACGAAGTCGTGGACATTGAGCGGGATCTTGAGAAGGTCAAGAAGGGCAACGTTGACGATGTGGGTATCTGGCTGGTGGGATGGCGGAGGCGCTGTCCGGTCGGCCGGGATCGGGATCGGGATCGATAACATCGTTCCTTGATGGATTGCCACTTTGGCGAGAGATCTGTGCCTGCCGTGGATCTCGCTTTGGTGTGGGGGGCTGCCTTATGGACCATGCTTCGCTAGCGACCTTTGTGTCTTTTGGTTGGCCATAGTTCTGGACGACGCTTTGCCATGCTAATCCTATTCACCATGTGCGCCTGGCTAGCTCCTGTACAAGAATGTAACGGGCATGGAATCGCACATGCAGCGGCTGCAATCCCCGGCGGCACCGCCTGCCAAGCCTGCCAAGCCTGCCGTCAAGTCAATTGCGTCGTTCCTCGCCAACATCCCCATAGCTTCGTCGTCGGCTCCCAAACCGGCCCCGACCACGCCGAGCAAGCCTGCTCAAGTGGTGCCTCCAGTCGCTGCGCTCAAGAGACTGACGATATCCCAGCCTGCTCAGGGCATGAAGCGCATCGACAGCGATGGCATCGAGCGCGATGAAGAGGCCGAGGAGAGAGCCGACGAGGCGGACGACTCCAATCTCGAGTCGGCCTCGGTCAGCGGCACCTCTGCCATCGGACAGTCAGAGCGCGCCATGGAGGCTGACGAAGAGGATGCAGACGAGCGGGCCAAGCCTGGGGACGACGACGACAACGATGGAGACGACGACCAGGACGAGAGCGGGGACGACGATGACGATGACGACAGCGACGGCGACGGCGACGACAGCGATGGCTCGGGCGACCAGCATCGCGGGTCCAAGAAGCAGCAGAAGAAGGACGAGGACAAGGCCGCCAAGAAAGAGCGGAAGCAGGCCGCCAAGGAGGAGAAGCGAGAGAAGCGGAAATCCAAGGTGCCCAAGTCTGTCAAGAAGCGCAAGCAAAAGGTCGCTGCCGAGCGGGGCAAGGGCAAGAAGTAAACCTGTTGCGGGTATACGGGCGTCAGTGTCTCCAGCGAACAGCTCGGGCGGTGTGGATGTTGTATTGCTGGGGTGCTGAATACATCATTGGCACGGACGCACTGTGGCATTCCACGATCTCGGGACTGGCACCCACAACGCAGCGATCTTGTTATCGGAAAGCCTGTGGTCTGCATTCCACCGATCGGCGCAGCCAACTTTTGGGGTCGCGATCGACTGGTGTCATGGGGCGTCATTTGGGGGAGGACGGCATTTCCAACGCCTGGTGGCATTCAGGGACCATTGCCAGCGCACATCATTTGGAGTCATCTCTGGCGTCCAGCCGACCCTGCGACGATATCAGCCGACCCTGCGACGATATCAGCCGACCCTGCGACGATATCAGCCGACCCTGCGACGATATCAGCCGACCCTGGCTGCTGCCTCCGATCTCCCGCCAAACCCGCCTGCCGAAATGACCATCATCCAGTCGCCTCTGTCCGACAAACCCATCCCAATCTGCTCGATCTCCGACTTTCTGTGCCGGCCAGATCTGCACACCCCTGTCGACCGTCCGGCCTTGGTCGATGCCGAGACTCGTCACCAGCTCTCGTATCCCCAGTATGTCGATCTGGTTGCGAAGGTGCGATCCCGACTGCTCGCCCGGCCAGGGTTCTGCAAGTGGGACGTCGTTGCCATCTATTCCCGGAACTCAATATGGTTTCCAGTCGTCTCGATGGGTGTGCTCCAAGCAGGTCGGTGCAGACAGCAACGATTCTTGCGATCACCGGGGCCGCTGAATGCCTTGGCTGCTGCTGGACGGGATACATAGCTCACCCTTCGCATCTGCTGATCATTTCCGCTCGTAACTGCCCGTCCGTGCATCCCCTATCTGCCGATCCTGCATATCCTTCCTCAGGCGGAACAGTCACGCCCGTGAGCCCAAACTACACCCATTCCGAGTTGCGAGGTATGGCCAAGCGAAGCGGCGGATCGCAGCATGCTGTACATCATAGCGCCTCTCTTAACAGACTCCTTCCCGCTCTTGACACTCAGGCCAACTGGCTGACTCGGGAGCAAAGCTCCTGTTTACGACAAGAGAGCTGCTGCCTGTGGCTCTGGAGGCCATCCAGGGACTCGATGCCATCGCCGTCCAGGATATTGTGTTGATGGACGGCCTTGGTGCCATCGACACATCAGGTCCTGCTTCCTTGCACGATTGGCTCAACGACTCGGATGGCTCGGTCGCTGCTGTAAAGTCTGGGCCGAGCTTCTCTGAGGAGGAGCTCAAGACCCGGCCGGCCATCCTTTGCTATTCCTCGGGGACCACGGGACGCAGCAAGGTATGGACGATACGCTGGCTCCTCGTTGCTCTGGCGAATACGACCCGGCGGTCCAATAATCTCGCATCCATGACCCCAGGGCGTCATGACAAGCCACTTCAACATCGTCGCTGATATCGTCATGAACATGGCCACCGAAGAGACCGACTCGAGCGAGACGCCCGATCGCATCTGGGTGGCCCCGCTGCCGATGTGTCATATCTTTGGTGAGTCGCGGCCTGCTCGAGCAAAACAGCGATGCGAGACTCAATGATCGAAGGATCGCATGTGCCGGCTCTATGGCTAACCCGAGCCTGGACAATCCGACCCGAACAGGCATGCACAATATCCACATGAGCATGGCACTGGTAAGCGCCCCACTTGCTCGATTCATGAGCGGCCTCATGTCGAGGGCTTGGCGATGTCACTAGCTGCAATGGAATCCCTCTATGGATCTGTGGCCTCCGTGCGATATTCCTATCCGCATTGAGACCATGAAGCGGAGAATTTCCCTGATTTGCGCTGTTCCCGAAGCGCCAATCTGACCGTAATTGCAGGGCGCTACGCTCGTTGTGCTGCCACGATACGAGCTCCATGCTTTCTGTAGGACCCTCCAGGACTTCAAGGCCACCCGCGCATACGTTGTGCCGCCGATCATCCTGGGTTTCCTGCGCAACCCCGGCATTGCTGCCCAATACGACCTGGGCTCCGTCCGGCTGTTTCGCTCGGGCGGATCAAGCATCGGAAGAGAGACAGTCAAGCAGTTTCGGTCGACCTTTCAGATTGGACTGTCGCAGGGATTTGGAATGACCGAGCTGAGTCCCGCATCCATTATCGTACCCGATGGTTCGTATCTGCTGCTCCCAGAGCAGAACCGTGTGGCTCTGCGGGCCTGAATGCAATCCCGACTGCATCTTAATCCAAATCGCAACATTCCGCTGACCACAGGCAACAACCCTGTGTACGATGGGACCATCGGCATTCTGCTGCCCAACCAGCAGGCCCGCATTGTGGACCCAGATTCCGGACGAGGTATTTCCCATGCCATCTCGGCTCAGCGTGGCAGTGTTGCGTTGGATCAGTGCTCAGACCGTAGCCCAATGTCTGTTTCCAGATCTTGATCGCTGGGAGACTGGGGAGCTCCTCATCCGGGGTCCAAATGTCATGGTTGGATATCATCGTCGGCCTGAGGAAACGCAAAACACCATCACCACCGACCGCTGGCTCAGAACAGGTTGGTCGGCCGCGATTGTTGCATGCTCGCGCTGTGTGCTGTTAGGATGACGAGTCAGCGCAAGGAGCTCATCGCTGACATCCAACAGGGGATCTTGTTCGGCGTGATGATCACGGCAACTTCTGCATCGTGGACCGCATCAAGGTAGGCGCCGTGGGCCAACCGAGAATTTATGGGGGCTCGGACAGGACAGATCCAGCTGTGCGTGAGAAATGTGGTATGCTCGATGTATGGCTTACCATTTGAACGATTGTCAGGAGCTCATCAAGTACAAGGGGTTCCAAGTGGCCCCTGCTGAGCTTGAGGCGGTTCTGCTGACCCATGCCTATGTTGCCGACGCTGTTGTCGTCGGCATCCCCGACCGGAACGCCGGCGAGCTCCCCAAGGCATTCGTGGTTCTCAAGAACCGCAGCTCTGTTCATGGCATGCCCCTGAATGCTGCAACCGTCTGCGAGACGATCAGGGCGTTTGTGGACAGTCAGGTTGCCGTCCACAAGCGTTTGCGCGGCGGAGTGGCCATCATCAGTCAGGTTCCCAGGGCGCCGAGCGGCAAGATCCTGAGGCGAGTGGTGCGAGGGTGGATCGCCGAGGGGCCACGCAGCAAACTGTGAGAGGCAGCGCTGTATACTGTCTGGCGTTGATCTGACTTCAATAGAACGGACGAGTTGACCAGAGCCGATGCGGGGGATTGAATGGGAGGCGGCACCGTCCCTTGGAGGCGGGATTTGATATCTCCGCCCCACGGAGCTGGAGGATCCACATCCGCCATCGCTGTTGTCATCGCCGTTGCCTCGCATCGGATGTTCGATGGTTGCCCAATCGGCGCCTTTTTTCCGCTCGGATTGGCGATATATGACCGGGCTCCGCTCTCTCCTCCCCTGCTCGCAAACAGATCTCCCCTCGACAATGCCCCAAGTCTTCAACACCCTCGATCCTTACGCCTCGTCGCTGGTGGCTGCCTTCGTGGCCGACTTTGCCGTCCAGTTCGTGGCCTATGTGCTGTCGGCTGCGTTGCAGACCGAGAAGCTCTTTGACCTATCTGGCTGCGTCTCCTTCCTTGCCTCGGTTCTGGTATCCGCCCTGTTGCGTCCGGACGGCGACAGGCTTGCACCTCGACAGATCATTGCCGCAGCCCTGCTTGCGGTCTGGTCGCTGCGGCTCGGCCTATTCCTGTTCCAGCGAGTCCTGAGTCGGCCCGACAAGGTGAGCCACCAACCGTATACAGCGTCGGAGTCGCTGCGAGACATCAAGCAAGGCGATGCAAGCTGATGTTCCTGGTCTGTTTCAGCGATTCGACGAACTCAAATCCAGTCCCGTCAAGTATGCAGGCGTCTTTGTGATGCAGTCGGTCTGGGTCTTTCTGTGCCCGCTTCCTGTGTGGATCGTGCTGGCTCTGTACGGTCCAGAACAGCGTGCCATCCAATGGTCCGATATTGTTGGCATCGCTATCTGGGTTGCTGGTTTTGCGATCGAAGCCATTGCCGATGTCCAAAAGTCGGCATTCAAGTCGAAGCACCCAGACGCCTTCATGAGCAGCGGGCTCTTCCGATATTCGCGCTGTAAGTTGGCGAGGTAGGGAGGAGCTGCCCGGGGCCGCATAAATGGCCTGCACCATTGTCGGAGCCGTGGATGGCTGGACAGCATTGGCTGCCCACCGATAGCTGACCCGTGGTCTCTGGATGCTCCAGACGCCAACTACTTTGGCGAAGTGACGCTATGGTGCGGCATGTTCGTGCTCTGCGCATCGGGCTTCACAAGCGGTGTTCAGTGGATCAGCATCATCTCGCCCGTCTTTGTCTACTGCCTGATTGCCTTTGTGTCTGGCATTCCGATGCTCGAGAAGAGCTCCAGCCAAAAGTATGGGCAGCTGCCAGGTGAGCTTGCTGTCGCATTGCTGCGTCGAGTGCCTGAGTTGTTTGGTGGCTCTGGCGGCGATGGTGTGCATCCTGGATCGATAACGAATACTCCAACTCCCCCTGGCTGTAGAGTACCAAGACTATGTCGCCAGGACGAGCAAATTTTTCCTCTGGCTGCCAAAGAAGCAGGCGGCCACACCAGTGCCTTGACGCAATCGCAGCCTCGGCTCTCGCAAATTGAAACCAGCAGCCCCACCTTGCATAGCCAACAGCGACTGCTTTTCATCCGAATACACCCGCTGATCTATCATCCTCGCTGCATGGTGTGGGAATGGCCGACTCGGCGTGGCTGTTGCTTACGCCTCTCCCTCGGATCCCAACGAGAGGCAGAAAATGCCTTCCCAGGGCTACACCCCAGCGACTCCAACTGCAGAGTGGAAGTGCCAGTTGGAATATGACATCCACGATGTGTTCATCAGGCGGGCGAGCCATCGCATATCTCATCGGACCCACTCGCCACCAACTGACTCCTCACACGTTTCGCAGCTATCGAGTCAGCAGTGACGCCATTAACACCATGGCCCTGCATGGAAGTCTTGCAGTTAATCCACGAGACCAGATGCAACTCCATCCATATCTCGACAGCCTCTGTCTTTGTGACGGCGCTGACTGGGAGCAGGGTTTCATCAACGGGCTGTATCGATCGAATGTGATTGTCTTGCTGCTGTCGGAGGAGGGACTGAAACGCACCTTCGAGGCCCACCTCAAGCCAGACAACCAGTTGCTCGAGGTAACTAGTGAGTCGACAGCATCGACGCTGCAGGAGTAAACCAGTCCAATCTCATTCACCATCACTCATCCACTCACTCACTCACTCACTCACTCACTCACTCACTCACTCACTCACTCACTCACTCACTCACTCACTCACTCACTCACTCACTCACTCACTCACTCACTCACTCACTCACTCACTCACTCACTCACTCACTCACTCACTCACCCATCCACTCATCCACTCACTCACTCACCAAACTCAGACTTGTCCCCAACATCCGAAACCTGATCACCAAGACCAAGACTGCTGCAGACCAAGGATCAACATACCACAAGGATAGCCCCATCCAGCTCACAGCCAAACAAGACTTACTCCTGCGACTCCTCCTCGATCCCATCGACTCGGTCTCGGACAGACGTGCACTCGAGGATCTGTATGTCGAGGTTACCCGCCAGTGGCTATTCGATAAAACCACCGACTGGGTCAACCAGGACACCACCGACACTGTCCTGTGGGTCAATGCCGTTGCTGGAGTGGGCAAGTCTGTCGCTACTGCCCAGATCGCCAACATCCTCACAGCCAGCAACCAGCTGGTGGCGGCGTTGTTCCTCAAGTACAACGACACCCGCAAGAACAACCCTCGATCGGTGCTGAACACGATCGCATATGGACTGTGCAAGTGGCACTCGCCGATCGGCCGCAAGTTGCTCGAAACCAAGGTGAAATTAAAGGTAGAAGCAGCGAAGACTAATGACGGAGATCAAGAATCAATCTCGTCTGAGAATCCACCAGAGGAGTACATTGAGCGACCCATCACCAAGGACATTCTCGACAAGATGAACATCCCCGATCTGTTCAGGGCCGTGATCGAGGAGCCACTCAAAGCCATCGGCGACTACAGACCCAAGGGATCAGTGATGATCCTGGTGGATGCACTCGACGAGTGTTCTCCGCGCGACCAGTTGCCCAGTCTGCTTGCCGTGCGCTTCGTCGAGCTGAACCAGACCCGTCCGTGGCTCAAGTTGTTGCTGACATCCCGACCCGAGGAGGACATCAAGGCAGCATTCGATGGAGTACCGACCAAGACAATCGAGCCCTCGAGCAAGAACAACATCCGTGACCTCGAGGTGTTCATCCGCCACCGACTGCGAGTGTATGACACTCTCAATGACTCGGATCGCACCGAAGCAGTCGCCATCCTGCTGGACCAGTCCAAGACATTCGTGTGGATCAACCTGATCCTCAACACCGTCGACATCGAAGCTATGGATGGCCCAGTGACACTCGCCACAATCAAGGACATCAACGACAGCGCCGCCGATGTCGGCCAGCTGTACCACAAGACATTCGCCAAGATCCACTCGCAGTCGAGCCACCCGACCGAGCTGGTCACGGTGGTGTCGGCGATCGCCACATCGCTGACTGGCCCTCACACCCGAAATGATTTCCAAGATCTTCTTCCAGGACCAGGATTACCATTACGCTCTCAGCATCGTGCATGAGTGCTTGAGATCTCTCAACCTTGTTCTCAATTTCCGTGGCGAGAAGTCGGCAGATGACAGCGAGGTCAAGTTCAACCACAAGTCGGCGGCGGACTATCTCCTCGGCGACGCATCGGCTGGCCATCCGTGGCATGTGTCGAGTTCGTTCCACACGGTGTTTGCCAAGGGATGTCTCGGTGTGATCCTCTCGCACAAGCCAGTGATCAACATCTGCGATATCTACGACTTTCGCATAACGACGCTCGATTTGGATGCGCTTCATGCTGTCGGCATTTATCCTGAATATGAGGAAGAAGATCCTCAGGAAGCACACTATTTGAGCATGATTGGTGAAGGTGACGATTACCTTCATGAGTTCGCCTCAGACTATGAAATTGACCCTGAGGAGTTTGATGATGATGATGTAGAGAATGAGGTAGGCGTTGATAACCACGAAATGAGTGGAAACTGCACACATAACCCATCCAGAGCTATGCCCAATCACATCTTGCCGGTTTACAGCTCAGTAGTTCCGCAAGCAGTTGCCGATACCCGAGAGCATTCCTAACAGCAGCTTTGCTCCACAGATTGCGTATTCGGATTACGATACCGAGTTCAGTGATCCGAGTGCAAGCAGCTCTATTGCCGATGATGACGGAGAGGGATCCGACTCCGGCGAAAGTGCGAAATCATTTGGCTTCAGCAAGAAAGCCTCCAAGAGAATCTCGCAGCTCCTCCGATATTGTGTCGCTCACTGGATCACGCACTTTGTGTGCGATCTTGATGAAGTGGACAAAACGAGCCCGATCTGGCGCTCACTGGAATTCAAGGAATTGAGTCCGGTCCTGGCCAAGTTCATGTCAAGCCACGTGTTCTTCTGGATTGAATGCGCATCCCTCATACGTGTCCTTGATTCCGTTATTGAGCAACTGGCTCAGCTGAAAGCAGCTATCGCCAAGGCACCAAAGGGCATCTTCGATAGTACCACGAGGAAGCTGGTGAAGCATACGTATCGATTCATCCGAGAGTTCAAAGATCCGATAATCCAATGTCCGCCCCAGGTGTACAACTCGGGATATGCATTCACCCCGAAAGAAACAACACTCTACAAGACCTATGCCGCTCAGCTCGAGGATAAGATCCCGTTTCGGGTCACTGGCGGCGTACGACCCACCTGGGATTCGCGCGAGATGATATTTGCCGAAGATGATCATTTGCTACGCTTTCTCGATGGCAAGTTCACTGCCTCTATCTCGTCCGACAAGAACATTGAAATCCGGGACGCTTCAACGGATGATGTTATGCGCATCCTGAAGGGAACAAACGACAATGTGACCGCCATAGACATCTCCGATGACGGCAAATGGATCATCTCCGTCTTGGATGAAAAGACGATCAAGTTGTGGGATGCAGCCACGTGTAAAATATCTTACACCCTCGAACGCCACAAGCATCCTGTCACGGGCGTGACTGTGACATCTGATGGCCGATACATCATTACTCGCGATAAGAGTAGTCGGGTCATCGTATGGGTCAAGGATGAGGACAAGTTTACTCCATTCTCCAAAAAGTCTCCAACCTTCGATTCGTTCCATGCACAACTCGTTTCTCATCGATGGGAACACAAGGAAACGTACAAATCCGTTCATGGATATGAGAGCAAATATGCCACAGGTTGGATCCGTCATGGCAAGCATATTGTCAATGTGCGAAAGAATGAGCCATCGGACTCACTTCCCGAGTTTATTGGGTTCACTCCCTCTGGTGGAACGATTCTCTGTGGAGATTCGTATCGACCGATTGTCATCGAGGTAAGACGAGCCCATCCAAACCCTGGAGACACCTCCCTTCCGCCATTTCTCTTCCTGACAGTTCTCCTCCTGCCATCTCTCTTTCGCAGTACAATTTCCCGGATGTGTCGCAGGCTCCATAGACCAAAGCTCATTCGTTTGATAAACAAAGTCGCGATAGTAGTGTCCTGTTGCTTCCGTCAAAGTCTGTGCGAAGCATCGATGTGTTGTTATGTTTCTTCCTTTCCGACCATATGTCCTCAAATCCTCGTCGCATTCGTGTGAACAGAGCCAACTCCGTGCTCTCCCTGAGGACCGCCAATATGATCCGGGCAAATTTGCCGACACCACACACGCCCCAGTGAGACACCCAGGCTCACCCACCATCGGTTGTGGAACGGCCGCGGCACCCAGGCAGCCACGGGGATGGCTGGGCTCAAGGACACCAGGCCGCCCACTGGCGGGCACCGTGGGTGCTGTACAACGGCCTCGCCCCCCCGCCCATCACGCGACCGCACCGGATGTTCCACCAACGTCCGTTCCGCGCGACGCGGCTGTGCGATCGGCGGCCTGACCCCACCCGCGCAGGATATCCCGCCGGCCGGTTTGCATTTCGTCGCCCCCATCTCCATCTCCCCCAACTCGCTCCGGCCTCTTCGTCTCGCTCCAACCCGCAGACCAGCCATCCTCCATCCGCTCTGCTGCACCGGCTCGGCCTCCTGTCCACCATGCTCCTTCGCTCCGTCGCTGCTGGCGCTGCCCTCCTCTCCCTCGTCTCGGCCACGACCCCCGCCTCGGCGGCCTCTGCAAGTGTCCAGGCCACCCAGCGCCCCCGTCCCACGACCCCACTTTCATACTACCTCTGGCCTCAGCCCTCCAGCGTAAGCATCGCGCAGATGGTTCAGGATTCGCTCGGCGCCAAGTCGGCCCGGCGGCGTCGTTTCCATCCGCCCAGTCTCACATCTTCGTCTGCATATGCCTTCTCATCCTTCATTCGCACAGATTGTCGATGCCCAAAAGGTCGTTGATGTCTCCGACTCGTGGCTCGATTTCTCCTCGCCCAACACTCAGCTCGAGACCGTGATCCAGTCGGCCTATGACCGCTTCGCCCATTCGCTCGAGGTCAAGCGTGCCAACATCGAGTGGAGCGGCTCGACCTTCCGTGTCCAGGTTGTCATCAGCGACCACAGCACCAAGGGCCCTGCTTCGCTCGTCGGCATTGATGAGTCCTACAAGGTCCAAGTCACCCAGAGCCTCGCCACTGTCACCGGTATGCATCTGTGCCAGCCCCAGACATGTCGTCATCCCGCGAGCAACAACAGGACGGCCGGAGTCATGTGTCCGGTTTCTCTGTGAGCCCCTTGGATCCTGGAGAACCGGTGCCATGTCAATGTACTCGGCCGGCCAGTTTCTCTCGGTGTACCTGGGGCCAGTCCCGGATCGCTTACATTCACGCTCTTGTTCGTCCCGCACCACACCAGCCAAAACCCAGGCCGGTGCCGTCTACGGACTCCAAACCCTCTCGCAGATGATCACCAAGGACGGATACCTGCGCCTCGGCACCATCACCGATGCCCCTCGTTTCTCCTACCGCGGCCTTATGCTCGACACCGCCCGCAACTTTTTCCCCGTCGAGGACATCAAGCGCATTCTCGATGGTCTGGTTTACTCCAAGGTCAATGTCCTGCACTGGCACATCTATGATTCTCGTAAGTAGGACTCTAATCGGGTCGGGTGGGTCTGGGCCGTCCGAGTTGCCCATTCCGCTGCCGCGCTGTCGGTCCCCATGGCCCACCCTGTGCATGGTCATCTGCCAGAGATGCGATCATCGCGGCACCGCTATCCATTCTACAGAAAGCTCGCCATCCCCGGTTCTGTAATCGGGGCGCACTAACGCTCTCCCCCTCGCCCAGAGTCGTTCCCGATCAAGTGGGACCGCTATCCCCAGATGCTCGACGCCACTTACAAGTACGACGACGGCACGCCGAAGCTCTACACCCAGCAGGATGTTGCCGACATTGTTGACTATGCCTTCCAGCGCAACATTCGCGTCATCCCCGAGTTCGAGGCGGCCGACCACAACGCTGTCTTTGGACACATCAACGCCAGCTACATTGTCGGATGGAACCACTCTCCCTGGGACGGTCGCAACGGACAGTACATGAACTCCACCGACCAGCCCGACCCTGCCAACCCCACCGCTGCGCTGTGGTGGGGCGGCCAGTACTGCAACCAGTTCCCTTGCGGCCAGCTCGACATTCGCAATCCCGACGCCATCGCCGTCCTTGACCATCTCATCAGCGACATTGGCTCGTGGTTCCCCGACCCCGTTCTCCATGTCGGCCACGATGAAGTCAACGCCCGAGTCTACGGCCTCGTGCCCGACAGCTGGGATGTGGCCCCCAGCGACCTGATGTATCCGCTGTTTGCAAAGTTCGAGCCGCATCTCCTGCAGACCCTCTCCAAGGCCAAGAAGCAGTATGCCGCCTGGGACGAAGTCATTGACACCTTCAACATCCAGGGTATCCTCCCCAAGAATGCCCTGATCACTCAGTGGCAGCAGGGCGCCAACAACGACGCCGATCGAGTCAACGCCATCGCCGCCGCCGGCTTCTCCAACATTGTCGTCTCTCCCTCGGACTACTGGTACCTCGACTGCTCGCCCTCGCAGAACTGGTGCTCGACCGCCTACGAGCAGACCGTGCCTGCTTTCCAGTACAACCTCACCGGGTACCTGACCTACCCCGGCCAGTGGCACAACTGGACCTACATGTACAGCTACGATCCCCTTTGGGGCCTGACCCCCAACGCCAGCCAGGCTGTCAAGGGTGGATTCGGTGCCATGTGGTCCGAGACCCTCAAGCGCCACAACGTCGATCACTACATTTTCCCTCGAATCTCTGCCATTGCCGAGCGACTGTGGTCCTACAACAACACCCAGTGGAACGACCAAACCACCCCGCTTCGACTGGAGCGTTTCCGCGAGTCGCTCATCAACGAACTCAACATTGATGCCGCTGCGCTCGACTATCTCGGCAACCAGGAGGGCACGACCTTCAAGACCGAGGCCTGCGACGGCGCTGGCCTGCATGCCCCTGGTCAAAAGACCAGCTCCTGCACCGACCCTGGCTGCCCCGTCCTCGACAGCAAGGGCAACCCCGTCGTTCCCCCAAGCTACTTTGCCGCCCTTGGCGACTACTGCGACATTGCTGCCACTTACAAGACCAACTCGTTCGCCCACACCAACCCCTCGCCCGTCCCTTACTCCTTGTAGACGGTCCAGCGCCACCCGGCCGGCTGGCTTCATGCTTCTGAGCCTAAACCATCAGCCCGTCGCATAACTGTGCCGGGCCACAAGTCCACTGATCCTGATCCTGATCCTGATCCGCGCTGCGCGGACACCTCGCTGACATTTCCTTAACCCGCCGATGCTTCTATGAGAAACCCCCCCCCTATGTGTGTGTACTTTTATAACGATATGACATGCGCCTGCCCGCATGTTTCTTAAACTTCCAACAAAGAAATGAAAAGAAAGAGCTCTCCTCGTCGATTCCTCGCATCTCTGTCCACGATTATCCCTGGCGCCTCGAGATCAACTGCAGGGCTCCCTGAGAGCGCTGCTTCTGAGACATCCAGACACTTTGGTGAAACCAGGGGGCCCTGCGCTGCCCCATGCCACCCGCCAAGCCGTTGTGCTCCATGCACGCCATCGCCGGGTGCTTCTCGGGCTTGGCGGGTCGGTTGGGTGGATGTGCTCTTGGCGGCGCGCAGCCTCAAAAAGGGCGTGTTCGCCCCGGCAACAAGCGGGATGCTTGTCCTCTCATCGCCCGTATTTCTTCATCCGCCTCCTTCTCCAGCCCCCCTTTTCCCTTCCCCCCCCCCATCAATTCCCTCGCTGAAAATCCTCCAAAATGGCCATTGGTGACGTGCCCCTCGTTCCTCCTTCCACCGCCGTCCTCGTTGCTTTCGTCAACATCTTTGCTCCTGGTAAGGACCGCTCCCAGCCCCTTTTTCTCCGCCAGTCGATCCCAAGGCGGTGGCGTCGTCGTCGTCGTCGTCGTCGTTGGGGTAAATGGCCCCAGAGGGCCCAGCTGCCTTGACAGCCGATGGCGAGGCGAGCATGCGGGTCTCCGCTACGGCACCACCGTCTCGAGCGTATCCAGCAGCAGCAGCAGCAGTAGTGGCTGTTGGTGGGCTGCCTTGACAGACAGTGCATGATTTCAAGGCAGGAGATCTGTGATGCTCTACTGACCGTTTTTCGTCCCTCCCTCCCTCCCTCCATTTTTCATTCAATGGCTCGACTCCTGTGATGCCGCCGCCGCCGCTTGTAGGCATCGGTACCCTCATCCTCGGCTTCTCCCGAAACAACAGCGATGTCGTTCTGACCGGCATCCTCCAGCTCCTGGGTGAGTCGACCGCCTCCTCTGGCATTCATGGCTGCCGAGCACGGGCAATAGCAATCGCAACAGCAACAGTTGTGGGCGGTAATGAACAGACACGAAGTGGACCGCTGCGATAATGTGCTGACCAATCGGGCTTTGCTGCTTTCTCCAAATGGACGATCTCATAACTATAACTATGCTTGCGCACTTGCCTGAACCCCCTCAGCCACCTTCCTGGTAAGCAGAGCAGCGCAGGGTGGGCAGAGAGGATGAAATGCCCCGTGACTGAGGACTGCTTCGGTTGCATGGAGCAAATGGACAACTCCGTCTCTGCAGTCGCAGTGGACGACTTGACATCCATCATCCATCCGGACGGGTGCGTGCGAAACAACCTAACACATCCTCCCGCTGTTACCAGGTCTTTGGCTGGATCTGGGCCATCGTCTGGTCCTGGTTCCTCTACACCAAGTCCAAGAACGTCATTGAGCTTCTGTAAATGCCCTCTGGGCTCCCCCCCCTCCCCACGTCTTGTTTTCACTCTCCTCCGTCTCAAGGAACCACATATTCAATCACCCGTGCGGCCCAGCCTGTCTGTCTACCTCGTATCGTCTCTCTCTCTTTCTCTCTGTCTTGAACTCGATAGCAAGTGCGCAACCTGACCAAACGTGGGTTTGAATACAGCTTCTTCCGTGACCAACTCAGCGGATATTCGTTGCCGATTGCTTGTTGGCACGTTTCTGGCGCAATACCCACGCATTCAGAGGGCATCATGTCCAAGCCAGCTGGTTCGTCCACCCTCGCCACCGCCAACACGTGAGCCCGGCACGATCTTCGGTCTCACCCAAAGAGCGAGGCAGAAGCAGGAGCACCGTCTCGTATTGGCAAAGTTTGGCAACAAGATGAGGTGCTTTACTGTACAAAATTTTTTTTCTTTTGCAAACGGAAAGAGAGGGGAGGGGCAGGTTGGTCGGGCTCTTCATTTTCGGTAAAAAATAACTCCTCCCCAAGTACTTTTTTTGTGATTTTTTTTTTTTTGACTTCCATATGTGCAATGCCAAGAAACTCTTGCCACAACCCCTTTTGGCCTTGCCATTCCATCATCTCCCACTCTCACCTCCATCCGCGTGTGTCCATCCGCCAGCGCTAATTCGGATAAGAGTCAAGATCGACCCGGTCCGGGGCAAGCTAAGCGGAGTGACCATGGAGCACGGAGAGAAGTGGCGAGGGAGCGACGGGGACAAGAACGCAAACTCAGGGATCGTGGCAGTGGATCTTTGAACCACAGTCCCAGACGAGTCAAGTTCACACAAACGAGGAGAGCATAAAAGCAAAGCAAGAGAAAGGTAAAAACGAAGGGATAGAACGAGAAGGAAACAAGAAAGACATACTGCACCGAGACCGAAGCATTGAGTGTCAAAAGCGACGGACAAGGCCGGATCGAAAGGAAAGAAAAAGATCGTCCAGGCAACGAACTCTGGAGCACCCATCATGAGCGAGCGAGCAGCGAGAGAGAGGGAGAGGGAGAGAAAGAAGAAAAGAAAGAAAGGAGTGGTAACGAGACATATGTATATCTAGGGCGGATATCCAAAACGGTGACAGAGGTGACGACGAGTCTCGGGATTCCAGAGAGGGAGGCGGGAGAAGAGCGTTGTTGGAAAAGGGAGGAGGAATAGGAAAAAAGAAGGGGGGGGGGCAGCGGAGGAAACGCAAAGGTGCATGATGGAGCGCGGGAGGGGCCAGGGCTTGAGGCCCCCACAAGAGTTTGACAGCACAGCAGAACAGAATTGCAGAGTCATGCAGAACGATGGTGTCGAGGGCAATCAAAGTAAATGGCCGGCAGGGACGGAGCAGGGCTGCCAGAAGCAAGGAAGAATGCAGAGGCCCGGAGCAAAAGGCCTCTTTGGAGAGGATGGTGAACAAGAGTCGAGGGGGCAAGGACCGGGAATGGGAACAAAGGGCCGCTGCTGGTGCCTTGGCCTTCCACAAGTCAAAAGGGCGAAACACAGGGGGCAGGGAGCAACGAGGGGAGGATTGGGAATCAAGGGGCTGTCGGTGTGCATTCGACAGCCAGACAGATAGACAGACATCAGACAGTGAGAGCGAGCAGACAACGAGCAAATGCAGACAAGGAGAGAGAGAGAGAGAGAGCAAGGGAAACGATAAGAAACTCAGCGCACAGAGGCTGAGGACGACTGAGTGTCACTTGAGGGGCTTGGTGCGGCTCCACCGCTGCCCGAGACCCGGGTCGCTGCAGGCTCAATCACTCTTGGAGTTGTCCAAGATCTTTGTGACATCATCCACGAGCTTGAGGTCTTCCAAAAACGGTATCAGATCCAAGAGTTCGGTGTCGTTCGGATCACTGAACCAGCTGGTGATTGGGATGGCGTTGCTGGGATGGAAGATGTAGGATGCCGGAGAGTTGTCGAGGATGATGACGTCTCTCAGGTCGCGTCCCAGTTGGCCGAGATCCTGTTTGGTTACGACAGAGCAGTCAGCACGGATGCCGTTGTGCCGCCCCGGCTGCGACATCCGGCTGATCGTCCCCCAATGGATCGACGAATGCAGACAGCCCCACATCGCGATCAGAGGGCAAGAAAGGTGGAAGGAAGCTTACTTTGACGTAGTTCCCCTTGTGGTGGATGCACGCCTCTCTGAACAGTCTATGGTCGACAACCCCATATTTGTCGAGCTTGTCTAGAACAGGGTCGGCATACTGGCAGAGTTGGAGCACAAAAAAAGAAAATGCAGGCGTGAGGACACAGCAGCTCAGGCACCGATTGGCGGCTACCAACAGATCGAGCACAGGCTGGTACGACGTACCTTTGCCAGACTAGCTGTGAACACAACAATCTCGAACTGGGGGCCCAGCCGCTGCAAAAACACATCGACTCCAGGTCGCTTTAGCACGTAAACATTATGGACTTGATCATCAATCTCAACGGGGATAATGAAATCGGCTTGAGGCACCGGCTGAGTGTTGTGTGGCCAAAGGGAAAGGCGCGGTACGAGAGGAGAGCAAAGGTCCCGTGTGAGCGAATGAATGAAGGGCGACGATGGCAGCGTCGAGCAGAATCGATCTGAGCGGAACTAAGCAAAGCACACTCCAAGCAGACAGCTGCTCGGGGCGGCAGGTACAGGGCGCCGGAACAAGAAAGCGGCGAGCCAGCCATAGAATGCCAGCGCAGGGCCACGTCAGCTCGTACCTTGAAGGAACTGTGGACCAGAGTTTCATCCAGGTCCAGAACCAGACATTTCTTTCCGTTGTCCTCGTCCTCGAGCGGCGGCAAGAGGTACACCTTTGAGTTGGATAGCTGGCGTCAACAGAACAGGAGGGCAGTATGTGGAAATCAGTGCTTGCACACGCACATCGAGTCTCGGGTCAAGACAGATGAGAGACAAACAGCCCGCCCGGTATTGGACCAACGGAGAGAGTTCGGGCACAACTACGCAACCACAGGGTCAGCGGAACTGTGTCGAATGAATGCATGGACAGGACATACTGTTGGGCTCGGCTTGGGCTTTGGCGATGGGGTTGGTGCTGTTTTGATGATGGCCTTTGCGACTGGGGCAACAGACGGGTCATGGTCCTTCTCGTCGAGCTCGGCCTCCATGTCCCGCAGTCCACAACGGCAGCATGAGAATATCGAGTTGAAGGAAGACTTCCACTGTGACGGTTTTTTGAATCGAAATGATGAGGTCCGCTTGGACGGTTCGACACTGTTTCCAGCTGGGGACCAGGAAGGAGCGATGAAGCCAAGGTGTGGGAAGGGACGCGAATACGAGAGGGAGAAAGAGAGAGAGAGAGATGAAGAGCACTGAGTCAGCATCCGGAGATGTTTCGCTTCACGGCCCAAGGTCGAGCCACCTCAATGGAGCCTGTCCGCGTGGCAGCGCATTTTGCCGCACCCAGACGGAACAGGCCGTGCAGCGTTACAAGACAGCCCCGGCGGACGAGGGGTGCCGTTTGGGCCGGAGGCCGGTACCGACCGTTTTTCTGCTGGGAGGGAAGGGACGACGATCGATCCATCGGAATAACCGGGGGCAGGGATCCTCCGCCAGCGATGCTGGGTTTGACTTGCGTGATGATGCCAGCCAGGCTGGACTCCTTGTCGATTCCCGGAGGAGCCACCTGGGTGATGAGGCTTTCTGGGGCCGTCATGCTCAAGTGATCTGGGGTTTGAGAGTGTGGGAGGGATTGGGCGTCCGGATGGAGGAGCACGGTAGGGCCAAGCTGCGCTTCTGGGTTGACACTGCTGCGGATTAAGCTCTACGAGATCTGCGACACAGCAGCGGGATGGTGGACAAGACGAGATCGAGCGGCAGCGGGCGTCAGCAACGGCTTGGGGATCGAGGGACCGAGCGAGCGACTTTATGGTCGCGATCGGGCGGCTCGCCTGGAAACGAAGACAGCGCAGACAACCGGCGCAGTCGTCCAGATGTCTCCATCAACGACTTCCAGTGCAAAGCGGAGCAATAAGAAGGGGGGGGTCCCGAGGAGATCGTGTCCGGCTCTGCGCGAGTCCCGAAGGAAAATGCTCGTTCGCGCTGGAGGCACAGCCCAAGAACGACGGCGGTGGACCAGAAGCAAGTCCACAGACGACGGCCGAGCGGCGGCCAAGCAAATTGCGGAGGCAAGGACCTACCCCTGTGAGGCCAAGACGGTGTCGGAGGGTTTGAGAACAATGCGCAGGGCAGAAAGGCAAAAGACAACCCGTTAGGGACAGCGCAGGGATCCGAGAGCCAGGGGGGAAGGGCGATCACACGCCTTGGCTTCGCTCAGCATCGGCCAAGTAGTCTCGGGTCGCGGATATGCACGGAGGCCGCACGAGAGACATGTTTCCAGGCAATCCACGCCTATGAGTTTGCGGGAAGAGACGCAGGGGTCGCCCAGCAGCAGAGTGGGCTGGTGGCAACGAAGCCGGCCAGGACCGACGCTGAGAGCGTGTGGACCGCCATCGTCATGGTCTTGGCGAGACAGCCCAGGCAGCCCAGGCAGTCGAGAGAGCAGGCCGCCAGGGCTCAGATGGCGGCCACGCCCTGTGTTTGCCCGAGATGCATCCGCAAACAATCGAAAAAAGAGCTGCTTTGCCGTGTTGGCCGCCAGGAGCAGGAACAACAGGGCGAGCAGATCGATGGCAGGGGCCTCCGGAGACGGATGTAGGCCGACGACACGGCGACAGCGACCGTGTTTGTGCCTACCAGAGATTGGATGGCCTCGATGAGACGGAAAGCCGGCTCGAGAGGGGGTAAGGAAGAGGTAGAGGGCTGCTGGGGGCTCCTTGGACAGATGCGACCAGAAAGCAGGTGAGGGAAAGGCGAGGAGACGGCGCCAGCACGAGGGGGGAGGCGAGGAGCAAAGCCGAGAGGGCAGTCGGCCCAGCGAGCAGCGAGAGCGGCGAGGCGCGGGGAAAGTAATGGCGAGATTTAAGGGGGCGAGACCGAGGCCGACAGACCGAGAGACCGAGAGATATTCGGACCGACCGACCGAGAGGCAGATCGGCTCGCAGCGCTGTTGTGCAAGTGCGAGTGCGAGTGCGAGTGCGAGTGCAAGTACAAGTGCGAGTGCAAGTGCAAGTGCAAGTGCAAGCGCGAGTGTGCTGCGGTGGTGGTGCAGTGGCACTCAGCAGCACTGGGCGAAAAGAAAGAAAGCGCCGGCCTGGGATGAGGGTGGTAGGACAGGGTCGTGCACAGAGTGGTGGACACTGTCGGGCACACTGTCGGGCACACAGCGGCCAACAGAAATCCATCAGTCGACCAAAGGACAGTTGCACAGGCCGAGCCGCCATGGGCCGTCGCTCTCCCCCCTCTGGCCGCTCGCAATGCCGTCTGTGCGCGTCGGGGCCGACCAAACAGGGCCGCACAAGAAAGCCGTGCAACAGACCTGCGCGAGGCGATGGTCCTTGGCGCATGGCAAGACCCGTCCGGGTGCACTGCCGTCGCACCAGCGCGCTTCCGGCCGCGCTCTGGCTTTCCTCCCTCGCGCGTCATGGAAACTGGACCTGGGCGGTATCGGCGGTGCATGTCGTTGATGCCATCCATGCTATCCATGTCATTCACGCCATCCATGCCATCCATACCATGCATGTTGGCCGTGTCCGAGGATTGGCGTTGCCGATTCACGCATGCTGCCAGAGTGGAACGCACCAATCGGCCGCAGAACCCCACGACGCTGGCCGCTGCTCGCTGCGGCGATCGGGACCATCCGTTCAGCCTGCCAAGCTCCCAGGGTGACCCGCCATCCGACCACTCTCCAGCCACACTCCAGTCGCTCTCCATACAATGCCGCCGAATCGTGGCCCACTTCCTTGGGGTTCCGGCTGATATTGTTGTTGCTTTTTTTGTATTGTGCATCTAGTGTGCGGCGGCTCGGATCGCTTGTGGGTCGGGGCGGCCGCGGCGCTCACGAGTTGATCAGAAACAGGAGTTCGGCCAGCTGCTTGGCAATCTCCTCGCTCTCGATCGCGTCGGTGTCGATCCCGGTTGCTCCTCCCGTCGGGCCTGGTCGCCGACTTGCGCCAGGCTGCAGTTTGCTTGGAGTCGCCAGAGGGCCACGTCCGCCTCCGCTACCGCCTCCGCCTTGGCCCGACAGGACCAATTCGCTGCTTCGGGCTGCTGCCGTCCGGCGACCTTCTTCGTGCACCATGATCGCCAAGATGTCGTCCTCAACGCCGTTCAGCTTCATGGACTTGCGGTTCGGTCTGCTGCGCGCCAGCTCCATCATGATCTGGATGATCCGCAGCCGGATCGAACTCGTCACGCCGATTCCGCCCGCATCCATCCGCGACCGCCCTGGAGCGAGGCCGTCTGGCGTCGGAATCAGCGAAACGAGGTACCGAAGGACATGTGTCTGACTTCCAAGGCGCTCGAGCAAGCCTTGCGCTGGGCTGCGGCTTTGGCTCCTCGCTGCTGTGTCGTCGTGGCCTGGGGTTTCGGTCGGCGACATTGCGCGGCCCTCGTGGCCATGGCCGATCAGTAGCAGGCTATGGATCACCATCAGAGCACATTCAAGCCGCGCCTGCTGCTGTTCGCTTTGCTGGGTAGTGGTCCCAACCTCGGTCCGGCCGCGCCCGATTTCCCCCGGGCCAGGAAGGAGCTCCACAACCCGATCCAAAAGTCGACAGAGCAGGCTGGTGTCTGCACATCGCTGAACAGATTCTTGGTTGCTTGACACCACGAGAGTCTTGGCAAGGGCATCCAGGGCAACGCCGGCGTAAAAGTCGTCGTCGTCTCCAATATCAGCCTCGCAATAGTCTGCGATCAGCTCCAAAATTGCCTTCACTACCTTGGCTTCGCGGCCCGGCGGTGCATTCGTCGAACCAGGGGCATGGATTGATGTGGCCGAATGGGCGCCGCCGGTGATCGCACCATTGACTGCAACAGGAAAGGGGTCGCTCGGAGTGGATTTGTGATGACTGCCTGGCCCAGGGATGTGCTGCAGACTTGGATTCAAACGGAGCTGGGTGCCCAAGTTGGACAGGACAACGACCGCATTCTGCCGATGCTCGACCAGTCGGGCAGCGGTGATGCAGTTGGTGCGCAAAACGGCAATGCGTTGATCGACGCTGCGGTCGTCGTCGTCGTTGTCGTCGCTATCGCCTTCAGATTCTCCGCCATATCGAAGAAAACTAAACACTGGAAGCTCATCGTTGTCGTCCTCGTCTTCATCTTCGTCCTCGTCCTCGTCCTCGTCTTCGTCCTCGTCAAGACCGAGATTCGCATCATCCCCATCGATTTTTGCGCGCGTCCGCTTCTTGTATTTTCTTGCCAAGCGTGAGCCATTGTCGTTATCGAGGCACCTGCCGCGCACGCTGGTGACCAGCGCCTCGATGAACCGAGGGTGCCGGGCAAGGTACCGTTGGTTCTCGGGAACGAATGACAGGTTACGGACAATGTTGCTGATGGCGTAGGCAATCTCCATTTTTTGGCGATGCTCATGTCCGCAGGCGTTGTCGTTCCAGTCGCCGCGCCGCATGATGAAGCCGTTCGACAGATCGACGCCCAGAAGGCGCTCGGGGGTGTCACGGTGCTCCTTGGTCCGCGGCCGATGAAGCGCCGTCGATAACGCCAAGGATTCAGCTGCAAGCTTGGTCTCAGCCCCATTCCTTGAGCCGGAATCGATCGTGCGCTTCCGATCGATCTGGACACCTTCATCAATCCCATTCTCCACTTTGACAACCACGTCGCCGCGTTTCCGCTTGCGGCCTGGAGGCCGCAATGATGAGTCCCGTGCGACGCCATTGCACTCTGTTTCAAAGCATCGGATCCACAGCTTGAGCAGCTCGTCCGCAAGGAGTGGGCATCGCTCGAGGTAGAGAATCGGGTAATCGTTCTGACTTCCATCCGTCGAACTGATGACCGAAAGGACATTGAGAGCGTACGCGACGGCAATGTCCATGCCACACTTGAGTTGCATCGTCAGTGTGTATATCTCTACTGAGCCTGCAAGGCAAATTCATGTACAAGGCGCATTAGCGAGGATCACCCAGTTGCGAACGGCGCTCACTCTCAGCATTCCAAAAGTTGCGGCCAGAAGCATTTTCTCGCCACGCAACAGGTCCTCGGGGCTCATGTACCAAATGTGGTGGCCGCTGATCAGATCCGTCGTCTGTCAACAGACACCTCGGCCCCGGTCCTGAGTTCAGGCAGCCCATACTAGCAGGCCTTGTCAGCAAAACACCCAGCCAAAACGACTTACCAAGCTGCTCTTTCGACATTGGATAGTGATGCTTGAAGTTCGCAAAGAGATCGACGTTGATGCCAGCGTATGCGCTGTCGATACGACCGCTCGCCGGTGTTTGCAGGTGTCGAGATCCATGGGCCATCATGCCCCCCTCGCCTTCGGAAGGGAACGAGGCATGAGCCGGATGCCCCTGCTTCAAGCCGGGCTTCATCATGTGCGGCATGCCCTTGGGAGGGGCCACAGGGTACAAAGCCGGACCAGCCGAAGGAGCAGTCTGCGCAGCGCCAACCGCACCCGGCTGAACGCCATAGACCATTTCGCCAGGGCCCTTTTGCATCGAGCCGACCAAATGCCCGGCCGCTGGAGAATATGGGAGCTGCGACTGGAAAAGCTGCTGTTGAAGGGGGAAGGCGTGCGGCTGGGGCGTCATCAACGGAAGCGGTGGATGCTGACCGACCATAGAAGTGTGGACCAACGGTGATGGCACCTGTTGTTGCTGCTGCTGGTGCTGCTGCTGCTGCGGTGTTGATGGTAGCTGCTGTTGCTGCACCAGGCGAACAGGAGTTGAAAATACAGGCGGTGTACCTGGACTTTGTTGTGCAAACTCAGGGGCTGCACCAGGTTGCGTTTTTACATCGGAACGGCCTGGCTCGCCAAGTCCAGCGACGGCCGGAGGCATCTTGATTCCAGCTGCATTTGCTGATGGTGTGTCCGTCCCGGGAGCTGCGTGCTCGGCGCGATGCTGGATGGAAGCTGGACCGTGCAAAGCCGATGGATCCATTGTTTGAGGGACGGTGGCAGTGGCGGCAGTGCTCGTTATGACAGGGGATCGACCAAGCACCTCCGCACTTGCGTGGGAGAGTGCGGGACTTGCAATCTTGGAGTGATCCAGCGGCAGTCCATCTGCATGACTACCGGCGCCGTGAGGATAGGGGCCACCAGAAGCTGCTCCAGCGCTTGTGACATTGGTGCCTGCTGCCGAAGGTCGACCATGACCAGCAGCAGAGCCCGATGCCGGCTGGGTCCTGTCCACCAATACGTTTGCCATCGCCTGAACAGATGCACTCCGTTCGTGAGCTGCCATTAGCTTCTTGTTGCCGAGGATGAACTGCTCAAACTCTCGGAACCAAAAAATATACAGATCCCGGATCTGGATCGGCTGAATGGCACGAAGCCCGAGTTTGGACGTGATCAGCGACCAATCGGGTATCTACAGGAACGGCGAGGCAGCCCGTAGGGCAGATGTGGTCAGCAACCAAAGCAACCAAAGCAGCCGTGATAGTCGCGGATCAACCTCATCGCTCGCAGGTGTCGGTAGATCGATGGCACGAGACGCTGTGATCCGACCTCGCCACATCCTGCCACAGATTCAACCGGTGTGCGAGCTCAGGGGTACAGCCGCGACTTACATGCTCGCAGCCTCCATGACCAATCACGAGCCTGCACAGCAGGTGCAGATCGACGGTGCATCCTTCAAAGCTGACAAACGAGGTGAATGGCGTCGACTTGCGCTTCTCGAGGATGGCGTATCTCTGCCGCAGCGCCGGATCGGTTGATGGTGGCATGACGGTCTCGCTGATGGCCTTTTGCATCCGCTTCCAGAACACGGAAAAGATCCGGTCAAAGTCGGGACGTGCATTGATCGAGGAAATCGAAAAGCTACGACCGTAGTGTTCGTGCGAACGAGACGGGTCCACATCCCCATGCAGATGAGCGGCAGCCGCAGAATGGCCGGGCTGGCTCGAGGGCATCGCAAGTTGGGAGGGCTCCGCCGTTTTTGATCCATCCAGAGCGTCGGGGCTTTGCATTGATCTGCTGCCGACCACAGCTTGGTCGTTTGCTTGCTCCAGAACTACGCCGTTCGCCTCGGAGGAAGCGACTGCTGCAGGAGGAATACCTGAGCCTGCTAGAGGATCAGTGGCAAAGGCAGGTTGGGCTTCTTTGGGGCAAGGTGAACGCGGAGGGAAACCAAGCTTGTTAGATCGCAGAATCCAAGCAATCGATACACCGCCGTTGGATCCGCTTACGCAACGGCCCGCTGCCTTGGAGATCTGAGTGGCAAGCTCTCGTCCGTCACAACTTGCAGATACCAAGCGAGCGCACACATACCAGCGTTTGGGGGCACACTCGTGATCATTTGGGCGAGTGACGTCTTTTGTGCCTGAGCTTGGCCTGGCGACGGCCGTTGGTCATGTGGGGAGAGCTTTTGCTGGGTCGACTGCAGCGCTTGCTGGATCCCATGACGGATTTGACTGCTAAGCGAGCTCGAACCGGCCGAGGTTGCTCCGGGCTGCGACGTCTGAGGCTGTGGAGGGGTATTTTGCGGGGACGGCGAGGGGCGCGACGGCATTTGCGATGCAGGGTGACCTGCAATCTGCGCAGGAAGCTGACCTGCCGATTGCTGGGGCGTCGAAGGAGTTTGGAGCTGCTGTGAGCCCATGAGCACGGATTGGACTCCCGATTGAGCAGCCAAGGCAGCGATGTGAGATGGAGGCTGGCCACCTTGGTGGGCAGATAACTGCCCAGGCTGCGTGGCAGTGTGCTGCAGAGCAGCTTGAGGATTCTGTTGCAGAAACGATTGCTGCAGCAGCGCCTGTTGTTGTTGTTGCTGCTGCTGTTGTTGTTGTTGCTGTTGTTGCTGCTGCTGTTGTTGCTGCTGCTGTTGCTGCTGATAGGCCTGGCCCGACATCTGCTGCATCTGCTGCATCTGTTGCATTTGTTGCATTTGCTGCATTTGCTGCATCTGCTGCAGCATCCACGCCGAGTCCATGCGCTGCTGGGGATTTGCCACAAGAGAGCCCGAGAATTGCGAATACTGTGGCTGCTGCTGTGCAATCGAAATCCCGGCTTGGCTTACGATGGCAGCGTTGAGTCCTGCAGGGACAGCGCCGGCATAGGGCTTGGCACCTTGGATCTGGCCAAAGGCACCCATGTACGGGGCGCCCCCGGGTCGTACACCTGCAGGCATAGACATGAGCGGGTTCTGGAGCTGCATCTGCTGCAGTTGTTGCATCTGCTGGAGCTGCTGCATTTGCTGTATCTGCTGCATCTGTTGAAGCTGGAGCTGGTCGTAGGCCTGAGACTGCATCCGAGAGAGGGCATTCTTGTACTGCATCTGCTGGAGCTGGAGTTGTTGGGACTGCTGAAGCTGGAGTTGCTGGGATTGCTGGAACTGCTGCAGGCTGAGCTGGGGGAATTTTTGAGGGGTGCCGTGCGTGGCAGACGCGGCACTGCCGATCGATGGTCGGAAGGGGAGACCAGGACTCTGGGGAAGCGCTTGATTTTGGGCGAGGAGCTGGCTTTGGGCAAGTGACAGGCTCTGGTTGCTGTGTGGAGCCTGACTCTGAGCTGCATTCGAGGTTTGCATCGTCGCGATGGGGTCCAGAAACTCGCCCTGTCCAGGCGTTGGCGGATTCGATGGGGTTCTCGATGCTGAAGCCGGTTTGGGCGTCTTTGGGCCAGGAACCTGTGCGAGGGCAAGGCCAAGGTGAGACTAGCGCAAATACAGTATATCATCCGTGCGAGGCAATCAGACTGGCACATGCGCTGGTGCTGGAGCTGGCTGTACCTGCTGGAGCTGTCCTGTTTGTGACGACCTCTGCATCAAGGCTATGCCTGCCGGGTCGGGGGCAGATATCGGGGATCCGGCAATGAGCTGTGATGGCGTTGGGCTGGGACTCGAGAAAATCGAGGTCGACAACGCAGGAAGGGTCTGGGGAAGGTGGGATGCGTTGGGCAGGGACATGCTAGCAGGGTGGACTGTCATTGCTGGGCCTGTCGAGTCAGAAAGCTGGGTGGACGACTGCGAGCCGAGCGGCCGCTGTCCATCTCGGTGCAGCGAATGGCCCAACGCCGCTGGCTGAGGCTGCGGTGATGAATAGGGATACGGCGACGCCGATCTTGACACATGCGACTGGGCAACGGAATGCATCGCCATGGATGGCCCAGACAGGTCCTGTTTCGAGGAGACAGGCACGTCACCCTGCGATGACAGGGGAGCTGATGGGTTTGCCGCCGACTTGTGCAGATGTGTTGCCGACGCTGGATCGAGATTGGCACCATGGCCCCCGGTGAACCAGCCCATCTCCGAGGCTGGCTCCGAGGCTGACGAGCCGGCGAGCGAGGAATGGTTGGACTGGAGGGTGGAGGCTGCTGGATCGCCGGGGATATCGGTACGATCGGGAGGGATTGAGTCACCGGCCGATTCATCGATATATCCAAAGAGTGCCGAGTCGTTCAGGAAGTCTGGCACCGCGGCAGTGTTGCAGGAGAGAACGACCAAGTGGAGCCGTTGTTAGTATCAGAGCCCGGATCGGGAGACAGCACTGAACGATCCAAGAATCGGCAAGCGCCCTCGCTGATACTGGCCAAAGCCATCAATCCTCGCGGCAAAGCAAGTCCTGGTCCAGGGGAATACCGGGGAACAACCAGGAAGATCCGGGACGAGCAGATATCCTCACAGACATCCTCACAGACATCCTGGGAGAGAGCGAATGGCCCTGGGTCCCAGGCATCGCTATCCGGCCAGCAGCAGACACAGGAGTTGGTCGTGGTCTATCCAGCAACGGCAAATGCTCGCACCTGAACCTAGGCTCTCCCCTGCCGTGCTTGATCCTGTGGGCTGGATGGCGTCGGACGATCCAAACTGTCCGCCCGTCAGGAAACTGCCCACCGGAATAGGCGGCAGCCGATTGCGCCGCGACATACGATGGCGTAGGCACACAGGAGTTGCGAGGCAGTTAGTTGCGGGGCCATTCGCAAAGCACCATCACCGAGATGCCCGATCGATCGAACTAATCCAGTGCCGACCCGTCAGCCGCGGCAGCATCTTCTCCTGCACTGCCTGCATCCAACTGGCCACCATGGCTTACAGCTCTGACTGTAGGATATCGGATGTGTCGTTGAAAAAGGCGTTGGAATAGGACTGGTCCATTGCGGGAAGGGTCGAGACCTGCAGTGATGCCGATGCCAGACAAGAGAGCGGCCAGGATCCAGATATTAGAATCGCAATCGATCGGACCGATGCGCCTTTGATGGAGGGCCATGCGCGACTCGGTCGACAGGCCAGCTCATGGATGGAGATGGACCAACGCTTGCTGCAGATCGGCACCCAGGGACCGAGGCGTACCTGGAGGGCCAGGTGCTGGTTTTACTGGTGGTCGTGGAAGAGCCGAGAGAGAGCCGGGATAGAGCCGGGATAGAGCCGGGATAGAGCCAGCCGGAACAACCGGGCGGACACGCAAGGACGATGAGAATGGCAGCAGAGACAGGACAGGACCCACCCCGGGCGAGAAGGACAGATGCAAGAAGTCTCGGCAGGCCAGCGGGCTCGCTGGACGAGGGAGGAGCAGGCGCCCGTGGCAGAGGACGAGGCCGGGGTTTGGCTGGGAGGGCTGAAACACGAAGATCCCCGGAATCTCGCAAAGCTGCAGCCGGCCCCCAAGCCCGCAGCAGGGGGTGTGCCTGGCCCGCAGCGGCCGCAGACATACCAAGGACGGAGGAGAAGGATATCGGGAGGCCGGGCCAGGGACGGCGGTCATGAGCCGGGGGGGGTGGTGGTATGGCCGGTGGGTGTGTTGGACTTGGCGAGGCGACTTGGGCAGTATGCGTCCATCAACCAAAAGGACGAGCCCAAGTCGAGCGCCATAACAGCAGCGTCTGTGTTTGTGTAGGACGGCCAACTGCCTCTCGGCGCCGCCTGTCGGCGAGGGCGAGGGCGAGGCGAGGCGCTCTCGTGCCGCCAGCGAGGCGGGATGGTTGTGCTATCGCCGCCGCTGTCTGTGTCTCGGCCGTCTCGCCGGCCTGTCTCGTCTCTGCTCGTGGCTGCTCTCGCTCCCGGACCACGCTCTCGCTCTCCTCGCCCGGCTTTTGCGTTTTTTGGGTGTCTGGCGACCCGTTTTGGCGTGATGAAACGCGGCGCCTGGTCATCAGCATCGGCAGTATGGGACCAACAACATCACCAACACCAACAACATCAATAACATCACCAACAGCATCGGCAGCATCGGCAGCATCGACAGCATCGGCAGCGTCGGCGATCATCCATGCCGATAGCCCCGCGCGGCTTGGGCCACCCAAACAGCCCTGTGCACCAGAATGCGGCACGGCACAAATCGCCAGGGCCCTGGATCCAGTGGCCAGTCCCAGCCCCAGCACCGCCCATCATCCATCGACCCCTGTATGTCGCCGTCCGACGCACTGGCAACCCACCTGTGCCGCCCCGGGTGCCCGGCCTTGCTGTGGTCCGATCACCAGAAGCAGCCACAGCGATCATGGCGATTGTGCACACAGACGGCCACATGACGCCGCTCATCCAGCATCAGGGCAGGCACAATCCACCGGGCACAACCCACCGGGCACATGCCCAGCCAGAAGCAGCGCCCACGGCCGGGCATGCGCCGGGAATGGAGCATGCGACGGCGCTGTGTCGCTGATGGCCGATTGCCAACGGAGCGACGCCGGCATTGGTGTGGGTGGAGCAGCGACAGGACAGGCAGCGGCAGGCCCGGTGTGCCCAGAAGCCAAAGAAGTAAAGACCGAGCCTGTTGCACACACCGCTCTGCAGAGCCCTTCGTCTCGATCGCTCTTCTGGTCCTCACGCCGACCCAGCTCCCCCAACCGACCCACCACCCAACGACTGCCGCCACAGCCAATGTCACTGGAATATGTAAGCCATCGGCTCGCAGCAGCCCTCAGCAGCGCAGTTGAGAGTCGTTGCCGTGGCATGTCTCACTCAGCCCACGGAACATCTCCCAGACCATCGTCGACACATTTCTGCCCTCGCCCGGCACTGCCTTTGCGGGAAACCCAACGGCCGTCGTCCGGATCGTCTCGAGCGCGGTCTTCCCGCCTGACTCTGTTCTGCAGGCAATTGCCATGTAAGTCTGGATCAATCGCCACCCCAAAAACCATGGCCCGATCCGTCAGCTAAAGCCCGGGGCGACCTCTTTCTTCGCACCCCACAGCGAGTTCAACACGGCGGCAACGACCTTTGTGATGGAGCATCCCGATTCCACCACCGGCCTGCCCGTATACTCGATCCGGTGGTTCACGCCCCAGTACGAGATCATCCGATTTTGCGGTCACGGCACCATGGCTGCCTCTCACTGCGTTTTCAGCCAGACCGCCATTGGCGACGATGTCGACCGCATCCAGTTCGTTGCTGGCAACCAGGAGCGCTACTTTACCCATCGACGAGGACGGCAGTTTGAGTTTGAGTTCCCGGCCTACGTCGTCGAGGAACTCTCCCCCGATGAGACCCAAACGCTCCGATCCGTTGTCCTGCGTTCCTGTCCCGCGTTGTCGGCAGCCGACCTGCTCCACATCTCGGTCAGCAACGGCCGACGGGATATCCTTGTGGAGATCGCCAATGACGTCGACCTCGGCGGCCTGCACGTCAACTGCTCGGTCCTGGTGAGTGCATGACCGGGGTGAATGGAGGCCCGGTGCGGTGGAACAATGCGAACCAGCATCTTGGCCATGCCAGAGATCAGACGCCGGTCTGGACCGCACATCCGAACTAGTGGCGGACTGATCCGAGAGCGAGCGCAAGTGCACATTCAAATCACTCAAGTCCCTTACGGCTGTCGCCTCCCACCGATGCAGGAGTCTGTCGAGCAAACCCGGATGACCTTAACCAATACTTGGAAGAACGGATCCGTGCCAGAGGCCGACATCTGCTCGAGGGTGTTCTACAAAACCGGAGAAAATCCCGTCTGCGGCGTTGCGCATTCGTCGCTGGCCGTGTACTGGTCGCCCAGGCTCGGCAAGACCAGTCTGGTGGCCTTCTCTGCCTCGGCACGTCGGGGCCGGCTCGAAGTCAGTCTCGACACCGCGCGGCATATGGTGGCTCTGCGGGGCCTCGCAGGCTCCGTCATGACCGGCACCATCCTCTTGAATTGGACGTGTACCGACCAGTATGCCCGAAGCCAGCACAAGGTTGTACTCGAAAAGTGATGTGGTGAGGGAGAACAGCTCCGTCTGCGACATGGGGGCATTGTGTCGGTCAGCTGCATCGCACGAGCACGGATGTCTCGGGGATATCGACCACAGGTTTCTCATCAGCGACGGAGACACGAGGAGACGCTGATATTGGGAGTTACATGGGCGTCCGCAAAGGTGTCCAGATACAATACAGGAATATAAGATGCAACTGTCCTGGTTCGGACGCAAATAGATCGGCAAAGCCGAAGAGCACCTCCACAGAGGCGCACATGAGATCGGGGAACAACAGCAACATATCTATCAAAGAGAGAATCCACCCAATGGCCGACTAAACGAATTAGCGGCTCTTGTCAAACTCGATGGTGACGCTGCCAGCCGGGGCGGCGTGGACGGCCTCGATGATGCCAGTGCACTCGGGGCAGCGAGTGGCCTTGATCGGGATGCTGGTTTGGTGGACGCAACAACGTGAAGAGTACAGACACCGGATGGGCGCAGAGATGAGTAAGTACCAAACACAGCTCCATCAGGAGCGACTGCATGGCGGACGCTAGGTTAGGCAACAGCGACATCGCCATGATCGCCATAAACAGACATAGCTCGGGAGCCCGGGGGCTCATCGGCACCCGGGACCAGCATCGGACAAGTCACTTACTCCTTCGTGCAGTAGGGGCACTCCTTGGTCTTGGGGTCCTCGACCTTCTTGCGGATAAAGGCGGCGGTGTAGACCTTGAGCAGGAAGAACAGGATGATGGCCGTCAGGATAAAGTTGATGATGGTCATGAGGAAGTTGCCCCAGTTCCAGGTGACGGCGCCAGCCGAGTGGGCCTGAGTGGTGGTGTTGTAACGGAGACTGATCGGAAGGTCGCGGCAGCCAGGCGTCGCAGGTGGGCATCGGAAGATGATGAAGCTTTGATCGAGCTGGCTCTCTGAAAGGGGATAAAATGCCGGAAATCAATGAATGCCGCATTGGTAGCCGAAGCCGCAGCAGCAGCAGCGATGCCACACCCAACGAGCGTGCGATTCACAGGGGGCAGTTGCAGTATGAGTCGCACAGAGCAATGCGTTTTTGATCGGCTACATACGGGTGGCCAGAGCAATGACGGGCGAGATGATGTCTGTTGGAAGCGACACGGGAAATGCGTTAGCAGACGCACATTCGCTTTGCATGAATGCAAGCACGCCGAATCGAATCGAATCGAATTGACGGGTTGCCGAACTGGCATCCGCTTGGAGAGTGTGCGCCTGGTCGACACAATACGTACCGGTGACAAAGGAGGTGACGATTGCGGTAAAGGCTCCACCGATGATGATACCGACCTGTGCAGAGCAGCGCGGGCTGTTAGCTCTCGGGGGCACCTGGCGATCGAGTATCGGGCGACGACGGCATGTTGCTCATGGTGGAATACTTACGGCCAAGTCAATGACGTTGCCGCGGGAAATGAAGGCATGGAAGTCCTTCCAGACGCTGTTGACGGCCTGGACGCCCTTCACGGCGCCAGCCTTGGTGGCCTGGGCAGCTTGCTTGGCCTTATCCATAGCGACAGATTGAAGCGGGAGAGAGGAGTTGGAGCGAAGGGAAGACGGGAGATGTGTCGAGAGGGACGGGATGCAGCAGGAATCGGCGAGCCTCCAGGCTTTATGGCAAAGAAAGAGAAAAGAGGCAGCCGTGCGGCGCGCAGCTGTGGGCGTGTCTGGCGTGGCACCTGTGCAAGCCGAGGACGTGTTTCTGTCGCACAATATCAGGCACCGCGTCCACAGAGGCATATGGGCCTTGACGGCGCCCGCTGTACTGTGGAGCACTGAGCAGTGCTGTCCGCGCTGTGTCCGAGTGCGCTGGACTGTGCTGTGTTGGCGCAGGGTGCTGCGCACTCCATTCCCTGTGTGGGGGAGGCGAATCAGTCCATGTCACCGCCCCGCACCACAGCCTTGTGCGCGGCGCGCGTGGCTTGCGCTCCCTTGTGCCAAAGTCACCAGCCCTAGCAAGCCCCCGCCAGCCCTAGCAAGCCCCCGCCAGCCCTAGCAAGCCCCCGCCAGCCCTAGCAAGCCCCCGCCAGCCCTAGCGACCCCTCGCGTGCCCTGCGCAGCGCCGTCTATGAATTTCATTTGGGTCCGCAGCACGCCCTCCCGAATCGCTCTTTTCGGCTGTCCTGATCTCTGCCAAACCCAGCCCGTCGCTGATCCCTCTGCATCGCTGATCCCGGCCCATCGAATCGATCTTGGCCAGCTCGCCAGTCAGCCAGCTCGCTGATCCGCCTCCCGCAAGCCGATCCCCATATCACCAGCAGGCATGCTTCTGCGGATTACCCGGCCGCTGCGGTCGACACATGCCTCCCAATCCGAATGGGTGCGCAGAATCGCTGCTCCAGTCTCCCGTCTGTCGTCGACCACCTCGGCATTGTCCTCAAAAGCCCCTTCAGCGTCCAGCGCCGACGGCGATGCCGAGCCGCAGCCAGCCAACTCGTCTGCGTCCGCATCTGCATTTGCATCTGCATCTGCAGCCCAACTCGAATCGTTCGCCTCGCAGCCCTCGGAGCGGCCCGAGCCGTCGCCTCAGCCCGATGTCGCTGCCGCCCGACCCGCAAAGCCGGCGACACCCTTTGGATTCTCCTCCTTCACGTTCCCGCTCCCAAGTCTCTTCAACAAGGAAAAGTCGGTGCAAGCACAGGTCATGGACTATCCCTGGCTGCTAAGCACGGCACCGCCGCGGCAAGAATCGCCGACAGTGTGGTCTGTCCTCAAAGAGAAGCACTTCCTGGCCCTTGGCATCGAGCGCGCAAAGAAGCACTTGCACTATCCCGCCTACGACTTCCCCATGATTTTCACCGAAGACATCGAGCCCGTCGTCACCAACCTCTTTGCGACACTCTCGGATCGTAACTGCTCCGAGGAGACGCTGCAGCCCGTGATGATCCGCGCACTGGTCGATCGATTCCTGCCAGCGTATCGTGCCATGCAGGAGAAGGGTCAGCGAGTCGAGTTTGTGCTTTGTGGAAAGCCCGTCGCCTCGGTCACCGGACTGCACTTTACATACGGCCCGTACCCAGCCCCGCCGGACTATGTGACGCAGCACTGGTGGAATTTTCTGACACTGATGGTTCCCGAGGAGGACGGCCTCTACCAGTCGCACTCGCAGTACAAGGCCCTCATGCAGCGCGCGATGGACGACGGCGTATACATGAAGATCAACTGCCGAGTCAAGTGCGACCTTGAGTTTATTCTCTGGGACAAGAACGACATTCCTCTGGTCCGTGACCGGCGGCAGCGGGTCGATATTCAGTTCATCAGCCCTCACTTTACGCCCTGGGACGAGATCTTTGATACCGACGACGCCGGCAAGTGGCATCTGAAGTGGGCTTGGCGTGTCTCGGATATTGACGACATGATCAAGGCACAGCAGCCCCCCGTTTCGACCAACATCCAGATCGACTGGCGCTCGCGGCAGTTCTGAAACAAGCAACCAAATCGCTGCGACCTCGTGCAGCCGCGAGACCCGATCCTGGTGGACGTTGGGTCCTGTCTTGCCCTGTCGTGGACACAACAGCAATCGATGCAGGCCCCCCGACTTCCTCCCCACCCCACCCTAGCTATTCCCTTTGACATCTCGTCGCGCACCCATCCATTCCAGATCTTTGATGCACAATCTCAGCCTCGTTTCCACCAGGGCGCTCGACTGACTCAGGACGCGCACACTCCTGTTGCAACCTTGCTCGACTCTGGATGCGAAATGTGCACTCGGTTGGAGACCAACTGTCTCCATAATACATGTACAGCTACAGGCAGAGAAAGGCTGCACAGCCCTGTTGTCACTACAATCACGAGCCTGAAGCCCGAGAGGATGTGCAGATCGCACGATCTCAGTCGTGCGATCGGGGCGAACGAGTCGCTTTGGGATGCGTTGCTCTTGGTCCCTCTGAACAGTGGATGCATGCTCGATTGGCCACGAATGCGGAGCAGCATCAGCCGATGCCGCTCTTGGACAGATAGCGCGAACACCAATGTATTCACCATCCAGAAATATGCAGTTGGCTGTCGTTACAGGGTGCTCGGTGTCATTTCGGAAACACCGGCATCGGGTCGGAGCACGGGCTGGCCATCAGTGGACCTTGGCCCTCAGAGCCTCTCCTCCTCGGCAACGATCTTGGAAACAAAGTAGTTGTCGAGGTCGGCGATTTTCCACTGCCCATCCCACTTTTCGGCCTGACCAAAGTATCCTGACTCGAAGCGGACCCAGAACGGCCGTCGCGACTTTGCCTGGTAGGCCAGCTCGCCGGTGGACTTGATCCGGAAGACGCACTCGAGGTCGACAGTGGTGACGAGATCCACACCCAGGGTCGAGCCCTTCTTCATCTGCTCGAGCTTCAGCTCCAGCTCGGGCAGGCGGCCGCCGTCGTACTCGTTTGCGTTGAGCACAAACTCGAGCGTTACCTCGCGATAGATGATATGGCTGGGGTCGCTGTCGATCTTGCGACTGTAAGTCATCGAGTCAAAGCGCTTGACGAGCGGGCCGTGCTGGAGTGTCGAGCTGGCTGTCTCGCGCGATCCAAAGACGATCCACGAGTCTCGAATGTCGCCTTCGCCCAGCGGCTGGATCGAGATCTCGGCGACCAAGTCCATCTGATCGAATCCGTGGTGGCAAGCTTGCAGCTTGCGGTACAGGGCCGGGGCAAACAGCGAGCTGGCCTGGTGTCCCTGGCCACTCCAATCCGATAGCGCCTGGCCGATCTGGGGAAGACATCCAACTGCGCCCTTGAGGAACTTTTCGGGGAAATACTGATCCTCCAGCTGCTCCGAATCGGAAAAGTGACGGTTGCCGACCCGCAGGGTGGTCGCTTTGGACATGAATCTGTTGGAGGCAGGACAGTCCAGAGAGAACGTACGACCGGCGTCAGCGCGGCAGCATTGCAATCCACGCAGATGAACCTGCCAGCATCGAGTAGCGACGATTATGGCGAAAAGAAGGGGAAAGAGGCGGGTCGACTCCAGATGCAAAGACGAATTGGATCAGGGAAGGAGGCGGCATTCTGCTTCGAGCAGCGATGCCAAAGCCCAGACTGACCGTCTAAAACCATAGGCAGATGCTGTGCAGCCACAGCTGAGCAAAAATCATATCGAGGAAGTTGTCCGCGATGCAAATCGTCGCCGCACCTCTATCCGCCTGCCCGCATCCGCCTGCCTGCTCACGCTCGCTTGCTCGCACCTCTTCAACGGATTCAATCCGTTTCGTTCAATGAAGGACAGGAGCGGATTGCTCTCTGCCAAAGCCTTGGGCTTTCGTGGGGGCTCGAAGGACGACTTGCGCGGCACAAAGTCGTCAATTCCATCGCCATCGTTCGCTGCTCCCGGCAGAATGATCGGGTATGCATTCAGGAGGTCGCGGGGGTCGGAAGAGTAGCATCGCAGCCGACCGGCCAGGGCAGAAGGGAGTCGCTGCGCGCATGCCCGGGTCGACAGCACCGGCACGGCCGAGCCATTGCTGGAGGCAGTCGCTACGAGCCAGCGGCGACACAGGGTTGCTGTCATAGAGGGCGCTTGTTCCTGCGATCGGGCAGATGTTCGCTGGGGACAATCTCGCTGGGTTTCGCGATCGGTGCTGGTGACCACCGAAGCCCCAGGCATGGGCAAGAGGCTGCGGACGGACGCCCAGTCATGTGAAAGTCACCGATTCCGCGCCACAGGCGGTCCACCAACCAGCACAACCGAGGCTGCACATCGGCCATGAGGGCCGAGCGACTCCTGCTCTTTCCTCTCGCACACGAGGAGGCTCTGTGGCATGCACAGCACCAACACAGCACCGGCACAGCAAGTCTCGGTGCAGCTGATCTCATTGATTGTGAAGACGCCGGGTTTTTGCGTCTTGATCGAGCTCACGCTGTCGACGGATGGCCCGCGGTGCTCGTCGTTAATCACAGAACGGACCAGGGACGGTCTTGCGGCGCCTGGGCGCGATTTGAAGCAGCCGACCCGCTTTTTGATGAAGCTTGACTTTGCTCGGGTCTGGGCTTAAGATCCACGTGGCCTTTCCGAGCACATTTCGCCACCGAGCGAGGACTCGGGCAAACTTCGAGATTTCGAAGGACGTGGTCTCTGCGCCAGCGTCACTACCCTTGCGACTGAAGCATCCGACGCCAGCGGCACCAGCGACCTGGCGCCCGTCTGTCGCTCCGAGTCTGTGAATCTCGTCGGAGGAAGCTACGCTTTGGCGAGTGTTGTCGGATCTGGACTTGTGCGCATCATGCAGGCAATCGTCGTTCGGGACGTTGCTGCCACAATCCGGATTGCCGTGGTTGTGTGAGGCACATCCCATGTCGTCCAGGAGATATTCGCCACCAACCGGGGCGCGATGAGTCTTGTAGCCGTCGGTGAGATGCATGCTTGGGAGCGGACTCGACGGTGTCGTGACATTCATGGCTCTCATCTGTGTACAAAATCCACCGATGGAATTCCAGGGGGAGAAGACGGACAAGGCGCGGATGCCATCAGCACGCATTTGTGGATGACGCACAATGCAGACGGTCCTTTCTCAGAGCTCGCTCAACCTCAAAGATACAGTCGCTCGTCCATGCACACGGAGCCACTCGGCAATATGCCGAATCACCGATGCCATCAATATGCAATTATGTGACGAACTTGACCTGGGGACAAGAGTGCGTGCTGGGCAGGACTGGCCTGGGTGATATGCGGTCTGTGTGTCGAGGAGTGCCATCAGATGAGTGGCCAGGGTCCCCCTCCGCCAGCGCTGCCGAGCGGGTATCGTCTTCGCGGTAGAGCGTTTTGCTGCTCGAGCTCGCCAGACTGAGACTGAGGACTGCATCGAGCTCGTGCTCGTTGTCTGTGGGCGGCTTTGTGGTGCTGCAGGTGCGTCGGTGGTCAGCCCAAGTCGCTTTGCGGCTGCAGCCCGTCCGAGCAGCGCGATCGTTCTCGAGGCAATGATCCATTGTCCTGCAGTCGTTGTGCTCGGTTGTGGATCGCGGCTGAGCCAGTTGGGTTTGCTCCCCAAAGCGTGTGTTCCAAAGCATCAGCTCGACGAAGCGGTCCTCATCCTCCTCTGTCGGGAGGTCGCTGTAGATCGAGCTTGTCGAGTTGATGCGGGTAAGAGCCGCGTGGACGTCTGAGAATGCAGGGTTCCAGAATCGGAGAGCCACGGGGTTGGTTTGGCTGGCGGGACTGTCCTCAAGCTCGGATGTGCAAATGGTGGCCAAATAGCACAGAAGACGCATGGATTGCGGAAATCGTTTCGGCTTACATGCGCCTGTCTTTCTCTTTCGATGCTTCAAGGACTCGGCCCTGTATCTCTCGATGTGCTCCAGCGGAGCAGCCAGATGCAGGCCCTCGCTGGGCATTGCGGCTGGTGGCTCGGGCTTGGGGGCAACTGTGAGGCCAATAAATAGTGAGCTTCTCATAAAACGGCGGGGGGGGGAAGGTAAGAATTTGGGCTACTTGGATGGAAGTGGCGAGCGAGAGTGGATTCCGCTGGAGAGGCATGCAGCTCAAGCCTGGGTGGGAAGGACGGATGGATTGACCCGCTCTGATTCCGGCACGGCCAGGGCCGCTGGAGACCATGAGACCTTTGGCGGGATGACAGAGCCACAGCCCCAGACGACAGGATCTGCTTTTGGCCGGGGCCAGTGTGGTATGACCGAGCATCTTGCAGCGCTCACAGCACGGAGCTCTGGAATCATGGCTCTGGGTCGCTCCCGTACGACACTCCCTCCCTGTTGTGCAAATCACAGTGATGTGGCTACAATCTTTGTTGGAACGACGGCGGACAGGCTACTGGAAGGATCGACGGTTTCGTTCAGAAGCCAGCGAGGACGAGCGGGGCGGCTCGGTCGAGTCGAGGCCGGACTGCAGCAAGGTTGTGCGGAGGTAGTGGACGTAGTCCATCGACCTTGCCCTTTCGTTGCGAAGGCTCACATCGTCGGAGCGCCCCGAGGTCGACAGACCCGACGCAGCCACCAGGGGAGCGCTCGGGCTTGAGTTCCCGGTCCGGCTTGGGGCTACAGGGTGCAGCTGGGGATCTTGGCTCGAGCGATCCTTGTGAAGGTGCTGTTCGGCATCGTACTGGTCATCGACGCTCTGGCAGTCGATTCGCTGAGCGTCCTGAGGTAGAGTGGATGTTCTTGGGGTGCTGGTCAGCGGCGAGTCGCCCGAGATGTCGCTGAAGACGGAGCTCGTTGAGTCGATACGGGTCAGAGCGGGGTGATGGTCTGTCGATATGCAGAGGCGATTGTGAGTATATCTGGCAGTGTCGATGGGTAAAGGCGAGGGAGCATCGACCGGCCATGCTCTGTGGTCGGGGAGTGGGAGTTCCTGGCAAGCAATCTGCGCAACAGGATGCGGACACTCACAGGCGCCGGACTTTCCCCGCGGCCGGGGCGGGTCCGTCGAGACAGGTGGCAGGTATGAGCTCACGGTCGAGTGCATTGGCAGTAGGTAGAGCTGGTGCTGGCGATGGATGTGGTGGATGCGATGTGGACCAGACACTATGAAAAAATTTCATGTTAATAAAATGAACGAGAACGAAAAAACGCGCTCTCGGAGCCACCTCGGTCGGCGAGAAGAGCAGTCTCTGGCGAGAAGCCTCTCGCCGTCACACACACACACACACACACACACACACACACACACACACACACACACACTTTGCACACACTTTGCACAAGGGAGTCAAACACCTCCCATCACCATCCCAAGAGGGATGGCAACCCCGAAGTGGACTGCCCAGAATATGGGCGACCCGGCATCCACTGTCGAAATGAACAAGATACTTACAGTCAATCCAGAAAGAAACGGGACAGTCACTTTCTGGCTTCTGAAACCCGCTGACTGACTTGTAGGCCCAGCGGGCAGGCCATGGCATTGCACTCCTGTCTTCGTTGGCAATCTATTTGTTTTGTTGGTTTGGGAAGCACAGTCTTGAATACACCCGGTCGATCTCCTGTGGCGATGATCGACTGGCATACCGAGATCATGTTCCTGGCTGCATTGATGTCTCGATCCCACAGCGTATGGCAGCTTGCACAGCTCCGGACAAAATGTGGCTTCTCGATATCAAGATACTCGGGTGACTCGAGTCGTTTGGCTTCCCGACAATGTGAGCACACCTGGGATGTGTTGAACTCGTTCACCGAGCACACACGGATCTTGGAGACGGATCGGTCTGGTGGTCGTCTCTGGTGGTGTATGAACTGCTCAAAGTACTTGGCGAACCTGAGTCTCCTGGGACTGGATGCGTATCCCCTCCCTTGTTTCCACGAGGCATTTCCAAAGGCAATCACCACTTCGGTCTCCCTTGGTGCCTGGTCGATGACTCGCTTGCAGATCTCGTGGACGGTGCGCTTGCTGTGGAGATCGAGTCGCTTGAATCGCCGTCGCCGGGTCAGGCTGAAGTACAGCTGTTTGTCCAGCATGTCTCCATTGAACACATGGCGAATGTATCGCAAGAAGGAAGCCAACCCGGTGATCGTGGGACTTGGTGTGGTGCTCATCCATTGCTGCAGACCAAGGATCTTGTGGGTGCTCTGGATCCACTTGGTCGCCTGGGGGGTGTCTTTCGCTTGCGGGGAGCCATCTGGCGAGAAAATAGCGACGATGGCTGGTTCTGCCCTTGGGGAAGAGAGAATCTCCTCAAAACCAGCGCATTTTGGGCTGGCAGAGATGCTGCGCAGTGGCGTCCTTGATTCAGATCCAGAAACGCATCGCTCGCTCAATCAGTCGTGGGAAGACATCTTGTCAAGGTGAGTCTTGCCTGATAGCCAAACGATCATGTCATCTCGCTGACACACAGCCACGCTTGACTCGGTTTCCAACCAGAGAGATTCAGACGGTGGTGGTTCTTGTCCGCAATCGGAGTGGAGCTTCCAACAATGATACAATTGGTCATTCCTCCACACCAATCGCCCACCTTCACGCCGACACAATCGGCTCAAGGTGATACCAAATGCCGTCAACCGACCATGGCCAGATTCCAACTTTTGCTGCGCCACATACAGCGTGTATTCATATTCGAGATGAGCAACCGCGAGGGGCCGGAAAAAATTGATAGTGAGTAAGCAGGCGCCCAACGCCAAGAAGCCGGATGTGGCTGTGACGGGGCTGGCACGCATGGATACACAAACCGCGCCACAGGCGCAGCAAGCCAGCCCCATGGAAATAGCGGTCATGGATCGCTCGCAACAAGTCATGTGAAGGTGTCCCAGTCTGCTGTATTCAAAGGCGAGCGAGGCCATCAAGCATAACCAATCCGAGGCCATCAAGTGCAATCGATTCAAGGACGAGCGAGGTCATCAAACGTAGCAACGCAGCTCGTTTCGCGTCTCAGGCGATCGAGGGCTTCCTGCGCCTGTGGGTGTCCACCGGCCCAGGCTTTAGCAAACCAATCGATGGCCTTTGCCCAGTCCCGCGGGGCACCATGGCCGTGATAAAACATGGACCCGAGCATGTACTGAGCCTCCACGTGTCCCAGCTCGGCGGCTTGGGCAAGCCAGTTGACGGCAAGGATTAGATCGGTTGCTGTCCTGCGGCCATTGAGGTGGTGCTTTCCAAGACGGTACTGGGCATCGGGGTGACCGTGCTCTGCCGCCTTGGTCAGCCAGTGTGCGGCCGCTGATCGATCTTTGTGAACCCCGATGCCGTCATTGTAGCAGAGACTGAGAGTGTACTGAGCAGCTGCATGGCCCTGTTGGGCGGCTTTGGCGAGCCACTCGGCTGCCTTGGTATCTTCCCGGGGCACTCCATGTCCGTTGGCGTAACAAATGCCAACTTCAAACTGACTCTCGGCAACCTGCTGCGTGCCCGGCCTGTAATGCCTCCAGAAGTTTGCTGCGTTGATGCCCCACGGAAACCGATCATCGTCCATGGTGTAGAGCAGCACAAGGGCCTCTTGAGCCTCCTTGCAGCCATCGAAGGCTGCCTTTCTGTAGAGCCCCTCGGCTCGGAACGTGTCTTGTGCGGTGCTGACCCCGAGCTCGCAGCATTGAGCGAGATAGAAAAGCGCCCCTGGATGTCCCGCGACCGCTGAATCTTTCAGACAGCAAAAAATTTCGCCGGATCTTGTGCTTAAGACGGGACTGCGATGGTCCACTGAGAGGTCTTGAAGAAGAGACGCGTTGGACATGCTCGGGTCGATGATGTGCTGCTCTTTGAGTGTTGCGGAGGCATAGGAAGAGTTGGTTGTATACTCGATTTCCAGATCCCAATCGACCTCGGTCATTTCGGCACATTTCTCAAGTCCCCCAGCTTCGGCCATGAGGACCCGGGCGAGAAAGTACTGGGCAACAGCGTCGCCTCGGTCTGCCTGCGCCACAAGCCAGGAGCAGTCATCGGCATCCTGTTTCTCGTAGTGTCTTGCCAACATGACCATTTCGCTGAAAGAAACCAGTTCTGGCAGACAATCATTCCGGGAGCACAGCTTGGCGACTTGACACCAGCCTCGGAAACGATTCAGCCGGGACATCAAGATGGGCCGGGCACGCTTGCAGACCAGGAACAGGACCTCGAGCTCATCAAGTGTCAACGAGAGGGAGAAGCAGTCGTTGGAGAAGATTATAGTAAGGATGTCCGGATCGTGACGGCCGAGCACGATCGCGAAAAGCTCAACAGCCGAGGAAGTAGACCCGGTCCTGGCCAGTTTGTGCGTATTCGCGTCGGCTTCGTCGTCATTAATCAGCCGCTTGCACATGATGTAGACGTATCAAGTTGATGCGATGAGATGGGATGGGATCAGCCGTGTGGGAGAGCTTGGACGGCGGGCCAGGCGGTCATAAGAGGCCATCGCAGTTGCGGAGATCGACTTTGCACACCGTCGAAACCAAAGCAACCCAAAGCATCGCCAAACGGCAGATACCCACCTCCGCTCCCACGAAATGATGCTCGGGCCGGCGCAGTCTCCGCCAGCCGGGGGCATCCAGACCTCCGCTTCCTCCGACAGAAGACCAGACCTTTGTCGAGCCATCTGGCATACGATTCGATGTGTTCAAGGCAGAGGCAGGTGCTGCGGCAGCTCCTCGAGCTGGCCAGTGCCGAGCACGACCGGAGCGAGACGTTCCCTCGGCTCACACATCAGCGAGGACGTGACCTTGGCGAGCCAGCGAGCTTTGTTATCGAGTTGATCGTCATAAGGAATCGAGTATATTCAGCGTCACTTGATCAGGCCGAGCTCCAGTGCATCGATACGAGGCGAAGCGATGCAAGACCGGGGGGGGGAGTGCTTCAGATTAGTGAATAACATATGCTGGGCAGACGGAGACCTGCATTGATGATCCAAGACAGGTCTACTAAAGCAGCTTGGGGGCTGGATCCGGTCCACGCTCGAGCCCGGTCTTGAACCAGCGCTCGTCATCGGAGATCTTGACGTCGTTGCCAGACATGCGGCGCTCCTGCATCAGGCCCTGTGCGTCGAAGGTCCAGTGCTCCAAGCCATAGGCTGCAGGGAAGAGAGTAGACGGCACTCAGAACGCCTGTTGGTCTAACTCGAGACTAGATCGCTCAAAATGCCAAAGCCGGATCTCAGGTTGACATGATCAGACAGGCTCGGAACTCACCTCGCCACCACTGGATTGACAAGGCAGAATCGGGAGTGCAGAGCCGGGAAGGCCGAGGGTCAATCCAACAGATGACAGGCGCAGACCATCACACACCGCTTCTCCTCTTTCCTCTCGCAGCCCTCGATCGTCGGTTCACTGCAGCAGAGGCTCGTTACCTGTCCTTCATCGTCGTGGTATTCGTACCAGAACTGCACGGCAATCTTGTTGTCGGAAAAGCAAAAGAGCTCCTTGCGCAGGCGGTAGCCGTTTTCCTTGCTCCACTTGCGTCTCAGAAACGACTTGATGGCCTCGCGGCCTTGGAGGAACTCGTCGCGATTGCGCCAGCTGATAGAGAACCGGGCCGGGGCAGAAGCGCACAGGGATTGCCGGAGTGAATACCCTCTCTGGGCTCCAAGAACGGATCTGTGCCCATGCGACGCATTCGCAGCGACGGCTAGAGACGGAGCCCACTCGAGGGCGGGCATCGAGGCAGATCCTACATCGAATCCTCGGTGTAGGCTGGGGCAACCAGCTCGGGATCTTTGGTGTTCCAGAGGTTCTGGGCCCGCTGAACCTTGGCGGTGGCTGTCTCGAGGGTGAAAGGCGGAACGAGCGACATAGCAGGGGGCTCGGCTGGCAGATGTTGCGGGCAGGATACGATGGCGATCTGGACAGGACTTGGCGGCTGGTTGCTCTTGTCGCTGGCGGTTCTTGCTGCTTTTGTATCGGTGTTCGTCCTCGTGCCTCGGGCATGCGGGTTGTCCCCAAATCTTGTCGGAGGGTCGGCGCAGTCCCCGCTGCAGATGGCGAGCATCGTCATGCGGATATGCGAGTTTGGGGTCTGGGGTTTGGGGCCTGGGGCCTGGGTGTGTCGCCTCTCTTCGAGGGATGCATCAAGTCGATTGGACCGGCACCGGTGCCCAATCATCCTCTGAAGCGATACCGCACGGTCAGCGGATTGATGTGATACGCCTGCCTGCTCGCGGCGATGGGCTTCTGCAGCGGGGCGGATCGAGGGATACAGCATACCTGGAAGCCATGGGGAAAGCACATTGACTGCTCACTGCAGGCCATCGATGCAGAGCACATTCCGCATCGCATTCTGGCGGCGGCCCATCCAAGACGAATGCAATCTCGTCTGGTAGAGCTGTTGCCGAGCCGTTCGTTTGGTGGCGAACCTTCCGTCGGTCCGATCAGCAATCATGCCGTCAATGGCAAACATGGCCAAGTCGGAATCGTCCTTGATGGCGACAATCGGGGCCTTCTGCGTGGACTTCCAGGTTTCTGTGGGGAGTTTCCAGCCACGGCGGTGTACATGATCGTGCTTGTGGGGTTTCCAGAACAGCCCGGCTTCTCAAAGTCCCGTCTGACAGACCTGGAAGCGACAGAGGCGATCAGCTTGCGGACGGTAGCAGTCGTCCTTCTTCATCGGCGGACGCTTCCTCGTCAGAGAGTGACATATCGAGCAGTCGTGCTCCAGCATCAATCTTCGCCATCTCCAACGCCGCGACCACCGCCATCGTAGAATGATGAGCCGGGTCGTTCAATCTCTGCGAGAGGTCTCACCCCAGCAGGCCATATCTCTGGCCTCGGCCTTTGTGTTGATGCTGACATCGGGGTCGCTGTTTGCATTCTCGTCTTTCGGAGACGACCTCAAGACGACTTTCCAGTACAGTGTGCAGGACCTCAATGTCATTTCGTCCGTGGGAAACACAGCTCTCTACCTGTGCTATATGGTTGTTGGACCCATCTACGACAGCCGTGGAGCGGCGGTGACGCTGGTGAGTTTGTCTTGCTGCAAGAGGCCGGCTGACGAGCACTTTTCCTGAGTCTCTGAGCACTCGACAGCCAGAGACGGCCCAGGCAGCACGGCGCTGGACATGGCGAGCGGCTTGTCTGCTTCTCACAATCCCAATGACGCACCATCCGCCACATCCAGGGAATCGGCGCCATCACCTTTGGTGGTGGATTCTTGCTGATCTATCTGTGCTTCATCGGAGTCATCTCGGGTGCGGCTGCGGGCTATGGTCCCATGTCGTTCTACTACTTTCTGTGCGGCCTTGGATCGACATCGGGGTGGGTACTCCCGCGAACACACCATGTCCTAGGGACGGCGGCTGTGCTGCTTTCCTGCAGGTCTGTTGCGAGGATGCTCTCGCTGACTCGGACACCATACTCTGCCCCGCGCCAGGTATGTGGCCGCCCTGGCAGTCAACTTGGCCAACTTTCCCAGCTCGCAGACCGGGCTCATCAGCGGCATCCTCGGGCTGTCCTACAGTCTGTCAGCCGTGCTCTTCAGCCAGGTCAAGGCCAACTACTTTGACAAGGACCCGGCTGGATTTTTCAAGTTTGCGGCCATCCTAGTCTTTGTTATCCACGTCGTTGGCATCTGGACGATCCGAAAGTCACCGCATCCGTCCTTGGTTGCCGCCACACAGGATCGCCCATCAGCCGCAAGCAAAGCATCGCCGAGCTCAGCATCGCATCCAGCCGCATCGAGCGCGGAGGAACCCCGGAGCAGCGTCCGGGCGTCGAAAGCTGGCCATGCCAATGCCGGGGGACTCGAAGGCATGTCCAAGCTGGAGATTCTGATGTCGCCCATCTTCCCGCTCTACGCCTTTGTGTGCATCTTCCAGCAGGGCATCACCTACTACAACAACATCTCGACCATCATCCTGTCACTGTATCCACAGTCCAGCACATCCGACATGGTGGCGCTGCACATCACACTGCTCTCGGTGGCCGGATGCATCTCGCGGCTGTTCGTCGGGGCTGTTTCGGACATCGTGGTCATCTACTTCCGGATCGAGCGGACCGTGCTGCTCATCGCTGCGTCGGTCTTGACATGGATTCCACTGGTGGTGCTTGGTACCGCCGGGAACATCAGCAATGGCGTGTTGGTTGTGTGCTCGCTTCTCGTTGGTCTGGGCTATGGCGCCCAGGGCACCCTCTTTTCGGTTCTGATCGTGAGTATGCTGCCGCTGGCAGACTTGCGCTACAACAGGTAGCCATCGTTTGCTGATCGTCAACGTTGTCGCTGATCGATTCCGCTCGGCTGCTTCTGTTGTCTCCCGCCTTGACCTCACCCATCAGGCGGACTACTTTGGACACCTGAACTACGGGACGGCAAGCGCCCTCGTGCTGCTGGGCGTGCCCGGCGGCGTGTTCCTGTCAAACATGCTCTTTGGCAACCTCTACGACCAGGCCGTGCAATCCAACTGTGTGGGGTCCAGTTGCTATCGACTACCGTTCCTGATCTTTGTTGGGCTGCAGTTGATTCCGATCATCCTAAGCACGGCACTATGGATCAAGCGGCGCAAGCAGTTCCGCCGCAAGCGATCGGTGCACGCCGCTCAGCCCGAAGACGATGTAATCTAATGTATGAAGAAGGGCCGGCAGCAGCACCGGGGATGTGTGCATCTGCGGACATGCATGGTGACAAGCCATGAGATTGAGGCAGGATCTATGCATGTCACTCGCGCTCGTACTTGAGCTTCCGCTTGAGCTCCTTTTCTTGCTTCTCCTCCTCCCTCTTGCGCTTGTAGCTGATAGAGTAGTAGTGTACATACAAGGCGAGGATAATAATAATTAATATACGCGGTAGAGGTACTGATCGACGACGGATCCTAGTTCATGGGCCGCGGCGGGTCATAGTTCATAAGGCTGTGGTAGGTCATAGTTCATAAGGCTGGGTGTGCAACCAGAGGCAACTCACAGCGGGCTATCGATGATAAACTCGGGATTGCGACAGAGCCCGAGCTTTTTGTTGATCGTGGCTGCGTCTTCCCGGGACACAGTCTTGGTTTTTCGCTCAGCGAGGGAGTTCTTGATCTCGGTCACCCGAGCCATAAGCAAGTCTATGGGTAGCGGCTCCTTATCCTTGTGGACGCCATCGGTAGCTGGAGTCTGCGGGGTCTCCTTGGCATCGGGCAGTTTAGGCCGAGCACCAAATCTTGTGACGAAGTAGGCCATATCGTCCTTGGATCGGCGGGTATGCTCGCTCGCCATGAGCCAACACGCAATCGCAATCTGGCTGGGTGTGCACCAGAACATCAGATCGGTGAGCAGGCTCTCTCGGACCCATTCCCTAGCCTTTTGGAAGGTCTCCCATAGGCTGACGATGAGCTCGCGCTTGCGGTCCTGAATGGAGATCGGATTGCCATCCGAGTCGAAGGCCGGGGTCGACAGCATCTTGGCCGAATGGTAGGACTGCATGTCAAGGAAATAGCCGTGTAGCGGCCAGTAGGGATGCTGGCAAGCAAAGTGGAATCGGAGACCGCGGCAAACGATGAACTCGAGTGCTGTGATGGTTTCGGCGGCCGGGGCATTGGGAATGGCGGCCAGGAACTTGTCCAGGGGCCGGGCCGAGTTTTCGACCTTTGCGGCGAGAAAGAGTATCGTGATGCTGTCGAGCGGCACGTATGCAGAAGAGCCCAACGGATAAGGGGCGGGCCAGAAGAAGCGGGCCAGAAAGGAGTCGGTTAGATGGGCCATTCGGAAGGATCATCTCCCTGTCGACACGCAATCGCTCATAGGAAGGCTGGAGTCTCGGCTGCAGGAAACCCCGGCTGTTTGGTCGCATGAACCTACAGCGCATTCTTTGGATCATAGTCCATGACGGTGTTGAGGAGATAGAAGCGCTTGAAGAAGGTGATCGCTGTGGCCTGGAGGCACCCATGACCGGAAAGGCAAGCCGAGGATGATGCAAGAATGAGCGTTCAGCCGGCAGCCAGCTGCGGCAGGGTGATCAATTCGGAGAAACCTACCTCAACCACGGCATCCAGCTTCAGCCGGGTGCAGAGGGTACGGATCATGTATTCGTAGTAGAGCGTCAGATCAGCCTGTTCGCTGGCGCTCAGGAACTCGACAGAATCCAGCTGGGATGGAGTTGAGGGATCGGCGGCGACAAGAATCCCCTGTGACGAAGCGAGTGTGAGCGTCCTGGCCGCAGTGACTCGGATTCAATATCGCCATGAGAGACAGCGACAGTGAAAGTGCAGTGTACGCAGGCGGACGCATGCGAACGCTGATCGCGCCGGTGTTGGATGCATACATAGTTGGCTTGCCGGGCAGCTTTGACGGCCTTGACGGCATGGGCCATGGAGGCCTCCCGGAGCTGCAGCACGACGGCTGGGCTGGGGAACAGCCAGTGCTTGTACTGGGTGTACTGCTCGGTGAGGTTTGGCCGGGACTGCTGATCCATGATGGCGGCTTGGATATTGTTGATCGGGACAGAGCCGGGCAGGCGAGAGGGCAGGCGGATGCGAGGGCGCTTCGCGTCGGTGTCAATCAGAAACCGGGGGTCGAGACACGGGGACGTTCCCACAAAAGCGCCATGCCCACAACCAATGCCGCTCCCGGGGTCTCCATGTCCGAGGCCATGCCACTCGCGGGGTCTTGACGCTGGGAGCAGCATCAGCTGCGGACACTGGCCGTTGTCGCTGGTCTCGCCCGAAGGAAACGGCAGCGCAAACGACCATGCAAACGGCGGCTGGCAGAGCCAGAGGCCACACCGCCACCGTCCTGGACAAGGGGCGGATGGGGCGAGGCGCTGCTGCGCAGGCCAGGGCCATGTGTGTGTGTGGCGAGAGACGGCGAGAGGACACAGAGAGAACAGCGAGAGGACAACGAGAGCACACAGAGAGGACACAGAGAGGACACAGAGAGGACGATAAGACGCGGGGAGACATCCGCACACGCGCACCGCGACACACAGCACAGTGCACCACAAGCCGCGCGCAGCACCCGCTGAAACCAAGCACGGCCACTGCCGCCCACCACAGACACAGCGGGCGCAGCACTGCCTGCCCATACAACGCACACACACACGCGTGCTTCTCGCCGTGCTCTCGCCGCGCTTCTCGCCGCACCGCCTCGGCTGTCTTGCCACCGCCGCCATCGCTTTTATTCTCCCCGCGGCTGGGGCTGGCTCTTCCACCATCTCACATCCTCCTCCTCCTCCTCCTCCTCCTCCTCCTCCTGCAGCCCCTTGGCCGGCTGGCTCCTGCTTTGCTGCGTCGCCTGTCTTGCTGCCGCTGCCTTGCGCCGTCTGTCTCCCTCACCAATAACCCTCGTCTTTGATCCCAGCGATCTCGTCTCCTCCGGTCCAGATCATGGATCCGCCCAATCCCCAGCACCCCAGGCCTGTCCAGGCGGCTACCACCTTTAACCTGCCCGATGCCGGCCCTTCCAGCGGTCCCGGTCTCGCTGTTCCCTCTGGTGGTCCTGGTCTCACTGCTCCAAGCAGGCGCATGACCACCGGTATTCGTAGAACCACCGACGGTGGTCTCGTTGGCCGCCAAAAGACTCTCATCAAGCCCGAGCGCGCTGTCGAGCCTCGTCCGCTGCTCAATACCCAGCAGGTCAAGGTCGCTCCGCACCACAAGGGCACCAGCCTCGACTCCAGCCGTTCGCCCTGGAAGAGCCCGTGGATCTTGTTCTCCTGGCTAGTGACCTGCTGCTGCCCCGGTCCGATCCTGCGCGCATGCGGCAAGTCGACCCCGGGCGTCCAGCAGGCTTGGCGTGAAAAAGTGGCCCTCTGTGTCATCATTTTCTTGATGTCGTCGGTCGTGATCTTTTTTATTGTCTTCTTCAACTCGGTCCTTTGTCCGCCGGCCCTGCAGACCCCGCACATCTCGGTCAATACCGCTGGTAAGTCGGTCGCTCGACCAGCATCTGCTGCAAGCAGTGCCTGCGATCGGTCGCCGCGAATACCCAACTGGGGAGCGATGCAGACGTCGGGCCCGGTGGCTGTTTATTCGATATAAATACGGCGGCAGTGCACTGTCAGATCAGCTCCCCCTCTGTCTTGTCCTCGCAAGAGTCGAGGAGAGATCGAAAGCACAATGGACGGCGTTCCGGAGGCACTCTAGGATCTGCCTGCACCACATCCTTGCCACCACCGGGACTCGACCGGCCAGCGAGCGTTGCTGCAGTTTCTGCTCTTCGACGTCACTCTGCTAATCCTTGTTATCTGCATCGGCGCCCTCAGGATCGGTCGTCGTCGGCGGCCTGCTCTACAATACCCGCAACTCCACCGTCGATCCTGTCGCCCGTACGCGCTGGGCGCTGCTTGACCAGGTGTACCCTGGATACGACGTCAGCACCATGTTCTTCCAGCGCTCCGAGAACCTGGTCAATTGCGCTGGCCTGACCGAGAAGTTTGCCCAGCTCCAGTATCCCTGCGAGCAGGACAACAGCTGTCTCCAGTCCGCCACCGAGGCTGACATGGAGAGCAACGGCTTGGTGCTCTACCAGCGCTTCAACTGCACCGCCAGCACCTCCAACTCCAAATCAACCTGCAATGATCAGACCTCTCGCGTGATTCCCTCGCCTGCCTATGAGTGGACCGACATCGGCAACCGCGGCTTCTTTGCCATCGACGGCATCGTTGTCAACCTCAAGCCCTTCTTTGACCAATACCCCAACGAAGCGGCGGTCGATGCCAGTGAGGCCCCTCTCTACCGCCTACTCTACCAGCAGTACACGCTCAAGAGCGACGCCACCCACATCTTTTGGAAGCTGCCTCAGTACAAGGCCCAGGTCAAGTGCCTGATCTCCAAGTATGCCGCCGGTGTCGTCGAAACCCAGCCTTACTCCTGCAGCATTGCCCAATACGTCACCCTGGTCACCAGTGCCGTCATTCTGTGTATCCTCGCTACCCGCTTCAGTCTCGCCGTCATCTTTGCCTGGTTCCGCGCCGACCGCGTCTCCCGCAAGCCCAAGGACTCGGATCTCGTTGATCGCTACAAGGGCCGCCAGATGCCGGCCTCGTATGCCCAGCGTCTGCGCGACGTCGACATTGAGCTGCATCCTCTCACCGACAACCGAGCTTCGATGGACGGCCGCTCCGGGTCCCGCAACTCCGAGTACTCCAGTATCGACCTTGGTCGCGGCTTTGATAAGCGCTACAGCGCGCAGTCCGGCCAACGCCTCGCCCAGCAACAGCAGCAGGAAGACCCGGACTTGTACACCATCGTTCTGGTTACCTGCTACTCCGAAGACGAGAAGGCGCTCCGCGGCACCCTCGAGTCCATCTGCTCCACCCACTACCATGACCAGCGCAAGTTGCTCTTTGTCGTTGCTGACGGCAACATCAAGGGCGCCGACTCCACCGATACAACTCCCAACCTGCTCCTGGGTATGATGCGCAAGTCTGAGCTCAAGACCGACCCTGTCGAGGCCAAGTCCTACATTGCCATTTCCTCCGGTGCCAAGGAGCACAACATGGCCGAGGTCCACGCCGGCTTCTTTGATCACAAGGGCCGTGGCTGCCCCATGCTGCTGATCATCAAGTGCGGTACCCCCGAGGAGCGTAGCAGGCCGCGTGCTGGCAACCGTGGCAAGCGTGACTCCCAGATGATCCTGATGAAGTTCTTCAAGCACCTGACGTTGGACGAGCCCATGCCCCCTCTGCACCATGAGATCTACAACCGCATCCACGAGCTGATGGAGGTTACCGCCGATGTCTTTGACCTGGTCCTCATGGTTGACGCCGACACGCGTGTCCATACCGAGTCCCTGCAGAAGATGATGTACGCCATGATGAACGACAAGATGATCATGGGTCTCTGCGGCGAGACCCGCATCGTCAACAAGACCACCAGCTGGGTCACGCGCATCCAAGTCTTTGAGTACTACATCTCGCACCACTTTGGCAAGGCCTTCGAGGCCATGTTTGGTGGCGTCACCTGTCTCCCCGGTTGCTTCTGCATGTACCGCATCAAGACCACGAACCTGAAAGGCGATGCTGTTCCGATCCTCTGCCATCCCGATATTGTGGAATACTACTCTGTCGGCAGTGTCGAAACCCTGCACGAGAAGAACTTGCTTCTGCTCGGTGAGGATCGTTTCCTGACGACCCTAATGATGCGCCGCTTCCCGAAGCGCAAGATGATCTTTGTTCCCCAGGCCATCTGCAAGACCACCGTTCCCGAGGATTTCAAAACCCTGCTCTCCCAGCGACGCCGATGGATCAACTCGACAATCCACAACCTGATGGAGCTTGTCAAGGTCCCGCTCTGCGGAACTTTCTGTTTCAGTATGCAGGTGAGCATCCCGCCGGTGCCGTCCCTATCAGACCACGCCATGCGATCCACGGATTGTCTGATGCCAAACCCCACTTGATCTGATCTGATCAGATCTGATCAGTTCTGTTCTAACCCGTCCACAACTCTTGTTGCTCGTCTTGTCACCAGTTCATCATCTTTATGGATCTGCTCAGCACAGCCATCTTGCCTGCCAGTTTGTGCCTCACCTACTACCTGATTGTCATGGCCGTCCTCAAGGGCAACATTGCCGATCCCAACACCATCACCCTGATCACGGTCATGTTCCTGCCGGCCGTTCTGGTCATCCTGATCAGCCGCAAGTTTTCGTACATTGGCTGGATGGGCATCTACCTGCTGGCGCTCCCTGTCTGGCAGCTGATCCTGCCCCTGTACGCCTTCTGGAACTTTGACGACTTTTCCTGGGGCGAGACCCGCAAGATCGAAGGCGGCGAGGGCGACCATGCGGCCAAGGAGGGCCACTTTGACCCCCGCCAAATCGAGCACCGGCATTTGGCTGAGTGGATCGCCGGCGACCGCCAAAAGATTGACAACTATCGCCGGTCTCAGATTATGTTCTACCAACAGTCCGGCGGCTCCTCGTCGACTCTGGCCGGCGGTCAGGCCCCCGGCAGCACCTCGTCAGGCTGGGGCCCAAGTCCTCAGTTGCAAGGTGTCCCTGTCAGTGCTTCGAACACTGCGCCCACATCCAAGTACGCCCCTGTGAGCGACAACCGGCTTCTGTCCATGGACACGATCACCGCCCAGCGAAGTAGCCACAGTGGGTAAGCGACAAGCCGTCGCCACAAGCTGCGTTCCCTGCGGAGGACACGCTACATTCGATATGCACTGCACTGCACTGCGTCCCTGTCCAGTGCGTGTCTGTGTGTCAATTTCCTGTGATCCAAAAAACATGTGTCTCGCGCTGTACGGGGCTGTTGTACTTGTTCTTCACCTCGCTGTTGTTCAATCGGTCCCTCTCCTCGAGAGACAGCTTGCCCTTGGATTGCCTGCATTCCGTTCATCCATTCATCCAACTGCTCTTGCGTTCTTTTGCCGCTCAGTTGCGTGCTCGCCTGCCATTCTTCCTGTATGATGTTCCTACTGGGTGATTTCCCTTCCACCGCCCAATACAGCTCTTGCAAAACACGAGCCGACCCCCAAGAGCTTCCACATCACACATCCCACATCCCACATCCCACATCCCACATCCCACATCCCACACCGCCGTCGTCCGACTGTCCGCGAGCCTGTGCTTGCCTCTCACAGACGCATGACCCGGTCTCTGTCCAGCCAAGGTCAAGCCCCCGAGCCGCTCGGCTGGTGGACCGGGTCTGGTGACGCCGACGGCGTGGCATGAGCCGCGCGCCCTTTCCTTTCTTTTGCACTCTCGCACTTTCCAGACCACCGATCCGCATTGCAGCAATGGGGGGCAATCGCATCCTGGGCTCGAAGGATATGTCATTCAATGTCATGCAGCGATTTGCACCCTCTTTCATCAGTTTTGCAGCGACTCTCTCTCCGTAAGCCGCAACGCCGCTGCTGAACCATCCGCCATTCGCCTTCCTCCACATCCCAGCCTCCCGCCCCACAGTCCCCCACACAACCCGGCCCCGCTCCGCTCCGCCCATTCCAGCGTCTGGTCCCCATCCCTTGGCCCTTGGGGGGGATATAAATTGTCGCCCGAGGCACCGCCGCCGACCCGTCCGTCCGTCGCCTGCCCACCAGCTTGCTTCCCAAAAGTCTCTTTCCCTCGCTCGCTCCTCATCTCGTTTATTCTTCGACAGCGTTTGAGCCTCCATCGCCTGCAAAACAATGAAATTCGAATCGGCCCAGCTCGTCCTCCTTGCCACCGCTCTGATCGGTACGTGAGCCCAAGCTTGATCCTTTGCTCTCGCTGCTACTTTCCCCTTCTCCCCTCTCCCTCTCCCCACACCACTTCCACCAGCGATCTCATCCACGCCATCGCTGCCACCCCTCGTTTTTACTCGTGCGTAGGTGCCCAAACCGTTTCGGCTGCCAACGGCGTCGGCGGTGTCTGCGGTGGCTCTGCCAGCAACGTCGGTGCCATCTGCCAGACCGGTCTGGTTTGCGTCAACACCCAAGGAAAAGATGCCGCTGTGTATGGAGGCACTTGCATGGTAAGATCAACAGCCCTTCCGCACTCTCCTGTTCCTCCACTCTTAACCGTGGCTTTGGCGAAACCAGGATCGCCATGTGGTGTGTGTGGGTGGCCATGCTGCCGAGCATGGCGGGTGGAGTATGTGTGGGACAAGTCGGGCCTGAGGCTCGGCCTTCATGGTTCCTGCTTCAGAGCTGCTCTGCCTCTCTGCCTCTCTGGTTGTCTGTGGTGGCCGGTCGAGCCGCAACTCTCTTCACCTCGATCCCGCCCTTGGTATTGCCGTCTGCTTCTCATTCCAACCGCATCCAATCCGATCCAACAGCAAAGCAACTCGACCACGGTCTCCAAGAGCGGCGCCTCCATGTCCATGTCGATGCCCATGTCGATGTCGATGATGCCGACGGGCAGTGCGTCCGCCTCGGCCTCGGGTGCGGCCCCGTCCAAGACAGCCGCAGCGTCGTCGTCGCCGACCTCGGGTGCTGTGGCTGCCTCGGGCTTCACATCCTGGCTCGGTATCTTCTCGGTGGTCGCGGCCGCACTGGCACTGTAATCAACCTCATTCCAGGAACCCCTCTTCCTCCTCGGTTGAAGCTCGATCCGTCCCCCCATCTCCATCTTCGCTCACACCCAACTGGCACTCGTTGATGTCGCCCTGTGCGTGTGTATCATTATCTTCCCTCGATTTTCCGCCCTCCTCTCGCTTGTTGGTGTTTGTTGCATTGTTAGGAGTGTCTCCAGGTCCTCTTTCCTCCTCGCCCCCTTCTGGGCGAGTGTATCTCAAGGTTCCGGAGTGCAGCCTGGTTGCTGTTGAATCCGAAGCATATCGTAGCTATCAGCGATTTGCGGGGGCTCCCCTCCCTCACAATTCTTTGTTGTATTTTCCTGATTTTTTGAGGGGGGGGGCGGAGGGCAGTTGGGTCCTTGAACATCATGTTGCCATCCTATCCAAGCTATGAAATACCATTCCTTTCATCCCAACGGAATCCTTCTATCGTCCCTCCGACGAGTGGTGTGTAGAACTTGGCACTAATGGCTGATGCCAAACAGCCTAGAGCATCCGTCCGATGACATTCTTTCCCGATCATGAGGTGACTGTGCCAATCTCTTCGCCTCGACTGACGCCTCTGGTTGGCGCAGAGGTCGCTGTCTGTGCGTGCTCGTACACTGTATAGATGATATTGCGAATGAGTGTTGGTGAGGAGAAGAAGAATACAGGGAAGTGAGGGTTTGATTCCATCAGCGTCATTGACCAGCGGGTGGGCAAGGGCTGCTACTATGAGGGCAGTTGCAGACAGCAAGGTTTCCAAACAGTCAGCCAGGCTGTACTTACCCCAGCGCCGGGTGGGCGACTGCTCGAAGCATGTTTGGTCGGAGGCAACGCATTCGGCAATGAACGAGTACAACTCCTCTTGGGTGATGGGCTTCAGGTGTCCGTGTCGATTCGGTTAGTGACGAGCCACAGATATGAATGAAGAGCATTCCAAACCGGAGAGAGCGAGAGAGTACGGATGGGACCGATCAACGAGGAGTTAGATTATCCTGATTGCGCACCGGCGAGGGGAGCCGGGGCAGAGGGGTGGGGTGTGGGAATTGATGACATCTGCTCTTGCTGGCGGCTGTGCCGAGCAGTCGCCGTGGCTGTCTGCTGCCGATATTCCATCGCATCCACTTACTCGCGGCTCATGCGTCTTCAAGGCCTCGATATCGCTGTCGATCTTCTGGATCCGCTCCACGTCGCGCTCGGATGAGATCTTGTCGATTTTGTAGATGCTGACGTCGTTCATGACCTCGTCAACATCTGGGATTCACGACCCAACCGACCCGACCGATTGGGACCGACCGGGACCGAGGTGGATCGACGGTGAGATGCCGGCAACGCAGCGATGAGTGGTCTGGCCAAACGAAGAAAAATGGATCCGTCTTGGCGTGGCGGCTGGTGCGCTGAGATGGCGAGTCGCCATTCATTCGAAGCCGGAGCGGCCCACCCTTCTGTCCAATGCGATGCCCGACAGCGACATTGTCTCACCACGGATGCTGATGACCGAGCTGTGACCACAGGAAGTCTCGACCCGGAACCCTGGCGACGGCGCTGTGATCTCCGACACGTCCGAGACGGTTGCCGAGACGCTGGCGTCTGGAGTCATGTACCCGCTCGTCGGAGCTCGGCTCCAGATGATGGACTTGAGGTCCCACTGGATGGACGGAATCAGTTCGGAGAGACGGTGGTCAATCTCGATGAGCTTGTCGCGATCCTTGGGCAGTGGCGCAAATCCTGAGGAAAGTGTGGTGGCGGGACGGGTGGGAGTTGCGAGTGCAGCCGCATGGGACGTCGAGGGCGCCTATGGAGATCGAATACGGTGAGTCTAGCTCTGGCGATGTGGGTATAACCATCGGGGAAACACGTCAAATGGCCAGACAGCAATTGGTGCGCAACATGAATGGCTGCATGGTCCGGCGGCATCCGAGAGAGATTATATGCGAGTTGTTGTCAGGGGCGTGGAGGCAGGGCGGGTTGACTTGACAGATGTGGGTGGAAGCCGTGATGATTGGGGAGAACGGCCAAGTAACAATACCGATGATGCATCGTCTGGGAAGTCGTCGTCGTCCTCGTGGTTGTCGAGGATGGATTCCACCCGAGCACGCTCCTCCTCCGTCATGGCACAGTAGTAGCGGGCCTCTGGTCCGAGCTGAGTGGATATAGAGAGACCGAGTAAGAGCCAGCCATGGCAGCCAAGCTGAGACCCTGCGCTGCAAATGCGCGACGGCTTGTGCAAGGCGGGCGATCCACACGGGACAGGCGATTCGCATGCTAACATGACATGTACGCTCGACGTGACCGGGGTGGTCCGGGGTGGTCCGGGGTGGCCCTGGGATACTTACCACAATGTTTCTCTGGATAAAGTCGCCGGGTCTGTATCCCTTGGGCAAGGGCGCCTTGGCTGCAGACAGGTTCTGTTCGGGATGCTCATGGTTCGCCGCGCCGTTCTCGACTGTGCGGATCTTGCCTGGGATGCGGGTGAGCTTGGCGTTGGTGATAAACGTCTTGATGTCTCGGCTCTGGACGCTGCCAGTCTCGAGCTTGTCCTGAAGGGAAGAGCCGTCGCTGTAGAGCGACTCGGTGTCCTCGCAGTCGTCGACACAGCCGTCGTCGTCGACCGTCTGGGCTGGTGTTGCCGAGTTCCGTGATGAAACCGAAAGCGACTTTGCCAGCTGAAGCGCAAAGGGTAGGCACAAAGCAGTCAACCAGCCGGGTGGTGTCGGAGCCGGCGGTTGAATAGCCGAGGGCAGGTCCAGGTTTCAGACGGATGGCAGGCTCGATAAATGCAATGGGAAGTGTCTGCGTACCAATGTCTTTTGCTTCAGTATTTCGTCCAGATGCTTGATTTTTGAGAGCCCTTGGCGAATCTTTTCGGCCAGGGCGTCGTTCTCTGCTTTCTCTGCAGGGCCCTAAATACACATGCCAAGAGCTGAGTCGACCCAGGCAATGCTGCTGCGACACGAGAACGCAGCATGTAGAGACCATACCAACTGCTGTTGTAGCGTGGGATCCTGATGAGTGTGGGTTTGTGGCTCCAGCGCCCGGGCAATGTGTTCCTGGTGAGGGAGATCGGCAGCTGTTCGTCAGAATCCCAGGCGCGGATCTATCGGTGGCATGCCCTCGGATGTCGGCTTGGAGGAGACGCATGCAGATTACCTCGGCTTGTCGCCCATTGCCGCTGCCGAGTCTGCTGGTTCGTGTTGCTGGACGTCTGTCTTGGACATGGCAAAGTCCCCGGTAGTCATTGATGGCGAGTCCGTCTTCGTCGACATCATCGTCATCGGTGTTGTCGCTGTCGCGGTCGTGGCCGTGATGAAGATCGATGTCGTTGTGTATGTCGCTGGCTCCGTGGACGCTGTCGGCGTGATCCTCGTTAAAATAGCCCCCGGCGCTGGATGTGATGTCGGTCCACGCATCGGCGTCTGGGAGGGGAAGCCGGCTTGGCATCAGTGATGACTGAACCGAAGCAAGCAAAGCCTGAAGCGGTGTGATTCCGATGCGCTCCAAGAGTCCGGGCGGGGAGCTTCACGAAGGGGAGATTCGACAGGACCTGCTGTCAACACGCAAAGACAAGTCTCACCATCGTCGGTTGGCAGGGGCGTCAGACCGCCATCGGATCGACTGTGCACCCGCTGAGGCAGCCCGGTTCATGTGGTGGCGCGAATGCGATCGTGGGATATCAGAGTCAGATCGAGGCCATCAGAATTCAGTGGCGAGTGCGCCGCGATAGTTATGCGGTGAGCATGGTATAAAATGCGCAACTTGGCTTGGATGAGATCGGTGTTGGCGAGACTGGCGAGGATACCATGATCGTAATCATGGATGTTTGTGTTGATCCAACCGCGGCGGAGCTTACCCGGATGGCCGACGGCGCTGGACTGGGCTGTTGGCTTCTGCTGCAGAAGGGATCGAGTGCTCATGAGACTCTCGAACCAACGACGACTGTCTGCAGGCAACTGTCATGAACCATGACGGCCGATCCAGGTGCGACGCGACAGCGCAGCAGACAAACGAACCTCTCGAACCGCGAATCCCGATTCATGACCACTGGGAGGAATCCCGGAGACACGGGGCACTCTTGATGGGTGGGGTACTCGGAAGGAGTTCAGTCGGGCGGACCAGTGGATTGAAGAAAAGGACAGGCAGCTCGCGCTCGGCCTGGATCTGAATCCTCAGGGCCGTGGCGCGCGGTTCGTCCAGGGTTCGGCAAAGGTGTTCTTGGTCGGATTGGCCAGGAGCCCGCTTTCTCCGACGCCGACGATCCGACTGACACAGCACATGCCGGCATATCCCGTGCGGACGGGTGGTGTGCTCATGAGAGCCCGGGAGAACGGCAGCTCTGCGCTGGCATTGACGCTCATGTGCAACAGGGTGGCCCTGTCTGCGCATCCATATTCTTTGCAGGCCGGTCTCTGCCTCTGGCCATGACGACGCTGCCGCGATGCACTCTGGGTCTGTCCAACCTACGCTACTCCTGCTCTGCATCTTGTGACCCTGTCCAACGCAGGACAGAGCGCACGCGAGGACGGCATGCAGCACTTTGCAAGCGCTTGCAGGCATCGTCTCGCTGAATTGGGGGCTGGTCTGGTCGGCTGACAGCGAAGCGCAAGGATGGGTCGCATATGGGGGGAAGCCAAAGGAGCGTCCCAGTGAGTCGATGCCAACGCATGGCCCCACGTGGATGGATGACCGGAGGCTGGGCTATCAGCGACAAGGGGGCACGCCTGGTCACCAGACGCCGCCCTTCGAGAGTTGGAGCAAAGTCGGGTGGGGTTGTTCCCGTGGAGTGGGGGGGGGTGGGATGCTGGGCCTCGGATGCCCAGGCGCCTCGGTCAAGTTTGCAGCGAGGCAATCCGCGCAAATCTGAGGATGGGAAGGCCGAGGGCGAGTATCCGACTTGTGCTGGACGAAGCCACCACGGCAGATACTGACTTGGACGAAGCCAGCGCCGTCGACACGGGGACGTGGCCGCAATCTTGCTTGGCGTCGAAAGAGCGCACAACCAAGGCCTGTGTGCCATGGAACAGCGACACGATGAAAAAATAGGACGTGACCCCTGTGCAGTGGCTGTGTTCGGCTCGGGACCTGGTCAGCAGGACAATTTCGACACAGAATGAGTCACGTGTGTGCCGACAGTCTGGTGCAGCCTCGTCTGAACGATGCCATTTTGGGACTGCTCGCTAGCCAATCAACAGCGTTGCTTCCCACACGTGCTCTGGCCCGATTTGGCATTCGCTTGCCGTCCCGCTCCGTCCCGCTCCGTTCAGGGACCCCTCCGCCCCGGTTTCTCCCGGCCCCGAACCTCTCATATCCTCATTCTCCCTCACCATGACCCGTTCTGAGAACTGCCTTTCGGACACCCCAGTTCCGACCGCCGTTGGGCGGCACCGTGAACTCCTGGGGCAATCCTCGGCCGTTCTAACTAGTCCAGGATTAGGTCAAACCCGCGGTGGTCACTGCTCCACCAGCCAGTTTAACCTCAGAGTCGCAAACAGAATGCGGTATGATATGCCGTGTTCAGTAAAAACGCAAGTGATAACAAACCCGAAATGATAATAATCAAGATAATGTCCCATGGGGGCGAGGATATCTGGAGGGAATGAGCGATGCGGTTAGTTGAAGCGTCGCCTTCGAGCTCTCTCAGATGATGCTCAATCGTCATGAAGGAGCTTACTTGGATTTGGATGGCTTCCTGCATTCGAGATATATTCAAGATAGTGAAAGAGGAAGCGTTAAAGTTAATAACATTAGAGGCATATTCATGATGCGGCTCATCCTCAATATGCATGCGTTTAACGGCACCTATGTCATCGATCGGCTCACGGGCCCGTCGAGGAAGTTAGGATAGAGAGGGCCTGAGGGGAGTATTGACTTGAGCCTGACGACGGAAGCGGGCAGGAAGCGGTGGTCGGGGGGATATTTATATTCCAAACCTTCCGACTTGACCTGTCATTACACTGATATGGTCACTATGGGTCAAGTTCGGACAAACTCCCTTCGTCATCAAGCAGCCTCAAGCACTTTTTGGCCCAACTACCTGCGACATTTGCATCGACTTGTCAAATCGGAGGATCTTGCTCGATAATATAAAAGCCACCTGGAATAGTTGGTATGAGTATCAGCCTGACTTTGCCTCTCCATCCACTCTCCAATTGCAGCAAAGCTGTACCCACCGCCTTCCATCTCGAAGTATCCGACAGTAGAAACGATGGCATCGGCTGGAACAAAGATATGATTCGTTGACTCCATGCTGTCGAGGTGGAAGGTAGCGCACTCGTTGCATGGGCGGTATCCTGAACTGTCATCTCCATATCTGATGTTGATCTTTGGAATCACACAGTATGCCCAGTTTGTTGTTTCTCCATCAAAGGAGTGGCTGATGAAATATTGGACTTGATAGAAGCGGACAGAAGAATATGGGTGATTGCTTGCTGATGCATCGGGCATATTGGTCCAAACCTGTAGATTCAGAATGCATTAGCTCATATGAGGCTTCGCTATCGCGCGCTGCCGAATGCCTTACCTTCACAACAGAGTTCATCCGATGATGTGCCGTGCTCATCCGATGTGATTGAGATATGACATGTAGTTCCCCCGCGTCCATCTTGGTGTGTTTGGAGCAAGTGTCCGAATTCTGATCCCAAAGTGAATGGACATATTGCAAGGCTTCACGATAGCCGTATGAGGAATTGGCAGAAATCGTCCTGGCATAAGCGCTCTTTAGCTTCGCGACTTGTTCAGAGGGTAGCTTCAGCTTTTGCTGCTGGCCAGACAAGGTTCCGCGGCTATCTTGATTCGAGGTCCGTCCATTGTTTGCAAAGGAAGATGGCCATATCCCGGGATCTCCGCCCAACCTGGATGTTCCTCTCAAAGTCAAGTTCGGAGCAATGCTTGGACCGCTCAAAGAGCTTTGGAGGACGAGCCGATTGGCCATATTGTCCACTGGATGGACCTTTGATCGCCCGATGAGCTTCAGCCAACCACAGGTTCTTTCCATTTCAAACTGCCACTGATATACTAGGGGTCCAAACAATCGGATGCACCTGGGTAAGTGTTGGAGCTGATGCACGTAGGTTTTCATCAAACGAAGTCCAGACAGGTCTGGAGCTCTGTCTGGAGGAGGTTCAAGTGACTCTGGGAGATTTGCGATTGATCTGGTGAATACATTCCGAGTATACGTGGTTAGATATTGAGAATCAATGAGCTGCCCAACATCCTCAAGTGAAGGGACTGCTGTCTCGTGCTACTTGCTCTGTGTAGTACTCCTGGAACCTCTGAAGATTTGTTTCGATCTGATTGCATTGAGCAACATTCAACTGGGGAAGCAGCATCAATCGAAGGGCATAGACAAAGCGCCTCCATCCCAATCTAGGCACAATAGCATCACTGTTAGGATCAATTCGAATCAAGTATCTCATCGACCGTAGGACGGGCCCCGGTTCGAGCAGGGTACAATATCAAGAGCTTACAAGTGCTCTGGTGGAAAGCCTGCCGCACTGAGCAGAGGGAGGGAGTACATGATAATCCAATTCTTCCATTCTTCGGTTTTGAAGGTTTTGTATGAGACAGGGTCCCGACAAGAGGCGCCAAAGCCTGTTGGAATCTGAATTCTGCCTTCGCTGATCCACCTTCCGATCTTTTTCAGGCACTTGGACGTGATCTTTTGGTCCAAACTTGAGGATGAGGGAGCCTTCCGCGTTCCATTCCAAATCTCCATCATGAGTGGACCGATGTTCGAGATCACATGCATCAGATCGAGAGGAAGACAGAAGCTGAGCTCGATGGACTCAAGTTGAGTTACACCTGGTCGCCCCACGATCCCTGATCAACATAGTTGATGTTAACATCGGAGTCGAAAACATCACCTGACTGGTCTCATTAACGTACCGTTTCGGGGCATGCCGTCTTGATCGATGGCCTCCCATATTCTGTTCAGACTCGCTTCGGTGCGGTATGGACTGGGAGTGTCACGTTCATAGAAGCACATGGCACCCCCTGCCCTCGTGGCCGTTATTTCGCAGAGTCGACAGCCCTTCGTAGCGGTGTGCCTAGAAAATTTACCGAATTTGTTGGATCCAGGCATGTCACTCTGACAGTACAGCAAGTGACCTCGGAGAGTGAAAGAACGTTCCACGCCATTTTGGTCGACCCTTATCGCCTCAACACCTGGGAGAGTGGCATTGCTTCGTCAGACAGAGTACTCTCGCGAGGATTATGTGGAGTGACCAAGTGATCCACACCAGAGGAGGCGTACGCACCGGTCTCAAGTCTCTTCATATCTTCGAAAAACGGCTTCAAAAATGTATCAAAGTCTCGAGGCGATCGTGGACCTGGCGTAAGCAAGACCGTAATGAGATTTTCCTTTTTGTAGCGCAGAGCAGGTGGAAGATTGAAGTTGATCAAGATGAAGCCCCACGATTGATGGCTTTGCCTACACCAGATACAAAGGTCAGCTGTGGTTATAATCTGATTTTGAAACAGAGAGCGGGCGTACCTCTGATTGATATTGAAGCCATCAAAATGCAGCCCGAGAGCAACGTCGGTGGGCTGCTGGAACATTGAGCGACTACGAAGGTGCTGGTAATATTCGGCATCGAAAATGTCGCTCATGACGCCTGAAGATTCAGATTTGGTGAGTTCAGAGCACCATATAGCAATATAGTATTGGGAAAGAATACGGGTGGAAAGTACCTGGTTCGCTCGCTCTGTTTGCTCTGTACATCATCAACTCTGCCATAGTTGGATTTCGGTAGAGTGTCTGAAGTATCTGAACAAAATCGAAATACTTGTAGGTCTGAATCGGCCTCAGTTGTGGTTGAATGCCGCCATTCAGAAGTTTTTCGTTCACCGTCGCATAAGCATCCTCTCCACAAAACGTGCATATTCGACTCTGGTTATCATTGATGTCGAATCCCATGCAGCTGTTTGGGCAGCAGGGAAGCCTCTGAAGATACTCGTTCCACTCGCAACAAATGATCTTTTGGATCTTGTACAGACTGGGTGCAGCTGGTAATGACAATCCTTGGAATTTGTTGCAATGATTAAGGACAGATTTGATGGCTTTGTCGGTAACATTGCACTCGGTCAACACCTTGACCAGCTGCGAATAGAAGGGCGGGATATCTGGGGGAAAGCCGCGGGTGAATACATCAATTCGGATGCTACATCGGATTGCTATCTGTCCTTTGAATTTGACTCACCATCTGATATGCGGGGCTCTTCGTCACCAGTTTCTTCATCATCTTCATTCATTTCAAGCAGTCGAAAGTGGCCGAGGAAGCTATCCGGATACTGTCCTGGAAGGTGAACCGTGGCATTTATATGAGTCAACCGGACTCTGAAGCAAGACCAGGAAGATTCGACGATACGATCAGGCCGGGTGACGTTGATATCTCACCCGAAATGTCATCGAATTCTCTCGGTGAGCTTGAAGTGGTGTCTTCTGAGTCTATCGAAGAGTCTTCAGAGTCTTCGTAGTACATGGACGCTTCTTCAGAGTCCCGCGATGCCCACATGCTTGGCGACCACGAAGGGCAGCGTTCAAATTGAGCTGGAGCAGGGCCTTCGTTGTCTTGGGTGCATTGCTGAATAGATGCTCCTGTTTGGATATCCATGCTCTCGTGCTCAAATGCGCGGGGTGAGCCTTTGGGCCAGGCCAAGGATGAAGAAACAAAGTCGGACAAATCGAGAGTGTATTGGTCATTTCGTAGTGAGCTCTGGCAGCGTCCAAGCACAGATCACTGATTATTGCTCAAGACTGAAACCGTGACGCACACAAAAATTTAGCGAGAATGTGATATCAGGTGCTCAGTCTTACCCAATGAAGGTCGCTGCGATGTTATCCCATGTGGTCGCAGTTCATCTACCACCAACACTGGGGGATGAAATGTCGGCGAAGTTCGCAAATTGGGGTTATTTTCGCATATGCTTGTAATAGGACGGTGAGGGAACGAAGAAAGATGGCCAGCTGTGTTTTCTTGAGGATCTTTGAGCGAGTACATGTGAACAGGGGGGACTCCAGGTGGAAAGCCATAGCGATAGAAGTGGTCGTAGTAGGTCGTTCTGGAGACAATCCTGAAGCCTTGCGAATCGGTGCTACACTTGCGACAACGACAGATGGATCTGTTCTTGGGAAGCCCATCGTGAGCCCTATTTATCGAGGATGGTACCCTGGTCGATGATATTGGATATGGAGTATGCCTTGGGTGATCGTGCCCAGATGGTTGAGCGGCTGAACTCATGATTAGAGTCGGATGAGAAGGTCGAGGGGAGAAAGGATCAAGAGGAGATTGACGAAGCAACTGGGGGCGGAAATGCCCGGTTTTTGTCCAAGTCCGAAGGCTCTGATGACCCATGAACACAGATGAGTCAGGAAAGCAGCCGGGGGTCATGGACAGTGAACGAGTCGCGGAAGACAGTGAAAAGCCGGGATGACTCGGATGCCATGTCACGTGAACGGACGCATTCCATTGGCCGAGGGCTCCACGGGATGTGGCAGTGCGGGTTCGGGGACACCCAGGGAGCCAGCAACCTGGACGAACAAGGAGAAATGCGGGTGACCTGAGCCAGTCGCGGTCGCTTCAGTGGCCAGACGCGACCCCCAAAGCGAAACAAAACGCGAGAAGACGTGTTTTTCCTTGTTCGGCTGAGTCCGGTGGGGGATTTGCGAGGGAAGCATTGGCTAACGCGTAATTTACACGTCAGCTTTTTTTTCATAGTGCGAGGGGCGGCCACGCGAGCACGACGGCGACAAAGCCGAGACACCGACAGAGCAGGCGCGTGAACCGGGGCAGCAAGCAAGGACAGCGCGTGGGAAGCGCCAAAGACGACGCAAACGGCGCTCGGACAGGATAAGTCCGGGGGGAGGACAAAGCGGCAGCGGATTGCGAATGCGAATGTGAATGCGAATGTGAATGTGGATGGCGGTGTGGATTGCAATGTGGATTGCAATGTGGACTTGGATGCGGATTGCGAGCGCCCTTGGATTGCAAATCGCAGCAGCAAGTCGGGTGGCGCTCGCCGAGATGGCGACAGCGCGGCGCCTTGTGTGTGGCTGTGTGATAATGTGCGCGCACCGCCACAAGGCCCGTGCGCGCACAGACGGCAGACGACTCCGTGTGACGCTGCTGCGCACAGTCACCGCTGTGTCGTGACGCTGTGTCTCTGTTGGCGGGGTGTGTTTGTGTGCGTGGTGCGCCAGTGTGCTCTTGCTGCTGCGGTTGCGACTGTGCCTGTGGCGGCGGACGGTGCCTCTGTGTGGGTGTACATCCCCTCGGCATGTCGCACCACCCACCGAGTGTGTCATCAGCAGCACCACCCACAGCGACAGCAGCACCACCCACAGCGACAGCAGCACCGCCAACACCCACAGCGACAACAGCGACAACAGCGGCAACACGCGCGCCCGGACACCCGCCCGCGGCCGCTCTGTGTTTGGCGTCACTTGACTTTTTTCTTCCCTCGCCTTCAGCGCCGCCCTTCACCCTGCGCTTCGCTTCTTTGCCCCCACGCCGTCTGGCCTTCGTCCTGATTCACCCTCTCCATCGGCGGGTCTTTCGGCTTCTGAATCACCCTCCCCCGGCGCCGTTCTTCGTCTTCTGATCCGCTCTATCGCCGGCCTTCGCCGATCGCTGCTCCCCATCGCCGCTCACCTTTGGGCTCTGTTCTCCATTGCTCCCCTCCAGGCCTGCCTGCCTCTGCAACGCCCCCGCCAGCACACACGTCTCTGTTGTGGCTGCATCAAATCCTATTTTACACCTCTCGGTAGGTCCCTTCCGTCTATTTATAGGCTCTTCTTCAGGACTCATACACACTCTTTTTCTTGGCCACCTGCCTGCTCGTCAGCTGCTGGCTCACGCATCGCCTTTGCTGGCCTCGAGTCAATATCATCAGCCCGTTTCCCCCCTTCGCCACTCGCCACTCATCCACCCGCTGTCCTGCTGGTGCGTCGGCTCTCCCCGCTGCACCTCTGGCCCCGTTGACTCACGGGTCCATCCCTCTCTCTCTCGAACATTCGCTCTCTTCCTCTCTGTCGCAGGCTCCCTCGTTCTCCGCAGCCGAGGTATTTGTCGCTCTCTCATTGTCCAGACCCCACCCGGCTTGCCATCGTCGTCCGCCCAGCACGATGCATCTTTCGTGCGTCCCTGGCCCCCGTCGCCCGGTGACACTCCTCCTCCTTCGCATCGTTAAATCTCTTCCTTCTCCCAGCCCATGTCCACAAACCCCCCAAAGTCCCCGCTTCAGATCTCTGGAGACAGTCGGAAGCCCATCTACAAGCTGCTCTTCACCGACCCGACCCCGAATGTCTCCAAAAACGTGAGGTCGCCGCCCTTCAACACCCACGACTCGGCCGTCGTTGAGCCCGTCGTCGCCACCGCCGTTCCCCCGCTACCTTCGCCGCCCCAGGCCGATTCCAAATCCGCCTTTGCGGCCGTCTCCGTGGCCTCGCCCGACGGCCGCGACATTCTGCCCTCACTCATCAGCACCGCCAGAAACCCCACCGACAACCATGATGTCTGGAAGCTCTGCACCCGAGCCAAGGACGCCCTCCCCAACGGCGCCCGTCTCGAGAATCTCACCTGGCGCCTGATGCATATGAAGCTCAAGGAGAAGGAGCGCAAGGAGCGGGAGGCCGCCAAGGCTGCCGACTCGACCGCTCCCGTCCGCAGCTCCTCCGAGCCGCTCGCATACACCGACGACTCGTCGCCCGTGCCTCTCTCGCGCACCAACCCCTCGTCTCCATGTGATCCGCGCCTGATGGACTACATACCCCAGGACTTGCATTCATATGATCGGACGTCGTCCCCCACGGCGGCCTCGTCGTCAAATCCCTATGCCGATCTGCCGCCAAAGCTCAACATCTTTGGCATGCCCATCCATCCGGCTCCCCTGCCGAGCGAATCCCAGTTCTCCGGCCCGCCTCCGCTCTACGCCAGCATCACCTCGGCCGCATTCGACTCGCACACCATGTCCACACCCTCTCCCAGCTCCACGTCCGAGAACTCGCCTGCCCTGGGCTTTGAACGATCATTCAATGATCCGACCGTAAGCCGTTGTCCCGCACGAGTTTGGTGATGCTGTCGTTGGGCTGCCGATTGTGTGTGGTGGTGCTCGGAGCTGGAATCGGACTCTTGGCTGGCTGCCTTTGACACGCACTCCTTTTCATGCTGGCCCGTTGCTGACCATACTCTGCTGCCCCGCCCTCGCTTCCACTCTACTTTTTCAGTTTGCCGACTCGTTCCATCCCAACCAGGCCTTTGCCCAGCCCGACGCCATGTCGGTGTCGGTGTCGTCGCACACCCTGATGGACCTGGTTTCGTACGACATGCCCGACCCCGGCTTCCCATCCTTCGACGACGTCTACATGAATCCTCAGATTCAGGCCAGCAATGAGGAGTGGATGAAGCAGTTCATGACCATCGACACCGACCCCATCGAGCTCTCGGTGCCATCGTCTGCTGTCGATTCGTCCTCGCGGCTCTCAGCCACGGTGACTCCGCTGGCCGCCGCCCAGTTTGCAAAGCAGCCCATCCCTTCGTCGGCTCCGGCCATGAGCAGCCAGCTTTCGCTGGCCGCCGCCAGTATGGACCCGAGTCCTGCTTCGATTGCCCCGGTCGCCGGCACCCATGCCTCCGTTCCGCTCGTCCCATATGTGCCCGCCTCGCTGCCGTCTGCCTTTGCCATCCCTTCATCCTCGCCCTCCTCGTCCCTAGCTTCCTCGTCGTCGCCCTCGTCCCAGTCCCTGATGCCCAAGCGCAAGCCCTCCAAAAAGTCCATCGTCACCACCCCTGCTCCCTCTTCTGCCACCGCCGCCACTGTCGCCGCCTCGCCCATGCTCAACAACTCCAGCAACAACCCAAGCACCAACTCCAACTCCTCGATGCACGTCAACACCCGGTGTACCAACTGCAGCACAAACAACACTCCCCTCTGGAGAAGAAACGCCAACGGCGAGCCGCTTTGCAACGCCTGTGGTCTCTTTTACAAGCTTCATGGCGTCGTCCGCCCCCTCACCATGAAAACCGACGTCATCCGCAAGCGCAACCGCAACACCAAGAAGGACGAGGTGGCCAACCCAATCGGCCAGCCCGGCACCCGTCCCCGTCCCAACTCGGTTGCCGTGTCGACTCCAGCTTCGTGCCAGCCGTCGGCCCGGCCTGATGGCTTCCCGTCCTACCCCGGGGTCGATCGCGCTGTGTTCCTCCCGTCGGGGCCGTCCGGGGTCCCTGTCGGTCCATTCAGTGCCGGGGCCGCCTCGGGGCCGCTGTCGCTCCCTGCCAATGTCGGTGCCCAGCCCATCGTCTCGCCTCGCACCACCGGTTTCATCATCCCTAACGACGGCAGCTCCATGGTTGACTCGGACGGCCTCATGTCCATGAGTGCCTCGAGCTACACGATGCCCTACGGCTCCAGCATGCCCGACTCGGCTCCCAATGCCATCGTCAACATTGCCCAGCAGCCGCTGGCCATCCAGATGGCCTCGTCGCTGCCCACGCACTCCAACATGTCCCCGATGGGCACCGGCATGGGCAAGTCGGCGCCCTCCAAGAGCTGGATCGGAGCTGTCCCGCCGCCACCCCCGGCGGCCTCCTCGTCCGGCCGCGCCTTGAAAACCGGCAAGCGTGCCCGCCGCGACTCGGAGCCTGACCCGCGCGAAGCTGCTTGGGACGCCGATCAGCAGCAACAGCAAAGCTCCCTCGCGGCTTCCGGCAAGGGCGAGTCGGGCTCCTCGAGCATGTCCGCACCGGTCTTGGACATGGCGGCCCTTGCTGGCGGCATCCCTGGCCTGGCCGATCCCTCGGTCAGCGGCACTCCCGAGATGCTCCAGCTGCTGCTGGCCCACATCATCGAGTCCCAGACCCAGGCCGGCGTCGTGGCACCTGGCCTGAGCCCCGCTCTGGTCTACGACAACCTCAAGAAGATCCTCGAGTCCATGGGGATGGACGTCAACCAGGCGCAGGCACAGCAGGTACAGCAAGCACAACAGGCACAGCAACCCATGCAGACCTCGCCGCCGCCCCAAGACACCGGCGCCAACGGCACCGCACCCGCGGGATTCTCTCCCAACGGCCCTGCGACCCCGCGCCAGCTGACCTGGGCCGACCTGACGCTCGAGCAGCAGCACCAAGAGCGCATGGCGCGCCAGCTCTTTGGCTCCGAGACGCCCTTCATGATGCCGCCGTCGACAGCGCCCGCTGCCGCACCCAACGACCCTCGTCTGGTTCAGGTCAAGACCGAGCCTGGCTCTGTCGAATACTCGATGCCGGTGCAGTGGCAGCGGTGGTAAAGGTGCTGCTGTGCTCAAGAGTGCTCGCCACCAGCCTCCTTTGCGGAGGCGGCTGGCAAGGCTCTGTGCCTGAGCCGTGCAGCGCCACCACTGTCAGGCCGCCACATTGGGCTTTGGGTGCATGCGCCGGGGTGGGTCGTTGTTACGTCCCGCCTGGCCGAGCGTGTGGATAGATGGAGGCCGCGGGCTTCCAGCAGCAGCAGCAGTCTGGCGGTGCTTCGATTCGGCCAACACCACAGAGAGCCGCGAGCAAGAAGAACAGCTGATTTACAGAAGAAGAATAGACGGATCAAGTCAGCGGCGGGAACATCGCAACGCAAGGCCCCTCTCTCCCTCTCCCTCTCCGTTCGCTGCCGCTGATTGCCCTTGGACTCTTTTGCTGTCGTTGGGCTGTCGATGGGCTGCTGTTTCCTCCTGCGTGCTTCCTTTTGCTTTCGCTCTTTTTGCACTACCCCTCCTTTGTAGCTACGTCTGTACAATCGTTTACCCTTCCTTCTCTCTTTTGGTAGTGCGTGTGCATTTCTTTTCGTCTTGATTGCCTCTGCCTGGTCTCCTCTGTAATCTCTCGCCCTCTCTCGCCCTCTCAGCCGATGTATTTCCGTTATAACGTTGTGTCAAAAGTAATATGTGTATCCCTCAGACTCTCCCCCCTTCCCCCCCTCCTCTCTTTGCTTGCAAATGAATCAATGAAACAAATGTATCAAAATGGCTTGACTTGCCTTTGACTGATAACGGGTACAGGCGATGGTGGTCTGGATTCTACGATATGCACTGGCGTTGATACCCATTTGCGTCGAGGGTGAAGGGCTTGCGGTACTTGCATGGGGCGAGCTGCAAAAGCGAGAAGGAAGGGACGTGTGCAAACATGGTCTCAGCCGCGATCCAATGCATACTTACATGATACCCTCGCCCTCGCAGCCGGAGCTGGGCGTTGACTTGATGGTCGAGAGACGGGGCCACAGGCGCGGCGGGCAGGGGAGGAGGAAGGGAGGGGGGCAGAGTCGGCGGTGGGTGATATATACCAGGCGAACCAGCAGGCAAAGCCATGGCTGGGCTCGGCTCGGAGAGCGGCATGGCGACATGACAGTGTCATGAGACACCACGACGAGAGCGAGGGGTCCTCGGACTGGCCTGCCGAGTAATGTCCGGATGGCGGCCGGGATGAGGATGTACACACTCAACGAGGAAAGCAAGGGAGACTGCAGCAGCAGCACAAGTAAAAGAGAGCCCCGAGCAGGGCGGTGCGCGCGAGGCTCGATTGGAACAGACGACGCAGCGAAACATTACCTGAAAAAAATGTGAGTGCGAAAAGGAGGGGGGGATTCATGTTCCCATGGTGGTGAAACAAAGCAAGAGTAGGAGGGGGGGGGCTGGCAAGTGCACGTTCCTGTCCCCCAGCCGCGGCATGACCGTCCTCGTCCCGCAGAGGCAGAGGACGGGAGTGGCTCGGTTGTTGAATCCCGCAGACCCGCGCGAGGACGGAATGCGGGATGGGCATGGGGAAGGAGGAGCCGAGCGAGTCCAAGCAGCAAGCCGCCGAGGACGACCAGCCAAACAACGAGTCATTCAAACAACGAGCCATTCAAACAACCAGACAGCCAGCCACGCCAAGGCCGGAATGGGCGGGGAAGTGAGATTGTGCAGAAGAGTCCCGGGGGGCGAGACACTTGGGGCCGGAATGGCGGTGAGTCAGCGGAGTGAGCGTGCTCGGAACCAGAAGGGACGGGGCCAGGATCGTCAGGGACAACGCAGGAGGGAGAGGGGGGCCCTCCTTGATCATTTCACCCCGAGCACCGACTGCGACGAAAGACCGCCCCGAGCATAGCGGCGAGACCGAGATCCGTCAGCCGGGATATCCGAAGTAGAACGGCGCAAGGGAGAGGCGTTGGGATGGAGGAGACAGCGCCAGTGGCGACCGTGAGAAGTGGACCCGGAACAGCAGAAGAAAGGAGGCAATAGATACCAAGCCCGAAACGGTACTCGAACCGACGTGGCGGGCTGCCATCGCAGAGCCGAGAGCACATGGCTATGATCCGACGGGTCGCTGGGAACGGTGAGTTACTGGCCTGAAAGTAGTGAAGCGAAAGCGAGACGGGTAGCAGGATAGATGGCAAGAACGAGGCAGGGAGGCACAGGAAGAGACGACGAGAAGATGAGGGGGATGAGTGAGGAGGCGGGGAGTGCAGGCAATAAATGAGGCTGTGGTCCAGAAAAAAAAAATAGGGTATGCGACGGGCGGAATGGCTGGCCCATGACCAGAGAGGGCGAGGACAGCGCGGCAGACAGGAGCAGAAAGCAAGATGGCCAGGCGGAAAGCAACAAGCATGTGGTGGGTATCGACAGGATGAGAGTGGGAGTGGAGCAGGAAGGCGTGGTGCTGTGGATATGCTGAGCGAGGCCAAGGCGAGCAGGAGCGAGCATGGCAGCAGGTGGACGAGGCCAGACACATGGGAGACAGACGAGCAGAGCGGGTGTGATGGGGGGGGTGCTGGTGGGTGAAGCGATTGGGTCCGTGTGAACGAGCAACAAAGCAGAGTGAGCCAGGGTGAGCCGGGGTGGTCTGCAAGAGGGTGTACACCTGAGCAGAGCAGAGATTAGATTGGCATGGCTGGCCCATCGACTTGCCAACAGACTTGTCAACGGCGGGCGAGAGAGGCAGGGCGGAGGAAGCAATGCCGGTGTGGGTCGGCGGATGGGCGGACCTGCCGGGCTGCCCGATAGCCAGGTCATAGGACCGAGATAGCTCTCCTCCACTTGGGCAAATTTGGCGCTCCTGCCTTGGACATGCTCTGCTCTGGCTTGCTCTGCCCTGTCGTGTTCTGCTTGCTCTGGTCTGGTCTGATCCGGTTTGCTCTGCTTGCCCTGGTCCGGTTTGCCCTTACTTGCGGGCTCCTCTCGCAGCTTGGCCTTTGTCTGGGCTATGTGGTGCTCAACCACTCTGTTCAGATGCGAGCAGCACGGCCAGTGGCAATGCCCCCCGCAACGCCGCTCTCCATCCTCGCTTTGCGCACCCTGTTCTGATATCTCTGCCTCGCGACCGGCCTGCAAGCTCATGCCGCGCTTGCAGGCAGTGGGCGGCGGGCATGGTGCAGCTGGCTCCCCATCTCCGCCCATCCACTGCCCCCCCTCATATCGCCCATATCGCCCCTTCCTCCATATCGCGCCGTATCTCGGCGCGGCAGAATCCCTGTTGGGCGCGTCTTGCGCTGCCACATGCCCTCCCCGCTGTGCGGCGAGGGGGAGGGAGATTTCCGGATCTGCTCGGATCAAGATAGAGCTTTGGCGAATCCCCTTGCGTCTGCACCGAAACCCTCCGATGGAGAGCGGGTCGCTGCCGGGTGGTCCTCCCGAAGCCCACCGGGTCCAGCCAGCGCAATGCCGCGAGAGGGAAGAGGCGGCGCGCTCCTGTCTCTGGTGGGTGATGGGCTTCGTCCCGGCAAGTGGCTTCACCGCCAGGACCATCAGATCCTCGCCGGTCGACTGCAGCGAAAAGACCAACCATGCCGAGCGTCTGCTGGTTCCAGCGGGTCGATAACGCTGTCGGAACCACCCTCCTCCGGGGCGACACTGTCATTGCCCTGCATCGGGTGGGCAAACACTGCTCGCCCGGCTTTCCGCCTCCAACCCCTGCCTCTGTCCGCCATCGTTCGCACCACTCCCAGCTCCACAACCCAGAGACATAGCAAGCCACGATTTCGAGGTATCGTTGCTCTATTGAGACGATGGCAGGTCGATGCTGGTGGCATGCCAGCCAGCAACCCAGCCAGCCACACCCATTATCAACTCTCGCCCGGATCCCCACCTCTCTCGCCCCAAGCCCGGTTGACCCGCAGCCAGGGCAAAGCCAAATCGAGACCGAAGCGATTTGCAAAAAGGGCCAGCCAGACGAGCCAAAATCGCCATCCACGACAGCAGGCTTCCAACGAACAGAGCATAGGGGATTGGTATAGCAGGAGGTATGTTTTTCGAGGGCAAGGAAACGAGTGCGGGACCAAAGCAGGGTGGGCAAAATGGCAAGCAAAGAACAAGAAAAATGAAAAACAGAAGAAATAGCAAGCGGAAACAGTTGACACGAAAGCAAGTATGCAGAAACAAAATCAAGTAGACAGTCCAGGGCGTTGGGCGATGCAGATTCCTCAACAGCAAGGCGTCGCATCGTCGTTGTCGTCATCATCGCCAAACCGGGTCGAGGGCAACAACCAACTTCTCGCCCGATGGCGTCCATCATCATCGTCGGTGTTGTTCTCGCGGATGCCGGTGTCGATATCGCTGTCGTCCCAGGGCGGCAAGTCGAGGCAGCAGGTTTCCAAAAAGCAGCAAGAGAGAGGCCAAAACCGCAGAGATAAAAAGAGCCCATGGTGGTGGTGGTGGTGTGATATCGATGGAGAAGCGAAAAGAAGGCTATTTACAGCAGGGGAAAGATGTCGAACGAGCTGAAGCTCCCGCCGACGCTCTTGAACTGCCGGGGCAGACTCACGGCTCGGAGCTGCCGGCAGGACCCTTTCATCTTGGCCACCCACTCGGCTGTGAGGCGGTCGGCGAGCTGCCGCTCCTCGTCTGTCTCGGCTGGGGAGTCGTCGCCAGAGCCAGGTGCGGCCGCCTTGGCCAGCAACGCCGTCTGGGGCAACTGCTGTTGTTCAGCCAAGAGCGGCGCTGGGTCGGGAGCCGATTGATTGTCGATCTCCGAGTCGGACACCAAGGGCGAGAAGGCGTCGTCGTCATGGAGGAGCGACTGGAACTTCTTGGTGGCCAGCCCGATCTGTTCCAAGCCGGTGGCATACTCGGCAAGGTACTTGAGCACCAGGTCCGAGACAATCTCGCCAGAAAGGAAGAGGGCCTTGAGGCGGGTGTTGCGCTCCTTGATCAACCGGAGCAGACTGCCTCGCACCGGCCGGGTCGACTCGTTGCATGGCGGGAGGCAGAGGGTGTGCAGCTGTGGGCACGACGACAAGACGGCATCGATGGTGACCTTGGCCGAGACATGGGTCGACCGGATGTCGAGTTGCTTCAGCGAGCCGAGCTGACGCAGCATGGCGGCCAGCGTGGCGTCGTCGAGCTCATGGGTGCCAAAGAGATCCAGGTGCTCGAGCGACTTGCCGCAGTACGACGGGATCTTGAGGAGGGTGGACTGGCCAATGTCGCAGTACCACAGGCCCAGGTGCTTGAGCCGGTCGATGCTGGCGAGCAGGTCGCCGAGGTAGCCCTCGGGAAGGCCGCAGTCCGAAATCACGACTCGCCTGAGACGACGGGGTTGGCTGGCCTGCAGCGTCTCCCAGAAAGACAGGCTCGAGTCGTAGTCGATATCAAAGATGAAGAGATTGGCGAGGCGGCCGAGGCCCTCGGCCAGGGCCGGATATGCCTTGCGGGCGCCGCGGATGCTGCCCCGGATCGGCTCCGAGCCCACCTTGGCGGCATCGTCCTGGAAGTATCCGATTTCCAGGTGTGTGATGGCCGGGCAAGCCGCAAACACGGCCTCGAGCGTGTCCATCTCCATGACCCGGATGTCGAGCTTGAGCCGGTTGAGGCGTGGGATGTGCTGGGCGAGCAAGATCAGGTCGGGCGAGCTAACGGGTGACGACAGGAACTGGGCCGACAGATCCAGGATGCGCACAAAGCGGGCGGGGTGATTGCTGGGCGATACATGTGCAAGCGACCCTGATCGACAGATCCCAAGGAATGCGTTGAGCAGCTCGTTGGACTGCAAGATCGGATTGTGCCATAGAAACCGCGTCGCCGTTTGGTAAAACAGGCGGCTGACCTGGCAGAGCATGGCCAGGGTGGCCTGGATGGACTCGCGGTCCTGGCTTTGCTGATAGACAAACTGGAAGACGCGGTGCCAGAGCTCCGGAGGCAGACGGGTGGAGGATCTATGGGAGCGGGGCGGGAGAGACGCATCTGTGCGAGGGCAGATCATGGCGGGGAGGGGGAGAGTGTTAGCGCTCTGCTGGGAGCCCCACTTCCAGGGAGACCGGCGCTTGGGACAGGCTTTATGAGCGTGTCCGACGCATGTCACCGCGGCGTTCATGGCGGAGAGGGAGATGGCTGTCGCCAGAGCGAGCTCATCAGCAGTGCAGACAGGGGCCCGGCTGGAGGAGGAGGGAGACCTTACCATCAGAGTGGAGCCGGGCGGGCTGGCTGTCGGAGCAGCCAGACGATTGGGTCAGTTGACAGGCGGATGATCCAGGCTCGACCGGTGATGGACGGACGCTGGGTGATTGCTGCGAGTCTGGCTGCACGTCGACATGGGGCTGCGAAAGCCGTCGGCGATGGAACCGAGTCAGCCGTTTTGAAAACGAGAGTCTTCTTGCTCGAGACGGCCGAAGCGGGTACTTGGGCGAGGCATGGGACGAGTGTCCGGAGTGGTGGAGGTGGTAGTTGTGGAGGTGGTAGTTGTGGTTGTGGTTGTGGCTGTTTGGATGGTGAGATTTGGTTTTGGATGGATGGGCGAGGCGATGAAGTCGGGCCTTGAGAGTGTCCAGCGATGGCGACGATGACTGGATCTGGAGCGGCAGCTCGTCGGCTGAGGCAAGAGACTCAAACAGGGCAGCGGCAATGATTTGGCCATCGAGTTCGCCACTGACGTCAGAGGACGCGCGAGGGCGGTGTGCGTCGCGACAAGCAGGGGTTGGCGACAGCGGAACATGGTGGTGGTGGTGGTGGTGGTGGTCGACCAAGAGAAGCGAGGCCAGGGCAGGACGATACTTGGCCGCCCACTTGACCAGGGCAGCGCCGTCCAGGTCAGGCACAGACAAATTGTCGAGGGCAGCGAGCCAGGAGACGGCAGCTGGCTGCTGCAGACGGAGAGCATGCTCGACCATGGCGGGAGGGCTGATGCGGCGAGTTCGAGCCGGGTTTATTGAGTAAAAGAAGGAGCGACACTGATGCGGTGGAGCAGAGATACTGATGGGCAGACGAAACGAAGAGCGGCAGCTCGAAGGAGTGCGGCGGGAGGGCGAAGGCCAGAGGCTTTAAGTGCTCGGAGGAGGAAGAGGGTGACGCACAACAAGCGCCGCAGAGCGGCATTGCGGCTGTGACAACAACATGATCTCATCGAGGGCCCGTATGATCCCAAACATGCCGAGCCAGGCGGGTTTGGGGACGCGCGGCCAGAGGAGCACAGGCAAGGCCGGCGCCATGACGGGGCAATGACGGGAGGTGGCGGGGATAGGACCAATCACCGAGGAGGGCGATCGGGCAGAGTTTGTGTCGGCAGAGTGTCTCTTTGGGGGGGGGGATCGGGCAGGAGGGACTGAGGCGGCTGCAGCCTGTGCGTGGCGGCGAGCGAGCTGGCAGGCGGTCATCCGCCCGGCGGGACAAGACGCCGAGGCCTCTGCAACGAGGTCATCCGCACACCAGATGGAGTCGGTGGGATGGAGAGCGTCTGATCGGGTGTGTCGATGCAGGCGACTGGAAGGGCCATGTTAGTTGGGCAGATCGGTGCTTGGCCATCGATCTGCTCGCATTAACATTGTCTCCTCGTATCGACACTGTCTCCTCGTATCGACACTCTGGCTCCTCGCATCAGCACATCCCCATCCATGGTCCATCATCCATCCATCCATCCATCTGTCTGTCTGTCTGTCTGTCTGTCTGTCTGTCTGTCTGTCTGTCTGTCTGTCGGCCCCGCTCCTGCATCTCCGCAGCCCAACGAGCGCGGCCCACACACGACTCCAGACCGGTCATGAGGGCATCAGCCAATGCCATGGCCGCGCGCGCGGACCAATCAGCTGCCCGCCCCGTGTTCGCCGTGAATCATCGCCCAACCAATCGCCGCCGAGTGAGTCAGGTCATCCGCCAGGCGCGCGCTGTCTGCCGGGGGTCACGGGCCTCTGCTTGCGGGGCTGCCGCTGCTGCTGCTGCTGGGGCCTGGCGCCGTGTGGATGGGTCCGCCGTCGCTGGCGGGCGTGGCAGCGGGACGGGCACTTTCGCAAGTGGCATCCGCGGGTGGCATTCGCAGCCGTATTTGCGCTGTTCCTGGCCAACGCCTGCCCTTCCAAGTTGCATCATCCGCGGCATCGTCTGTGGCATCATCCGCGGTGAGCGTGGCTGTCAACTGTCCCTGCTCCGCTGTTCACCCGCTCTGAGTCACCCGCTCTGATTCTCCTGCCCTGGCTCGCCACTGGCATGCTGGCTTCATGCGTCGCTGGCTTCTGGGATCCGTCGGCTCGTTTCCGGCTCACTGCACGAGAGTCCCAGATGCTGTGACAGCTCTCGCCCAGGTGCCTTTGATGCCGGACATGCTGATTCCCCGGATGCTGGCATACCAAAGCGCACGTTGCAGCCCCATTGCCAAGGACGTGCTGCGGTTGTGTACTTTTCCGTCCACCACCGCCGTGACTTTAGCCCAGCCCTTCGCTTGCCCATTCTCCAAATGAGCATTGAACTGTTGCTGGATACTTCTTTTTCCTGGCTTTTCTTTATTGGCAAAACCAACAATCCTGGAGCACAGCTTCGCGGACACCGATGCTAATTTTTTTTCTCTTTTTCTCTTTTTTTTGGTCTTTTGCTATTGAATTTGGGTTGTGAATTGCTCCAGCTGGAAGAACGGTGTGGGCGACATGAGGAGAAAGGTCGAGAGGGGTGCGCCGACAAGCTCGGGCTCGGGCTCGGGTTCGGGTTCGGGTTCGGGAGCATTGAGTCGGCCAAGCCAAGCAAAGCAAAAGCCAAGCCAAACCAAGCCAAATCGGCCAAGCTCGCTCTCCGTCTAGTACCGGTAGAGGTTTATGCTCTTGCCAGAAAGCGCACCGGGTGAGGAGCAGGTCATGGCCGGGGTCGAGGGCGAGCCGTGCTCGCTGTCGCTGTCCTTATCGTTGTCGTGGCCACATAGAATCATGGACCGGTGCGAGTGCTTCGATGCCATCATGGCCTTCAGATTCATCACTTCCTTGACCCGGAGCTGGTTGGCCCGCTTCAGCGCCTTGTACTCGCGGAGCAGGTCGTCCTGCTGGCTGGCCCATCGCTCGCGCTCCTGCAGAAGCTGCTGGACCGTGTCCTTGGCGCCGGCCAGCTCGCTCGAAAGCGTGCGAATGTACGATCGCTCGCGGTCCTTCCAGTCGCGCAGCTGGGTCTCCATCTGGCCGTACGCCGCTCGGTACTGCTCCGACTCGTGGCGGCTGGTGAGGGCCATCTCCTGCGAGGACGTGAGCTGGCTCTCCAGCTTCTGCACCCGTTGCGACATGTCGGTGAGTTCCCCATGCGCTGCCGACAGAGTGTACTCGAGATCGCTGATTCGAGCTTCGTATCGCTCAGCGCGGGCGTCCGAGAGGCTGATTTCGGTCCGGATGCGTCGGTTCGCGCGGGACAGGGCCTCGACTGCAATGTCGAGCTGCGCCCGCAGAACCTTGTTCTCCTTGGCAAGCAGATGCATGTGGTCGAGCTGACGGGTGTGCTCATGAGGTTGGTGTTTGCTGGACCGCCGCTTTCTCTCGGGTCGGGCGCCGTTGGATCCCGGGATGGTGCTCGAGACCAGGGGGGTCGGGGGCAGGGGTTGTTCGGTAACGGCCTCGCCCAGGCTGTCCTGGGTGGGCTCGGGAACTGCAGCCTCGATGCCGTCGGTCTGGGTCGGAGCCGCTCCAAAGAGCGAGACCTTGGGGAAGGCCAGGGCGGCTGTGGACGAGAGCCGGGCAAGATCCGTCAACGAATCGTGGTCGACAAGGGCGAGGATGTCTTCGGGGTGCTCGCCGAGGGCCATGGCCGCATCCATGAACTCGCCCAGGGCCCTGGAGAGCGCCTCCTTGGCCTGGTGGAACCGGGTCATCAGTGGGTGGCCATGGCTTGTTTTTGGGATGCCTCCGTGGGAGTGAGGGCCAGCAGTGCAGTCGCGGGACGGCGGCTTGGAATCGTATCCACCAAAGCTGCTGCTGCTATTAGTATGTGATTGAGGGAAATGTACATTGCTTTGGGGCGAGGAGCAGAGACTGTCCAGATGAGAGTCGTGACTCTCGCTGTCGCCATCCGACAGGGACGGGCTGGAAGGAGGCGTGACTTTGTAGACCATGTTTTTTTTTTCTTTTTTTCGGACGCAAAAGAGTCACTTGGAGGGAGGTGTCTGAGGAGAGGTGGGTCGGAGGGCGGATTGGAGGGCGGAGGGACTGGGTCGATGAGAGTTTCCTTTGTCGCTTTGGAAGGACAGCTGGAGGGGCGGACTAGGGGGCCGTCAATTTGGGGCCGGTCGAGAGGTCGCGGAAACTGGTGAAGCAGAATCAGCGAGTGACGGTCGGTCGGAGAGGAGGGTTGCTGCTCGGAATAATCTCAGCTTTGGTGAGGGAATCAGAGCGGCGGCGGATAGGGCTTGTTTGAAAGGGCTATCCAGGGGGGTGGGGTCGAATGGGAGCGCAGGAGAAATCAAGGCAAGAACTGAAAGCAAACAGCAGTAACGGAAGAGACAAGCAAGTGCTGGGAAACAGAAACGCAGTACCGAGGGAGGGCCAGAAGGAACGAGGCTGTCAGGGAACAAGAGAGAGGGCCAACAGGAAGAGGCGAACGAGAGAAGAGGTCTTGGTATTCAACTTGAAAGAGGGGCAATGGGCGCTAAGCGTCGGAGAGAGAGAGGAGGGACAATTTGGCACTCCAGCACAAGGTTCGTTGGCACAGGGGGGGGGAACTGGTTTCTAGTTGATTTTTGAAGGAATTTTGTGGGGGCAAACCGGGAGCGGTTTCTTCAGCGACGACTGAAGCTATCTCGCTCTTGACCTGAACTCCTAGGAGAGAGGGGGTCCTGGACAGGTCGTCGAGAACGGTAGAAAAAAATGGTTCCGGGAAACCAGAAACAATAAATAAATAAAAAAAGGCAACTCCACCAGCGTATTTGACTGGAGGGGAGGATAGACGAAAGGTGGTAAAGAAAGACCTGAGACGACGGGAGACGGGAGGCAAAAAAGGGGGGGGAAGCGAGCGACGGGCGACACGGCGAGAAGCGAGGGGGGGCGAGGGCGCCGCGAGGACCCGGCGAGAGCGCCTTGTTGTTTGTCCGTCTGCACAGGAATGCTGTGCGAGTCCGAGCTGAGGCGCTGAGAGGCAGCAAGTGCATATGCAAGTGCATATGCAAGTGCATATGCAGAGGTAAGGAGGAATAAGATGCAGAGTGCCCTTATTCCGTTTGGACTTGGCGTGCGCCGGTGCCAATTGCATTTCATGTCTCTGCCTCGCTGGTGTTGTCTGGTCTCGCTCGTCGTCTCGCTGGCCGTCTCGCTCGTCGTCTCGCTGGCCGTCTCGCTGGTCGTCTCGCTCGTCGGCCCCATGGCAAACGCGGCAATCTTGCCAAAGATGCGTGTTCGCGGCCAAGTGGCTTTCTCCACCGCCCTTTGACGGCCTTTGCGGGTCTATATCTGCGTCCATCTGCGTCCATCTGCATTCACCTGCGTCCATCTGCATCTGCGTCCATCGCACCTCCCGCCTGTTCTCTTCGACGCTGCTGATCGCTCGCACGGCCCACGTAGGTACATGCGTGTGCGGTGCCCTCGTCTCTGTCCGCAGATCCTCAACTCGATGCACATCGCCGGTTTCGATGGCTCAGATGGCCCCCCCTGCACCACTCGCCAATCTATCTCGTTGGCCGCATGGCGCGGACAGCTGGCTCACCGCTCTCTGCTGCGATCTGCGTTTCGTCCCCTCCCGTCTGTCGCCGCTGCCTGAGCAGTTTCCACCAGCAGCAGCACCAACTCGAGGCTGAGCCAAATCACCAGTCAACACCACCCTCATCACCCAGCCCTTGTCATTGTCGGGTCTCGGCCGCGTTCGTCAATTAACCCTCCAAGATGCGCCGGTCGCTTGCCTCGCTTGTACTGCTCTCGGGACTCTGCTCGCTCTCGAGACAAGAGTCGGGCTCATACCTCAACCAGGGTGCCGTCTCGGCCGATGTGTTTGCAAAACATCCACACAAAGTCGTCTTTGAGCGCAATCCCGTCAGCTCGCTGGAACTCGTCGATCTGGACTGGGTGAGTCTCTGGAGACGAGCCTTCTCCCTTATGTGCAGGGCCATACCGAGCGTGCAAGCCGAGTCTCTCACACTCCCTATCGGCCGCGCCTCCCTCGCTTTCTATCCAGTCCGATGCATCCTCGGTGATTATGCCAATCGCCCAGCTCGAGACCAAGTTTCTGTGTCGGCTGCCCAAGATCGACCTGGATGCTCCCCAAGATGACCTGGTCGAGGACGAAGATGCCATGATAGAGTCGGGCTTGCAGCTGCTCTCGCCGCTGTCAGACAAATGCATTACATCGGTGAGCTCCCTGTCTCGCTTTGGGGACCAACGTCCGATCCAGCCGTCCTCAGCAGCGGGTGCTTGTAATCTGCCGTGCTCATTCGCCTTCCTGCTCAACATGCACATGCCCAGCCTCGAGGATGGTGGGTCTACGAATTCTGCTTCAACTCCAAGGTCCGGCAGTTCCATCCCGTCCCTGAAGCAGAGCAGGCCAAGATCGTCAATGACGAGAATAATAATTTTCTGGGCAAGTTTGTGGCGTCCAAGCTTCATCCGGCTCCAACAACAAACCTGGTCGAGGCCATCGACCACGAGGGCAGAACCATCCGGGCCCTCAGGCAGCGGTATGGAGACGGATCGATCTGCAAGCTCACAGGCCAGCCCAGAACGATCGACGTCGAGGTGAGCAGAGGCTCGTGCGCGTGCCCCTGCTTGAAACGGAAGAGAGGAGACCATTGCACATGCCGTTCCCACATGCATATCCGCCGAACGACGAGGCCTGTGGCGAGGCTGTGTTCTGGATCGTGCTGGCCGAGTGTGTCGCATTGCTTGCCACCAACGCATTGCTTGCCACCAACGCATTGCTTGCCACCAACGCATTGCTTGCCACCATCGCATATGCACATGCCGATCGGGATACTTTGCCGCATGCAATCGTTCTCAACCGTGTCGACCCGCTGTCTCGTCTAGTTCCACTGCGCCAACTACGAAAGCCACATCTCTACTATCAGTGAGCCGTCGAGCTGCCACTACCACATGGTCATTGTCACCCACCATCTCTGCAAGAACCCGTTCTTCCGGCCTCAGATTATGGCCCACTCCAATCTAATCGTCTGCCGTCCCATTGACGAAGATGTTCCCTCAGCGTCTGAACAGACCGAGTCAGTACCGCAGGCGCCGATCGGTGGCTCTGATGCTGCTGCTGCTGTTGTCGCTGATGGTGCAGTCGCCGATGGTGCTGCATCGCCGGATCTGTCGCCAGGCTTGCAGCCAATCTCATCGCCGCCAAAGGACAAGTTGCGCATCTTCCGCCCGAGCAAAAATGCACCTCCCAACGATGGCGATGGCGCGAGTTGGCTCACTACCCGCGAGCTGATCCACCTGATTGGCCGACGGTCAGCGTCGGTACCAGATCCATCAGACCAGCCACCCAAGAAAGCCAAACCGGATGCACACTCGGAGGGCTCGCAGAAGCTGGTTGACCTGTTTGACTGGCTGACTGTGTCAAGTGCCGATCCCCAGGTCCGTGAGCTGAGCCTGGAACTGAACCTGGACCAGCATCCCGAGCAACAGTCCCTGTTGGATGATATCATCGGGGAATACATTGCCCGGCTTACTTCGGATACAAAGGACGGCAAGGACGCTGGCGATTCCCCAAACGCTCGCGATGACGACTCTAGCCGAGAACAGCCTGCCGAGAGGGCAGCTGGCCACTTGGCTCAGCAAGCACCCGAGCAAGCACTCGAGCAAGCACCCGAGCAAGCACCCGAGCAAGCACTCGAGCAAGCACCCGAACATCGGGGACAGGAGGAGCGAGCTGAATCGCACGACCCGTCCACCCCCGACAACGCCCCGCAACATCCAGCGGACCACCGCGAGCTGTAAGCATTATCCCTCGGACGGTTCTCTCGGTGGGGGCACCCAGCATTCGCAATACAGACGACCGACGTCTCTATGTCCTCTCTGGAGCTTGAATACGCCAATGTTCATTTCAAATGTGTCCAAATGCATCATTCGTCCCTCTGGGCCAACTGGCAGCTTGTGTGCACATCATTTTGCCTTTCCTGCACTGACTGTATTAGAACATGATGCGGTTGTCCACGTCATCGTCGCGCCGTCATCGATTCTTGGCCGATCATCTCCCTCTTCCCCAGAAATGCACATGAATTGGGTGTGACAAGAGCGGGTACAGGATTGATGCATGGATGGGAGTGAGCAGGAGATAGGGGGCGGGCAGCTCTTGCATAAGATGGCGACCGCATGTAACGGGAAGGGGTACATACCGGAGCCAGACACAGAAGAGGAGGGAGGGGGAGGACATCGAGAAAGTGAGTCTAGCAGCTCAGGAAGAAGGGAGGGGAGAGGTTGGATGCTTAGAAGTGTGCTGGTGGATCGATCCGGCTGGGATATACAACCAGAGTATCCATCAATGTTACGCTGAATGTTGGAGGGGGGAGAACTCGCAAATGGCGGCTCGCTGCCTAGATTCGCTGGATCAGAACCTGGATCTCGTTCGCCTCGAGGGCCTCAGCAACCTCGGGATGCAGCGCAGCGTCGGGGATCAGACCGCGCTCGGAGAGATCCAGGAGCAGAGCCTTGGTCTCGACAGCGTTGTTTTCCTTTTGGAGACCCTTGAGGAGCTCGTTGTACTCGGTCACACGCTGCTCCTGGCTTGAATAGGGCAGCGGCGAGGTCAGGGCCTTGAAGAAGACCTCCTTGGCCTTGGTAACGTTGTTGGCTGCGACAGAGGTGCGGATCCACTGGGCGTAGGTCTCTCGCGCGATCGGGACGTGGGCTTGCTCGAGCTTCTCGATCATGGACTCGCCCTCCTTGACCTTGCCGTCGTTGAAGAGCAACAGCGGCACGACGGGCAGGATGACCTCGTCCGAGGGCGACACAGTGGCAAGGCGACCCTTGCCCAGCTGCTGATACAGGCCCTTGGCGGCATCCAAATGGGGGGTCGAGGCCGTCAGGAACGACTCGAGCAACAGCGCAACGATACGCGGCAGCTGCTCGGCGGGAGCGTATGCCAGCTGCAGCATGTCCAAGAGATAGTCGGTGTGCTTGTCGGCGTGGAACTCGGCCAGCGGCGCGATGAGGGTCCGGTTCAGCGGCTTGTGCTTCAGGATCGATACGACATGTCGCCAAGCAACGCCTGCCTGCGGCGGCTTCTGCGAGACATAGCCGCGGATCAGGGCAGCGTCCATCTCGTCGGCCGTCTTCCACCCTCGGACGTGTTCTTTCTTGTGGTAGTATCGCAGAGCCGAGGTCATGCCGTCGACTCGGGCACACACGCTGATCAGCGAGGTCAGGCACTTGGGCGAGGCCGGCACGAGCTTGGCCCGCATCGTGCGGTAGGTCTCGATGGCCAGCGACAGGTTGTTGCGGGCATCCAGGGCCTCGAATAGGCCTTCCCACGCCGCAGGCGGCGCAGGCTGGGTCGAGATCTTTTCAAACTTGCGCATGTACTGGTAGGCATGTGTCACACGGCCCAGCTTGCCATAGCCGCTGATGATGGCAGCGTAGGTGTCGGCGATCTGGGGATGCGACGGCGGGAGCTTCTGGAGAAGCGCCACAGCATCGTCCAGGGCGCCGTCGAGAGCGAGTGCCTGCGCAGCGAGTGCAAGCGTCTCGTCGTTGGGCTGGACGCCGGCCTTGACCATGTTGCCATAAATGATGGTTGCATGACGATGGTGTTGGATGCGCACGAGCGACTCGATCAGGGCGTTGTAAAGCTCGACCGAGAGCTGGCCATTGCTGTGCTCCTTGACCGAGTGGGCATACTGGAGCGCGGCACCGACATCATTTCCAATGAGCGCGAATGCCTGGATCAGGAGGGCATGCAGCTCTGTGGTGACCTTGATGCCATTCGCGCTCAGATCAGCCTGGATGTGGTCGATGGCCTGCTTGTTGCCGGTGCCGGGGTGTCTGGCGAGGCATCGCAGGAGGCCGACCAGATCGCCAGACGACAGGCGCTTCTTTTGTGCCTCGTTCTCACGGATGGACGAGTACGACGCCAAGGCGAGCTGGGCGTCGTCGATGGCGATGTAGTTCTGGAGGACAATCAGCGGATCCGCAGCCGGCGATGCCGTGGAGCCTGGCAGTGGTTTTTGCAGATATGGGTTTGCGGCATTGTAGACCTGGGCCTCTTTGGGACATTTGCCGATGAAGCTTCGGGTTAATGAGGGCCGACAGAAGACTGCAGCGGCGGCAGGTGAGAACGGGAGTACCGGGCGAGCGAGACTGAGCGACCGGGCGACCGGGCGAAGGATGAACGAAGGACGCATGATCGGCGACAGGATCGGCGACAGGATCGGCGAGGAATTCGGCACGGGAACGAAGGGGGCCTGGTAGGCGAAAGCGCTTCGGAGAGCTTGGATAGACCGCTTGGAAAGAGAGCCTCGACGAGTGCTCCGGACGCGGATCGAGGGGGAAGCTGATGCGAGCAATGACCTCGATCGGGGCTTGGCTGCGAAAACAGGACTTTGCCGATCTGATCTGGCCGGCGGCAGAAAAAAAGACAAAAACGAGAGACGCGGATACGCTTAGGTAATCGGCTGCGGGCACAAAGCCGGGACGGCTCTCGGCGTGTGTGTGTGTGTGTGTGTGTGTGTGTGTGTGTGTGTGTGTGTGTGTGTGGCAGGGCTGCTCCGGAGCCCTAGGGTTGCGGGACACCTCCGGCTAGGGCTGTGCACCCCCTCCCGCCCCGCTCTGTGCGCACAGTAATGTGCACCAGGACCGCATTTCGCTATTCTCTCCTCCTTTTCGAATCCATTCAGGGACCCTTGACCCACCTACAGGTAGAGTATCGACACGGACGGACAGGCATCCACCAAGGCATCCATCGATGCATCCATCGATGCATCCATCCACCCATCCATCCATCCGTCCATGCGCCCGCCCGCCCATCCGTTCGCCTCGGCGATGTCGTCACTCTTTGAGCAAGTCGAACCAAGCGAGATATTATCCGGCGCTCTTCGAACCGCACCTTCCCGAGAGTCAACAATTTTGGATACCCGCAACGATGTCGATATTCCCGGACCTGCGTCGATACGCTGTGCATCACGGACTCGACCGAACGGATGGGCGGCACTCTGACGAAACACAACCGGCGGCATGTGTTTGGGCGATATCGATCGAGCGGCAACGGCAACGGCAGACTCTGATCCGGCACGTCCGCCAACACACACTTCCCCCCCATCACAGCAGTCATCATGGCCCAACGTGTTACCTACCGCCGCCGTCTCTCTTACAACACCAAGTCCAACAAGGGCCGTGTTGTCAAGACCCCTGGTAACTATCCGTCTCTCATCCCGAACGCCTCATCATCGGAGCAGGCTGGACGCGCAGAAGCATCCCCTCGAAGCTATCTTGCATGGATGGCCAGCTAAACCCAGCTTCTCCTTCACCGTCAAGGTGGCAAGCTCGTTTTCCACTACACCACCAAGAAGGCCTCCTCCCCCAAGTGCGGTGACTGCGGTGTTGCTCTTCCTGGCGTAAGTATACGGGGCCGCTGGATCTCGGCGATTTCCGACGACAAGACGGGACATTTTCATTGGACGAACGACGCGGAGCGGACCAACCAAGCAAAGATGGCTCGTTCTAAGGCTGTGTTGCACCCGGACAAGCAGTGCCGATCACGAGTGGCAGTCCCATAAGCACCGTCGGCCAACACCGTTTTTTCTTTTCTATTTCCAAAGCTCCCTGCCCTCCGCCCCACTGCCTACGCTCGCATCTCCAAGCGCCAAAAGCACGTCTCTCGTGCCTACGGTGGCAGCCGATGCGCTACCTGCGTCCGCTCTCGGTATGTAGCATCATGGGAACGCTGGAGGCCGGTTGTCTGCATAGCGGGCTGATCGCGAACGCACTGAGTCCTTTTGGATCGCTTGGACACCCACATCGCACTGCTTGTGAACCCTACCCGGCCTGGATCTTGAATCGGCTCCCAAATCGGCTCCCGGCGCACACTGACACCCACACGCCTGTGGTCTGCTTGCACAGCATCGTCCGCGCCTTCCTGATCGAGGAGCAGAAGATCGTCAAGAAGGTCCTCAAGACCCAGCAGGCCGAGGCCAAGAAGGCCGCCCCCAAGCCCAAGAAGGCTGCTCCCAAGAAGAAGAACTAAGTTCTCCCTTCTGCGACGACCATTGCAAGGAAAACCTACCCGGGTGAACACCCCCGACCAGCGCTTTTTGTAAGTTTTGCACCTGTTGAGCAAAGGTAAAGGTGCAGCAGGCCCAATCCCAGCGACTGTCGTACTGATTCCGTGTTCGCTGTGCCTCCCCAATGTGCTCGATATGCGTTCTCTGTCGGCGGGTTTCTTGCCTTTGATCGACGTGGACTGCGACATGTCTGGATTGCATGCACATGCACATGCACAACAAAAACAGTTGCAATGTGGTGGTGTATATGTAGAAAAGGACCAATACATTTGATGCTTGGGTGACTGACTGCATCGCAATGAACTGGCTCCATTGTATCCACATCGATACTGGCCAGCGACGCTGTCTCGTTGGTTGGACCGTGCCGTGCGCTGTGTTGTTTCCCGCAGATGGCGCCGAGATACAGCCAGCTGTTGGTGGGGCTCGGAGGCCGACCGCTGGCTCGCTTAAACACCATCATCCGCCCAGATCCGCCCAGATCTGCCCAGCCCGCCCGGATCATGCATGACCGGCCGTCACAGCCAAGCGGCCGATCTTGGCTCCCCGCCCAGGCCCAGATCCAAGTGTGTCTGTATCCTGCATGCCGCTCCATCGTCGCACCACCAGCAATGCCCCGTGTTCATCCTGACAACCGGCCAGGGTTTCCACATGAGCGCCAAGACCGCGATTGGCCACGGCGGCTTTTGGGGGGCAGGGGCCAAAGCGGGCCGATCGCGGATTGCCGGTCGTGAGCCCCATAAAGTCTCCGTTCCAGCAGCTTGTCCTGGGCCCACAGTCTCTCTTTTGTGCTTGGCCAGCACTCCCCTTTCGCCATGAGCACCCCAACATCAGGTGGGTCCCGGCTGCTGCCCTCAGGAATCTCGTCCCTTGGAGGACATGCCACACTTGGTCACGCAGCCCGACTTGCTTGCTGCCGATCCACAGAGTGCGTCCCAGCTGCCGCTTTCCTGACCCGCCGCCCGTTATGTCGGCGATCCTCGACTGCCCAGTCTATTCCCGCAAAGGCGACAAAACCGGCATGTCTCACATCACCAAGATCGAAAGCATCTCGCACTCTGAGCCAGTCGACCGCCATGAGGACAGCGAGCCCACCCAGGACGGGCGCTCCCACCAACTCGTCGATGAAGACGAATCGCCCACCAACACCACCGCCGACCTTGCGGGCAGCATCAGCAAAACCGTCTCGCGCAGCGAGATGCCAGCTTGGTACCAGGACAACATCTACATCTTCACGGGCTACCGCCGTATCTGCTACTCGTACAAAGCCTGTGCCCAGTCGTTGTTCTACATCCACAATGAAACCGGCAACGTCTATTCGCACCTGATCGGCGCCGTGCTCTTCCTGGCCCTCTTTGGATACACCCTCTACCGAGCCATCCCCGTCGTCGACACCGCAAAGTGGAGCGACGTTACGGTGCTGGTCATCTTTATCCTGAGCGCGATCGGCTGTCTGGCGCTGTCGACATTCTTCCACCTGTTCTGCTGCCACTCCGAGAAGGTCTCAGTGGCCTGGAACAAGGCCGACTATGTGGGCATCGTCTTTTTGATTGTGTAAGTCGTCGCTTGCCGCAGGCAGTAGTGCGTATCCACATTGCCACCAGTTCCTGTCCCTGTCCCTGTCCCTGTCCCTGTCCCTCTGTTCTCGCTGTAGCGTCGCTCCGTGCACTGGCTGCTCCCATGCATTGAGCGAATGCTGATCGTAACTGTCATCGACATGGATTCTTCCCCAGCGGATCCTTCGTCCCTGCCCTTTACTATGGTAGGTGCAGCCGCTTGTAGCCGCTTGTAGCGCCTTGTGGGTCCTTCAAGCAGCTGAATCGAGGTCCGATTCTTGCCTTTGGCCTCCTCAGCATTCTACTGCCAGACTACTTTCCAAGCTGTTTACATTACCTCGATGGTCGTCCTCGGAACTGGAACGGTATGGCCTGTCCCGCCCTGTGCTGCCCTCGACCCACTGTGGGTGCATCTGTGCGTTTTCTTCCACCGGATCGGTCACAGGGAATGCATGCTGTCGAGTTACTAAGATCCATAGCATTCCTCAGATCGTCATCAGCGTCTCCAAGCACTTCAGCCGTCCCCAATACCGACAAACCCGTGCTATTCTGTTCACATCGCTCGGTTTGTCGGGAATCATTCCTGTTCTGCACACGACGATTGCCTCTGGGGTAAGTGTCCGAGCTTTCCGCTGCGATTGCCCCCTTGGGCCATCTCGATCGCACCGATGAGGCCGACCTGTGGTGTCGCACGCCACGACTCCATTCATTATCAACACCAACTCACTCGATACCGACATGGCCCCGCGTCGCTTGCATCGTCTGATATCGCTCGATCTGATATCGTCCGCACTCTGCTCTCGCAGGCGCTGTTTGCGGAGCGCTCCATGTCGCTCTCGTCGGTCATTACTGAGGGCGTTCTCTACGTCGCTGGAGCTTTCATCTACGCCTCGCGTGTTCCCGAGCGGTGGTTTCCCGGAAAGTTTGACTTTTGGGTACGTTTCCTACTCCCATCATGAGGCTTTCCAAGGCAGAGTGGCCGGACCGAAGCAATTTGACTTGCAGCTGAATCTCACGCTGCGCCAAACTGTGGTTGCATCGTGGCCTTGGTCGTGGTCGATTCAACTCACAGCCGCTCACTTTTCGCCGCCTCAGTTCCATTCGCATCAAATCTTCCATATCCTCGTTGTTTCCGCTGCTGTCGTGCATTACCGCGGCATGATTGCGGCGTACACTTGGTGGCACCAGATGAACCCGCAGTGCCTGACTTCGATGGACCAGCTTGTGCATAGTGTGGCCTGAGTTTGCCTGTCCCTGGTTGCTCTTGCGATACCTGAATCTTCATCTGAACCTTCTCCGCCCTTGCCTCTGCTCGCGCTGCCCTTGGCGGGTGTCGGTGCACCGCTCTGCATTCTTGATGCGCTGTGCTTGGCTTTCATGAGACTCGTACTCCGTAGAACACAGCTTTTCCATATTCTCCGTTACTCAAGGGAATCAGGAGCGAGACCCTATCGAAAGACACGGTGGTGGATGTGGCGGATGGGTTCGTGTGTATTCGGAGATCTGGAAGAAGGTGGTCCGGCCCACTTTTGTGAAAGCTGCAAACTGAAGCCACTTTCCCAGGAGTGGGGAAGCACACGCCATCGTGGAAGCGAACCCATGAAGCAGACAAGATATCCCATGGCAAAAGACACAGGCGTTTTTCCTTTGAAGCCGTCGACAGTCATCGCGAAAACACTCGGTTGAGGGGTGGAGGCAGGGCATGGAGGGACACCGGCGTTGAGTGAAGCCAGGTCCGATAGCCAGAGCCAGAGCCAGAGCCAGAGCCAGAGCCGCAGCTGGGCGACTTTATTTCTTGCCCAGGCGGGAGGAGATGACGGACTTGCTGGATGCGAGTGACTCGGCCTTGGATGCCTTCACCTGAGCCTTGGCTGGATGAGGACATCGGGGGGCGGTTGCCAGACAGAGGGAGCATCCGTAATTAGTGGTGCGCTTTCCCCAGGTCAGGGTGCGGCGGGCGCAGGACATCATTCCCTTACCAGCTTCCTCGGCCTTCTTCTTGGCGGCCTCTTCGCGCTGTTTGCGGATGATGGCCAGGCGGGCCAGATCGGCACGGGCTTGGTCGGTCTTGCCCTCGGCCTGGGCCTTCCAGAACTCGGCCTTCTTGCGCTCCCGCTCGATCTCCTCACTTTAGGGGCCAAAAAATCGAGGGTGTAAGGTTCTGCGTCCGTCAACTGCGCTGGTCTTGAGCTGCCGCTGTTCAAGCGCTTGAACAAGATATTGCTGCAGGGACGCTGGCTATCGTCGCCTAACCAACGACCGGACGGATCAGGCCAGCAAACTGGCCAGCAAACTGACCAGCAAACAGCCCTTGGCTCGAGATACTCACCGCTCTCGTCGGCTCAGCTCCACGGGGCCGGACGAACCAAGGTCCGACAGCTTGACGTTCTTCTGGGTAGCACGGTTGGGGTTGATGATTTCACTCGAGGGAATGATCTCGGCGGGCCGTCGCTCAGACTCGTTTTCGGAATCTTCCTCGTCACCAGAATTGTCCGGACCAGCACCAGGGTTTTCGCGGGGCTGTCGGGCCAGACGGAAAGCGCTCTTGTCAGAAATTGTGGGGAAGGATCCTGGCAGGAACAAGCTCGCAGCGGCTTGCGCACCACTACGAGCTCCCGCTCAGACACAGAGCGACCGACCCGTAGGTCGATTCAGGCTCCAGGAAGCGCTTCTGGAATTTTGCTGTTGCTGCGGACAGATGCAAACCTCGTCCCAGAAGGACTCGTCGTCATTTCTGGAGAACCGGGAGGGGGTCGACGGACCCTTTCCGCCGCGCTTGCTCTTGGTCTGCTTGCTCTTGTTGCCGCCGATGGTCATGGCTGGATCGTGAGCTGTCCTGGATGATGGTGAAATCTGGCCGGGAGTGGAGCGACGGTTGCCTCATATCACTATCAATTTTTTCCGTCCCCCTCGCGGCTGCTCATCTCGGTCACCTGAAAGTCACGTTGGATGTGGCGCAGCAAAAGTTGGAATCCGGCCATGGTCGGTTGACGGCATTTGGTATCGTCTTGAGCCGATTGACGGTGGTGGTGGGCAATTGGTGTGGAGGAATGACCAATTGTATCATTGTTGGAAGCTCCACTCCGATTGCGGACAAGGACCACCACCATCTGAATCTCTCTGGTTGGAAACCTAGTCAAGCGTGGCTGTGTGTCAGCGAGATGACATGATCGTTTGGCTATCAGGCAAGACTCACCTTGACAAGATGTCTTCCCACGATTGATTGAGCGAGCGATGCGTTTCTGGATCTGAATCGAGGACGCCACTGTGAGCATCTCTGCCAGCCCAAAATGCGCTGGTTTTGAGGAGATTCCTTCTTCCCCAAGGGCAGAGCTGTCACGAACCGCGTTCCCACGCCCGGTGGATGGTTTCATGGGCGCCCCAACCCGTGTCCTGTTTCCTTGATGTGCAAGGTTGGGTAAGGCACTGACATGAAACCTCCCGGCGGGCGAGGGAAACGTTCGGATCTAATCTCCCCCCGTCGCAGATAACCAATCTCCCTTGTAGTGGAAGAAAAATCTGCGGCGAACAAGGACGGCGTTTAGAGATATAAACGAGGTGCTGTGGCCTCAGAACCAGCACCTCACCTTGCCTCTTGTATCCTGCCCTTAGGCTATTGAATACACTCCCCTTCGTCCTACGACCGTCCGTTCGACTACCATCAGCTGTCTGGTGCCAAAGTCCAGCTCCGTTCCTGACAAGAACCAGCCATCGCTGCTATTTTCTCGCCAGATGGCTCCCAAGCGAAAGACACCCCCGATCCCGACCGGGATCACCCAATGACTCTCCTGTGGCCAAGAAGCCCACTATCAAATCGTGTCCCTCCTGTGGATTGACCAACCATGTTAGACCCTTCACCAAGAAGTGTACAGCCAGAGTTGACAGCAGCCCTGCCTCGGTCGCTGAAATGGTCAGCCAAGCACCCAAGGTCCCTGTATGTGCCACGTGCAAGCAAGTGGGTCATGCCAGAAGCAACAGTTCATTGTGTACCAAGAAGAACCCACTCTGGAGCTCTACCTTGCCTGACTGTGGCCCAAACGAGTATGCCAAGGCCGAGTACTCGATCGTCAAGTGCACCCTCGATGCCATCATCAAGAACGATGCCTTGCACGACAAGATCGAGGAGACCGTCCGAGCCATGACACAAGTGCAGTACGAAGCATCTCGTCTCCTGGAGCTGCATCTCAGGCGGTGCTTGGACGAGGGCATCACTCTCCCCACCGTGTCGTCGAGTGATTCCTCGTTTGTTCGAAAGTGCTTCAATATGGTGCAAACAGGAACAGTGGGTGTCAGGACGAACACCCCAGAAGATGACAGGCACATCATCGACACCTATGAGATGTATCGAAGTACATGGAGCGAATCGTGTGTCCTGCCTCCAGTGTCCCTCCCGAAGGGTACTGGCTCGCAGGTTCTCGCATTGGCTGTCAAGACCTATGCTGTCAACTGCGAGACCCACATCGTGGATCGATACTGGTCTCTCCTCCGTCGATACTGCAACCTGGCCCTGATTGCTCCCAAGGATGTGAAACGTCATACACACGTCGACAACTGTCAAGCTGATGGAGAATCCCCTCTCCAAGACACTCCTCGGTGATCTGAGGAAATCCTTCGCCCACCATGCCGACCAGTTGTATGAGTTTCGGTACGAAAGCCACCAGAGCCTGTACAAAGTCGTACCAATTCTGGTCAGTGAGGTCTCTCGCCTGACCCACCTGAAGGAGGCCCTCTTCATGGTGGTCTTTCAGAAGATGATCATTCCCAGGCTCGCGAGGGATACCGATGATCTGAAAGGAGAGCGTGGGCGACTGAACGAGGAAATGTGTTGCGCTATCGAACGAAGGCTGCCTGACAAGCACAACGCACTCCAGACCCAGCACGAGGAGGTGTGCAAGCAGATCGCTGTGAACACGAAGCGGATCAAGCGATTGACCGACCGGCTTGCCCAGACCAAGAAGCGCCTCAACATCCCTCGAGCACAGTGCACCTTGGTCCCGCTCTGCGATGCCAGAGCCAAGTACATCAAGCTCGACACCAAAGCACTGTGGGAGATCCTTGGATACCAGACTGGCACTGGTCTCAAGTGGGACGACCTGAAGACCAAGGTCAATGGCACCACAAAGCAAGAGACCTTTTGGCAGACCAACTTCAAGCTGGAGTCGAGACTCTTTGGTGCCAGGGAGGAAGGCAAGCAGCTCTTTGGTTGCGAGATCACCACCGATGGGGTCGGGTGCTCAATCACCACACTCAGGTACAAGATCCTGAAGAAGGATCCTGATGTCAAGCCAGAAACCGTGGACAAGGACGACAAGACACTCAAGCTCACTCCCGAGAAGAAGATCCAGGCCAGGGTCGGTCCCATTGACGACTCTCGGATCACATGGATCGGGATCGACCCTGGTGTGGGATCGATCTTCACCGCTGTCATTCGGGCACCCGGTCAACCATCCATCCAGGAGCAAGACGGTGTCAAGGTGACCAAGGCACAGCGTGCCAACGAGAAGATTGTGTCGTTCTCCAACAAGGAGTACCAGCATCGATGTGGCACCACCCAGGCGACCAAGTGGATCCAGAGCACCCACAGGATCCTTGGTCTGCAGAAATGGATGAGCACCACACCGAGCCCCAAGATCCCTGGAGTGCCTTCTTTCTTGCGATACATCTACCATGTGTTCGATGGAGACATGCTGGACAAACAGCTGTACTTCAGCCTGACCCGGCGACGGCGATTCAAGCGACTCGATCTCCACACCAAGCGACAGCGCACGTCCACGAGATGTGCAAGCAAGTCATCGACCAGGCACCAAAGGAGACCGAGGTGGTGATTGCCTTTGGGAATGCCTCCTGGAAACAGGGGAAGGGATATGCTTCCAGTCCCAGGAGACTCAGGTTTGCCAAGTACTTTGAGCAGTTCCACCACCACCAGAGACGACCACCAGACCCATCCGTCTCCAAGATCCATGTGTGCTCGGTGAACGAGTTCAACACATCACAGGTGTGCTCACACTGCCGGGAATTCAAGCGACTTGAGTCACCCGAGTATCTTGATGTCGAGAAACCACATTATGTACGGAGCTGTACAAGCTGCCATACGCTGTGGGATCGAGACATCAATGCAGCCAGGAACATGATCTCGGTATGTCAGTCGATCATCGTCACAGGAGATCGGCCGGGTGTATTCAAGACCATGCTTCCCAAACCAACCAAAACAAAGCGATTGCCGACGAAGACAGGAGTGCAATGCCATGGCCTGCCCGCTGGGCCTACAAGTCAGTCAGCGGGCTTCAGAAGCCAGAAAGTGACTGTCCCGTTTATTTCTGGATAGACTGTAAGTATCTTGCACCGTTCCTTGAGTATTTCTACAGTGGATGCCGGGTCGCCCATATTCTGGGCAGTCCACTTCGGGGTTGCCATCCCTCTTGGGATGGTCGATGTGAGGTGGTTGACTCCCTTGTGCAAAGTGTGTGTGTGTGTGTGTGTGTGTGTGTGTGTGTGTGACGGCGAGAGGCTTCTCGCCTTCCCTCGGGGGTCTCTCGCCAGAGACTGCTCTTCTCGCCGACCGAGGTGGCTCCGAGAGCGCGTTTTTTCGTTCTCGCTCATTTTTTTAACAAGAGCTTTTTTCATAGTGTATGCGGGGCTGTCCGCGCCGGTCGTTTTTCTGTGCGACCTGCTGCGCCGCATGCCTATTTTTGCGTCGGTGCTGTTGCTGTGCCAACTGCGACGTGTGGGGCGATGCCGATACTGATGTGCGATGTGGGATGCTGATGTGCAATGTGCAATGTGCAATGTGCAATGTGCAATGTGCAATGTGCGATGATATCCGGCTCACAGCCGAGTGTCTCCACCCTCCGCCCATACGCAGTATCGTTCATCGCGTCTGAAGCACGGCTGCCTCGGACCTGTTGATCTATTCTGATGACATACACGCTGCTCAATCAAGCGTGTATGGCCAGTTTGGACGACAAGAAAAGCAAAGTGGAATTCGGCACAACTATTCGTGCCGAGCGAATCCAGTTCATCGACGAGTCGGAATCGTGCGGTCCCAGGGTTTTACGGGCAGCCACACAAACCGTCTTGGCTCGTTCAATCATGACCTATCACTCCGTCTGGTACAAAACCCCCAGCCTTTGGACGGCTTCGGTCTCGCAAGCGCATCAGTCTTGGTTTCTGGCTTTGCCGCTGCGGGCAGAGTCTTTGCCAGCTTGCTTCTTGAGTCGGGGCTTGGCGTCCTTGTCCTCTTGCTTCTTGAGCTTCCAGGAGTGATCCGAGAGGCGATCAAGGTGCTGGATGACCGGATTGATCCAAAACACCAGCGCTGCCAGGCCAAAGACAACGCAGGCCGTGCCCACGTAGTAGTAGCCGTCACGGGCAGTATTGCAGACGCCGCCAATGTTCTTGCACAGGTGGCGGGTATGGTCGTCAAGGCACTGGATCGCCTCGTTTGTGACGGGATCGTTCAGGCTGCATGTCGAATCGGTAAAGAGGTCGACGGCCTTCAGCACAAAGTAGCGAGGCCAAGTTCCGCCGAGGTTGCTCAAGGTGTTGAGCTGTTCCAAAAGCCCAGGCATCGCAGTGAGTCAGAAAATATCATCCTAGCAGAGACCGGCGTCGCCGCTGTCTTCTGTTTCAAGCCGCACAGAGCAGCACAGAGCAGCACAGAGCAGCACAGAGCAGCACAGAGCAGCATTGATCAGGGATGAGCGACAGGGCCAAGGCGCTTACCAGTGTCATGTACGTGCCGCCTGACCAACGAGATATTAACATTAGTTGTCAAGGCAATTAGAACAAGCGCCACGCCAGCCACTGGAGATCGATGTTATCTCGTACCGATAGACGGATCGCTAATCTTGGAGAAGAAGCTGCCCATTCCGACAAACTGGACCGTGCTCATAAAGGATGACAGCACGGTGCTTGTGATCACAATGATCAAATAGGTGGTTGTGACTCCCCCTGTCGGGAACATGGCAACGACAAGCATGCCAATCACGGCAAACAAGAGGCGTCCATAGTAGGCTTTGAGCCACTGAGTGTCCGATTGCATGGGATTTGGCCGCTGGCGGTCAGTGAATGCGCGAAAGCGATCGGGCTGTTGCAAGCGTATGCAGTGCAGCGACAAACAAGCACGAATGGACTCACGGGGCTCAGCGGTTTGGGCCCATTGCTCCACTTGGCGGCGTAGTATCCAAACAAAAGCTGGAATGGAAAGTCGATCAAGACGGCCATTCCCAAGTCTTCCTTGTGGAATCCCTTCTCGAGAAGCTTCAAACCCGTCACCGCCTCGTTGGCGATAAATCCAATCTTGGCAATCATCAGCAGGACGATAAACTGGCGCATATCTGGGAGGACAGCAACGGGGATGAAATAGCCACAGGCGTCAGGCGAGGACGTGACGATACAGCAGCACAGTACCGTTCGAGGACAGAGATGTGTTGCTCCGATCACAGCCCCACAGCGGTGGTTGGTAATATATCCTGCAGCACGGCCAACTTACGTGGCATCAGGCATACGCGCATGATGGTCTTGTAGACGGTGAGAATGTCGTCGGTGCTCTCCGAGTCGGTCTCCTGGAGATGCCATGTAAACCGCAGCGAGTTTAGTCCAAGGCTATCTCGACTACTGCCACCAATACAAAGAATACCGCTGAAAGTAGCAGGCGTGACATACCTCTCGCTGGACAAAGATAAGCCACAAGTCGCATAGGAGGAACATGACGCCCCAGAACTGCAGGTACGGCCCGAGCTGCAAGAGCCCGGTGTCCATGGGCACGGACCGGATGAACTTGTTGCTGTCGAGCCGAGAGCAAGCAGAAGCTGGGTCAGTGCGGGTCGCAAGTCCATCTCCGATTCGGAGCGAATTCCCCGAGAGGTATCAAGCCTGACATTCGCCAATGCAGGGCTGGCAGTTTTGAGCGGCTGGAAGGCTCGAGCGTCCAGATATCCCTATTCTTCGGCATTGCATCTGACTGAATCGATGTCCAGTATCCTGGACCACACCCATGCGTCCATTGGAGTTTGTCGCAATACGAATACACCGGCATAATCGCCCACTCGGCAGGCCAGATTCTCGCTCCAAGGCTTACCAAAACTCATGCGAATTGAAAGCCAGAAAGACGGTAAACGACAAAAAGTACCCCGAATTGAGGCCGATTGTTTGGGCAGTGGATGCATATATCTGCGGTACAGAGAGCATAAGTACGGGACGAGCAGGAAGTGTTTCAAGCTCGATGCCGCTCCGCTTCGGCAGTCGATGAGCAAGGCCATGCTCAAGTGGGACCCGCTGAAGCAAATGTGGTGCGGCGCTCAAACTATACCTTGTTTTCACGGGACAAGAGCGTCAACGCCCATCCTGCAGAGCGGCGGTGTCCCCGAGAACAGAACAGAACGGGCAGCTCCAATTAGTCAGAGACCGTGCTGCACGGCCGATGCCTGTGGATCGGCAGACCAACGTCGCCTGCGGGGGAGTTGACAAGCACGGAGCATCGCACAGCAGAGCCGCACAGACAAACAGAGCGAGGGGCTCACCATCGACAGCAATGTCTTGAGTGGCACACAGAAAAACGATCGTCGTGAAGGTCAAGGCCAGGGACCATACTGGGAGCTCGTCCTGGGGCCGTGATGACGTGGAGGGTTAAAAAAACGCGCAACACCGAGCCGACAGCAGCTTCAAGCCGGCAAGCGACGGAATCGTATCGTACCAGAGTGAGAATCTTGTCGACGGTGCCTCCCAGCGAGAACAGCCATATGCCCGTGATGGCTTGGATCGGGATGATCCAAGACTTTCTTCGTCCGATCGGTATTGGCGAGAGAAAAAGCCGAGTCAAGGACAAAAGCGCCAAGAAAGCAGGGGATGGATCCAGCGCGATGCAAGTGACGGCAGGAAGGAGTAAAGTCACAAATGCCGAACTCTAGCTCGATGCCCTTGCGCCGAGGCAAGATGCTCAAGCTGCTTGCAGCAGAACCAGCAAATGCAAAAGGATATATTTGAAGTAGATCGAGTCGACGATGGGGGACCAGAGGAGCTGGCGATGAGAAAGACGAGACCAAACGGGCGTCAGTCGATCAAGACGGGCACGATTACGATTGCGATTGCAGAGAGGGGAGGCTTGTGAAGAAGCACCGGCCAGCAGCCCACCTTGAGAGAGTAGGGATACGACGACAGCGAAAAGATGGCGATTTCAGAAAAACTCAGCTTGGACTTGAGCAAGAACGGGATGCTTCCAAACACAAGGCCGAGCGGGACGCCTTGGAGTGTGTCTAGTGGACGAATGAGTTCAAGGATCGCCAGATCGCATCGACAGAGATTGTGGTGATGGCGGGACGATCGAAACGAAAGCGAGGATTGCAAAGCGATCGAAACGTAGGCGAGGATGGTGTGGGGTGATCAGCGATGCAAACGGAGCAGGTGTGCAGCTGCGATGCGGAGATGGTTGGCCTGTGCTGTGCATGCGAGATCACGGACGACAGAGACAGGATCTCAATGGAGTCGGAGCAGAATCGAGATCTGCAGCCGTGGACGCTTGCAGGCGGACGTCGGCAAGGGCAGCGAAGCGAAGGGCAGCCGTGGATGGGAAGGCAGTTTGCAAAAGGAATAGGTGGCAGCAGAGCTCGGTCCCAGAAGATCTGGGCGATCAAAGCGCTTACAGAGGAGCACCAGGAGGATAAACTTCCCCAGGTCCTTCTTGAGATTTGCGGGTCTGTCTTGGGACATATCGGAGGATGCTGACGACGACGAGTCGGACGACGAGCGAGGGAGGAGCGGCGAGTCCTTTCTGGCCGAGGATCTGGAGATGGCGGGCGAGGGTGCGCCCCCGTCGGGCATGTCAATGACGGTGTGGCCGGATATGATTTGCTGCGGGTTTTCAAGGGACAGGCCAGCCGGGGCAGAGATGCTGTTTCAGTGCCGAACAGGCGAGCGACGAGGCCACATCGCAGCAGACCTGGGGGCTTTGTTTGTCAGGCACCAACCCCAGAGCCGAAGGCGTCACTTGACTTTGTCGGCGTCCAGGCCAGCGACAACCCCACACCGAGCCTGTGAGGTGGCCCAGGGGCATTGACGACGGGCACTCGGCCGGTGCTGGCAATGACGCAGGATGCGCTGGCGACGAGCAACCAGCCAGGGCCCTGGAGTCTGGCAAGCGGCCGAGAGAGTCTGGCAAACGACCTGGCAGCGGGCACCGGCACGAAAACATGGCAGTATCGAGGAAGAGCGCCCAACGGCCAATGCCGGTGTTTTTGTTTTGCTCACAGTGCTCCTCCATCACTGCCAGTTTGAGATTGCTTTGGAGTTGCCGCCGATCATTCGCATGCAGCAGATAGCGCCAACCGGTGCGGCTGCTCGGCTCGATTGACGCTTCAAGCGAGCTCGATGGGCTGGACTGGCTGGCATTGGGCCGGATGCAGACAGGATGCCCACGCAACGTCGGTGTATCGCCGAGTCGGAGAGACCTGTCATGCGTTGAGCGGCAGCTCGATTACAATGCCCGTTGCTGATCGATCAAGATCGAGACCATGCTACGACACCTGCCAACGTGTACTGGTGCCAGAGACACTACAGACACCACCATTTGGTGGCGGCCGCACTCGCCCACACACACCGCTGGCCGGAATCGCCGTCGCGCTGAAGGCATCTGCCGGATCATCTCATCGCAGCCAGCGCCGACACCAGGCGGAGGCGGCCTTTGTCGTTTCCCACCCCACCTATTGACTGACTGTCGTTTCCCACCAACTCACCGCCCCCGGTTTATCTCTCTCTCTATCTTTTCCCTTTCTTTCTTTGGGCTTGGTCTCTTTGCGGCCGCTCGGTGCTCGCCGCTCGGTGCCCGGCCCGCTGACCCCTCGGCGATGCTCGGCGATGCTCGGCGATGCTCGGTGCTCCCCCACTCTCTCACCCGCAATCGCATCCGCCCAGACCAGATGCTCCTGGACCTGGATCTGGTGTCCTTGGCTGGGTCGGCCTGCTGGTCGCGATGCTGCTGGTCGGCAGCCGTATCAACCGGCCTGCCATCCGGCTCGCTCCGTATCAGCCGCACAGATCTGTGTACCCGACAAACGAGAAAGGCCTCGTCTGACACGATGAAAAAAATAGGACGTGACCCCTCTACAGTGGCTGTGTTCGGCTCGGGACCTGGTCAGCAGGCACATTAAGACACAGAATGAGTCACGTGTGTGCCGACAGTCTGGTGCAGCCTCGTCCGAACGATGCCATTTTGGGACTGCTCGCTAGCCAATCAACAGCGTTGCTTCCCACACGTGCTCTGGCCCGATTTGGCATTCGCTTGCCGTCCCGCTCCGTCCCGCTCCGTTCCGGGACCCCTCCGCCCCGGTTTCTCCCGGCCCCGAACCTCTCATATCCTCATTCTCCCTCACCATGACCCGTTCTGAGAACTGCCTTTCGGACACCCCAGTTCCGACCGCCGTTGGGCGGCACCGTGAACTCCTGGGGCAATCCTCGGCCGTTCTAACTAGTCCAGGATTAGGTCAAACCCGCGGTGGTCACTGCTCCACCAGCCAGTTTAACCTCAGAGTCGCAAACAGAATGCGGTATGATATGCCGTGTTCAGTAAAAACGCAAGTGATAACAAACCCGAAATGATAATAATCAAGATAATGTCCCATGGGGGCGAGGATATCTGGAGGGAATGAGCGATGCGGTTAGTTGAAGCGTCGCCTTCGAGCTCTCTCAGATGATACTCAATCGTCATGAAGGGACTTACTTGGATTTGGATGGCTTCCTACATTCGAGACATATTCAAGATAGTGAAAGAGGAAGCGTTAGAGTTAAAAACATTAGAGACATATTCATGATGCGGCTCATCCTCAATATGCATGCGTTTAACGGCACCTATGTCATCGATCGGCTCATGGGCCCGCCGAGGAAGTTAGGATAGAGAGGGCCTGAGGGGAGTATTGACTTGAGCCTGACGACGGAAGCGGGCAGGAAGCGGTGGTCGGGGGGATATTTATATTCCAAACCTTCCGACTTGACCTGTCATTACACTGATATGGTCACTATGGGTCAAGTTCGGACAAACTCCCTTCGTCATCAAGCGGCCTCAAGCACTTTTTGGCCCAACTACCTGCGACATTTGCATCGACTTGTCAAATCGGAGGATCTTGCTCGATAATATAAAAGCCACCTGGAATGGTTGATATAAGTATCAGCCTGACTTTGCCTCTCCAATTGCAGCAAAGCTGTACCCACCGCCTTCCATCTCGAAGTATCCGACAGTAGAAACGATGGCATCGGCTGGAACAAAGATATGATTCGTTGACTCCATGCTGTCGAGGTGGAAGGTAGCGCACTCGTTGCATGGGCGGTATCCTGAACTGTCATCTCCATATCTGATGTTGATCTTTGGAATCACACAGTATGCCCAGTTTGTTGTTTCTCCATCAAAGGAGTGGCTGATGAAATATTGGACTTGATAGAAGCGGACAGAAGAATATGGGTGATTGCTTGCTGATGCATCGGGCATATTGGTCCAAACCTGTAGATTCAGAATGCATTAGCTCATATGAGGCTTCGCTATCGCGCGCTGCCGAATGCCTTACCTTCACAACAGAGTTCATCCGATGATGTGCCGTGCTCATCCGATGTGATTGAGATATGACATGTAGTTCCCCCGCGTCCATCTTGGTGTGTTTGGAGCAAGTGTCCGAATTCTGATCCCAAAGTGAATGGACATATTGCAAGGCTTCACGATAGCCGTATGAGGAATTGGCAGAAATCGTCCTGGCATAAGCGCTCTTTAGCTTCGCGACTTGTTCAGAAGGTAGTTTCAGCTTTTGTTGCTGGCCAGACAAGGTTCCGCGGCTATCTTGATTCGAGGCCCGCCCATTGTTTGCAAAGGAGGATGGCCATATCCCAGGGTCTTCGCCCAACCTGGATGTTCCTCTCAAGGTCAAGTTCGGAGCAATGCTTGGACCGCTCAGAGAGCTTTGGAGGACGAGCCGATTGGCCATATTGTCCACTGGATGGACCTTCGATCGCCCGATGAGCTTCAGGCGACCACAGGTTCTTTCCATTTCAAACTGCCATTGATATACCAAGGGTCCAAACAATCGGATGCACCTAGGCAAGTGTTGGAGCTGATGCACGTAGGTTTTCATCAAACGAAGTCCAGACAGGTCTGGAGCTCTGTCTGGAGGAGGTTCGAGTGACTCTGGGAGATTTGCGATTGACCTGGTGAATACATTTCGAGTATACGTGGTTAGATATTGAGAATTAGTGAGCTGCCCAACATCCTCAAGTGAAGGGACTGCTGTCTCGTGCTACTTGCTCTGTGTAGTACTCCTGGAACCTCTGAAGATTTCTCTCGATCTGATTGCATTGAGCAACATTCAACTGGGGAAGCAGCATCAATCGAAGGGCATAGACAAAGCGCCTCCATCCCAATCTAGGCACAATAGCATCACTGTTAGGATCAATTCGAATCAAGTATCTCATCGACCGTAGGACGGGCCCCGGTTCGAGCAGGGTACAATATCAAGAGCTTACAAGTGTTCTAGTGGAAAGCCCGCCGCATTGAGCAGAGGTAGGGAGTACATGATAATCCAATTCTTCCATTCTTCGGTTTTGAAGCTTTTGTATGAGACAGGGTCCCGACAAGAGGCACCAAAGCCTGTTGGAATCTGAATCCTGCCTTCGCTGATCCATCTTCCGATCTTTTTCAGGCACTTGGACGTGATCTTTTGGTCCAAACTTGAGGATGAGGGAGCCTTCCGCGTTCCATTCCAAATCTCCATCATGAGTGGACCGATGTTCGAGATCACATGCATCAGATCGAGAGGAAGACAGAAGCTGAGCTCGATGGACTCAAGTTGAGTTACACCTGGTCGCCCCACGATCCCTGATCAACATAGTTAATGTTAACATCGGAGTCGAAAACAACGCCCTGACTCGTCTCGTTAACGTACCGTTTCGGGGCATGCCGTCTTGATCGATGGCCTCCCATATTCTGTTCAGACTCTCTTCGGTGCGGTATGGACTGGGAGTGTCACGTTCATAGAAGCACATGGCACCCCCGGCCCTCGTGGCCGTTATTTCGCAGAGACGACAGCCCTTCGTGGCGGTGTGCCCAGAAAATTTACCGAATTTGTTGGATCCGGGCATGTCACTCTGGCAGTACAGCAAGTGACCTCGGAGAGTGAAAGAATGTTCCACGCCATTTTTGTCGACCCTTATCGCCTCAACACCTGGGAGCGAGAGACATTGCTCCGTCAGCAGCGTGCTCTCGCGAGGATTATGTGGAGTGACCAAGTGATCCACACCAGAGGGGCTTACGCACCGGTCTCAAGTCTCTTCATATCTTCGAAAAACGGCTTCAAAAATGTATCAAAGTCACGAGGCGATCGTGGACCAGGCGTAAGCAAGACCGTAATGAGATTTTCCTTTTTGTAGCGCAGAGCAGGTGGAAGATTGAAGTTGATCAAGATGAAGCCCCACGATTGATGGCTTTGCCTACACCAGATACAAAGGTCAGCTGTGGTTATAATCTGATTTTGAAACAGAGAGCGGGCGTACCTCTGATTGATATTGAAGCCATCAAAATGCAGCCCGAGAGCAACGTCGGTGGGCTGCTGGAACATTGAGCGACTACAAAGGTGCTGGTAATATTCGGCATCGAAAATGTCGCTCATGACGCCTGAAGATTCAGATTTGGTGAGTTCAGAGCACCATATAGCAATATAGTATTGGGAAATAATACGGGTGGAAAGTACCTGGTTCGCTCGCTCTGTTTGCTCTGTACATCATCAACTCTGCCATAGTTGGATTTCGGTAGAGTGTCTGAAGTATCTGAACAAAATCGAAATACTTGTAGGTCTGAATCGGCCTCAGTTGTGGTTGAATGCCGCCATTCAGAAGTTTTTCGTTCACCGTCGCATAAGCATCCTCTCCACAAAACGTGCATATTCGACTCTGGTTATCATTGATGTCGAATCCCATGCAGCTGTTTGGGCAGCAGGGAAGCCTCTGAAGATACTCGTTCCACTCGCAACAAATGATCTTTTGGATCTTGTACAGACTGGGTGCAGCTGGTAATGACAATCCTTGGAATTTGTTGCAATGATTAAGGACAGATTTGATGGCTTTGTCGGTAACATTGCACTCGGTCAACACCTTGACCAGCTGCGAATAGAAGGGCGGGATATCTGGGGGAAAGCCGCGGGTGAATACATCAATTCGGATGCTACATCGGATTGCTATCTGTCCTTTGAATTTGACTCACCATCTGATATGCGGGGCTCTTCGTCACCAGTTTCTTCATCATCTTCATTCATTTCAAGCAGTCGAAAGTGGCCGAGGAAGCTATCCGGATACTGTCCTGGAAGGTGAACCGTGGCATTTATATGAGTCAACCGGACTCTGAAGCAAGACCAGGAAGATTCGACGATACGATCAGGCCGGGTGACGTTGATATCTCACCCGAAATGTCATCGAATTCTCTCGGTGAGCTTGAAGTGGTGTCTTCTGAGTCTATCGAAGAGTCTTCAGAGTCTTCGTAGTACATGGACGCTTCTTCAGAGTCCCGCGATGCCCACATGCTTGGCGACCACGAAGGGCAGCGTTCAAATTGAGCTGGAGCAGGGCCTTCGTTGTCTTGGGTGCATTGCTGAATAGATGCTCCTGTTTGGATATCCATGCTCTCGTGCTCAAATGCGCGGGGTGAGCCTTTGGGCCAGGCCAAGGATGAAGAAACAAAGTCGGACAAATCGAGAGTGTATTGGTCATTTCGTAGTGAGCTCTGGCAGCGTCCAAGCACAGATCACTGATTATTGCTCAAGACTGAAACCGTGACGCACACAAAAATTTAGCGAGAATGTGATATCAGGTGCTCAGTCTTACCCAATGAAGGTCGCTGCGATGTTATCCCATGTGGTCGCAGTTCATCTACCACCAACACTGGGGGATGAAATGTCGGCGAAGTTCGCAAATTGGGGTTATTTTCGCATATGCTTGTAATAGGACGGTGAGGGAACGAAGAAAGATGGCCAGCTGTGTTTTCTTGAGGATCTTTGAGCGAGTACATGTGAACAGGGGGGACTCCAGGTGGAAAGCCATAGCGATAGAAGTGGTCGTAGTAGGTCGTTCTGGAGACAATCCTGAAGCCTTGCGAATCGGTGCTACACTTGCGACAACGACAGATGGATCTGTTCTTGGGAAGCCCATCGTGAGCCCTATTTATCGAGGATGGTACCCTGGTCGATGATATTGGATATGGAGTATGCCTTGGGTGATCGTGCCCAGATGGTTGAGCGGCTGAACTCATGATTAGAGTCGGATGAGAAGGTCGAGGGGAGAAAGGATCAAGAGGAGATTGACGAAGCAACTGGGGGCGGAAATGCCCGGTTTTTGTCCAAGTCCGAAGGCTCTGATGACCCATGAACACAGATGAGTCAGGAAAGCAGCCGGGGGTCATGGACAGTGAACGAGTCGCGGAAGACAGTGAAAAGCCGGGATGACTCGGATGCCATGTCACGTGAACGGAAGCAGCCCATTGGCCGAGGGCTCCACGGGATGTGGCAGTGCGGGTTCGGGGACACCCAGGGAGCCAGCAACCTGGACGAACAAGGAGAAATGCGGGTGACCCGAGCCCGTCGCGGTCGCTTCAGTGGCCAGACGCGACCCCCAAGGCAAAACAAAACGCGAGAAGACGTGTTTTTCCTTGTTATGCTGAGTCCGGTGGGGGATTTGCGAGGGAAGTATTGGCCAACGCGTAATTTACACGTCAGCTTTTTTTTCATAGTGCATGCCTTCACGCAGCCCCTCATTTCCCGGCGACGGCGCTGCTCGGCGGCCTCTTGGGCGGCTTGTGCGCGTCTGCCGGTTGGTGGCGAGCCAGGTGGCGTTGTGCGACCGCCTCGGGTATGGTCCATACACCAGGCCGCAGCTGTGGAGAGCCGCACGAAATGCACAAACCGCCTCCACCACCGAGAACGCCACAGATGCATTTGCTCTCGGCCAGCCGTAACGGGCAGTTTGTTTGCGCCGGATATGCGCTTACTTTGGCCCAGGCCGCCCATGGACGCCCATCCACCACCACAATCGAGGCTGCCCTCCATGGACTCGCTGCGAGCCCGCTGCAAGTCCGGCGTGGACTGGAGGCGGGGTAAGCTCTTTCCCACCGCCGGGCTCGCCTTGGTTGAGCTGACAGCGGCCGTCGCTGACCACCGCTGCTGAGCCCGACAGACCACCCGGCAACGATTGTCCCTCGGCTGGGCCTGGTGACGTGCTCCCTGTGCGTGTGTGCGCGGGTCCTTTTCTTTTCGGGCGGCACCGGCCTGTGTTCGGGGCCGCCAGCTGGGTTGCTGCAGCACCAATGCGCGACACTGCAGCACACTGCAATGCTTCACCAACCCCTTGCCAAGACAGACCGCCGCTGCTGAGGCATGCGCCATTTTTGCTATTGGCGTGGTCGTGTTGCAGGCACGCGCTGCCCCTCCCGCCACCGAGCCCGCGCCTTGCTGGTTCCGCGGGCGCGCACAAGGGACAGAGCCGCTGTGTTGGTGCCCGATGTCTGCGTTGCTGGGCCTGTTCTCGCCACACCGCAACGCGTCCGGCATCCTTGCTGCGGTGGATGCACAGACTGTCCCTCCAGATCGCGGAGGGTCGCCACAACTCGAGCCCATCCTTGTAGACAGGGCTGCTTTGGTGCCCGCTGTTGTGCTTGTCCCAGCACAAACGCTTGCCTCTCGCTGCGCTTGTGCCTCGGTTGTGGACGCCGCGTCCCCGCCGCCTTCCCAAAATGAAGACCTGCCTTGCATGCTAAAAATGAGGGACCTGCCTTCCCTGCCCAGTCGCGGTCCTTGGGGCTGCTCCTGGAGTCGCTGGCGAGACGCTGCCTTTTGCGCCGGGTGCGTCTTTGCTGCCAGCCGCTCAGCTCGCCCGGCTGGTTGCTCCTTCGCCACTCCTGGCGCTTGTTGCTGCAGCGAGTGTGGGCAAGTGGTGGCTTGCCGGTGGTGGATGTACCGCCAGTGGGGAACATCCGTGTCACTAGGCGAAACTGGAGGCGTTCACACGGGTCAGGGCGTCCTCCCGGACTGGCACCTGCCTCCTTCCCCCGTTGCGTGCACTCTTTTCTGCACGGGTACATATATCCGCGGCCTGCCCCAGCCAGCGCCCGTCTCGCTCCTGTCTCGCTCCTGTCTCCTCGGGCTCCCGCATCCTCATCCTGCCCTGTCGACTGCCAGCACGAACCCTCTAGCATGTCTCCAGCGTTCGAGCGGCGGCGTCCCGGGCTCGGTCGCCTCCTGTGTCTTATCTTCATATGTCTGCGTGCTGTCTCCTCAGCCCCGCTCTCCGATGCCAATGCCCCATACAACACCAACCAAGCAGCGGGCCAGACCGATCCGCTGCTCTACACTGCAAATCAGCCCAATACCAACTACACTCCGTCTCCTCAAAACTGGCGCTTCCCCTTCTATACCTTGATGCTCGATCGCTTCGCCGACGGCAACCCTGCCAACAACGACATCATTGGTACCATCTATGAGACCGACGACATGGAAGTAACCCTGCGCCATGGAGGTATGTGCTCGCCCCTGCTGTGTCCGCCTTGCCCTCTCGTCGCTCGGATCAGTGGCTTCAGTGCGTCGCTGTTTCAGATCGTGTGGATCGGTGAGCGAGGGGAGGGACACCCAACTCAATTCGCCGCACAGCAGTATCGTCCTGTGCCTCCCTTGCCAGCCTGCCGCCCTCCGATGCAGTGCTCCCCGTACTGCACAGTCCTTTGACTGGCCTGGTCTCTGGCCTGGTCTGGGCCGCTCGGCTGTGTGGGGTTTCTGGGGCCATATACATGGTGGATAGGCTTGTGTTGTCCGCGCCATAGCGCGTTCGGATGGACCCTTTGGATTCCTCTGGACGGCCTTGTCTGCCGCATCTGTGCCAGCTCGCTGTATCTCGCCCTCCGTGGTATTCTGACCCCAGCTCTGCCTCGGCATCGGCTACACAGGCGATGTCCAAGGTTTGGCCGACAACCTCGACTATTTCCAGACCCTCGGCATCCAGGGTCTGTACATTGCCGGAACTCCTTTCACCAACATGCCCTGGGACTATCACGGATACAACCCGCTGGATTCGACCCTTCTCGACGAGCACTTTGGGTCCGTTAGCGACTGGCGCGCCATGGTTGCTGCTGCCCATCAGCGAGGCATCTACGTTGTCATCGATGTCACCGTCGCCACCATGGGCGACTTGATCCAATTCGACAAGTACGGCAACGCCACGGTTCCCCTCAACATCAACGAATACACGGCCTCTTACAAGACTTCTCGGACCTACGCCGACTTTCAGGTACTTGTCGACCGATGCCGTCCAGTTTGTGTGGTCCTGTCTTCTTGGCCCTGAACACCAGATGCCTCTCGCTCTCTGACTCGATCGTTGCCACCCAATCCATCGGCACACTCTCGCCCCGCAGATCAGCAACAGCTGGAACTCGAGTTGCGTGCTGCCACGTTTCTGGGGCGACGACGGTCTGCCCCAGGACACAGTCGATCCGTCGGGCACCGCAGTCGTTTCCCGATATCGCCAGGGCTGCTATGATTCCGAGTTTGACCACTATGGTACTGCACTTTGAGCTTTGCAGAGAGCGACTGCTTCCTGGCAAGGGGGGAGGTGGAGCGGCGTCCCGACAGGCGATATGTGGCATCAACCAGGCTCAGCGGGCGAGCTTCTACCCCCAGAACTAACCCTCTCTTGGCCTCGTTTGTCCATCGCTGATCGCAGGCGATATGGAGGCTTTCGGTGTCCATCCAAACTGGGAACGCCAGCTCGGCAAGTTCAACGGCCTGCAGGTAAAGTCAGCGAGACTCTGCATCGCACATCCAACTTGTGTCTTCTGTCGATCTGTGTTGGTCGCTGACCCTCCGTGTTTGGTTGCTTCTTGAACAGGATCGTCTCCGTGACTGGAATCCCCGTGTCCAGTCCAAGCTCACCGCTCTGATGTGTCTTGCCGTCGAGGCCCTCGACATCGACGGCATTCGTCTCGACAAGGCCACTCAAATGACCGCCGATTTCCTCGCAAACTTTGCCCCCGGTGTCCGCTCCTGCGCCAGCCGCGTCGGAAAGAACAACTTCCTGATTGTCGGCGAGGTCACTGGAAGCGCCGACTATGGCGCCATCTACCTCGGACGTGGTCGCCAGTCCAACCAACGTGCGCCTTCGCCACAGGTCGCCATGTCCCCCACTGCCGCCAACGGAACCTACGCGCTGCGCGGACCAGGTCTGCAGGCTCTTGACGGCTACGCTTTCCATTTTAGCATTTACCGCGGCCTGCTGAGTTTCCTGGGTCTGGACGGAAAGCTCTCTGTGCCATACGATGTCCCGGTTGAGTTCACCCAGGGTGAGTCCGTCAGTCGACTATCGTCGCTCCCAGTCACAGCATCGGTCACAATCTTCGTCTCACGCTTGCACCATCCACTGCTGTATGGCGACATCGGCTTTCTCTAACACGGGTGTTGTTTCAGCCTGGAGCGAAATGCTCGTCCGCGATGACAACTTCAACGCCAATACCGGCGCCTTTGACCCTCGCCACATGTTTGGCGTCACAAACCAGGACACCTTCCGCTGGCCGTCTCTGCATCTCGGCAAGGAGCGCGCTCGACTCGGCATGGTTATCACCACCTTGGTCATGCCCGGCATTCCTCTGGTAGGGCCGGCTCCGTCATGCTTCATTCATCCGACATGCGTCCAGCCCGATAACTGCACTTCCTTGTCCCGGCGCTCGTCTCGCTGACTCACCTGGTTTGCTCTGTGCTGCTTTCAGCTTTTGTTTGGCGAAGAGCAAGAGTTCTACATCCAGGCAAGTCCACTGTCTCGCCCTCTATTTGCTCTTGCCCTCTATTTGCTCTTGCCCTCTATTTGCTCTCGCTCTCTATTTGCTCTCGCTCCGCACCATAGTCTTTTTGGTTGCTGAGCCCGCCGATGACTCTCCCCAGGGAGGAACGCAGTAACTCCATATCCGGTGTGGGATGACGGACTTTTCGGCGGCTTACGACAGCTCATCAGCCATTCGCTCACTAACCGCGCTGCTATCTGAATCGCATTCTTACAGGACTCCTCGGCCGAGAACTACGTCTTTGGCCGTCAGGCCCACACCTCCACCCTGGCCTGGCAAACTCATGGATGCTTCCAGGGCAACGCCTCGGGGCAGTACTACCAGATGCCTTTCGAGAGCGGCCGCACTGGATGCTTGGATGACAGTGTGCATCTCGATCACTTTGATCCAAGCAACCCAACGTTCAACTTCCTCCAGATCTTGTATGCCTCGCGCAAGTCGTATCCTGTCCTGAACGAAGGCTTCGGGTTGAATCTGCTGGGCAACTGGACCGAGATCGTCTATCTCCCCGGTAGCTTGGCCATGCTCGGCGTCAGCATTCCCTCCGAGTTTGGCCTCTGGAGTGTCTCGCGAACGTATTTCCCTGGCCAGAATATTCCCAAGCCCCCAAGTGACCAACCTCCCGCCCAGCTCGGCACCGTCTGGCTGCTCTACCACAACTACAACACCACCAAGACCTGGTCCTTCGACTGTGGCTCCGCTCTGGAGATCCGCTCGCCCTTCCTGGGCTCCAACGTTCTGCAGAACATCCTCCCGCCCTATGATACCATCAGTTTGCAGCCGTCGTCGGTCAACCAGCAGGGCTGCCTGCCGGCCATCACCCTGGCGCCCTTTGGCTTTGCAGCATACGTACCCAACACTGCATACGCCCCCACTCCCGTGGTGATCACGTCCGTGTCGCCTTCTCATGACCAGCGCATTCTCCGCTCTCCTCAAGCCGCCAATTTGAACATCCCGCTCCAGATCACCTTCAGCGACGACATTAACTGCGACGCCGTTGCCTCCGCCATCACATTCGAGTCCAGCCCTGGCCCAGCGCCCACCCTCACCAACGGCTCGTGCACGACCCTGTCCCCCAATGTCACTCTTCCTCCGGGCGTCCCCTCCGGTCGCGTCATGTGGTCCGCTGTCATGAACGGCGTCGGCGATGGCATCCACCGTTTCCACATCAAGTCCGGCATTTTCCAACAGAACAACAAGGACATTGTGGTCTGTATCTGCCCCTGTTGCTTGCGTGGATTGAGAGTGCATCGTCTCCTGCAATATTGTCGGCGCAAATGTGCGAAAAAACGGTCCGCAGTCGCGCGAGCATATCCATCTGTTCATGTGCATTGATCTGACCGCCTTGGTATTGTCTTCACAGGCCTCGACGAGGTTTCAGTTCCGAGTTGGACTGGATAACAACCCCGTCGTCTTTCCGAATGTGACTTTGAGCGACACGCTCTTGGTCGCCGACAACAGCTCGCAAGTTGGATTCACGCTGCACCATGCCGCCGTAGGCGCTGACCAGATGCGCATCTCAACCGATTTTGGCCACACCTGGTCCGGATGGGTCCCGTACACCGCGACATCCGCCCCTCCCGTCAACGTCTCGCAGTTTGGCCACGTTATTGTCCAATACTGGTGCCATCTGTGTGGCTCGTCGGCCATGAAGGTGGCTTCGGGCGTTGGCACCTATGCCGGTCGCCGGTTCCAGAGCATGCATGTCCAAGGCGAGTTCAACCTGTGGGGCATGGACCAAGGCATTGACAACTCCATGACCTATGTCGGCAACAACATCTGGGAGTTCTCGCTCGTTTGGTGGTTCCCCACGCAAGTGCAGTTTGACGTCTATAACGACAACACCCTGCTTTATGTCGATATCGACGGCGACGGCATCATCGACCGGCAGCCACCTGTCTCTCAGTGTAAGTTTGTCGATGAAGCGGGCTCGTAGGCTTGCTCCACCAGCAACGGCATAGGCGCATTTGATGGCTGCAATCAGCACATGAAGCAAATGATGGAACTCTGGTCTCTACATGTCAAAGTGGACAATGTTCATAGCGTGCGATCACCCTAACGTTCGCTTTCCCGCCTGTGATGCAGCCACACTCAAGATCAACCTGACCTATCCCCCGCAAGGCTACCTTGGATGGCGCATCCGCCTGAACGAGGCCACGCACGCCTACACCCTCGAACCGCGTGGCTCCACTACGTTCAGTATCATCTTCTTTATGCTCTTGCTTCTGGGCCCGCTTCTCGGTGGCCTGATTGCCATCTGGCTCTTCAAGTCCAAGTTCTATGTCGTCAAGCATGTCGATGCCCGCGCCCTCGAGGGCTTTGTCCAGCTCAACGATCTCAAGTGGGAGCCCATGGCCAGCCCGCCGGACTTTAATGCCATCGTCGAGACTCCGACGATCGAGCGACCCATGTCCATATGGAAGGTCGCCCCTCAGACAGAAGAGAGCAACAAGGGCGATCCAAAAACCATCTTGATCGGCACACTCGAGTACGAGATTCCGGACTGGAAGATCAAGGTGGGGCCTGTTCAGCCGCAGCGGCTTGCATCTGTCCGTGCCATCATCCGCACATCTGACTCGTCCTGCACATGGGCACATCTCGCTATTGACACGATTTGCGGTTCTGCTTAGGTTCGCATCGGCGGCCTCTTTGCCGTTTGCTCGCTCATGGGCCGCTTCATGCACGACAGGTATGCGCCCATCCGCCTTCATTTGTCGGTCAGAGCACGAGCCGTTCGTGGCAGGGTCACTGATTTCGCTATTTCTCTGCGGATTCTCCTCTCCCTGGTGGCCAGAAAAATCATCTGGGTTGTCCCCAAGGTTTCCGATGTTGAATACCCCGAGGCCGAGACCATCGAGCCCATCTATGTGACTGTCTACGGCAAGACCTATGCCATCGAAACCCAGGTGCACATCTTCCAGAACATCAAGTACATCATCCTGGATGCCCCGATCTTCCGCTCTCGAAGCACCAAGGAGCCCTATCCCACCCGTATGGACGACCTTGAGTCTGCTGTCTTTTACTCATCGTGGAACCAGGCCCTGGCTGCCATCATTGCGCGCGAAAACCCAGACATCTATCACATCCAGGACTGTAAGTGCTATCGGCAGCGAACCTATCTGTGCCGCCCGCCCACTTGGTTTCACCTGTCGATGCTGCTGTGCCCCCCCCCTTATACATGCTAGCTTGGGAAGCTCGGTCCTCTGTGGAGGTAGTTGACAGTCACATCCGCCATCTCTTGCCGCTCGATAGATCATGGCGCCCTTGCTCCTCTGTATCTACTTCCGGCCAAGGTCCCTGTGGTGTTGACGCTCCACAATGCCGAGTTCCAGGGTCTTTGGCCCATCCGTACCGCCGAGGAACGCAAGAATGTCTGCATGGCCTTCAACATCTCCGAGGAGCTCTGCACCAAATACGTCCAGTTCAGCCATACCTTCAACTTGCTTCACGCCGGCGCCTCGTACATCCGCCTCCACCAGCGCGGCCGTGGTGCTGCCGGTGTCTCGGATCGCTACGGCAAGCGCGTCTTCAAGCGATACCCGGCCCTGTGGGGCCTCAAGAAAGTCGAGGGTCTGCCCAACCCGAACCCGAAGGATTTTGGCAACGAAGCCATCTTTGAGATGCCGGCCACCCCAGAGGATGCTCGCAGCGAGGACACTCGCAACGAGGAGCAGCGCATCCAGTACAAGCTGGAGGCCCAGCGATGGGCTGGCCTGACCGAGGATAAGGACGCCATCCTGTTTGTCTTTGTCGGCCGCTGGTCCAAGCAAAAGGGCATGGATTTGATTGCCGATCTGGCTCCAAAGTTCTTGAGCGAGAACCCCAAGACTCAGCTGATCTGCATTGGCCCATTAGTCGATTTGTACGGCAAGCTTGCTGTAAGTTGAGCGTCCCGCTGGATTCGCTCGTGAACATGCGAGTGCATCGATGAGCGTTTCGATCACAGCCGTTGAGCCATCGTGCTGACCGAACCGTCGAGCCATCGTCTTCTAACCGCTCTCCATGCGTTCTCTGCTCGCACAGGCCCTCAAATTTGCTCACTTGATGAAGCAGTACCCCAACCGAGTCTATTCCCGCCCAGAGTTCGTGGCTCTGCCCAACTGCATCTTCCGCGGTCCCGATTTCGTCTTTATTCCCTCGCGTGACGAGCCGTTCGGTCTCGTTGCCGTCGAGTTTGGTCGATTCGGTGTCCTTGGTATTGGTGCTTTTGTCGGTGGACTGGGAACCATGGTGAGTGCTCATTTGAATGAGCGCATTGAGCAGATTGGAGGGGGGCAGGAGAGGGGGCCGTGGCAATCAGCTCTAACACAACGGCTTTACTTGCTCCACACATTCGTCCGTCTCCCTCGTCTCGACAGCCCGGTTGGTGGTTCACGATCGAGTCGACCGAGAATGCCCATTTGCTCAAGCAGCTCGAGTCCGCTCTTGCTCAAGCCATGAAGGCTTCGCCCGAGACCCTGCGCAGCATGCGGAGTGTCGCCCGACGTCAGCGCTTCCCTGTCGAGGAGTGGATCGCCAAGGTCTTCCGCATGTACCGCCATGCGATTGTCGATCGCCAGGTTGCCGATAACAAGAGCCGCAAGTCGCTGTACTCCAGTGGAGACGATACCGCCGCCAGTCGCATGTCCCTCGACACCAGCCGCTTCCGAGGCCGCAACCAATCTTCGCAGTCGATCGCCTCGGAGAGGAGCTCGAGCGATACCGAGGGCGGCTTTACTTCGGACAACGAAGGCTCAACCCCTCCTCAATCATCCAGCAGCAGCTTCAAAAAGACCCCGATGCAGATGCCTTACACTCCCTACGGCACCCCGCCCGTCTCGTCCCGTGGCAGCCCCTCGGTCTCCACACGCGGGGCGGATTCCGAAGACGAAAGCGAGGTTTATCGTCCACCCAACTACGACCTTGATGCTCTCAAGATCGCCCTGCAGGTCAGCTACAAGGAGAAGGTCTTTGACCAGTTCATGGACGAGGATGGCGCCATGCAGGCCAAGTTCTCGGAGCAGCTGGAGGGCATGACCATCCAGTCGTCGATGAAGGCGCTATCGATCGACTACTACATCAACAAGTTCGAGAAGCAATACTACCGTGACCTGCAGGCCAATCGGCTCAACACCATGATGGGCACCCTGTCGCGCACCCTCAACTCCAAGGTCGTCACTCGCTTCATGTCCAAGGAAATCCGCAAGGGTTGGCCCGTCTACACCATCATGCTCATGTTCGGGCAGCTCGTCGCCGCCTCGGCCTTCCAGCTCGTTCTGCTGACCAACTCGCTGGTCAGCCCGCAAGTCGACATGTACATCACCGCGGGCACGTTCCTGATCGGCACGGTGGTCTGGTGGGTCGTCTACCGCCGGTTCCCGCCCAAGATCGTGCTGACGATTCCGTTCTACGTCTACTCAATCTCGATGCTCCTGCTCATTGCCTACACGGTGATGATGCTGCTGATGCCTGTGCCGACGGACACTCTGGCCACGTATGCCGTCCAGCGCGTTGCCGTCTGCTTCTATACCTTTGCGTCGGCCTCGGGCCCGTTCTACTTCACGATGAACTTTGCCACCGACGCCGGCTCCAACACCAGCTCCTGGATCACCCGCGCCTCGGTCATTGAAGGCATTCGACAGCTGTGGGTCGGTGCGCTGTGGTACTGGGCCACGGCCTCGGCCAACGTTGCGATCCAGTCTGGCAGCAGCCTCAGCACGGGCACGCTGTGGGCCCTCTTTGCGTTCTCGCTGGTCTTTGGCTGGATCTTCCTTTTGATCGGGCTGCTGCTGCCGCATGGACTGCCAGAGTTCTACCTGCACATGCCGTCGTCCCTGCCTGGCCTACTGAAGACCCTGTTCCGCCGCAAGCTCGTGCTTTGGTTCCTTTTCTCGGACATTTTGCGCAACTACTGGCTCTCGGCCGTCTACGGACGAAGCTGGGAGTTCCTGTGGCAGCAACCCAACGCCAACCCGATTCTGATTGGCGTCCAAGTCGTTGTCTTCTTTGGTGTCATCTGGGGCTGCTTGATGTGGCTCCTGGCGCGCGGATCCAAGGTCCACTCGTGGCTGCTCCCCATCTTTGCCGTCGGACTCATTGCCCCGCGATGGGCCCAGATCTGGTGGGCCACCGCCAACTACGGCATGCTTTCGTGGGCCGGCCCTGCCGCACCCTACGTTGGCACCGGACTGTGGCTGTGGCTTGGTATTCTGGACGCCATCCAGTCTGTTGGCCTGGGCATCATTCTCCTTCAGGTAAGCTTCGTGGAGACTGTGACTGGAGCAAATGCCTCGGGGTGAGGTGGATCTGGATCTGGATCTGGATCTGGCGGGTTTCTGATGCTGGATGATTGCGAGCGGCGCTTCTCGGGGATCCGCTGTCTCTTGATGCCGCTGCTGACTGTTGTCCGTACTTTCTTGCCTCTGTTCTTGGCTCTTCTCCACCACGAAATCCTCGGTGTCTGGCTTGGCCCTCCGCGATGGAATTGGATCCGACCAAACACAGACCCTGACCCGTGTCCACGTCACGGTTGCGCTGGTCATTGCCCAGGTGTCCGGTGCCGTGACGATCGTCGTGGCATCCCTAACGGCCCCGAACCGCATGGGACCTGGCGATGTCTTCCCCAACCCCAGCGCATGGACGCCCGGCGACGCCGACTCTGCCTTCCCCGTCGCCAAGCCCCTCTTCTGGGTCGGACTCGGACTGCAGTTTGTGGTGGCCCTGGGCTATCTCTTCTTCTTCCGCAAGGAGCAGCTCTCGCGGCCGTAAAGGTCGATTGATTGCTGCTTGCTCGCTGCTTGTTTGCTCGCCGCTCAGTGGTAGCCGGCTGCTCTTCTTGGTCTAGAAGTACCCCACCCCTTCCCTCTCTCCCCTGCCTTTGACGCACACCCCCGATTGGTCCTCTACTCACCCAGCAGCACCATAATTTATGCGTCTTGCCCACAGTCGCGCACACATCCCAACAACACAGGCTTTGAATCAGCCGCTTGCTCGATCGCCTTATCCCTATCGCCCTATCTCTATCGTTTTATCTCTATCGTTTTATCTCTATCGATCACTATTTCTATCGCTCTGTTCTATCTCTCTATCGCCTGCTTTCTTCCGTCTCAACTCCTCTACTACAACGATCATCGATATTCTATGGCTGCAATACAATTCACAGTCTATCCAGAAAGAAGCGAGCCAGGCCCCTTCTCTCTGGCTTCGGGTCGCTTGGCTTCCCGACAATGTGAGCACACCTGGGATGTGTTGAACTCGTTCACCGAGCACACATGGATCTTGGAGACGGATCGGTCTGGTGGGCGTCTCTGGTGATGGGTGAACTGCTCGAAATACCGAGCGAATCTGAGTCTCCTGGGACTGGATGCATATCCCTTCCCTTGCTTCCAGGAGGCATTCCCAAAGACAATCACTCCCTCGGTCTCCTTGGACATACTTGCTTGGCCATGAATGCGATGAGTGGGCGGGTGTATTCAGGTTCCAGAAAAAACACTGTCCTGGCTCAAAACGGGGGTATCCCATTTCATTTTGAAAGCCCCAGTAAAAGCTCGCCCCAGATATAACCAGCTCATATTTGTTTATGTACTTTGGTGGCGCTTGTTGGCTTTTGCTCGCCTTGGTTGTCCTTGTCGCCGGTCTGGGTCCTGCCAAGCAGTTGCGTTGCTGCGGCTTCGCTGTGCCGGCCTGTCCGGACCAGCCGGGGTCCATACAATCGCCGCTCGTCCCTCAGCTTCCACATCCATCCCTCATCTTCCACATCCATCCTTCGTCTTCCACATCCATCTCCCGTCTTCCACATCCATCCCCCGTCTTCCACATCCATCCTTGCCTTGGGTGCGATCCGCCCAGTTCCCATCCTCCCTCCGCAGCGACTTGCCTCCATCCCCTCTTCGCGGTACGCCATTGCCGCAGGCCAAGCACCAGTGCTCCGCCGCACTCACTCTCTGTTTGGGCCAGACCATGCTTCGCGGCGCCGCAGCAGCCCCGCCTGTCCTTGCTTGAACCATGAGCCCGTCTCGGGCCCGCTTGCCATGTTCCGCACCATGTCCCGCCGCATCCGCCACGCCCCCGTGCATGACAACGTCGCACAGCTGCTTTGCCTCCAAAGCCATGCTGTGCCACCCCCGGCGAGGTATATATTGCCGCTGGTTGCTGCCAACATCCAACGACCATCAGCACCAAGCGCAGAGCCAACAGCCAAGCCCACCGAGAAGCGAGCTCGCCCAGCGCTGCCCCGTCCCGCGTTTACTTCTTTCTCTCTCTTCCTTTCTGCTGCCCGACGGCGTCGTGCTTGACTGCATTCCCGGTTGCATCCGATCTTTCTCTGCCGTTGCCGTTGTCGCTGCCGCTGCCTGTATGCGCACCCGCCAAACCAGCCGACGCTCTCTCCAACCCAAGATGACCACCAACCCCAGCCCCGACCCCAAGCCGTCCTTGGGGAGCAGCCTTGGCCCACTGTATTTCCTGTATCAAACAACAGGATCTGCGGCCTGGTCCGTCAAGGAGGCTCTCAACGAAGCCATTCAGGAAGGCGGCGCCCTCGTGCCCTTCATCGAGCTGCTCAACGGCTCGCAAATGCAGGGCATGCTGCTTGCCTTTATCCCGCTGTACTTTAGCTACTACAATACCGGAGTCTATGCAATCGACATGTTTGGTAAGTTGCCCGGCGTCGCCTGTATATCGCTCGTGCCGCTGTTCTGCGCTGCTGCTGTGCTGTGCTAACCACGCCCGTCTCTCGCCCGGATCCTTCTGCATGCAGTCACCACCGTCGTTGTCACTCTCGTCACCGCCCTGCTCGCCATTCTCGGCGGCCGCGTCAAGGCCATCCTCGAGTGGAAACAGGCCGAACTTGACAATGTGCAGCCCATCACCGTCAAGGTCGAATACTACCGATATGATCGATGGAACGAGGCCGTCGAAAACATCCACTACCAGGCCCTGGCTTGGTTCATCACCAACCTCTCCCACGACCAGAAGACGGGCGACTACCGCATGTCTCTCGAGCGCGATACAAAGTCCTTCATCACCGACCCCGACGACGACAAGATCCGGCTGCCGGGCTTCAATCTGATTCCTCGCACCGACCGACTCATCCAGATCAAGCACAACACCAACACCATCTCTGTCTGGTTCGACCAGACCCAGCAGGACAACAACAACGAGGAGAAACGCAGCACGTACACCTCCCGTCCCAAGCCCGAGCCGCCCATCATCATCCGCTGGGACTCGTCCGAGGACACCGCCCAGATGCAGACCGAACTTGACAAGCTCACCAAGCAGATCTCCCAGGATTCGACCGAGACCGAGACCGAGACCGAGACCGAGACCGCTGCTGCCAAGAAGGACACCAAGGAGAGCACCGATACCGCTGCCGCCAAGGATTCGGTCAAGACCGACACTGATCTCGTCAAGACCGACACTGATCTCGTCAAGACCGACAGTGGCAACGGTGATGACGAAGACGCCGCCGGCGATATCCAAGTCGGCGACAAGTCGCTCAACGTCAAGGACTGCCCCAAGGGCACCCTCCAGTGGATGAAGCTCTTCCTCGAGGATGTCACCAAGGAATACACAAAGTTCCAGAACTCCAAGAAGAAGCGCTCTCGCTACGAGCGCGGTGGCTACGGCTACTGGACTCACATGCAGGATCTGCAGGCCAGCCGTGGCTTGCAGAGCGTCGCCCTCGACAAGCTGCAGGAAGAGCTGCTCGGCCAGGACCTCAAGACCTTCCACGACGACAAGGACTTTTACGTGCGCATGGGCATGCCCTACCGCCGCGGCTACCTGCTGAGTGGCAAGCCCGGCACCGGCAAGACCTCGCTCGTCAACGCCATCTCGGCCAGCTACAACCGCGACCTCTACTACATGAACCTGAAGGAAATCCCCGACGACAATGCACTCCAGTCCAGCTTCTCCTCGGTCCCCAAGAACTCGATCATTGTTCTCGAAGACATTGATGCCCAGACCGGTGTCGTGCACAGCCGCGAGCGCCGCAAGGTCTTGCGCCAGTACATGCTCTCGGTCAAGAACCAGGCCGAGAAGGAGAAGAAGGACAAGAAGAAGAAGAAGAAGGCCGAAAAGAAGTCTTCGGACGAGAGCGACAATGACGAAGGCGACGACAACACCGCCGAGGAAGAGAGCGAAAACAGCGAATCCGAGGAGGACGAGGACGAGGACAAGGACAAGGACAAGGAGAAGGCCGAGAAATCGCCCCAGGAGCTCGAAGACGAAGCCGGCGATAGCGGCAGCATGCTTGGCGACTTTGGTGGCCTCTCTCTGCGCGGCGGTAGCAACATGTTTGGTGGATTCACGCTCTCGACGCTTCTCAACTGCCTCGACGGACACACTCTGGCTGAAGGTATCATCGTCATCATGACCTCAAACCACCCCGAGGTTCTCGACCCTGCCCTCATCCGCCCTGGCCGTATCGACCTGCACCTCGAGCTTGGCTACTGCACACGCTACCAGCTCCTGCAGATGTACCGCTCCGTCTCGAACGACTCCACCGCCAAGATCGACTTTGGCAAGATTCCCGAGCGCATCATTGCCCCCTGCGACGCCATGCGCATCATGGTTCTGTATCGCCACCAGTCGGACGAGGTCATCATCCAGAAGCTGCTCGAGCGCGCCGAGGAGATCCAAGTCCAGAACGAAAAGCGCAAGAAGGCCGAGGCCGAGGCGGCCGCCAAGGACCCCTGGAGCCGATTTGGCCTCGGCTTTGGCGGCTTTGGCTACGAAGGATTTGGTTCGTACGGCCCGCGGGAGCGTGAACGCGAAGGAGCTGGCGGCGACAAGAAGGACTCGGGCACCCGCACACACTATTAAAGGGCATGCGCGGACCCAGGTGTCTTGAGCACGACGACAACGACAACGATGATATACCCTTCGAACCCCTCCCTCTGAGCATATTCTGCCTTGCGGCCACATCCGAGCCGACTTTCTCCCTCTTGTTCATTTTGGCACATCCTATCCATGGACCGACTGGGCCAACCAGGCGATTCGCAATACAGTTCTTCTCATATACTAGCCAATCCTGTTGCCGACGACCGTGCTCGACTGCTCCTGAACCGAATCTAGTTGCAGAAGGGCGGTATGTGTGCGCCCCAGCTGTGCGCACTCGTGTATGGCACAACATTAGTTCCGTTGCTGCAGACAAAGTCCGTGCTCCGGAACCAGACAATGTCGAGATCATATTCCGTCGCGATGCAGCTTTGGAAGGTTGCTTTGACGACCGAGTTCCAGCCGGGCAGAGCCAGGCCGGATGCCGCGGGCTCGAAGGCGATTGTGATCGGGGCACTGAGGCGCAAGTTTGGACTGGTTGTGTTTGGCATCAAGGTCAGTGCATACGGCAGCAGGAGCCTGCTCCAGGTGCAAGTGCGAGTGCGAGTGCGAGTGTAAAGCAGAGAGCGGGAAACGGCAGAAGCTGCTGATGAGGTCTCGGAACTTACGTCGAGACGCACTGGACGGTTGCATTCGTGAGGCAGTTCTGTGGAGTCATTCCGAGCGAGTACGCCAGCGCCCAATCCAAATGCAACGTGCTTCCGTCTGCGGTGCACTGGAGAGCGCTGCGTGGGAACCAGGCCGTCTCTGCATGCGTGCGACGGGTGTAGTGAATTACGGAATCCGTTAGGACCGAGAATCCGGATTCAGAACCGCTTGGGCGAGGGTTGCGGCGACACGAGGACCAAAGCGCACTGCGGGAACGCTGTCGAGAAATCAATGTTCGATTGGCCCAGAGTTCAGGGGATGGATAGTGAGCAGGATCAGCAATCCAAGACCAGCGGATGAGACAGCCGGTCATCCACCTCCGAGACCACTTACTCCCTAGTCCATAATCCAGTCCGAGACACAGGTCGAGCTCAACATGAGTGATGGTTGTGATCTCATACCAGCCTCCGTTGTCGTCGTGGGTGATCTGCACCTCGGCTCCGTCCGTGGCCTGGCTGAGAAGTGCACAGGCCGAGGGAGATGGAGCAGACGAAGGCATTGCAACTGTTGTTGCTGTGACCGACGCAGCGGTGGATGCTGCAATAGCAAAGCCCGTCGTTGCTTGGGCTGATGCGAGCGACGCTGGTGTAAACAGAGGTGCTGTCGGAGAGCTACTCCCTGGGGACTGGGTGGCCGCCCAAGGCCCATGGTTTGTGAAGAGTGATGATGGGGTTGCCGACGACACCTCTGTAGCTGTAGTTGTGGTTGTGGTTGTAGCTGAAGCTGCTATTGTTGCCACATAGGCAGTGGTTGAAGTCGCCGGACCCAAATCACAAAAGTCTGGAGGCCGGCTTGGATTGGTAACGTCCAGGAGGCTCTCAAAGCTGACGATGCTGACTTCGCCTGAGCAGACAAAGTCGTCGACATTGAACCAGACCTCGTTCCAGCCGGGATACTCGACAGAGATGCAGTACGGCGTCTTCACCCGACAAGAGGCAGAGAGTACGTTCGTGGTTGGCGGGGAGTAAGCTCAACGTATGCACAGCAACAACGATGGCGACTTCAAGTCGAAGTACTGTCCTACCTGGCGAGTCACCAGTGTGGTATAGAGTCCATCGAGGCCAAATGTTCCGTTGGCTATGAGGACATAGTCGCCCGGGATAGGCTGCGCCCTGGGGCATATATGCGCAATGGTGTTAATGAGAGTATGCGGCACCCTTGGTATTGGCCTCGAGCATTGGACTCGAGTATTGGACTCGAGCATTGGCCACGAGCATTGGACTCGAGCACTGGCAGGCTGCCGCGACGGTTCTGCAGATTGATGCATACGAGATGGGGCACTGGCCCGAGGAGAAGCCGTTCGCTGGGGGCGCTTGGAGGTTCATGGCCGGAACAGGATTCCCACAGGACGCAGCCCAGCCGCCGGCCCCGATTTGGTCGAGTGGTAAATATTGGAACTCCCCATCGAGATAAACATCGATGGTCGCATGGGTGCAAATGACTGACGAGGTTGGCACAAGAACCTGTTCTGTTCAAAGTGAAGCAGGGCGAGTGTCAAGCGACGGCACATTGCCGATGCACAGGGAAGAACCCTCAAGCATATCCCGCATGTCGGGTTGCGGGGCAGCGTGACCAAGGTCCAATGATGGCATACCATGGCTTGGGCTTGGGGCGACTGAGATACAGGCATCGAACTGCTGGACAATTGTGGCGTTCCACACAGGACCGGCCGTTGGATGAACAAGCACCGCGCTTGATACAGCCCAGCTCTGCAGGCATATCGGGCTCTGTGCTTGTGCACAGGCCGGCAGCAAACCTTGCGATTCGTGGCCACGGACGCGATGGGATGTGTCGAGGGTGCGTACGAGCAGCGCACCAGCCAAGGCGCGATGGATTAGGCGAGATGGAGGCAGATTGTGACAGACGGAGGATGTTGTCCAGGCCTCTTGATCGGGAATCCGGCTCAGCAGCCCAACCGCAGGCAGCGATATGCGTGGACAGACAACTCACCAATCAAGACGAGACAGGCACGGCAATGGCACCGGCGACGGCCGCACATGGCTGCAGACGGTGCATCCGAGACCAGCGGCCGCAGGACCAGCGCGAAGGCCACCCCCTTTTGGCCCTTGCAGCCGACATGCTCCGCCTGGGCACGTGTGTCCGCGACGGCTTCTTGGAGGGAAAGCGCGCGGAGAGTGGCTGGAGCCGGCTGGAAGCGGCGTCACGTGGATCGCGCAGCGGCTGAGTTGGGTGGTGCAGACGCGCAGACGCGCAGCCGCGCGGCGTGTGCGCGCCTGCGCTTGGCACAAGGGGTGGGACGAAGAGGAAAGCGGCGGTGCGCGCCGGGCACATGCCAGGCAGTGCAGCAGTTGGCTGTGGCGGTTGGCTGTGGCAGTTGGCCGTGTTTCAGTCGCGGTTGGCATTGTGCGCCCTTTGCACGACCCCGCAGGGCCTTGTGCTCCCCTTGCACGACCGCGGCCACAAGGCGTCTGTCCCTCGGCCCCGTCTAACGGCGTTTGGGCTTTTGTCGGCCGACAAGACGGCGACAAGGCGGCGACAAGACGGCGACAACAAGCGGCTCTCTTCTCCCGCCAATGGGGGCGTGCTGGTGTCGCCGCGACTCGGCCGACCTCTCTTCGCCCTCGTCTTCTGTCCAGCCCCGACAGACGTCGCTTCGCCCTCTGGCTCTTCGCCGGCCCTTCCTGCATGCCGCACTTCATCCTCCCTGCAGCAACAGGCTCCCGTGCACCCAGTCCCGCGCCGGTGATCCACCTGAGCTCGTCCGCCGCCCTTCGACCAACCTCGGATCCCCGTCCGCCTCAAGAGCCCTCCGGCGGCACCGAAGCCCCAACGCAGCCAAACTCGCAATCCGCGGCCTCCTCAGATCGGCCGCCCACCACGGCCATGTCTGCGACCGCGAGTCCATCGTCTTCCTCTGGGTCGACTGGTGCTCCTCCTCCCCCAGCATCGTCGTCGGCTTTACCACCACCACCACCACCACCCACTCCTCCTCCGCCTCCGTCCTCATCGGTCTCGACGACAGAGACCGCATCTCAAAGTCCAACGTCTTCTCCTCCTCCTCCTCCTCCTCCCCCTCCACCACCACCACCACCACCACCTCCTCCTCCTCCTCCTCCTCCTCCTCCTCCTCCTCCGCCTCCTCCTCCGCCGCCGCCTCCTCCTCCGCCGCCGCCTCCTCCTCCCCCGGCTTCGACCCCGGCTGTGCCGACCAGCAGGGTTCCTGTCCCGTCGGCGTCGCCCTCAACCATCCCTGTGGTCCAGTCGAGCTCGAGCTCGTCCGTCCCGTCTCCAACCGCGATCCCAACGATCGCACCGTCTTCGTCCGTGACCGTCGGCACCTACTTTGGCTGTGTCGACTTCCCAAGCAGCGGCAACATCAGCGTCGTCGCCTCGCTCGACCAATGCGCCGCATTCTGTGTCCAGCAATCCAACTCGACAGCCTTCATGAACTACATGATTGTGTCTCCGACAAACTGTCCCGACTTTGCATCAGTTGTGCCGCAGATGGACTGTGGATGCGCAAGCAGCACGCCGAACTACACCTACAATGCAACCTGTCTCTTCACCACTGCAACGGGTCTCTCGGCCGGCGGCTGTATCAAGTTCACCAACGGTCCCAAATACTATGGTTCTATGTACCAGGTGTGTCTCCACGCTCCACCACCAAACGGCGTCATGATGTGTGCCGGGGCCGATTCCCCGGGTTGTGATTCATTCGGCTGACTCGCACCCGGCCACTCCGCGATGTCCTCAAGACACTGATCTAATTTGGCTGCTGACCTTGTCCTTCTCTGTTCTTCCTGATAGATACAAATCACTCAATCCAACTCCACCCTCACGATCGTGATCATCGCCAGCGCCCTCGGTGTCGTCTTTCTTGCTGTCATTGCTGTTCTGGTCTTCCGTGGATACTCGGGAAGAAAACTGGCTTCCCAGCGGCGGAAGGAGGCAGCAATCCAGGCGGAGATCAACAACATCAACAACGTCCAACGCCTGTCAGCGTATTCTCAGCGCGGCTTCAGCTCCTATTCCCCGCATCTGGCCGATCGCGAGGAGCCCCGGATATCCTATGCCTCTGCGCCCTCGTTCATACCCCTCGCTCCTCCCGAAAACCCTTTCCGCAACTCTACATACAGCTTCTACAGCACCGGCTACACCTCTGGCAACAACTCGTCATCGCCTCATCCATCGTACAACATCGATCCTATGGCCGCTCTCCATGAAGAATCGTCATCACGCCGCGGATCCATGTCGGTCGACGACCCGCGATCCAGCGCCATCATGCTCACCCCGCTCGTTGCCAACAAACCCACGCCGCTGTCCTCGCCGCCTGGAACACCCCAGAGCACACCCCAGAGCACATCCCAGGGCACATCCCAGGGCACACCCTCAATCCCAGCCCAGTCTATGACGCTTATGGGAGCCATGCCTGCCCCACATTCAGTGTGCTGCAATAGCCATATCCCAACGTCTCCTGATGACCTGTATCTGGCTGTTGGCGATGCCGTTGTCGTCACGTAAGTATATGCAGTCTTGCCGCCTCCTTCGAGCAACGCGTTCGAATCATGTCACCGTCTCGCTGGCACGATTCCCAGCTCCTCCGCTCTGAGGGTCCTCTTCTGACCCACTGTCCACCTGCTCCCGGTCGGTGTTGTTATCGGTACAGCGATACCTGGACCGATGGATGGGCCCTTGGTTACAAGATTAACACCGGCCAAGACGAGAAGCCGGGATATTTCCCGCTCTCATGTGTCCGAGACGTGCCCCTTCCGACGACTCAAGGGTTCTCCGAATCGTGAAACTCGAAATTGCATAAAGCTGTCAATAGAGCAAGCGGCTGATGGCCATGTCGATCGCGATAGACCATCGGCTGCAGATACTGTCTCTGACTCGGTCGTCGTCTCTGTCCCTGTGAATGCCTGCTCGCGCTGCCCCGCGTCGTGGACGACACCGGAAGCGGCTGCGATCCCTGTCGTGCTGTTGCTGGAATCTTGGCTTTGATCCTCGGAATCTGTGCCGTTCTGTCGATCTGATTTTCGGTCTGTTTGTGAATGCCTGTCCGTCTCTCTCTCGCTCTCCGTCTCTCTCCGAACCGTATCCATGTTGACGCTATTGCGACCCCATCCCTGCGTTCGTGTGGAATGCATGCAGCTCTTGCTATCTGCCCTCACTATGTTGTCCTTGCATGCTCGCTTCAACTCATTGGATACAGTTGGTGACATCTGACTGAGTGCAAAAGTGTGGATGCAGACTGGTTCGGCTTGACCATGAGTGCACGGCTGCCCCGTGGACACATGAATGCCAATGTAGGCACATATCTGGACCATGTGCTCGCAGGTATCTCTGCACGGGAGGCAGCATCGATCTGCATGGAGGATCGCACCGGCCTCGCATTTCGATCCAGTGCCGATCCAACAGGCGCGGTGTGGCAAGACCCTCGCGCCCTGGCTGCAGAAATCGGCCTCGAGAGCAGCCGCCGAGGCATGCAATCCCTCCCCTTCCATCTGTCCAGCTTCGTCCTCCGCCAGACCATCGCCGCTTGCTTTCAGCCGAGCCTTCTCCTCTCATGGAAGAAACCCCACATCCGCAGCCCCCGGCTGGCGACGCCGTCCTCGAGGGCGACAGACTCGGAGACTCAGACTCGTCGCAACAGCCGCAAGCCAGCAACGATCCCGGCGCTCCGCTCCTCAACTCTGAAGACTCGTCCAAACCGCCGACCGAGACGAGGAACAGCATCAGCATCGATCCGCCTGTCATCCGGTTCCCACCCCTCAAGCCTCTGGCTCGATCGACCGGGTCCGGCCTCGAGCAGGTCCACTGGGCCGACTCGGCGTCGTCCAGCCCAGAGTGGATCCAAAATGCCCTCAGCCAAATGTACGTCGCCAACCACGCCCGCACGATCCAGCCCGACGAAGCCATCCTGAATCCATCCGAGTCGCACATCAAGGAGGTTGGTGGCTGTCCGTTCGATCCGCTGCTGGCGCCCATCCATGCCCGAGACAATCGCTCATCGTCCCGCCAGGATCGGTAATGCTCTATCGCCAGCGCGGCATACCAATCCCGATCCATGGCCCTAGCAATGATTGCCCATGCTCGCACTCATCTATCTTTATTCTACGGTGCACCCTACGATACGCTCTACGATATGCTCTATGCTCTGTGGCCTGTACTCTCGACTTTCTTCCTCGGGTGCGCATGTCCGTCGGGGGGGGGGACACGAAAATGGATCATTTGGATCATCTGGATCATCCGGATCGCCCCAAAAATCAACCATCACAATCGACAGGACATCATCCGGATGATTGTCCAATATCTCGGCGACGAGGGATACAACATGTCCAAGCTGACGATTCTGGACGAAGCCAACGTCAAATGGCACGAACGAAACGAAAAGTCCATGGAGATTCGTCGCCTCAAGAAGAGCATCTTGGGTGAGCGTCACTGCCGATGACGGGAAGGGAGAGTCTATGATTCGCCCACCACCACCTCGTGTGAACGATCGAGCGGTCGAGCTTGATCCCGTCGTTACCTTCCCTCCCTTCGCTTCTTCCTCCAACAGCGAGTATGCGTCAAACCGAGTGATTTTTGTCATGTCGATTTGTGACCCGTGCTTGACCGGGCAGCCGTCTGCCGAGCCCATTCGGCAGAACCTGAAGCATGCGATGCACAGTAGTTGCCATTGACCCGAGTCACTCCTGCATACCAGATGGCGATTGGCTCGAAGTCGAGAAGCTGATGATCAAGCCACTTGTCAAGAACCACAAGGCGTTCATGTATTCAATCTACAAGCAGCAATATCTCGAGTATATCGAGCACCACGAGACACAAAAGGCAAGTTGCGAACGGCCGCGGAGCAAGATGGAGGGCCATCGAGTCGGCCGGTCGGTCGTTGATGGGCAGCTCCTGCGAACGGCGCATCAACCGAATCAACTGTGCTGGGGGACAGAGGAGGAAGAGGGACGCAGGGGAAATCTCGTCTCCAAAGTGCTCGTCGCGATGCCACTAACCACGCTGCCCTCTGTTCGATGTAGGCGTTTACCCATCTCAACAAGCGCCTGAAACCTCTGGAGCACCTACAAACAACTCCCAACGAATTCAAGGATCTCTGCTATCTCTTGACAGCCAAGAGCGTGCAGGATGCCCCGAGCTTCAAGAACTGGGAGGGAATCGGCCCATCGAGGTGGGTGTATTGCTCCAGGACGGGCGGGGAGGAATGTCTTGGTCAAAATCGATATGCTCATATGCGCATGGGCTGGTGAGCCATCGCCTGCATTGGGCGCTGTGCCGCTGTTTTAGTAGAGCCGTCTTGGCGCTGCTGTCTCGGCATGTCTTGGTCAAGCGTCTGAGGGAGCAATAGTTCTGTCGGGAAGGGGGAGCCTCAAGTTGCATCACACTAACTTGGCATCGTGCATTTTCGTGTTCGCCTCTCCTGTTGGCGGTTGCCTCATTGCCATCCAGAGAAAAGCTGGCCGATCAGCTCCAAATCATCGCAGACTTTGAGACCATGGATCGCGAAGGTGAGAGTTCGACAAAGCGAAAGCATCGCCATATCGTGCTGTGTTGCTTATGAATTGCCACCGTATTCATGCGTCACCAGGATCGGTCTATGTCCCGCCCCAGCGTCTGCTCACGCTGCTGCAACAGGCGGTGGCCTACCAGATTGAGTTTGCTCGATACCATCCCAAGATTACACCCAAGGTCACAACGTTGGTATCTGCGTCGCCGTGCCGATTCTACCGCGCTGCTCTGCTGGAGAGCTGCCGTGGTACATCCGTTTGTGACCCATAGGGCCCCATCTGACCGACCTGCATTGCTCCGTTGCGCCATCCATACTCGCCGGGGGTTTCTTCCCCTGTTTCTATGGCCCCCTCTGACGTGACTGTTGCATTTGCCAGTCTACTACGTGATTACGAGTCAGTAATCATACCGAATGCCGTTCGACATGCGTTCGTTGGACATACTGGAAACGTCAAGTGCGTCGAGTTCGTGGGCGAGGAAGGAAAGCAGATAGTGTCGGGATCCAGGTGAGTACCATCCCCAAGGATCCAAGTACCTAGCTTTGACCGCATCATCTCGCCGGGATCTGTCAGGCAACGCCGGGGCGTGCTTGGTCCCTCTCCCACCACGCCACTTGCGTCTCTCTTCGTCGGCCTGGCTCCGCTATACCCTTGACTGAGTCTAAACTCGCCTGTGTGGCTTGTGCGATGATGATGGCGATCGATCCTTGCTCATCAGCGACAATACGCTCCGCGTCTGGGATACCGAAACGGCAAACTGTCTCGAGGTTCTGGAAGGACACACCTCGCGAATTTGGGACGTCGCATCAAACAAAAGTGGCGCATTCGTGGCCTCTGCCTCCGGCGACGGCACCGTCAAGGTATGTCGCCTGGAATCCCGATCGGTCCAGTTGATCGCGCAGATCCTGTCCCGCCAGGTGTTGACAATATGACTGTGCTCGTCCTCGCTGACCTCGGGGCCAGCTCTGGGATCTGAAAGGTGCTCGGAAGGACTGTGTCGCCACATACACAGGGTTCGTCGGTGATGTCTATTCGGTGCAGTACCATCCTGCTGGTGTAAGTATCAATCAGTGGCAGGCTTGAACTGGGTGCTCGCACACATAGCTGCGCTCCGGAGGCTCCCACCAACACAAAGCTTACCCGCCTCGCCCACTTATGGTGGTCCAGCATCATCTGGTTGCCGGAGGATACGACAAAACCATCCGGCTGTACGACCTCGAGCGCAACGTCGTCGTCAAGACCTTCACCGGCCATCAGCTCAGCGTCTCCAAGACCATCTTCAACCCGATAGGAAATCTGATCATCAGCGGGTCAAAGGACAACACCATCAAGTTCTGGGACATTGTCTCGGGTCTGTGCATCAAGACCATCTCGAGCCATCTGGGCGAAGTCACCAGTGTCGAGATGAATTCGGTCGGAAGTCTGATGCTGAGCTGCTCCAAGGACAACTCGAACCGCCTCTGGGACGTGCGGATGGTGCGTCTGCGACGGCTGTGCCTTTGCATCTGTGATGGCTGCCGCTTTTTTCGTCCGGCTCGGGCGTGCCAAAAGACGGATGGATGTCGCTGACACTAACTTGACCTTCGACTGCGTGCGACTCCAGGTGCGCCCGGTGCGAAAGTTCAAGGGCCATCAAAACACATCCAAGAACTTTATCCGTGCACGATTCATGGGCAACTCGATGGTCGTCGGCGGCTCCGAGGTCGGTGTCGTGATGGCTCGTGATGGCTCGTGATGGCTCGGATGGCTCGAGTACTCAGCGGTCGATATATCGTGAGCGATTCCCATCGCACCAAACTTGGATGCGTGGCTGCTGGAGATAATGCTGGGGGTGGGGTGAATCGGTGAACTGCCGCATGGGTTGCTTCTCGTGGAAGAGTCGCTGATCCGGACGTATCTGATGGTCGCTCCTCTCGCAGTGCGGACTCGTCCATCTGTGGGACCACGACCACGGCGAAGTGATCCAGCGGCTGCGCGGCCATGGTGGCGTTGTCTTTGACGCCAAGTGGAACTCGAAGCAGAGCCTTTTGGTGAGCTGCGGTGACGACAAAAAGGTGCTCAGCTGGTGGTTCGACGAGCGGCGGGTACCGCTGTTTGAAGATTGAGCATGAAAGTGAAGCGCGGCGGCAGTTCAGTGCCCGTCGCCCTATTTTGTTTGGGGGGAGGGACAACATCGATGGCCGACGCTCTCGCTGGATCCTGAATAAACCTTCATCCAGCGCTGCGGTGCTGCCGATGGCCGCTCCGGTAAGCGAGCGAACCGCAGATACGAGCATGCATCGCAATCCGGCCTCGGAGACAGGGCTGCTGGTCCAATGGCACGATCCGCGAAAAAGCGGTCGTCGCGGTCTGGCGGCCCCAAGCAGCTCTCCTTCGCTCTCCCAGTCGGCCTCTCGGTTCTCGGTCCTCCAGATCCAAGGCCTGCGATCGCTTGCTCTGCCTGGCCCAGATCCATCGGTCGCATCGAGCCCCTTGCCCACCCTCTGCAGGACATCCTCTCGTGGCAGACAACTGCAGGCCGCGCTGCCTGCTCTCTTTGCCATCGCAAGCACCACCACCCAGACCCAAAGGACGCCGATCGTCCCATCCTCCTGCAGACGAGACGGCCGGCCCTTTCCAAACCGCTGACCGCGAGATATCGACCCAATTTCTCGCTTCGACATCGTCCTGGCCCTCACCCTTACCGCCCCTCCCCCCCTGTCTCGTCGCATATCCTTCCTGGCCTGCCGCTTCCCTCTCCACTCTGAACACAGTCTTCCGCGCTGGCAAACTCTCCCTCCCATCCCATCCCATCCCTCTATACAAAACGGGCAAATGTCGTGGATGCAGCCCCAGGCCTTTACCGGCTCACCCGGCCAGATGGACCGCCAGTCGACCACATTGCAAGGTCAAAACGCCGTAGCCGGCAACGTCGTTTCGGGGTACCATATGCCTGGCACACCACAGTCACTTGCACAGCCGGGACAGCAACAGGCGCTGGCTCTCCAACAACAACAGCAACAACAGCAACAACAGCAACATCAGCAACATCAGCAACAACAGCAACATCAGCAACATCAGCAACATCAGCAACAACAACAACAGCAGGCTCAAGCGCAAGCGCAACAGCAACAGCCGGGCTTCCAGCAGCTGCAACAGCGTCCTGCCCTTCGCCATCCACAGATGCAGGGGATGGTCGATCCAAGATTTGGCTCCGGCGCAATCAACATGCTCGACCCAAAGATGATGGCCCTGCAGTCGCACTTCCAAGGCGTTCCGCAGATGCCGCTGGCCAACACTTCCGGAATGGTAATGGGCTCGGCCGGCTCGATCCCGTCCATATCCTATGCAACACCTGACGACGGCCACCTTGGATTTCAGCTGCAGGGGCAGGCCGGCAGCAGCGGCAGCAGCGGCGGTGTGGGCCAAGTCATCAATCCAGCCATGGCTGTGCGGCCAGATATTCGCCTGATTCACTCGATGCAAGCGCCCGGAGCTGCAGCCGATCCACGCCAGCTGGGTCAGCTCGCATACAACTGGATGCCGCACCAAGGTTTGTATCGATTAGCCGATCGATCCGATCGGTCGCGCGGATGGCTGCAGCCCGAAGTGCTTCTGCCCAGATCATGGTGCTGTCGCCGCTGCGGAGCGTCGTCGCCCAGGGCTCGGGCATCCCGATCCGTTGCCCGGGGCCAATTATTCGGCTGGATGGATCGCTACAACCAGTCGACTGCATCTCACCCTGTCGATGACATCCCATCTGTCGCACGAGTTCCAGCCATGCATCGGTCTTGGTGGTCTCTAACCTGCCCCGTTTGCTCTCGATGCTAGGAGCCGACCTGCAAGGCAACGCCATGCTGGCCTCGCAGCAACAGCGGCTTGCACAAGGCATGATGTCCACCTACCAGTCATCGATGCTTGGCCGCAATCCGTCGCTCGCCCAGTACCATACTCAGACCACCGGGGCAGCAATCGGTGGCGATTTCGCAAAGGCAGCCAACGGGCTTATGGATCAGCAGCAGACAGCCTCCGCTGCCCTCGGATCGCTTCCACAGAGCCCGATGGTGTCTGGCCTCAACCCCGGTCTCGACTCGCTCAAGCAGGCCGAGCAAGCGAGCTCGTTGCAGCGGTTTGCCCATCCCCAGCAGGCGATCGACGCGCAAAATGTACGAGCCATGTTGGTGCTGCCGCATGCCAGCATCCTTGACTCGCTGGGTCTGCATTGAGCACTAGAGTCGCACGATGCCATAGCCCCGGAAAGTTCTAACCCCCGCATGCTCATTTATATCCCCCCCCCCCGAATCAATTCATGCAGCGGCAAGTGAACGGCGGTGTATATGCCACTAACGTGGCTGCAGCATCGCTTCAGCAAAAAGCCCTTGTCCAGCAGCAATATGTGGGCCATGCCCAGCAACTGACCGAGCAGCAGCTTCAGATGATGCATGTACGAGGCATCAACCCGGCCGCGGTCAAGTATGCATCGGCCGATGCAGGGTCGTCAGCGCAGACAGGCGTGCTGACTCCCGGCACAGATGGGATGGTCAGAGTAGCGTCGATTCATGGCCCACCGCGACCACCAGAAGATGCCGCGACGCTCGCTCAGCCATGGATAGCGCTATACCAGCCGTCTCCCTCGGCTATCAAGGCTCACAAGCAGCTGACCGAGTCCTTGCTGGCCGAAAAGCGACAGTTGGCCGAACAGGGCTTGCGGCAGTTCGAGCGGCTGACGCACATTGCCGAGCAGCTGAACAACACGATGCGTGTCGGCCTGCCCGGTAACCGGAAGCTTCAGCCAATCTTCAAACTCATTTTGGACTCACCCCTGGATCGGCGACTCAAGCGCGAGCGATTCGCTCCAGTGTAAGTCATTGTCAGCACCGGAGACATTGACTATGGCAGTGGGAAGAATGCTGTGACTCGCGAACCAAACGCTCGACTGATCCCATGCTCTGCTTTGGGTGCAGATCTGACGAGATCGCAGAAACGGTCTCGCAGCTGGAAGAGGAGCTCGTTCCGATCCGAATCGACTTTGAGGACTCGGGGATCAAGGTCCGAGACACGTTTACCTGGAACTTGAACGGTGAGCAGCAGAATCCCCCCCCTCCCGATGCACTGCCAAGTATTTATGCCTCTGCCAGCGCCATGAGGGGCCACGCTCCAAACCTGCGTCTCCTTGGAGCCGGCTCGGAAGCAAGCCAGCGTCTAGTCCGCAACCTTCATGAGCTTTATTTTCGAGGCATCGCACTCACTGTTATCGGCATACCCTATTCGACATATCAGAGTCCTGCATTACGCCAGAGCAGTTTGCCAAGGTTTTCTGCGACGACATGCACCTGCCCAAGAACTTTGCTCCTCCTATTGCCAAATCCATCCGCGATCAGATCGAAGACAGCAGATCCTTCCGCAGCATTGCGATTGCTCGGCCTGTGGTCAATGTGGTCAAGCTCGAGCGGCCACCGGACGAGGCTCTGGGCACCAGCAATAACAGCAACGACAGTGCCAGCAGTCATGTCGACAAAAAGATCAAAGTCGAGCCAGATTGGGACGAGGGCCACGCGGCGCCCCAGCCAGACACACCCGAAGCTGTCGTCTGCGATCACCCCGAGCTCCGCATTGTCATCAAGGTCGACGTGATCGTTGGCAGTACGTCGCTAGTAGACCAGTTTGAGTGGGACATCAACTGCACAAGGGCGAGCCCCGAAGATTTTGCGGCCCAACTGACAGCAGAGCATCGGCTGGACCCCGAATTCACGTAAGATCGTTTGGGTGATTGCATTGAGCCGAGGCAGCGCATATCTTGAAGTACGGTGTCGTTGGGTATCTACTGTCTGCCAAAGACTCGGGTCCCCGCATCCGAACCGGCATGCGAGCCGTGCTTGGGTGCTGAAATTCCCACCTCTCCCCGCTCAGAACGGCGATTGCGCATTCGATTCGAGAGCAAGTCGAAGCCTATAAAAAAGCACTCCTGCTACTGAACCACCCCTTCGACGACTCGCCGATTGACGACGAAGAACTGGCCACGCAGTTCCTGCCCTCGATTCACTCTGTGCAGCGCGAACAGCGCCAAATGGATGCCTTCACAAGCTATCTGTTCAATTTGGAAAACGCCGACATGGAGCGACAGGAGCGTGCGATGGATCGCGATGTTCGGTAGGCTTAGCTGTGAGACGCCCAGGAGGGCTAGCAAGGCAGTGAAGGCAGCCCCTCAGCCGCACCACATGGTCTGGGACAGCATGATATTATCTCGGATAGCCTCACACAGTGCTGGAATAGCCCAGCGGGACTGCCATTCACCGGTACCTGATCCGCATGTTGTCTCGTTGATGGCTGATCCGCATGTCGTCTTTCCCAACCAGGCGGAAGCGTCGGCAAACTCAGCGAAGCAGGACCCTTCCCGACCGAGAGCCGCTCAAGACAAACCGAACCCCCCTGCCACTTCCAGGGTCGGGCCCGGTGCAGGCGTCGTCCATATACGTCGTCCCGGGCGAGGAGGTTGATCCTAGTTTAGAGCGCTCCAGCTCGAGCAATCTGTCGCTTGCCGCGGTCAGCTCATCGCCCTCGTCGGCAAACCGGCGATCCAGCCGCTTCGCGAGACTCGAGCACAGCCGCAGCAATAGCTCCGAGCCCACCCGGCGAGGTACCGCTCGTCTTCCAGCTGCGTCGGAATGAGACCCTGTTCGCCGTGACGCCAAGCCCTCGCTCTTCGATATTGTAATCAACGACTGATTCCGTATATGAACAGGATTGCGCGGTATTGACCATGTCCAGTGCAAGAGCTGTGGATTCGCGTATCCCGAGGGCCAAAAGGTTCGAAGAAGCGGGGGCTGTGCCGTCCAGAAGCGATCGGCGGAATAGCTATCGATCTGTGGTTGCGGGGTCGTGTGTGATAAGACTAGCATGTATTGGGAGGGGGTTGGGGCCATGCTCTAACCCTTTTGTTCTGATGTTCGCATGCACAGCATTTTTGCAGCAGAGGTGGGTCCCGCTTGCATTCTTTCTCAAACCGACTGGCGACACCACGCCGACGCACACTCTGACAGTGATCTCCCTCTTGTTTGTTTGCGGGCCCGCACACAGGTGCAGGATCAGTTGCCAAATCGGCACTTGGACAAGCACAGCTCTCGCCTTCGATCGGTCGAAGCCCGGCGACGCCATCCAAAGACAGCGTCGAGGGGACACCCTATTCGGAAAGCACGGACGCCAGCGAGAAGTCACCCTGGATGGAGCTCTGCTGCCAGCAACTCGGCACAATGTATCCCAACGATCGGTTTGAGATGGTTACGTCCACGGGCACCGTCCGGGTCCGGTGTCTTGACTGTCCAGGTAAGCGCGCAGACTTTATTCGATGCGATTCAGGATTCGCCCAGCCACGAGGTGCGACAACTAATGTGCCCCTCTATTTGATTTGCCCGCAGGAAAACTGTATTCGCCCGGGCCGGGCGAGACCTTGGCCAACTTTGAGATCCATTTGAAGAACCGACATCATCGTCTGAATGTAAAAGCGAGGCTGGAGGGTGTTCGAATGTAAATATAGCTCTGACTTCCGTTGCATTTGCTGTCGCCCTGGATCTGCTCTTGCGCGGACCGGCCAGGTGGAATACATGTTTGAGGGTGGGAGCTTCGGCGACTCACCTTGAAGGCAGCGCACCTGTCGCCGCAAAGCACTGTCTGCTCGGCGTCCTTGATGGCTCTACTTGAATGCCTTGAGCCATTTGCTGAGCACGTCGCCGCCACCGTCGTCCTGGACGTGGGGATGAAACAGAGTGGGTAGATGAGGACAGAGTCCCACTCGAGATCGAGCGCACAGGACTGGCCCGTCTCCCGGATGTCTGGCGGCTTTATGAGAACATACGTATTCCTCGTCCTCCTCTTCGTTCTCGAGATTGACGCCGTCGGTCGAGTTGATCAGCTTCAGCTCAACCTGAATCTGAGATATGGAGTCAGGAGTGAGTCGTCGGATCCAACAATGTTGGAGAACCGAAATACTATCGAGCCAGCGCGCTCCGCCACCCAAGCGTACTTCATAGAGTTTCTCCTTCAACATGACGTATTCATGCAGGTTTTCTTCCATGATCGACAGGATCTGAAAATAGGACTCCAGCTGCGATATGGTGATTTTGTCGAACTCCTGCGCAGGTACCAGGAAGCAGACAAGAGTCGGCGGATTGCTGGCTGTTCCTTGCATGCCGCAACGCAGCGGAGTGCAGTGCAGTGCAGCGTTACGGTGAGGCGCACGTACCGGGATTTCGTATGGGATCTGGTTCTTCCAAACCGCACTTCGCGAGCTCGGCATGTTGACAATACCGCGTTGGAAGCGGTGCTGGCCTGGCGAGTACGGTGCAGCCAGCCCGGATCACAAAGCAAGCCGATATCGTCGAGGCCAGCAGTGGGTCAGAGCGGCCTGTGGCCATCAGCTATTCGACCCAGACCGCCACTCAGAGATCCGTCGTGTGCTGTGCTCCCCACCAAAAGTTGGTGCTTGCCTTGCGTCGAGCGCAGATTGGACTTGAGATGGCGGTACTTGCGCTTGTATTCCTTTTTTTTGCGTTCGTACGTCTCTTCCTGCAGCCGGAGCGGGCAAAGCCTTGATGAGTGCCCGGCAGTTGCTCAAGTCTCACACAAGATGCCCGTTCACTCTCATCGCATGAGCGACTTGAGTGCTTGCCAGCTCGCTCACCAGATTGGACACGACAACGGCCACAATGATCTTCATGAAGACAAAGACGCCGATGATCATAAAGCTAGCGTAGTACAGAGCCGCCGGCAAGAACAGATTGTCGTTCTGGATGAAGAAGAGGACGGATGGTATCAGCCAGCGCCGGTCCATGGACGGCCGCATGGAATCGGGCAACAGACCTCCAGCTCGGTAAACGACTCCATCCAGCCGATTTGGGTCGTCATGATGAACAGTGTGAACATGGCTGGGCAAGCAGACATTCATCGATCTCTGTTAGTCTCGCAGCGGCGAAGTGTCGACAAGCAAGGAGCCACGATGCATACCTGAGCCGATGTCTCCAAAATTTCCTGGTAGGACGTCGCCAAAGAGCGTCACTCCCACGATCGCCCAGATCATCATCAGTGCCACGAGGAGGACGGTGATGTTGGCCATATCTGTGGCACACGAAGGTCAGCCGAAAGTCCCCAGATCGATCCACTCAGGAGCCCCTCTGTGTCCAGTGGTCTGGCAAAGTTCACTCGGTACCCTCATATGCTAGCGCTTAGCGGACCTGGAATGGAGTCGACGATCGCAATGACGACGGTTTGGACGCCGTCGAGGATAGATATGTAGCGCAGCGATCGGAATGCACGCGAGACCCGCAGCAGTCGAAGAATCCTCGCATTCGATAAAACCGGCAGAGCTGGGTGAAGTGGTGCGGCAGAGCGATACGGCAAACATGAGCGAGTGCGACAGGCTTCCTCGAAACGAAAAAGAACTGCTGACCCGACTCCCGCATGGCATGTTCACAAGCCGAACGAGAGCTTGCCTGGGGTAAGAAACGACGTGAGAACAATGATAAAGTCGCCGACATTCCACCCCGACTTCCAGAATATCATGAATCCGTAGTACCACTTGAAGAGGATCTCCATCGTGAATATCGCCAAGAATATCTCGTCGATCATGACAAACACGTTGGAGTATCGCTGGGCCTGCGATGGGAATGCCTGTCAGTAGCGCCGAGCTCGAACAACCCGCTCCGTGGCTGTTCTCCATGGCCCGATATCTGATCTCGCTTTGCTGCAAGGACGTACCAGCTGGTCATTGGTCTGCACGGCGACTGTGATTGCATTGAGCAATATCACGAGCAGAATGACGCCGCTGAAGAAATCGCTTTCGCCAAAGCGAGCGGCAAGGTCTTCGCTGACGTGATTCTCGAACGCCTCGTCGTCAATGTCGACAATGTCGTTGAAGCTGAGGAACTTTTGCTCCAGCTTGGTGACATTCTGGAAAAGATATGGCGGCATGCATGGGCATTTGGGGCATCGATACGAATAGTCCTTCACGGCTCTCGCACGCACACTGGGGCCTGATCGAATGGTCAGATCGAGAGACTTACATATCGAATGGCCTGGTTGAATATGATCTTGCGCACCCGGTTGTAAGAGTCGCTGGTCGTTTATAGGGTGTTAGCATGCTGGGATGCAGAATGCCATCCGCGGCCATGACCACAACAGAATTAACCAGCTCGATATTACGGCGCCTGGGCTCGAGCCTCGTTCAGTCTCGACATACGTGTTAGTGTCTCCATCGTAGTCTGGAGACTGCCGAATGGGCGATGAGAATGGTTTGCCCTCGTCTTCACTGGAGAGACAGGGCACATCGCCGAAATACGAGGTTCTTTCTCGCGGAATGGGTTTGTTCGGATCGCTGACACCAGGCTGTTGGTTGTGAACGGCACCGCCGACATCAGAAATGCGATCTGCCCCGACGACAGGGATATCGATCCCACGCCCACGACGGGGACTGCCCTCCTCACCATATGAAACGCTAGATAGGTCAATTCGACATCGACGCCTGCCCGCAGCGAATCCAGGCGATCGCGAAAGTTGATTCCGTCCGGCAGAGGCTTCGTCGCTCCGGAATTGGTGCCTGAGCCACCCTTTGGGTTCGCAGCAGGAATCGGGCCTGGGACGGGCTTGGTGGCCATTACGGCGCTGTCTGTGCTGGGCTCCGAAAATACTGCTCGAGCTGACTGGTCGTCGGCTGCAACTCCCAGAGCAGAATCTGATCCCGCTCATGGACCGCATGCAAGGAGGACTCGCCGCTGCGAGGCTCGATTGGTTTTTGGCGGGAAGGCGAAGAGGCAACGAGAAGACCGGCCCAGCGCCCCTGCATCGCTTTGATTCTCTTCTGAATTCCAGCCTCGGCACCAGCCTGCTGATTGGGCCTGCAGCGAAGACATCTGACGACAGCTACGCTGGTGTTTGTGGGCGTGAGAAACGACCGATGCCCGAGAGTATGTGGCCGTCAACGGGACAGAGCGGCTGAATCGCTTTTCTTACCAACACCGGCCGATTCCGAGCCTCACCAACAATATTGGCATTGCTCGCAAGCGCATCTGCAGCGCTGTCCTCCTCGATCCTCCCGCAGAGCAAATCCCTCCGTCCAGTGCTCGCAACCCCGATTGACCACATCTGCATCTCCTCGGCACTGGACAGTCGCCGTGCTCGCAGCAGTCGTCGGTTCCGTCATCGTCCCACCGCCACTACCGAGGATCTAAACTCGAGTGTTCTCTCTTGTTTGGGACCCAGCCCATTTGCAGCTGCCTCCGCTCTGGCCAGAGCGCCATCCGTTCGGCCGATACACCGGCAGAGACGTCGCAAGACACAGCATCGGACACCGCAGCAGATACACCGCCGGATACAGCCCCAGATACACCATGGTGCTGCAGCCGGGCTTCACAGGGAATCCCGCTAGCTCGGGGCAAAAGCCAAAAGCAGCAGAGGCAGCCACCAAAACCCGTTCGCAGCGCGAGTCGCCGTCGTCCAGCAGAACCACTCTGCAGCAGCCCAGCCGACCAGTGCCTCCCAACACTACCTTCCGGGAAGATCGCCGGATGCATGCGCTGGGCTCCAAGACAACGACGACCTCACAAAGCGACGTGCGGACATTGCCAACCCTTGGGAGATCGCTGACGATGGGCTCGGTTGGACGGGCAACCCGGTCATACGGCCTCAAAGACTCGATACGCTCGGTGGTCGAGCCCGCAAAGGATGCGGCCGCAAAGAAGAGGCCGTCGCTGCGCAAGGATTCGGAATATCGGGAAAGTGAGCACTCTGTCCCAGACAAGGCTCATGCATCCTCTGAGTTTGCGTCGACGGAGCCGCCTTCTCGATCGATGAGGTCGCTTTCGCTCAAAGCTCCTGCGAGCTTGCCGATGGCAGTGCCTTCGACGCCCAAGAAGAGAATGAGCATACCAAGCCTCAAGGGTCCCAACGGCATCATCTCCAAATTGATCAGCAAGGACAAATCCAAGCTAAACAAGGGCGAGACCAAAATCCAGTCCGATATCCAGAGCGATCCCCCCGATCAGTCAACTCTCGAGCCGACAAAGTCCGGACGGGGGAGCCGATCGCTGCGTGGGCGAAGTACATCAGCAGTTGCTCCTGCTACCACACCGCAGCGGATCGATGCTCCAGCGGGGCCATCTCGGGATGCCCAGCACCCACTTCAGCAGAACATGCATGTGGAGGCTCCTTTAAGCGCACACGAGTCGCACCGAAACTCAAATGCGCCCGCAGGTCCACCAGCGCATGATGGAGCTTTACTTCAGCCGAGATCATCCAATGGACTGCAGCCAGCCATGGATACCCGCCGGAGTGTGGTCCAGTCGCCAGAGATTGCTCTGTTGCTGGCTCTCAAGACATGCGATCCCGCCGAGCTCACAAAGGTAAGCCAGGAGGGGCTAAGCGGATCGGCGGATTGGTTCTTGGCAGTGTACTGATTCTCTAACAGAAATACAGTCTACCCAAGCACCCAAACGTTCGTGGGAATGTTGGCATGGCCAATCTGGGAAACACCGTAAGTGAGCGAGGGATGTGGCCTGTCATGTCTGGTCCACAGCGCAGCAGACCTCTTGGATCCAGCATCTGTCGAGTCCTCGGTGCCATCCACCCTGCTCATGCACCTTGGAAGCGAATCTGACTCTTGCTCGAATCAAAGTGCTTTATGAACTCGATCATGCAATGCTTGTTCAGCTGCGAGCTTCTCGTGGCCTTCATTATGAGTCCTTCGTACAAGCAGCATCTGAATACCAGTAGCCCGACTCGAGGCCGGATGGCAAGCGGTCAGTACGGCGCTGAGAGAATATTGGGCATTTAGGCGCCCCCGAGCATGCGGTTGAGTGGAGGCTGGCGCTGGCCCAGTACACTCGACTGCTGCTTTGGCTATTGCCTTTGGGGGGTCGGCTTTGGCGTCTGGGCTAGATGCTGACATCTCGACCGGGCTTTCCATCCCTCTGGCGCGCATCAGCTTTCCATGACCTGGTTCGAGATGTCATGAAGGATAACGACCGGCGGAAGATCATCACACCACTCAGCTTCAAAAAAACCGTGGATTCCTGCTCGGCAATGTTCGCAGGATTCGAGTGAGTATCTGGCACGGATCAGTCGGTGGCCCTGGATTGCCCGTTAACCATGGACCTCTGCCTATCGTCTAACATCTTTGCCTGCGCTTCATCATAGTCAGCACGACTCACAGGGTTCGTCTCCGGGGCGGCCGCCAATGTAGCATTGAGCTCGGTGCATTCAGAGTGAGAAGAACAGAGCTGACCACGACGATGCGCATGCGTCCACAGAGTTTCTGCGGTTCGTACTTGATTCGCTCCACGAAGACTTGAATCGTGTATTACGAAGACCAAAGTTCACATACACTGATCAAGACGTAGAGCGGCTGAGGTTAGTAGGGTGTGTGTTGAGAGTGAGCGGCAGAGAGATTGTGGGATCGCTGTCTGGTTGGCCTGTTTCGATATTTGCCGGATCTACTCTCTACTGAATGCCGCGCCGTCTCGATCCCATCCGCTCCGCACGGTATTCTATGCAAACGACCTGATTCTGCAGCGATGTCGACAAAGCCAAGCTCTCTTGGGCTCGCTACCATAGCGCAAGCTCTAGTGCCGTCTTTGGTAAGATGCTGCTGATCATTCTCTGAGAGGCATTTGTGCACACAGTCGATATATAGCTTGATCGCAACAATGCCGCAGATATTCAGAAGTACTGGTCGCTGCTGAGGGTGGCGTCTGGAAAATCGACAAGATGCACCGTTGCTAACTCTGTATCCACGGCTCGCATCTCAGACATGTTTGGCGGCCAACTGCAAAGCACGGTCGAGTGCCAGACTTGCCACTACAAGTCCGTGACCTTCGAGACGTTTTGGGACTTGTCGCTTCCGATACCGACGGTAAGGGACAGCTACCACATGGTTTTGACCGCTTGTGCCAACCGACTTCGCAACGAGGCGACTAGATGCAGGATAACTGAGCTGGCGTCGCGCAACAATTGGGATCTGGATGCAGTCGTCTTCGGACCTCCGAAGCTCTGTGTCCCGGATGTCCAAACAGCCGTGCAGGCTGCATGACTGTCTCACCGAGTACTCCAAGGAAGAGATGCTTGAGGAGCCGTACAAATGTGAAAAATGCAAGAAGCCCAACAAAGCGACGAAGCGGATTACAATCTTTCGGTCTCCGGAGATCCTCGTCCTGCGTGAGTGTTGCTGCAGCGATCGGGTCCTTGGCACACCCGGCGACCCGGAGACCGACAGGCGCCAGGCACATGGGCCGACAGAACGTGGGCACCGCTGATGTTCTCGATTGCATCCCGTGCTGATTCAATCTGACCATCTGCCACTGCTGATCGACTGCAGATCTCAAGCGGTTCTCGTACACCATGTACAGCCGGGACAAGATCGAGACGTGTGTGGCATTCCCGGTGCGAAATCTCTCGATAGAGTTTATGCTGAGCGACATCTCGCCGTTCAAGGACGACGCCCAGTCGTACGACCTGTTTGCCACCTCAAACCATATGGGCGGACTCGGTGGCGGTCACTACATTGCGTACACGAAAAACATCGATACGGAGGCGTGGTATCAGATGAACGACAGCAAAGTTTCTCCCATGCCGGGGGACGGCCCGGGTGCCAACTTGGGATCGAGCACCTATGTACTGTTTTACCAAAAGCAAAGGGCATCGAAGCGGGAGAGCATCGACTGATGCAATTTCTTGCCTGGACGGATGGGGTGGGAACACGAGGCGAATACAACAGACATTCCTGACACCAAGACAGCGTTTCTGATATTCAGATATCGCCCACGATATTCATACAGCGTTCCTGATATTCAAACAAAGTAAACCCACCAGGGCGTTTGCTGCCGTTTGGTGGTGAGTGATCAAACCCGTCGTCACACTGGGTCCGGCCAGCCATCTCGGGATGTCGGCTGGCCACCGGCTGGCCATATCAGTCCCGTGACTCTGGCCGCACTCTGGCTGGCGCTGCCGCCAGATCTGCTCCCTCCTCCAGGCTTCCCCACTCTGCATTCTTTGGCTCTCCAGCACCGCCGATCTCATCAACGGCCCTCATCCCTCCTCCCTCGTCAACAACACAATGGATCTGGATCCCACCATCGGCTTCGAGACAGGACCCAAGATCACGATCCTGGATCTGGACAATGAGCAAAAGGCGCTGACCTTTGTCCTGTCCAATACCGACCTGTCGGTGGCAAATGCCGTCCGGCGAGTGATGATTGCCGATGTGCCGACGATTGCAATCGATCTTGTCGAGATCGAGAACAACACGGTAGGCAGCAGAGCGCTCGCACTGGCAGATGTGCTGGAGCCAGATGTCCTTGGCCGTGCATACACCAGGCGTCATCGGGGCTGAGTCTGCATGGCTAGTGCTGTCTGATCGATTGGGTCCGCCTTGGTGGTTTCTGGATGGTGTCTCAGCCGGCCACCTTGCCGATCATTGCCGCGGCTGTTGACCGTCGGTATCTGTTTGAATTGTCATGGCCAAAATCGCCATCGCCATCGCCATCTACGTCAACGTTGCCCTCCTGGATCGCTCGGTTCCAGACCGTGCTGTCGGACGAATTCATCTCACACCGGCTCGGGCTCATTCCGCTGGTCTCAACGGACGCATCAAGCATCGTCTACACCCGAGACTGCAACTGCACGCAATCCTGTCCCCGGTGCTCAGTGCAGCTCACACTGGATGTCAAGTGCACGGACGACCGGACTCGGTCGGTGACCTCCCGTGACCTGATCTCGTCGTCGTCGACCTGCTACCCTGCGCTGCTCAACGATAACGATCCCGGTGTGCTGATCGTCAAGCTTCGTCGCGGACAGGAGATCAAACTGACGTGCATTGCGAAGAAGGGAACGGCCAAGGAGCATGCCAAGTGGTCGCCTGTCACCGGCGTCGCCTTCGAATACGACCCCCACAACCGACTTCGACACACGACCTACTGGGTCGAGGACGATGTGAAGAAGGAATGGCCGCTGAGCGAATGGGGCAAAACACAAGATGAGCCGGCCGACGACGAGCCCTTCGACTATTTGGCAAAGCCCGATACGTTTTACTTTGGCATCGAAGGAACCGGCGCCATTGAGCCCAAGGACGCTGTCGTTGGCGGCCTGAACATCTTGATATCCAAGCTCAAGCTGCTGCAGCGATGTGTATCCGACATCATGCAGGAGGAGGAGGACGAGAAGAACCGCGCGGGTGGCCAGAGACTTTATTAATGCCTCCCGGCCCCGGACCGTGGTGCCGAGGCTGTGTGTGTGCTCGACCTTATCGGACGACCAGGGATTGCGATAATCCGTGCATGACGAACGGACCGACAGTGTCTTGGCTACGGCTTGACTATGGCCGCTGGTTTCTGGATGAGTTCTTTGCTGAATATACGAGAGGCCGTTTGCAGTGTTTCCAGAGTGAACACCAGTCTGCCATCGCCTATGAGGACGATACCGTGACAGAGTGCCCGATACCGATTGCAAGTCAACTCATCCAAAGGCCCATATCGATGCGCTGGAGATCGCAGATGCCATACCGACAGGAGGGAATGTCTCCGTGTGTCCATGCTCGAATATCGAGCCCATTCGACTGGGAGCACAGAGGTGCGATCCCACAAGACGAAACGGAGTACCTGTTCGGGTGGTGACAGCGATCGCTTTCTGCGTCCTGGAGGCACGCCCATCCATCACCAGAGACGCCGAAGACCCCACAACGGCGAACATCCAACCAAGATCCACATGGAGGCCAAGCCGTGTCGTGTGGAGCTGTCTGGACGGTCCAAAGCGTATTGGATCTCGAGAGTGTGTCCTCTTGACCGACAACAGGCAGTGGTTCGATTCTTAAATAGCGCAAATGGGTGCTGTCTCGTTTCGTTCTGAGCAAGCTGTATTTAGAGCACAAATATAGAAAATACGAGGGCTAAGCTGCGGGCACACCTTGAGCGCCATCAAGGGGAGGCGACACGGGCCACACAGGAGACTATGTATGAGATCGTTGTTGGTCTGGAAGGGCGGCCGTCAAGGGCTACTTTGGAGAATAATGAAACGCTTGAACAAATGCACTAAGCTTCAACCGTCCAAGCATACTGGCGGGTGCGCGAGCGTTGAGTCAATTTGGAAGTCGCCAGCTCGATACACTAGAGTCGACTTGACATGCTTGGTTACTGCCGGTGAAGGCGTGGTCGTTCGAGCTGTGGCCATGACGATCAAGCGATCCAGGAGGCGAGCTTTCTGTTGGTTTCGGCGACGGGATCAAACAAGTTGCCGATGGCAGCAATGTAGCCATCGGGGCGGACGAGGATGTAGTCGGCGTGTCTCTGTCGAAGGACATGCTCAAAGCCATACTGGTAGTCGATCAGCACACTCATGCCCAGACTGCATCGGAGGCGATCGCCAAATGGAATGACGGCGAAGCGGGCCACATTCGAGAGCTTGAGGAGCTGCAGTTGGCTGTTGATGCGGTCGATCTCGGCGACGCTCAGGCTTCGGGTGTGGGCGTACAAGAAGAACTTGAATCCCGTGGTCAGGGACAGAGCCCGGTAGAGACTGAGTCGTCCCGCCGTGGATTCGGGCAGATCGGAAAGAAGGTCAAGGTCGGGGAGCCTGTCGCCGGCCTGCAGTGCCGATTTGCTGGAGCGGCCTGTTATCCAGTTCCAGAAGCGGGAGAGCGGAGCCCATGCGGGCTTTGCACGGTAGTTGACGGCGATGCCCGCGATGCGTCTAAAGTATTCAACCTTGAGCGACTTGAGCATCGGGAGAATGAACAAGAACCCGCGGAGTCCCACACGGACCAGCCACGAAGACGACATCACTCCCAAAATAAGGGTGTCGGTGACTCTGAGAACATCGGCACCGACGCGATGACGCTCCGGGTGGTAGGTGTCGAGGACCGAACTGGGGACCTGTCCCTTCAAGTACAAGGCCAGCTTCCAGCCGAGGTTGTATGAGTCCTGGATCGAGGTGTTGAGGCCCTGACCGCCCGCCGGAGAGTGCACATGAGCAGCGTCGCCAACCAGAAAGACGTTACCCTTGCGATAGGTGCCTGCCTGGCGCAGCTGGGAGCCAAAGACAGAGAGCCAGTGGGTCTCTTTGATGACGTAGCCGGTGTTGGTGAGGCTGTTGAGTGACGCCTGTATTTCCTCCTTGGTGACGACATGATCCTTGGGCAGGCGGCCCAGGCTCGGGTTGATAGTGATGATTCGGAAGATGTTGCCGTCCATGGGGGCGATAAAGGCCATGCCCCGTCCAGGGGAGATCATGATGGGCCCATCGATGGCGAATCTGGACTGGTCGTCCAAGGTGACATCGGCGAGCAGGCCCGAGAACGCATAGTTCTTGCCCTCGAAGGAGATGCCAAAGAGCTCGCGGACTTTGCTGCGGGAACCGTCGGCACCACACAGGAACTTGCACTGGATCGTGCGCTTCTGGTGTGGAGCCACCGTCGAGGCCACCGTGACAGTCACGGTCCCGTTCAGCTCGGCGGCATCGACAAGCTCAATGCCTCGATGGACGGGCTGGCCCAGGTCCAGGAGGGCGTCCTCGAGGATCTGCTCGGTGACGACCTGCGAGATGCCGAGGACAAAGGGATATTTGGTGTAGGGCTGCAGCGGGTCGGTCTCGATATGGGTTATGGAGCGGATGCTCTTGCTCTTCTGGAAGTTGATCGAGGGAATGATATACCCAGAGTTGATGGCCTTCTCTGAGATTCTTGGATCGATCTGTTCAAAGGTCTCGACGGTTCTCGGATGGATGGCCAGGGCCCGAGAGAAGCTGGACTTTGTCTGGTGCTTCTCGATGATGCAAACGTCGATTTCTCGGCGGGCCAGCTCGATCGCCAAGGCCAGGCCAGAGGGACCGCCTCCGACAATCATGACACTGACGGTGGAGGGCAAAACGGTGAGATCGGGGGCGTTTCCCGGGACGGAAGCTTGGGCGGAGCTGGAAGACATGCTGGTGTTGGTTGGGGTCTGGCGGACGCAAGAAGATTGGGATTATCAAGAGGCGGGCGGTCAGCATCATTGGACTTTTGGAGCAAACGAGCACCAGTCCGAGCGGACGAGTGGGCGGGCGCAATCAGCTGCGGAGCAAGAATCGGACGGATGCCACCAAAGGTATGAAGTGTGCGAGGCAGGACAGAGGGAACCACACGCTCATACCGTGGTAGCCAAGTGGTGTAGTGCGGTTAGATCATCGAAAGGCAGGCGGTGCCTTTTTTTATACGGAGGTCCTGGGGAAGTGCAAGCAATCCAAGGGGTCCAGCAAGTTTGGAGCGACGCGGGGAGCTGTGGGCAGCGGATGAGATGACTGCGACGCGCAGGAAGGGCGACGCGGGCGTTACGCCGGGGCCGAGACATGGAAGAGCACAACGGCATGGGTCATGGCCGAGTGACCAGAGGAGCGACAAGGATGCACAATTGGAGCCAATGGTCGGCCCGGTAAAACTGGGGAACTGGCGTGGGAGCGACGCAGGGCGACGGCCGTTGCGCAGGCAGCGATGGGAGATGCACACCGTGGTTGCGACTGGTGGCGCCTGGTGGCAACTGATGTGGCGACTGATGTGGCGATGATGCGGAAGAGTGTGGAAACAGTGTGGAAACAGTGTGGAAACGATACGCCAGTCACACGGCATGCATCAAGGATATCGACCGGGGATCTGGAAGGACCGGCAATTGATCAGCAGCACCACTTCCGCCGTTTGACATTTGCGGGGCTGGTGCTCGGACAAGGCCGGGGCGGGCGATCCCGGAGAAACCAGGCGGGCGGATGTGTCAGCACCGAATCGAATGCGGCTCGAGCCAGCCGTCAAGGAGTCGATGTCCGCCTTGGTCGTGTCCATCAGCACCAGATCGACCGGCCCCTCGATCTGCTCATCCGTAAATCGGCCAGCCGACCAGCACCACAGCCGACAGCTCGCCATGGTTGCGCGGAGAAGCACCCTGCCCAGAAAGGAGGTCCTGGCAACGAGAGAGCGCACACACCAGAGCGATGTCCTCGACAAGCAGCAGGAGTTCCGGGCCAGCCACGCCGGGCTGACTCTGGCCGAGCGGATGGGCCCGTGCCCGTTCCTGTTCCGCACAAACATGCAGGAGGCCGGCTTCTTCCCCTACAGCGCCGACATGCTCCCCCAAGACGCTGCTCCGATCCAGGCTTTCGCCAAGCTCGAATGTCCCCAGTTCTGCTACTACATTCGCAAGTTGCGGGTCACCATGGGCAGAGGGCTGCGCGAAGGTCCCAACCCGACCGACATTGATCTCGGACCGCACAAAGCCATTTCTCGTCGACATGCAATGCTCCAGTACAACTTTGACGAGCAGCGGTTTGATTTGATTGTACTCGGAAAAAACGGCATTTCCGTCGACAATCGGCTCGTGCTGCCCTCCATGGGACCGTTTCCGCTAAAGCACAGGTAAGGCTCAAGCAACGGAGCCGCCCTCTGGAAGGCTGCGGGCCGGTAGTCGCATATCGTCGTCTCCGATGGTGTTGCTGCAGTCGTACTGAGCCGTTGCCGGACTCGCTTCACGGTTCCAGAGCGGTGCTGGCTTTCGGAAGCTTTTCCGCGACGTTCCTGCTCTGCACCGTCGATAACCCCAAGGATGCCCCGCTGGAGGCACAGACCTACGCCCTCAACCGAGATCCCGCCAAGGTCATTACCAACGAGTTCTTGGCTTCGACTCGATCAACATCTGTCGCCGATACGGCCTTGAGTCCTGCTCAGGGCCCACCAGCGAAGCGGCAAAGGGTTCAAAAGAATTGATCATTGGAGCCATACAACCCCCGACGAGCCAGAACACAGCGGGCATATGGTGCGATACAGTTTTGGTTGGTCGGTCCAAATGTCACTCAGGGTTCACAACAGCACTCACAAAGCGAGACGAGATCGCCTGGTTTACAGCTCGCGGATTGTGTTTCTGTGCATCCAGAATACACTCATGAAAGCCTCATCTCCCCCAACGATCAGCTATATCACTGAGACCGGGCAGGACGACCCGAGACTTTTAGCCACCCCAGGAAAGCGGTCGGCTTGCTGTCCAACAGGATGCATCGTCAATGCATCCTGGCTACTTCTCGATGACGAGACTGTATCGAGGATAAGGAGTGGCCATCATATTTGTACTGAGAATGGTTGGTGCACATGGAGCGGCTCCGGCTGACCAACGGCAGTCAATCTGGGTCCCGAGAGTGTAATCGATGCCGGACTGGGAACTGGACGTGACCCGGAGAGTCGGCGAGAGCCGTGAGCGCAGAGTCGGTTTTGGTCCCCCACCGTCAGTACTACATGGCTTTGGTGATCCGCCATATATTTCGAACGGAATATACCAAGCGATGAATTGGTGTTCAAGCAAGAAGAGACTCGTACGGAGCACAAGAGGAAAGAAACGACCTGATCAATCTATTGCTGAGTCACCGTCCGCTGATCAGTTGCGGCCGGTGCGGGTGAAGATGCTGACTTCGGGATACTCGTCGTCCTTCAGCTCGCTCGACGGCTGGATGGGGTTGGGAAGGAAGTGAGCATGGTTCAAGTAGCTGAGACACTTCTTGGCGAGCACTGTGGTGGAGACACCGGGCGCCGAGTAGATCGAGCGGGTGTTGGCGTTGTCGAGCTTGAAGGACATGTCCATCATCATGTGCATGAGCGGGAACAGGGCATTTTGGTCGAACAAGGGGTTGGTGGAAAGGATGTACTTGAACTTTTCACGAGTTTCAAAGAGGACGGGCCAGCCAAAGGAATTGACAATCTCGAACAGCTTGGTCTCAGTGAGGATACTGTGGTGAGTGAGTGAGTGAGTGAGTGGGTAATCATAGTCGGAATCCACCATCCACACCACAACATATCACACCATATCACACCACACATTCCTCACCTGTGCTCCGAGTCGCTGATGTGGAACACAAACTTGGACAGGGACTCCTCCGAGCCGGCAATCTCGGCAACCACCTTGGCGACATGGTCGACGGGATCCATGGTCAAGGTGACGGGAGTGGCATACGACGGAGCAACACCGAGTTGGATGCATCCCTTGACATATCGCCAGATGTAGTCATCAGAGTTGGACACTGGAGCGATGGAGGTGTGAAGGTGTCAGTTGGTGTCAGTTGGTGGGTGAGTGGCACTTGACAATCGAGACCATCGATTCATGGCCAGTCCGTGGGAATGAATGAGACATTTCCACTACATCACACCACATCACATCACATCAAATTCGACTCACCTCCGTACTGGCTGTCGCCAGCAATGACGGCTGGGCGGATGATCGTCGCAGGCACTCCCCTCGATCGTGCCTTGTTGACCAGCTGCTCAGAGACCCACTTGGTCTGGCCATACCCGCCAGAGATGTTCCAGGCCGAGTAGATCGTCTCCTCGAGCGGCTTGTCTGCCTTCTTGGCCATCGGGATCGTGCCGATGGTCGAGATGTAGTGCAGCGGCTTCAGGTGGTGGGTTGTGGCCAGTCTCAGGGCCGTCGCAGTGCCGAGGACATTGGGTCCCTTGAGTCTGTCATAGTCAAACAGCCAGTGAACCTCGGCGCCGTTGTGGACAATCATGTCGGTCTCCTCGCTGATCTCCTTCCATCGCTCGTCCGAGAGTCCCCACTTGTCCTGCGACAGGTTGCCGCACAGTCCAACGAGTCGAGGCTTGAGGTTGTGGTCAAGGAAGGCTCTCTGGCTCGGATCGAGGACCAGCTTCTGAGCCGTGCTGATGATGCGCTCGACAGCCACCTGCTCGGTCGGGGCTCGGACCAGGCAGTAGATCTTGGCCCGAGGGAACTTGTGGGCCAGCTCAAAGACCAGGAAGGCACCGAGGAAGCCAGTGGCACCGGTCAGGACGATGCCGCGAGGGTCCTTGGGATAGACAAACGGAGGGAGACCCTCGGCCGTCACACTCGCATCGTCGAGCTTGGCGGCCTCGGCAGCCAGATGGACGGTCGGGGGAATCATCGGTCTGTCGTCGAGGATGTCGACAACCAACTGGGCGACATCAGTCGGTGTCATTCCGTTCGACAGGAGGATAAGTGGCGAGACCTCGACATTGAACTCGTCCTTGATGGCGAGGGCCAGACGGCCGACACTCAGCGAGTCAAAGCCGACGCCGCCGATGTAGTAGTTGCGGCCGTCGAGGGCGGGGTTGTCGATGATCTGGCTGCCAAGTGTGGAGATCTTGGCGGCGGTGCGGGACAGGGGAGTGTTGACGATGTCAAGGGTTGGATAGACAACCGACTCGCCAAAGTACTTGGCATGCTCGGCGAAACGCCTAAGCTTCTTGAGGTCGCGCTTGCCCGAGTCATTGAAGGGGAGCTGGTGTAGTTGGAAGACGTTGTGGATCGGGAACTTGGCGACGTTCTCGAGGGTAAATAGCTCCTCGGTGCGGCGGATCATCTCGCTGGGAGTTACTTTGAAGCCTGATCCCTTTCGAACGACGTAGAGCATCACGATCTCCTTCTCGGAGGTTTGGATAAAGGTACAGTCTGTGATGGTATCAGGCATATGCTTGAGAACCAACTCCTCGAGAGCATTGAGGTCGACATAGACGCCGTTGACCTTGATCTTCTGGTCGAATCTGGAGTGATGGTGTGAAGTGAGGGAGTGGATGACGTGAGTACTCGAGATGCAGGAGTTGGATGTGTCCTCAGGGTACCAGATATACACTCGTCATCGATAAGAGATGCAACACCCAGCCATCGACTCACCTTCCAACCACAGTGAACTGCTTCTCGTCAACCATCTCGACCCAGTCCATGGTGCAGACACGGGGCGAACCATCCTCGAGAAAGCCGAAGGGTGCGAGTTTGTTGTTTGGATCGGCGTTGACAAAGTTGGGGTGGTTCTTGATGGGATGATCCTTGTCGACGGCAAAGCCAAGCACGCCGCTCTTGGAGACACTCTGGTCGACAATGTTGCCCTCTTCGTCAAAGAGGAGGCATCTCACACCGGGTTTGGTCAGCTTGTAAACCAACTTGTCTGGAACGGTTTGGCTGCTGGCTGGAAGGCAGAATAAGGTGAACGCACCAATCAGGATTGTCTGGAGCAAGAACAGTTGATGAATTTAGTATCAAATCGTTGTGCTACTACGACAAGCAAATACTCACCTCGCTGGAGACATATGCAGACATGATTTCGGCCTTAGGAAATGCCTTCTTGACCTGTGCCACCACGTTCGCTGGAACGAACTCCGAGCCCAGGCCGATCTTTCTCGTTTTCGTCCATTTGACATCGGTATTCTGAGTCTGAGCGACACTGATGATCATCTTCATGAGCGAGGGCGTCTAAGAGGAGTGTATCAGAGGACAATCTGTCAGCACTGGAATGAAAGGCGGTTTGCCATCAATGCATACCCCTTACCAAATACAAATACCAAACACCATCTTCGAGCATTCTGATGATGCTCTTGACTTTGTCGACGGTGTTGGGTGTGGGCTCGGGTATCCAAACGGATCCTTTGAGGCTCAAGGTGCATAGCATTATAGTGAGAGTGGCGCTAAACGAAGGTGCCTGATTGCCATTCCGTGTTAGTTCTCATGCATGGATGGCTCAACACTGTCGCTCAGAATCGTGTCTTACCTGGCACAGCCCAGTACGTATATACTGAAGTACCAGCGCACCTCGGCCAGAAATTGCACCAGTATGAGGGAACTTGTATCTGATGAACCACAAAAAGGTACTGAGAGTTAGATCCTTCATTCGATCCGAGTTAGCAATACGGCTGCAATGCCATGAGTCACTTACGTCTTCGGGATGCCTGTTCGGTTGATTAGGGAGCAGCATCGAGACACAGAGGTCAGACACATTTCCAACCGGTGCTTCATTGTCTGTCATCTACTGTCGCAACCGCTAGAGCTCAACTTCCCATGCTCGACCTTTGTGGCTGGACCTTGGCTTATCAGCAATCCCAGGCACTCGCGAGATGCCGGGGACCACGGGGTCCTGATGGCTAGTGCGCCGCCACGGCGGCGCACAATAAAGAAAGAAAAAAAAATCCCAGGCACTCGCATACTCCTCTCACATACCAGTTGTTCCAGATGTTCCTAAATAGGCAATAAACTCATCAAGGGGCTCACAGACATCGAGGGACGGGGATGGAATGTCGTCCAACACCGGGAAGGTGGCAGCATCGACCAGGGTCACGCCTTCGGTGCGGCCGGGCTTGGTGTGGTGGTGGAGGATGTACTTGATCGCATGTCTGTCGGTTGGTGGCGATGTGAGTGTCAGGATCTCAGTCGACCAGCCCAGAAGAGAAGCTGGCTCGATTCAAACCCCGGACCAGCCTGCTCATCCTAACGATAGCAACCAGCACTAACCTCTCGCACAGGGCCTTGCGGGCTGCAGGAGGCAGGTTGAGGGCAAGGTTGAGTGTTTTCCTGGATGGAGTTCAAAGGACAGGTGAGACTCGACCCTTGACATGGCACGGAGCAAGGGTTGAACATGTCCCTTGCCTGAGCCCGTCCTCACGACTCCATATCACAACAGCATTTATCACACAGCAACAGACCAGAGATACTCACTTGCCAAGCATCCACAAGGCGAACGAGAAGATCACCCAGCTGGCTTCGGCCTCACAGAAGGTGCCGATGACGTCGTGGCCGTCGTCGTTCCAGCCAGGGAGAGCCTTGAGGGCCTGGGCGATGGAATAGGCTTGCTTCCACACCTGGAGATAGCTGAGTCGCTCCGAGGCACCGTTCTCGTATGTGTTGATCAAGAGGGCATCGGGCTCATCGCGAGCAGTGTTGATGAGACACTCGACGGGATGGAGCCAAGGGCCAAACGGATCGGGCGGAGGAGGGAACTTTGGCTGCTGGGAAACAGGGGTCTGGGTCCGGGGTTGAGTGTCAGCAGATTGGGCGACGACATCCTGGGTCTGCTCGGAGACAGGAGGCTGGCTCTGTTGGGCTGCTGGTGGGTGGGTCTGCTGGTAGAGGGAGATAGGGGTCTGCTGGGAGACATCTCGGCCGTCGACCGGGTCTGAAGACCCTCCAAAACAACAGGAGATGGCCCTGAGCATGGCGGAGAGGCGGGGTGAGGGCGACGAAGGTGTTGATGCCAAAGCCAGATGGGGGCAGGAGAGCGAGGAGGGAGCTGAAAGGGCGAAACGAGACAACGACGACGAGGGGAAAGGGCGAGGGGAGAGCCTTTTGTCGTCTGGGCAGCCAGGGGAAAGCGCCTTTGGCCTGGCTGCTAGCCAAATTGCATTGAATAAGTGCTCTTGCTTTCTCTCGGGGTGCTGAGTCTGCCAGCGTGACCGGCTCTGTGCCCGGGCGGTGGGTGTGGCTGGTTGCCCCTCGATGCTGTGCTGTTGCCTCGCCCAGCAATGCCTTGCTGTTTCCCCTCTTGGCCAGTGATTGGTCCATCCGACCAGAACACGTGTTCGGGTTTGACACTTCCCAAACTGTAAAGGTCATATCCAATGGCCCGACACTCCCTGCGTCCTCGACACTGCTTTCCTCGTCGTCGCTGACACGATTCGATTGATCGAGGTCATCGGCAGCGAGCACCGAAGCATCTCCGGCCAGGATGGAGTCTACGATTGATTGGGATCCCAAGAGTAGGTCCTCGTGAAAGGCATATTATTCAGGATCGCTCTCGGCCTCATCGAGGGCAACGTCATCCGATACAGCATCACGATCAGACATATACGAGTCGTCGTATGTGCTGGCGGTGTCAGCCCATGGCTGGATATACAGTGCGATCGCATCTTGCACCATGCCCGTCACAGAGACAAATGGTTCAGCTCCAAGTTGAGGGTGATGTGGTCGTTGGGATGCGCCGCTCTGAACGGGATGAGCAGCACTGGATCGATGAACATACGGCCAGGAGGGTGCTGGATCGTATGCAATGTGAGTGTGATGTTGTTGGTAGTATGAGCTGTCGAATCCTGCGTGTTTGTCTCCCTGACGCATCCATTGTCGGGGATGATGGAAAGATCAGGAGTTCGAATAGTCGGTTGGATCGGGCTGTCACGGACTTGCGATGGAATTAACACTGGTGTGCGATCGTCGGCTTGCCGGAGAGGCAGGCTCCCGATCATGCCCAAAGGAAGCGGATGGATCGAGGAATGCTGCACCGGGCAGCGACGACGGCGGATAGCCGTCTTGGGCAGGGATACCTGGATGCATGAGATCGAGAGCTGTTCCTGAATGGCACAGATGGAATGATGCAGATGAGGAGAGGAGAGAGGACGGGGAGCGAGAACCAGAGTATGGCCTGCCACGACGTGGCTGTCGGATTGGTGGCGCTGCAGTCAGAGGTGACACGGGCTGGTCGGCCTTGTGGAGCGTGTCCGCCAATCACGCGCGCGTCAGTGGCAAGGACGAGCAAATTTGTCTGGCGGCTTCCAAAAACGGAGGGGACAGTGTCGAACTTCAAACCACCGGCAACCGAGCCAGTGCTCTGCTCGATTTACGGCTGCGATGCCGATGGCTCTGGTCAGTCGAGCTGGCAAAAGGAAAGGCGGCTGTTCCGGGCTGGGCCCATGCTGCCTCGAGCAAATTGGTGGTTGGAGCATCAGCCCGTTGTCGGTGCATTGATCGGTGATGGCAATGCGATGCTGCGATCAACTCTCGGAAATTGCTGATCCACAAGGCTGTTCTTGATTTGAGGCCATTATCGCGTCTCACCCGCGGGCAACTGACACTTCTTGACACAACGGACGACGCGATTTGGGGCGAAAGAGGGGAAAGGTCACAGCCATGGAGTCGGTGGGGGCGAACTGTTTTGCTGCCTGGCGGGGCGGGGCAGGAGGAAGAAGTGCGCCACCAAGGGAAAAGCCAACTGAAAAGGGGGGGCTTCGTCTCTACTCCTGCGCTCGGCCTGACTTTCAGATCCCAACGTGAGGCAGAAAATGCCTTCCGCAACAGGTTAGTCTTCTTCGACGTGATGACGAGCGCAGACAACACGACACTCACCTGTGCTGTGTGGTTGCAGAGATGGAGGACTTTGACGAGTTCCTCAGGCAAGCAGACCTGGTCAAATACAGGGATGTCTTCCTGGAGAACGAATACGATACAGTCAAAGTGGTAAGCGAACTCTGCAGCAGATGTCCTGTTGCATATCGCGGTGCTGACTGTTGGCCGCTTCAGCTGCTCGCCCTTGAGGTGTCTGACATGAAGGAGATTGGAATGAAGCCCGGCGCCATCAAGAAGCTCCAGATGGCGCAGAAGCAGCACGAACAGACCCATGCCCAAAGCGCAATCCCGGCATCCTCGCAGACACACACACCGCCGCCACCCCAGTCCCAGCCCAACGAAGTCGTTGTTCAGGAGCCCACCAGAGTCCTCACTGCCAACGACTACGTTCCAGCGCACCCTCTGGATGGCTGGGTCTGCCAGAACAACTTTACGTCTCATGAAGTCTTCATCAGGTGGCGTTGATATCCAGCATCAGAGCGACACCACATTCGCCTGTTCCGCACCAACTGACTCGCATGGACTTCCACTTGCTGACCGACCGTCCTTCCTCAGCTACCGGGTCGAGAGCGACGCTGTCAATGCATCGTCGCTGCATGGGACCCTGGCCACAACCCCTCGAGGCCACACGGCGCTCCATCCATACCTCGACATCCAGTGTCTCTGCAACGGCATGGACTGGGAGCAGGGTTTCATCAACGGTCTCTACAAGTCCAACGTCATCATCGTCATTCTCTCCGAGGACGGTCTGAAGCGCACCTTCAACGCACATGTCTGGCCCGACAATCAGTTCCTCGAGGTGGGTCAGGTGCTGATCCTGGTCTCATTCGTCAAACCATAACTCACATTCACTCGTCCATCCACAGATCCAGCACGCCCTCAAGTTGATGCAGGACACCGCCGCCACCGACCACCCAGTCATCGTTCAGCCTGTCCTCATGTGGTCCACTCGCAAGTTCGGCGACGAGACCCTCAAGAAGGAGTATTTTCCGCCAGTCAACAAGTTCCCTGACTTTCCTCCGGCGCACAAATCCAGTCCACTCTTCGATAATCAGCCGATGACTGTCCAGCATACATTCAAGGAGCTGTTCAAACTCCAAGCACTCAAGGCTGTCGATACAGCCGCTCTCAGACAGTAAGTGTGAATGTCCCTCAGCAGCAACTCATTCCTATTGCTGACTCACATTCTCAATCTACAGCCTGGTTCCTGCGTTTCGAGAGCTTGTCACCAAGACCATGACTGCTGCAGACCAAGGAGTGACATACCACCAAGGCGGGCCCATCCAGCTCACCGCCGAACAGGATTCGCTCCTGCGATCCCTCCTCGATCCCGTCGACTCGACTATGGACAGACGTGCACTCGAGGATCTGTATGTCGAGGGCACCCGCCAGTGGCTGTTCGACCAGACCACCGACTGGGTCAACCAGGACACCACCGACACTGTCCTGTGGGTCAATGCCGTTGCTGGAGTGGGCAAGTCTGTCGCTACTGCCCAGATCGCCAACATCCTCACAGCCAGCAACCAGCTGGTGTCGGCGCTGTTCCTCAAATACAATGACATCCGCAAGAGCGATCCACGAGTGGTGTTAAACACCATCGCATACGGTCTGTGCAAATGGTACGCACCGATCGGCCGCAAACTGCTCGAAACCAAGGTGACAGAAGATGTAGGCACTGGTAATAGCAGTAGACAGACCAAGCGAGCCATCACCAAGGACGGCCTCGACAAGATGAGCATCCCCGAGTTGTTCAAGGCCGTGATTGCCGATCCACTCAAAGCCATCGGCGACTACAAGCCCAAGGGATCGGTGATGATCATGGTCGATGGACTCGACGAGTGCCATCCCCGCGACCAGCTGCTCAGTCTGCTTGCCGGCCGGTTTGTCGAACTGAACAAGACCCGTCCGTGGCTCAAGTTGCTGCTGACCTCCCGCCCCGAGGCCGACATCAGGGATGCCTTCCGAGGAGTCCCGACCAAGACGATCGAACCGTCGAGCGAGGACAACATCCGCGACCTCCGGGTGTTCATCGACCATCATCTCAGGGACCACCCCAGCCTCAGCGAGTCGGACCGCACCGAGGCAGTCGCCATCCTGCTGGACCAGTCCAAGACATTCGTGTGGATCAACCTGATCCTCAACACCGTCGATTCAGCAGCCAAGGACGGCCCAGTGACACTCGCCACGATCAAGGACATCAACGACAGCGCCGCCGATGTCGGGCAGTTGTACAACAAGACATTCGCCAAGATCCACTCGCAGTCGAGCCACCCGGCCGAGTTGGTCACAGTGGTGTCGGCAATCGCCACGGCCCAGTCGATCCTGACCCCACAGATCATCGCCGATGTGTTTGGACTCGAGATCGGCGTCGTTCGCGAGTGTCTCAAGAGCCTCACTCTGGTCCTCGATCCAGGCGCCAATGGACTGGATCCCCGAGACAGCCAGTCCACCAACACCGAGGTCAAGTTCAACCACAAGTCGGTGGCGGACTATCTCCTCGGCGACGCATCGACTGGCCATCCGTGGCATGTGTCGAAAGAGTTCCACATGGTGTTTGCTAAGGGATATCTCGGAGTGATCCTCTCGCACGACCCAGTGGTCAACATCTGCGATATCTACGAGTTCCACGAGCGAATGTCTGATCATAATGATGATTATGCCGAGCTCTTGCTCAATGACTTTGATGGCTCTGATGAACCGTATCACGATTATGAACCTGAGGAGTACTTTGATCCAGATTACGGTAACTCTCAGCCTGATTACTATGATGAGTACTTTGATCCAGATTATGAAGCCAACGAATACTATGACGATCAAGAGTTTGGCCAGGAGGAAGCAATCTCCTATACCGTAAGAAACTATTCCGCGCCTGAGAGGAATGACAACGAAGCCAATCGTGTTGCTGAAGTCATTGACGATGATAGTATCTCCGACCTCGAATCGATTGAGATTTCACTTGATCTCGACAAGTTGGTTGCGGAGAAACTTTCGCCGCTTCTCCAGTACAGTGCGACACACTGGATCACCCACCTCGCATGGTGTCTCGAGGAAGTGGACGAGTCGAGCCCGGTGTGGCAGTCGTCCGAGTTCAGCGCCCTGAGTGCAACCCTGGCCAAGTTCATGTCAAGCCATGTTTTCTTCTGGCTCGAGTGTGCGTCGCTCATGCGCGCCGTCCCGTCGATCACCGAGCAGCTGGCCACCCTTCAAAAAATTATCAGCATGGCACCCAGAACCATCGTCGACGACACCACGAAGGAGCTGGTCAAGGACACGTATCGATTCATCCGCGAGTTTGCCGATCCGATCAGTGCGAGTGCACCTCAGGTGTACTACTCGGGGTATGCATTCACACCGAAAGGAACAACGATCTACAAGACATATGCTGCCCAGCTCGAGGACAAGATCCCGTTTTCGGTGACTGTCGGCGTATCGCCCGTCTGGGATATGAGGGAAATCATCTTCCCTGGACCACAGCAAGATCGTATTTTTGCCTATTCGTCTAACCTAAAGTGGGTTGTCACCAGCTCAAACGACACCATCAAACTGTGGGATATGACGACAGGCGAGCTGAAACAGATCCTCCAAGGAAATCCAGAACAACTGAGATGCGTGTCCATCTCGCCAGACGGGAGCTGGATCGCCTCTGGCTTGGTTGACTCTACGATCAAGGTGTGGGATACCGCCACTGGACGAATAACGCAATCCCTCAGGGGCCATAACGGTGCACTCAGTGCTGTGATCGTGACATCCGATGGTCGGTACATCATCTCCCAGGATGATCATAATGGCAGCATAGTCTGGATGAAGCGCAACAACGACTTTGTTCAAGTGTCTTTCACCAACCCTCCATTTGATTCGCGACTATCGAAGCGCATCTCTCGCGGGTGGAAGCACACGGATATGCGCCACTATGCCGGAGATATCGAGTTCAACTATGCGCCTGGATGGATTCGCCAGGGCAAATATATCATAAGCACTCCAAAACAACTCGTATTTCGGAGTCTTGCCCCAGAAATCAGTGCGTTCACACCCTCTGGTGGTCTGATCATCTGGAAAAAATTTCAATTGCCAACAATGGTCATCGAGGTAAGCACACTGCTGCGCGAATCCCTTGATTTCCTTGATTGCTGACCTTTCGATCTACAGTTCAACTTTGATGAAATCACAGCGCCGCAGCACACCAAAATCAAACCAAAGAGAGCTATCAGCTTTTGGTAACATCCAAACCTGACCTTCAGCCCAAGCCTCCACGAGATTGATCCATCAGTGCGCTTCATATAGGAGCGTTTCGAATATAAATATGTACTGCGGATGAGTTCAGATCCGCGATGAACCCTTCTCTTAGATTTAGTTGGCTGTGGGAACGCGGTCTTGAATGCATCTGGCCGATTTTGTGGTGGCGATCTATTGGTATTGGTATCACTGGAGTGTCGCGCATGCATTCGACGGCCACTTGGCGGCTTCCTATGGCCTGTGAAGCGATGGTGACGGACCACCCCACTCCTCTCGGGCCAAACATGCCGTAGCCGGATCATGCCATACCATACAATGTCGACAACGACCGAGCGAGTCGAATCATCTCCCCAGGTTTCCGTGCGTGAACAGGGAGTGCACGAGGGGGGCAGGTACGACGAGGACCATGTCAATCGACGACATTCAGCTGAATGATCGATCGGCATCATTCGATCCACACAATTCACACAGGACATCGCCGTGTTGAGGTGCCCTGTTTCAAAATATGCAAGCTGTATTGAGGTCCAGGCAGCTCGCGTTCTCAAAATTCGGCTTTTCTGCCTTTCTTCTGGAGTGTATGATAAATACCCCTGTCGTCATCCAGAGGCCGCACCCTCTATCGCCTCTTGTCCTGACACTGTCGCAGCTCCGTTGGCCGCGCCAGTTTGTCCAGGTCTTTTCTTCGTCTCTACATTCATATCAATATACATCTCGCACAACCATACTCAGCAGTTTGTACATTGAGCGTTTCTTTCATTTGTGGCACTTTGGGGTTGATCAGCTCCGCTGTTCGGTCGCCCTTCAGAAGCCTCTTCGGCGACCATTCTTTCTTGCGCGATTGCCCCCGGCTCCGTTGCCACCGGCCAAACTGCCATTCCCCTTGCTGGCCGATCTTTGGCGAGAGCGGTTGCTGAGCTGGGAATCATTCGAGGCGAATCCAGCGCCAGTGACCACTGCTGACCGTGATACTTCGACGGCAATCGAGTCGATGGCAATAACGTCAATGTCAACACATCTCTGGTCGCGCCGGAGCATGAGCTGCTGGCGGCGTCGCTGTGAATCAATCTCGATCGATGCGAGTTCTCGGTAGGTGCGTGTCGCATACTTTTCCCAGCCCCTGTACCCGACACCATCGGCCGAGCGTGTCCAGTGGCAACGGGGTTGGACAAAACACATGCACAGCGTTAGCGCCAGTTATCCAGAACCACGGTTGCACAGCACAGCCATGTTGGAGCGACAGATTCTCTCTCCACGAGCCATTTTGCAGCAGTGACATACTCGAGCGGGACACGGCCTTTCGAGTCGGGATCGCCAAGTGCCTGGAGGCTACGTGCAGTGGTATCGTCATCTTCATCGTCCATGTAGACACGATCGTAGATCCGGAAGCCTAGATCCACGAGTCGCCGCAGATTCTCGAGGTGCTTCTGTGTGTCGATGAGCAGATCAAGGAAGAGGCGCGCTGCCGGACGGTTGCGCTTGAGATCACGCAGATGGATCTGGTACCGAGACTGAGGCTTGACTAAATCGATGCTGGAATCGGCGATGCCCGGCAAGGGTGGATGAGAGGCTGGTTCCATCTCTGATACGGTTCAGCAGCCCCAGCCACAGCAACTCTCCCGAGGCACTGTATCATTCACGCCGAAGCCGCCCAGGAGGCCGCCGAGTCACATACATGACGGAGAAAAAGTCGTCTGTTTTGAAGCGGTCGTTGAGTCGCGGCGACTGGAAGTTCCAGAAGGTCTCAAGCTCCAGAAGGGACAAAACTCCGTCGCCGTCCAGATCCAGACACCGGAACCAGTACTCGAGTGCAGCGTTGGTTGTCTTGTCCTCAACGGACATGATGAACGCTTGACGGTGGCAATGACGAATGAACCAAAGGTAAGTCAGAACTGGATTGGGATGTGGACGTAGTTGAGGGCATTTTCACACTGAACTCTGGCACACACACTTACGGATAAATTCCTTGTACGTCATTTTGCCTGTATGGAGTGCTAGCTGCGGCATTGCATAGCCGTCTAAGATCCGCTCAATGACTTTGGGAGAAAGGGCATCACAGCCATAGGACTCCAGGTCCTCTTGGGCGAGCAGCTGCGGAGCATATTCGGCAACATCAGTCCCAGCCAAAGCAAGACAAAGGGAAGCACAGCGACCAAAGATACACGCCGAGGCTGCCGGCTGGTTGGATTGAGCATCCTCGACTTGTGCTTGACCCACTAAATACGCAACAGAGGCACACCGGCTATGTCCGGCGGATCGAATACTTGCTCGGATGCCTTACCATGTCGCGATCTCGATCAAGCTCCCAGAACTAAGACGTTTTTGTTCCATGTGGAGTTAGCGCCGTCCAGCCAGCTGCTCTGCCATCGTCCAGCGCCAGCCAAAACCACCCATCGTACAATCTCTGTACCACGGACCTGCATGCCGGCCATACCTTGCAGTAAACGACATAGAAATCCTTGTACGAAAACAGACTTGGCATCTGCCGATAGACTCGTTCAGAGCACATCCATCTTGCAGGTGCACCACCAACCTGCAACATATACACAGACCGTGCAGCGATCGTGCACCCTCGGCGACGGCCACTTACCAGGGGAGAGACACTGGTCTTGGCAAGATTGACTTTGTTCAAGATTTCGATGATATTCATCAGCCGGAACTCGGCTAGAGTCATTTGCCCGTTCATGCCTCGGGGTTTGATATAGAATATCCGAGCTACGACAGTATCAACTGGATCGATGGCGACATGAGATCAGCACACAGCATAGCACAACGGGTCGCCTGCTGCCTCGAGAAACAGGTGTCGCGGAAGGCTTGTGTCTGCTGTGCATTCATGAAAGGGTGTGGCGCCGCACGTACTGTATCGGTCCTGGAAATTTGGCGAGGTTGCCAAAAACTCGAACGCCGGGTGGTTTTCAATCACGTCTATGGGCGAGTAGCATGAGCACGGGCCCGACAACAACAGCATCCAGGCCAACAGCAAGTAGACTCAGGGCCCAAGTCGATTGCACAACGTACCTCTTGCCACAACTTCCAGATCGGCAGGAAGAAGCACGGTTTGCTCTTGCCCTTTGAGCAAATTGAAGCCCACTTGGGTGATGTCGGCGGTGGTGTATGCATCGATAGCGCTCAGCACTCTGTGACATTGAGTCCCAGGGCAGCCATGAGAGTTCATACATCAGAATACCAACATTAATGAGCCGGCACCAGGCGAGTACAGCAAGCCACAGCCACAGGCACAGGCTCCCGGGCCTTCGCCATGTGTCTACGTCCGCCGCTACTAACCGATCGACTTCGATCCATCGAACACTTTGGTGAGGGCTGGCGCCAGTGTCGTCTCCGATCCGGACCGGGGTGGCTTCGCGTGCCCGGCGGAAGAGCGCAAGGGTCAGATACCTGGGCAGCCCTATCGCCGCAGAGACACAGACCAGATCGGACAGGGCCAGACATCTCTCGTCTCCAGTGTCTGAGGAGATAAACAGCTGCTTGACCTGTGTTCTCTGCAGTGGCAGCCACACGGCAGCGGGGCACAAAGCGTCGTTACGGTGGAGTTAGAGTTCTGTCGGATGCAGAGGTCTCCCACGCGACAATCGATATCGATGCAGGCAGTGCTGGTGAACAGCAACAGCGAGATCCTTACCAACTCTTGGCGACGCTCGTCTGAAAGTGCATGCTTCGAAGGGAAAAAGAACCGCGGGATTCCCTGCAGGGATGGATGGACGAACAGGGCATCCAGGGCCGCCCGCAACAAGCGGATACAGCAGCGTCCGGTCGAGAGAAAGCAGGACTGAGTGACCAAGCTCGAGAACAAACGACACCGTTGCTTGCGGGCGCACGAACGACGAAACAGCAGATAGCGCTGCGAGTAGAGAACAGGGACGCACTTTCACAGGCGGGATGTCTACGCCCGAGTCCTCGGTCGAGGAGCTCTTTGATCCTTGCGACGGGTCCAGCATCATGGCCGGCGACAGAGGTGGCGCCGTCTCTTGCACACAGCCAGGGCCATCCAGAGGATAGTCGACATCGGGGACGGCGTGCATTGGAGGCAGTTGGTGGTGCAGGTAAACGATGCGGCAGACAAAGTGTTGAGGATTTGAAGGCCAATTGTCGGGTGCTGGATGGAGGCCAACTGTCGGGTGCTTGATGGCGAGCTCGAATGCCAGGGAGACGGTTTCGGCAGAGTGCGTGTTGGACGAGCCAGCGAGCGAGTGGATAGCCGATTTGCTTGTATGGCTCAAGACGAATGCGAGGCAAATGCAGAAGAGGAGCCAGACGGTGTCGCTGGAGCACTGGGTCTGCGATGGGATGATCCAGGGCCAGAGAGGGGACGGCGACGGAGATACAGCTGGTTGGCTTGGAACAGAGACACTGACGACAGGACAGCCAGAAGGCCAACCGATGCGGGTTCCGATACGCAGAATATAAAGCGACGTCGGCTTGCTTGCCCCAGGAGGCTGAAGCCGTCAAACAATGGTTGGCGAGTGGAGGAAAGCGAACGGGCGAATCGAGGCGGGCCAGAGCAATGCGCTTTGGCTGGTGCTCAGCTGGGGCCAGCAGGTGTGTTGGCGCTGGACGCAGCGGACGGGCGTGGGCCACGGCGAGGGCAGGCAGGGCCGAGGAAACCCACAGAGGACTGCCGCAGAAGGCTTGCGGGGGCCGCTGTGGGGTGCAGGAGGCGAGTGGATTGCCGTGCGAATCGAAGGTCGGTCTATGAAAAGCAAGCTCCAGCCCAATCGGCCCTGGCCAGCCTTTGCCTGCGAAACGTGTGTCGCCGCCGCGCCCATTGGCCCGAAGGGACGCCTGCCGATTGGTCCACCATGCTGCCGGCTCGCGCGCTGGCTGGTCGCTGGCTGGTCGCTGGCGGGTGGGCGGATGCGACGATTGTCAGCGAGTTGGATGGGGGATTGTCAGCGAGTCGGATGAGGGGATTGCCGACGAGAGGATGAGGGAGGGGGAGGTTGATGGGCAAACAGATCGAGCCCAACGACCGAGCGGAGCGATGGATGAAGCACAACGGTCTGCTGCCAAGGTCAGCCCAAAGCAGTCGTGTTCGAGGCTCGGCAATACACTTTACACATGGCAAATGGGACACCTGCCCACAACCCATTTGTTAGCGTAGTATGTGATGGCATGCGTCTAACTATGCCATAAGGAATACATCAAATCACTTTGGCAGCCTCCGAGTGAACACCACCCTCCGAGTGAACACCACCGGTCGCCCTCCGGTCTCCACAATCGACCTGCACACTGTGATCATGTTGCGCGCCGCATTGACGTCGCGATTCCACACCGTCTGGCGAATGGTCATGGCCAGCGCGCGATAGCATTGAGTAACAAAATATTCGATGAATGGTCAAAAACACGGGTGTCTCGTTTTTTATTGGATTGATTGTAACATGTCTCGATCGTCTCTGGATCTCGCCAGATCGCAGTGTCGTCGACCACCCAGCAAAGTCCATCCGTAGGCCGTTTGGTCCGTGGGCTATTAGTTGGGCCGGATGATGCGGGCCGGGCCGCGGCCAGGCTTGGCAGGCTTGGAAAACGAGCGGGGTGTGCCCGGCTGCGACTCGCTCTTCGGGGTCGGGGCAAGCTCGCCAAGGATGTACTCGCCGCTGAGCTCATCGCCATCATCGGTCTCGATCTGAGGAGCGTGGTGCAGGGGGTCAACCACCAGGCCGGGGTGTCGTTTGCGGCATGAGTTGCGTGAAGGCAGGTCTGCCCAATTGTGCTTACCCTCTTGGCGATCTTGAGTTCGTAATCACGCTCAATCATCTCGTGGGTGGCCTGCAGAGTCGAGCTGTAAAACATGCGGTCCTTGACCTTGGACTTTTGGGGGCAGCTGTAGACGAATGCTGGGACGTGGAAACAACGACAAGCGACACAACGACACAACAACACAACAACACAGCAACGAACGAGATTTGGTCAGCACTGTAACGACCAGGTAAAGTGCCAGCAGCCCGACATGGATAAGCAACAGGGCGCCGCATTTGCATTTGCCACTGGCCGTATCTTCACAACGTTGCTTCTCAGACCAGACAGATTCATACCGATAGCAACGCCCTTGTCAGGCACCTGGATGCTAATGATAGTATACAGTGGCCTGTCCTTGGGGATGTGGCTGCTGAGCTCGGAGATCGGAATGAGGCCGCTCTGGTGCAGGCCGATGGCTTCGGCAGCAGTGTCGATCGCCTGGATCAAAGGCAGCGGTAAGTTGTGAGAACAGGCTGGCGCTATGGATGGCAGAGTGTGTATTCGGTGCTGGTGCAGGCACAGTTGCTTGACCGCCAATGAATGGCCGGGCTGACAATCACACTGGTCTGCCGCAACCCGTAGTGTGCTCACCAGCTGGACATAGTTGACGCGGCCGTCCTTGAGGTCGCGGAGGGCTTCGAGGGCGCTGTCGGCAACAGGCAAGGCGAGCCCTTTGACCAGCGTCTTTCTGGTCTCGGTGCCAATGTCGACACTAACCTGGTAGACAAGGCCAAGCGAACACCGCAAACAGAGATCCAGCGTGAGAAGGAATCCGAACAGGAGCATCGACGCCGCCTTCTGCGGAACCACTAGCGACCCGCGGAATGACTCGCATACGTGGGCCATTGGAGGGAGATGATTCTCACCTCAGCTATCTTGATGTGCTGCATTTCCTGCTCGCGCTCGGTCAGGGGGGCGCTCGCGTGCTTATGCTGGATATGCTTTCGATATCCTTCAAGAGTCAGCTCGTTCTGGAAGGCAGGCGGAGAGGGCCGCACTCGTCAGCTACAGTGGTTATGTGGGCCTTGGGCCAAGTCAGCCTCGGTTCGTACCTTGTGGGTGGCATAGATTGAATCGGTAAATGTCGAGTCGCCCAGCTCCTTGGTCAGGGTTGCTCGCGAGCTTGCATAGAGCATCTTCTGGCGAACCTGTTGCCACGCATTTTGGCAGAACGAGCAAGAAAGCCGACATAAGATGCAAGAAAGCCGACATAAGATGCAAGAACAAAGATCGCAGCGGCTTATGTCGATGCACATGCAAGCAAGGCCTCTGAACATCATCGCAATCTTGGCATAGATTGAGGCAACTCGACCTCTTCCCTATCCAGATCCATATCCAGATCCATGTCGTTTCATAGAGACGTACCGCCGCGTGGTCGGGAACATACGAAAGAACAATCCACTCGGATGCCCCAAGCGCCGTTTTGGCGTCCAGACGATACAGGATGAAGCACGGGGTCTTGTCCTCAAGCCAGCTTTGGATCTCAGAGAAGCCTGGTGGGCCGCATGGAGGCGGTGTCAGTTGAGTGCTGTCCATCGACCCTCGCTCGCCGAGTGCGCTTTGATGCAGCTTAGGCTCAACATGCAAGCCTCTTACCCTGCTCCCAAGAAACAGAGACATCGAGGGTGGCGACGGACTCGAGTTGTTCTGGCGAAAAGCAGAGCTGTCAATGGCAAAGTAGAGCCGACCCCATCCCGGTCGGCAGAGACGATTCCGGCCACCTTGTCGAGGACTGGGCTTGCAGCAGCATCAGAGCCAGGAGACCCACCGGACTCGATGATGACCTTGATGGCGCGAGCAGATTCCCTCGACGACTCAAAGATGGACAGGAGGTTGGCCGTGGCTGGGGTTGCAACGCAGCAAACAGGGAGGGTTGCGAGTGAGTCGGAATGAAAGGCGGGCCAGTGCGTCTGTCTGAAGCCATGTCGTTCGGAGGGCTACAAACGCTCCATGCTCCATCGGTTGGTGCTCGATGGTCGATGGTCGACGGTCGATGGCCAGAGCAAGATCCTGGATGGCCGCCCGTGGTGCAGCAGCAGCGACCCGGATCCCGCACAAAGCCATCGGCATGCTCAAGCGTGCTGCAGAGGCCTACGCTTGATTCCGCTTTGGTGGGACATTCTTCAGGTGTGTGTCGACGGCGGGTGCGAGAGAGGACGAGGCTGTGGCCGGGTTGGGAGATGCTGGCCAAAGAGCAGGGGGGGATTTGGGCGCGAAACCAGGGCAGTTCTGACGGGGGCGCATCCGCTGCTTGCCCTCCAACAGCTTTCGCAGAGACGCCGCGATCGACGTCTGGCAATACCCGGCTCTGAGAACCCCGAGAAGCCCATCGGTCGCAGCCAGGCGAGATACACCATGTCGCTGAAGGTGAGGCCGCTCTGGCAATCCACGCGTTGGGGTCGAGGTGTCTTGGGACTACAGGCTCGCTTGAGTGCTGTGAGCCAACACGATACCGCTTGGCGGTGCTCGGCTCCTGGCTCGTATGTACACCGATGCCCGGAGCTGATGTTATCGGCATCCCCCGATACTCGCAGCGTGTTTTCTCGATCAGTCCTCAGCAGCACGGCACCGGCAAAATCAGCTTTGAATGGCAGAACAGGATCGGCCAGTTCATGGCATCGGTCGGGTACGTTCCTGCTGGCTCTTGAACATGCTCGCATCGGAACACCCGTCTCTGGCTCGGCCCGCATGCTGCTCACTGCTGACGCTATGGTCGCCACTGGCAGGTCCAACAACTCGCTCTACGTCTTCAACCGACACGGCGAACTGATCGACGCGCTGGGTCTTCAGGGGTAAGTCCGCTCGCAAGCCCACCAGGCAATCATCCAGAGCTGCCGGATCCATCGACCAATGCGGCCATGCTCATGTGCTCCACCCAAATCCACCAGCGAATGCGTTGGGCTCGAATGGACCGACGAAGGAGATCTCCTCGCCGTCGCCCAGGGGCAGACCGGCGTCCTGCTCCTCTGGGATGCCAACACACGAAAAGTCACCACCCAGCTTGAAACGAGCATGAAGGGCATCAACATACTCAAGTGGTCTCGATCCGGAGACGTCGTACGTATCGCTGAACCAGCATGGCTGGGCGATATGTGCGTCCTGTGCCGTGCAACGATGGCATTGCAACGTCTTTGAGCCTGATGTGCACCCCCTGACTCTGTATGCGAATCTCCCAGCTGGCCACCGGAACCAACAAAGGGAATCTGCTTCTCTACGACCGCCGGAGTGGCAAGAAGATTCCGATTCTCGGCAAACACACAAGGTGCATCACGACAGCTGCATGGAGCAGCGACAGCATCCTCGCGTGCGGATCCGAAGACAAGACAGTAAGGCTACTCGTCACTTTCCGATGGATGTGCTGCAAGGGAAAGTGCGAGCCGGCAGCTTGGATTGAGTGTCCTATTGCCTTGCACGATGGCAGCATGACCGAGTGCGTGATAGCCATGTGCGAGAATTGATACGACCTGGCCGCCCGCCCCACCTCGTCTCAGTTTACACTCTCCAACATTGATGGAGACACTATCCTGCAAGTGTCGATCAAAGACATTCCGACGCAGATGAAGGTGAGTTCAGTGACGGGCGTGCGTTTCTGTCCTATTGCCAAGGCACACGGCACAGCTCTGCGCTGCAACCTCAGGAGTGGTCGTGTGCATGAGCGCCATCATATTTGCAAACGCCGATTGAGACTGGTCGTACGACGTTTTCCTCTCAGTGGTCCTTTATGAAAACGGGCAGCAACATGGTTGAGCCGGTCCTGTCGATGGTCCTGGGCGAAAAGACCCTCTATTTTCACAGCATGAGAACCCCCGAGTCGCCAATCGAACTGGCCTTCCAGAGCAAATACGGAAGCATCGTGGCCTATCAGTGGTTTGGCGAGGGCTACTTGGCGATTGGTTTCTCCTCAGGATACTTTGTCGTGGTCTCGACAAGTAAGCTGATCGTCCCTGTGATAAAATGTGCACCGGGCCGGGGATCGATGGGAATCGATGGGAATCGAGGATTGTCATGGATGTGCAGAGAAAGGGACAGAGAGACTGACAGAGATGCTGCAATGTCCGACGCCTCAGGCATCAACGAGATTGGACAGGAGCTGTTCCAAGCCCGGGACCACAAAGACATCCTGAGCGACATATTTGTGTCGCCGTCGCTGGGCAAGCTGGCGACCTGCGGCGACAACTGCATCAAGATTCACGATCTCATGGATCCCAAGGACATCTATGCCATCATTTCTCTGGATGAAGATCGCGGACAGCTGGATCATCTCCGGTGGTCCGATGATGGGCAGTTTGTCTCTGTCAGCACAAAGACGTAAGAGTGTTCAGGGACAGTTGGATCTGCGGGATGCGAAGTTGACGGCGATCGATGGGTCGAAACTTGGAAATCGTATCTGTAAAGCTGGACCGGTGCGCCTCCTTGCCCACAAACTTGGGGCTGACACAGCCACTTTGTCTTTCAGAGGCTCAATCCACAATTTCCTTGCAAAGTTGCCCATGCTCAGCAGCATCTGCGATACGAGCGTGGTAGGTTGGAGATCATGGAAGCGGTCGAGGGAATAACTCCCTGAAACCAAAGTGTGACTGCCGTACTGAAAAGACATGCACTCGATATCGTCGATGCTGCCAGATGTACTTGACCGGGCTGCTGGAAGTCACGATCAGCGACCAATCCAAGATTACGGCACCCAAGCCAGGCATCGGCCCCGCCGACATTGTCTTCAAACAAGAGATTCCGGTGGAGCCGACCGTCTTGGCGCTCGGTCCTGGCCATGTGAGTATTGTAGCGTCTCGGACGTTTGGACGCATGGGCGCCATGATGAAGACGTGTGGCAAGAGCCGCGGCACATCGGGCAGTGTGGTGTGTCGCAAGTGGACAGTCTGGTTGATTATTTGTTACGCCGAGTCCAGATGGCCGTTGGGATGAACAACCGCTGCTGGTTCTATGCCCTCAAGGCAGCCATGCAGAGCCCCCCGATTCCGCTGACCACCAAGCGTCCCTCGCAAGTTGGAGATCGCTCTGGGGACCGTAGTTTGTACAAGGTAGATGATCTGGATCGGCAAGCTATCGATATTGAGGGACGGGAATGTGCAAGCGAGAAACACGAGGAGCGTGTATACTCAGCCCAGGCGACTCACATGCCTATCCAGCGGCTATATGGAGACCCTTGCGAAGCCAGACTAGATCCAGCATTGGAATGTGTCGTGTGGAGCCGAGTGGAACGTTTTTGGACACTGGTGCTGGTTTTACCCACGCAAAGTCCACGGATCACAGGAGTATCTGGCCTCCATCAAGAACCTCTGCCTCAACAACCGCTATTGCGCTGCAACTCTCTCTGATGGTTGCTTGCACATACACTCGATCGAAAACGACGGCTCGTCGCTCGACAGTAAGTTTGTTGTTGCGCGCAGGCTGTCAGGCGCATCGAAGTTGGCGATAACATCTGCTCCGAATCTCGTGTGCCGGCGCTGATGTAGCTCTGAAGGTGCTCCCGGAGAAGGAATTCATCCGCAAGGCCTCTTCCGAGGTCCCGCTGGCAGTGACTTGCGCTGCAATCACCCACGATTTTATCGTCTATGGAACCAACAACGGACTGATCCACCACTACTCCAACGACGACTGGGTTCTGGTCAACGAGATCAAACACAAGGTCGGTACATGGGCCCTGCGATGCTGATGCTGTGATGCTGTAAATGGGGCGAGATCATAGTCGAAAAGGAACCAGGTGACAAGTCCCTTTGGATGCGCCGTTTATACCCTCACTACCTTCCTTTTCGACTGCCAGAAACCCATCCAAGCCATCTACCCTTGTCCTCGAGGTGGAACCAGGATGCTCTTCAGGGACGACGACAACGATCTATTTGTGCTCAGTCCGACGTCAGATGCCTTCCTTCAGATCCCTGGTATAGCAGGTACTGTTGTCAAACAGCGACGCTCTGCACACAGTCTCTCGCAGAAAATCGCATCCCCAAGCGACTGCCCAGATCAGGAAGCAGGACCTGGGGCGTGACGATCGACTGATGCAGGCGAATCCCATCCAATTCAATCCCATCCAATTCGATCCCGTCCGATTCAATCTACAGCCAACAATCGAGGTATCCTGTGGGAGTGCGGTGCGCCGTCCAAATATCAAATCTTTGTCTCCTGGGACGACGACTTTATCACAACGTTTGCATACAACCCATTCACGCTCAAAGGCCAAGCCTGCATTTCACTCGGGACCACACGGCTTCCCTTTGGGCTCAAGCCTCTACTGCTCCTCAACGGAGCTCTGACGTGCCAGACACAAGGCGGGAAGCTCACAGTCGTCAACCTGGCAACACACGAGCTTATCGCTGGTATCCAAGGGTTTCCGGAAGAGGAGCAGGGCAAGGCGCTGCAACTTTACTATATGTTGGGCAAGCAGCAGGGTGAGGCTCTGGCGAGTAACTCGGGCTCTGCCCTCTTGCGATGCACACGTCGCCTTGGAACGATGCAGTCTGCCGATCTCTCTCTGATTCACCCGTGTCTGCGACAGAGATTTGGTCCAATCTGTCAAACATCCCATCTCCAAGGGCGTGGAAGATGCTGGCAGAGTCGATGCTCCATGTCCTTGACATCCAGACAGCAACACGAGTGTATCGGCAAAAGCTGCATGACGCGGGGATGGTCACGACCCTGAACCGCATTTCCGAATACGAGGACAAGAACTTGCTGGCCGGACACATATGCGTAGCTTTGCGCATGCATGGCATGGCGCAGGTAGGCACGTTTATGCTCTAGTTGCCACGAAATGCTGGTGCAACTGCATTGAGCCACGGATTTCTCAGCGCTCACAGGGAGTCATCCATGGACTTGGATGTCGAACTGCGTGCTTGTGGAGGCAAGAGCGGCGAGTCCATCTGAAACATATTGTGACCAGAGGCACAGCTATGAATAACACCCTCGACTCGCAGGAGTTTTTCCTGGCCAGCTCATACCCACAGGCAGCGCTGGAGCTGAGGAGAAATCTGTTGCAGTGGGACCAGGCCATGAACTTGGCGACCAAGCTGGCGCCGCACGAGATCACGACGATCGCAAAGGAATATGCCCAGCAGCTTGAGTTTAATGGTAAAGGGCCAGTTTGCATGCTAGTTCAGTCGGCATGCGTCACAAATGCTTGATTTTGGGATGGGTTGTGGAGATGATTCGATTGAAGTCGACATGGATGGCATCTAGTTACAGAAGCGCGTGGCACTGACGACAAGCCGCGGTCGATCTTGTAGGAAAGTACCCGGAAGCTCATCAGATGTACCAAAAGGCGCTCGAGTCTGCTGCAGAGTTTGCCGGACCCAACGAAGTTCAGATGGAGCACCAGATCCATTGCACATATGGTCTGATTCGGATGACCTTTTGCCTCGGCGACATTTTGCGAGGCATGAAAATGCTGGCAGAGGTCAAAGATCGCCAGCTGTTGTACGACTGCGGCATGATTCTTGAGAATCTCAAGCAGTGGGTAGAAGCCGGAATGCTCTACGAGCGATCGCAGTACTGGGAAAAGGCCGCTGAAGTGTATATCAAAGGTGAGCTTCTCGACGGCGGTGGCCGCGGTTGCGGTGGCTATGGTGGCGGTTGTTGCTTTGGAGGATACTGCACCCCATGAGTCTCAGCAGCGCAACATATCCCGATGGATACGGAAATGCCCATGCCCCCACTCGACACTGACGCTTCTGGCAACGCTTCTGACAGCCAAGAGCTGGAACAAGGTCGGAAACCTCCTGGGCTTCATCCACACTCCCAAGATCCACATCCAGTATGCGCGGTCCAAAGAAGGTGTGCCCATGACCCCGCCCTGATGATTGTATGCCATAGTGCGTCGGTGGTCCAGAACAGGGACCCATGCGGAAACTGACCTTCCACTTCCCCATCAGCCGAGGGCAGGTACGAAGAAGCGGCACGCGCCTACGAAAAGGCCAAAGACTGGGATAACGTCGTGAGGTTGTTTGTCGAGCAGCTCAAGAATATTGACGGGGTGAGTAGTTCAAAGGGATGGCGGCTGTCATTGGCGTCTGAAAATAACTCATGGCGTCTGGCTGCCGAATAAGTAACCCCGTTGATGCACTCATACACACCTCAGGCTGTTTCGATCGTCCGAAACACGCGCTCCCGCGAGTCGGCCAAGCTGGTGGCAAAGTTTTTCCAATCAATCAAGGACTACAAGTCGGTTGTCGAGTTTTATCTTGTCTCTGGGATGCAAACCGAGGCATTCGAGCTGGCACAGCAGCATGATGTCATGGACCATTACGCCGAGCTCGTGAAGGACGATGCCACGGCCGAGATGCGTAAGCCTCTGATGCGTGATTTGGACAGAGATACAGAGGGTCGATGCACCATGAGCCGGACTTGATGGCGAGAACGATTTTGAGCGGCGTGACTGGGTGTTGGCAGAACTCAGCGCTTCCAATCCAATCTCACCACATCCCCCCACCGCCACAGTGATGAACATCGCCGCCTACTTTGAGAGCAAGGGCCAGCTCCTGAGTGCCGGCAAGTACTATTTGCAGGCCGGCAACTACTCCAAGGCGATGAAGATGTTCCTGGAGAGCCCCTCCGAGGACGGCGTGTCGGTCGACTATGCCATCCAGACCGTCGGTGTTGCCAAAAGCGACCTGCTGACTCACCAGCTCATCGACTTTTTGATGGGCGAAACCGATGGCGTACCCAAGGTCAGGCAGGAGCAGAGTGGACGGGTTGGCCAACAATCGGCAATCTGTGGGGCGTGGGACCGGCGTAGTGGATGTTGCTGACCCGGACTGGTGTACACGACTGTGCTGACCCGGGCTTGTCGCTCACAGGACGCCAAGTACATCTTCAAGCTGTACATGTCTCTGGGACAGTTCAAAGAGGCCGCTCGCACAGCCATCATCATTGCACGTGAGGAGCAAACCCTGGGTAAGAACGCCTGTCTTGCATCTGAGGCGACGGATTGAGCTTGGGGTTGCGCTTGGGGTTGCGCTTGGGGTTGAGCTTGGGGTTGAGCTTGGGGTCGAGCTTGTAGTTGGGCTGACAAAGGAATCGACTTGCTCGTGCTTCTTGTAGGCAACTACCGAGCAGCACACGACTTGCTGCTGGACAACTTTAGGCAGCTCAAGCTGACGAAAACCAGGGTGCCGTCAGAGATCGAGCGCATGCTGATGATTCTACACAGCTATATTCTCGTAAAGGTATGAGCGGGGCTGCTTGCAGCAAAGCCTGGCTGGTTCCGCAGGAGTTACTTGCTGAAGCAAGCCAAGAAAGTGACGAAGGGATGCGCAAATGCGCAAGGTGTTGGCTTGATGGCATATTGCGCAAGAGTACGATGGGTGTCGCAGTGCCACGGCTGTGGGACCGCTCGTTGACCAGGCTTTGACGCTCGCAGACGCTGGTCAAACTCGGCGACCACACCAAGGCAGCCAGGATGCTGATCCGGGTATCCAACAACATCAGCAAGTTTCCGGCGCACGTCGTCCCGATCTTGACGTCGACGGTGATCGAATGCCAGCGCGCCGGTCTGAAGAAGGAGGCTTTTGAGTTTGCAGCGATGCTGATGCGCCGCGAGTACCGCCAGAAGGTGGATGCCAAGTACAAGAAGAAGATCGAGCAGATCATCAGGCAAGAGGGGAAGCCGTGCGAGGCGAGAGCTGGTGTGCACGATGGCATGACCGGGCTCTGTCGACCGCTGGAGTCGAGAGCACGACCCGCTGCCAAGTGCTGCCAAGTGCTGTCGTGGACTCGTACTGTTCTGATCTGGCGTAATGCTGCATGGATGCCCAATATGACAGACGACCGGAGAAGGACGAAAGCATCGAAGAAACAAGCACGCCGTGCCCGTTCTGCTCCAATCCAGTGCCCGAGTCTGTGCTGGACTGCATCGAATGCAAGAACCATCTCCCGTACTGCATCGCAACGGTGAGTCCGTGTGCGCTCGCAGCCGGTGCTGCTGTCGTGGTGGTGGTGGTGATGGTGGTGGTGTTGGTGGTGGTGGTGACGAAGCAGCCATCCGCCCGGTCTGGGAACTGATTCAGAAGCCCGCTTGACAGGGGCGACACATGGTGGCATCGGACTGGAGCCAGTGCCCGCGATGCGAGTTCCCGGCGCTGTTTTCCGAATTCGTGGATCTGGTCGGGAGAACGGGGCTCTGTCCGATGTGTTCGAACGAGATCAGTGCCGAGTCGATTCGTCAGGCCGGCACTGTGCCCAAGGAGTTCAGCCGCGAGAGCCTGGCATCCGAGTCTCGGGCGGACGACGATGCAGATGATGGCCCGTCGACGAAGAGCGCAAGCGGGCTGGATGATACCGGAAACTCGGTCGGCACGAACGCCAACACCTCGATGGAGCACATCAAGCCCGAGGGTGTGCAAGGCGACCGGGGCTTGACCAAGCCGACGGATGCGATGCTCGTCGGCACCGGAAAGGCGATGGGGCTGGGCGGGCTGCAGGGATATGCCGGTGCGGGTGCCGAGCTGATGGCAGACGGAGCCAAGTCGCCGCCGATGCCGGCGGTTGCCAGGGCCGCAGCTATCGACGGGTTTCAGTGAGCCGGATGCGGCGAGGGAGGAGGCGGTTTGAATCAATGGACTGGCCCAGAGCAGCAACAATAGAACCGTTGCGCCAAGTGCTGACCATGGAGAGCGATGATCGACATGGTCGGACGAGACCAGATGGACCGCACCCCTGGCGCCCGGTGCTGGGGTGGCTCCAGACAGCTCGGGGGAACCGCAGAAGGGCAGCTCTTGCTTCGGGTGGAGACAAGACCATCCTTGCGATGAAGATCTGCCGTGCTCGCGATCCTGCACAGGCAGATGGGTTTGTACCGTCGCGCGAGCAGAGCGAGGCGCACCACCGAGCTGTATCGCCGAGCGGGCAGATCCGATCGTGTGCGGCCAGGAAGATTGGGGCTGAAGGCCGCGATGACACACGCACATGCCCCAAGCGCACAGAGGAGTCGGCCAACAAGGACGGAGAGCGAGACGCATCCAGTGCACTGCAGATGCGATGGAGTTGATATATCGGATGCACTTGACACCATGGGCACACTTGACATGCCTGACATTGACGGTATACTTGACATCATTGGCATCATTGGTATACTTGACATACTTGACAGGACCGATGCATTGAACATTGGACACATCCGATGCGCCTGGTGCATTCGGCACCTGCCACACACAGTGCTCTCGGTGCAGTCCCCGCACTCGCAGCAACTCTGCTGGTGCGCCGCGGCCCCGCGCCAGAGGAGCCCTTGTCGCCAGAATGCGTCTGCACCACATCCGTGCAGCAAAGCGCCGTCGGTCGTGTGGCTCGCCAGCCCGCAGACAAATGTCCTACAAACATTCGCGGCGGGAGGCGCTATCTCCAGCGAGCGCTCCAGCGAGCGCTCCGGCGAGCCCCGTGATGGGCCGGAGCAACCGAGGCGTCGCTTGCCGGGAGCCGCCTTGGCGGCCTGTGCGCCGGGGGGGAAAGCAAGGCGGGAATGGGTCTGTGCCTTGTCTGGGTCGGCTGGCCAGCGCCGCCTGCCGTTGGTGTGCTGTTGTAAATCTTGTTGCAGCTGTCGTTGCAGATGGTGTAAATGTTGTGACCGCTGTGACTGTTGCTTGCGATTGTTTGTGGCCAGTACCACGGTTGATATCGTCGCCGATGCATTACACAGTCGGCTCTGTCCTGTCGCCGGTAGTCACTCTGCGCTATCATGTTTACGATGTTTTGCTCGACTCGCAGTCTCCGTCTCCGTCCCGTCTGCTATCCCGCACCACGGTACTCGCTGCTGCTGCTGCCCCGAGATCCGCACCGGGCCCTCGTCCTGCATCCCGGCAGCGACAGACCAGTCGTCTTCGTCCTGCTGCTCGCCGTCCGCGGCGCCCAAACCACTCCCGCCACCGATATCCATTCGCGTCGATTCACACGCCCTGTCTGCTCGCCCATGCGCCTCGTTGTTTAGCAACCACACGGCCATGCTGATGCGTTATGTCGTCCGCGGCAAAGGCAATGTGGCCGCCGCCTCCATGGCCAACAGGACAGGAGCTCGAGATGGCCCTTGCGCTCCGGCGCCATGTCGCCTTGTTGGCCCAGGCATCTTTCTTTGCCTCCTCGCCAACGCACGGATCGTGATCGTGTCCGTGTGCGCCGCTGACCTCTTGCTTGCCCTGCTCCTGTCGCCCCTGCCCGTCCCAGCCGAGGTCGTCGCTGGCCACGGCAAAAAAGCGCATATATCCGGCGGCCTGCAGTGCCGGCCCGTGCTCTTCGCCGTCTTATCGCATTCGCTTGTCTATCCGTCTGTCCGCCGTGTCTGCTCCACATTGCTCTGCGTTGCCAGCGCCCATAGCCCTCCCGTTCCCACCCGGCTCTGCACTTCCGTCTGCTTCCCCACGCAGCCAGATCGGCCCTGTTCTCTTGGCCATTCCCAGTTTCGAGCCCCATCCCATCGGTCTCATAGCCCACCTCACCCGCTGCCTGTCCCTTCTCGCTCGCCATCATGTTCAAGGCTCTCAAGTCCCTGGGCGGCAAGGCCCTGGCCGTCAAGTACTCCTTTGACCGCGCCAGCCCGACCGATGCCGACACCATCCTCCTCGACGAGCACGAGCACGAGCTCTGCGGCACCATCACCCTCAACAACGACTCCACAAAGCCCTCACATATCTCCAAGCTGGAAGTCATTCTCTCCGTGGGCTGCGACTACCAGCTCTTCAGCTCGCTCTACCCGACCATGGGCGAGTCTCTCACAAGCGACACCCGCAAGGTACAGTGCCCTATCCCCATGTCCATTGGTGACGATCGCCTGTACCCCTCTCCCGGCATCGCGCATGTCCGATATGCCCATGCCACCGATTCTGATCCTCATCCTGATCCTGATCCCGATCGTGCTCTCGTCACGCCACTCCCATGTCACTCTGATTCCTCGAATTCCACTCCCATCTCCTCTTCACACGCTCGTCGCATCCCTTGACCCTCGCCCAATCAACGACTGCAGCTGCCCGGCGGCTCGTTCCACTCCAACGTCATCTTCAAGGCAGAGCTCCCCCTGAGACTTGGGTTCGAAGCCGATCCCGGGCTCTCAAAAATACCCTTCCGTGTCAAGCTCCCCGACGACTTGCCACCCACCTACGCATCCAAGAATCCGCTCCATGACATTTCGTACATGTTTTTTGTCTGCCTCTACAAGGGTGGCTCCGAACCCGCCATCACCAAAGAGTCCAAGCTGACGGTTCGCCGGACCGTCTGCTTTGATGCCGTCGCCCAAAAGACGGTTGAGAATCCCTCGCGGAATGGTGAGCATTTACGTCGGGGTCATTCAGAACAGCCGCTCGCTCTGGTTTCCGGGATCGCAAGCAGCCAAAGGTCGCTTTGCATGGTGCTGGCGATCGGTGGTTCTTCATGAATGGCAATTCCCGCGCCGTAAGGCATTTCAATACGCCGCAGCACTGCTACTATAAGCCCGATGCATCCTTCCAACAAGCTAATCCCAATCCATGCGCGATCGATGCTTACAGAGGCGGGAGGTATCTGCTACCAAGTCACTCTTCCCTCTGTCGTCTCCACCGCCGTCGACTTTTTCACCGTCAATGTCGACTTTCGAGGTACCCAGGGCATGATTATCGATTCCCGAGCGGCCAAGGCCCAGCTGGTAGAGTGCTTCGACAGCGGGTATGTTGTGTCATTTCTCCATCAGACAGTCTGTGAGACGCCGAGCGAGAGCCGCAGAGTGGAGCCGAAAGGCTGGCAGCGTGCGTATCCTCTGCAGCCCCCTTGGATGCAATCTCTGGGCTTTCGCTCACAATCAACGCACGTTACATCATGGCCGGATCGCGGTCCTCATCTACCACTTTTACGATGCAGAACCAAAGTAGTCGAGAAGGAAATCTCTCCCTGGATCCGTGCGTTCGAGTCAGACTCGCGCTCCATCAACTCGGGCGACTCCTTCTCTACCTCGGGCGTTATCTACCTGTCACCAGTGTACTTCAACATCCCGATCTCTGGCGCCCAAGCCAGCTTCCAATCCAAGAGACGAAGTCTCAACCACAAGATCAAGCTCTCGATCGAGAAGAAGCTCGATCTCGAGATCCCAGTGGTGCTCGGCCACCCTGGGGCGGGCAAGAAGCCCGAGCCCGAGCGCCAAATCCCCGATAGCGCGAGCGCACGAATCCAGCAGCGTCGCCAGGCGCCGGAAACAACATGGGAAATCACCGGTCCCTACTATCCAGTCTTGGACGATGAGCTCGCAGTGATGCCGGGAGACCGTGTCCTTGTCGAGTAAGTGACATGCTGCAATCCCGGACCATCTCTTGTGCGGACATGCGCGCGTGTGGCAAACCAGTCTGATTTCGAGCTGCACTGGGCCCACCACGAACCTTTGACTCATGTAAACCCCTCGAAACCGCTGCATCTCGTTACCCCGCCATCTCCTGTCCTGCCCACGATTTCCAACCGTCTGCTCGATCCCAGGCAAACCTTCCCCGATGGCTGGGCGATGGCCAAACATTGCTTGTTGAACCGGCGTGGCATCATCCCCATGTCCGTCATCGGGCAGTCCAACACCATCGGCGTTGCCTTGAACCCCATTCCAACCGGCCCTCGGTCTGTATCCCTGGCAGTATCCCTGGCAGATCGCTCAGACACGGGCTCAAACTATCCCGCTAGCGTCTACTCAGACGGATCAAACAGCAACAGTGCCCGTCGCATGGATCAGCGCAGCATCCGCTCCGCTGTTGATATGGCGCCACCGCAGGCGCCTACCCAAGCCTCGCACCGCAGTGGGTATGAGGACCGCTCGCTCTACTCTCCCGTTCACGACGAGAGGAGCCAGGCGGATGATCCGCCTTTGTATGAGCCACCGCGCTTGAACTCGGTCGACAGCACTGGCGATCAGAGCTCGCTCAAGTACAGGTGCGTGGCAAACTATGCTCGACGAATGGAGGACGAGATCAACATCAATGCCGGTGACATTATTACCGTCATGTAAGTTTCGTATTCGTGCGAGCTGGAGTGAAAGTAGAGCTGAACAAGGCGACGGGGTGCTGGAGCTTGCTGGGTCCAAAGCGCAAGCGATACGCCCCGATTACTCGCACGACTCACAAGTGCTCCAATCTCATATCCTCCAGTTCTCAGCTGGGTGATGGCTGGGCCAATGGCTTCAACCACAACTCTCGGCTTTCGGGTGTATTTCCGTAAGTACCGACACAGAGGCGGCGTCTCCAGACACTCTCGAGCTGGCCATTGACATTGATTATCTCGGTCATCTCAGGATCCAGAACTGCGTCGTTCTCGAGTCTGTGCCTCCTGTCTTCCCCGCCTCAGCTATCCAGGGCTTTGTGCAAGGCTACGGCAACTCTCAGATGCGAGCCATGACACCCGTGCGTGGCGACCAGCGAGACATGCAGTATGCTACGAACGAAATGCCCGAGGCCGCCTTTGGTCACAACGACCCTCGCTATGTCGCCACCGATCTGAGGCATCATCAGCCACAGGATCTGCGATATGTGCAGAGCGACCCGCGCCAGACCAACGGAGTGCACGGATACAACATCAGCGACTATCGCGCGGGAATGCCCGACATCAAGCCGGTGCCCAATGAGCTCCGATCCATGGCCTCCTACACTTATATGAATAACGCCGTGCGCGGCGTGCCGCCAGCCATGCATCCCCAAGATGTCAAGGTTCCGCTTTCAAGACCCTCGATGGACCAACCTCCGCCCAGGATGAGATCGATGGGCACCCCGACAGGAGCGACGTTCCCTGCGCCGTATCCCAACGGATTCCAGACCCAGCCCGACGACGGCGCGCACTATCGAGCCAATCCCATCACTCCGCCTCGCATGAATATGCCCCAGCCGTTCGACCGCCGCGTGACTGGATCCTCGACCTATAGTGCCAACTCGGACATGTCCTCTCCCCAGACTCTGGTTCCCACACCGATTCATGGCGCCTTCTCACAGCGGGACAGCGTGCAAAGCGACGGCACAACTCGCGTGGACTCGCTCGATGGCAGCTATGGAAAGCCGTCGCCCGTGCTTGGCCAGATGCCTAGGCAGCTCTCGAATCAGGGCCGGTCCGTCATGGCCACCAACAATTCGACGACGCCCAACCGCGCTCCGCCTGTTGCCAAGACTGTCTCGACCAATAGTTCCAAGGCTGCGATGAACGAGATCGTCGACGAGCTGGATGAAATGGTTGCTCAAATGAGACTCAAGAATACCTCGCGCACGGTTGCCCGCGAGGCCGATGAAACAAGCGTCAAGTCAAGCGATCCCGCCATTCCAAGGCACCTGGTGGCCATGCCCCTGCCACCCCTGCCCCCTCCTGATGCAATGAGCCCGAAGATGGAAACAGGCTCCGACCAAGCCGCTGAAGCTGCAGAGGCCCCGAATGCTGCTGCGAGCGAAAATTCGACTTTGATCGAGCTGGATGAGATGCTGCTCACCGGAAAGATCAATGCCGCAGAGTACCTGCAGCGTCGCAAGTGCCTGGAGGTACCCGCCAACTAGGACGATCTGCAACTGTGGGCTCGGCCAAAGGCAGCGGACACAGTGAGCCTGAACAAGAACCGGAACCAGAACCAGAACCGGAGCCGGAACCAGAGCCAGAATCACCCCTGTCTATCAAAAACAATTCTCTTCCTCTTCCTCTCCAGAAAGTGCTTCATCAATGTTACTGAGTCGAATCTCTTACCTCGTTTGTGTCTCTCTATCCAACTATACGCTCTATGTCGCTCCTTCACCGCCGCCAGACCGGCTTGTGGCGCTCCTGTGCCGGTGTCGTTTGACACAGCTTTTACCTCCACATTCCTTTTGCTATTGTCTGAGTTCTATCGATATCGCTGTTTGTTGGCATGTGCATGGCCACTGGTGATTGTGGAGCGTCGAGATTTGCTGTTCCTGGGTCGGCAATCGGGCCAGTCGCAGCAACGACATCCACCAAAGTTTGAATAGCAGTCTCGTGTTCCATATCGATCGGACATCATGTGGGGGCAGTGGTCTCTGGGAACCACTGTCACGGCGTCGTGGAAGGCAGAACGCGGCAACAGGAGTTCGGTATATCAATGAGGATGATGCGGCCAGTTGCTGTGGTCATATATTGACTCTTTAGTTTCCTCACCATCGCATGGTTGGTCCAGTGGTAGAATTGCCGCCTGCCACGCGGCAGACCCGGGTTCGATTCCCGGACCATGCACTTTTGTTTTCCTCCAACCCAGATCCACAGTGCTGCGCATTTTTTCTTGCTTTCCCAATCAACCGTTCCGACTCGATCTTCGAACTCATCTCTTGTCTCTCGGGCCCGAGCTTCTGAGTTTCTGCTTGTCAAGTTCCATCTGTCGTCGTGCTCATACACCTCGAAGGCTCGGCTGATCAGCATCGTCGGATATCGTCAAGCTTTCCCTCCAATCCAATCCAACCCAATCCAATCCGATTCGCTCAGCAACCATGGGAGTCGTCGGTCTATCGTCGCTTGTCAACAACACAGTCACAGGCACACCCGTCATCTGGGACAAGTCCGCTCGAGGGCAAAGCCCTGCTCTTACAACCAAAGCCGCCGAGAGTGACTGTGCTCAGCCTGCTGGAAGAGCAAGCCGTCAAGGCGCCGATGCTCGTGCTTCAGCCAAGAGCTGCAGTGAGCGCCTCGATCCCATGCTCTCGCACTGGATCGTCGATGGCAACTCGTTTCTGCATTACATCTGCGCCAGCCTCAACTGGATTCAAGGAGGTACGTACTGGGCCCAACCTGCTACGGTTCCCTGTGCCCGGCTGTCGCCGGGAGCAAGAAAGTGGCTGTTTCTTGATCTCATTTCTTCACAAATTCGCCTCGTTCCGGACCCAGCAAACTACCATGGGCTCGAGGAGCAGATCCAAGTGTTCGCGGCCACTATCCAAGAGTTTGGAATCCTCCCACTCTTTGTCTTTGACGGTCCGCTGCCGGCCTGGAAGGCCCTCGAGAGAGACAGCCGCGACGGCCAGAAGCTCCAGCGCATCCTGGCGGCCTTGAACACACTCTCGGGTGTCGGTCGCATCGACTATACCAAGCTCGTCACAGCAGCATCAAACCACATCGCCAACGTCCTGCCGCCGATGGCACTGCAGTGCTGCGTCTGCGCACTCAAGTCTGCAAACATCGATGTGTTCTTTGCCGAGGGCGAAGCCGATCCTGCCATCGCGGCGCTGGCAAGACAGCGGAATGCAGTCGTGGTCAGTCGGGATTCTGGTAACGTTCGTTCTGCTGATCTGCTCGGCTCTTGCTTTAGCCCGGCCATGTGCGTTCGCATTTGCATTTGCGGCGAGTATGTGGAGGTGATATTGTCGGCCTGCTCGATGATCTGCCATTTCTCTGCAAGGGGCTGCTGCTACTGCTGTTGCTGCTCTTGCACAAGAGCCGGGCGTACTAATGCTGCGTATCCGTCCTTGCCAGACTATTACATTTACGAAGGCTTGAAGGCATACATCCCGTTGTCGACTTTGCAGATGCCTCCTCCGACCCAGGGTGCCGATCGGTCCATCCGAGCCACCTACTTCCAGACCACTCAGGTCGCAGCAGCCCTGGCCATTCCAACACCACTTCTGCCGCTCTTTGCAGCCCTGGTGGGTTGCGACTACATCGATGCCGAGGAATACGAGCTTGTGGGTAAAATCACCGCCCAGCTTGGCTCCAAGTCGCCTGCGGTTCGCATCAAAATCGCCCAAAAGCTTCTCGGGGCATATGGACCAGGACAGGAAGTCAACGACGCCATCGATCAACTCGTTGCGTCGTCTGACTCGCTGAGTGACTCTGAAAAGTCGCAGCTCCGGGACATTTTGTTGTTTGCCGTTAATACGTACCGAGGCATCGATGGCGCTTCTCCGGATGTGTCCGGGGTCGGTGCTCAAGCATCTGCCAGCAAGGTCACCACCGGCTTGCCGTCGTGGGAGATAGCCAGTGCTCGAATGAAATCTGGAGACTTTAGCCACAAACTCTTCGAAGTTGTGATGCAGCGGGCCTTTTGGTGCACCCCTGTGCTCGAGGATCTCAACCGCGGTGAGTCTTTATCGGTCGTTCGAGCAGCTTTGTCGGCCACGTCCTCGCTTCACACGCCCCTCTGACAGTGTCGATCACTTTGCTGCGGTTTGCCTTGGCGCACTGTCGGGCTTTGTTCGTAGCGTCTGTCTGGGAGCTTGGGCGGCCAATCCGCCAAGCGATCTATTCACTGCTGGCACTGACAGCAGCCAAGGTCCGTGCGGATGAACAGTGTGCCCTCGATTCGCAATCGCCGCCGTGTGCCGATCTGTGTCTTTCCGAGTACATCGGACGCAAGATCGTTGTGGCCGAGAAGATTCGACGAAATCGTCAGATCGTCACCGAGAACGTGCCCCCGCTTCAAGTCGACGAACTCACCACGATGCTAGAGGATGTCCGCATTTCTCTACCGACACTCAACCCCGGGGCCGGGGCCGTCCCACCAGCCATTCGGACAGGGCAGTGGATCATGGACCAGAGCCGTCCCAAGCGCCGGGCCCTCTACGAACAGATCGTGGGCAACAGTCGCCGGGCGCTTCTGAACAGCAGTCTCGCGGCCAAATTCGTTCCTGCCGTCTGCGCCATCAGGCTCCTGATCGTCGAAAACCATGCCCGCGGGCAGCCGCTGCTCAACACCGAGGTTGTCAGCTTGGCTGTCTCGGCGCTGATCGCAGCCAGCGGCGTTGGCATTGCTCCCTTGCAGCAGCCCAACGAATCGACCATCTCGCGGGGATCTATCCACCTTGGCGCCCAGCTCGAAATCGCCCTCTTCAACGCCATGCTGCTGGCCCAAGCCCTGTTCCTGGATGACGATTCGTTCCTGTCGAGCCACTGGAGGTCGTTGAACGGACCACTGCTGTTTGCCTGTCTGCAGTCTGCGCGACGGGGCTGCGATCTGAGCAAGCTGCTCTGCCAACACACGACTCTACAGCCCGCCGGCGCAGAGCTCGAAGGCCTCATGAAGCAGCTGCGGCAGCTCTACCTGCTCGTGCGGTCGGGAATCGAGGAGCGCATCGATGTTGTCATCGAGTTTGATGGTCTCGATGCTGATCCGACTCCGAGCAAGTCGCCTCGAAGCAGCCGGCCCCAGAGCTCGGCGACCAGCAAGTCCAAGCGAGCCAAGACCTCCGCAAGCCGGGCACAGAGGCCGCAAGCTGCCGAGCAACAGCAACAGCAACAACAGCAACAGCAATCGCAGCAAGCGGCCGACAGCAATATATTTTCGCTGCTGTCGTCCGGATGCTCATTCTAAGGGCTGCTCCCACGAGCAAGGCTCGCCAGCAGAGGCAGAGGCAGGATGCTCAAGACAGAAACGACCGGCACCGTCACCCGGCGCAAAAGTGTGCAAGCAAAGCACTGCAATACACTGACTTCTTGGATTATCGCCTTGGATGCTCTGCCGTTCGCCCCACGATACTGGTGCTCTCGGCTGTGGTGACCGCGACATCAACGATCGCTGCTTCACCATCAAGATGCAATCACGCATGGTCTCGAAACTGCCCCCCCCCCAAACTGGCAGAGGGCGGGAATGCGGGATGCGGACAGTTCAAATCGCAAGCCCATCCGCGTCCGGCGCGACCAAACCCCCAGCTTAACAGGAGCCAAAAGGCGGCAGAGTTCGTCTTAATCTGAACTAGCTGTATTGCAAAAGTACCCAGCGACGGGGTGAAAACATACGCGTCCTGTACGCTGACAGGGAGGGGGCGCGGGCAGAAAAGGGATCGGAGAAAAGGAAAAGGGCGAGTAAATTAGGGGAGGGAGGACTTAGCACTCAACGAGCAAGAGTGTCTCGGTCAGTTGGCGAGCGACGGCCTCGCTGTCGGTGCAGCCGCTCAAAACAACATCCTCGAGTTCCTGGGAGTAGTACGAGATCGACGCCATGCATCCCAAGTTGGCCTCTTGTTGCCAGTGGCAGTGACCGAAAACTGGGGGCCAAAGGGCAGCAGCATCAGGGGAGGGAGCCAGCGGCTGCTTGGCCTTGCGCTCGATAATGATCGACAGGGCCTTGGGTGCCGAGACGGCAGCAGTCTTGACGGACTGGGTCGCCGCGGGCTCGATGATCTCGATGATCTCCTGAATGACCTCGATCACTTCAATCACCTCGACCACGGTCGGCGCTTGGAGTGCGATGCTGAAGTCTTCAGAGGCCGCAATGTCGCGGGCTACCTCGTCGGCGTCTTGGACTGACGCGGCGACATCAGTCTCGATTGCCCGGGCAACAGTCACGGTCTCCTCGACAGTCTCGACGACAGGAACCCCCAGCTTGGGATTGCGGCGCTTGGCCTCCGCGACCTCGTATTCCACGACGTTCTGCGGGACAGTCCACGAAAAGTCAAAGTAGGGCGCCGACGCCACAGTCACGGACTGATCGGCAACGTGGGTGGCGACGGACTGCTCCGTGGAGCTCGAGGTTGTCACGACCGACTGGCCGCCTGTGGTGGTGGTCGTGGTGGTGGTGCGAGTCGTGGTCACATGGACCGAGGAGAAGGTGGTTTTGGTGGTCGAAACCGACTTGGACACGGCGACCGACTGGACGGACGTGCCCGAGGTGTGGGTCGACGTAGCTGATGTTTCAGACACGGACGAGGTCTCAGAGACGACGACAGACTTGGCAGTCGAGGTGCTGGTCGAGGTGCTTGTCGAGGTGGAGGCGGCAGAGGCCAGCTCGCGGGTCTGGACGGCTGTGCGGGCTAGTTCGGAGAGACGAATGTCCTCGATCGCCTCGGCATCGCGTGTCCAGGTGACCTGGAGACCCCATTCGGCCTCGCTAGCAGCCAGAGGCGAGGGAGATACATCGGTGGGCTTCGCGTCGCTGGCTGCGGTAGCGGCGACGGTGGACGAAGAGCTGGCGCCGATTCGGTTCTCGGAGGCCGTCGAGTTGGTCCAGTGGAAGCACGAGTGCTCACTGGACGATTGGACAACTGGAGGCGGCACAGGTCGGACGGCGTCTGGGCCAAAGATACGGACAACCGATTCCTTGGACGGCTGAGGATGCGAGTTCAGGGCGAGCTCGCTTGGCTGGGCAGAGGCAACCCCCTCGGAGATGATCTCGCGGGACGACAGCTCGACAACAACCTCCTCGGCAGGTGCGGCAGCAACCTCCTCGGCGTCATTGGCAGCCGCCTCGATAGCCTCGGCATTGTCCGCGACGTACTCTTGGGTGAGAGGGTGGATCCACAGGAAGCCCTTACAGACGGGGCCATAGTAGACACGCTCTTGGATGGTGACAAACTCAAGGGGCGAGACGTGGAAGGGGTGGAACACAGGCTCCTCAGTCACTTCGGCACCTGCAATGACGCACCATCGATGGTCAAACGAATAGAAGACAGTCCGGCGTTAGTGTGATGGAGGCCGAGGCAGTGAGTAGTGGCCAGGCAGAGTCAGACACGATCGGATTAGGCATGGATCAGGCCGGCGCTACCTTCGAGTCCGCGAGCTGCATCCACTGTGATTGCTCGAGCAACAGTGGCTCCTTCGGAGGCCTGGGTATGTGCGATGGTGGTGGCCGAGACCTCGCGAGTAGCGTTGGCTTCAGCCTCGGCGATGGAGGTGGCAGTGGAGGTAGCAGTAGTGGTGGTGGTGGTAGTCGCGGTGGCGGCTTGGGAGCGGGAGGCCGTGACCCGGACCCGAGTGGTTTTAGTTGTGCTCACAGTCTCAATCTTGGCAGTAGCGGCCGCGGATCGGGATGCTTTCTCTTCAACGACCTCGATCGACTCGACCGAGTCAGTGCCAAAGGCAACGAGCGACTCTGAGGCAGCCGAAAGCGCGATTTCTTCCTCAGCAGCGCTGGCGATCTGGGGCTCGGCATCGACAAGATCTGGGTGCAAAAAAGCGGGCACAGCCGGATGAGTCAAAGAATGGCGCCACAGCCCAACACAGCACCGCATAGCACAGCACCGCATAGCAACGCACAACACAGCACAGCACAACACAGCACAGCGCTGCAGGTTGCGGCCACCATCGCCACCGAGCGGCAGTACACGTGTACTCGCCGGCATTCAACACGCTACTCACCGCGCGAGACGACCTCGACAACAGAGGCAGGTGCAATGCCTTCCTCGGCCGTCGGAGCTGCGGCCACGAGTGTGTCCTCGGTAACGGGGGCAACGTATTCAGGCAGAGCGCGGGTCTGTTGGCAGACGCACTTCTGGGCCTCGAGGAAAGCGATCGTGCTCTTGAGCTGGGTGACTTCGGCCTGGTGGCTCTGGGTCAGCGTCTGGGTGGTCTGGATGAGCTTCTGGCAGAGCGACTCGAGCTCGGCAATCTCCTTTTGATCTTGGGAGAGGAGAGCACGGACCTCATTCATTTCGGCATCGTGGTCTTGGCTGAGCTGCAGCAGCTTTTGCAACTGTGACTTTTGCTCGACGACGAGAATGTCCTTCTCGCGAATCAGGGTCTCGGAGGCCGCCAGACGGGTTCGCAGCTCGCTGACCGTGGTCTCGGACAGCAACAGGCTGGCTTCCAGGGACTTGACTTGCTGGAGCAGGGGCTCGATCTTGTCCTTTTGCCACTGCTGGAAGCGGGTCTCGCGATCGGTGCGCACTGCAAGCAGCTCGGCGCGGGAGGAGGAGAGTTGCACGTTCAAAACCTTGACCGAGCGCTCCAGCTCCTCGATCGTGGCCTCGGACTGCTTCTTCTGAGTATGGATCTCGGTCTTTTCTTCCTCGAGATCGACGTGCTTGCGCTCGAACGCAGCGAGCTTGGCGGCCAGGCGCTGCTTCTCAGCGACAGTCTCTTCGTAGACAGTGGCGAGGGCGCTCGAGTCTTCGAGAATCTGCTCGCGCTCGGCCTCAGACTTGCGCAGCTGGTCGGTCAGATCGGCAAGCTGGAGGGTGGCCTCGGCCCGGATAATGGCGACTTCTTCGGCGCGGCGCTTCTCCTCCGAGCTCTTGTAGCCTTCAAAGAGGACCCGGGCCTGCTCGAGCTCGACGTGGACCTTGGCAGGCTCCTTTTGGAGGCGATCGATCATGGCGGCGTCCTTGGTGGACTGGGCAAAGGCCTTGGCATTCTCTGCTCGGAGGGACTCGACGAGCTTGGAGAGCCGCACAATCTCGCCCTCGAGGCGAGTCTGCTCGGCGACGTCGACCTTTTCGACAAGGACGGTCTCAATCTTGGTTTCGACGACGGGATTGGCGAGGCTGTGGGCCAGCTGGGCCTCGAGCTCCTGGACGCGGGTCTGGGCTTCGGCCAGAGACTGCTTAACCGCCAGGGCATCTTGTTCGGAGGCCTGGCCGTTTACGGTGCGAGTCTGGAGACCGCTATTCTCGGTACGGAGGCTCTCGATGGTGGCGTTGAGGCGGGCGATCTCGGTCTCGAGCTCAGCATGCTGCTTCAGCAAGGTGGGATCGGGCTTGGCGGGACCAGCAGCGACAGCAGCGGCCTTTTCCTTCTGCGAGGCCGCCAGCTGGCGCTCAGCGTCGGAGAGCTTGCGCTGAAAGTCCATCAGGGACTGGGCCAGAACCCGGGCGGTTTCTTTGTGGACCTCGGCCTGCTCCTTGATGCCCTTGATGGACTCGCTCTCTTGAGCAATCAGCTTGCGCTCGGCAGAGAGGTTGAGCTGCTCCTGGGCGTTGGCGGCCTGGAGGTCGGCGATCTGGGACTCGAGGTGAGTGTTGTGCTTCAGGGCCGCCTCCAGCTTGGCGATAACTTGATCATAGCTGGACGACAGAGTTGATGACGATGACGACACGACGGTGGCAGAGTTGGTAGTGTATGAGAGAGTCGTTTGTTTTTGGTCGGCAGATTCGGAACTAACAGGGAGTGTTTCCGGGGAGGCGGCGGCAAGGTCAATGGAGCGTTCCTGGGCGACGACGACCTCGACGGAGCCAGCAGAGGCCTCGGCAGCATCTGCCTTGGCGGTGGTGGTCGTAGTCGTGGTAGTGGTGATGGTCTTGGTGGTAGTGGCGGATGAGACGGCGAGCTTGGAGGTCCTCACGGAGTGATGGTGCTGGGTGGCTTGGTGCGAGGCAGTGGCGACGGATTCCTTGACGGTCCTGTTCGAGAGGACGCTCAGACGCAGGAGATCCTCGTCGTTGCTCTCGACGCCACCGATCTCATCGTTCGACTCGTCGGCCTCGGTGCTGTCGACAGCCGAGCCGGAAAGCGAGCGGGTGGCTTGGACCAGCGCCTTGCGCTTCTTGTCGGTCTTCTTGAGGGACTGCATGAGAAGCCAAGCCAAGCCACGGCGGAATTGCACGGCCATGTTAGCGAATAGCACGCCACGGAGGGTCGTTATCTGCAATCGCAGTCTAGCGGAATGTGCCAAAGGGCGATCAGCGTGGCGGATCCCGCAGGAGCACCACCAAGCGAAGCGCAGTGAAACGAGGTTGGGCATTTCCAAGCCAGCCGGTCCATGCCAGCCAGCTCAGGCCAGCCAGCTCAGGCCAGCCAGCTCAGGCCAAGCGAGAAAAGGCAACGGCTGGAGCACAGCTAGCGCAGAAGAGCAATGCCGCAGCTGAAACGCGGAATGTGGCAGCAGGTAGAGGAGAGATAAAACCACACAGGATCGAGGGGTGCTCAAGACAGCAGTACCTTCTTGGCAGACCGTTCCTCCGAAGAGAGGAGCTCCTGGATGACCAGCTCGCGCTGGGCGTCCGTGGTGCTGGAGGTGACCGAGTGGGCCGATCGGGCTACTCCGGACTTTTTCTTGGTGGAGAGCAAGTGCAGGAGGAAGATGACCAGCACGGCGATGATGGGCACAGCCAGCACCGAGCTGTCGAAGGAGAGGAAGACAGACTTGGCCATGGAGGGAGAGGAAGGCCGTGGCGGAGCCGGCGATGGAGGGGAAAGGGTGGCTGGAGAAGGAGGTGAGAGAGAGCCGGAGACGACGACGACGAGTCCTGCAAGGAGGACGGCGAACGGGGCGGAAGTCGGAGCAAAGGCGAGACAACGAGAGGTCAGGCCGGTGGCTGGTGGGAGAGAGCAGGGGACAGATCGGGCGAGAGGAGGCGAAGGACAGGCCGGGGGAAGCGCAGAGAAGGAGAGGACCGAATGGAGACTGGCCGACGCCGATTGGCTGCGCGTGGCAGCCACGCCGCGGCCGGCCACAGCTGCTCTCGCCCGGCGAGGGCATGGCGAGAGCAAGGAGAGAACACAACGAGGGCGTGGTAGGCGCGGGATGAAGGAATGTGCCAGCGCCCGAAAAAGCACAAGCGCGGATCCTTCGGCATTGGTTCCGCGTGGCGGTCCCTGGCGCGTTGCCCAAGGGAGTCGCCCAAGGAGTCGCCCAAGGGAGCCACCGCCCGATCTGACCCGCCCTGTCTCAAGACCAAGCGCACAATCCAGCGCACAATCCAGCGCACAATCCAGCAAACTCACTGCACGGCTGCAGCCGACATTCTTGTTATTATAGGTCAAGGGCCCCTCAACCAGACAGGCGCATTCATCACGCGCAGTCGCAGGGGGGGATGGATCTCGGTCTGCACTCGCAACACATAACGACGCTGCCACAATCAAGCGCAACGGACCGGGCGAGTTTACTCGTCGTCCTCGTCATCGTCCTCGTCGTCGTCGTCCTCCTCGGCCTCCTTGAGCCACTGGATGAAGGGCTCGGCCTTCTCGCGGACGGCCTTGGCGACCTTCTTGTCCACATACTTCTTGCTGAGCTTCTCGCTCCAGGCGACGATGACGTCCTCCTCAAGCAGATCGCTGTCGTAGAAAGCGTGGAGAATCTTGGGAGTCAGCGGGAGCAGCTCGGGGTGCACGACGCCAACCAGGCGCTCGATGCCGCCCAGCAGTCCCTTCTGGCACTTTTCGTTCTTCATGAACTTGTTGAACAGTGGCGCGCGGGTCTTGATCTGGGTCATGATGGCCTTGTCGAACAGAACCTGCGGGAGGACGCTGCAGACCTTGTCATCGCGCAGCTCCAGCTCGGCGGCCTTTGCAATAATGTCCTGGTCCGAGACGCCAGCATCGGAAGAGATGAAATCGGCAAAGGTCTCGAGGGGGTCTTCGCCACTGTCCTCGTCATCGTCGCCAAAGGCCTTCTGGACGGCGCCGCCGACCTGGAGCTCCTTCATGCGGCGCGAGATGGCCTCGGTCGAGGTATCGAGGTTCCACTGAATGTTGTCTTCGTCGTCGTCGGCGACGGGAAGGGCTTCGGCCTCGTCCATCATCTCCTTCATCATGGCCTCTGCGGCGTTGCCGCTTTCCTCCTCCTCGGCGGACTCGCCCTCGGGAGGAGTAGGCAGGGCCTCGGCACTCTCGTGTGCAGCGCCCTTGGGGTCACGGCCCTTCTTGCTGTGGTCGGAGAATCAAGCCCGAGGGCAGAGGGTGAGTCGGGCTGGTTCGCACCGGATGATTCGGATATCATCCAACAACGATCTCTCCCCGCCCCTGACCGGATGCACAACTAACGCGCAGTAAAAAATCACATACCCGACGGCTTGGGCGTTCTTCTTGGGAGGAGGGTTCTTGACAATGAAAGTGGCCAGCTTGTGACGAGTGTCCGCAGAGAGCTGGGCACCGCAAGCCTTGCAGTCCAAGATAATGTCCTCGTTTCGCTTCGAGTTCTTGATGATCTGCAGCATGCGTAGACACGGATGGTATGAGAACATACTGGCGACTTTCCTGCCATCGCACCACGTCCCATCCCATCACTGCGCACACAGATTACATGCAGAGGGATCTGGAAGCAAGGGCTGGAGCGCTACGCACCATATCCGTCTCGGGATTCTTGCAGTTGGGGCACAGCACAAACTTGGAAATGAATCCGCTGAGGAGCTCTTGCAGGCGAGCGGCATCGTGGGCACCGTTGACGATGTAGCGGTCGTTGGTTTCGTCGCACTTGACCTGGGCACCGAGCTCACAGCCAAAGTCTGACGGATCAAGAGACCAAAGCCGCCGGTCAGTGAGAAGCAAAGCGGTGTGTGTAGATTGGCCAAAAAAAATAAAATAATCTAAAGCGCTCCGTGATTGGCAAAAGTGGTGCTGTGATTGGCGACGGCAGGATACACGCACGTCCAGCGCTTAGAAATGCAGCCAACTGACACTCACATTTGGTGGGATATGTGGGAGGGCGGCTGAGAGCGCGGGCAATGTCAGACATGTTTGGAATCACAGTCTTGATACCGTTGCCCTTTCCCTCGATCTTGGAGATGAGCTAAGGGCGGCGAGAGCAAACAGAGGTGTCAGGGGACAAGCAAGCGCCAAATGCCCAGCGTGGTTGGCTTCCAGAATGAATGGATGGCCGAGCCACAGGTCCGCACGGCTGGCTGCGGGATGAGATGCGCAACGCCCAACGACCACCTTCCATCATGGGTGTTCGGTGGCAGGAAGGACGAGGAAATGTAACGAATAACCTCCAACCCCCCCCCAAAAAAAGAAAAGCCAGACAGACTCACCTTGGGCATTTTGTAACGGTAGAACTTATCTTCAACGTCGCTTCGGATATTGATCATCGACATGATTGCAGAGTTCAACAAGAGTCAAAGATTGGAGGGAGGATTCAAGAAAAGGGCGGTTTGGGACCACTAACGCAAGGTTTTTTTGGAAGCTGGGGACGGCCGGTGGAGAAAATGGCGGCGAAGATTATAGCGGGGCGATCCTTGGGGGAAAGGAGTAATCAGCGAGCCAGTGAAGAGAGCCAAGATCGTCAACCTCGAAGGGTGTTTCGGATAAAGCTCGTCAGTGGCGACGGAAGGAGATGGAGTTGGAGAATAGACGACGAGGAGACTACAACGAGCAACAAACGAAAATCAAGCAGGCCAAAAGGGCTGGAGGCGAGAGCACGATTTTCGGAATAGAGAACGCAGAGGAAGGTGCGGAGTACGTAAGACAGGAGGACGATTCACGTCAAAAGTTTGAGGCGAATGGTACGTATACTAAAGGGAATCAAGGTCGGCAGGAGCTTAAAATCGGAGGATTGGAAGGAATGCATAAACTAGAAAACCACCCTAGAGAACGAGAGGTGCTTGAGGTGTCTGGGGCTGGGCTTTGGGTTGTGTTGGGTTGGGTTGGGTTGGTGCTCGACAGAAAGCGGGGTGAGTTGTGTCGACGGGGCTGTTGGCTGTTGGTTCCGTTCGGTTTAGTCCCGGGGAGTGAGGGCAGAAGAAGAACCAAGAGCAGAGGGTGTCGAAGAAGCGGATAGACGCTGGACGAGGACCGGATTTGATGAACGCAGTAGGCCGAGTGATCTCTCGGGCAACAGAAGGAAGGGGGGGGGGCTCTTTTTTAAGACGAGGGGCGAGTGCAGGGCAACAGAAGGGGGGGGGCTGCGACGAGACTGCGTAAAAACGGCTGCGGGGCACAACGGCCCAAAAAAAAAATGTGGGGCACCGCAAAATGAAGCCTCGGCGAGAGCGTCTCGTGCGGCACCGAGAGGCCCTCGCTCGCTTCTCGCGGCGGGTTTGTCATTGGTGGCACGGCCACACACACACACACGGATCTGACTGTCCCGCGCTTGTTCCCTTGGCACATGGGTCGTGTGAACAAATGGCGAGCGAGCGAACGGCGTGGGAAGGGCCGGTTGGGCAGCATGTGGAGTGTGTGAATGCAGCGCTGGGTATGAATGCAGTGCTGGGTGTGAATGCAGCGCTGGGTGCGGGCGACTGGCCTGATACGGTCCGCTCGCCTCCGTCCCAGTCCGCCGAGGACCGTCCAGGGCCACTCGCGAGACTGAGTTGCAGAACTTCAGCAGCAGTGACAGCATCGGCAGTGGCAGCGTCGGCCAAACCGGAGCACTCAATCACTGGACAGAGGTCATGAGGGGCAACGCGGGATCATGGCTCTCCAGCATGTTCCAGCATGTTCCAGCCGTTTTCGCTCCGCCGCGTCAGCTGACACACACCCGCCGACTCCCTTCCCCAGAGAGGCATTGCATAATGAAAGAATGTATTCAAGATAAACTAAATATCAATATCAATATCAATATCAAAAATCCATAAGAGAAACGAGCAAGGGCTCGAGGCACCCCTCCTCTCGCATACAATGGCTGTGAACAGAAATGTAAAGGAGCTGGATAAGAGAGCAAAATATACACACGGAAAGGCACCCCCCAAGTCGCGGAACTCGCTTCACACAAAATTCCTAATAGACACACATGCAGGTTCTCTCTCTGTTTTTTTTTGGTTGGTTTCTTTTTCTTGTCGGCGTTGAAGAGCAGGTACGCATACACACACGGTCTCGGCCACTCCGCTCTGTCATAGAGGAAGTTGGCGGGAAAGACCGTCCCCACCCTTGCCTGGCTGGGTTGTTTCTCAAAATACAGGCTCAATAAATAGATGTTCAAACACTGTCTGACGGCGTTCACACAGGGTCGATGTCCCGCGCTCGAGGGGGGGGGAGTCGGCTACGGTGTTGCTGGCACAACATGCGCCAATACTTGACCTCCGTCGGCCACGAAGGATGCGACTGGTCGGAAGAGGGTGCGAGAGAGTGAGGCAAAACTGTAGAGGAAGAGGTCAATGGAGCCCTTCTCGCAGCAGATGGGTCTTAGGCGTGCTGCACGTGCTGTCCGAAGCGCTGCTCGAGCTCCTTCTTGGCCCAGGCTCGGAATTCGGGCTCGAGGTCGTGCGGGATGCCGTAGGTGTTGTACTGCATGCTGCCTGTGCTCGACCACAGGATGCACTCCGAAATCCGGTCGCGGCTCATCTTGGAGAGGAGAAAGTTCTTGACGGCACGCTTCATCTCGATCTTGTCCTCGTTGGTGGTGATGCTGGTGTAGTTGGGCATCACCTGCTTCAAGATGCTGTCGATATTGACGCTAGAGTGTCAGACACGGCCAACTCACTCACTTTCATCCCCAACTACACCTCACCACTCCATTGCATACCCCACCACTCCATTGCATACCCCACCACTCGATGCCACATTGTCCAAGCTTACATGTTGTAGCGAACGAGATTGGATCCCTTCTCGGGGCTGATCGCGGCCGGCCGATCCTCGACATCAGCAGCAGCCGGTACCGACGGGAGCGACTCGGAAGACTGGCGCAACTGGATTGCCGGGAGCGGCACCGCCATCATAACACCGTCTCTGCCATGCAGGTTGCCAACGAGCCGCTCGCCAGCTTCTTCCTTTAGCTTGCGGCGCTTGGCTGCGTTAGGATCCAGACTGGCATCATCGTGATCAGAGAATCCGTGTCCATAGTCGGGGGAGACGGCGCTCATCGACCTGGAGGTCGGGTGCCGAGCCGGATCGATCGAGGAGCCCAAGTTCCCCGTCTGGTTGATGATCGGGATCGGGTGAGAGGCGAGAATTTTGTCGCGCTCGAGGTCGGAGTAGTATCGCGAGGACGAGTAGATGGGCGGGTTGGCGCCTTCGGGGAAGCTCTTGAAGTGGGTCAGGACGTGATGGCCGAACCACTCGAGGAACTCTTCGTGAAGGACAGGCGGGACGCCGTAGGTCTTGCGTCCGCGGCCGTGTGTCGACGGAACGAGGCAGCCCTCGACGGTCAGGTGCAGGGGCCCCACGCGGTCATGTAGATAAGCGCGGATGCCGTTGCGGATGCGGGAGAGCAACAGGGTGTTGCGGGTGTTGTCGCTCAGATAGGACGTGAACTTGGGCCGGACAATCTCTGACCAGATGATGGGCTTGAAGGGATCAGTGTAATGGGTCGCGCCTTTGGGCTTGGCGGCGCTGGACGCATGGGCGGCGTGAGCATGAGCATGGGCAGCATGGGCATGGGCATGGGCATGGGCAGTGTGGGCATGGGCAGTGTGAGCATGAGCAGCATGAGCAGCGACTGGCAGCGCAGGCTGGCTGGCGGTCGAGATCGGAGAGGAGCTGCCGCTGGTATGGCTGGACTCGTCGCCGCTCTCGTAGCTGCGCTTGTGTGAACCCTTGGAGGGCGAGGACGGATCGCGCCAGGGCATGTTGCTGGTGGCCGACGAGCCCTTTCGTCGCTCGATCTCGCCGTCGGGGCCGACAAAGCGGTGCTCAAACAGGTCCAGGAACTCTTGGTGGAAGCGTCCAGGGATGCCGAGGGTGGGCCTTGCGGTTGAGTTGAAGTTGGAGGGCGTGACCCGCACCTCGGGGACCTTGCGCTCCTTCAGGAACGACTTGACTAGGTTGGACATGGCCGGAGTCGATCCCATAAAGTACGGGAATCGCGTGCGCACAACGTCCGTCCAGGCCATGTATTCATCCTTGGCGCCGGCCTTGGTGGCATGGTGGTGAGGCTTTGGAGGCTCTTTCTTGACGATGGGGCGAGCAAAGGCTTTGTCGGGGCCGCCGAGCAGGGCGCCGTTGGCGCTATCGACCTCTTCGTGTCGGGCAGGGACATTGGCGACGTCGCTGGCAGGGCCGTCGTGGAGGGTTTCGGCATGGCGCTTTCGCGGCTCGTCGTCGTGGCGCTTTAGCAGACCAGAGAAGCCCTGTTGGTCGGGCTCGACTGGGTATGCAAGACGCAGAGAGTCACTCTTGACAGATGCAGGGACATGGCGAATCGTAGCCATGAGCCGAGCCAGCTGGGCAAGATACTCCTGTTTGTACTTGATCGGAATGGCAGAGACTCTGCGCTGAACTTGGCGGTCATAGACCGTAAGGTCGAAGGTGGCAGCCGAGCTGCCGTGCTTGGAGATCAGGAAGCTCGCGGCATCCTCCTCGATGCGCGCGCGATCCAGCTCGGACAGCTCTAAGAAGCGGGTCGAGTAGGCTTCTTCGAAAAGCTTGATGAAGGACGGGGTAGCCGCTATATTGTGCATTGGGGTATCGCTATCGGTGCTGTCGCCGTCGCTTTGTGTACCATCGTGGTGGTGTACAAGAGGGCCTATGTGGAGAGAAGGCGGGAGCGGGAGATTAGAAGCAGACCAGATGGCAGCGGGCCAGGCAAGGAACCATGGCGACATGGCGACATGGCAGGGCAATCAAAGTGCGCAAGACGCGCCTGAAAAAACGCCATCCGCCCGGATACCATAATCCAGTGCAGCCACCCAGCCCAGGTTGGCAAGCCAAAGGACAAGAGGGCAAGAACGGGGCAGAGTCGGGCGGAGCATCACGGTGATGGATCAGCTGTGGGAGCGGGAAAAGGGAGGCGAGGAATGCAGAGGCCCAGAGGACAATCGCCGACATGGAAAGCGGATGGCAGAAACAGCCGGCCGCCGCATCGCCGATGCATGTATGGCAGGGCCGGACATGGGCAGGGGCGTGTGTCGCCAGGTCCAGCCGCCAGGTCCAGCCGCCAGGGCGAGACCCAGGACCAGAGTCTGCCTCCGCCTCCGCGGGCCAAGTGCGCATAGCAGCAAAGACCAGGGCATGCCAGCACCATGCAACCAACGAAACGCAAGGTGATCAAAACAGACCGCTCCCCGCCCCCTCGATTTCAAATCGACAGCAAACAATGAGCGGCCAAATGTAAACGAAACGAGGGCGAATGGAGCCAAGCTTGGCCCGGAAGCTGCTGGAAGAAGCAGCGGGGAAAAACAAAGCCCTCCCCTCGATCCGAATCAGCCAGCCGGATCAGCCCTCCATGCTACCAGCCAAGAATGGCGGAAATGCACACGAAAAGATGCGTTTGGTAGAGAGGGGAGGAGGAGGAGGAGGAGGAGGAGGAGGAGGAGGAGGAGGAACTAGCAACCCAGCACAGCAAGAAGAACAATAAAGAGTCGCAATGCACGGCCAGGACAAGATACGCAAAGCAGCAGGCAGGCTAGACCACAGAGTAAGAGACGAAATTGCTTGACATGAGCTGATCCGTGGTCCGGAAGAGCCATACAGATATACGTACGATCAGTGCGCTTGGTGGCTCCCAGGCGCTTGTCATGGGCGGCCAGGAGGGCCTCGTAGCTGATTTGCAGATGGTCGCGATCCTGCTTGCATAGAAAGTACTCGTGCTGGACGCAGCTTAGTGTGTCGGCGAGGGACTTGTTTTCGCTCTGGAGGTTGTTCAGCCGGAGCAGCAGGTCGCGGTTCTCTTCGAGGACATAGAGATACCTGTCCTTGAGGGACTCTGGCGAGGTCCAGGATGGCAGCGCCGGGCGGAACTCGGGCGACTCGACGGCAGCAGCGGCAGCATGCACGTCCGGCTTGATGACGGGCAGGGTCAGGGCGGCTTGGGACTTTGGCGAGGAGGACTCGTCGGAATGGTCGGGCAGAGCAGGCCGTTCCTGAGCGGCGAGCGGCAACGAGGTCGGTGCCAAAGAATCGTTGGCAGCGACAACGTCTGTGGTCATGGTGATGGCGGCTCGATCAAGAGAAGGGAGACTGGGGCTGGGCAGAGCCGCGGCAGAAAGAAGCTGGGAAGACAGAGAGGCAAGAGGCGGACACGCCGTGGTCATGTAGCGGGCAGCAAGCGGCGGTTGCACGCAGCAACGGACTGAGGCGGGGACGTGCGAGATCGGCGGTGGTGGTGTACAGAGCCAAGGATGGAGAGGCCGTTGAAGGCAGGGCACTGGGGCCAAGGCAGAACGAGATAGAGGCGAAGAGCAGAGTGAGGGGGAGCTGGTGCGAGGCAGTGAGCACGAGCGAAGGAATGCGCGAGTAGATAGGTGGGGAGAGGAGCACCAAGTGCAGATGGGAGGGGATGAGGAACAATGTACGAAGCGCCAGCGGGCGACGGAGGGAAAAGAGCTGGGCTCGGCTCAGGCCCGGTGGGCCAGGGTCATACCAGCTCGAGGCAGCGGACGGCCGGCAAGTGACCACCGGCGGGGCGACTGGCGGGCCGGCGATTGGCCTGGGCGGTTGGCCTGGGCGATATCAGCGCTGGGCTGGGTCATGTTGCCGGACGGCGACCTCGGCGAGGACGACGGCCGGGGAGAGGCCGGCATGAAGCGGACATGGACGGGCAAGCGATACTTGCTGCCGAATGCAGTTGCCGACCCAGTTGCCGACCCAGTTGCCGACCCAGTTGGCGATGTCGCTCGGCAGTGCAGTCCGGAGAGTTACTTGGCAGTACCGCCAGCAGTGCTGCCAGCAGTATCATCAGCAGCGCTCGGCGCCGATGCCGAGACCATCGGGGCATGGCCGAGGACCAAAAGCCCGCGTGATTTTGTTTGGAGGGTTGGATTGGGCGAGGGCCACTGGTCCCCGCCGTCGTCTGGCGGGGTCCTGCAAGAACAGGGTCAGGCCGTATGCTGGGCGGAGGAGGAGGAAGAGGGCGAGGATGTCGGGAAGGAGGGAAGGGATGGGAGTGCGAACCCGTCGAGGACAGCGACATCGACATCGACATCGACATTGACATCGATCGCAGCCTTGGAGAGGAATTCATGGCCAGCCCGCACGGCGCTCTCTGCCAAGTGCATGGCAAGTGCATGGCAAGTCGGACGACGGTCTGCCAGGTCTGCATTGCTCCATACGGCGATCTGCGCTATCGACACCGAATCCGCACCGGTGCTCGCAGCCAGGCCCATGTCGCAGCCAGGCCCATGTCGCAGCCACGGGCACATTCAGCCAGCGGTGATATCCGACCTGCAGGCACAGGCATGGCGACACAGGCTCGCTCGCAGGGGCTGGTCCGCGAACATGTCCGAAGGCAGGGACAAGCAGCCGCCGCAACGACGGTCGGCGCACATACACCAAGGACAGGTGGATCACAGACAGGCTGATGAGCAGCAAGGCGGCGAGCAGGTGAGAAGGTGAGGCGACGAGCAGGTGAGAAGGTGAGACGATAGATCAATGACACCCCACTTGAATATCACAGCTCCCGCCTTGCAAACCATATCACCCTGCTTGTGGACATGTGCCATCCCGAGTGCTCTGTGCTCGGCAGCGTCCCTGTTGCCATTCAAGACCTGTCGGTCAGCAATATGGAGGGGACTCGGCGGAACGGCGGAAGCACGGCCATGCCGCCGGTGGCTGATCAGCAGCAGGGCCGCTCAACAAGCTGATCCCAGGGACGCTGGAGCACCAACCAGGCCGTCGCTCCGTCTCAGCCCGGGCGGAGGGGTCGTTCGCTGTGGTTGTGTGCCGATCGCTTTCTTGTCGTTCGTCTGACTCCAGCTCCTCCACACCACGGCCATGCTGGCGATGCGGTGGAGGCGAGATCTGTGTCAGCGATCCAGAGGGACGCTCGCATGCGCTCGAGAGATGCTCGCATGGGCCAGACAGAGGTTTGCATCGGTGCCCAACCCGCCGGGTCAAGGGAGGAGATCATGTCGGCAGGGCCACTCGCTCCGTGAAGGAGCCCTTGCGAACGAACCCCTTGCAGATTGGTTCGCGACTGCAATGCCGCTGCTGTCGCTGATCACAATACCAAGGTCGGCACGATCGTCGGGATGAACGACATATGAGTCCATGGGAACATAGCGCTTAGCCACCACACAGACATCCCCCACAAGAGCAGGGCGATCCGATGGGATGACAGAACATGATCGATGGGTTCTATATTGCAAATGTGGGGAGGGGAGCGTGTAGTCGATGCAACGCACAATGGTCCATCGACCAGAGCTCCAGAGTGTATATGCTACAACATCCATGTGTAGGTCACAAAGATCAGAAACGTTGTGGTCGAGGGGCTCGGGCCAAAGCGTACCAAGGAGAAAATGGATATGTAGTAGGAAAGGGGCGTGTGAAAATGAAGAAAAAGGGGAGGGGGCGACGGCAACCGACCGAGACAAACCACAGAGAGGTGCAGCAGGTGCTCGGTCCAGATGCCAGTGTGTCGAGGGTCTATCAGTGCAGTTGTAGTTGCGGTGGAATGGTGCACATGCGGACAGGATGGGGAGGCACGAGCCAACAGCGACATGGGAATCTGCCTGACCAAGAACCATCAAGCTGAGGCGGCGGGATGTCGGCAAAGAGGGGAGCGGGAGGCAGACAAATCGTCGAGATGACGAAGAAGAAAAACATCGGAGGGTGGGATCCAGAGATGATGACGGGGTGTGAGGAGCGCATCGAGGCTCCGGGGTGGGAAAGGGTATGCCCGCCAGTCCAAGAACTCTGGTCGAGTCGCCCCCCCCCCTCATAGCCAGTGCCTGGGTTGTGGGCGATCGCTATCGACGGCCGGCTACTGCCAGAAGGCCGGGTGGTGGTCGTATTGATCTCGCGGGGGAGGCTTTCTGATGATGCTTGTGTCGATTCTCAGACTATGCTGAGACTTTGAGTGAGACAAGCTTGGCGGCGCCGGGGTCGAGAAGCTGACTGCCGGGGATGAGTGATTGACTGCCGGGGTTGAGAAGCTGATTGCCGGGGACGAGTGGCTGACTGCTGGGGATGTAAAGCCGACGGCTGGGGACGGATGGTGCAGGGCCAGCGATTTCGGCCGCTGGGAAGGCGTTCCCTCCTGGCTGCTGGATTTACTGACCAGCGACAGTGTCGAGCGCGGGGTAATCATGAGATTGGTGCGGGAGTTGGGAGCAGAATGGGTGCCAGTATCGGGACGAACGCGGCAGCACAGACAGAAGATGAGCAGCGAGCCAAAGAGCAGGATCGATGCACCTGTAGGAGGGGGGACGGGTAGATGGGACATGTCAAGCAGTGAGCCATCTCGAAGGCATTCGAAGCAAGCCTGCCCGAGGAAACGGGCCAGACACTGGATGCCGTGTGCGCCAGTGTTGGTGTCTTGCTGTCCGAGGCACTCGGCTGGCAGTTTATCGCCGCAGACGTACCAGCAACAGAGGCGATGATGATGATGGTTGTTGGCGACGGGCCGCTTGCGCTGGCCGACGAAGACGAGTCCATGCTGGGGGGGGGAGGATCGAGGGTGAATGGGACGAAGCAGACAGAAGACGAGCGGCAAGAAAGGCCCAGCGAGCAGAGATGGGCGGGCAGCGATGGGCGAGCAGGAGTGGGAGAAAAGGAATCAAGCCCGATGAGCTCTTGTGGGCAGGCCGACGACGCAGACGGCAGAACCAGCGAAGGGCGAGCGAGCGCCTCTCGTCTTTGAGTGCTTGCCTTTGAGTGCTTGCGGTTGTGTACTTGCGGTTGTGTACTTGCCTTCTCGGCTTGGACTCGAGACGGCGAGCCGGGCGCGGGCGCCATGGGCCGCAGGTGATGGCCTTCAGGCGTGCGGCCGATCGGCACGTTCCGGCTTGGGAGCAGTGGCAATCCGACACACGTTGCCGCAGGATTGGCCTTGCAAGGGGTGGTGGAGTGCCGCTGTGCGCCCGTGGCGGGGGGGGGAGCCGGAACGGCAATACAGCCCAAGCCGGCGATCACTGTGAATGCGATCGGTGACAATGGTGGATGCAATCGATGACAATGGTGGATGCAATGAGCGGTGGTGGTGGATGCTGCTGTGCTGCTCGGCTGAGCCTCGATGCCGAACAGATCGACTTGGCGACTGTTTCGGGATGCCCAGCGACGACTGGTGCAGTCCCAAGTCCATGGAGCACATGTTCTCCTTGGTTTCAGAGCAAATCTCCCCTTTGGCGTTACAGGAACGCACAAGAGCGCCGCCACCCTTGTTGTCTGGGCTTTGCGTGCGGCGAATCAAACACGCCGGTGGCAAGAAATGCGCCGCCGAGGAGACTCCTGAGAGGGTGCCTGAAACCGAGGCAGTCGCCCCCTTGGGCACACTCATTCAACCTGGGCTCCATAGGAACAAAATGACGGTATATTCACAAGCCAGGTTCGCATCTGGTGGGATTGGATTGACAGTAATGAGGGCGATGAACAAGAAGAAAAAAGCGGCTGTCGTCGTTGCGGAGCACCCGTTGACGAACAGAGCCGAAGGCATGTGTTGGAGGTGAGGCCCATCTTGGGCAGTGCGGCAATCGCTAACAAAATCATTGCAGCCGCGTGTCTGCAATGTCGCTGCCGCTGCCGCCAACGCGATGCCGTATGGCCTCCTCCGCCATCGCTCTTTGCGAGGCTTTAGTGCTGTTCCTGCAGGATGCGCGCAACGGTTTCCTCGGACCATTTCCAGGTCGCAACGGCGCCCTCGTCGCTGCGGCCAAGGGGAGTCGGGAGCTGCTCCTTGGCAACAGGGACAAAGTATTTGCCGCGGATGTCCTTGGTCACGACCTCGGGCGAGGCAGCCAGGTAGAGCTGCGTAAGAGCACCGATGTTGGGCGAGGAGCCGAATGTGTTGATAAAGAAGCCAATGGCACGGCCAAACCAGCTCGAGGTTTGCTTGTCGGATCCGGCAATGTTGGTGTGGACGCTTCCGGGATGTACGGCGTTGGCGCGGATCTTGCTTCCGGGTCCGAGGCGCTTCGTGAGCTCGGCAACGTGGTGAATCTGGGCGAGCTTGCTGAAGCCTGGACACGGGCGTTTGCGCCACGAGGGCATATCCATGACATGGTGGAGCGAGTGTTGTGTTAGCCAGGGCGGCCGACGAAAGCGGATGGGACACAAGCGTCCCCTGATCATGAATGCCCAGAGCACCATGAGGAACCGCCTGTGGCTGGGAGGGTACATACCGTAGTTTCGGGCTCCTTCAAACGAATTTTCCTCGTTTGCTTTGACCCAGTCCACAACGTTGGGATTGGTTGCAGATGGCCTGGCAAAGCCGTGGCCGGCGCTGGAAACGTTGACGATGCGCGCGTCGCCATGGAGCTCGCCGGCCTTCTCGAGCTTGGGCAGGAGCAGGTTGGTGAGGTGGAAGTGCGAGAGATGGTTGACCAGGATCTGGGACTCGACGCCGTGGATGGGCTTCCATGGAGGCATGCCGATGCCAGCATTGTTGACCAGGATGTCGAGTGAGTCATGAGTCTCGCCGAAGGACCTGCAGGGCATTGGAGAATGGGAAGAGGGCCGAGCGGATGCATGCCGCGTCGAGATGCATCGCCATGGATGAAGAGTGAGTCGCCATGGGTCGAAATGAGATCACTCCGACGGCACGGATGGTGTAGAGTGGCGACTGCACAAACCTGGCGAAGGCTTCGACAGAATGAAGGTCCTCGTTGTTCAGGACAGCATATGAGATCTTGGCCGAGTCGCCAAGCAGGGCTCTGCATCATCGGTCGCAAGCAAGTGCGAGGGCAGAACGACAGACAAAAGTGAATGAGTGAGCAGCCGATGCCACTGAACGAGTAGCTCCAGATGGCCGGTCCCTCAACGCAGCAGAAAGTCACAGACGTGGCCGCCTCCGCTGGTGCTGCAGCACTCACTTGAGCTCGGCAACGGCTTTCTGGCCCTTTTCGTCATTCCTGGCGGTGATGATGACATCGGCACCGGCTTTGGCGAGCTGGTGGGCGGTGGCATATCCAAGGCCTGTATGAGCGGCGGAGAGCATTCGGAGTGAGTCGCCTTTGAGGAAACCGGGGCCGTCTGATCATGACGGGAAGGCACAGAAATGCTGCAAGCAAGGCGTCGCGGCGATGCTCATGAGACTCACCCGAAGTGCCGCCGGTGACAATGGCGACCTTGCCGGCCAGGCTGGGGATGTCGTTGTCGGAGAAGGGCATGGCTGTGGGCAGAGCTGAGGGACTGATGTGAACGGGCGGGTTATGAGCAGGCGGTAAGTGCATGGGGTTGGAGCCGTCCAGGGAGGGGTTTATCAGTGCGGCCGCATGGGTCGGTTTGGCGGGCGGGATTTCAAATGGGCCCGTGACGGGAAAAACGGAAATTTTTTTCCTGCGGGCTGCACCGGATTGGCGCGGTGCAGGGCGTGGCCAGTGTTTGCTGTTCGTGCCGAGTGCGTCGATGGCGGAAGACCCGTGGGGCAAAGTCGATGACGGAAGGTCCGAGGCGAGCCGATGGCGGAAGATGCACACGCCAAGCCGACACGATGACAAATGTCGGTGATATAGACGGCCTGGCGATGCAGGACAGGGTGTGTGCGCTGACGTGCTGCCTGCAGGCTTGGCGATGGGCAAAACCCCTCTCCTCGGTGGATCCATGCGCAGGCCATGGCGGCATGTGCCGCGGGCCCAACACGCAACGGCACGCATCGATCCTCCCGCTTGGCTCCAGGCTCCGTCTGTGCCAGCGTTACACCATAATGTCCCTGGCCGGCCGCACTCTGGCCGTCCACACCTGGGCCGGCCTCTGAATGGTATCACGTGGCCAAGCATCCTGGCACACGCACGTGGTCAGCCGCCGTCGCACAGACAAGCAACGCGCCCACGCCCCTGTCCCGTTTCGGCCCGTGTGCGACCGGCATGTTGCCCAACATTTCGCGTGTGTGCGCGTCTGGGGCTGGTCATGGTGACTCTTGTTTCCTTGCCTGGCGCAGCCACTTTCGGCTATATATGCTTCCTTCGGCTCCTTCATCGCTTGGCCAACCTTCGACAATCCGACAATCCAACAATCCGACAATCCATCAGTCCATCAATCCATCAGTCCATCAACTCAACATCTCACCATGGTCAAGTTCCTCTCTGCCTTCGCCGTCGTCCTGGCCTCGGTCGCCTCGACTTTTGCCTATCCCACCGGTGCCGGCACCTGCAACGCCGATGCGACCGCCATCCACTACGGCATGGGCTTCACCCAGAACCCCTCGGGCTTCAGCCTCTCGGCCTCCTCGGCCGTCTATACCCCCGGCACCCCGCTCACCATCACCGTCCAGGGCAGCGGTACCTTCAAGGGCGTGCTGCTCTATGCCACCCTCGACGACGGCACCACCCGTGTCGGCACCTGGCAGATCGACAGCGGCTTCCGCTCCATGCCCGAGTGCACCGGCAGCGACCCGGCCGCCTCCATCACCCACTCCAACCCCAACGTCAAGAACGCCGGCACCACCTTCACCTGGAACCCACCGGCCTCGGCCAGCGGCAACGTCCACTTCCAGGGCGCCATCGTCCCGGACATGCCTTACTTTGACATTTTTGCTTCCGTGGTGCTCGCGCCTGCTGCTCCTCCCGCTCCCGTCGTCACCACCACCACCACTGTCGCTGCGGCCTCCAGCAGCTCGCCGGCCCCTGCTCCTCTTGTGTCGGCCACCTCGGCCTACGCCGTCTCCAGCCCCGTCGTCGTCACCACCACGACCACCGTCGCCACCGTCACCGTCACTGCCACGACCTCTGTGGCCCCTGCCTACTCGGCCACTCGTCGCTGCAAGGCCTAGACCACAAGAGGACAGCCTAACGACCAAGTCCTTGCTTCCCGCTGGCCCAAAATCGTCTGGTCCGGTGTCTCTCTGGAACCGGTGCTTCTTGGTCTGGTACCCCCCCCCTGATCCAAATAGATAAACGCATACAGCTTGTCGAGAGAAAACGAGACTATGTATCCTCTGAGTGTCCCTCGGTGATCTGCAGGACCAAGCGGACAGGCCATGGGATCACGCTCTTGTATTTGTGTGCTGCGTGCATTTGCCCCTCTGTTTGGTCATGGTGGACGATGGGTGTGTGTAGTCAACTCAGGACCCCGAAGAGCAAAAAATGGCTACCGTGCAATCATGCGTCTCTGCCTTGGCTGTCAGTCGACCTCAACAACCGCCATCGTCTGGTCTGTTCAGCACTTTCTGTCTGCAAGACACCGCAGCAGCGTGTCACGAGTTGTATTCTCATTGCAGATCAGGAGTCAACAGTCAAGGATGAGGAACCACAGGAGGGAGAGAGGGAAAGAGAGGAATAGACAGAAACAGCCCAAAGCAACGACACACCAAGCCCGGACGGAATCAACAGTATCGACAGAGGAAAGGATCGGGATCGGGATCGGTCAGACTGCAACTTTTGTTTTGGAGATATAGAATCAATATTTCCTCAATAGAAGAAAGGGCATAGAACAAGCAGACATAGACACAAGACATAGATCGCAGGAAGGATAGGATAGATGGAGAGGGGAGGCGAACGGCGACAGGAGCAGTTCCCGATCATGCTTCCTGACCGTGTGCCGGACTCCTGTGTGGCAGCCGTCATGGCCTCAACTTCGCTGCTCCTTCTGCAGGATGTGCGAGTGTGGAAGGGAGAGAGCCGTTTAGCTCGAGGCCTGCCAGCCCTGGCCGAAGCAATAGTAGTCCGGGCTGGTTGCGGGGTTCAGGGCCCAGTTGGGCATGGTGAAGGGGGCATTGCCGTCGTGGTTGGCAATGTTGGAGATGATGTTGATCAAGACGCCAACAACAGCAGTGGCACCATCGAAGGAAGCCTGGAGGACGTAGCAGTACTTTTTCCACCACTCGTTCTTGTAGCGGTGGGCATAGAACTGGAAGGCCGTGGCAAAGACGAAGACGGTGATGACAAAGATCTGGTTGCCGTTACCGGGGCCCTGGAACTGCATGAGAATGGGGATGTTGACGGCCAGATGCCACATCTGGTGCTTGTAGATGCGGTTGCCGATCCAGGGGACGATGGGGAGGACCAAGCCGATGGGGAAGGCCCAGAGGGTGGCCTGGTAGAGCGAGCCGATACCAAAGAAGCGGGTGGGGCCGATGGCACCCCAGATGGCTCCGGCCGTGTAGGCAGTGCCGTACCAGGGAGCCTGCCAGTCAGCAGTGCCATAGAGCGGGCCGAACAGGAACGAGGTCGTGGCCGGAGTCATGACGACCGAGGCAATGACGGAGCCCAGGATCTGAGCGCCAAGCATAGCACGGGGATCGATCTTCATGTAGTGGCCAAGCTTCAGATCGCTGAGGAGGGCAAGGGCCTGGAGCATGGTCTGGTAGCCAACGCCCTTGAAGACCATGACGGGAACGGTCTGGCCGGGCATCATCAGACCGGCAATGAACTCGGTGATGATGTTTACACCGAGCTGCTGGCCCGAGATGGCTTGGAGGATGCCGATGGGGACAATGAAGACAATACCGATGCAGACGGCGAGGAGGGTGGCGTACCACGGGATGCGGTAGGGGGTGGTCTGGCCAATGATGAGCATCACAATGGCGGAGACGGCAAAGATGCCGATGTAGACGGCGGTGGGGGTCTCGGGGTAGGCGGCCATGAGCTTGTTGTGGATGTCGAGGGCGTTCTCATCGTGCTCCATGGCGCGGAACTGCTTGATGGCGGTGCGGAGCTGGCGGACAATGTCCTTGCCATAGAAGAGGGCAATGTGCGACACACAGGAGGTGATGCCTGCAAAGCCGGTGGCATACGAGATGGCAAAGAAAGCAGTCATGTGGATGGGCTTGGTGACGTTGTAGACGCCGAGATCGAGGTTGTACGTGGTGGTGTCGTACAGGCTGACGACGCTCAGGGACTGCGAAAAGTTGGTGCCGTTGTAGAGACTGATGCTGTTGATGTTGCCACAGCCGGTGGGGCCGGGAACGCTGCAGCCAAGGCTCTGCGAGTCCCACCAGTTGCCGACGTAGGAGATGGGGGTGATGATCCAGCCCCAGAACAGCCAGGAGAAGACGACGGCGCAGGTGGCCCAGTACGGAGTGACCAGGGGAGCGACAAACTGGGTGGCCGATCCCCAGTCAAAGGTGACCGCCAGGATACCAGTGCCGTTGCTGCCGCTACCAAAGATGTTGGTGTAGCTGTTGGCACCGGCGCCAAAGAGACAGAGGATGGAGATGACCTGGATGGCGGGGGCGATCCACTGGCTGACCCAGGTCCAGCAGAACATGACCGCGAACCAGACCCAGAAGAACTTGTAACGCGACCAGGTGTACTTGGAGGGAGTCTCGTTCTTCTCGTGGAAGGACACGAACAGGGCAACGTTCGAGAGGGTGCTGGGCCAGAACATGGCCGGGGGCTTGACCAGGAAGTGGCGGGTGAAGCCGGCGAGACCGAGACCGATAAAGTTGGAGGTCAGGACAAAGAGCAGCGACTGCCAGCCCTGGATATTGGTGTTGTTCATGTAGTTGGGGCCGACCTGGGAGGCGACGTTGTAGAGGGTGAAGGGAGTCGAGGCAGCGTTCGAGACAATGTAGACAAAGATGTGCTCCTTGATGGAAAAGGGGCCGGGGTTGAGGGACATTTCGGTGCCAAAGATCTTGACACGGACATCAGGGAGGATCTTGGCAAAGAAGAGGCCGAGGGGGTATGACACGAGCTGGATGTGTCGAGGGCGACGGCAGCGTATCGAGGGACAAGGGAGTGCGGGACAGGTGAGAACCAGAGTCGTGGCGTCGGCTGGCCAGCGCCCTTGGGTGGCACCATCGCCTGGCAGAGCGGATGACGCGGCGATGACACACAATCATCCGTGACGCAAGTCGACCACATCCACCGTGCGCCAGACGGACGGGCCCAGCGTCGCGATAAGATATCGGCCGGACCAGCGACACTTACCACAATCAGGGTAGCGCTGGGCGTGAAGGGGTTGGTGCGGAAGGACAGAATGGTGGTAGCGTAGGAGAACAGAGCCGAGAAGAGCGAGCCGAGGAAGATGGAGCGGAAGGTGACCGCGGGGGTAGAGGGGTCATCGGTACGGGGAACGATCGAGGTCAGCGAGGCCACCAGCTTGGCGTCCTGCTCCTCAACGTCGTCCGAGTCGATGGTCTCGAGGCCCATGACCTCCCTCTCCTCGGTATCGAGCTTGAGCTCGTCGTGGTTTTGCTTGGACTTTTGTTCTGACATGACGGGCGAATGGGAACCGCAGCCGGGCGGGGAGTCGGATAGAGAGCGTCCGACGGCACTTGGGGGGGGTGTTGCGTCCCTGGAGTGAATGGGGTGTGGAAAGCGAGGGACAGAGGCGCCAGGGAGGATTTTTATAGCCGAAGAGCGGCAGTCGGAGCCGGACACATGAAAGACGAGCGACTGATCTGGCTGACGCACTATCTGTGCGGCGGAAGAGCGGGGGCGCTTGTGTCTGGGGGAGGGAGATCATGTGTCGACAAGGCGGCGATCTCGTTTTCTTCCCGCAGCAAGACGGCGCGCCGGCGGTGGGGGCATGACGCACAGGCGGCCTTGCTGGGGGGGCCCGAGGGGCGCGCGCGTCGGCACTTTTTGTGGAAGCACAGGGCGGCGGACGCGCCGGGGCTCGTCAAACAAACACGGGGCTGGAGCGGGCAGGCAGAATGGGAACAGCAAGGCAGAATGGGAACGGCAAGGCAGAATGGGAACGGCACAAAAGAAAGTGAAAGTGCAAGTGAAAGTGCAAGTGCAAGTGAAAGCATCAACGGCCTGTTCCAACCCCAGCTGTACACAGCAACTCGGCGAAACTCGCACAGCACAGCACAGCGCGTGCAGAATTGCGCTGCCTGCAGACAGCCGGGCAGATGTCCCCCCGCGCCGTCGCCAAATGGAACACAGCCGCCGGACGGACGCAGACAAGCTTGTGCCTGTGTGGGAGATGGCCAGTGCTGGCAGGAGTGCTTCTGGAAGGAACGCTGGCGACAAACACGAACAAGCCCGGCAGCAACACGGCCGCGATCGACGGCACTTCTCCGGCATCAGACAAGCACACTCACAAGCAAACACAGGGAATTGCGCAAGCGAGCACGCAAGTCCCAGCGAAATATGCGTGGGCCACGCCTATCGTCGCACGGCAGCCCATTGGTCACGCTGCTTATCGGCTTTGCCAGCCGCCACGCAGCCACCCACCAGCCCCGGCGCAGCACGCGTCCCGTTTCGGCAGCCGTGCGCCCGTCTCCACATTTGTGCTCGTCATGCGTCCTGTCTGGCTCGGCTCAGTCTCCCGGGGGAAATGTGGCCCCTGCCTCTGTGGGTCCGCGGGATGCTCTGCTGACCGGCCTGCCGGCCCAGAGGACGCACGGCCTGTCCGCTGGCGCCACCCGCCCAGTGCCCGATGCCGGCTGGGCTTGCGCGGGGGTGGAAGCGGGCCGCTTGGCGAGGCCTGCAGCCCCAGCATGCGGGGTGCATCGGCAGATCCGCTCCTTGGGAGGTCTGGGGCAGAGGCGCGAGTGATATGCAAGTTGGCATCTCACGCACGTTGTACTTGACTGGGAATGACGGATTCAGAGTCGATGGATCTGCCGGGCTTTTTGGAGTCGTCGGATCCGTTCACCAATCAAGACACTCACAGGCATCCGCGAGAATATTTGATTGCAGGGAGCTGTCGCGAAGAAGCTGGTTTGGGCCCGGGATGAGCATTGATTTCTTCTGAGCAAAACTCCACGGGGAAATGGATGATGACAGTGCGTCTGAACGTGGCGCAGCTCGAATTGGAGATGAGTACGATGTTTGGGATGCAGTTGGTGGCAAACATGAGCTTCCACTTGGGTTTGATTTGGATGGAAGACTTGCAGAGATCACGGTGGCCTGTTTCGGTGCCAGCTCACCCAACGTTGCATTCCCATTCATTTCAGAGGCGATGGCCGAGAGGGCTGGTGCGGGTGCATCGGCATTAGGAGGCGTCAAGCTGCTCACAGATGAATGCACCGTGGCGAGGGTTGCAGAGACTCTTGGACAGACCTGCGTCTGTCAGCTTCAGGAGGGGGATTTTGCCGTTTTGACACGGAGACGTCCATCGAGATCAGGTACAGCATGCAGTCGATTTGATCCTCGCAAGTCTTCGTGATGGATCGAATCACGCGCATCACTTTGGTATGAGCGGGAATGGCGGGCTCATTGCTCGTTCGCTGTTCTCGGAGTCGATGGGCAGTGAGCAAAAGCTCGATGGCAGTACCGCACTTGAACGTGAGTAGGACGTCCTTATGGGTGAGATATCTCACGAAATCGGTGTTACGCTGTATTCAGGGGGGAAATGGGACACCTGCCCACAACCCATTTGTCAGCGTAGTATGCGATGGCATGCGTCTAACTATGCCATAAGTAATATAACAGATCGCTTTGGCAGCCTCCGAGTGAAGACCACCGGTCGCTCTCCGGTCTCGGAGTGCCAGCGGTGAATGGTGTTCTTGGACACACTGAAGGTGGTGGCGACCTTGCGCAAGCTGCGGAGCAGCGAGTCGCATCGCAGTGCAGCGATGCGGAAATCGAGGGTGCTGTGTTTGGCCATGATTGCCATGATTGCAATGAGTGGGTGGGTGCATCTGGTTTGGATGGCGAACCTGCAGGACTCGATACGATGTTCGATTTTATGTTCAATTCCACATTCGATGAATGTGGCTGTGCATGTGGCAGTGATTGTACAAAATCGACTCCAGCCATCAAACCATCGGATCGAGCCAGGCTTGTGTGTGTGTGTTCGATGGCCAGTAGGCGGCCTGCCAGGGTTTGGCTTGCTTCGCCACAACTTCCCGCTCTCTCTCCTGTCCACTTCCATCACCCACTTGCCTCTCTCCAGTCTCCATCAACATGGCCAGCACGAACGAGTCTGCTTCGAACATGGAATCATCTACCACCCACCAAACCCAAGCTCAAGCCAGAACAACCTCGTCGATGCCCGATATCACCCAGCTCTCGCTCGAACACAACCCAGATATCTTCACCATCATTTGTTGCAACGACGGTTTCCAGCTCGCACTCGACCACAGCGCCATCAAGACCCTGCTCCGAGTGTGCAAACGAGTCCAATCTCTCCTGAGCTCCAAGGTGCCTCGTTTCCTCATCTGGTGCCAGCGAGCAGAGCTGTGCAATCCAGACGGACAGATGCGAATCGGCCTCACACCAAGCGACCAAATCGCCATATCGCTGCACTGCGAGGATCAACGTACAGTGGACAGATCGTGGCTCGTCGAGCAAGCCAACCAGGGCCATGTCGCCACCTCGTACTTCCTGGCAAGGATCCTCCAAATGGATGTCGATCAAGGTATAATAAACTGGTACAAGCGAAGGGCTGTACATCAAGAAATCTTCCACCTTCTCGAGAATGTAGCCTGCACTGGCCATGCAGTGGCTCAGTTCCACCTGGCAAAGTGTTATCGCAACGGACGCGGTGCCGAACAAGACCACGCCAAGGCTGTCGAGATATATCGTAATCTCGCCGACGGCGGGATCCCTCAGGCTCAAGTTGCCCTTGGCTGCTGTTACGAGAGCGGCGAAGGTGTTGATCAAGACTACGGCACAACCATCGAGTGGTATTCCAAGGCCGCAGATCAAGGCAGTGAAGATGGTCGACTCCACATCGTGTTTCTCCGGGCCTGGTTCTCGTTCATCGGCCATGGTGTCGAGCAGAGCGACGTCGATGCCTTCAACCGCTGGCAGGAAGTCAGCACCAAGTCTACCGATCCGATCATCGAGCCCATCGCTACCCACATGCTTGGCTGGATGCACTACCTCGGCCGGGGAACCGTGCGCGACGAGCCAAAGGGTGTCAAGATCATCCGAGATAACCAATCAGATGAGTTCAAGCTTGGGGAGGACGAGTGCCTGGCTGGTGGAACTGGATGGAACACCAATTTGCCCTTAGCGCGCAAGCTCTTCCAGTTTTGCCAGTTTGGATCGGACCGAGACTGGCTGTGCAGACAACTTATGGCAGTTTTTCTGGTCCAAGGATTCGGAACCACTGAGAACGAAGGAACGGCCGCGAGGGTATTTGAACAGCTCGCCAGCGACGGGCACAGCCACAGCCAGTTTTGGATTGGAAATTGCTACTATTATGGGGTGGGAGTATCAAAGGACTACGAAAAGGTCTTTGGGTGGCTCAGCAAGTCGGCCGACCAAGGCAATTCGTATGGGTAGTGGAAGCTTGGTGAGTCCTACTACTATGGATACGGAGTCACCCAGGACCACATCAAGGCAATCGAGTGGTATCGCAAGTCGGCCGAGCAGGGCAATCGATACGGACAGAAATATCTCGGATACTGCTACCAATATGGCTGGGGCGTTGATGCAGATATCGACACCGCCGTCTTTTGGTATCGCAAGTCCGCCAAACAGGGAAACAAAGATGCAATCGACAAACTCAAGTCCCTCGGCAAGTGGCCCTGATTCCCGAGTCCCTCCCATTTTCCACTTCCAAACCACCAAACCTCGGCACTGAAATGCAAGCAGATCAACCAAGCAAACTGCACCGCCAACACCCACTCCAGACACAGTTGTACCGAACAGCGGATTGGAAGTGATTCGGATGAAGTCGCAGTCGCTGAGTGTTCTTGTATTTGTCGTTCAATACATCCAATATACAACGCAGTGCTATCACACTTCCATCTATTGATACTCGTAGCTCGGGCCATCACACTGCCAACAGAGTCCGACTGTTCCCCTCCCCAACACACCACCCCTTTCCCTATTCGATGTCCACCAAATCTCCATCGACTACAAATCCAGCGACCCATGAAGACGTAAGGGTCACCTCTACATTAGACCACCATGCCAGGGTCGCCTTCTATTTGTCGCAGAACTTGACAGCCACATCACCACATCACCACCGTTCCCCCAACGCGCGCCATGTTGCGCCCAATGTGATACGTGCACAACAGAGACGCGCACGCCTCGCGCACCTTCTATTTTCGGACACACTGCGCACATTGTACAATGCCCTGTGCCTTGTGCGACGCTTCGCCGCGCCCGCCCATCTCCATCCGCCTTTGGCTGTCCTGCTCCCTTTTTTGCCCTTTGCTGCCCATCACCTAGCCTCGCTCACTCGGCTGCTTTCTTGGCTGCCGTTCCTACTCGATATCCCCCCCAGCCATTCTCTAACGCTGCGGCCTATCGATACCGACCTCTTGCTGGGCCACATTGTACGTCTTCCTCCCTCCACAGCCTCGCCGATATCGCCTTTCCTTCGGTGCCTCGTCTAAATCCCGTTGCCGACAGCCCGATCCTCTCGCTTGACCACCCAGCCTTTCAGCCCACACAATGGACACCAGCAGCCAAACCAGCAGCCACACCAGCAGCCACACCAGCAGCCAAACCGGCCGAAAGATTCGCTATAGCGGCGATCTCGAGCTGCGTCTGGACTTTGATAAGGATCCACTCGCTCGCCCCTCGAACATGTTCCGAAACCCGGATCACAATCCGGATGTATGGCTCAAGCAGGCCAAGCGCAACTCGCAAATCCTGACACTGGAGGAGCCGCTGAGCTCGGACCCATCCAACCCGTTCGGTGACAGCAACACCGTGCATCTGACGCCTCCCACCTACCCGCCGGCCGCCGCACAGTCCACTTTCAATGGCGTCAGCGACGAAGTTCGGCGCTCGCTCCGTCACGGATACGCCGAGGGCAAGCTTCATCCAGCAGGTGCGGTTTTCTTCCAGAGCGTCTTCAAGGCTGTCGTCTGTTGCATCGGTGCCCAAGCATATGTCCAAACGCATGCATAGGAGCATGCCGTCAGACGTGGTGGCGAGTGTGTGCTGATGGCAGTCGACTCGACTGTGACAAGCGGGGCAAGGCCGGGCTTCGATGAGGTTGGGTTGTCTGGTCCCCCCTTCATTCCCCCTGGCATCCGCGATCCGTGCGGGTCTCGGCTCGCTCCGCACAACTGGCCCTTCGTTGGGCAGCGAGCTTCATCTCTAACTGTCGCGGCTCCATCCTCTCACAGGTCCGCGAGCCTTCACCCCACAAACCAACGGTTTGAGCAGCGAGTACGAAGGCTCGCTATACAACAGCAAGGGCTTTGAGGAGCCCATCTACCGCCAGCTTCGCGGCGTCCTTTACACCGTCTGCTCTCTGTCGTCGCTGCTGGCGCTGGTGCTGATGACCCTGGTGGGTCTCCAGGCCCGCATCTCGACCGAGCTCTCGGCCGACGAGAGCGAGCGATCCCTCATCTCCCTCAACTTTTTCGTCATGGTCGGCGTCTTTACGACGCTCCTTGCGGGATTCTATGTTGTCTGGTACAAGGTCCAGTCTCCATCTCTCAACCGATCCCACTACTGCTTCATCATCAGCGACAATACCTATGCTCGATTCAGCGACCTGGGAATGCACTTCCTGTTGCTCATCTTCTGGATCTCGTCCCTGGCCACAATTGGAACCTCCATCGGCCGCTGCACCGGCAGCACCCGAAGCTCGACCTCGATCGTGCCCTCGGGATCATGTGCGACAACGTTTTCGGCCATGGCCTTTGCTTCCCTCAGCAGCGCACTGCTCCTGTTTGGCATCGGCAAGCGCTTCTACGAGCTGTGGAAGTCGGGCGATCTGCAGCGGATGCTGCGAAAGTAGAGAGATCGATTCTTCTCTCGTGCCGGAGACATTGCTTTCCCCCTTGCCATTCCGCCTCGAACAAGATCCCTTGGAGAGGCCGGCTGCTGGCTCGAGACACTCGCATCCTCGTTGGAACTGTCATCGTTATCGTTACCTTTGATCCGTCAAGCCATCCTCGTGTGCTCCAAGTCGTTTGTGGGTCATGTCTTGCTCCCGATTCCAAGCCCCTGTTGGGCTCTCATTTCTTGCCTCTCTTTACGGTATCGTGCTTGCAAGCGCTCTTTTTTTTGGGGGGGGGAAGGGTGGCCGCTTCCTTCCACCAGTAACCCGGCACCTGGTGCCGTATCGAGCCCTCAGTACTTTCCATCCCAGCCGTCGCTTGCTTGCTGCCGGCCTTGGTTTGCTCGTCTGTCTATCTGTTCGTCTATCTGTTCGTCTATCTGTTTGTCTGTTTGTCGATTGATCCTCGCTAAACTAGCGCTCTAGTCCAGTTCCTCCTTCATTCCAGTATTCTTCTCGTTGCTCTTTTCTCTCTTCCCATCATCATTCCGCCACTGGCGATCCGGTGCTCGGTTGCTCCATCCCTCCCTCTTCCTTCAGCAGGATATGCTTTCTCTGCCCTCCACCACTTGCACTCAACAGAGGGATGTTGGCGTTGCAGAGCCCTTCATCTGTTTCGCTCCCTGCCAGAGCTATATCAATCCCGCTGTGTATGCCATTGCGGCTCTTTGCATCTGGACAACATCATAGAATGCCTTCCTTCGGGGCGCGGTGGACGGTCGATATGAGACCGGGTGATGTTTATCCAGCGCAAGTTGGATGCGTCGTTAGGAGCTCGCCTGGCCTGGCAATGCGACGCCGCTGTGGAATAGGGGGGGGGCTTCGTTCTTGATCGATCGGATGATGCTCAACAGTCCAGCCAAGCGATGCATTCTTCTCCTCGGACGCATCGAGCCGTGTCCACTGCAGACCAGAAACCGACACAGCAATACAATGCCATAATACGGACGGTGGTCGCAGACGCAATCACATACACAAAAGCAACGCCGTTATATTTTAGTGCGATAATGGCATCGAGGGTCTCCTCCTCTCATGCCATGGATGATCGACAAGAGAGGGTTGTTCGGAAGCTCTCATCGGATGGGGATGGTACAATCGGGGCCAGTTTACAGCAGACGCCAGAGCTTGCACTGCCAACGAGTTAGACCTGGCGACGAATCATAGCGTCGCGAGCGGGGCCAACGCCGATCCATTCAACTGCAGCAGCGAGGCAAACAGATTGCGCGCAGTGTTAGAGGCCGCTAGGTTTCAAAAGAGGTGCGGTTATGCAGCTACAGAAGCCACGACGCCGTCAGCGAGTGCGACATGGAAATGGCCACCCACCTGGAGTCTCCAGAATCTCCTCGACCTTCTTGATGTAGAGCTGAGCATTCAACGGGAGCGCTTCGAAGGTTCTGCAAGCAGAGATGTCCTGCTTCCATCCGGGGAGGGTAATGTACTCGACATCAACCTTGCTCAGGAGCGTGAGATCGGCTGCAAAGCAGAGGGAGCCCTGATGGTGAGCACACGACGCAGGGTACACTCGGATTGTAAAAGTCGGCGGTGTGCCGTCAAGCAAAGCACATTACCAGGGAAGCTGTCGAGCTTCTTGCCCTCGTAGTGGTAGGCCACGGCAACCTTGATCTCAGGAAGCTGGTCGAGAACGTCGAGCTTGGTGATGTTGAGGGTGGTGTAGCCATTGATCATGCACGAGTACTTCATCACGACAAGATCAAGCCAGCCACAGCGGCGGCGGCGGCCGGTGGTAACGCCGTATTCGACACCGACGGACTGCAGATGGTTGCCAATGTCCTGCGGGCGGTCCAAGCAATGTCACAGAGTGAGGATGTGTTGTTTGCAGAGGGCCCATGCTGCACGAGCGGGGCAGTCAGGCATTGTGCTGGTGGCTGGAATCAGAGCTTACATCCAGGAGCTCGGTGGGGAAGGGGCCAGCGCCGACACGGGTGGTGTAGGCCTTGACGACACCAATGACCTTGTCGATCTTGGTGGGAGGAATACCAAGACCGGTGCAGACGCCACCAACGGTGGTGCTCGAGGACGTGACAAAGGGGTAGGTGCCTGCACCAGCGCATCGAGATGAGGTCAGCGTCGTCGCATTTGGGAATCGAGGCACCGCACAAGTTTCGCCCAAAAGCCCAGGGCAGAGGCTGAGGGCTTTGCTGATGCCACAGGATCAGCTCGGCACACGGACGAGGCACTCACCGAAATCAAGATCAAGCATGAGAGCGTTGGCACCCTCGACCAGGACACGCTTCTTCTCGGCAAGGGCCTTGTGGATGTATGGGATGGTGTCGATGACATACGGACGGATACGGGCGGCAAGTTGCTAAACGATCGAATGCAGCGGGAACCAGGCGTCAGCAATCGTGAGCAAAGAGACCAGGAGCAGTGGAGCCGTATTCAAGAAAGGCCAAACAGCCTCTGCAGTCCAGCAGTCACAGCAACGCCGGCGCTGCCTATGAGATCGGACGACAGCACAGAAACCAAAAAGCACCTTCAGCTTAGCCAGCTCTTGATCAGCGTCGTGTTCAAAGTTGCCGTAGCGTTTCTGCTTGTTGGCGAGGGTAGTTCGATACTTGGCCTCAAACTCCTCCCAGTTGTAGAGGTGGTGGACACGCAGACCCGAGCGCGACGACTTGGACGAGTAGGTCGGTCCGATGCCCTTGCGGGTAGTGCCGAGACTGGAGCCGCCGAGCTCGGCCTCGCGGAGGCCATCGACGACCTGATGGAAGTCAAAGACAAGATGGGCACGGTCGGAGACAAAAAGACGGCCATCGGCATTCAGGCCTGGGTCCCGGCGGATGAGAAGGTGTCCGAGAAGAGGACGTGTCAGCATCCAGAGTCAAGAAGGCATAGGGCCGCATCGCAACGGCCGCTGAGGCAGCGGAAGCGAGGGCACGGTTCAAACAGAGTCATACACCCAGACAGCGCAGCTGCAGGCGGGTCGATGGATGCACGCGGCTTGCAGACCACGTACCCTTCTTTTCGTTGTTCTCCAGTTCCGAGAAGAACGAGGGGAGATGGACGACAACGCCGTTGCCGATCACCGAGACGCAGTTGGGGTTTACAAGACCCGAAGGCAGGAGATGAAAGTCAAACTTGGCTCCGTTGGCGACAATGGTGTGGCCGGCGTTGTTTCCGCCCTATACAAGCAAGCCCATTGCGAAGGAGCGAGTGAGCACGGGCTGGCCTCTTCTCCTCGGGGACGAGAGCGAGCGTTGTGTGTGTCGCGGAGCCAGAGCCAGAGCCAGAGCCAGAGCCAGAGCCAGAGCCAGACGGATCAAAGCGCTCGAGGGACGCGCAAGACAGCCGATAGACTGCCCGGGGAAACGAAGATGCAGACGGATGCATGCGGCCAGCGACGGCACCACGAAGGCCGCGGGACGTTTGCCCTGGCAAGCCCGGCGGGGATATGCAGCAAACTTACAGCACAGCGGGCAACGACATCGGCATCGGAGGCGAGAACATCGACGAGCTTTCCCTTGCCTTCATCACCCCACTGAGCACCCATAACCACAGTGGCACCTCCATTTCTCAGGGATGCCATGTTGACGACGACGACGACAGCGGCAGCGACGGCGGCGACAATGCGAGCTTGTTCGTATCCAAGAATCGACCATTTTTTTCCTGCCTGAGCAGGCCCGTGGCGCTCCGGGGCCTTTATACCCGGCATCCGGCGTTTGCCTTTTTTTTCGGGATGGCGACCCGCTGCTGGCCGCAATCAGGGCGGCTGCGCAGCCGGCGCGTGGCCGCAGTTGCTGTGTGCGCAGCGCGGCTGTGTGCGGCAGGCTCGCAGCCACACTCTGGCTGCATGCGCGCGTGTGCGCCGCCATTGTCTGCCTTGATGCGTGTGTGTGTGTGCTGCCGGGCCGCGTCTCGCCGTGCTCTCGCCGTGCTCTCGCCGTGCTCTCGCCGTGCTCTCGCCCTCGCGGCGCTCTCCCCGGGCGTTCTCGGAACAGCCGCCAATGCCACGTGAGCGATAGTGCCCTCACGTGTCCGCGCTGCTGCGCCCCGTGCTCACAAATTCTCCCATTGGGCTGCGCCATGCCGAGTCAACGGCGCCCTGATTGGCTGCGGCCAGGTATAAATCGCTGCGCGCTCGCGATTCCCCTTTGACCACCTACTACTGATAGTGCCATCTATTCACTACGCATCGCAGATCCCCGTGCGATGCGGCAGGGGAAACGGTGGCCAGAGCAGATCTCGGTTCCTCTCATTGGCATGAGCCTCGGCCCTGAAATGTCAACATATAGTTACCGATACATCCCGAGCGGAGGGAGCATGGGAGCGGACGGGTCGCGGCCCGATGTGTCTGGCGTGGACGTGATGCACGATCGATCAGTCGCAGACGAGCCCGATGGCGCTGAGTCTCGGTCGCGACGCTGCGATGATGCTGGGACGTGCTGATAAGTGCTGAGAAGTGTCGATGCAGGCCGATCGCAGTATCTGACAATCGCAGCTGCACCGTAGCCGCACGGTGAAAGCTTCATCATACTGATCATCGGCGTACGGCTGGCGAGCTATCAGAGCGCCAATCCAGGCCACCATACCCGTGAGAGCCGCGACGGCCAGCACCAGCCAAACAGGGCTTCATTTCCGTTTCGTTCGTGGTGGAGCGTTGGGTGTCGTTCGTTGCTCCAGTAGTGGCCACGTGATCGCATCAATATGTCTGCTTTTGGCGGCGCCGGCCCAGCCGATCTGTCCTCTGGTTCCAGGCAGATCTGTTCCAGACAGCCCTCCCAGCACCAGCAATCAAGTGCGATACGCGAGCCGGCAGCAGCAGCAGTGTCAACGGCAGCGGATACGTCGACGACATCAGGGAACCATGGCACTCTGGGAAGGTAGGGCCCGCAGCTCGAGGTGTCCTTTGGGCCTGTTCCGAACCTCCTGGCTGTCGCCCTCGCTGATCAGCTCCCGATGGCCTTCCCGATAGACATTGCGATCCCCTCCGTCGAGACGGTTACCTTTGGCGAATTACAGGGCAAGCTTGGTATGCATCCTGGCCAACGGGCCTGTCAATTTTACTGCTTGCTCGATGACGCGGCCTCCGTCTTGGGATGGGCTGGTCCGTCAGCAGGAACTGGACACTGCAAACCAGCGATCAACCTAACGCTCCTCGGCCGGCACGTCCCGAACATCACTCTCTGCCCCCTGCCAACACATCGCTACAGTCCAGGCCAGTGGACCCAACGACGCTTCACTCGAAGACTATGCTCGAAGAGATGTATGTGACTCCTGCAGCGCTTCGGCTGCCTCTTCGATTGGCGCTTCGACCAGCGTTTTGATGGCGTTGCTGGAGCGAGTCCTGATTCGCTCTTCTGTCGCCGTTCTGCTCCAGGGCATGTTCTATCCCCATATCATCGTGCCGTACACTTACCAGCGGCACGAGAAAGGGGCCATTCCCCCGATTCGCAACAGAAAGGTGCTCGCACGCAACCTAGAATCTGACGACAGCGACAATTCCGACCTCGAAAGGTAGCGATCATTCGCACCGGCGATGCTCCCTCACGGGCCCGGGCCACAATTTCGCATCGACTCGATCGAGGATCGCCCCGGCTGCAGTCCCGCTATTCGCATGGCGACAAGCCAGACTTCTTGTCGACTGATCTGTACGATGCGTTTTTTACCTACGAATCGTCCTCGGCGACAGAGCCGGTGCCCATTCTCTTGCCCAGATCGGATCAAATATCTATCTCTATCTCGACAGTTTCATTCTTCCGACCATTCGATCGCTGATCGGCGAGGTAGGCCATTCAGCGGCAATCAGACCTCCCAGGCGGCCGCCGGATTTATGGATCAGATCAAACTTGGTCGATTATGGCTCACCGAATCGAGTATTCTCCCCTCCCCAGACTCTGGGTTATTATCAGGGACTATCAGACTCGCTGAACCAGTCTCCTGTCCGCGCACTTGCTTGGCATCCCTACAAGCAACTGTTTGCTATTGCGCATCGAGAAAACAGTATCCATCTTTTCGATCTGACAAACGGAGGTGTGGCCCTTGACCGATGCAGAATCTCAATCACATTCCGATAATACCCGCAATCATCGTCGCCGCACTCTGCTCCTATCGATTCTGCGAATCCAAAGCTCCCCACTAATGGACTCTACCTCCCTCGTCAACGCCTCCACTTTTCCAATGCTATCCCGAACCGCGAATCGTCAAAACGCCATCCAATTCTTCTGGATCTCAGTCTGGATTCCCGAGAGCAACACGGGACTGACACACGAAGCCCAGTATGAGGTTACCTGTATGGAGTGGAACCCGCACTCGGGCATGCTTTTGGCTGTCGCTGTCCGGTAGGTCCCGTCGACGAAGCATTGTACCCCTGCGTTGCCTGAATAGCTCGACGATATGATGCCGAAAGAGCAGGAGAGCAGTATCGGACGAGTCACTCGCCCCCCCCGCCATGGGTTGCAGCTGTCGTTCCAGGAGATTCCCGTCAGCTTCTTCCGCTACTCATCGGCTGACCAATCCCATCTCGCGAACACGCACAGAGGTGGCGTGCTGCTGTGGAAAATTGGCAACTGCCATTCCGCCGATGACGAAAGTGCGGAGCCGTCCCGGGCATCCAAGCGAAAGTCGCACACGTGCGAGTTTCTGAGTGCTCCCGGGCTCGAGTACGTCTCCACCTTGACGTGGTCAAGCGATGGACGGTACTTGGTTGCAGGATCGGGCGCAAAGGACCTTATCGTCATCTGGGATACCCTGGGACTCGAGCGCGACTTTGACGGCAAGCCAGTCCCGATCTACCTGCGCAAGTTCCGAGGACAGTGCACCAAAGTGCTCAAGTGGAGTCCGGACGGAAACTATCTGTTGCAGATCTGTGGGCAAGTACTCATTGCGATGACCGCCTCCGTTGTGAGCCGGCTGGTCGCCAGAATGACTGTCGCCGTATTGGGCCGCCAATGCCAGGATGTGCTTGCATAATGCAGTGGCTTGTGCATCAAGCTAACGACCTCTATCTTGTCAGATCGTCCATCTTGAGAATATGGGAGACACACACATGGGAATGTGTCAACATCAACTTGACTTCTCCGGCCCAGGTACGTGACGTAAATCTGCCATATCTGCGCCGACAGGCCGCCTGAGCACGGCGAATCTGTAGCCTGCTTTTATTTCTCACCCTGCCGCTATCCATCGCATCAGTCCGCCGCCTGGATGCCCGACAGCAAGACCATCATCTTTGCCCTGCAAGGCAGCCATTCGATCTTCAACATCAAGCTCAATCGCGACCCTCCGTCGCTCGGTAAGGGACGCATCCGTGGTCCCATGGTCTATGGCTACCGCAGCTCTATGGTCTATGACTACCTCAGCTCTTCTTTGGTCATTGCTGATATGCGGCTCTTGTCATTGCGTGTCCCTGCTCCAATCTCAACCAGATATCCGTGATCTAAAGCCTCAGCGTCTGCCAAGGAGGTCTGCACCGATCCTGCCTGGTCGGGAGATGGTGACGTAAGTTGGTTCGATGACCGCTGTCGGTCCGGCCGAGGGTCCAAAATATCGTCAAAGTCTCGTGGCCACATCCGATCCTGACAAACATTCTCCATGTGTTTCGCCCGACATTCAGAGTCGGTGGCCCCATCAAGAGTCTTGCTGTCGATCCAAAAGGCCGCCGTCTGATCGTCATATTCGACCACGAGGAACTCGGCTCGGAGCTGCTTGCGCTGCTGTCGATAGAGGAGAAGCCCCTGCCTCAGTTTACACCCATGTAGGTTTCCTTGTCCATGCAGCATTGTCCTCCGTCTTGTGACTTGTTGTTGGATGCCAGTCTCGTGCACTACTGCTTGGTATGCTGCCTTCCGATGTCGCTGTCGTTCCGTCTTCCTAATGCGATCCTCTGCTTCCGGTGTCATCGCACGGCACAATCACACGGCACCCCAATCCCACCACAATCCCACCACAATCCAACCACAATCCCACCACAATCCAACCACAATCTCTCACTCCAACGCGACTGGTGCTGTTTGCCGATCCTCGCTGTTCAGCGGCTTGATTCGCGGCCCCCACTGGCAGCCGGGCACTCTGCAGCCTCAAGCCGATGCCGGCCTCAGCAACCGCGTCCTTCCCGAGGCCGTCTCGGTGCAGTTTGCTGCCCAGTTTACTTCGGGTGCCCTCGCCAGCATCGTCTGGAAGAACGGCAAGATCGGCTTCTTGCCATGTTCGTTCTAGCCACACACACACCAACGCCCTTCATTGGTCGGCGGAGATCGGCCCGCTGCGCAATACACGTGATCAATTTTCTTTTATGTTTTTTCTTGGCCTGGGGGCTCCGTCGCGCCGATCAGCGAAAGTGCCAACCCAGCAGCCCAGCAGACCAGCCCAGCGTAGACCCGTGCCCAACAGCCTTGGTCCTGGTTCGTTGGCATATTGGACGCTCAACAGCGCCCCACATTCACGGCCCTGCGCTCCGCACATCGTCCGGCATACGAGGCTCTCTTCCAAACCGACACACAGTCGCAAAGCTCTCGACGGCAGGATACGCCGCATCAGCCAGTCCTCCGTGCCCAGCTCCGTTTCCAACGCGCCGCTCCCATAGATCTCCGGTCAGCACGATCCGCAACTTGATTGCACACCTGTGCTGTCGCATCCACGAAGGCTTGCCGGTCAGAGCCAGACCGTCGGAAAGCTTGCTTCTATTAGTTTCAAGCACCTGTCAGCTATACGACGACATCTCCATCATTCGACAATATTCCTTGCCATGTGCGCTGACGCCAACGACTCACTGTCGGGGTTGGCTTTCCTGCTTGCACCCGCAATTCGAGGTCTCTTGGCCTCCGAGCATCATCCAGGCCACTGCATTCCAAAGCAGCACCGTGTGCTCCTTGAGTCAGCCCTCGCCTCCAGCTCGTCTGCATCTGCTTCTGAAACGACGCATGCCGTGCTCAAGACTGTTTCGGAGCTGATGCTCCTTCGTCCGTGCATGCTTGGACAAATCACACATCTGTTCAGGCCCATACTCATCGACCTGGTTGCGCGCTGGCTTCTTGCGGTCGATATTCCCATTCATTGGCAGCATGCCGGAGGGCTTTGTCCTGCTCATCCCTGGATCGAATACCCGACTCATAGGCATTCGCCATCCGGCTCGGCCCAGAAGGACGATCAGAACGACAGCCAAAAGCACCAATATCTTCACGAGGCTGTTGATGTGAAGCAGTCTCCGAAGCACGACTCTGATGGCAATATCCTCTCCTCAACTTCACACACCCGACCGTCGGACCTGGACCTTCCGTCACGATCTGAAATGCTTGCCGCCGCAATTTCATTCCTCTTGCCCGGTACCCCCCAGATTCATCGGTAAGCCAACTCCTCTGCTTCTGGTGGATGCACTCTAAAACCCAGGACATCGATCTGGGCTGCCATTGTAATCGTGGATCGTATCTGTGACTCGGCATGGTCGCCATTGAGCGGCTCGCAGGCGAAATCACCGACTCAGCATCCGCACTTACCAATGCTCATTCATACTTGTCCTATTTTATATGCAGCTATGTTGCACCCCTTCTCTCTGGAATCCCCGGGGCATTTGCGACTCTCTCGGGCAAAGTTGCCTGCCATGCAGATGCAGATGCAGGAGCGAGCCCATGCCTCGCCAAGAGGCTTTTCCAGCTCGTGAGGGCGCTGTACCGCATCGTTCACCATTCGCCTTCCGATTTTGGTTCGCTGTTTGAGTGGCAGCCGTACTACTTGTTTCTCAAGTACCCTGACACGCATATCCAAATCTACGTCGCCGAGACACTTGCCACGGTCCTTGGCATGGCCGACACTGATCGCCAAAAGCTCGTGGAGCCTATCCTCGCTGATGCTCAAGACGACTCGATCCGCTTGATAAGGTGAGGTGTGATGCAATATCCACGATCGCGGGTCCACGGCGATCCATCACTTGCGAGATCTTGGCTGCGCCATTCCTAACCCTGCCAGCGTCTTTTCCCTGTGTGGTATGCAGGCTTCTGGAGCAGGAGCACGATTTGCGGGCCCAGGCCGAAATGTTTCGTCCACCCGCCCATGATCCCAGCGACCCTGAGGCAGCGTCCGCCCAGTTTGTAACCCACGCTGATCTCTGCAAGTTTACAGTCGACCTATGCGGCGTCCTCCTGCCAACGGCGTCACTCGATCCATCGCCGCCCGTGACATCGCCAGATACCGCAGACACCGACCGGCTTGTCCTGACGCCGACGACTCGCCGGAACCTCCATAGCATGGGCCTGGCGCTTTCCCTGGGATCGCCGATCTTGCTCGAAGGCGGTCCAGGGACCGGCAAGACGTCATTGGTCGAAGAGGCCAGTCGGATGACTGGGCTTTCGGGTAGGTCTCTGCCTCTTAATCTTGATGCAGTTGGCGCTGCCGGTTTCATTCCCACTGTGTCGGCCGGAGAAAGCTGAGCGTCCGACAAGTAACGGCCATGCAACTGTGGGGCATCTGGATCCGTTGCCTGGGATGCCCAGGGCTTCCACGCAACCGCAACCGTCGTCGTGCATGCACTTACATGGATGTCGTCCCTCTGTTTGTTCAATAACACTAGATCTTCTCAAGATCCATCTCGGAGACCAGACTGACAGCAAGGTGCTCTTGGGAACCTATGTGTGCACCTCCACCCCGGGCAGCTTCCGCTGGCAGCCCGGCGTCCTTACCACCGCTGTCAGCGAAGGACGTTGGGTGCTGATTGAAGACATTGATCTCGCGCCCATGGAAGTTGTCTCGGTCCTGATCCCGCTGCTTGAGACACGCCATCTCTTCATTCCGAGCCGTGGCGAGAAGTTCAAGGCCAAGGAGGGCTTCCAGCTCTTCGCCACCCGCACCATCTTTCCCTCAAAGTCTGGCGGCGGCCGACGGGTGAAGGCCGATGCCATTGGCGATAATCTCTGGACCAAGCTCAAAGTCCATCCACTTCCCATCAGCGAGATCACTTTTATCCTGGAGACGCGATTTCCGTCCCTTCGTGAATTCATCCCTGGTGTGATCCAGTCGTTCGAAGCTATGTCCAAGTTCTACGGCGAAACCGTGGGCATCGGACGCTACCTTTCCTTCCGGGACCTGCTCAAATGGTGCCGCCGCATGAGTGTGCTCTATCCCTCGATCTCACCGGATACGATCGTCAGTGGCGAAATGAATATGCAGTTCCGCGAGGATCTGCTACGGGAGGGCACCGACTGCTTTGCAGGCATGATTGGCCGGCGCTCGATTGTCGACTCGGTTTTCGCCCAGCTTGGGGCTGCCCTTGGCATTCCACAGCATCGGATCGACTTTTACATTGAGCACTATGCCCCAAGCATATCGACCACCGAACAGCGCATCGTCGTCGGCCGCGGTGCTGTCTCTGTGGCGAACAATGTGACCACGACCGTCCAACAGCGGATTCGCCTGGCGCGCCCCTTTGCCGAGACTCGACATGCCCTTAAGCTCTTGGAGCGCCTCACTGTCTGTACACTTTTGAACGAGCCGACGTTGCTGGTGGGCGAGACCGGCACCGGCAAAACCTCTGTCGTCCAGCATCTGGCGACACTCTGCGGCCGCAAGCTCGTTGTCGTGAACATGAGTCAGCAAAGCGATAGTAGCGACTTGCTTGGAGGATTCAAGCCCGTTGACGCCAAGATGCTGGCCAGCCCAATCAAAGAGGAGTTTGAAGCACTGTTTGCCCACACATTCTCGATCAAGAACAACCAGCCTTTCCTTGACAGCATCAACAAAGCCTATGCCCGAAAGAACTGGGATATGCTCCTCATGGGCTTCCAGAGTGCCGTCAAGATGGCCGAGAAGCTCTTTGAGAAGCAGCGTGCTCAGTCCAACGCCGAAGGCGACCGCACTAGCTCCCCGACCAGCACCAGCGCTGAAGTTACAGATCCTCAGCCACCCTTGTCAAAGAAGGCGAAAAAGAACAAGCCAAAGAAGCAGCTCGATGAAGGCCTTCAGCTTGCGTGGGAGCGCTTTAGCATCAATGTCAGCCAGTTCGCCGCCCAGCGCGACCAGATCCAGCGTCAATTTTTGTTCATGTTTGTGGAAGGTGCGCTCGTGAAGGCCATCAAGGAGGGTCACTGGGTACTCTTGGACGAAATCAACCTGGCTACATCGGAAACACTTGAGTGTCTCAGCGGCCTTCTCCAAAATGCAAGTGGCAGCCTGCTGCTTCTTGAGCGAGGCGACACCAAGCCCATTGATCGCCACGAAGGATTCCGACTGTTTGCATGCATGAATCCTGCCAATGACGCCGGCAAGCGCGATCTGCCTCCAGGCTTACGATCCCGATTTACCGAGTTTTGGGTTGACAGCCCGGACTCGGATCCGTTGGACCTGCAAATGATTGTCCGTCAGTATCTGAAAGACCACCTTGTCCCCGGCGACATGATCGTCACCGATCTTGCCGAGTTCTACCAAGCTGCAAAGCTTGCAAGCGACAACAAGCTCTACGATGGGGCAGGTCATCGTGTCCACCTCTCCATCCGTACCCTTTCGCGGGCGTTGACCTATGGTGTCCACGCCGCCGCTGTCTATGGCCTGCGTCGCGGATTGTACGAAGGCATCCACATGACCTTTGGCACCCAGCTCGGCAAGGAGAGCAAGCGTGTCATGGAGACCCTGATTGATGAGCACTTGCTGAAGAGCGTCCGCAACCGCGACGCCTTTCTCCGCCAAGTTCCGCGCGCACCGAGCGGCGGAGGCGACGGCGGCTTGAATCACGTCCTCTTCGAAAGCTTCTGGCTTGAAAAGGGCAACCTCGAAATCCCCGACTCTATCCCAGAATACGTTCTCACTCCCTCGGTGGAGTCCAACTTGCGCAATCTGGCCCGAGCTGTCATGAGTCAAAAGTACCCGGTCCTGATTCAAGGTCCCACCAGCGCCGGCAAAACCAGTATGATCGAGTATCTCGCCAAACGAACAGGGCACCGCTTTGTCCGCATCAACAATCACGACCACACCGATCTACAGGAGTATCTCGGCAGCTATGTCCCTGATCGAGACGGAAAGCTTGTGTTTCGAGAGGTACGACTCGGGGTTGGTGCGCAGGGCTCGAGTTCGAGTGCGCGATCGATTGAGGCAACCTCGTCGCCATTGGCTTTCGGCTAAGCGTGCGGTCGCCTGCATCACTCTCTTGAACGGGCCCATCGATTCCTTCCGATCGACACTCGCTCTGAGTTTGGATCATCTCTGGCGATCCCTCACGGGCGGTGGCTTCCCATTTGCTTTCCTGCGCTTACCTTTGTCTTTGGGTGCCTTTCGATCGACAGGGTGCCTTGGTCGAAGCGCTGCGTCGTGGCTACTGGATTGTTCTGGACGAGCTCAATCTGGCGCCGTCCGATGTACTTGAGGCCCTTAACCGACTCTTGGATGATAATCGTGAGCTGCTCATACCAGAGACCCAGGAGATTGTTCGGCCACATCCCCATTTCATGCTCTTTGCGACCCAGAATCCACCCGGCTTGTACGGAGGCCGCAAAGTCCTTTCGCGTGCGTTCCGCAATCGTTTCTTGGAGCTTCACTTTGACGACATCCCTGAAGCCGAGTTGACAACGATTCTTGAGCAGCGATGTCGCATCGCCCCTTCATATGCCGTCAAGTTGGTTGCGGCCTATCGCGAGCTCATGGCATCCCGGGTCAAGAGCCGGGTCTTTGAAGGAAAGCATGGCTTTGTCACATTGCGCGATCTTTTCCGCTGGGCTTTGCGAGAAGCTGTGGGCTACGAGGAACTCGCCCGTAACGGATTCATGATCCTTGGCGAGCGCTGCCGACAGAACGACGAGAAGGAAGTTGTGCGTCAAGCCATCGAAAAGGTCATGAAGGTGAAACTCAGCATGGACGAATACTACGAAGCCGAGTTTTCCCGCATCCATTCTGCGCACCTGAACAAGGGCCAAAGTTTCGGTGACGGGGTCGTTTGGACCAGAGCGATGAAGAAACTTGTCGTTATGGTTATGGCATGTATCAGCAACAAGGAACCCACGCTTCTGGTCGGTGAAACAGGCTGCGGCAAGACTACGGTTTGTGAACTGCTGGCGCGGGCCTCTGGCCGCGATCTGGTAATGGTCAATGCGCACCAGCACAGCGAGACAAGCGATTTCCTCGGCAGCCAGCGGCCCGTCCGTGGCCGAGACGTCATTGAACGCGAGGTTAGGGGAATCCTGAACTCTGCCGCCGAAGCCTATCCGGACCTCGGGCTGGATATCGGTGCTGGCAGCATGGAAGATCTCATCAGCCAGTTCGAAGGTTTCTTCAGCCGCCAGACTGATGGTGGACCGGCTGACGAATCAATCTCTGCAGCCCTTGGGCGCCTCCAAACGCTCAAGCCAAGAGTCAAGGCTCTCTTTGAGTGGCATGACGGCCCCCTCGTCCAGGCTATGAAGAAGGGCCGGTTTTTCCTCCTCGATGAAATCTCCCTTGCCGACGACTCGGTCCTTGAGCGCCTCAACTCGGTGCTTGAGCCTTCTCGCTTACTTGTTCTAGCCGAGAAAGGCTGCGACTCGGATGGCGTTGGCGTCGAAGAGATCTACGGCTCCGAGGGCTTTGAGTTTTTGGCGACGATGAATCCCGGCGGAGACTATGGCAAGAAGGAGCTGTCTCCGGCCCTCCGAAACCGCTTCACCGAGATATGGGTTCCTTCAGTAACCGATCAGGACGACTTGAAGGCTATCATAACGAGCAAACTGGGACCACAGGCGGGGCTCTCTGAGGATCAAACTGTCGCCGACGCTCTGTTGGAGTTTATCGACTCTTTCTCTCAATGGATTCACCGACCACGCGAGACCGTCGTCAGTATGCGCGACATTCTGGCTTGGGTCCAGTTCATGAACGTTTCTGGTGAGTTTGCTGGTACTCGACGATCCACCGCGATGTTGTGCCTCACCTTGGAGGGTATTGCAATTCAAGCTGCAGCAATCTTCCATATAGCTAACAGCTCCATGTTCTCCCTCTTTTCGCATGCTGATCGATGCGGTCGCCGTGCCATCCGGCTGATTCCGTAGCCCCCAACATTGGCTGGCCAAGTGCGTTTGTGAACGGCGGCGAAATGGTGATTGTCGACGGAATCGGCGTCAATCCGCTGTATGGCATCTCCGGCGGCGGCGAAACCTCGATCGAGCTGAGGAAACTCTGCCTCGAGAAGCTGCGCGGGCTTGTCAACATGACCCGAGGCCAGCTCATCGAATCGTCTACATTTGTCGACTCGACCGATCGCTGGGGTATCGAACCCTTTGCCATCTCCATGGGCCCTCACTCGCCCAAGCCAGTCCAGTTCGCCATGAAGGCACCCACGACGATGAACAACTGCAAGCGAGTCCTACGGGCGCTCCAGCTGAGCAAGCCGATTCTGCTCGAAGGTTCCCCAGGCGTCGGCAAGACTTCGCTCATTTCGTCGCTGGCAAGTGTCACAGGCCACAATCTTGTCCGAATCAACCTCTCCGAGCAGACAGATTTGATGGATCTCTTTGGAAGTGACCTGCCCGTGGAGGGAGGAAGTGGCGGAGAGTTTGCATGGCGAGATGGACCCTTCCTTCGAGCCATGCAAATGGGAGACTGGGTTTTGCTGGACGAACTCAATCTCGCCAGCCAGCAAGTTCTCGAAGGCCTCAACGCCTGTCTCGATCATCGTGCGGCTGTCTACATCCCCGAGCTTGATCGAACGTTCGAGTGTCGCCCTGGATTCCGAGTCTTTGCTGCTCAGAATCCACAGTACCAGGGCGGTGGCCGCAAGGGCCTTCCAAAGTCGTTTGTCAATCGCTTCACCCAGGTCTACGTTGAGGCCCTGACCATGGATGATCTCCACATGATCACCTGTAGCCTCAACCCCGATATCGACCCGGCGATTCTCAAGAAAATGATTGCCTTCAACGGCCGGATCCAAGACGAGGTTGTAGAACGCTGCCTCTGGGGCTGGAAGGGCGGCCCATGGGAGTTCAACCTCCGCGATGTTTTGCGCTGGGTCGAGTTGATGAAGAGCACCGGCCCTGGGGTCCGACCCAACATCTCGCATCCTGGCGAGTATTTGGAGATGGTGTTCTCGCATCGCATGCGCACCATTCCTGATCGCGAACGCGTTCGCAGCATTTACCAAGAGTATTTTGGCGAGCTCCCCGAACAAAGCCAGCGCAAGCCGTCATGGTCCATATCGCCCGATTGGATCCAAGTGGGGCATGCCTTCCTTCCTCGCCACCGACATCGCGGACGAAGCGGCCAAGTATCGACCGATCATCTGCTCGCGCTGCATGATATCGCCTGTCCACTCGAGAGCGTGATGAAGGCTGTCGAAATGGGATGGATGACGCTGCTGACCGGGCCCACGGCCAGCGGCAAAACCAGTCTGGTTCGCTGGCTAGCCGCCGTGACCGGGCACCGCCTCGAAGAGTTCGCCATGAACAGCGGCGTCGATACCGTCGAGCTGCTTGGTGGCTTTGAGCAAGCTGATCTGAAGCGCCGGGCCGAAGGGGTGCTCTCAAGCCTGTCACAGTCGATCGAGGGCGTGCTGCGGTGTCTGCTCGCCATGGGGGCTCACGATTCCGCCGCAGTGGACGCCGCTCGGCAGCTCCACGCCGATTGGGACTCTCTACGGTCGCAAGGCGATGACGGACGTCTGGATGGATCATTCGTCCTTTCGGTAATCGCAAGTCTGGAGTCTGTCGTCAACCAACTCTCACTGGACCTGGCCGCCTCGGGCCTGCCAACAATTCCTGGCATCCGCGGAGCTCTTGAGCAGTACCAAATGCTCTCCCAGCTCGGCGTCCACGGAGCTTTCGAGTGGATCGATGGCACCCTCCTGAGGGCAATGGAAAATGGGCACTGGGTCATGATCGACAATGTCAATTTCTGCCCGGCCAGCGTGCTCGACCGTCTCAATCCCCTACTCGAGCCCAACGGCGTTCTCCTCATCAGCGAGCGCGGCCTGATCAACGACGAAGTCAAGGTCGTCAAGCCCCATCCGGACTTTAGGATCTTCATGACGATGGATCCCAAGTTCGGAGAAGTCTCCCGAGCAATGCGAAATCGCGCGGTGGAGATCAGTTTGATGAGCTTCAACTGGGCCGAGACCGACGTGAGCTCCGAACGGCATGCCCATACTGGCGCAGACGTACTTACGATCCTCAATTCTCTTGGCCTGCCTGGCGAATCGCTCCCTCGACTGGTTCACAAGACCCATGGCTCTGTTGCGGACAGCATCTCCGCGTTAGGCCTCCCGGCCAATATGGCTCCGGATCCTAAGGACTTGGTGACCTTTGGGCACTTTGTTGTTGAAAATGTCCAGCGCGGCATCGCTCTTCAAGATGCCCTCGAGAACGCTGTCCGCGATGTCTACCTCAATCCACGAGGCGATGTATTGGACGTGGACCAGTGTCTGATTACTCTCCGGCCGCTCTTTGCAGATGCCCAGTCCGCTCAAATGCTGTCCCTCGGTCGGTGGCCTCACCAACCTGCAGGAGCAATCCTGGTGGACGAATCGCACCTGGGTCGCGTTTCCGTGGATGGTGCACACTGCTTGCACTCGATGCTTTCAGACACCTCGATCCCGCGTGGAACGACGCTGGTCGAGGCTGCAGGCTGGTACTTTGTTGAGCACACGTCGCTCCAGGACCTCGCCACTCGAAAAGCCTGGCTCCGATACGTTGGAGGCCTTGCGCCCCAGTCCTACATGGCGGAATTTTTGTTCAAGCAACTCGAGTACGAATTCACGCCTGGAAGTCTCCTTGACGATATTGTCAGACTTGAGCAGCGCACTGCTGAGGCGTGCAGCCTCCAAGCGTCGCTTTGCTCGGCACAGGTTCGTTCCGCATCGCCCTGTGGCGAATGCTTTAGCCAGACCGAGTCCGAGCCCCACAACAAGGCGTCGGGATGCGGGAGTGCTTGAGAAGGTGTCCAGTGGCTCTGCGTCTCATTCTGTCTCTATCACTCTCCCGTGTTTAGCCGGTTGATTTGCGCGGGAACAGTGTTCTGTGGAAGCGACTGCTCAAGGGGTCAGACCAAGTTCATCTCTATGAATACGGACTCGAGCTGCTGCATATTTTCCGGCACGTTCGTTTCCGCCGATTCGTTGAAGAGCGTGTCTATCAAGCGAGTCGGACAATCAAAATCGGCGACCTGTCGGTGGTGCAAAGGTCGTATGCGCTGAGCAGCGGACGCATCACCGAGTCTCAGCTTGGGCACGAGATCGTCCGTCATCTGCATCCTCTATTTTTGTACGTGGGCGATATGCTCTTGGCCATGGTCGAGCATTGCCGCTCATCCATTTCTCAAGCGGTAAGTCTACAAGGAATCCCCAGCTTTCCTTGTGCCGATCAACCGCGCGTTCACACGGGGAGTGGTGTTGGTTCGTCAGGTATGAACCGGCGATTCTAAGCAGTCCGTGTCCAACTTTCCAGATGCTCGAACATATGCGACTTATTCTCGATCGCTATGATAGCCTCTGGCTATCGGTGCAAAGTCGGGATGTGGATTTCTCGAGTCTCAGCATCTGCATCAAGCGGCTGAACAAGGCTCTGGCTAAGGCCGGTGTGATTGCCAACCCCCAAGAAGATCCACTTCAGCGACGTTTGCACCAGGTGGTGGATGCTGCCGCGCGGACGCTCAAGCTCGACTCGGCGCAGTCCAACTCGGCGATATGGCGGCACTGTCGCGTGTCGACCCTGCGATACCAAGACCTGGCCGACACCGAGAGCAAGTTGGTGTCCCTCGACAGACGATTCGACCTTGTGCATCAGCCCCTGGAAGGTACTGAGCTGAGTCCCCTGGATTTTCCACCATTCTGCGCCAGCGCGTTTGCTTGCTTGGAGTTCGACTGTGACTAAACTGTCGTTTTTGCCCTCATTGCTTCTATTGCCTTCGCTCTCAGACTGGATCCTTCACCATTCGCTCATACTCGATGAAGCGATAAAATCGTCGATTGTCGAAGGTATCTCCACGCTCTATTATCTCAACGAAGCACCTCAGTCGGAGCAAGAACAACTCCTGAGGGTCCTCGAGTCTGTTCATGAGGTAGGCCATTTATTTCGTGCCCTCTAATCGAAACGGGTTGTTGTGCCAGAGTGCATCAGCAGCTTGGATTCGGGTGAAATTTTGTGCTTATCCGCCGCTCCGCCTTACAGCAAATCCAGGCCAAGGTCGAAAAGGATGCCAACGATCTGGAAATGCGTCGCCCTCAAATGTCAGTCACTACAGCCGATGATACGGTCCTCAAGTCGCTCTACCCTGTTCCGATCCCCTGGCTTGTGGAAATGTCTCCCAGACTTGCGCAGCTGGGAGTGCTGCCGGTGCACGATGGATCTGCCTTGTTCAGGGAAGCCCAGTATGTTGGCATACTCTTTGAACTCGCGGAAGGAAGCAAAAGCATCGATGAAATCAAAGTAAGCAAAGCAGCTGATCGAGCCGAACCAGACTGGACCGATACGGTATCGCCTGCCACTACTATCCGAACTCTGACCCTGCATCTTTGGTTCAGTCCACACTATTGCAGCTTGTTCCGGATCTGTCTCGGTACCTTGCTGCATCTTTGGCCGACACAACTCGCTCCCCTGTGAGCTTGGAGGCTTGGCAGCGGCTGATCTGGATATGTGATTCAAAAAGTCTGGCCATAACAGGTATACTTCTTGCCTCTCTATTATCCCTCGCTTGATCTGGCCAGGCAGGTTGCCGGAGGCACCAGCATCATAGCCATTGCGTAGTGTTCTGGGTCACTGCAGTTTGCGCATTCACAATCCTCTCATATCCATGGTGTGCTCTGTGACAAGCGGTATCGATGAACACCCGTCCGTCGTGCCCAACTAACGTATGGCTGGTGCCCAATATCGCAATCGCACAGATGATGGATTGGTGCCATTCCTCCGGGCTATCCTCCAAGATGTTGTTTACAAGTGGAGTAGCGCCCTTTGGCACAATGCCACAAGTGTTTGGCTGAACCAGATTCGTAACCCAAGAATTGGCTCTGGACTCAATGGAGATGCCGTCGCGCTTATGCTTGTGGATGCTGACTCGAAGGTTCGTACCTGGACACTGATGCGCGCATCTCAGTGGCCTGTTGGTGATGGAACTGGCGGCAGCGTCGCTCCCAGGCGCTTCATGATCAACCAGCGCCAGCTCTGATATGGGATGACTTTCTTTCACAGACCTCGGCCCGAAGCCCCCTTGGCCCAAGCATCCTTTGCCAGGGTTTCAATACCGCCTTCTTTGTTCATTTGCTGTAAGACAGTTGCCTGTCGTGAATCATAAGACCGCTTGATCACGGCGTCCTCGTGCCATGGATGCATTTGCAGGTCGCTCTGATAGTGTGCTCTCTGTAATCTTATTTCATTCGAATGTGCTCTTTGTCGCGGTATCTGATGCCTCTGTACGCATTATCTTGTATAGCTCCTCCCTGTCGTCCACGCCCATTTACTCCTTTGTCGCAAAGCGACTGCAAGCCCAACAGCTCTTGGCTCACGCTTCGTCGTCGATGTACGGGCGCGACTTGTCGAGTGAGCGTGCATCGCTGCTCCTTGTTCTTATCTCCTCGGTAATCCATGTAAGTTCTCAAGCTGCATACACGTGCCAATGCTCTCGGTGTCATTGCCACGCGAAAGGTGCTCGGCCCTCATTGCCACAGCTTCCAGGGGACGATTCGCCGCTCGTCGCTTGTTGCATTGGCGCCGCTAATTGTTTATCCCACGAAAACGACCATGTCATCACCGGCATTTCAGTACCTTGAAGCACGATATCAAGGTGATCGACCATCTTTCGCTGAGATTGTCCTGCAGAAACTCCGAACGGCTCGGACCAGTCTGCGAACCGGCGAAGCACCCGTCATGATGGTCGCTGACTCGCTCTCTGAGCTTGCCGGCCATCCCTCGGCCTCCGTCGACACCCCGTATCTCTGCAAATCGCTTGAGCAGCTGCAGTTGGCAGTCCCCGAGCCAAGTCTCGACAAAGGCAAGGCCGCGTCCAGCAAGGCCTGGATATACCTGGGTCTGGCCATGCTCCGGGCATACGTGCCCGAGGTCCCAGTCGACCCCGCCGCTGCCCCCGCGGTCAAGTATCGTTTCGCCGCCGAGAGCCTCGCCCGGATCGAAAGTGACATTCAAGTGCGCTTCAATATGGAACAGCTTTGCACCGGAAACAAGTCGAACCCAGCAATCGAGCGCCTTGTCGCCACGCGTCGGGAGCTCCAAGAGCTTCAGACCAAACTCTCGGCTCGCATTTCCTTGCGCCCGGAGCACTCGCAGATACTCGAGATCTTCAGTGACCTCAGAGTACTCTCGACCAGCGCCCTCTCAGACAACTCCATTCTGTCACTTCTCGCGGCATTCGACTCGGCCGATGCCCTGGAGGTCGAGAATGCACTCCAGCGCGAGTTGTCACTGCAGGAAACTCTAGCAGCGTACCTCGAGCGAATGGAGGCCAAGTACCCTCTGTACCGTGATATCTTGCAGCCGGTGTATGTGGCCGTCCAGCAAATCCGCTTGGGCCTGAAACTGCTCGTCAGCGACATCAACTGCTCCGATGTCCACCTGACAGACCGTGCCTTCTCCTCGCTCTTGTGCTTTGTTGGAGATGATCTGTCGTCGACCAACGGAGTCGCTCCTGTCATCGAAGGCTCGCTACGTAGCATCCGTCGCAACATCCAGATCTCCCAGGGTCAATCCGACAAGAAGGGCAAAGTCCATGTCCAAGCCATCCTGGCGCTAATGCGTAGAGTTCTTTCGTCCTCGCTGATCCGAGGTGCACCGGGCAAGCCCATGCTCTCGGCCGCTCATGCACTCATGGGCGAGCTTGTCGATGTCTGGGGACTCGCTGAACAGCGTCGGGTCGAGCGCCAGAAGGAAGAAGACGAGCTCTTCAAGTACAAGCAGCGCTCGCATGATATTGGCACCGAAGACGAACTCCTCGAAGGAGAATTCAAGGAGATATTCCCGGATTTTTACGGCGAGTACTCAGACGTTATCGCGGCCGGCCTACCTCCGCTGAACCAAGAGCCCGACGGCGATGGCAAGAAGGATCCCAGCAAGGACATGGACTTTGAAGAAGCCGGCGTCGACGAGGCGTTTGCTGTGCGGCATATTCATGCGGAGCTGATTGACACCTGGGACGCCAATGGTTGCCAAACACGACCGTTTGAAGTCCATTGGAATGAGGCCATTTCCGATTCCTATGCCGTAGCCGGTGAGATACTGCAGCTTCGCGAATGCCTGCCCTCACGTGGCATCGACTTCACCGCACATGGAGCCCATGTGTTCATGGCTCGCAAGCGATGCCTTGGCTTGGGCACGTCCGAGGAACAGGATGGCCATTACGATTTCTACAAGGACGCCAATATCCCCGAGGCCCAGAAGATTCTACCGGTGCTGCAGTCATTCGATCTGCGCGTTTCTTCTCTGTTGGATCAGTGGCCTGATCACACTGTATTGCTCCAGCTCCTGGTGATTGCTCGTCGCATCTCAGCCTTTGCGGTCACATCGCCGATCATGAAGCTTCTCACGGGCCTGGAGCTTCTCTTGCAAAAATGCGACGACTGGGAGAGCTACGCGTCCAAGGAAGTTAGCCTCAAGGCGAACATGACCGAAATGACAGCGCTCATCGTCGAGTGGCGAAGGCTCGAGCTCCGTTCCTGGAAGCAGCTACTGGAAGTCGAGGATCGCCGTGCCCAGGCACAGGCATCCAAGCTCTGGTTCCACTTGTACAAGGTTGTCATCGGCGTTGCCATGAACTCGGCCAGTGAGCAGGTATGGATGATCAATGCATGGTCCAGAGTGGGCGAGTATCTGACAACCTGTGATCGAAGAAGCTTCTCGTTTTTTTCCGGTGGCGCGGGTGTCCATTTGAAGTGAAGTTGGCTCAAAGGCATGCCTACTTGTATCGACGCCACGGTCAACGACGCCTCGGATGGTTCCGCCGACGTCATTCCACTCACGACTGCATGTCTAATCACAACCGCCATTGCCCCCACCAGACCACTGATCACAACCAGGACGATGCCTTGGTCAAAGAGCTACTCTCGACACTGGACCAACTCTGTCTCTCGTCTTCGCTCGGAGAGTTTGCGATCCGTCTGGGCATGATCAACAGCTTCCACCGACATCTCTCTGTGTGTGCCAAGCATGTTCCTGCCGGGCATCTCGGCCGCCTCACCTCTGTCTCCGACGTCTTGTGGAATGTGCTTCAGTACTACTCGCAGTTCCTGCCCGAGATTGCAAACACCGTCGAGCGTCAGCGCAAGCCTATTCTGAAGGAGCTCCACGACTATGTCAAAATCGCGACCTGGAAAGATGTCAACGTGTACGCCCTGCGCGAGAGCTCCAACCGCACCCATCACCACCTCCACAAGTTTGTCAAGAAATACCGCGAGATACTTGCGCAGTCTGTGACCGACACGATCCGAGCCAGCCAGCAGTCGGTGCCTCTCGATGGTGGCAAGTCTGTTCACGAAACCACCTCGGCTGCTGCCCAGCGCATTGCCACGACTCTAGAACACACTCTATCGACAGAGACCACGGGTGCAGTGCCCACACAACCACCTTGGAATGGTACTCGGGACGTTTCTCAGTTGATGGCGCGGATGCAAAAGCTATCTCAAAAACTCGGTACGCAGATCTCGGCCTCGATCGAGACCGCGAATGGCATCGACGATGTTGCTGGTTCAATACTGCAGCGCATCCAAGAGTTCCAGGACGCCAATGCCACACTCGATCCCGCTTCCAAAGCTGCCAAGGGGCAAAAAGCCCTCCGCAAGAAGGCCCTGGTGGATCTGCTCAAATATCTGGCCCACTTGGGGCTGTCATCCCGCTGCATCCACAAGTACATGTACCAGCGCGAGTACAGTTATGTCTACTCTCTCCCTGCCGCTCAAGCAAGTCAGTGGATTGAGCTGCTCGGCAAGGCGTGCCCGTCAGGGCTGGAAAAGGATCTTGGATCTCTGTGGACAAAGGCCAACGACTACTACTTCCGGCTGCTTGCCCGGACTGCTGTGCTAAGAGAAGGCGCATTCTCGTGGTCGAGCGACCTCACAGACCGGGAGGTCGAGCGCACGGTCAGCAACGTAGAGCACCTCCTCCATCTCATCATGGAGGAGCGCCGAGTGATTTCCGAGTTTGGCAAGGAGCTCGAGGCAGCCGGCCGCTACGTGACTCAAATCCAGGCACTCGTGGCTCCCACAGAAACTGGCGATGCCGTGTCGATGCTGCCTGCCGAAGCAGCGCTCGAAGCTATCGAGCAATCCAAAACATCCGTGGACGAACTGGTGGTCCAACTTCGCCAGACCCGGATGCTGGTCAAAGCCCACCATTTCGCCGAAGCAGCCACCGCCAGCGACATGCTTGCTCAGATCGACAAGTGTATTGAGTCCTTGGCCGCGACCAAATCGAAAGCTGACGCTTGGATGTGCTTGCTCGACACCTGGTGGATCAACCAGGCAAGCGCCGCCGCTGTGCCGAATACCGTTCTCTTGCTACTCAAGCAGAGCCAGGAGGCTGTTGGCGAGATTGTCTATGTGATCGACCAAGTCCTCGCTCGTCACCCGGAAACAGCATACATCCTGAGTCCCCTTCGACAAGCGGCTCTTGGCCATTCACAGCGGTTGCAGCGGCAGCCTACACTGGTCTCGGATGCGATCGATCCAGCGTCCAGCGATCTGGTATCGGTCTCTGGCGATAAGTTGGTGGACGCCATCCTGATTGCGTTCCAGGAGCTGCGAATGAGTCCAACCAACAGTGTCCCGGAGAACAAGGCGCCTGCCCCTGGGGCCGACGGTGCGGCTGGCAATGAGGCCGACGAATTTGGCCTGTCCCAGGGTTTCATCTTGGACGAGCATCAGAAATTCCTCAAGGTCTTCAAGGCCAGCCCGCTTGCCAACGTCGTTACCGCAATTCAAAGTGTCCTCACGCCTCCGAACATGGGCTCGGCTGTCGCTGTCGAAGGACTGCACTCATCGTCAGTCGCTCTTCGCCACATTTGCCCGCTTCTGAAGCAGTACCTTGCGGCTGCCGAGTACCGCATGTGCGAGCTGATGGTGTACCACAAATCCATCAACAAGCTGGCATATATTCTTTGCAACACATTCGCGTTGCTGCTCAAAAACGGCTTCTGCGTGCCACAGGCATCCGACGACAGCGCCGAGGGCGAAACTGAAGACAACGTTGATGGAACCGGCATCGGGGAGGGTGAGGGCAACAAAGACGTCAGCGATCAAATCGACAACCCGGAGCAGGTAGAGGGGACGCAGAACGAGCAGAAGCAACAGCCCAGCGGCGAGCCTGTCCCTGAAGAAGAGAACGCTCTCGAAATGGATGAGGACTTTGATGGCCAAATCGAGGATGTCAAACGAGAAGCCGGCGACGATGACGACGACAAGGATGACGACGACGAAGAAGAAAACGATGCTGCCGAGGAGCAAATGGGCGAACTCGATCGCGACGAAGCTGATGTTGTTGACGAGAAGCTCTGGGGCGATGATGACGACGATCAAATCGATAAGGACAACGAAAAGACGGAAAAGAATGCCTCGGTGGACTCCAAGGGCGGTGAGACTGAAACGGTTGCCAAAGATGAAAGCGGCCCCGACGATGAACAGCCTCCCGAACCGAAAGATGAAGCAGAAAAGCGCGAGCAGGATAGCAAACGCAACGCCGACAACGGCTCAGAGGCTTCGGATGACGAGAGCGACCATGTCAACGATATCGAGGACGCCTTTGAAGATAGCCACGGAGTGGATATCAAGGACCGCGACCAGCCAGAGGAGCCCGATGGAGACGACGACATGGATCTCCCTGAAGATATGAATCTCGATGGCGATGGCGACGAAAACGAAAACGAAAACGATGACGATGACGATGGCCACAATGACATGGAAATCGACCGCCCCGATGACGACGCCAAGCCCCGAGACGACGAGAAGAATGTCGGCGACAACGGCGATGCAGATAGCTCGGATGAAGAAGCAGCGGACGAAGCCGACGATGGCGAGGGCGACGACCATGTTGACCAGATCGAAGATCAGCTTGATGAGTCGCCTACCGAGCAGCCAGGCGATAGATCCGACAACGATGAATCGTCTCAGCAGCCCGATGAGCCGGAGGAGCCGGAGGAGCCGGAGGCGCCGGATGAGGCTGCTGACCCAGCCAACAACAGCATGCAGCCCCACGGAGGAGAGGACCCAGCCGCAGACGAACAGGACGAGTCCGAGGCCAAAGAAGACGATACCAAAGCTGTCGACGATCGCGAGCAATCTAGAGCCGAGCAGCCCCATGGCGTCGAGGGCCAGGCGGGACAGGTATCAAACATCCAGTCTAGCGAGCCCACGACGGGAGAAGGGACTGGTGCCGACAACCAGGCTGCTGACGACTCATTCGAGCATGCCGATGCCAGCGAGGCCAAGCCCACCCAACGGCCCGCAGCCTCGCAGCAGCAGAAACAGAAACCGCGCAAACCCGATCCCAATCCGCGCAGGAGCCTTGGCGATGCACTCAAAAACTGGATGTCCCGCCTCAAGTCCATCTCCGAAAGCTCCCAAGATCGCGCCGAAGAACCGCAGCAGTCCGAGCAGAACGAGCAGCCCCAAGTGGATGGCGATCAGGCAATGGACTATGAGTTTGTTCAAAACGATGACGAGGCCGCAGATGCCCAGGCACTCGATGCTGCCACCTCGGAGCAGATGTCTCAGATGGACCAAAAAGCCCTCGCGGACGATGAGGAGGAGGACAACTATGCCAAGCAAGATGAGGAGATGCAGGTTGACGATCAACCCGCCGAGGAAACACCGGCATTCGAAAAGAAGCCTGATCAACGCAGCAACGACAACCAAAATGTCAGCGGAACACTTCCCAATCGACAGAAGGAGAGCGACGATAGCGCCGATGCCGAAACAAGGCCCGCGGGCGAAGATCTGGCAGCCGATGAAGACCACGACGACGGCGATGGTGATGATGCCCGCGACAACCTTGCATCGACCGACGATCAATCCCGTCGCCAGCGACAAGATCCCCAGAGTGACGAGGATATGGGCGATACGAGCGACGAGCACGACGAAGCCGAGCTGTCGTACGAAGAGCTCCGACAGAACCTTGAAAAGTCTGTTGCCGACTGGCGTCAGTCCGGCCAAGATCTCCGCGAAGCCGAGACGCTCTGGAAAAACTACACCAATCTGACCCAAAACCTGGCCTTTGAACTGTGCGAACAACTGCGGCTCATCCTTGAGCCTACATTAGCCACCAAGCTCAAAGGTGACTATCGCACCGGCAAGCGGCTCAACATGCGAAAGGTCATTCCGTACATTGCCAGTCAGTTTAAGAAGGACAAGATTTGGATGCGCCGAACCAAGCCCTCCAAAAGAACATATCAAATCCTTATTGCGATTGACGACTCGCAGTCGATGGCCGAAACCAGATCGGTTCAGATGGCGTACGAGTCTCTGGCGCTGATTTCCAAGGCCCTGACACAACTCGAGGTCGGCGACCTCGGCATCGTTAGCTTTGGTGAGAGCGTCAGGCTCGTCCACCCCTTCGAGCGGCCTTTCTCGGACGATGCCGGAGCCGAGGTGCTGCGACGGTTCACATTCAGCCAGGGACGCACAAACGTTCGCACGATGATGGACACGGCGATCGAGGTGCTCGATCATGCTCGGCTCGTCACCGCCACTGCCCCGGGTGCCGATGAGCTCTGGCAGCTGCAGATCATCATATCGGATGGCATTTGCGAGGATCACGAAAAGATCAAGGCGCTGGTGCGGAAGGCAGCCGAAAACCGGATCATGGTCGTCTTTCTTGTGCTCGACAACCGACCCGAGAAAGACTCGATCGTCAAGATGACCAATGTGACGTACGGAACCGACTCCAAGACCGGCCGGCCCACGCTGCAGATGAGCAAGTACATGGATACCTTCCCGTTTGACTATTATGTGATGCTACGAGACATCAATCGGCTTCCAGAAGTGCTCTCGGACACCCTGCGCCAGTACTTTTCGTTTGTCAGTGCCTGAAGGACCCCATGAGGATCCCTTTGGCTCTGTTGCCAAACCCCGGCAATCAGCGTTGTTCCCTGCCCACCGAATAAATCAACATGGCACTTTAATGTCGCTGTTGTCGAGTGCTTGGTAGTCTGTCGATTCGTCGAGGTCGACGCTGCTGCGGTCATGTGTTGCTGCGTTGCACTTGCGACCACTTGTTGCTGATGAATTCGCCAAATGGCATGAGCCGCTCCGAAGGCCCAACAGCCTCGGGGTCGCGGCCGAGGGACTGGTTGTCGAAGAGGCTCAGGTTCTGGCGCAACGAGTCGAGGACCGGGATCTTGGCATCGTAGTTCGGATAGTAGAACAGCACGAACGAAAGCCTCTCGGTGGCGCCATCCGAAACAACTCGATGCAGGGGCGAGCGGAAGACCCCGCCAGAGATCAGCGACAGAAAGTCGCCGCCGTTGACGACGATTGTGCCTTCGACTGGAGGGACATCCACCCACGAGTTGCCCAGGTTCACCTGGAGCCCGGTGACACCGGGTTGCTGCACGATCAAGGTCAAGAAGCCCCAGTCTGTGTGAGGCGAGGAGCCGATCCGGTCTGGGTGGGCAAGACCGCAGGGGAGATCATCGGCTCGATGGTAGGGAAAGTAGCGGAAGAGCCTCATCATCGAGATGGTGTTGCCGGCATCGCAGAGCCTCGGGAGAAACCCAAAGGCCTGTCCCAGAGCCAGCGAAAGGCCCCCAGAGATGGCAAGGGACACCTCGACCATATCGTCGAAGAGCTCTTGCATTGCTGGCTGAAAGCCAGGAAGCTGATCTGGCGAGGGCCAGGTGTTGGGTCCCTGGAGGTTGTTGCGCGGAGCAACGCTCTTGCTCCATGGAAAGCCGTACGAAAATGCCTCCTTGACCTCAAAGGCATCCGAGCCAGATTCAGCGCCTGGCGAGGCCGCAGAGCAAGCGCGCGAGAGAGTGAGGATGTGGGCATGGAGCCAAGTGCGTCCTGTGTGGGGATGGATGGATGGCTGTACCTACCTATGCCGATGTAACCTCTCAACGAGCCGCTAGCCGTCGCCGATATAGAGTCTTTGGTGCTCTGGGGAAGATCGAAAAAGCCCTGGGCCTGCTGCAGGAGCTGGCTCTGCCGCTCAGCATGGATCCGGTGGCCGTCTATGTAGCATACCCCCACGCCAGCAAAGGCGTCTCGCAGCTGGGCAGCAACTTGGACGGCCTCGGGGGTCGCCGGTCCGCTTCCCTGCATGAGCAGCGGCGCGATGTTGATGCGAGGAATCTGCGGCTGCGGCTGCGAAGAGAACATGCGGGCAAGCGGGGCGAAAGCCCGAGCATGTCGCCCACGGCGAATCGACCCTGCGATCATCTTGTGGACTTGACGGGGTGGTGGATGGTCGAAGGAGGAAGCGGCCCGTGCTGAGGAGAAACATGATGTGCTCACCAACCAGGCGCCAAGCCGACAGGGGACTTGTGCTGTTTCCCAGGAACATTGTACACAGCAGCCCCCAACGAACCGATCGATGCCCTGCAATCAGCAAACTTGCTGCTGCATTGCTGGAGCAGCAGCTCAAAGTCACTCTGCGGCTGCGATCGGGAAGCATCTGTGCCTGGCTGGAAAGGAAGCGTCATTCTGCCGCGCTGGCCAACAATCACACCCAATCGCAGGACAATCCGTCGGCCGAGCACAAACAATTGCCCCCGCAATTCGCCAGAACCTCTTTTGTCGTCTGCGCTCTGCCTTCTGCACTCCGTACCCTGCACGGCACCTGCCGCTACAGCCAAGGACCAGCCCGCGTCGTTTCTGCCCTTGGCCACCGTCTTGACTACACTGCTCTGCCCTTCTGCGCTCCCAGGCTTGCCTCCAACAAACCGCTCCCTGTAAAAAGCCCTGCGCTGCACCTTGTGTTGGCTGAGCCATGTCCCAAAGCAGGCCCAAGAAGCGCACCAGCGGCGCTTCCTTCGATGCCACAATACGGAAGTTTCTCGAGGACCATGTACTCTTCAAGGGCCTCGACGAAAACTTCATCACTCTCCTTGCCTCAGAGATGCAAACGCGTATCTATAACGACAAGGACTATGTCATCCGAAAGGGCGAAGTGGGCCGCGCCATGTTCTTTGTCTTCAGGGGCCAAGTGAATGTCATTTCGGAGGACGGTAAGTCTACGAATGCCGTGGGTGTTCCGCAAATGCCGCACGACAAGATGGCGGGTCGCAGCTTTGGTTGCCGAAGAGTTGTTCCCGCAGGCTGGTTTGCATGGCCGGACGTGCAATAGCCCGAATTACTGTCGTCCTCGCAAGCATGCGTCGAGATGTACTTTGCGCATCACCGGGGGCCCAGACCCAGGCTCTCTTTGCCCTGAGCTCTCGCCGCCGCACTCACATCCTGCCCTGCATCCATACTACAAATATGGCTTCTGTTTTCAGGTGAAACTATCGTAAACGTGATGAAAGATGGCTCGTTCTTTGGTGAAATTGGCTTACTGTTCTCTGTGCCGCGGTAGGTTGCCCACGAATCACTACGCTCGACTCTTGTAATAGCTACCGAATAGCGCCGTCTCCTCTTCGTATATGGATCGATTCACGCTGAACAATCGCCAATCTTTTGTGTGTCGCCAGAACTGCGTCGTGCCGAGCATCGGGTCGGTCGATTATCCTGACTCTTACGAAGGACAGACTCCAAAAGTGCGTGAAAGACTATCCCAAGGTGGCAGAGGCGATCTCGCATATTGCCGAAGAGAGATTTGCGTCGTACATGAAGCAGAAGGAGGAGCAGCATGAAGTCGAGTTTGGCGAGGAGCTAAAACTTTCGATGACCAACGACGATCTCAAGTCGGTGCGTATTTGCTCTTCCGCCGGTCACGCTGTGCTGCATTTGGTTCTCGGTCGATGCTTTCCACGCTGCCCTTTACAAGCCTGGTTGCGAGTGAGTCCACCAAGATCTCGGTGCCCTGTGCTAATTCCTTATATTTGTGCACGGACCGTACTGCCTTTGCGCTTGAGAACAGGTGCCATTGTTTCGGGACTGTGAAGTCGGGTTTCTGCACATGCTGGCGCTCCATCTCAAGCCAGTCCAGTATCGCCAGAACAATCTCATTATCAAGAAGGGAGACTATGGCATGGAAATGTACTTTGTCGTGCGTGGAATTGCCGAAGTGTTTGGTGACGATGGCAAAGTCTATGCACAATTTCACCCCGGCTCATTCTTCGGAGAGGTTGCGCTTCTCTTCCGAATGCAGCGAACGGCGTCAGTTCGTTGCGTGTCCAACGTCATCAATGTCTTTAAGCTGACCAAGGAGTCGCTGGATAATGTTCTCAAGAACTTTCCCGAGATCAACGCAAAGATTCAAATCGAAGCCAAGAAACGCTTCCAAGAGATCGAGTCCCGTGAGCACACCAAGATAACCCAAAATGTCTCTGCCGATACGGCTCGAACTGAAGTGGAAGTTGCGCGCGAGAGACTCAAGACGGTAGGCCCAGCCGGGAAGTATGCAACATTCTAGATTATGGTTAATCACGGATATGAATAGACCTCCAAGGCGTGCATAGTCTCTGGGCTTACATCGACATTGTCTTTCAGGTACCGCTCTTCAAGGATGGGCCTGTCGGCTTCCTGCACGAGCTCGCGCTGGCCCTCAAGCTCAGGGTGTACAAACCAGGAGAGAGAATCATCAACAAGGATGAAATCGGAACGTCCATGTACTTTGTTGTCGATGGAATAGCCGAAGTGACCTCTGAGGACGGAAGCACCGTGTACGCCGAGCTTGGCGAAAACTCGTTCTTTGGAGAGGTTGCCCTGTTCTTCGAAGTCAACCGCACGGCCTCGGTTCAGTCCAAGACTGGATGCACTGTCTTTGAGCTCAGCAAGGATTCGCTTCACTCGGTGCTCGACAAGCACCCATCCCTCCAGGCCAAGATGAGGGAAAAGGCCCTGGAGAACTACAACTTGTTCCAGTCGCGTCAAGCAGCACTCAAGCAAATCAAGGAGCGCTCCAAGGACCACAAAACCGAGCAATACGATGTTGAGGCCACTATAGATCGACTCAAGGGGGTGAGTTCAACTTCCATCGGCTGCTGGGAGGTCGCGCAGCTTAGTAAAAGGACTAAAATCCGAATTCCGGCTATGTGCAATACAGGTTCCCATCTTCAAGGGCTGCGGAACAAACTTTCTTCAATCGCTTGCGGCTGTGACGACCATCCAGCTTTACAAATCTGGAGACATTATCTTCAAGAAAGGAGAAAAGGCCACCCAGATGTTCTTTATCGTCCGAGGCACCGTCGAGATCACGTCCGAAGACTTGCAAACTGTCTACGATACCATCAAGGAAGGTGGATTCTTTGGAGAGGTTGGATTGCTGCGCGGCATTTCAAGGACGGCGTCGATCAAAGTCTCAAGCTCCGACTGTGATGTCATCATTCTGACATCCAAGTCACTCGAGAAAGTACTGAAGGAGTACCCAGAGAGCTTCCACATTATCTCTCTCGAGGCCGAGAAGCGCTATCAGTTGACAGAGCAGCGTCGTAAGGAGCGCGTGGCTGCTGAGGGGGCTGAAGTGGCCGAGGACGAAGGACCGGGGACATCGTTTGTCGAGGAGTTCCGCCCCGAGCTTCCATCCGTGCCATTTGCACCGATCCCAGCAAACGAAGGTCCAACCAAAGCCCGAAAAAGCTCTAGTTTCAGCAGCATATTCAAATTCCGCGGAAAGAAGGAGAAATCTGGCAAGGACAAGCCCGGATCAGAGTCTGATAGCGCCATTGACAAGTCCCAGAGCAGCAACAGCGTCGAGAGCGCTCACTCTATCCAAAGCGAAAAGGTAGGAGCCACAAAGTTGATGATGCCGTCCTGCCTTCGCAACTGAGATCCAAAGTGCTTAATGTAGCCCCAGATGTCGAGGAGAGGGTTCGGAGTAAAGAAGTCAACGAAGCGGTTGCTCAGGAGCTTCTCTGTCATCGGAGTGGTGCCCGGGAGCATCGCACATTCTGAGCCAGCTTTGGCTAAAGATTTGGGGTCGATGGATATTAGACTTGGTACCAGCCTCCATCTTACTGAGTCAATGTTGCAAACTATCGATATCGCGGTCGGCTTGTATTTAGGGACCAACAAAGCTTGGCAAGTTCTTCCAAAATATCAAAAACACTCTCGGAAAGAAGGAAGAGAAGACTCGTGTTGTGCCCAAGGCCATCTCAGCATCGCCATCGATAAGCACCCCGACCGAGAGAAGAAAGGTCACGAATATCCTCGAGTTCAACGATCTCGAGTTTGGATATATCATCTCGTTTCTCTGTCCTCGCGACCGAATGCGGCTCCGTGGAGTTTGCACCAAGTGGAACGACATGCTACACGACTCTCGCTTCTGGTCCATCATGGACTTTCGCGAGATGTTCAACACCGTCAATGGTGCGCTCCTCGACCATCTTTTCCTTGTAGCTGGACACCAGCTGCTCAAGGTCAACTTTGCCTCGTGCTGGCAAGTCTACGACGACGACTTGCGCACACTTGCCGTTGAGTGCCCAAATGTCACAAGTCTGTGCATCTCCAACTGCTGGAAGATCACAGATCGCGGCCTGGCCTTTGTTGCCCAGGCATCAAGCAAGCTTGTGGAGCTCGATATTAGCTACTGCGGACAGCTCAGTGGCGCTGCCTTCGCCGATCACAAGTGGGGCACCCTGAGAAAGTTCGACATGACCTATTGCAAGCAAATTGGCGATGAGTACCTCGAGAAGCTCCTGTGCCGCACGACCGAGATCCAAGACCTCAGGCTCCGCCGATGCGTCCGCATCTCTGATTTTGGTCTCTTCCTTGTGGTTCGATACTGTCGGTACGTTGACCCTATCTGTGAGGCCGAGGCTTGACTTTCCCGCGACTATGAGATCGGTGTCGACACTTGCTGGGCTCCAAATCCACATTTCCGAGGACAAGATAGCTTCCAGCACCTCCACACTCAACTGCGGCGCTGGAGGATTAGCTTACATCCCCGTGCACATGTCGCTGCTGTTCTGTCAGTCTGTTTCTGCTTATGGAAGGCTCACACCTGCTTTCTTGTTCGCTCCTTGTACTGCTTGATTTACGACGCACAGCTATCTACGATCGATCGACCTCTCCGACTGCGAACAGATATCGGACAAATGCCTCAAGTGGATTGCCTCCAGCTGCTACAACCTCACCAGCTTCAATCTTACATTCTGCACCAGGATCACCAACGGCGGCCTCTACGACTTATCTCTGGGATGCCAGCACTTTGAGTCGCTCAATCTGAGCCACTGTGTCCACTTGACCGACGCCGCAATTGTTTTTTTCTCAGATAGCATCAAATCCCTTCGGTTCCTGTCGCTAAGGCGCTGCAAGAAGATCACCGACGGGGTTATGGGCTATCTCGGGAGAACCGCGCCCCATCTGAGGGTCCTTGATGTCACCGGTTGCCCCAACATTTCACAGGCGGCAAAGGGCCAACTAGAGACAACCCTGAGGGGCATCGTCGTCCTCATGGACGTGCCCAGAGAAAAGAGAGGTATCTGTGCCCCCGGTGAGGGCAAGCTTCCGCGTGCCCTGGAGGTCCCCTTGTCGGTCATGTTCACTTCAATCCCCGCCAGTGACCGTGCTCAGCAGGGGCGCCAGAGTTCTGCCGACTCGGGCAAGAAGCGGGCTGGCTCGAAGAGCTCGGGCAAGCGGCAAAAATCGACGGTGGCCGACTAAGGCACCTTTGCGCAATCGTCCTCGCCGGGCTCGTGTTGAAGCCGGCATACAAGCCCACTGCGGCGACGACTGGCGGCTCACTCTCTCGGCAATCTCGACCTTGTCTGCAGCATTGCCCGATGTCGGCGACGCTCTCTCTTATCTCGTTTCCTCTCGCACCTCGCCTTGTCAATAAAATTTGGACACAGCTGCCGGCGCACCAGCAGGGAAGCGGGAGCGGGATGCCCGATTGCGCTGAGCGGAGTTTGAAACTGCTCCCAGTGTGTGTGTGTGTGTGTGTGTGTGTGTTGCGTGTGCAACACGGATCCGCTGACGGACACGTGCTTCATATGCGGCCTGCGCCACGTCGGTGATCGTCGGCACGGGTATTTAAGCCGCCCAGGCCTCGATCCCTCTCTCTCCCCATCCAACCACAACTATATCGGTGATGACGAATGGGTTGAAACTATATCCCAAGCCCTTCGCTTCGTGCTGGAGGGATATTGTAGAGGATTGCACACCCCCAACCACCTTGTTACAACAAAGTTGCAATTAGGAGAGCCTCTGAGCCGATCCCATAGTTGTCCTGGTTGGATTTCCCCCGCCTTTGCTCATCCCCCCTCATCATCCGCTACACACGTCGCCATTCCGGCGCTGCCGGCCCAGCGTTCATGATTGCGATCCGAGGAAGGTCTTGTTTGCGTCCTCGGCGACCTTTCCCAGACTTGGCTACACTGGGCCACCCGGTGTCTGTGCAGAAGCCTCGCCCCCTTCGGCCATGGCAAATACTGTTTATTCCTATTTTTTGTGGACTCGGTGTATTGTTTGGCGATGGTCCCTCGTCGCCGCCCGTCCTTGGCGAGCCCTTAGCTGTAAATCCTCCGTCCTGGCCTTCGGTATAGGATGGCCAGGACGATCGGCACCAGCAACAGGGCAGCCGTGGTCGTTGTGCCAACCGAGAGGAAGCTGGGACGGGGCAGGTCGTAAGTCGCTGCGTGCGGCCGCGGTGAGATCGTCCAGTCGCCATCAGCTGCGGATGCGTTGCCGATTCCAGCGAGCACCAGCTCCCACGATATCAGTGTGCCTTCGTCGGGCCACCTGGGGTCAAAGGCGCCATCATCGTCTCGGCGGTCGGCAAGACGGAGCTGCCACCGCCCGAGCGGCGATTCGCCCCAGTGATGCACGGTTGTGAACGTCCACGGATTGAATCCCTGATCGGACGTGTCTCTTGGTCTCGGGGTTCCCAGTATGCTTTCGGTACCAGCGGGCGAGACGAGGGAGATGGTCAGGAACCGGCGTTTCGGATGGACCAGTCGCAACACCACCTGAACGTGCTCGAGCCGCGAGATCATGTTGCTGCGATCGGGCCGAACCCTGATCTCGTCGATCAGCGCCGCATGTCGACCAACCGCCGCCGGGATGCGTCGGTGCACTCGCACACGATGTTTCCAATGAGGCATGGCCTCTGGCAACGACCGAAAGTCCCTGGCGGCCTCGATCAGCCGATACGCATCGACGGCACCGTATCCGTATTTGTGAGAAACAGGCAACCCGGCGCCGTTGGTCCGCCACCCAGGATCGCCCGGATCTGTGATCTTGGCGGAGTGGATAATCAGGTGCTGAACATCCCTCCATGTCAGATCGGGTCTGGCGCCCGATTCGTGTTCGTTATGCCGTCGATGGAGCCGTCGGGGAAGCGAGCATTGTGGCGTGCGAGTTGGTGCGCATGATGGTTGTATGAGATAGAGCATCAGACGGCGCTGCGGATAATGGGCCATGCAAGCAATGTCTGCGTCGACCGAGTGCGATACTATGTGCCACTTACCTATACGAAAGCAGCAGCGCAATCACACCAGATGCATATGGGGCAGCCGCTGATGTACCCGTGTGTTCGGTGGTGCATCGGCCGCGAGGATCGGTTGTGCTCTAGAGAAGATGCGACAATAAGCGCTCGTTCGTGAATCGCGAACTTGTTATCAGACGATACGGAGTGCAGCAAGCTGTGGGGCTTACGATCACTTTTCCATGGCCGCCCGCATAGCTGACAGCCAAATGGGCAGCACATGGCTCTGAGTACGGCGTGAGTACCCCGTCGTGGGTGATGGCACCCACAGAAATGGTGTAGATGCTGCTTGCATAGCCGTCGTAGTTGCAGTTGTCGGCTTTGCCGCCGTTGCCATTGGCAAAGACAAAGATTGACCCTCGGCCGTGCCGCCCGTTTCGAATGCCACTCTCGAGAGCGGCTTGAGCGAACCGACCGGGGCCGTCGAGCGATGAGCCGTCGTCCGCAGGTCCCCAGGATGACGAGTAAATGTCGTTGCGTTCCCATCGGTAGTTGAGTGCTTTAGCCTCAGTTGAGTCGAAAATGCCTTCTCCAAGTAGCCGCTCGGCTACGAGAGATTTGGACGGGTCAATTGCCGCACAATCCTGGATCCCATTATCGCCATCGCCATCGCCATCGCCATCGCCATCGCCATCGCCATCGCCATCGCCATCGCCATCGCCGTCGCCATCGCCATCGCCATCGCTGCTTACCCGATATTTGGGCACCAAATGCTACCCCTGGTCCGCACTTGCTTCCAAGTGCTGCTGCGATCTGTCCCGCACAGCGTGTGCCATGTCGGTCATCTGGCTTTTGCGGAAGCGCTTGGGGGCCCTTGCTTGCAAAATCCCAACTTCCCTCGGAGCTCTGTCAGGACCGTGGCGGTCAGACAAGCACTTGACAGCGTCTGCCTGGATGCACTTGGTTTCCATCCGACCAACCATCGCCCTTACCCATGCCTTGGCAAGCCCCGGATGCAAATAGTCGACGCCATCGTCGAGTATGGAGACGGTGATTCCAGTTCCGTTGATGCCAAGTTCCCACACCGGTAGAACGTTCAGGTTGGATAGGAGACTGCTTTCATAGGCTGCCGGGCTCATGGGAGCCTTCAAGAAATGCCGTGGTCCAGTTGCATCAGCCATATGCTTTCTGATCACATCCCGCATTCACCAAGGTGTCGGCCATCGTCTCCACAGCATAGACCGGACGACCAGAAGACGGCTGTATGAGCCCGTCGCCAGAGCAGAGCAACACCAGCCCTGCCTTACCAAAATGGACCTTTGGGTACTCGAGGCAAGTTCTGATGGGTGTTGTTCTTCGGGGCCATCTCTTCGTCGGCTCTGAAGCCATGCTACATCACTTGTTGGCAGATTGCCCCGTTGAGAGGTACTATTCAACATGAGCTGAATCGCATAATGCACAATAAGTACTCCGTGACCCAGGAGGATGTCCTCAGCTTTGATTGGCCGTAGCGGTTCTTGGCAGTACGTAATCGTGACCCATTCATCAGACACATCATTGACAGAGACTCACCGATGGCGACATCTGGGGTATCTCCACTCCCTCGGCAGGCTGAGGCCGTCCTCCCGAGACCAGCAGCGCTCGAATATCTAGCTCGCCCGTCGAGTCAGTTTTTGTTTCTTTCCCTCCCTGCGCTTTCGGTGGCATGCAACAACAAACACAGACGGTGAAGCTCCTCCGAAACGTGTAACCCAAATGTGTGGATGGCTTGCTTGTGTGGGGTCTGCGTGCGAGGTGGTTCCGTGATTGGCAGCACCACTCCCCATGGAATCCGCCCCTTTCCCACGTCCCCAAGCATCTCTTCTTTCGCCAGCTTGGGGTGTTTGCATGGGTTACAATTCGCTGGTCTTCGACATGTCCACTCACTTCACAAGCATGTCCAGCAGCCGCTACCCCGACACTGGAATCCCACTTGGTCAGGAGCAACATGGGGATTGTGTCGTACGTGAGTTGCTGGCGGGCTCGAGTGCATCGGATCGATCCTCATCGGCAGCCGTGGATACATCTATTGAGCATATCCACTTTGAGAACAGAAAAAAGCCACCCTCTGTACACCGTCTGGATGTCCGGGCGAGTGATCTTTGTCTCGCATATCGTCGCTTGCGTTCTCGCTCCGGATGGTCGGACGCTCCGGGGTCTACCAGCGCGTGGGCCGATAGTTTTTCAAGAATACACCCCAGAGAAGCTGCTCTCCGCGAACACCCACCAACACGGGGTCGATGACTCGCATTGCAGCATCCCATTCGTCCAGCGGCGGTGGTTGATCCGCGCGTTTTTCCCATTGATCGACGGGATTCTCGTCCGTGATCCACCCAGTGTCGACGGCAGTCATGTAGATGCGGTCGGCGACAAATCCTGCCGCAGCCGTCCTCGTCATCATGTTCATCGACGCTGAAACGAGACAAAAGTGTGAGGTGTTACGTTGTATGCTATCACGACATGGTACAGCACTTGGGCTCTGCACGCCCACGAAGCATCCCGGCTCATTATCACTGATCCTGCAAGCCAAGCCAACCCAGTGAGTGAAGAGAAACATGGTACTGCCCAATACCTTTTGCCATGTTGGTGTGTGGATGGAAAATGGTCTTGTTGCGGTAGAACTGTCCCTCCATGGCGCTTACATTCACGATGAACTTGCACATCAAAGCAAGCGACCGCCCAGACCGACGAGGCTTGATTAACATGTGTGTTTATCCTGTCATTCAGGTGTGCCCGGAGCCATATGTCGATGCTCGCTGCAGGTGTCGCTCAATCCAGAGCCACCGGTGGCTTGCAACTTACCTTATCGCAGGGCTCCATTGCCCCGTTGGTCCCGGCTACGCATGTGTCTCTCATCAACGGCCTCAGCTCGCTGATCAGCACCCACGGCGCAAACGAGTTAATCGTGTGGCATTCAATCATTTCCAGAGTCGAAATCTCGCCCAGTTCGAGCGTCCACGAGTTCTCGGTTCGCAGATCAATCTGTTGGTCATCGCGATCGTACAGTCCAGGCGGGAACTGCGATAGACTACTGCTGGATCCGTCACCCTCGATCACTGCAAGCTGCGACATTGCCGCCGAGACATTGCTCACAGAGCCTGGCATCAGCATCGCTTTGGCGTCGTCCGAGCCCTCTGGTGTCGCTGATACGAGCAGCCCCGCAACCGGTCGAAACTTGCTTTTAGGGCCAACAAAGTCAAAGACGCAGCCACCGCTTGGCTGTCTATGGGCAACGACGACGTCGATGACAGCCAGAATATCGGCCTCCAGCGGCTCCACTTCGCCCGCCATCATGTGCTTGTAGAATCCCGGTGGCTTGCGGACGGTCTGTGCGGCATTGTTGATGATCGCATCGAGGCGGGCAAAGTTCTGCTTCACGTGAGCGGTAAAGTGATGCACCATAGGAATATCTCTAAAGTCGATGCCATAGATCGTCAGCCGTCCCTGAAACTCTTGAAAGTCGTCCTCCTTCGAGAAGCGTCGGGCGGCATCGTACGGGAATCGAGTGCAGCAAATGACTGTGCTCTTCATTCTCAGAAGCTTCAGAACGATGGCGTATCCAATCTGAAAATCCACATGTCCGACCAAGAGTCAGTATTGCGATAGGCAGTGTAAGCGATTCCAGCTCATCGATGTCACCCCCGCTCATCCGTCCCGCCTGTCTAACTCGCCCCGCCTTACCTTGACTCTACCTCCAGTCACGAGTGACACACGTCCAGCCATATCCGCCTCGGAGAAGCGCTTTGAGAAGTTGAAATCGGCGCACGAGGGGCAGAGCTGGTCGTAAAAGTGGTGCAGCAGATCAAAGGTTGTCCCGCAAATGTGACAGGATCGTTTGAAGTTGAGCTTCTTCAGTTCGGGCTGTGGCTTCGGGTCGTCGGCTTCAAGAAGTGCTGGCTGCGCAACTTCGTTGGCGATGCGTTGATCGTCCTCTTTTGAAAACACTTCGTTGGCCTCGACGGTGCCAACCCGCGGGGGCTTTGGGATGTCGATACACCCCCCGGTATAGCCAACCATCTTGACCTTGCGCATCTGTCGGATGCCCGTGACGGCGAGCTGATTAAGATCGTCCTGTCTTCTACCGCGGCGATCCTGCTTCCTTCTTTGTCTCATCTCTCCATCATCGGGCATCAGCGCCTTCAGTGCAAGGTCAAAGAGCTGCTTGATCTTGGGGGACCGAGTTGCATGCCGCTTGTACGCGGGGTTGTCATAATAGACCTGGAAGACCCTCAAGCAAGTCTCGATCTCGCTCTCAGAAAAGAGAGAGGCTACATCAGGGATCTCGGGACCGTCCCTCTGGCGGCCAGAGTCATCTCCCTTTGCTTGTGGTCCGCTGATCTCCAGATCATCGTCGAAGGGAAAGAGATCCGGGTCGGGTGCCTCGGCCATGGTATCGGTTTCGGTGTCGGACTGTGGCACCAGAATACACAGCGCAGCACGCAGTCGCCCAGATGATGCCTGAGGCTCGCTGACAAGCTGCTCAAGGGCCGGCTGGGAGACGAACGATGGAGGCCAGAGAACGATCTGCTCCAGAGAACGATCTGCTCCATCGCCCGTTCTGGAACAGCAGTGCACGTGATTTCGGTTGGAAACGCCTTGGGTTCCCACACCGACCGCAGCAGCCAGGCACTTGACGGGCAGCCCAGAGCAGCCCCCCCCCATCCGCCCCTCATCGGACTTGCTGTAGCCATGCGACCCCCTCACTTCGAACCCGGGGCTGCGATGGTTCGTGGCATCTCTGTGGCCGAGCAGACTGCACATCGGCTATGGGACGACTTTCATGCCTTTCTGAAGCTGGAGAATGTCGTCGAGCTCTCAGTGAGTACTGGTCCTCCATACAATCTTGCTACTTTGGTGCGCGACGATTGCATGCAATGAGCCGCAAGGCCGACCATTATATGACACACCCACAGGTCGGAGTTATCGTTGGAGGTGCATTTTCCAACATCATGTCTTCGTTCATAAGAGGTGCGTTTGATGTATATCCAGCACCAAGATCGCTGCCTGATGTGATGTGGTTTGGTTTTGGCGAGTGATGTACTGGGCTGGTTTTGCATTGACTTGGCTTGTGCTGCGTGCCGTCATTGCTTCTTTTGCTTCTGTTGCTGGTGGGTCTCGACCAGAATGCTTGTCGATCGGTCCTGCTCAGATTGAACGCTTACTTGAGCCACGTTGCTCCGCCTGGACATTTGTCGACCGGTGCTGCAGATATCGTTTCGCCCGTGCTCTCCGTGTGGACAAGTATGAGACAAATGGCTGTTTCAGCAATAACGGTGCATACGGGATCCCTGAATAAGTTCTGGATCACCGCCTCTGTACTGAACACATCAGTCCTTGCCGTACACAAGACCGTCGTGCTGTACCTGCTGATTGCGTTAGTACTTTGATAGATACGGCCTCCCAGATGGAAAACAACTTTTCAATTCTCAAGTGTCCCGCAAATGCAACAGAGTGTTCGGGCTCATGGGTCGGTACTGCAGTGGTTGTGTTTGCTCTGGTCTCGACAAAAGCTGAAACTAGATCAGCCAGCGGGATCAGATCTTGGCTAACTGTGCTGTATTCAGTACAATACCGTCAACCAGGCCCACGATGCTGGTGCCATCACCTTGAACTGGGGTAGATTTTGTCTTTCGGTTATGAACTTTTTCTCGCTATCGGTGGTGCTCTGGATCCTGATGAAGCTCTATGTCAAGGCGTTTCGCCGCAAGAACAAGAAGCGCGACGAAACATCGGAAGAGAAGAAACGATGCGAGTTTTGCCTCATCGAGTAAGCAATACCGACGCACTGCAAAGTAGTTGATCGACTCTAACTCAAAGGCAACTCTGTTTCCGTCACAGAATTCACGCTCTGGCCAGCCGCTGCCCACACTGTACCTCTATTCTCCTCGACAACGGGGCGACATCCATGGGCCATAAGAGTCACAGCAACGTCAACTTGATCGACCTGAACCCAGGAAGGAGAGAGGACTAGTCCAGTCAAGCGTCGATCCTCGCCCTCGCCTTGGAATTGTCGGGCGCACGATGTCGATTACTTGGCTGCACGATGCCGATCGGCACTTGCGTTGTTGGCCGGGTGTGTGATATGATACGACTACACGTAGTGCGTCCCACCAACCCGAACATGCTTGTCCACATTCCTCCACGGCCATATCCGAGTCACGGGGGCGCCAGGCGTGTGTCACGTGTGTTGATTTCTATTGGAAGGTGTGCGCTTTTTTTCTTTTTGGGACCCAAATCGCCGACAGCGACCCAAGACTCGCGCCGCGCTCTGGGCCTGCCCTCTGATCACTAGCCCGTCGCTCCGACCCGGACCAAAGGCTGCTCTCGCTGCTGGGCGCAGATATCCGAACGACGCCTTTCTGTCTTCTGTTTCAAGCACACACGCCCTGAGAGACGATATGGTGGCCCCGAAAGCCTCCGAGGAAGCCGAGTTCAAAGTGCACCGATGTCGCTTCTTCGACTACCAGCCGAGCGGCATCACGCATCTGGCCTTCTCACCGCTTGCCTGCAAGAAGCTCTATCTTGCTGTCGCCAGAGAGAACGGCAATGTCGAAATTTGGAATGTGAAGGAGCGGTGGTTCCTGGAACGGGTAATTTGACGATCTACTTTCGACCGAGGAGCGGGACTGAACGGTGACGGAGGAGGGAGTTTACCAGGCATCGCTCGAGGCGCCCTCGTGTAGCTTCTGTCTCGTTGGTCATGGAGCTTCCGTCTTGGATTGCTCGGCGGCACGACTTACACCAGGTGCATTGCATCCGCAGGTTCTACCCGGTGTTCCCAAAACCATCGAGTCGATGGTCTGGGTTCACGACTCTGGCCTGCCCAACCCCGAGCCACGATTGTTCACCGCAGGCATGTCTGGTGAAGTATGCGAGTGGGATCTGGTCTCCGGGCAGATCTCGAGTCGGTTCGACACCAACGGAGGCGGCGTCTGGTGCATGGCCCGATCTCCCACCCACAGCGATCGCATCGCTGTCGGCTGCGAGGACGGCGTCGTTCGAATCATGAACATATACGGAGAAGTCGAGAGGCGTCTGGATCGGCAGGACGGTGAGTCGTTGCTGACACCTTGTTGCATGACCGGATATTCAGCGTGCCGGAATACGGCAGCAGCGCAAACTGGGCCGCTTGCTGTGCTCATCGCCAGTTCACTGCAGTTGAATACGGTCCGATGCGTTTTGACTTGGTTCCTGCTCTAATATTTGCCCTGTTCTGCCATGTGCATGCTGGACTGCCGTGTCTCGTCGTACTTGCTCTGCGGGGCGCTGTCTCCTTGACCAACAGTTCGCATCCTCTCGGTCGCATGGCATCCGAGCGGAAACTTTGTCGTCACTGGTGGATCCGACTCGGTCATTCGAGTATACGATGCCAACACGAGTAGATCCGTCGGCCGCATATCGGTGGACACGTTGAAGGGAGAAGACACCTTGGTCTGGGCTCTCATCGTCCTTAAGTGAGTCTGCATCCTAAAGCGAACATCGGTACTCACCGGCCTTCGCGCGCAGCTTCTCTGTGCTTGATTCGTGCCTTGCTCATGCCATGGTCATGCAACTCGTTCTTGTAGAGATGGTACTGTTGTGAGCGGAGACTCTCTCGGCAACGTACTTTTCTGGAATTGGTCCTCGAAGACTCTCGTCAAGGGTATCAAGGCCCATGGCGCCGACGTTCTTTGCCTAACTGCAAATGATCAAGGCACACATGTCTACTCATCGGGTATCGACAGAAAGGTCATCCAGTACGCTCTTGTGGATATCAGCACAAAGAGTGCTACAAAGAAGAAGAAGATGGCCTGGGTTGTTGCCTGCGAACGCCGCTTCCACTCGCATGACGTTCGTGCCTTAGCCTTGCTTCCGGATCGCCCCCACGATTTAATCGTCTCTGGCGGTAGGCTACCCTTGCTTTGGACGCACATTACATCTTTGCACCCGTGATCGACCCTGCCGAACCTTGCTAGCCCTCGATGTGTCATATGCTCCCATATGCTCACAACGGTATCCGCGTTTTGTTCTGTAGGCGTCGATACTACCGTTGTCGTATCTAGTCCTGCCTCAAACTTTGAGCACGCCAAGCAGCAGAGAATGGCGCCGTTCCCACAGCGGCCGCTTGTTTCGTTGGCTCGGAAGGGGCGTCGCTTGATCGGTCGCTACAGCGATCGAGTCAAGGTGTGGCAGCTGGGCACAGCCATGGATACCGCAAGCCACCATCAAGACGAAGAGGTTCTCGACCTGGAAGTCAAGGAGAAGCTGCTCGTCGAGCTCAAGCTCAAAGGATCGACCAACCTGTCTGCCAGCAGCATCTCTGACGATGGAACCTTGGTTGCAGTGTCGGATATGGAATCGGTCAAGCTCTTCCAGATCGAAGGATCGGTGCGTTTCCGGCAGGCTCAATGTGACCCTGCAGGTGCCTTGGGATCTGGATATATTACTTCGCAGCTGTCTTCCTATCACCCTCCTATCACCCTCCTGGCACCTCCTGGCACCGCGTAGCGCCGCATGCCATCGGTTCAAATTGTCTTTGTTGTCGAGTTTGAGTGGAAGCATCGCAGCGGCCTACTGACTATACTCTATTGGTTGACCGACTCAACAGTCTACCAGCTTTATCAAGGTCCGCAAAATCAAGCTGTTCCCGTCTCCGTCCAGTATTCCGGCCGCCCACCAGCTCATCTTCACTCCCGACGCCAGGCGGTTGATTGTGGCTGGCACCGACTCAGTCGTTTATGTTGTGAATATCGCATCGCTTGTGGATGACGGGCAAACTGGTGACTGCTATATCGAAGCTCGATTCCGAGTTCACACTGGAGAGGAAAGTGACACCGACATGGACGTAGATGAGGACAGTTCTGTAACGACTCGGATCGCCAAGAGCAAGACGCTCTCCAAGAAGGAAATGATTGCATCTCTGGCGGTTAGCCCAGAGGGCAAGTGGCTCGCTAGTGGCGATTTGCTCAACCGGATCCATGTTTTCGATCTGGAGAGTCTCAGCGTATGTATACGGGCTGTCAGCGAAGCATGCTGTGTTGTATCGCTTTGTCTGCGGATAAGGTGGAGGACAGTCATGACTCACTACCCGATCGCTTTCTTTTTTAGCTTCGCGCGACCCTGCCTGTATTCGAGTCGCTTCACACATCGCTCGGTTTTGGTGATCACGACGACCTGGTCATCACCTGCACCAACAACGAGTTTTACCAATTCAACGTCAAGCTCAAGCGGCTCTCGGACTGGTCCAAAGACAACTCGCACCGTCTTCCTGTCCGATTTATTGACCGAAAGGAGATTATCTCGGGCGTGTCGTTTGTCCCTGAGTCGCAGTCTCAGTTTGCACTCTGGGGCTGGACATATATCTGCGCCGTGGATATTGACAAAGTAAGTCCTGTTGCACTCACCACTCTGCTGCGGACTGCCCTGGACTCGAGTACGAATCGCATGTCAATAGCCCATCGAGCAGCGCATGCTGAGAATTTGAACGTGTAAATGCTGCGGCTCTGGCCTGTGCACTAACAGGCAGTCGCATTCCTTGACTTGTTGCTCGCCAGCCTCTTGGGCCCCGTGACGCCATCATCTCGGTTCACAAGCGCCGAAAGTATCTACAGGAACGGGAGTGGAAGGACGCTTTGCTGCAACGAAAGCCCGATGTATCTGCTGCCGGCCCAGCCGCCAAAAAGCTGGCTGTCGCTGATGACGGCGACAAGTCCGTGGCTACCCCCAAACGCAAGTCCACCCCAACGAGCCAATTCAAGGACGAGTACACCGAAAGCTTCAAGATGACGCATCGGTACCAGCCCCTGGTCTTCTTTGGCTATCTGGGACACAGTGAGATTGTTGCGGTCGAGCGGCCAATACTCAGCATTATGGAGAAACTGCCGGCCGCCTTCTATCGACACAAGTACGGAACGTAACCGGCTTGAGCAGAGCCAAGACTCAGAGCCACCGACCTTTGGACCCGTACATTGCGGTCTGCGAAACAGGAGCAGTACGCACTTTGGATGGAATGTGCCATGCTTGTGTCGGCCTTTTGGGCTCTGTTGGAATACATTCGATCCAGACCAGACGAAGGAATCAGAGGGACAAAGCTGTCGGTCTGACCTGAGCTGTGTATTCTTATTTGGCTGAGCGAGCCGGATTGGCAGGCAGCCGTGCCCACGGCCTAATGGCAGCCCACTCGGCCATCTCTCAAGGATGCTCCATCAGCATATTAGAGGCACCGCCATTGGTATTTGCCGCCTGATCTGGTGCGGCCTCGGATACATCTGGGGGCAGACCGGCGGCATCAGAGTTCTCGTCGGATGTCCATTCCTCCGCATTATCCGTGCTTGCGGCTTCGTCCATGCCCTCCTCAGTTTCGGCCACAGAGACGGAGCTGAAGTGAATCCGCCACAGTGCTCGGTGCGTTGCGCACGTTACGGCTTTGATTCCGCCAACGACTCCAAACTCGCCGCTGTGTGGGGGATTCATCTCGGGCACGCCGTCGAGAGAGATGAAGACCTTGTGCCAGACACTCGAGTCGGAATAGTGGGGAAAGACCACAAGAATGTACGCCGGGGCTTCGTCCTCGGCGGTGGCAGCCAAGCCCGAGACGACCCCTCGCCACCACGCCCAGGGCATTTGGTTGCCGTATCGCCACTGGATCTCGACTTCCTCGCCGTTTCTGAAGATCGGAATAGCGGTGTCGAACACTCGCTCTACGGGGCGGAGGAACAGTTCTCGGACATAGATCTCGCGTGCGTCCATCTCGATCAGATCCTCGGTGACTCGTCGGAAGCGGGTGCGTTCGGTGACAGGGATCATCTCGTCGGTATGTCTCGAGTCCCCTCCTATCGGGGTTGCAGCAGAGAGGGGAGGTCGTCAGTCCGCACGGCCTTGAGATCCCAAGACGAGGCCGACGATCTCACACAGGAAGTCGCCAGTGCCGAGACCGACAAACGCACAGACTGGACCGCCATCGGTGCCTACCGGTTGGTGCTCGAGTGCTCGGGCCGGATGGGACCCAGTCCTTGGGCCGCGGACGCAGCAAGATCTTCTCTCCACGGCGAAGCGCAGAGATCGTCGAGGGTGCATAGCAGAGACAAAACGAGTTCGATGGCCAGTGGTAGGTCGCAACGGCGAGGAAAGCCGACATGGGCCTGTTCGAGAGCGAGTTGAGCACATGAAGGAGGCCCGAATATTGGCCCGATGCAATGACGAGAAACGCCCGCCTGAAACTCTTTGGCAGAGGCATGAACGGCTGATCAATGGCACGGTGCGGGAAGGTGCATGCTTTGGAGAGACCAGAGCGGGATGCGTCGATGGTTGAGACGATCTGGGCAGTCGGGAAGTGGTATTCGTACTCGAGGGTTTGCTCGCAGCTACCATCCCAGAAGAACCAAGGCCAGTGCCGGAAGCAGAGGCCCCGCCATAGGCCCTCGTCTGATGTCAGATGCTGCAGATATCTGCTGGTGCTGCCCAGCCTTGCGAGGTCGGCAGGGGAAAGAAACGAGAAGACGACCCGAAGGGGTAGCTCCGGCAGACACAGCAGAGAGCTGGTCGACATGCTGCTGGCGATCCGGTCGAGAGAGATGTGTGCCAGGGACTGGATCCGCAGCCCGAGCAGCGACTGAGATTGGAGGAGAATCCAAGGACGGTCGTCTTGTCGCCACAGACAAATGAAATGAAATCAAATGAGGGCACTGCCCCGGAGCTGGTCAGCGCTCACCTGCCCATTCGCATTCGCCGCATCAACCGCACCGGCTCATCCGCACCGTCATTCGATCCGAATGTCTGATGCACTACTGTGGCACGAGCAGGTCAGGGGGCCGAAGGTTATTTCTCTCGGAGTGCAGCTCAGACAGCCCGGCAACCATGACACTTGGGCGACAACCGCAGCCCACAACCGCAATGTCAACGCGACCGGATCATGACCGCAGCGCACAGGGGCATCCGACGTTCATGGAAGTTGCCCAGCCGCATCTTGCAAAATGCTTCGTGACCAGGAGCATCAGCAATAGGATCGGTGATTCAACCGCATTCACTTGGCGAACGCCGCTCGACAATGGCAGTGGCTACTCGATCGTTTCCGGGCTGGTCCACTACCAGTCCAACAGCCACAGCGAAGGTGCCCATCCTCATTCGCAAAGCCTGCGTTGCTGGACAGAGTAGTCCAAGTCTATTCGCTAAGCACGACGAAGCAATAAGAAACAATACCTGCGATGAATCATGGATCGTGGCCATTATCTCGTGAGCAGTTCTTTGTCTCCAGCCCTCAGCGCTGGACCAGCTCCTATAAATACAAAAAGTGAGGGCAGGGGAGCGAAGGAAAGCCCGCACAACTGCAGCCCTGCATCCTCCACCCGCTAGCATCGGGACACCTCATCAGTCTATCGACACATTGGCTCTTGAAGCATGGGAAAAGATCTTCGGCAGACGCCACCGTCGGCCGACGCTCAATCTTTGCCTGTGATTGGGACGCCCGCAAATGCAGCAAGCACCAGCGACCTTGTCAAACTACCTCAGCCACTCTCAGACGAAAGTATCCTTGATCTGCTCCAACAGCGCTTCAAGGAGGACAAGCATCTGTCTTGGCTTGGGCCCAACTTTGTAGTGTCCGTGAATCCGTTCAAGCAAACCGAGCTTCCCAACAGCAACTCCACCTTCAATCTTGTGGCCGCCAGCGAGCGGGACGAGCCCATCGGAGACTTTCGCGAACTTGCATGTGCTGCATATTTTCATCTCATATGCAGCGGAGAAAGCCAGGTGGTGATCACCAGGTGAGTTGAGAGGTGTAAACCGCAGACTACGAGTGCCTGGCTCATGAGCATGCTGGCTGCCGAGTCCCGAGCCAGGAGTCCCAAAGCAGTGCCTCTGACGAATTCTCCCACTCTCCCACTCTCCCACTCTCCCACTCTCCCACTCTCCCACTCTCCCACTCTCCCACTCTCCCACTCTCCCACGCTCTCTCATCTCCCGTCTGCCTAACGCTCTGCGTCAGCGGCGAGTCTGGTTCCGGCAAATCCGTCGCTGTGCAAAAAATCATTGCACACCTGGCCTATCTTTCAGACCTGACCTTGACAACGTCTGTTTTCCAAGACATCAAAGATGCCGACGAAATCATTCAGGCATTCACGCATGCCTCCACTACCGCCAATCGCAACTCCTCCCGCGTTGGCCGATATTCCGAAATACAGTTCACCGAGTCTGGCAATATCGCCGGCATGAAGTCGGTCATCTACATGCTTGAACAGCGCCGCTGCAGCAACATCGGTGGCCCTGCTATGGAAGACGATCAGAACTTTCACATCTTTTACCAGCTGGTTCTCGGGGCCAGTTCGCAAGAAAAGACCAAATGGAAGATTGGCGATATCCGCTCCTACAGCTTTCTGAATCATGGCAAGGGCCTCAGCCTGGATCACAGAGAGCAGTCTTCCAGATTCCAGGCACTACAAGCTCGCCTGCGCGGATTCCGCATAAACCGCAAAATGCAGGATAGCTTGTTCAAGGTTCTGTCGGCCATTTTGCTGCTCGGCAATCTGGAATTCGGCCAGGAGCAGAAGGACGAGCACGCCTACGTCAAGAACAGACACGTCCTCGATACAGTCGCCGAGTTTCTTGAGCTCGAGAGCCCTGCGCTAGAGAATGCCATTACCACCCAATCTGTTTGGGTTGGTGATACCATGTGTGCAGACTATTTGGATCCGAACAAGGCCTCTGATTCCCGAGACGACCTTGCCAGCATCCTCTACTCTCTGGTAGTTTCGTGGATTGTAAGCAAGCTGAACGAAACGCTTTCGGATGATGAGCCCCAGTCCAGCATCGGGTTGATTGACATGCCCGGGCACGAAGACTTTTCGCCCAAGCCCAACTACTTTGAGCAGTACTGCATCAACTACGCCAGTGAAAAGATCCATGCCTTTATTTGGCAGCGCAGTGTGTACGCCAGCGAATTGAGTTTCTCCCAGGAGGGCCTCCAGTATCGCCCAATCGATCGCGCCGTCGACGACACTGCCCGGCTGGTCATGTACGAAGATCCCTACAACGGACTCTTTGCCCTCACTGACTCGTACGAAGGCCGCACCGGCGGCAAGGGCAGTGAGGGGACTCTCTTGGAGCTCTTCATGGAGTTCAATCAGGACAACCAGTACTATGCTCCCTCTCCCGTGGGGTGGAGCTCCTTTGGAATCAAACACTACTTTGGCAAGGTAACTTACGACCTGAAAGACTTTGTGCGCCGCAACAAAACAACCATCAACGCCACTTATGTGCAGCTCTTTGGAATCGGCGATCAATCCGACTCGCGACCAGACTCGTTCGTTGCTGGGCTGTTTGGAGAGTCGATCGTGCCTCTGAAACACCCCAAGAACAGAAGCGCCGTTGTTGGAGCTCGTCGGGTCGATTCCATCTACCGCCCATCTGAGAGCCGCAGCAAGCGCCTCAGCAAGTTGATCACAGGGCCACCAAGAAACAGCCTGGTATTCATATCCAGTGCCTCGACCACTCCAACCACTGCTCAACCAAGCACACCCTCGGCGACAACTCCTGGCAGACGTACCACGCACAAGCAGACGCTCTTGGGCCGCGAAAAAGACGCTTACGAGTCAGTCGGCAGTTGTCTGCGCAAGTCGTTCGACGTGCTCCTCAGTTCACTGTCTGAATTCAGGCCATGGAGCGTTTTGTGTGTCAAGCCATGTAACGAGCTCATACCGGACCGATTTTCGGATGGCAAAGTGTTGGGCCAGATAGCTGCACTCAAGTTGGCCCCTTTGGCGTCTTTCCTTTGCGTTGGATATAGCATCGCCATACCTACTGAGGAGTTCAAAGCTCGCTACGCTGCGCTCGTGTCTGGCATCGAAGAGTCGGATCCTAAAGCAGTCGCTGCAGCGATTTGTGCTGCTCAAGGCTGGCCTAACGATGCCTTCGCTCTCGGTGAAGGGCGAGTGTTCCTCCAGGAGAAAGCCTGGAAGTCTCTGGAGCTCAAATGGGCCCGAAAGAATCCAGAGGCTTGCCCCTGGATCAACGAGGTTAGTCGGGCGACGCTTGCTCGACAGACCGAGAACCTGCACAAGATCGCCTCCAAGAACGGCCTCTCCGACGAGCCGACTCCGCCTGACGCCAGCGACATGGAGCTGGGAAGCACCAGCGCCGAGCCCGAGGGAAAGGTCAAAAAGAGACGAGGCAAGAAGAAAGTCTCGCCCGTTTCGGGCACAGAAAAGACGGCAAAGAAGCCGAAGAGGGAGCCCAAGCCTCGTGTTCCCATGTCGAGGCAGCGGCGCTGTTGGGTCAACTGGACCTGGTGCGTCACCTGGTGGGTTCCGAGCGTGCTTCTCGACCGGTGCGGAGGAATGAAGAGCGAAGAGAAGCAAATGGCATGGAGAGAAAAGTGCGCGCTGTGCTTCATCATTGCCCTCTTGAGCGGCATGATGTTGTTCTTTGTTCAAGGATTCGGCAAGATCCTCTGCCCGAGCCAATCCATCTTTAACCTGCAAGAAGTCGCCCAGCACACCGACATAAACTCGGCGGCCGGGGCATGGGCCACGTGGAATGGGCAGATCTACGACATTACCAAGTTCATCAACAACCACCCGACGCCCGGCTCGACCATCAACCTTGGCGCGGGCAAGGACATCAGTGCCTGGTTTCCCCGTGTCAGTTACTCAGCACCGACGGTTCTCGACTCGTCGTGCTGCGTTGGGATGGCTGCTCAGAGCGATGGCTGCCACACCGACCAGTATCCCTGGTCCAGTCCAAGCGCATCGCTCATGAAGCGAATGGACCAGGAGGGCGCCATTGTTGGGAATCAAGCAGCATTCAGCCAAGACAGGGACCTGATCAATCTTACAGTGCGTCAGAGCAGCGCCCCGGCTTCGCCCTGTGGGAGCGACATTGGCGTTTACTACAAAGGCCAGTCTCCTCAAGGATACTGCCACCAGACATGGGCTCTCCAACGCAGCATCATGCTGTATCAGGATATCCCCGTGTACTATGTTGGAACCCTTGGCTATCCGCCGACCGAAGTTTACACCCACAACCAAGATGGCGACATTTGGATCACTTACAAGGGCAGCTTCTACAACATGACAAACATACTTTCAAGGACAAGTACGCTCAAGCTCTTCCCACCCGATCTCTGGACGGAAGTACGAGGGTAGGCCAGGGAAAGCATGCGGGTGTTTAGTCAGACGCGAGGTGGCCAAAAGGTGCCCTCCGATTCGCCGGCCCAATCATATGCATATCGTGGCCATGGCAGAACGCAGTGTCGGGACCAATGAGCCAAAGGCGCTTATGCTGCAACCCTTCTTGCACTGCAGATACATTGGTCGAGACGCCTCTGTGTTGTCCAAGGCCCTGGCTCCATATGAAAAGTGCATGAACATCATGTTCTTCAACGGCATTGTCGACGATCGCAGCGGCAACATTCGATGCCAAATCTCAGAGTACCTGCTCCTCTCCGTGACGGGCATCATGGTCTTTGTTGTGGTCATCAAGTTCCTGGCGGCACTCCAACTCGGATCCAAGAAAGAACCCGAAAACAACGATCGGTTCGTAATCATGCAGGTGCCGTGCTATACCGAGGGCGAGGCCTCGCTTCGCAAGACGATCGATTCGCTGTCTCTCCTGAACTACGATGACACGCGCAAGCTGCTGTTTATGATCTGTGACGGCATGGTCACCGGCGGCGGCAATGACCTCCCGACACCGGACTTGGTGCTCAAGATCCTCGGCGTCGATCCTAACCTGCAAAAGCCAGAGGCGCAGAGCTACATCGCTATAAGCGATGGAAGCAAACAGCACAACAAAGCCAAGGTGTACTCGGGCCTCTACCACATCCAGGCTCGAAGCGTCCCCTTCATTGTGGTCGTCAAGGTCGGCAACGAGACAGAAACGCTCAAGCCAGGAAACCGCGGCAAGAGGGACTCACAGATCCTGATGATGAAGTTCCTCTCCCGCGTCCACTTCAAGACGCCCATGACCCCGCTGGACTTGGAGATTTACCATCATATCAAGGACATCATCGGCGTGGACCCGTATCTGTACGAGTATTGTCTGATGGTGGACGCAGATACCGAGGTGCTTCCGGATTCTCTCAATCGCTTGATTTCGTCGATGGTGCACGACTCCAAGATCATGGGAATCTGCGGCGAGACCAAGATCGCCAACGAAAAGGCCTCCTGGGTGACGATGATGCAGGTCTACGAATACTACATCAGCCACCACATGGCCAAGGCGTTCGAGTCGCTCTTTGGAAGCGTCACTTGTCTCCCGGGATGCTTCTGCATGTATCGGATCCGCACCGCCGAGAAGCGCACGCCGCTCCTGATCAGCCCGGACATCATTTCAGAGTACGAAGACAACGTCGTCAATACGCTGCACAAGCAGAATCTCTTGTCGCTCGGAGAGGACCGGTATCTGACAACGCTGATGCTCAAGCACTTTCCTGAATATCGCAACAAGTTTATATCGGATGCAATCTGTCTCACGATCGTGCCCGACAAATTCGAGGTGCTGCTGAGCCAGCGGCGCAGATGGATCAACTCGACGATTCACAACCTGTTTGAGCTGATATTCCTGCCGCAGCTGTGTGGATGCCTGTGCTTTTCCATGCGTCTGGTCGTCTTTCTGGATCTCTTTGCGACGCTGGTTATGCCGGCGTCGGTTGCCTATCTCTTCTATCTGATCGCCGCCTCGATCCAGCAGCAGCAAGCCCCGCTTATCTCGATCGTCATGATATCGGTGGCATACGGCCTGCAGGTCATTATCTTTATCCTCAAGCGCGAGTTTGCCCACATAGGATGGATCGTCATCTCCATCCTGGCCATGCCCGCCTTTAGCTTCTACATCCCGCTCTATTCCTACTGGCACTTTGACGACTTTCGTTGGGGAAACACTCACAAGGTGGCCGGCCTCACCGGCAAGGACGATCACAGTGGCGATGGACAGCGCTTTGATGCTTCCACCATCCCGACCGTCACCTGGGAGGCCTTTGAACGACAACAGAGAGCTGCCAAGCCGGCCGCAGGTGGCGACACATCGCCGTACAGCGCTGCCTCGTTCGGCCGCATGGAGTATGCGCCGTCAATGGTCGAGAGCAGATATGCTGGCCCGTCGTATCGGCCAGACGGGTCCTCCTATGCAGGCTCTGGTGGGCAAGACCGCTATGCTCCATCCGTGCCCGAGTATGCACCTTCGCTGCGAGCCTTCCCCAAACGAGAATCCACGGCCTTCTTGGACGAGTATGCAAGTGCTGGTGCTGCTGGCCCGCTGGACCTGCCCCCCTATCCCGAGTGGACAAGGACAACGGCGCCGGAGGCATCCGATCTCGAGGGCTATGTTGAGTATCTCCTGGGCACCCACAGCCTTCGCGAGCTCACCAAGCGCAAGGTCCGCGAGAAGCTGAGCGAGCACTTTCATCAAGACCTCAGCTCCCAGAAGGACTTGATCAACTCCATTCTCGAGGCCGCCCTGCAGAAAAGGGCCCTTGGAAGAGGCATCTGAGACGACCGCCCGAGTTTGATGTGATGCTGCACTTTACCGAGTATTTCCAAGAGCCCTGACACTCCTGAGCGGGGCACATCAACGGCCGTCCACCGATCTGCCATCGCCATAGTCAATTTCCTGATTTTGGCTCTGAATACACGGGTAGATCTCTACTGCTATTCATTGATCTGCATACCGACCGAGATCCGAGATCCGAGATCCGAGATCCGAGATCCGAGATCCGAGATCCGAGATCCGAGGGCATGACTGACGATCGTCGTAGATGATAGGGATTCGTATATTCATATTCTCCTGAGCTCGCCAAAGAACGATCCACACACTTTGCACTTTCCGCCTGTAGCCTGCTTCATAGCGCATGACTTGCACAGGGCCGGACAGCCGCACGGCACAGCGGCGTATTGGATTGGATGCTTGTGGCAGACTCTGCACTGCGAGTCGGATGAGATCTGTGCAGGGCTTTCAGCTGAAGGCGAGGTGTTTTTGACTTGGGACGACATGATGTCGATGGCGATCTTGGGTCGATTGTGGGCGGGTTTGGGTCCCGAAGAGGTTGTTGGTATGCGGAAGGACACTCGAGCAGATTGGGTCAGAGGGGTGCATCGGACCGACAGGCGGAAGGGCAGGCAGCAAACCGAAAGCGGGGGCTGTGAATCACAGCGAGTCATGGCCCAGGCCCAGGCCCCAACAGGAGCTCATTCGCTCTGCGCGCCCCCTCACAATCCACAGGACGAACATCCACGAGGCTGCCAGCAGAGAAAAGCAAAGGTCTGGTGCCAGTGTGCACTATATTATGTATGCATGAAAGGTGAGCGGCGGTTGGAGGAAAGGCAGCCGGCAAAGGGCGGAATCGAGTCAAAGTCGCCTGGCCATAAAAAGTGGAGGAGCTGTGTGGCTGGCTCGGATCCTCGACTCGCAAAGACGAAAGTGGGAGGGGGGAAGAAAGAAAAAGGAAGGGGAAGAGACCGGCTGTCGGACACGCACGGGAGCGCCGTCCAACAGCATCGAAACAAGCATGTTCTGACATCCTACTCAATGATCTTGGTGACGACACCAGTGCCGACAGTCTTGCCACCCTCGCGGATGGTGAAACGGAGACCCTCATCCAGAGCAACAATCTGGCTGAGCTCGCAGAGGAGCTCAACGTTGTCGCCGGGCATGATCATCTTGCCCTCGTTGCGCTTCTGCTGGCCCTCGGCGTTGTCGGGCCAGAGGAGAGTGCAGGTAACATCCATGGTGCGGGCATAGAGCTGAGGCTTGTAGTTCTCGACGAAGGGGGTGTGGCGACCACCCTCCTCCTTGGTGAGGATATAGAGCTGGGCCAGGAACTTCTTGTGGGGGGTGATGGAGCCGGGAGCAGCAATGACCTGGCCGCGGCGGAGTTCTTCGCGCTTGAGCGAACGGAGGAGGAGACCGGCATTGTCGCCGGCCTGGGCACGATCAAGCTCCTTGTGGAACATCTCAACGCCGGTGATGGTGGTCTTCTTGGTGGGGCCAAAGCCAATGATCTCGATTTCAGAGCCCTTGGTGATGAAGCCGCGCTCGACACTGCCGGTGCTGACGGTACCACGGCCGGCGATCGAAAAGACGTCTTCGATAGGCATCAGGAAGGGCTTGTCAAGGTCGCGAATGGGGTCGGGGATCCAGGTGTCAACAGCATCCATGAGCTTCAGGACGGCCTCGGTGCCAATCTCGGGCTGCTTGTTCTCGAGGGCACAGAGAGCCGAGCCCATGACGATCGGGGTGGTTTCGCCGGGGAAGCCGTATTCGGTAAGCAGATCGCGGATCTCCATTTCAACGAGTTCGAGCATTTCCTTGTCCTCAACAGCGTCGACCTTGTTGACAAAGACAACGAGGTGGCTAACGCCAACTTGTTTGGACAGGAGCAGATGTTCACGGGTTTGGGGCATGGAGCCATCGGTGGCGGAGACGACAATGATAGCACCGTCCTGCGGATGGAGAACCACATTGGTATCGGCGGGAAATCGATGTGGTCAGTGAGTGCTCATGGCTCTGACTGGGCACGCTGCCTTCTGAAAGGACCCGCACCACTCGTCGCGAAACAGCACGATCGGGATACGCCCTACCATCTGGGCGGCACCAGTAATCATGTTCTTGATGTAATCGGCGTGACCAGGGCAGTCGACGTGGGCGTAGTGGCGCTTCTGGGTCTCGTACTCGACGTGGGTGGTCGAGATGGTGATACCACGGGCACGCTCCTCGGGAGCCTTGTCGATCGAGGCATAGTCACGGAACTTGGCGCCGCCGGCCTCAGCAAGGACTTGAGGTCGCAGGACAGATCGCCGCAGGACAGATCGCCGCAGGACAGATCGCCATGGACAGAGGAGGGAGACGAGAGTGGTCCAGTCAGATGGGAGAACACCCAGAGACGTGCGCATACACTGCCTGTATCAGAATGGATGACGAGCACGCCTCGATCTCAGGGATGTGCTTTGCCGCCAAAGCCGCTCAAGTTGGGTCGGCGCAGTTGCCGGCTTGAGAGCCTGTCTTACCCTTGGTGATCGCAGCAGTGAGGGTGGTCTTGCCGTGATCAACGTGGCCAATGGTGCCAATGTTCAAATGGGGCTTGGTGCGTTGGAAGGTCGAGTTCCATCGCTCTGCGTCAACGGTCGTGAAGGAGGCGGGTAAGCACAGACGCACCACACACATTCAACACGAGGGTCGTGGTGAGCACGCTTGGTGAGCTCGCTTGATGCCCAGCCATGAGAGAATGATCACTTACGGGCGATGCAGACCGTGGCCGAGGCACTCTGGAGACAGACCGATGATCAGCAAAAGAAAGACACACAGCCGGTATGTGAGAAGGGGTGCACAGTCGACACAGTGTCTCTGCCAAGCGGTCGGCTCGCGCGGAGGGCCACCGCCAGTCCAAAGAGCATGGGCAACAGGCATCTGGACCGGCCCGGTATCGATGGGCACACGAGGTGCAGATACATACAGCCTTGGGGACTATGGAGAGAGCCGCAGCCAGGAGAAGTGTCATCGGGAGACCGCCGGAGAAAGAGTATTGCGATTAGCGTCATGTTGATCCGACTCGATCTGATCAGATCTGGACGTTCGCAGAGCCAACACGCGCTGTGTACCGCAGCCAAAGCTGCCCACCAAGATCATGGCTGTGCTTCGTACGTACGGTTGAATCGGGGCGAGGCGGCAACGAAGCCCCTGCAGAAAGCTAGCGCAGCCTTGACCATGGCGAGCCAGAGATCAGATCCAGAGAAGGGCGATCCAGAGAGAGCGAAGGGCGGCAGCGAAGGACGCGGACCGACTTGGTTTGCGTTTTCTGGTCCGCAGTCGGCTCGAACCGGAGAAGAAAAAACCGGCGGTTCGAGCCAGGCGAGGGGCGAGGTGAGTCAACGTGGCGGCGAGAGAGCAGGCTCTCGCTCTCGTTCCCGCATGACGCATTGCCAAGGGCGATCACCACCTCGGTCTCCTTGGAGATACTGTTTGGCCATGGTTGCGATGGGCGGGTGGATGTATTCAGGGCCAGAGAGGCAACGACAACCCTGGCCCAAACGCAGAGTGCTCCGCTTTTTATTGGATTGGCTGCAAACAGAGAGGGGAGATGCACGCACAACCACGGCAGACATCGACCGACGGCCACATCAGCCGTCCTGACCAAACTCCTCGGTCCATTCAATGTACCGCTTCACGTCCGCGTCGTTGACGGACTTGCGGCCGTTCTGAACAGCCTTGACAAAGTCCGAAATCGTCAGGGAAGGCTCCAGGAGCTGTTCGCCACTGATTTCCATCCATGTCATTGGCTGGGCCTGTGGGTCGCCGGGCGAGCAGGGTGTGAAGTACTGCTTGATATCGCTAGGATTATCGCGGCCTGGCGCCATGACCTGGTCCCCGAGTCCGCCATGACGAGACAACACATGAACAAAAGCGTGAGCACAGGCAGTGCCGAGCGAGGCTGCGCATCTCTTCTCGGACAAGCAAGAGACGCTGGGATTCATATCAACCCTGAGGTCACCCACCGGCTTGAAATGCGTTGCCTGCTGAACCTTGCGCACCGGCTCCATCAGTGCGTCGCGAACGACAATCGAGATATCCGAGCCCGAGAATCTAGCAGCGCAGGAAAGGGAATTTCGTACCATCAGTGATTCGTTGCGGACCGCCGCTGCATAGTGCACCGCATCATCTGCACTGGTATCCAATCGTATCCAATCGTATCCAATCGTATCCAATCGTATCCAATCGTATCCAATCGCAGGCACTGGTTGCAGCTCAGCGGGCAACGCCATAGATCAGCAGATTCCAAGTAATGAGATGCGAGTGAGGCTTCAATCCCTCGAGAGCTGGGGTCGGAGCAAAGTCTAGCGCTGACGTATGCATCGAGCGTCAAAAAGCACAGGATCGGGTGCCTTGAGCACATTCAAGCTGCACACGCTCACCCTTCCGTTCGATCCGCCAGCACTTTGTAGTCTTGGGCCTCCAGCTGGCACGGAGTCGATCCAACGTTCAGCCCAAACATAGTTGCCCGCGCGCCAAGGTCAGGTAGTGGGATATAGATGCGCTTCTCGAATCTATAATCAGATCCAGTGAGAGAATCGTTCAAGCAATCACATCAGCAACAGGCGAATCAGATTCGGCATCTTGCTTCGGCCATCCGCACCGCCATATACACATGCCCCCAAGGAGCTGTGCTGACAGGAGCCGCATACCTTCTTCGAATGGCCGGATCCAGGTGCCATGGCATGTTGGTTGCTCCAAGGACGAGGACGCCATCCATATCGTTGCCAACGCCTTGCATCTGAACTAGAAACTCTGTCTTGATGCGTCGGCTGGCTTCGGACTCACCCTCACCGCGCTGACCACAAAGCGAATCGACCTCATCAATAAACACGATCGAAGGTCGGCTCTCGCGAGCGAGCTGGAACAGGGTTTTGACAAGTCTAGAGTGCAAAATTCACAATATAGGGAGTGTGAGTGAGGATAGAGTGGACTATATCGTCCTTGAAGTGCAGCCGGGGCGGGCTGCACTTGTCGCGATGTCGATGGTGATTGCTGGGCAGAGGATGCACGGACACCACAGTCCCGATCCAGGGCGATACGTATTCACCAAACAGCAGCAGCAGCAGCAACAACAACAGTAGCAGTAGCAGCAGCAGCAGCTTGCTTGCCCACCTTTCTGATTCGCCCATCCACTTGCTGACAAGATCGGCAGAGCTGACCGAGAAAAATGTCGAGTCTGCCTCAGTGGCGATCGCCTTGGCAAGGTACGATTTGCCAGTACCAGGAGGCTGGCGATATTGAGACAGACAGATGAGCATGCATATTCAGTCCCACGGACAAAGTCGAGGCAATTCGCCCAGTGAAAGCGCATCCCCAATGGCGCGCAACGAAGGCGCATGAACGACGGCTCAACGAGGCCACAAAGTGTTGTGAGCCAGAGACCGAGCGGGGCAGCTCCCAGGCAGGAGCGAGCTTGTCCAGCCAGCTTGACAGGTCATTTGATCTCCAACCAATGCTGGAAGGACGTGATACTCGAGTGGTAACTGCGATGGAGCCGAGACTTACGCCATACAGCAGAATGCCTCTCCAGGGCTTTCTCTTGCCTGTGAACATGTGTGGGAATCTGATCGGAAGAATAACGGCCTCCTTCAGCGACTCCTTGGCGCCTTCGAGTCCAGCGATGTCGCTCCAACGGACGTTTGGTTTCTCGGACAGAATTGCTCCTGCAAGGGCATCCTTGAGCTTCTTGGACTCCGAGTTATCCTTCTTCTTGCCGTCTCCATCGTCTTCATCGTCCTCGTCTCCAGAATCGGCCTTCTTGTTGAGCTTTCCTGTTCAATGGAATCCATTCCGATGGCAACAGCAGCAGAACATGGGCTCAGATCAGCCCGTGTCCAAAGGTGCAGAGTACCGGCTCGGCTGCGGAATCAGGCGCCAAGGCACCTGCAATTGACCGCCAGGACATCCAACCGCATTGTCCGGACAACAGCCGGCGGTTTCTGCGGGATCGAGCAATCGGTATCCAGCCACGAGGCGATATTCAACGGCGGCGCAAAGTTCCGTCGCAGCTGCAGAGTGAACATACCGTTTGAGCCGCCGATGGCAACAGGCTTCTTCTTCTTGTCCTGCTCCTTGGACAGAAACGCCTTGAGCTTCTCTGCTCGGTCAAGATACTCGGTGAATTTGCCGCGAATTGATTGCTTAATTTTTTCGTTTTTTTCATCTGGAAGCGGAGAGCACAGCAGGGTCAGCATCGATGCTCTGGAGACGAAGCCTCTGGCACCAGGCTATCGGGTCACCTCAAGCCATGGTCTTATGCCGGCCTGACCTGCGACTCTGGTTGAGGGGAGCCAGAGAGCGGACCCACGGAGCTCCTCAGCAGCACTCCCGAATGCAGCCGCCACCAAATCCAGCGGCCGTAGTGCCGATAAAAAGCTTCGGACACCCAGCCCCGAGCCCGGCTTGCCCGTTTGGGTGGACACCCACATTTCATTGCTGTCGTGAAATACTCGAGGCTGTTCAGGTACAGCTTGTATGCTTCCTGGAAGTTACCCTTGCCATCTTCTTCAGTGGCTCGCTTGACGATTTCAATCGCTTTCTGCGAATAGAGGTTCGCGACAGATGCCATCCAGAGACGAGAGAGAAATCAAAGCGTCGGAAGTGAATATCGCCGGCCTCGAGGAATCGAGGGTCCGCTTGGACCTGCAGCCACTGTCCCGCCAATGGACAGAGTCCAAGAATGCTGTTGACCCATCGCGGGTCCTCGCTGGAGCATATTTTTCCTCGGGTTTGCTCACACCGGCCGCGGGCCGGTTCTGAGGTGGCATGGGTGTCCGAGGAAACGGAGCCCAAGGCTGGCGAAAGGACAGATCGCTCCTGGGCCAACACCCTCACGGAGCCATGCGCTCTTGAGCCAGCTGCCCAAAAGGGTCCTTACTCCAAGAAAATCCGGCCCAGACGACATTGCGGTTGAGTCAGCCCGACGGTGGCGAGAATGGCCTGTGCCTGTTGTGCTGGACGTTGGTCGATGAGCGCACGAAGCGAAGAAACGAGCCAGAGTGGGCGGGCGGCAAGGGTCGAGGCGGACAGGCGGCCCTTGCCCCAATCGGCGAGCGATGTTCCGAAGAAGGTCGGCGCGCTCCAGCACCCCCCACGGACGGCTGCCAAGCAAGACGGGATGGGATGTGGTGCCGATGCGAGTGCAGATGCGAGTGCAGATGCAAGTGCAGATACATGGCAATGGAGGACGGGGCATCGCCGAGAAGATGCTCCGTGGCAGCCACCGGTTGCGAGTTGCAGCGGCGGTGACGTGGGGCACCCGCATGAGCTGGACGAGGAGAGTCGCATGTCTCTGACTTTGCAGGGCTTGCTCCGGGAGGGCGACGTTCCATCGGCTCATCCTGGCGATTGCATTTCTCGCTCGGCGAGCCCGAAGAGACACCGATATGGTATCGGACTCGCTCTGCAGCTGGCCATCGCCGCGCCTCAGTCCTCGGCTGCTCCATCAGTCGGAGGGAGACGAGTGCCCGGAAGGAGAACTACTTCTCTGCCAAGAGATGAGCCCTGCTGTTTCTTCGGCCTCTCTGCTACCTCCATCGCACTCGCTGTCATTGTTTCCGGCATCTGCAGAGCTGGTCCTCGATCTTGCCCACGCACCCATTCCATGTGTTGTGCGGATTTGTCTGTTGGAGCTCGAGGCATCACCCGAGAATACTTTGCATCAAAGTCCGTACTGGGAAGCCACCAAGCAGGGCCGGTATGTACTTGGCGCTCGGCGTACTCAATGCTGCCTTGGTCTTTCTCCGGTATCGAGCATGCTCTGCTTCCTTCTATTATCGATTATAGCAGTACTCGACTAACCAAGCCTGTTTGCCGCTGCACCTTTCCTCGAAACAGGGAGTGGGTCTTGAGCCGTATCAACGATGTACTCAGCACCGTCCACCAAGTGCACATGCAAGGGTGCGTGCCTGCACTCCAGTTCAAATCCAGGGTCTCGTCGACATTTGGAAGATCCTGGGTCAGGTCGGTGGAGCCTCAAACCGTCATGGCCTACTGGATGCACCGTGGGATTACTGATTCGCGAGGGCATTACTTCTGGATAGCTTCGATTTGGAGGATAAATGTATCAAGTTACTGAAGGACAGTCCCTGGCAAACGGTTTGCTATGGATCAAGGAGATTTGGTACGAGAGTCAGCTCGCCCAGGGCGGATGCTGGTACACCCAAACGGACGACTGATCCATATGGCCTCTATCTCTGACGCAGACACATTGCTCAAGGTGATGAGTCAAGTGCGGCTCCTTCTCGAGCACGGCGTTGTTGCGACGAAACGGTGAGATTCTCGTTATCTGCCCAGCACCACCATTGCCGGACATCCATTAATACCTATCCCAACAATCGCCCATTCCCGCAAGTGCCATTTTTTACAGTGATGCGCCGTACTTTCGGCACCAAGCGACGGTCGATCGGGTAGTTGTCAGAACTGCCCGCCTCATGCCTATTTCTCAGGCCACCAACGAACCATTGACCCGACCACTCCTTCGCATATCGGATATCCAGGCTGTGGAGGACCTGGCTTGTGCGCTACGAATCCCCCGCTGCTGTCTTAATATTGTTGGTCATCTTGCCGATGCAAAGGGACAGTACTGTCAAGGAAAAGTACTCAACTAACGCTCGCTGTCTGGGCAGGTTGCCTCAGCCAGGGGTCTCGTTGCGGGACCGATCCGCATTCATCTCCATGACCGCTCGGTGCTCGATGGATCCCTTTCTCCCAGTCGACCCATGTTGATCCCACCTTCAGAGGCGATTGACAATATCCTTTCATTGTGTGCACTGGTGCATTGCTTGGAGGCGATGGGCCCTATCCGGCGGCCACCTGTCATCGTCCTTGACTCGTCCTCCACATGTCGAGACCACGGCTCGGTTTGTGCTGGTGATCGAGAAGGAGACTGCATTCAATTTGCTTCTCTCTTCCGGCTGGCACTACCGGTACGGGCCATGCATCTTGGTGACGGTGAGGACGACCCCAATGCGATGTGCATCATCAAACACATGACATGGGCACTGACCTCCGCAGTGCTGTCGGAAAGGGCAAGGGGTTTCCGGATGTGTCCACCCGACAGCTGCTCAAGCGTTTGGGCCAGATCCGGGTCAGCCAAAGTCCTATGGGCTCGCAATCCGATGTGCCCTGCGACCAGTTGGATCTCCTTGTTGAGCAGCCGGACGAGGTGCCTCTCCAGTTTGGCTCTGACTCGGAGGGGGCATCTGCAGTCGATTATAGATGGACGGATGTCCGTACAATCGAGCAAGTTGACTGCTGTGGACAGTGGCTAGACACTATCGCCGATGAAAATGACCTGCTACAATGGAGCCAAGTGCACCAGTCGGATTTGTTGGGCTCGAGTGCACCCGACGAAGAGCTCCCGTTGGAATGGCCAATCGGCGATGAACTCGTCCGGTTGGACGAACTCGAACTGCCTATCGACAGCGAGGACGAGGAGCATTGGTTGGGCCTCTGTCATGGTGGCTGCGACCGGTCCAGTAGTTGCCCTGTCTCAGACATGCGTGGCCCTTGCTCGTTACAGAACTCGATCCAACCAAGCACGATTCCCATGCTTGCACTTGTCGATTGCGATCCCCACGGCATTGATATCTTCCTATGTTATAAGTACGGTGCTCAGGTACAGCAGGCTTTTGACACCCTCTCCTTCACCACGGCAGTACGGGCGGTTCTCTCTGTGTGGAGGACCCTGCGACCACAGGCTTTGACGGCGATGCCACCTGAATGCGACAACCAGCAGCCTCGGACGACATTGAGGCCGCTCTGTCTGGACGAGGCATTGTATCTTCGCTGCTCCACTCATCCGGTTACTTTATTCTTGTCCCAGTCCACGGCTTACGACTCGAAAAGTATGACTGCACCGTCCCTGAGCTGGATTGGTATGGAGTTGGCCGACCTCTCCAGCGTGCTCCACAAGCACGACTCTATTCTCGCGCTCTCTGATGCCGATGCTCGTAAAATCCGGTCGATCCGGCGGCTACGGCCTGAGCTAGCTCGGATCGAGAGCCGTGTTTGGCGGGAGCTGGAGCACATGCTCCGATACGGATGCAAGTTCGAGATCGAGCTCTGCAGCCCTGAAGTACTGATGACGAGCTACCTGCCTGCCAAGGTGGCAGAGTATTTGCAGGAATATCCTTTCGGTGTTGTAAGATCCCACGGAGGATGAAGGAACGGCGCGATTGCCGATGTACCGAGGCACACGTCTCAGCGACGGTAGTGTCCAACCGGCAGATCGACAATATTCGTTTTCATCTCGTCCGTAGGAGTCGCAAAGCGACAGCCACAATCGATGGCTCAGCCAGGCCAGCGGAAGTGCTGCAGATCATCGACAAGTGCGCACCGGATACGCTTTCCAACGATACCTTGCTCGCGCCATCACAACTGCGATTTACCAGCGTGGCAAAAGGAATGTATATTTGTAATTTCAATGTGTCGTGTTCAATGCTCCAGATAACGGAACACCGGCCTGGGTGAGGAGAGGTGCGCGAGCACTTCTCCATGGGTGGAAATCATGCCTGGAGTCTATTTCGCGCCTCGCGATCCGCGGTAGATCCACCCAGTCGAGCCTCTAGAACTGTGGAAGATCCACCCAGCAGCTGCCGTTGTCCAGGCTCTGGCGGCCAGCTTCGAGAATCGCAGTGACAACACGGGTGTCGGCGATGGTTGACAGGACGCCATCATAATCTGACGGCTGTGTCGTGCCCTGGTTCAGCCGGATGCATGCTTGAGCCCATTCCTCGATGCTACGGTGGCCATATCCCAGCTGCCCAGCGTAGCGGCCCGCTCCGTCGGGCGTGTAGCGCATGAAGAGAGGGTTGACAGAGGCATAGCCGCCGGCATCGGTGGCGAGCTCGTATCCGCGATGGGCTTGATCGATGCGGACCTCGCCCTTGTGGCCCATGTAGAAGAAGCGCTGCTGGGAATGCACTTCGGCCTTGGGTGCAATCCAGGAAGCTACAACGGCGTAGGCAGATGTAGCATAAGGAGAGAGGCGCAACTGCGTCCCAGCGCACCCAGGCACTTCGGAGCGCTTCTGCTTATGCACATGGCAGCTCAGAGCTCACTCACAGGTATATATGGCCGTCCCGGGACTGCCTGAGGCGATGTTCTTCCACTGAACGATCAGGGTGATAGTGTCCTGCCCAAGTGGGAGCGGAGATGCCGGAAAAGAGATCCACGATGAGGAACGGCGACAAGGTACACGAAAGGCACAAGTGGATTGACCAAACCGACCGCAAGTACGATGGAAACCGGCAAGGGTAGATCCAGCGATCTGGCTCGACACCTCGTGAGGCATGAGGCTGTGTGCGGCCATCCGGACTAAACGAATGGGCTTACAAACCTCAGTGCCAGCGACACAGCCTTGAGACTCAGCCACGCCCGCGGCCGAGCTAGCCATGACTCTGAATGGATAGGCAATGCCTTGGATGTCGGCAGAGTGTCGATGAAATAAGGTGCGCGGTTGTCATTGAGTTAGCCAGGCGAGAATGGTTGCGACGGCAGGCAGGCATTTTGTCGCAGACGGCAAAAGTGACCATACGGTCCGAGCATAGCCGTTGATGGAGATCGTGCCATAGGTAATAGAGGCTGCGACGCACCCTTCAGCGACCACACGTGCAGGTCGATGTGATGGGAGTTCAGATCTAATACATGAAGATATACACAGCCCCAGTCAGTCGCCACATGCACGAATGCGAGTTCCTTCAAGTACTATCCAAGCGACATCAACAAGCACTCACAGTAGCTAATGTCGGAGCTCTTTCCGGCCCACGACTTGAAAGTCTGAAGCTGGTGTTTGGGCTGGCTCATGTACGCATCAAAGTAACTAAAGTCGCCCAGAGCCCTGATTCGTTCGCGGGCATCCGCTGGATTGCTCGAAGGTCACATCGGCGAGATGATAGGCGTGGTGAGCACGAGGGTGAAGGCAGACTTGATCAGCATGTCTTTCCGGCTGCATGGAGAAGAAGCCGCGAGATTCCTGTCCGGATGTTGAGCCATGCGAGGCGCTCGCTGTTTATGGCGAGAGAGTCCTTACAATAGATGGGGTCGAAACGCTTGTGAAACTCAATGACACAGAGGACATTGTGCTCGGCAGCCAGGTCAGCCAGGATCTGGTGCTCCTTGAGAGTCTTGACGGCTGGCTTGGCGATGAGCTGACGAGCCAACGACCGATATTCAAAAGTGCCAATCGATACATATTGAGAATGTAGAGGGGGTAAATGGGGACGTCGAGCGAGACAGCGAGCGAGACGGCGATGCTGGTTTCGATGAGACGACAAGAGCCGGAGCCGGCGACTCACCACATGAAGCCTGTGCTGGATAGCATAGGCAGCGATTTCAAAATGGGTGTCGTCGGGAGTGAAGATGGTCACAGCACCGCCGGGGGCCATACTGTCTATGGCGGCCTTGTCTGCACGGCAATCAGATCGGGTCCGGTGAGGAATGCAGTCGCTGATCCTGGGCCACTTCCATGCGAATCCAGCAGAAGGGCCTGCCGGCCGTGCACTTGGACCGCCAGAGCGACTACCCACATGCCGCTATATCTCGGTCGACATCGTCGGGGGGATAGATCTCGAGGGAAGTGTCGAGGCCTCGGTAGACGGCTTCGATCTTGGCCTTGAGGTGTTCGCGAATGCCCTGGTTCTTGCTGCCGGTCGTTCCTACCATTGCCAGTCGACCAATGTGCCCGCGCTGTCTCATGTCGAACATGACCAAGCCAACGACGCCGATCTTTTTGTCTGAATCAGCGGCCGAGCCGTGGACGTAGCCGGTGGTGTATTCTGGAACAGGCGTTCGTACGGGCGGCGGGGCGGGACAGCGAGCAGGAAGCCCAAAATATGTGCGCGATTCAAGGACGGATGCGATCCACGGTCGGGACATTGAGAGTTTGTTGGAAGACGATAGAATGCGTTGATTCCAAGCCAGTGCAGTCGGTAAGATCGTCGGTAAGATCGTCGGTAAGATCGTCGGTAAGATCGTCGGTAAAGGTCACAGGGGACATGGAGCAGAGCTGGACGGTGCAAAATGCGGGACGGACGACATCCGCTCTATTGCGGTCAAGGCAGTCGCTGCGAGAGGCTGAAGGCTTACCCCCTGAATTACGGATCGAGCACCAGGGCGAAATTCACGAGCGATAGCGGGCAAGAGCGGCACCGATATTAGGAGTGGCATGTATGCCTGCCTCGATCGATGGGGATTGGGATTGGGGTGGATGGCTCGAGCAAGCTGGGCTTTGCAGGCAAAGATCGGGCTGCCTCACCGGTTCCGCACATGAGAACATCCAGTTTCGCCTTGTCTGCCATTGTTCCGGTGCCTTTGTGGGACTGACGATGCTGTCGATACTGTCGGCGATGTCGGCGATGTCGGTGAGGGTGATGTTGAGGGCGATGTCGATGATGCGCCAGACGCGATTCGATTTGTCAGGCCGGTGGGTCGTCACGTGTGGCTCACTCGTGCTCCCACATGACACCATGGTGCTGCGCCGCAGCTGTGTCGCACCAAATCCAACAAGCGCATGACCCTCCGTCGCCCATGTGTGCATGGTTGGCGATGCAGATCCCAGCGCCCGGCCTGACCGAGCTGTACTGTATTCAGCAGCCATCCAGGATCTAGCGATCGGTCAGTATGCGCCGCCACTCTCGACCCCGAGGCCATATCTTTGTCCGCGTACTTCAGTTCGCCGATGTGGCCACCCAAACGAGTCACCATCCCCGATCGCGCACGGCTGCTCAGTAGTCGTCGCCACGACTGAGAACCTGTCAGAGTGGCACCGAGTCAGATGTTTTCAACGGGTCGACATGAGTACCTGTCGCGCGCGAGCGCAGGGCCGGCATGTGCCAGCCCGATACCAACTGAGCCCACAACTGCAGTCTCGCATTTGTCGCATAGCCGACATGCATTTCCACACACTCGTGGCCCAGAGGAGAGACACCGAGTCAGCACATACCTCCTTGCGAGTTGGGCGCAAAAGAATGGTGTGTTCGTACTGGGCCGTGAAGCTTCCTTTGACATCGCAAAGCGGGGGATAGGGATCGACAACACCAGAGTCGACAAGGTTCTTGAGCGCAAGACCATACTTTTCTTCGCCGATTCGGTCGAGATAGCGTCGACAGAAGGCCAGGGTGCCAAAGTGCTTGTTGATCGTGGTCAGAAGCTGCTTGGCGCGGGGAAGTCTGTCCAAGCGAGCGATTTGGCATCAGAACATATGTGCTTGGATTTGGTATGGATGCCACGTCGCCAGCTCAGAAGCCCATTGCACAGCTACAAGACACACCGGACCAGCCGTTTGTAGGAAATTCACCGCTCACTCGCCCCAACAAACCTCAGAGGCACATGCCCGGCATCGAATCGCTTCATGTAGTGGGAGCACTCGAGATCTTCGTGGACAAACCCACGGCCAGTGCTGCCGAAGGTTTCAATCGCATAGCTCTCTCCTTCCTGTTTGATACAGCCAGAGGAACACATCCATGATATGGTCAATATGGGCTCACGTTCACATGCAAATTCGGCTGCACAGACAACAATGGATCGCCCTGAGCTCTCGTCTCACACAAACATCCTATACCTCCATCTTGGTTTGGTCGCCACCCTTGACAATGGGGACACTTTTGGCTCCATGGATTTGGTATTGTCCAATAAGATGGCCGTTGAGGTTGCGGATGGGTTTGACTGATCGGCATTCAAATGCACCATTGATCGGGCGGAGTGATTCGGATCGGCAATTAGCGCAACGGTGCAACCAACACATACATTTGCCAGGCAGCAAAATCTCGAGGCAGCAGAATCTCGAGGCAGCAGCGAAACACATCATCGGATCGCACCTTGATATGTTTTTCCATCGAGTGTGACTTCATACGACTCCATGACTTCCTGGATGGCTGCTCCAATATCGCAGAGGCGGACGTCGATACCAGCTTCCTGCAGAGGACAACCGCGATTGAGCCACAGACAATCAGTTGCAGCTCGAGAGGACAGGCATGGCACCATGAAGGAAATCCAGCGCCACGTTGTGTCGAACAGATGGCCACATCGCCAAGCAGTGCGTGCGCCAGGCGTGCCCGAGGTGGAAGTACGACTCGAGACAAGCGGGACATCATGGCCTGGTGGCCAGCTTGGGCGATCGACAGCTGCCCAGACACATCTGACCAGATTCGACCAGGATAGTAAAGCCTAACCAGAACCAACCTTGATACCCGTGTTGGTGGCATCGCGAACGGCCTCCAGAAGGGGGTCGTACTTGGGATCAAACGACATGGTGAACGCACAGTCGATGATGCGGCCATTGATGTGGGTGCCAAAGTCGATCTTCATGACGTCGCCGTACTGCAGGACGGTTTTGTCGCCGGCATTCGGAGTGTAGTGGGCGGCAACGTGGTTCAAGGAGCATCCGGTGGGGAAAGCGATGCCGGCCAGCAAGCCATTCGCCTCAATGAGGTTGCGGGTGCCGTTTTCGATCATTTCGCAAATGTCGATCATGGACATTCCTGGCTTGATCGTCTTGCGGGCATACGAGCGGACTTGACGATGGACCTCGGCAGCCTGGCGCAGCTCGTTGTACGTATCGTTCAGAGATCGCTCCAGCGCACGCTTCTCCTCGCTGGTCGAGCGCCAGAGGTTGCTATGAGCAAGCCGAGAACAGTGTGTCAGCTCATCAACTACACATGGGCCAAGCGGGACGCCGGGGAACAGGCAAGCGTTGAGGGGCCCCAAAGCGGGGAAAGGCATCGACAGAGACTCACTCATCCTTGTAGTCCGAGAGCTCGCCTTCGGGATAGACCTTGTTCAAGAACATTTTTGAAACCGGGACTGTTGGGGGCTCGGTCTGGACGACACCAGAACGGATGTTCTTGACGGCCTCTGTAGCGCCAGCAATCAGCCCCCCAACCAACACCACCAGCAGCAATGTGAGCCGCACGATTGAGTCAGTCCATGTACGCGAACGAGAGAACGAGTATCGACACACGCAACGAACCTCCAGAGGCCTTCTTCTTCTTGCTCTTCTTCTTCTTCTTCTTCTTCGCAGCTGTTGGTTGTTGCGTTAGCAGCCGGGCATTGACAAATGCGAGCGGTCCCGGCGACGGTGCTTGGATGCAAGGAGCACAGCATGCCATGAGAGCAGAAGTAGAGCTCAGTACCTCACACGGCGTGGGATGGCCAGCCCGCAACAAGCATGTTCCCACCTTCGTTGCCGCCCGGGGCGTCGTCGTTGTCTTCGCCACTGAGCTCTTCGTCGTCATCGATGGCCTCAACATCGACCGCCTCCTGGGCAAGAGAGTTCCTCAGAGGCGTGGCCGGGATGACGTTGCTTTCGGGGACACCGGGGACGACATCGGCAACAGCGACAACCGCAGGCTTCTTCTTCTTCTTCTTGTTTTTCTTCTTGTTCTGCGTGGCTACTGCCTCGCCGAGATCCTCTTCTTCGACATCAGAGAGATCGAGAGCCTCGGTCTTCTCGGCGAGCTGTGCTGCGTCTTCGAGAGCCATCGTCGTCGGCGTCGGGAGCTTGGCGAACAGACACACCACCCTGGCATTTGTCCTTTCTGACGACCACCGTTTGCGCAGGGTGGCGTGGTCAGGCCCACGGTGCTGCGGCAGCAAATGCCGAGAGCAGCCGAGAGCGGTCGAGAGAGCGGTCGAGAGCAATGGGGGCCGTCTCATGAAGCCGCAACGTTCTTCCACCGAGGCACCCATCAACGAGAACTGCATACTCGCCGCACACGGATCAGCTCGATGCGGACCTGGCCGCTGCCGCTGCCGCTGCTGCCACCGCCGCCGCCGCCTCGGTTATGCGGTGCAGCAACGGGCCAGAAAGTGTCCGTGGTCGAGTTCCCGGGTGCGGTTGCTGGCTGAATCTCTGCGATGGAGAAAAGCGGATGAAGTGGAGCGCTGCAGCCCATCGCATTGCTCATCAGCAAATAATCCATTTCCCGCGCCTGGTTCCGTCCTTTGACGGTGAGTGATTTCCGGTGACGTTCTGTGACGGCTTTGCTCCTTGGTCGAGCCGAAATGGATGCCGAGGGGGTGTTGTCTCGCCAGCTGTGTTGCCGCCTGGGACATGACCACGGGCTGGTTGATGCCCAGGGTCAATCGACGCCTCTCGGCGGCCACCACCCAGCAACTGATTCCCGCGGTGAAGGGCTCCTCGACGCCGCTGGGAGAGAAGCGGCCGGGGCCTCTGCAGATCCGTCGATGCCCCGGGGCAAGTCCGCTTGGGTTGATGCAAGCCCTCGGGCAGCCCCGTTGGCGGGAGGAGTTCCCGAACCGACTTTGGCCTTTGGCGGCTCGCAACGATCACCAAGCAGCTATAGCGATCCATTTCGCCCACGGTGGCATGCTAATCCGCATGATCGCTACGGGTCGAGTCGAGAAAGCCCGAAACCTCGACGGTGATGACCCCGGATTTCGAGGCATGGCTCGGAAGGAGAAGAATAGACATCTCCCTCGATTTCGCATCCGATCCCACGGTCGAGCATTTGGAACTCCCCACCCTTGACTCCATCGCATCGCACTCCATCGCACTCCTATCTCACCCCGTCCTGTCTCCTATTGCGCTCCATCCTGCCGCCTATTGCACTCCATCTCATGCTGCATCATTCTGTCTCCATAGCACGTCATATCATGCTTGTTCACGCCATTGCGTATCGGGCCGCCCCAACTCTACTCTGATGTCACCCCCCTCCTATCGCATGGAGTACGCACCGTCGCCTCCAGGTGTAGCCCGGTGCATCGCATTAGATAAGATTAAATACTTTCTCTGTCTCGAACAGCATATCGTGACAGTCTATCTCCCACTCCGCACTTTAGGCCCGGCCGGGCCCGCCACGGCCCGAGGAGGGCTAGCGGGCCGTCAACTCCACCGGACGATAATGGCGGCATTGACCCAACCCAACCAATCTCGAGGCCAAGTCCCTCGCAATAGTCGCTCTTGGCTGGCTTCTTCGCCTCCCTCTCTCGGCGGATCGTCCCTCGAGGGAAACTCAAATCTGGAGCCGGCTGCCAGCTGCGGGAGGAGGAGGAGGAGGAGGAGGAAGAAGGGAAGCGAAGCGGCAAACAACCTCCGCCCCTGAACCAATCGGCGACATGGCCGCTGCCACAGTCAGCGGCCACCAAAACCAATGCAAGGCATGCCAGAGCGGAGGAGATTGACGCTCGCTGGCCCAGCGAGGTCTTTCAGCCCCATGTCGAGCAAGACTGGCTTGGGCGAGGGCACCAGACAGCCGAGAGCAGCGGCCGATGAAGGAGAAAAACGGCCTCAGGCCCGCCACTGGGCCATTGCTGTTGATAAGGGGAGGCATACGTAGGAGGGAAGGCGTTGCTCCGGCACTGCAAATGGGCGGGGCACTTTGGGGAGGAGGGTGAACCGCCGCCTGGGCGGGAACTGCAAGCGGGCCGACGAGGGACGAGGGACAATGGACGACGCTCGAGGCATGTGGCTGGCAATCCGGGCGGGAGATGCAGAAG